AAAAAAAAATGTGACAGCCCACACAATGCGATCTCGCAAATCTGCGTCCGTCTCGAGGGAGTCCCTCACCCTCTTGCTCGGCCCATTAACCTTTTCCAGCCAGAAGTCTCACTACCGGCCGTGGGCACTTGCAGGAGGAGTGAGAAGATGTGCTTTGTCTAGCTCTGGCCTCCAGTTCCCTGCCTGCTTCGTGCTCGTCTGCTCCCCCCCGGCCATCAAAGCGGCAAACCATCAGAGAAGGGGAGGAGGAGGGTGTAGGCCTACATAGAGGCTCTTGGGCCGGATGAATAGTAAGTGAGTGAATCAAGACTATCTATGTATTGCCAGTTTCCCCGAGAGGTGCTTCTGAGGCATCAAGTGCCATTGTCAAAAGTGATACCCTCTCTCGACACGCCACGCCCATGACACCCCCCCCCTTTTTGATCAAGTTCCATTTCCCGCGCCCGCAGACGCCACAGTTCGACCTGGAGGGGCGGCTTCGACCACTGAGTCTAGAAGCCTTAGGGCCATGGCAACGTTCGCAGGGCTGCGCGGAGGAAAGGGGGGAGGAGGAGGAGGAGGAGGAGGAGAGTTCTAGTGGTAGAACAACGCAAGGCGTTTCGTGGTGGCATTTACAGACGTTCCAATAATCAGCAGCCACACGGCAACAGACCGAAGAAGCATCAGACACAGACAGGATAGACATCACCCGTCAAACGGGCTTGACGGCCTGATCCAAAAGGGTTTCCCCCTTCCAGTGTCAGCGCCGCCCAACGGCTGGCTCGCTAGTTCTTCGAAACCCCAGACACACACATGTTGCCCCCCTCCTCCTCTCCCCCCCGTGTTCTTGAAAGCAATCATAGCTGTGCCGCAAGAGTGCGAGGCGCCGCGAAATTAACCTGCTCCCCGTGCTGCGGCACAGCAGGTCGTCCCAAACAGGGCCCCTTTGCATGTCCCGCTGCTGGTGGGCAATATACCCTCCCCCGTCCTCCTTGTCATCCGAACTTCCAGCACCACCAATATCCGGGTAACGAGCCAGTTGTCGTTCAGCCTTTCCACCCCATGCCCGCTGCAGTCAGCCAAATCGACTGACCGGACCAAGCCCGGAAGGGGGTCACACGGTGCTCCGAGCTTCGAAAGGAGGCGGCTACGCGGCTGCCGGAGGAATCCCCTGCGCGATGCATCACGACTTGTCCGTCTCTCTCGCTGAATGTAGTCCCTGGCAACCTCGGTGTGAGAATATTGAAAAGATTTATACATATGGAAGGGGGGAGGTCTCAGTCAAACCAACCGGTCAGTAGACTAATATCTTCGTAAGCATACCGATCGAGGCAATGCCACCTCAGCAACCGGATGATACCCTGAGGAAAAGCAACAACAACAACAACAAGAGAAAAAGAGTGAGCGCATGGGGGCACGCGGCGCGAAGAGGGCGGACCTAACACCGCAATACCGTCACCCCATACTCCATACTTCATACTATTGAATAAGTAAATTGTTTGTTTCGCTGCCGCCCTTCTCATGCCATGTATGTGCGGCCCTTGTAGATGCAGGAAGCAGGCCGGCCCTGCGAGCTGCAGCCCGCCAAACCCGAGGAACGAACGTTTGGACGATCCCGCAACGCGGACGTCACTTCTGTTCTCGGTAGGCCCATCCGGGGAAAAAGAAACGAAGAGCAATGGTTATGTCTCGACTAAAAGCTGGAAACTGGGGGGGAAGATTTGCTCTGCGGGCGTTGAACAGAAAAGGGACAATTTCTTGATCAACCCATACTAGGCGGGCCAGGCAGAGTACGAAATGCATGGAAGAATCCCGCAGGTGTGTCTTGTCATGCCACTCACTCTATCAGCTAAGAAAAAGCATACCCTTTTTTTTTCCCCTTCCCTTTTCTATTGAGAGGCGTAGATTTGTTCTAGCTCACCGTTGTGGTTACCATCAAAGTCTGACTAGAAGCTCATGGCGCCTTCGTGTGGCTTAAGACATTGCGTTTGGGGTCTTTATTTGACTCAACCGTTCCCTCCCCCTTCGCTTGAACCCTTACTTCGAGAATGAGATGGAAAACGCCAAAGGAGCAAACAGCTAACCCGCCCCATCCCCCTCATTCATCGTCGATGTCTTGTTCTGCTCAGCAACGCTCGCGTTAACCATGTGCAACGGCGTGAGATGAGGTAGACGAGGAGGAATGTGGGAGGTTCTAATTACTCGTCACAACCTCATAAGACAATTTCGAGACATGCCTACACATAAGAGACACGCCCCCAAGATGTAAGCCTGCTTCCACGCTGGCTCACCTTTTCAACGCCCTTCCTCCACATGCCCCCAGAACCTAATCTCGAAAGCCCGAGGAAACGAGACGAGGTGTAATCTAGATCTCAGCCCATCGCGATCACGATGTGATAAATCTCGTTTTCTACCACCCCTCCCCTTTTTTACCCCGGAGCCAAGCCTGCCCACCCCCAGCCCTGTTATGGTAAAGAAAGCAAGGTTAAAGACAAAAGTCAAGCGCAGTTTGTAAAACAGTTACCCCCCTGGCAGACATCGACTGTTAAGCCGTTCAGGGTACCATCTTCTGAGAGCAGACACTAGTCCGATTTGGACAACCACCTCGTTAGCTCCATCAAATGTCTCGAACGAGAGACGACACGGCGAAAGGGACGGGCAGCAACGGATGCCGAACTCGCTGGCGAGGCGAAAGGGGGGGCCTTCTAAACCCTCTGGCATTGCTTTCGCTAACGCGGGAAGACCTTTTCTTCTTTTCGGGGCTTTTCACAGAAAAGGTTTACGTCTATCAATTTTCAGTATAGACGCGTCCCGGTCCTCCGTCCGTGCTTCAAATGCTTCTTGTGATCACCTACGCAGTAGCTTCCCCGTCTGCATGAGAATGCATGTCGTCTCTCCCCCTCACCAGGGGTACCAGAAGACAGCTTCAGGTTGTGGGCGTGACGGGGGAAGGGCAGCCAAGCGAGAAACACACAAGGTACGTCGGAGGTGGGAGGTGGGAAGAATAAAAAGCAAATATATCAAAAAGAACACCAAGCCCGATATTGCATAGGCCCCAACATCATGAACTGATGAACGAACCATGTGCGACCACATGCCTTACCCCAGGTTCAGCTGAAAGTCCCAGTACCACTTAACTGAGAGAGTTTTATTTATTTTATTTTATTTTTTATTTTTTTTTAAACGCAAAAAGAATTCGGCAATGAGATCAGCTCCGGGAAACCTGGAAAGCCCGAGCTCGCTCACTCTCATCTTCCCGACAAAGCAAACATACATCGGAGGGAAGGGAGGATCCCGAACAAGAAAACTCATCAACACCCTCATACGAAAGCAGGGCCCCCAGCAGCTGTCATGACGAGCGGAGAAAGTTGGTTAGCCCGGTTTCCCTGATTCATCAACGGAGACGGACGGTCTGAGCGGTCGTCAAAAGTTGTCAAAAGAATGAGTTACCCACGACGACATAGACAGAGGCTACTGCAGGCGAGAGAAGGGAAGCCCGCCTAGGGCTCTTTTGACACATTCATCACGTACATGGACGGCGACCTGTCTCAGCGCCATGGCTACCTCGCAGCGGTGATCAGCAGATTTCGCCCTCGACAGACACCAAATGAACAAACACCCTCCTCACTTACCTACCTAGCGTTAACCCTTTGTGCTCGTGCCACCAAAAAAAAAAAAAAAAAAAAAAAAAAGGCACGCTTATGCGGATGACGGGCTGGTGTTTCTGAGACATGCAGCCGGTACAGACCCGGCAGTCGGGCGACTTAAACCACACCTCCTCCCTCCTCTTCCTTGTCCTTCTCTCTCTCCAAGAACACATATACATACCCCCCTTAACTCAGCCCTTTGGGGGAAAAAAAGGGTGATGAGATCATGATAGACATGTTATACATAATATTGAATCACGTAGGGGGTCGTAATAAACTCGGAGCTATAACAGGCAAGGGTTCAGTTCCCTCATCATCCTCTCTTACTTGCTTACAAAGGGCTTACTTACTTACAAGCAAACTGGCAAAAAAGCAAAAAACTCCAGCACTCGAGCGAGACCTTTCCTTTCTCGTGAAAAATGTTTCTCGCCGTTTGCTTTGTCTCAGTTGGTGTCAGTTTGCAAAAAGCCAAAGAGACAACATGGCGCTGGGGGGGCTCTCCTACTAGTACTAGTTCAACTCACTACGTACCATTTTCATTTTCGAAGCCATCTGGAATGTGCAAAGGGAGGGGAGAGGAAGGTTCGTTTTGGCTGGCCGGCCGTTTCTTACTTTTTTTTTTTTTCGTTCAGACATGTCTTGAACTTTCGTAAGGTGTTAAGAGGCTTGGCTTCTCGACCAACGCACATTGATTGCCAGAGAAAGCAAGCAATACGTCGGTGTCAAGGTTATTATATCGCGGGGAACTGCATGCTGCCGATGTGGGACTATTGAAGCGCGCAATATCAACTTGCATATCATATCCAATACTCGGGAGATCAGTGCATGGAGGAACATGATCAGACCTATATCCACCGCATACGAAAGAGAAAGCGAAAGACATAGAGCAAGAGAGTACGAGACATGGTTTGAAATAGGATATCTGTTCGTTCGTAATAAAACTACACCTGCAATCCTTATGCAACTTGTACAAGAACAAAAATCAAAACATCTACCCAACGCCGTAGACAACGTGTGTGCAATGTAAAAAATAAAGAAAAGAAAAGAAAAAAAAAAACCACCCGGCCGAGTCCGGTAACACCGTCCGTCCTTTGTCCCTTTCCAACACCTCCGAAATTCATCTTCATAAGTGTGTATGTCAAGAGTCCCGTCTGATCATCACCAGGACTCAATGACAAAGCTGTGTATAAACACCACCACAATTACATCTCCCATCGGAGCAGCCTTCTCCTCCAGACTTTTTTTCGGTGCCACCAGAAACAAAAGAAAGTGAAAAAGTGCAATGACAATGACAACTAATGAATGACCCGTGTGCATGCTATGGTATCTTCGCCACCCCAACGCTCGTGTTATGCCAAATATAAAGAAATCGTCTTAGACTCTGGCCATGGGCTTGCGTCGCACCAAAAAGGGGCTGGGCATCTCGTCGCGCTCGGGATCCCAGACGGCCGCGGGCTCACCGCCGCTGGCCCGACGGTCCGCGATGCGGTCCTTGAATGCCCGCTTAGGGCTGATGTTCTCGCCGCCCGAGAGGACGGCAGAGAGAGGGCGGCCGCCGGCGCGGGCCTGCTGAAGCTCAACCAGCGTCCTGCCCTTGATGTTGTTCTTGGCCGCAACCTTGCCAAGGGGCTCCTGGTCCTTCTTGGTCGAGTTTTTGCGGGAAAGACCGCCGGGGGACTCGCTGCCGCTGTTCGCTGCCGACAGGTTCGCCGCCGACGGGATCTTACTCAGGCGGCGGTTAGGCGAAGGGCAGCGCTCGCGCAGGCCACGGCTCAGATCCGGGTTTGAGGCCATGGTCGGCAGAGCAGGAAGCGTCTTGTTTTGGTTCAACGCACCCGAGGAAGTCTGGGGCTTGACGCGCGAAATAGGAACAGACTTTTGAGAGGTGAGAACCGGGCGGTTCTTGGATGTAAAGGGGTTCTGTCTCGACTTGATGTTGCGAGTAGGCGAGGGAACAATGTCCTCGTCGTCTGAATCGATGCTAATGGTATCACGGGGCAGATCCCACATAGGGTCGCCGGACGTAGCGTTCGATGAGAAGAGGTTGCCGGTGTTAGCGTTGGGCACCCTCGTGGCCGGGTTCCGTCGGGGGGAGAGCGACAGGGAAGCGATGGCAATAGGGGACGGGGAGACCATCTCGATGTCCATAGGAGTTCCCATGCCGCCGACGAACATGGTCTGCGCCCGGCCAAAGGGGGTGCGAGTGACCTTCTTCAGCTCGTTGCTAGCCACAGGGCTGTCTGCCGAAATATCGGTAAGATCCGTCGAGGATGCGAAATCGTCGTCTCCGCTGGCGTTGCCGACGGATGATCTGGGGTAGTCAGACTTGGTCTGGGAGACCGCGAGGTCCTGGGCTTGGGCCGACTCTGTGGCCTTCTTCTGCAGCTCGGCCTCGACACGAGCCTGCACTTCGCTCTCGAATCGCTTGCGGAGGGCTTCGATCTCCTGGTTGATTTGTCGGTCAATCTCAAGACGCGCCTTGACTTCCCATTCTCTCCTCAGAGAGGCGTCAACTTCTTGCTTGACGGAGGCCTTGTCAGCTTCGAAGCCGGCAATCTTGTCCTCCAATTCCTTCTCACGTCGCGCGAACGAATCCTCCTTGGCCTTGATGGTCTTGTTCAGCTCGACAACCTCTCTCTCCTTTCTCATCAAGCGCACAACCGGAAGGTTGAGAAGCTGCGCGGTGTCGGGGCGGTGGTCGGGGTTGACTCTCAGGCAGTCCTTGATGGTGCCCATAAGCTCGCTGGAGTAGCAGCTAGGAAGAGGTGAAACCTTGCCCTCCTTGATCTTCTGGACCAGCTGGAAGTGCGACTTGGCGTTGAAAGGGGGTTCCCGCGAGCAGAGCTCGTAGATGATGCATCCCAGAGACCAGATATCGGACTTGAGGGTGTACTTTTCGGCGGCGCAAATCTCGGGCGACATGTAAAACGGCGTGCCGACGTATGTTGAGGCGAAGTCGTGGGACTGAATCATCTTGGACAGACCAAAGTCGCCTAGCTTGACGGAGTTGTCCTCTCCAAGGAAGACTGGGAGAAAACGGTTAGTAAGCGTACACTTGGCGGGTGGCCTGACAACACATACCGTTCTCCGGCTTGAGGTCGCGATGCAGAATCGTCATGGTGCCCGGGGGCGTCTTAGGCTTGGAAGCGGTACTGAAGAGGCCCAGAACATTGCTGCCAACCTCAGGCGGGTCAATGCCGTAATGGCATCTGTAGAGCGCAGTAACCAGCTGCGAAAAAATGCTCCAGACAAATGACTCTTGCGCACGCTGTCCCTTTACAGCCAAATCCCTGATGACGCGACCCAGATCACCATTGCCGCAGTACTCCATGTAGAGATGAAGATCTTGCGTCGACTTGAGGTGCTCGCGGTGGTAGTAACCGACGATGTTCTGGTGGCGGAGAGTCGAGAGAATCTGGAACTCGGCGTGGAGCTGCTCGCGCTCCTTTTGCGACATCTTCAGGTAGCTAATTTCTTTCCGGCACATGACGAGGCCATCTTGCTTCCTGCGAACCTTTCGGATGACTCCAAAAGAGCCATGACCTGGTGGCTTTCAGTTAATTTTAAAAACTCTTTTTGGGGGGGTTGTGAAGAGCTTTGTGAATGGGTGTGCATACCGATCTTCTCCAATATTTCATACTTGTCCGCCTCTGACGACATCTTGGACACGACGCGCAATAATTTTGATTAAAAGAAGCCTTTCTTTGTATCCATGAAAGATGAGAGTCAATTGAAAGGCGACGTCGCAAACCTGCTGTGGTTAGTATCAGAACGGATTGTGGTGTTGACCGGGAAAGCTGCACTGCTCAAGGTCAAAGAGCTGGTGAACACTTCGTGCATGGGCTCTAATGTTTACTGGGGCTGGTGCCATGGCAACGACGCTAGTGTGTCGGAGCACGGGTAATCCTGATGCCTATCGATAAGACATGCTTCAGGTACGTACCGAGGGGTTACTATGGTGGGGCAACGGTGGTGATGTGAGAGGCAGTAACGTAACGGAATCAATGGCCCGTGCGGAGGCGACCTCATGGAGTAATCGGACTTTCCGCTGGGAACTTCTTTCATGCTCCCTGGAGGCGATTCCAAGGATTCTAATTCTTCCTTGCAATTGTTTTTTTGTGTGTTTTACTGGGTTTTTTTCTGTCCTGAAATAGTGAGGCTTTGCCTACGTTTCAATTCGTCACCATGGTGCTTAAGAAACATGAACTTGAAGCCCAGCTCAAGACCGAAAATGAATTGATCAAGAGTGGCGTCCTGCGGGAGGAAAACCCCATCGACCAATCTGTCGAATTCGAGGCGTTTCTGCTAGCTTGCAGACGGGGTGACTTGAAAACGTGTCAAGAGTTGATCTCAGCTGGGGTAAACATCAATGGCAAGGACCGCTTTGACTATACGCCCTTGATCATTGTAAGCTCGTACCCAAAGAGGCGTGGCTCGGATGTCACTGACGATAGGTGTCAAAGGCCAGTCTGTGTGGACATCTGGAGCTAGTCCAACTCCTTCTAGAATCCGGTAAGGATTATGACCTCTTGTTGTTTTTTTCCCCTCCTTTTAAGTGGAAGAGTCGTGGTTACTGAGCTACACCAGGTGCCCTGGCGGAGAGGAATACGTTCCAAGGAGAGCGATGCATCTACAATGCGCTCAACGATAGGATACGAAACCTGCTGCTGGGATACGACTACTCAAAATCCACGGACCCCCTTCAGCCGTGGGCGGGACACATCACCAGCCTGCTTACAAAGTCGGTGCCCAAGACCGCAGACATCAGCTTGATCGCGGCATCTCAGTCTTTCGAGCTGCACAAGTTCATCTTGGCGGCACGGACGCCGTATTTCCGGAAGAAACTCACGGAGGCGCCTGAAACCACAACATGGAAGCTTCCGACAACATTTCCCGTAGAATCGTTCCAAATCGCACTGCGCTACTTGTATCTGGGCGAAGTGCCCAGGGATCTCGTCAACGCCCAGAGCACCGTGACGGAGGAAGAGGTCCTCACTGGCCTTGACAAGCTTAGCAAGCAGCTGGAGATTCAAAAGCTGTGGGAGGCAATCCTTGCCGGCAACGACCGCCGTCTTGCTCGCCAGCGGTATCAGGATGAGGTGGAACGCGCCCAGAGTCAGGTCGAGCAGTTCTATCGGGAGAAGGTCCTGGGTCACAAAATGGTCGTGGAGACGAAGAGGGTAAACGACATAAAATGGAAACACGACAACTCCATCTTTGCCGACTGTCTCCTGTCTGCAAATGAGCCCGAGAGTGAAGATGCCTCGAATGAGACCGACGAGACGGAAAGCGTAGCCAACCTCAACGGCATCCCGCTCGGCCCCGTAACCAATGGCGAAAAGGAGAAAAAGAAGCCCCGGCGTTCGGTAGTCTTCCCCGTGCACAAGGCGATACTCATCCGTAGCCCGTACTTTGAGACCATGTTCTCCAGCGAGTTCAGGGAAGCCCAAGACTCGGAGCACTTACACGTCGTGACGGTAGACTGCACACCTGAGGTCCTCGAGATCGTCCTCACCTTCCTCTACACCGAAAAAGTAGACTGTCCGCTCGAGCTCGCCCTGGATCTGCTGTATACCGCCGACATCCTCTTCCTCGACAAGCTCAAGACCAAGGCGGCGCAGACCATCAGTACCCTCGGCAGCGGAAACAGCAATGTGCTCATCGACCGTACGCACGGGGAAGGTCAGGCCGAGGAGATAGAGCCCATCAACATCTACGACGTCATCCACGCCGCCTGGGACCTGCGGGTGCAGCGTCTGGAAGAGTTCGCGGCGCGGTATCTCGCTTACCGCCTGGAGGACTACATTGACGAGCCCGAATTTGCCGAGATGATCAACGAGAGTGCTTCCAGGATCAAGAACCGTCAAGAGACTGATACCATTGAGTTGCTCGATGATATCCGCTACTACCTGGGTGAGCGGTTCCGTCTGCGGTTCGAGGACGCTAACCTCGAGGATATGATGGATGAGCAGGGTGAGATCGATGCCGCTCTAGCAGAGACACTGGCGGCGCAGAGCGAACAATTTGACGAGAACGGGGCTCCTGTGGAAGTTGCTCACGAGAAGCCCGCCGAGGTTCCTGTGGAGAACGATGATAAGAAAGGTGACGAGAACGGCGATGTAGAAGGTGTCAAGACATTGGGTGGCGAGATGGCTGAAGACGAATTCGCGTCAGACGCCATCAACTACCAAATCTTGCTTGAAAAGATTGACACTATGCTAGATCATTTGAAACTGGATGCGTAGATGGCGTATTAGAAGCTCTAGAAAAGATGATGAAAGGCAAAAACGCCATCCGCTATTCGGACGGCTACTTTTAGTATTCGACTTCTAGAAGGTCGTTCTCAAGACCCCAGGCGACCTCTTGTCGCCGGTACTAGAATCTATAGGACTCATGATACCACAGCCCGGCTGCTCTAGTCCAAGAAGCATCCTCAAGTTTCAAATTCCACGTACACCTGAGTAACCTCCCCCAACAACGCCAATGCCACCTCGCAATAAATGAAAAGCACATTTTCGTGACTGTAGAGCCTCTACATGACTTCAGATGGAAGAAACGTTCCATCCGGGCCAACGTGCCGGACGCTATTGTGTTCCGCCTCCTTCCTCAGCTTCCGCTCCGCCGCCGCCTCTCTGATGAGCCGCTCATTGTCAAGGTTTTTGTTAGCCTCCATCGCTAGTATCTTCATCAGGTGTCGCACATCCCTAGTGTGCATCGAGTACCAGCCCTGATGAGTCTTGCACCGTTTCTTGTCGCAGATATTCTTGTCATCACCGCTAAGATGGCTGCCAACGTCAAGGTTACCGGCCTTGAAGATCTCCTTGGCCTCATCCGAGTGGTTGAGCCAGTAGCCAAATGGGCCTACCACGCCGACCTGGTCGAGACGGTTGTCATAGCCGCATGAGGCGTCGTCGAGCTTCTTGGATGCGATGAGCGCCTTTCGGCGGTCACTGGCCATATCGGTGAGCTGCAACATCTTCTGGCAAAGGACGGTCTCCTCGCCCATCCGATAGCGGTCAGCTGCCGAGGCCTTAATGATATCCTCCTCCTCTTCAGTCAAGACGCCTGAAAGGGGTTTGCTCTTAGCCTCTGGACTCATAGCTGGAGCGCTTGTTAGCTGAGACTCATCAAACGGGGTGTTGCAGGTACTTACGTTCGGCAGCAGGCGCGGCGAAGGGGCGAGTATTGATCTTGAATTTGCCATCCGTGGGGTCAATGCCGGCAAGATTGCTGCCTAGAAGACCCATGAGCTCTTCTCGGGTGAGGCCATCCTGTGCAGTGGCATTTTTAGACGTCTTCTTCACCGGCAGGCGCGAGATTGCCACCTCCCACCACATTTGCTTGTGCTCGTCAGAACAGAAGGCGCTCTTTGGTCCGTCGTCATAGAGACGGGCTGCCTTTTTGCAGTTGTTGTATTGGCACATCTTCTTGAAAAGACTGACATTCTGGTCGCCGTCGGTGCAGTTGGGGCAGACGAAGCGCTCGATGAGGTTCTCGCCAACGTCCTTAGCCATGTTGATGCACTCGCCGTGAAACCAGTCCTCGCACACATCACAAGATATCATGAACCTGTGGTCATCGGGTCCACGGCAGATACAGTAGGGGCCATTATCCGACTCATCATCGGAGCCTCCAGCCAGATCATCTGGGGCTGGAGTGTTGCTGGTGGCCGAGGCGGTGTCAAGCTGTTTCTTGGACTTGGTGGACTTTGGGCCGGCGCCCTTGGGACGCTTGGGCGTTTTCTTAATAGTTGCTGTGCCCTTTTTCTTGGATGTCATCTTTTGAGATTCTGATGGCCTTTCTGTAGTCTCTAAGATGGTGTTGTTGAGGTTGGACAGTGAGGAGGCGGAATTTGTTGGTATTTGGTTTGTGGAAGATGTGAGGTCGGAGTCTGGAGAAAGAGTGGCGAATTTGAGGTCTGTATAAGGAAGGGATGCCGGTTGAGGCGCGCCATGTGGAAGCGACGCCGGTTGGGCTGGCGCATCTCCCATTTCCCGATCCTCTTGTTGATGGTCATTCACCACCTGGTCCACATCTGAGTCCATGGTTCACAACTTTTTCCGGTCTTACGTTAAGTGATTCAGTTTGTAACTGAGATCAAAGGGAGTATGATTTAGAGTATGTTCCAGCCAGAAATTGAAATGAGTTGTTTTCTTTGGCGATTGTGCAGGGGTTGTCAGATATTGTTGAAGGTGAACCGAATGTGCAGTGAAGTCCCAAGCTTCTTAGGGACCCATAACTTTCTCGGTAAGAATTTCGGTGTGGCAAGGTGAGCTGCATGTTGGCCACCTTTGCCGCATCAACTATTCTTCCGGGACAGCATTTTTTGGTGTCTGGTCCGAGCTCACCGAGAGCTTCTTGATCTTACGATTTTGAGATCCCCTCCAGAACCTCGGACATCCTGGATACCAGTCAACTCTTAGAGGCCCATTCGCAGACCTCTAATCATGTCGCACGCCACAGTATCCTCGAGGGCCCTGTGGAGGTCCATTGCCTCCACGTCCTCCAGACAATGCCGACGATGCATCTCCCAAGCAGCGATTCCTAAGCAGACCCGGCCGACTGCTGCGCCGTCCATGTCCCAAACAAGATCGTTCCCGACGCAAAGAAGAACATACAAGACCGTGGAGGAGGCTAAGAGCAGATACAGAGCAGGAGTGAGTCACAAGTTAGAAGGATTGTAAGAAATGGAGCATCCCAACTAACAGGACACCAGCCTTTCTCATGGAAAGCCGGCCTGCTGTTCGTGGGAACCGCCATCGGCTTGACGTGGTACTTTGAGCACGAGAAGCAGCGCATGGAGCGCAAGCGCATCGCCGACGCGACGAAGGGCATTGGCCGGCCCAAGGTCGGAGGCGAGTTCTCGCTGATCGACCAGAACGGCAACAAGTTCACCAGCGATGACATGAAGGGCCGCTACGCATTGGTACATTCACAAACCCGCCGAGCACATGGATCGCAAGTCAATACATACTAACATGGCTACTCGCACTAGGTCTACTTCGGTTTCTCGCACTGCCCTGATATCTGCCCCGACGAGCTCGACAAGATGGCACAGATGTACGACCTCGTCGAGCAGAAGCGCCCCGGCGCCCTCCTGCCCCTCTTCATCACCTGCGACCCCGAGCGCGACGACCCCAAGGTTCTCAAGGAGTACCTCGCCGAATTCCACCCCAAGTTCGTCGGTCTGACGGGCACCTACGACGAGATCAAGGCCATGTGCAAGCTGTACCGCGTCTACTTCAGCACGCCGCAGCACGTCAAGCCCGGCCAGGATTACCTGGTTGACCACAGCATATACTTTTACCTGATGGACCCCGAGGGAGACTTCGTCGAGGCGCTTGGACGACAGCACTCGCCCCAGGCGGCTGCCAAGGTCATCCTGGACCACATGAACGACTGGTCTGGCGAGTGGAAGAAGGAGTAAGATGGCGTTGATGGGCTAGGAAAAAAGAAAAGGAAAAAAGGGCAGAGGGCTGTCCTGGCTTGTGTAATATGTACCATCAGCTGTCTATGGGATAGAACTTTGAGCAATCGGCTCCAGGACCACTCAATCACTGTAATAAAATTGTAACACAATAGATGACTGGCTACGACATTTTCATGGGCATCATTCGACGAGTCGTTAAATATGGTGTGTGTACTACTTTTGAACTTGCTGGAAGTTATGTCTTTGTATGCTAGCCACGCAAAGGTTGAACTGTGAGCCAAATGAGAGTTCCGATGCCAACTAATATCAACATGGCCATAGAATCCAAGGTGCGCTCGGTAACAGTTATGTAGCGTTTTTATGTGTTTTTATTTTCAACCATCCCAAATAGAATAGAACTACGGCGACAAGCTTCAAAGTTTCGTCTCCGACTACGGGAAGCTTCGTTGAGGTGGGCATCTTCAGAGTCCTTAATTATCCTAGCAAGAATGGGTCGTGTGAGAGCAGCCAAACTCGATAATAAAAACCTTTCAACCTGAACAGAAGTCGTTCGGAAAAGGAAGCTTCCTGGACTTAATTATACGGGATTATCAAAGCTTCTGTAGTTGTGAATATCGATGACTTCATAGACATGGTAGCGACTCATTTATGACAGGCCGCAGAACAACTAGCATAGCGAGCCTAAAATCCGTTATAATATTCGTAAACGCCACTCGAGCCTTCAAAGTATACCGCAACTCGCAGTATATACCCTAGATGCGCACATGCACATGCAACACGTCCAAAAAAGAACGTTGCACTCTAGAAGCCTCGATGCGCCGCACCCCCCACCGCCCGCTGCAGCGAACGGTCTCGCCGCTAAAATTAGCGGGGTGGAGTTGTGTGGCAGGTGTCATGCGCAGGGGATGGGGGGTTTAGAGCTCAATGCTTATCTGTGCCAGCTCGCAAGCCTCAACCATCCCATCTTTCTCTACCTAATCAACCACACGCTCTTTATATCTTTCCCCAGCTTTTCGTCCCAGCAATGCGGGGTATTGTACGCCGTTGAAATTTTGGCAGGAGAACTTAAGAATAACACAGAAATGAGGCAGACTATTAGGGTTTCCAGCCTTGGACGGCTGGCCAGGCCGTTTGTGAGCTCGACACCGCAAGCTCCGCCCCGAGTCGCGTCGACGGGCATCGGCCGCCACGAGAGGGGGTTTGCGGGGTTGAGTAGGTTGCCGCCCGTCCGGGCTGCTGCGACAGAGGGACTCCGATTCGCGGGATCGAAGCGGTGCTTTAGCAGCAAGAAGCGTGTTTTTGAAGCTGGCGAGACGCCCTCTTTTGCTTTCGCGTTTGAGTGAGTCAACCCCTATACTGAGCTACAGGAGATGCCCACCTGCTATTGAAATATCTCGTATCAAAGTTAAGGAACAAACTACTAACAGCTGCAGCATTGACGGTGTTTTATTGCACGTGGCCAAGCCCATCCCTGGAGCTGCTGAATCACTGCAATTCCTCCATGACAACAACATCCCCTTTATTCTCTTGACGAATGGAGGCGGCAAGCCCGAGGCCGTCCGTGTCCAGGACCTCAGCGACAAGCTTGGCGTGCAACTATCGGTGGATAACTTTGTCCAGTCACACACTCCCTTCCAGGAGTTGGTTCAAGGCCCGGAAGGCCTTGGTGACAAGACCATCTTCGTGACAGGAGCTGATGCCAAGAAGTGCCGAGAGATTGCAAGGCTGTAAGTTGAACCCCACATAGATCCGACTGTTATGTTGACGACCGCGCCAGGTATGGTTTCAAGAACGTGGTGACTCCGGCAGACATTATTAATGCGCACCCCGATGTCTTCCCCTTTGAACGCCTCATGAAGCAGGTTTACGCCGAGACGCACGAGCCGCTGCCCAAGCCGATTCATGCTGGCAACATGCGCGATGAGGACGCACTCAAGATTGATGCCATGTTCGTGTTCAACGATCCGCGCGACTGGGCGCTGGACATTCAAATCATCGTGGACATGCTGCTATCACGTAATGGAATTCTGGGAACGTACTCCCCAAAGAACGGCGACAAGTCGCTGCCTAACAACGGATGGCAGCAAGACGGCCAGCCGCCTCTCATCTTCTCCAACGCTGACCTCTTCTGGTCGACGACATACCACCAACCACGTTTCGGCCAGGGAGCGTTCCAGGCAGCTGTTGCCGGGGTCTGGTCGCAGGTGACCAACGGCGTGGAGTTGCAGCGGACTGTGTTTGGCAAGCCGTTCCCGACGACATACAAGTACGCTGAGCGGGTGCTCAACTCGCACCGTCAGGCGTTGCTGGGCAAGAGTGGCAAGCAAGGGGCTGCGCCGCTGAAGACGGTATACATGGTGGGCGATAACCCTGAAAGCGATATTCGGGGTGCCAACGATTTTAGCAATGACGAGACTGAGTGGGCTTCGGTACTGGTGAAGACGGGCGTCTGGAGCCAGGAGAGAGGCGAGCCTACGCATAAGCCCAAGATGACCGTAGACGACGTCAAGGCAGCAGTCGAATGGGCATTGAAGAGGGAGGGACGGCCAGTGACCATTTAGAATCAAGTTACTCGGCTTATTGTTGTTTAAAGTTTAGCTGAAGAAGACGAAAGACGTGTATTGGGGTGGCTTAGTTGCCCGAGATTTTGCTGTGCCACGAGCGAGGGGTGACAGCAGGATGGCGCGTGGTCATGTTGGAGCCCATGATTGACCAGTCAGTTCCTGTACACTATGTATCTCTATATGCAAATACAATACAGGTTGATAGTCAGTGTGTACATGGATGGTAGGTCTGGTTATGGTTGGTTCAGAGTTGGACCGGCTGTGTTCAAGTCGGTACGTCACATGCAAGACGAAGAGGTCGCGAACAAGGGTCGGGAGCTCCCGACTGGATGACAGGGTCCATTGACGTCACGGTTTGACATGGTGCATAGCGAAGTTGCGTAGTGGTAGCGTGGCGTTGGGCTGAGGCGTCTTCTGGGTTTTGCGGTGTGTTAGGAAAACCTGCCAAAACACTAGACTACATCGCTACATCATCGTTTGAAGTTATATCGCACAAAGCCGCATATCAGCGTTTTAGGCGCGATAAGAAAGCGACATGTGCAGATCATGGGATCTGAGTTTGGTGGCATTGGCCAGCAGCAGGGGGTGGGAAGGGGGTTCCTAGGAGAGAGAAAATGAGACTCAATGATTGGAAAAGAATGGAATTTCTGTGCTTTTCCTCAGGGGACCCAAGCGAGAACTTCCAGTGTGGTCTGTGCCTGTGAAGCGAATCGAAAAAGCCCCACCAACATGCACCTGACCTACCTAGCCCAAGTCAACTAACTCTATGGAATCCCCACCGCCTTCCGTGCAGGAGCAGTAGCAAAGGCAGAAGCAGAAGCAGCAAGAGCACCAGCAACAGCAGCAGTAGCAGCACCAGCAGCGCATTGCGCAGGCAGGTGGCCCCTATCCCCTGCTGCTCCTTCCCTGTAGGCTCCTCCTTTCCTCCCCACGGCTCGGTCAACCAAATAGTAAACGGCCCACGAGACTCGTTCTTTCTTGGGGCGGCAACACAAGCTGGAGGGGAAGGGAAGGAACCGGGTGTCGGTCTTTCCTTCGCTTCTGGCCACCCCTCCTTCTCCTTCCATCTGTCTTGCGCCTGCCTCTTCCCCTGCCTACCTGAGCATGCCTGCCCTGCCCATGCAGCTGCAGTTTCTCTTCTCTGGTAAAGTTCCTTTGGGGTTTTTCGGGAAAATGTGACCCTGATTTTCTTGCAACTGCGCACCACACGACAAGTTTCCCTTTTACTTCATCTGACTTTGCTCAATTTTATTTCATCTTTTTATCTTCAAGGTCGTCTGAACCTCTCTCTCCAACCAACCTTGGACCAGTTCTCTCAACTCACTCTTAACCCTCCCCGCATTCCTTGGTTTGCCTAAGAAACATAAGAAAACCGCCCTTCAAAAACCTGCACCCATTATCCCGTCCTGTCTTATTCCTCGGGACCGTTTCCAAGACTTTTGCCCCCATAGTGCTGCCCTGTTATCCTGTCATAACAGTCGGGGTCCATCCCGTATTGGACTTTGCCCCACGAATACCCCTCGACGTTGGCCTGATAAGACCTTCTATCGTCCCTGACTTGCCCCGAGCGCCAGCCGCAATCTGTCACCTCTCACCTCAGTCTTCGAGTAACTGCCCGCATTCTTCACCGACCACTGCATCCGGCATCACACAAGCCAAGCCGCTGTGTCTCTGGCCCAGTGACTAGTACAACTTTGACACGCCTCATAAAGCCTGCTTTGCCTTGCACCGGCCACTCGTCACAATGTCCTCATCGCCCAACCCCAACGGTCTGCCCCTCCGGTCAGCCATGAAAACCGACGAAGACAATTCCGTCGCAAGTCCTGGTAAAGGTCAGTTCTGCGCATTCGGCTCGCCCCTCTTAACCTGAAGTTTGCAGGCCCGGCACCCGCATCAAGTGGTATTGTGTGAACTTTTTAAAAATGATGAGAAGAGAAAGAAGTGAAAAAAGGGAGGAAAGGGTTCACATCGATGGCAGTCAGCCGCGGTAGCCTCTCTCGCCCATGCTTGCTCCGGATCACTTAGTGATGCTCCGCGCATGTTTGCATCGTACATACCACAGACAGAACTTGATGGACCGGTATCATCGCTGGGCTTGCGACTTAATAGGTCATAACTTGCTAACACCTTGACAGTCGTCCAAATCGCGGAGCCAGAAGCCGCTGTAGCACCACCCCCTACTGCTGAGCACCAAGCTCATCACAAGAGACAGTACGCCGCCAGCATGGCTAAGAGATTGACTGGCCGCCTACCTGGTCTATCAGACTCCTCCTCTCGGGGCTCCCCAGTTCTAGAACCAGTACAGTCGCCTGAGGATGTTGCTGCCCAACAACATCAGCATCGCCATGGTCAGAGGCACTTGTACCAGAGTCAGAAACTGCTCTCACAGCTGAGTGACTGGCTGGAGCACGAAAGGAATAAGAAGGCTGCGCGCAAGAGCAAGACCTCACCTCGTCGTCGTTCGCCGCAGTCTAAATCCAAGGCCGAAGCCCAGCCTGCCACTGAGTCTCAGCCTGATGCCCAGCACACTCTTCGCTCTCGGTCAGACTCCATCGACTCCGATTCTAGTGACGTCTCGTTTGACAGACTGCAAAAGATTATTGAGGAGAGCATGGCGTCCATGGGCATCAACTCTGTTTCCCACTTGAGTCCTCGCATTGGCAGACGCACTTCTGGCCGTAAGAAGTCGTTTTCACGTAGCATGATCCATAGGACCGCGAGCTCCGACACCGACTACATTGACGGTGATGTTATCGTTCCCACCTGTGACGCCGTTCTCGACAACTCCAAAACCCTTAGCTACAATGCTGGCAAAAGCACCGACGACCTGTCCCTGAGTGGCAAGGCAGACGATAAGGAAAAGGCCTGGGCCACCTTCAAGAACGAAATTGTTCGCCTGGCTCACACTCTCAAGATCAAAGGTTGGAGAAGGGTGCCTCTCGATTGTGGCAACAGCCTCTCCGTCCAGCGCCTTAGCGGAGCTTTGACCAACGCTGTGTATGTGGTGTCACCTCCCCAAGACCTTCAAGACGCGGCCTCCGGCAGACCATCCCCGCCCAAGCTTCTGCTTCGTATCTACGGATTGGAGCACCTCATCGACCGTGAGAATGAACTCAGTGTACTTCGAAGACTGGCACGGAAGAAGATTGGCCCCAGACTTCTCGGTTGCTTCACCAATGGCCGCTTCGAACAGTATTTCAACTCCATTACTCTTACATCCAACGACTTGCGGGATCCGGATACGTCGAAGCAGATTGCCAAGCGCATGAGAGAGCTTCACGACGGTATCGACGTGCTAGAGAAGGAGAAGGACGAAGGCGCTGCGGTGTTCAAGAATTGGGATTCTTGGCTCGGTAATGTCGAGAAGAAGATTCTTGTTCTTGACGAAGACGTACGCCGAGGTTCTTGCGTCTTCCGCGGCGAAGGTTTCGTCTGCGGAGTGGAATGGAACAAGTTCAAGGAGTACTATGATAGGTACCGTGAGTTGGTCATCAAGGCCTACAAAGGCTCTCAGGGAATTCGTGAGCGCCTCGTCTTTGCCCACAATGATGTGAGTCCCCTCACCCCTAATAAGTTTCTGACAACACAAAAAATACTGACACTCCCGGTAGACCCAATATGGTAACATTCTTCGTATGCGGCCAGATGATGAAAAGTCGCCACTTCTTCAACCAGCAAATGAGCACAAGCAGCTTATCGTGATTGACTTTGAATACGCCGCCGCCAACGTCCCCGGCCTCGAGTTTGCAAACCACTTTACTGAGTGGGCCTACGACTATCACTACGAAGCTGCCCCCTATCTCTGCAACACGGCTCGCTACCCCACCATTCAGGAGCAGCGCCGCTTCCTCAAGGCATATGTTGAGCACCGCCCGCAATATCCTCACGGTGGTGCTTCCACCCCGCGCCTCGCCCCTGCCGACGGCAGCAGCACACCCGCCCTGCTGCCTACCAGCTCCTCAAGCTCTATTGTCGAGTTCATGCTCGACGCTCGCGTGCCCCCAGGCCACTGGAAAGACGAGGAACGCCGCGCGGAGGAGGCGATTGAGGCAGAGGTCAAGGAGTTGTACGAGGAGACTCGCTTGTGGCGTGGCATCAACAGCGCCCAGTGGGTCGCATGGGGTGTCATCCAAGCCAAGGTGCCCGGTTTCGAGTCTGCGGAGGAGAAAGAGCAGCAGGAGAAGCAGGCTCAAAACGAGGCAGCCGCCGCCGCTGGCGACGAGAGCGCCAAGGCAGAGGTGAAGGCTGCGGCTGAAGCCGAGGCTGAGGAAGGAGACGAGTACGATTACCTGAGCTACGCCCAGGATCGTGCGTTCTTCTTCCTTGGAGACTGTGTGCTCATGGGGATTGTGAAGAAGGAGGAACTTCCGGAAGACGTGCAGAGGCGCCTCAAGATTGTGGATTGCTAGTTTGCGTAAACTGTAGAGCTTCGCTCAATCACTTGAATAAATTCAACTCTAAACTTCAAAGTAGACAAAAACTGCATGTTTTAGCATTACTTGGGCATGGTGACGCATGTTGACATTGCCTTCATGACTTTCAGGTTTCATGGTCCATGACTTTTATACCCCAATCTTTTACAATTCAGATGACCGAAGCCATAGTGTAATTATCAGACTGCTTCTATACGATCTTGGAGTACGTGTGTAATTGTGGTCGTTGAAGGGATAAAGGGTTGATGAATGGGACCAATTTCAGTTTGCAGTACTTCCTTCGAATTGACTTGGCAAGTCCTCTGTTACTACACACCATCGGAAAAACAAACATGAGACCACAATATTGGCAACAATTTTTTGTAACAAGCTCTTGTGTATTGTGCAAATCGCAACAGACCACTGTTTGGTCGTAACAAGCAAATGATAATAATAATAAAATTACAATGGGCAACTGTCTTTTTCTTCAGCTGCTTAAGCCTGTGGCCCTAGTTCATCTTGTTGTATCGCTCCCTGGCTCTGTCCTGCACCGTGTTCACGTACTCGGCATAGCTGTTCTTCGTCTTGCGCTGGGCCAACTCCGCTGCGTCGCCCAAGTTTCCGCCCTCCGCACCGAGACCGACGCCTTCCTGGTACGCATGCGTCGCAATCACTTCGGTGCGTCCGTCGCCGTTGGCGCCTAGTCCCTGTCCAGTGCTCCATCCCATCTTGGCTAGCATGCCGGCACCCTTGGACTGCTGCGGGGGCGGTGTTTTCTCGGCGGGCGGACGAGCGGGTTTGTCGTCCTTGCGTCCTGGCTTGCCGCTTTGGGGCGCGACCTTAGGTTTCGCGGGTTGGCTGTACACCTCTCTGCGCTCCTTTGCGCGGTCCCGGTACTGAGGCGCCGAATCCTCGTTCTTTGCCTGCTCTCCTGTCTGCTTCCCCATTCTCTTGTCCCGAGCCGCCAGTCGGGGCTTGGCTGCCTTGACTTTCTCTTCGTCTGCCATTGCGTTCTTGTGGTTTCTTGACTTTTCGTGCGTGTTGAGATCATCCAAAGATTTGTACTTCATCATGCAAAGCAGGCAGCACACCTTTTCCCGATCGACATAAGACACTGCAGGTGTGGGTGAAGCAGCTTGGTCAGGACTTGCAGCACCAGTTGGGGGCGGGGCAGGAGGTGCAGCAATGGGCTCTTTTGGCGGCGATGTTGCTGGCGGAGGAGGGGGGTTAGATAGAGATGCTCCGGTCAAAGATATCTTGATCGGGCCACTTGGGATTGCGTTTGGTCCGGATAAGGCGATCTTGACTGGCGCACGCTCGTCACCACCGCCTTCAGAGCCTGAACCTTGGTCTGCAGCTCGCTTGCCCTCGTGAATCTCATCGTGTCGTCTCTGCCAGAAAGCCATTTGCCCAGCCATTGGTGCTGATTTCTTGATGGTCGAAGACGACAAGTTTGCGTCAGCCTTGCGCTTCTTACTCTTCTTGGACTCGTCGTTCACATCCGTCTTGTCATTGACAGATAGGCCGCCTGGGGGCGTCTCTGTTATGATCTTCTGACTGGGGAAAACATGAGGCTCCCAGTACTTGACCCGTAGGGTCGGGTTGAAGAGCGGGTTGAATGAAACGTGCTCGATTGCACGTGTGACTTCTCTCAACTCTGGCACAAAGACGCCCAGGTGGATAGTCGAGACCGTAACTGGTTTGGAGGCAATGGTAAACTCGCGCATCATCTTGAACTTCTGCTGCGCAGCCAGGGCATCCTCAACGGTCCAGAACTCTGCGAATCCGAAATTGAATGATTCGTTTGTCTCCTGGTCTCGCATCAAGAATATGCGGTGCAAGGAACCTGGCCTCGCGCCGTAACCAGAAGCGTCGCCGGTCGGCGCAGTGGATTTGAGCTTTGGCGGGTCTCCAGGGTTCCTCGGGGCCGCTGGTTTCTGTGCGAGTTCCAACTTCGCAGCACCTGCGGCGAGAACGTCCTCGGTGACGGAGGAGGCTAACGGGAAGAACACCAGAATCTGAGAGGGCGTATCAGCCGCATCGCTCTCACCGGTTAAAAGGTGGCGATATTGTGACGGGTCTGTTCCAGTCAGCTAGACGCCCAGAAATGAGATATCAGAAAGACCTACCGATTGGAGGACCGCCACAGTTCTTGCAACGATTTCTGGTCGGATAGTTTGAAAAGTCGCAGACCGGACATGTCCAGTTGGTCGAAAAGTTGGCCCTGTTGTCTCGATCGCCGTCATCGCGGTTTCTCGCGTAATGGACGTAGATGGAAGTCATGCCGTCGGCGTCACCATCCACCATACCCGCAAAATCAAGCATAAGCTTGGGGTAGTTCTCTTTGACAAAGTCGACAGCATCATCAACCTGCTCGAACTGCACAAACGCACGGCGTTGGCCTGAGACGTGTTAGAGAGGATCAATGCAATTTGTGCAGTTGTTTGCGCTCACCTCGGCCAAATGGAACACGGATTTCAACATTGGGGTATCGTGATAAATCAGCTTGTCGGAAAAGGCAGTCCTTGACGTCCTCCGTTGATAGCCCAAGAGGCAGGCCCTCTAGAATCACAGTATCACTCGGAGTACCAGCTTGTCGAAGAGGCGATGTAGAACGATCGCGACGAGGATAGCGACCTGGGCTGCCACCTGGAGAGGTGGGAAAATGACGAAAATCCTCGTCAGGACCACGTCGGGCATCATCGCGGCCAGTGCCATCGTCGTAGTAAGAGCGAGAGTAGCCCCGGCCACCTCGATCGTAACGACGTGGTCCTCGGTCGTCGCCGTCATGTGGGTGAAGTACCTCAGAGTTTTCATCACGGCGATCCAGAGGGATATCCCCACGACTGCCTTGATCTCTCGATCCAGGACGTGGCTGGTAGGCCTCATGCGCCGATCCATCGTGGTAGCGGTCGTAGTCTCTAGAGCGGTATTCTCCTCGATCACGGTTACGTTCCTGATCCTGGTTGCGGATCTCCTCGTCGTCGTAGGACAGCTCGTGGTGGCCGTTCCTGGGGGGAGATCTAGAAAAGTCTCGTCGGCCCGTGGGAAAGTTAGCGGAAGCTCAAACCAGCCAGATATTCTGCGGATGGTCATGTCCCCCGCAGGCTCAGCTTAGTCTCTTTACCCTGCCGCGTGCGATAGGCGTCGTTGTTTGAATACTGCTGATGATCTCGCGGAGGGGATCTTCGTCGGTCGTACGGTCCCCTCTCCCTCGAGCGATGGGTGTCCTCGTACATGTTCGCGGATCGCAGGATGGGGCGTGGGCGCAATGCGTACTAACTCGGAGGAGCGGGATGAGTTGGGATTCGTTTCGGAAAGGGAAGATACAAAAAAATAAAAATAAAAACCGAAGGAAAACGAGGTAAGGCACAGCGCTGTCCCCGAGGAGGTAGCGACTAGACCGTGCCTTTTAATGTAATCGGATATTGGGCGTAGCCAGGATCTGTCCTGGGTTTTGTAAGAAACAATGAGGTTGAAGAAGGGACGATCCACCTGCTGCGTTTGTCGGAAGAAGCTCAACCCTGCCGGTGCTGTACTCATTATCCTCGCCAGTTGCCGGCTGCCTGGCCTTATCCGCAAAGTAAAGTCCCTCAAGCTAGGGAGTGAAATGCTTAGTCACGAGGGTTCGATAACAACTGATAACGGGTGATCTGTGCGTCAAATCGTTGTACCTATGTATTCATGTATGTCAAGTTCCCCCGCTGCTCTCCGTCTCCGAGGATATTCCAACCCGGAGACTGGACTTAGTAACGGTAGTCAAGTGATGGAGTAATAGTAATCTTATGATTAAGAGATAATTGTACAAATTTCCCTCATATTCTTCCATTTTCACCTACGTGACAGCTACCCTCAACTGGCTTTGTAGCCTTCCCCGCTGTTCGACTGACGGGGCGCCCGCACTAACTCATTGGCACGCTCACAACGTCATCGGTGACGAGGAAGACACCTACAAAACATTCATATCTGGGCCATAACAAACTCATCACAACCTATGGAGACTCAAGGCCAAGGACCGTGGGAGGTCTCTGAGGGCGCCTGCTATGTTGCCCTCACCTATGATGTTCTCGACGCCACGGCTATCATGAACCGAGTGCGCTCACCACAAGCCGGCGCAATCGTGCTCTTCTCCGGCACGACGCGCGACTCTTTTGGCGATAAACCCGTAAAAGAACTACAATACAGCGCATACACACCCCTTGCTCTGCGTACCATGCTCTCCATCGCTAAGAACATGCTCGAGAAGCACGGCCTGAAGGGTGTGGCCATGATTCATCGCCTCGGCACCGTACCCATCGGGGAAGAGAGCATCTTAATCGCAGTGTCTTCGCCGCACCGACAGGCGGCCTGGAGGGCTGGCGAGGAGGCTTTGGAGGAATGTAAAGCCAAAGTCGAAGTTTGGAAGAGGGAGGAATTTCACGGCGAAGATGGTGTGTGGAGGGCAAACCGGGATGGAATCGCAGGACAAAAGGTCACCGAGCTGGAAAAGACAACTGCAGGACTGGACGCCGGGCCATCTGCGCCGACCACATGATAGTGCAACGCAGGACCGGAGCTCCGGGTGCAAACGTTGAATGAATCAGGGCGAAAGATCTTCTTGGTGACCCCAGAGGGAGGGATTTGTTGGTTTCCCAGTTTAGCCAGGTCAGACATTAACCTGCGGCACAGCTACAGTTGTTTGCTTTTTATTACATGGAAGACTAATTGGGAAGGCTAGTGAGTGGCAGGGTTGGTATACGACCTAACCAACAGTCTTGTTGGCAAACGAACCACCCCAAGGTCATGGCCAGCAAAATACAAGTACAGTGCAGACATTTCGAAGAACCCGAACGCGTTCAGTTGAAGGTCAGATACAATGAAATAAAGCATTTCATCAAACGATTGCAATCATTGCCATGTTTCAAGCTCCTGACCGTATTTAATCCGGTGGAAGCACGATTCTGCTTCGAGATTTTGGTTGCCGCCGCGCCTCCCCTAAGCGCCGGTCGTGGTAACATCCAAGACGACTATGCATAACCGACATGAGCTCCCAGGGGTATGACACAGTTACAAGCCCATTTGTATGCATATAAGGTTGTTTAGGGTAACCAGTTGAAGGACCAGGAGTCTCTAGCCCTTTCAGGTCGAGTGTGGCATTTTCTCCTCTTCATCAGGTGCGCGACGCCCCAGTCCACCGCGACAATGAACGACGAAAGGTTCGAACCTAGACGCGTTGAAGAAAAGATACTAGCCAGGGAAGTTGATCACGGAATAGAGGCGGTATCGCCGCAATACGTTCCGGATCATGTTCAACATGACGCTGGGCACGCCTACTGTTTCCAACCACAATATCAGCATCCACCGCCGGAAAAGAAGATATGCGGTCTAAGGCGCTCAACATTCATCCTTGCGGTCATCCTAGCGATAGTGATCATCGGAGGATCTATCGGCGGAGGCGTTGGTGGTTCATTGGCGGTCGCTGAAGCTAGGAAGTAGGTGGCCTACTTCTATCAGTATTGGGAAAGTCGCGAAGCTAACTCATGATACTAGACGAGCCCAAGAAGAAGCACAATCAACACCTGTCGCAACAGGGGCTACGACGGCCACAGCGACAAGTTCTTACCCCTCAGTACCGACGACGGCCACAGCGACAAGTCCTCACCCCTCAGTACCGACGACAGGTGTGCTGGCACTCGACTGCCCAAGACTTACAGGCACAACGTCCTCGGTGATTGTTGGAGATGAGACGTTCCATTTTGACCTGAATTGTGGGGTGGACAACAACGGATCGAACCTCGACATCGTCGCCCTCGTAGCATACTCTCTTGACGACTGTCTGTTGGCGTGTGCCTCGCACAAATCGAAAGGCGGCTCTAATGCTTGCGCCGGCGTTCAGTTCCACGCCGACCTCACCGATCTCGTGCAGAGATTCTCGGGAAACTGTTTCCTGAAGAAGAGCAAGGGCACGGCTGTGGTTGATACTGATCCATCGAATTTCAATTTGCACGTGTCGGGCATGTTAAGGACTTGAAATACCCATAAACATAGCTGGCAGTGAAGACTACTAGGCTTGGTGTTTGAGATGTGGTGTTTGGGCGTTGTGATTGTCATTCAATAATTACCATTTATCGTCTTCTGTGTATCATCATCAATGTTTATTTGTCTTGCTGAGCCGCAGAAATAGATGTAAACATTCCAGCGGTATGCCGTATCGAGACAATTGGTTCAGAACAAAGCCGCTGAGGGAGCAGCCGAGAGGAAGTGACTAAGCCCGAGGCGGACGTTTATGGGGAGTGACTATTAACCACTAAGTTAGTTTCCCTCCGGCCAGTCTTCCTCCTCCGCCACCTCCGCGAAGCATCAACCATCACTAACATGCCAATGTCAAAGAATGCGGTATCCACCGATCCCCGTTTTGATAGAACGCCACCGACTCAGTCTCCCATCCCAACCGTGATTACGAGGACGCTCCCTTTTGCCCTGCCAGAATGGCGTTGCTCGGCATGGTGCCCCGAATGAGGCTTGCCCTGCCAGGCCACCCATCAGGTGCGCCAAATCTCCCAAGGGCCAAGCCAAGCTGAGAGCTCGCCTGGAGGTGTGTTGTGCCTCCCTAACCATGTCGGGTTGGCTCCTCATATGGTCCCTCCAATCTGGCCATGGATTCCTCTCAGGTGGCGCAACTACATCTGCAAGTGAACACGAAGGGACAAATAGCCGGCCTTGTACCCATGCTAGGCGTCCAGGGCCTGGGCTCAATCTGGACGCTACCCCATAATCACGACTGAATCCAGAACCCGCCCAACGAGGTGTTGCGAGGAAAAAACAAAAAGGCCTGCAACCCAGCCCTGCGGCCGTTGGCACCGATTCTGCGCCGCGCTCCCCGTTTTCTTTTTTCTTCCTTTCCTCAATCTTCAACAGCAATCTTCAACAGTTAAACGCTCCAGGTTTGCTGTTCCGTGGTGCTGTTTGCGAAAAATCGCTCCAACACCAGCCGTGAGCTTTCTCCGCATTAAACCCTTGTGGGGGTGGAGAGACTACAGGGACCAGCAGCCATCACCATCTGTTAGTTGCGACTGACAGGCCTCGGACCCCTATCATACCAAGAGCTCTCGGCGGTTGGTTCCGATGAGGTTCTCAACAAGCATCGCCCTCGCGGCGCTGCTCGCAAACGAGGCAGCCTCTCAATCGGTTGTTTCCACTAGCTTCAAGAGAATTCAATTTCCTCCGGATTTGGTACAAATCACCCGTCGCGATACCATTGATCTTACAGCCATCAACAACATCACCGGTGGCGGATATTACTCCGAGGTGGAAGTGGGCACGCCAGGCCAAAAAGCGTTGCTACATCTTGATACGGGTAGCAGTGACACATGGATTATCGACAAGCAGGCTGATCTCTGCACGAGTCGGTCCATGCAAAGAACATATGGCACCGGCTGTTCAACAACCTTTGACACGGACAAGAGCTCGACTTACAAGCTCGTCACGAGAAATGGCTTCGACATAACTTACTTGGACAGCCGAAATATCCAGGGCGACTACATTTCCGATACGGTGGTCATCAATGGAAAGAAGGTGTCAAACCAGCAGTTGGGATTGGCGATACGGACGGTGAAAGGGACAGGTTTGATGGGCCTGGGCTTCACAAAGAACGTGGCCACACGGCGCTCCTATCCGACCATTCTCGACAACATGGTGTCGCAGAAGGTCATTGGTCGCAAAGCCTTCAGTCTCTGGCTGGTACGTGATTCCAACCACAATTCACTGGTGTACCCGCTGACTTTTGATTATAGAATGACCTGACTTCATCAGAAGGAACGCTGCTCTTCGGAGGAATCGACACGGAAAAGTTCATTGGGTCGCTCACAACGCTGCCTCTCGTCAACGATTACCACTCCGGTCAAATGACCAGCTACAGCGTGGCTATGACCGGAGTATCCGTCGAGAGCCCAGACGAGAAGAAGCTGGAGTTGGCGACCAACACCTTCAATGCTTCGACCGTACTCGATTCTGGATCCACGGTGTGCCTGCTCCCAGACAGTCTGACCAAACAGATCTGGGCCAAGTACGACGTTTTCGACGCGGGCTACGGCTTCGTGGACTGCAAGTGGAGAGGGCCGCTCGGCGCCGACCACTTTGTCGACTTCCAATTTGACGGTGTCAAGATTCGAGTCCCGTTGGAAGAGATGGTTCTTGACAACCTCGGCCCCATCATGGATGAGATCGGGGGTTTGCTCCCGTTCACCAACCCCTGCATGTTCGGCATTCAGAGCGGCGCGACCTTTGACGTCACAAGCAGCAGATTCGCCCTCTTGGGCGACACGTTCCTGCGAAGCGCATATGTGGTGTATGACGAGACCAATCACCTGGTCGGTATTGCACAGGCAAACCTGAACACTACCCGTTCAAACATCATCGAGCTACGCGCAGGTGAGACCACCCTGCCGAAGGCGACTGGCGTTGCGAGCCAAGTAACGTCACCGGCTCCGACGCCGACTCGGACGGTTGGCGGAGGCCTCAAACCTGGTGAAACAGAAACAGCAGGAACAACAGCAGCTTCTGTCACGCCGACAGCAAGCGAATCCTCAAATGCTGCGGCCCGACATGGCGCGGCGCCTCTGGGGATGGAGGGGTTCATCATGATGGCACTTACATCTATATTTGCTGTCGTTGGCGCAGTCTTTATGGCTGCCTGAACATATTTATAATTCGAAGCTTAATAGTATAATGTATGAAACTAATATACCCAAAATATTAGCACTACAAGAGGGCCAACGACTTTGAAACGAATTAGTATCGTTAGAATGGGCCCTCGGCGCAGACAAACCTCAATTTTAATCACGTTTACACGCAATAAGCTCCTCACCACCCCCTAGTGACTAGGCATGATTCAGGCTCCTATATAAAATCCAGAGTGTAGTGGTTAAGCTCAAGCTTTTCAACGGATACATGTGGAGCGGATACACCCGATGGGGAAATTTTTTTTTCAATGCGCTTTTTCGTCACTTGTACCGAGCGGCTGGCTTTTCACTCACATCTCATCCCGAACTCGGCTTCGACCGCTTCCCCCATTGACTCACATTCCCACTCAGTCGTACGGACCACAGGGATTGTAGATATCACTCGAACCGCGTCCGCTTACTAGTCCTTTATTCCCTTTCCTCTCCTTTCTCAGTCACAACAGCTAACGAAAAAGCCTCTTGGCTCTGTGCCCCTCACCACTCACTCACTTTACCCCTCTACCCCTCCAAACCCCACCCACTTTTACACCACCATCATAATGGCGACCGACCGTGTTACCTCCGTCGACCTGACGGGCGTCAAGAAGATCGGCCAGGGCAAGGTCCGTGATGTTTTTGAGGTGGACGAGAAGACGCTGCTCTTCGTCGCCTCCGACAGAGTGTCCGCTTTCGATGTCGTCATGAAAAACGGCATCCCCGACAAGGGCGCCATCCTCACCCACGCCTCGGTAAAGACCGTCCCCGTCCGCTCACTTGCAGTGCAGCGCTTCCCCAAGTTCAGCCTTCTTTTCTGCAGAATGCCGAATTGCTGACCACAAAAAAACCTTCTCCAGGCCCACTGGTTCAAGGTGCTGACGGACCGAGTCCCCGGCCTCAAGACCCACTTCATCACCCTCGACCCCCCGGCCGGCCTTCCCGCCGCCGACGCCGCTCTCATCAAGCACCGCGCCATGCAGGTCCGCCGCCTCAAGGTTGTCCCTCTCGAGGCCATCGGTATGTCTTAATCGTACCCTCAGAAATTTAAAATGTTGAAGTTCTAACAATCTACCCCAGTCCGCGGCTATATCACCGGCTCCGCCTGGAACGAGTACAAGTCCAAGGGCACCGTCCACGGCATCAAGGTGCCCGAGGGCATGCAGCAATCCCAGGCCTTCCCCACGCCTCTCTACACGCCCAGCACCAAGGCCGAGCAGGGCGAGCACGACGAGAACATCCACCCGGACGAGGCCGTCAAGCTCGTCGGCGAAAAGTACGCCAAGCGCGTCGAGGAGCTCTCGCTGCAGCTCTACACCGCCGCCCGCGACTACGCAAAGGAGCGCGGCATCATCCTCGCCGACACCAAGTTCGAGTTCGGCGTCGACCCGGACACCGACGAGATCATCCTCGTCGACGAGGTCCTCACCCCCGACAGCAGCCGTTACTGGCCCGCCGACAAGTACGAGATCGGCCGCGACCAGGAGAGCTTCGACAAGCAGTTCATCCGCAACTGGCTCATTGAGAACGGCCTCAAGGGCAAGGAGGGCGTCACGCTCCCCGAGGAGATTTGCCTTGCTACTGCGGAGAAGTACAAGGAGGTGTTTTTCAAGTTGGTCGGTAAGAGCTTTGACGAGGTTGTTGCGCAGGCGTAGGCTTTGGTGACGGTGGAAAAAAACGAAAAAGAAATCTTTGGTTAAATGGGTGTCGTTGGGTACTAGCGGGTAGATCTTGGGTCCCCGGAGATGAGACACACAAAATATAGAAAGGAATCTAAAATATTAAAGTTGAATTATCTTGAGGTTGATGGTGATGAGCTGCCTTTGCATTTGCTAATGTCCCTTGCGTTTACTCGGGATTTACACTGATGATGTGATTTATAATTCGCAAGATCTATAAGAAAGAGATGTCTGGATCATGTGAAAGTGTTTGGCAAGCTGCCTATCAGTCATGAAGACGCCGAGGCATCATACTTGGCCACTGAAGGTGAAACGAGTCCTTCCAAATATTGTCACTCCAAAGTACGTGAAGTTTTAAGTGCGTCGGCTGCCCCTTTTCTCACTCATCTCAAACATTATGAGGCACAACGTAACTCATGAGCACAAGTTTACCAGAAAAGCGTGATTTTAGGGTGAAGTTTTTTCCGTAAAGCACTCAAAGCGCATAGACGAGCCTAGCTTCGGGAAGAGTGGCCTTATGCTCAAGAAAACAGATGATTCAACCGTAGTGGTCTTACAACTTCACCTGGTTTTCGTCACTCTTATCTTATTGGCCCTTCTGACTCTGTTGTATTACTTCATTTGAGGTTCCTTGGATACGTAGAGGTACGTTCATGGAGGTATTGACTTGTGTCTGAGTGGAACAGAGCCTGTTGTGTTTATAATCTTCATCCTATCCCAGCACCTCTGCCTTGCGCAACTACGACTTTCTCAGCACAAAGATCGTGGAGTAGACTAGCGACCACCGAAGCACACAAGGCTGACAGGGGACCAGAAGTAGCGTACTGCTCCCTGGGGCATAGTTGATAAAATTACATGATGCTAGACTCACAATGAACGCGCCCGGTCTTCACCTCGGTCACGATTCGTTTCTAACATGTAGTCAGACCAAGCCGGATAAGTGATTACTATAATTGGTGAGGAGGCGCGATTGTGTCGAAACTCCTTCGAGAGCACTTCAGAGCGTATGCGATGATCGGAGCTAGACAAGTTACAAGAGCTCAACTTGAGCCTAGTTTATGAGGAGAGTTGGTTTGAGGTAATGATCAGCTTGAATGAACATATGATAGAGCTCTTTGCATCTCAAATAATTAAATGGTGTCAGTTTTTTTCATAAGAGTAAGCACGGCAGGGAACACAGCAAAAAGCCCCAAGGGGATGTACCGGTTTGACACCGTCTGCGACGAATATCAAGTGAACAGCTTGGAGCGACGTTTATTTCCTGCATTTGAACTTTTCTACTTCAGTTGCCCTTTCAGCCTCAATTAACTGATTTGAAACAACAGAAGTAAGCAAGTATTCATATTGACATGCCGAGGAGTAGTCGCCAACTTGAGGTTGAGCGCCAGTTCGTTGTTCCTCTTTACGAGCGTCCTGCCGAAAGCCTTGCCAACACAGCAGAGGTTAACGGAAGCTTTAAGAAGTAACAGAAGCGACAGAATGTGTTCTTTGATATTAGCATCCCGCTGGAGCTATTGGACTCACACTATGATCAACTTTCTATTCGAACCTTCTTCACATTGACCATTGGTGAAGGGATGGCACCCATTTCTTTTTTTGGAAATCCTAGCCCTTGAGGAACGTCAACGGCCTGATTAAATGGCGAGGCTCACCGCAAATAGCTTACAGAAGCACAAGAAAATTGTGCCACCGGGCTTTGCTGTTTTGATGGCCCTCACTTGGTTTTGAAATTTCTGGCGTGAGGGCTGCCATCACGAAGGGAAAAGTTCGGAGAGTAGCTCTGACTTTGGTCTAAGTTCACTATTATTACTCACAACCGGCAAGAAGCCCCAGCAGACCACACAAATTTGCCAACACCCGTCCTACTATGTAAGAGTAATTAAACAACTCTTCCAGCCTCTATGACAACTGTAGTTGTTGATGGCAAGACTATACCTGCCCCAGATCCATGTAACCCAGATCGATACATCGCCAGAGAGCGATTGCATCACGGGAATAGGCCGAGTTCTTATTGCTACTAACACACCCGGTCGGTTGCCGCGGGGAGCGACCACGAGCATCAGACCTCATCCTTAATCTCCAGCTGATCGCAAGCTTCACCACCAACGAACACATGTGTAACTCTGGTAAACCAAAATGCGTCTCACATATCGTTCACACCCCCTAGTGCACATTTGTGCTTCACCAATGCTCATACCAACCCCTTTCCCGTCATACATCCTTGAGGGAGAGTTCATTTCCCCGGAAACCCCAATTCGGTCACAAGTCTCACTCCCAGCCACATCAAACTTGTGCAGTGAAGCCGCAATCCGTTCAAAGGAAAACAAGTCAGCTCGACAAAGCGTGTAGTCTACAATCTGCCAATTCTGAATCCGCTGTCAGAATAACGTTGCTGCCCCCGGCATCTCGTCAACCCGACACAGTCAAGATAGAGACAAAAGCCTGGCGCAGATTTACCCGCACACTCTCCCCAAGGGTTCATAATGCAAACGAACGTAGGGAATAAGCACATACGACCATACCTTCCAGAAAACTCGGGATCCCGTCCGCTCTCCCATAGTCAAGCTGGAAAGGGCCGGACTAGTACTCAGGTCGGTGACGACTGGGGAATCCCTGGTGTTGTATGTTTTTTGTTGCATGATTTTTGCTACATTTTGATTTGACGCCTTCAAAAGCTGTAAGTGTGAAGAAACATGAGTTACAGTTTGTTTGCTATTGACGGCTTGTTGGATTGCTGATCGAAGCCTGATCAGCTTCAAAAACTGGGACCGAACCTCCTTGGTCCTCTAATCCCGTTGGCCGCGGAATATCATTACACTTCGGCACTCGTACAGCTTTGGCCAGGGAAGGTTAACCCATTCCAGTCTAGTCCACTAATTCGTTCTTTTAAGTTTGCTCATTGGAACTCAGGAAAGCGCTCGTAGACCTCGTTCTCATCTGCAACACTAGTATGAAGCGTAGATGGCTGAATTGGTGCTCCAATTTTACGTGTCCTACAGCTCAGCCTGATTCCCGGCCAACGGCGCAATCGGTGCCGTGATGCCCCCAGGTAAAGGCTACTACTTACTTGCAATGGGAACAGTCTCGCTTGCATTCAAGTGTCTAGTCCCCTCTGTCATGAGGAATGTATACAGCCCAAGCTGCCCGCAGGGAGGCTGGTCGACATGCCTCCGCGGGTGTTGCGGGCATTCGGGCAGTTCGGTCACAGCCGTTTAATCGTCCGGCCAGTACACATTCCACACGATGGAGGGGCAGCGGCCACACTCAGCAATGAATTATGTCCTATTCTTTCAGAGTCTCTCTACAAATACAAGGCTCCTATCCCCTCAGCATAATTCTTGATATGCTTCCCTTATCAAAAAACAACATCTTTCCTCACAAACTTCCTTGCCCTGTCCGTTCTCCTTCGAAGAAGTCAATCACGTTCAGCTAGTGAACGTAGCAGAACACGGTGATAGTTGAGTCTTCCACCACGCCCTGGAGCACCAGAAGACGAGACGCTTCGTACGGAAATCGTCGGGTCGAAGTCGAGAAAAGCAAAATGAAATGCCGCCAAAACGAAACACAGTATGCCATGCGATGCTGACCATTCATGCCATGCCCGACCGCCAGTTGCCGTGCCCGCCTGCAGAACCAACCATCTCTCGTAAACATTTCTTATTTTTGTTGCAAAGCTCGCCGAATTGTAATGCCAAACATAAAAATTAGTCGTCAAGTCGCGCTTGAGAAAGTCCAACAATGTCTAGAACGAGGGCAATCTAAGTGTGCCCTTTGCCTGCAAGCTAACCTCCTTGTGCCAAAAACCGGCAACGAAGTAGGATTGCAGTTTTTTCCCATACGCAATGTCCATTATTGCTGATGCCACACGACACCCAGGGTACAAAAGGTAAGTGCTCGCAGAGGAAATTTGTGTGCTCGTTGATCTTATTTCATGCGCTCTCACAGGAATTTGTAAGCTGTTGTTTAGTCTCTGTACTGTGCTGTGCCGCCGGTGGATGATAATTAAGCAAGCTTGTCAAGTGCTGTTTGTCCTTGGGCCCATTGAGGCAATCGGAGCAACGCCCGTGGCGACACCTGTCGTTCATTCGTCCAAATCGAAAGGGAAGATCTAATGCCGTCCAACCTGACTGTTGCTGGCACGGCTACGCTCATCATCCTCTTCCATAACATCACTAAGGCGCGTCGGGTGATGATGTCTGGGAACGGTCTCCCAGCCCGGAGCGGCGTAACCCGCGCCAGAGTAGTCTTGATTCACTTGAGATTGCTGGCCGCCGGCCGAGGTGGTCGGGGTTTGTAAGTAGCCGGCGCTAGGAGGGTTGGTCGCGGGAGTCTCATACTCTTCTAGACCTTCGTCAGAAACTGGGGAAGGCGGTGCAATGAAGGGAACCTTGTTTCCATGGGAATCGCGAATAAACTGGCCCTGTCCATCAATAGCGTACTCACCTTCACTGTAACCGCCTTCAGAGCCAGCACCTGTGTAGGTCACACCTTCCTGCCCTGCCCCGCCAGACTGGTAAAAGTTGCCAGGGCTCGAACTGGCGGGCGGGTTAGCAGGCGCCTGGGGGTAGTCGCCCGTGTAGCCGGCCTGCTGGCCGGTGTAGTCGGACTGGTAACCGCGCTGCTCGCGAGAGCTGCCGTGACGGCTCGGAACGCCTTGCGTCATGGGGACGACCTGGACGCCGCCGACAATAGTGGGCTGGCCGCTCTGCAGCGACTGGGTTCGCTCACGTTCTTCGTGCTCACGGCGTCCGAGTTCCTCCCAGGCGCGGCGTGCCTCCTCCTTGGAGATCTGAAGCTCCTTCCTCATCTCCTTGACGCGTTCATCGTTAGCAGAAGTTTGGCGTTCCTTCTGGATAGCGGCCTGGACAGCGTTTTCTCTAGCACGTCTTTCCTCTTCAAGGGCTCGCTCCAGCATGGCATTGACTTCCTGAGATCGCTCTAGTTCGGCTCTGGTCTCGAAGAACCAGCGCTGGAATTTGCGCTCCGAACTAGCGCGAAGGCGTTGGAGCTCAACAACTGCGTGGAAAAGGTTGGCACCGGCAGCGGTAAGATCAGTTACCTGGCGAGAGAGGGCCTGGTTAACAGGGTCGCGGTCAATATCCTGGTTGTTCTGCTCAAGACGTCTGATCCAAAAGCTAGTGAGGCCCTCCCAGTGGGCAGACAAGGTCTCCCAGCGTTCGAATGCATGGGGGAATGAATTCCTGGGTCGGGAACCAGCAGTGATGCTTGACTCCTGGCCTCCCTGGGTGATGGAAGTCGAAGGCTGCTGAGTTGTGCTGGCCTGGGGGGCGGTGCTATACTGTTGCTGGGCGGCCTGCGAAGTCGATGACGCGCGGGCTGGTCGAGTCTGGGTCTGTGATGTGGTGGGCTGGCGGGAGCTCCCTCCCGCAACAGGCCGGGATTGTGGGGTATCGGTGGCTCCGGTGCGCCGTTGAGAGGTGGGGGGGTCCTGTTGAGGTACGTTGGCAGCGCCAGTAGCGGCGGCGGCGGTGGCGGCAGCTCGGCGCTCCGCATTCCGTCTTTGGGTCTCCTCCAATAAACGAGCTTCCTGTTCAGCTCGTTGTCTCTCCACCTGCATCTGCTCCTGCTCAGCTCTCTGTCGGGCGGCCTCTCTGGCAGCTCGCTCCTGCATGATCATTCTAGGACCACGAATGCCGGACGGCGAACTGGTTGGATTGGGTGCGCCAGTCGGACGCTGGCGAGTCGACGTGGACGCATTGCCATTGGACGCGGCGGTGCCGCCTCCGATAAGGTCAGCCATGGATGCGCCTTCCTCGATCTCGTCGGGCGTGAACGGGTGGGGCTGTCGGAGTGCTTCCTCAAGGGCGAAGAGGATGGCGCTGCGGGTGTTTCTGGAGACGCGGTGAGGGCGGTGAGACTCACGTCTTTTAGTGGGAGAGGAGGATGATCTATCTCGGTATGACGGGGCTTCGTCTGAGGACTCTTCGTTCAAGTCCTCACTCAGATCCTGTGAGAGGACTCTTCGGGCACGCGAGTTTCGTCTGTCTTCGTGAGCCACCAGTGGGGGATAGTTGTAGTTGAGCGTAGGTGCTGGCGCAAGGGCTGGTGCGGGGGCAGATGCAGTCGCAAGTTGCGGTTTGGGACTGAAACCAAGCGAAGCGGCTTCAATGTGCACTTGGCGCGTTGACTGGGGCGTGGGACTCGGGGTCGCTTCGAATCGTGGAGTACGACGAAGAGTGCGATGGGATGAAGCGGGAGTGGACGGTCTCTCAGCTGGATCTGGGGTGTTGGTTCGCGCTTGCCTCCGCTGCTGCTGGCGCTGGGAAGGGGTCGTGAGTTCGTGAATTTCGTGACGGTCGTTAGAGGGCGTGATGGGAGTGGGATTCGTCAACTTTGCGACGTTGGCCAGGTCACTTCTATGACCTGGAGTGGACAAGGTGAAAATCTCACCACCCAGGTGGTGATTAGGAGTTGTCAACGTGTATGACAACGCAGGTGAGTACTAGAGAAAATCTGTGAGACGCTGATCGAGGAGTTAGCAAGTACCGAAGGGTGGCACCCCGTGTTGGTGTGGGCTTGTCGGGGGGTAACACTGAGAAGGGGGGGGAAAATAAAATAAAAATAGGTGAGGCTGGAGGGAACATGGGGACAACTCACATAGTTGGGTGGTATTCCTGATAATGGAGTACAGATACCACACTCAAAAAAGTGAATTAATGAAGGCGGTCTGCGCAAGCGGGCAGGATGCTGCTCAACAGAGAAGAACTGAAAACCGGAGATGTAAGGATCCTTTGGTAAATTGCAAGGAATAAGGTGATGAGAGTATGTTGCCCAGCTAGCAGAAGGTCGTAGCGGAGGAAAATGGGAGAGGTTGGCGTCAGATAGAAAAAAGAGGTGGCTAGGCGAAAAGGCGGCTTTGGGGGCGACCAGCGGGAAACGAGCGGAAGATTGGTCGAAGCGCGCCTGTGGGAGGATAAAGCGGAAAGCAGATACCAATTGATGATGTCGTGTGTAAATAGATAGAACCGATTGGACCTGCAATTGTTGAAACAGCCACTGCAAAGTGACCACTGGCTTTTTTGGTTGCTGCTCCGATTATCGCTTGTTATTGTCGCGACGCAGATTTTTGGTGGTTGAGTGAACAGAGTTGGGTGAAGATGCGTGAGAGGGAAAACGCGTTGCCAAAGTAGGAAGGAACACCTGCAAATTGCGCGTGGGGGAAAAAGAAAAAGAAAAGCACAAAAATGAATGCGCTATTGTTTTTCTCAGTGATGCTGTCTTGCCGTGAGAATTAAAATAAAGTAAAAAAATCCTCAAGCAAAGGCAGGTGTGGTCAATTAGGGAAATAAGCACTTTCCCAGGTTTACACACCTTCCTTCAGTTTCAGTCAACTCCAAAAAATGAAGGAAGTAGAGGGCATCACGTAGGAAACCCCAAATGATGGAAGATACGACAACCTAAAGAGGGAGGGGCGGGATTGGACTTGCACCTGCTTTGGACTGGGCCTCGAAGGTTGGGGGATGCTCGGGTTCTGGCAGCTGCTGCACCATCCACAGGAGCTTTTCTTAGTGGACAGCCAACACTGCACAGCAGAATAACCTGAAGAGCCCAACAAACCAGCCAAGCGACCTAGGAAGAACGCCTTCCAACTTCCACCTCACCTCGAAATGGTTGTGTTGTGTCCCGATCTTGTCTCGGGTTGCCCTGGGAGGTGCTCGTCCTCCACAACCACGGCAATAGAGTCAGTGCCGTACAGGAGAACGGTAGCACCGGACTGGACCGGTTGGTGGACGCTACTTTGTTATCTTGAGCCAACACGGACGGACCTATGGCAGCTCACCCAGCAACACCTCCGCCATCCGACCTTGTCACAATGATATTGTCAAGGTCATTGACGGGTGAATTGATGGGAGGGCTCAGAGTCGCGCGAGAGAGAGAGTATTGTCGAGGTTGGTAAGATGGCAAGATCAGGGTCCTGGTAGGATGGTTATGATGCAAGTATTTTCACCAGACGAGAGAGAGCAGGGCAGAAACAACGGGGACGTGGATGGGGATACCCATGGATGGGACGGGTGACGGGTTTTAATTGTTTCGGCAGGGTACTGGCACCGTCCCCAACCCATCATCTCGCGTCGTGTATTATTACAATGGCGGAGCATCTTACCTGGCCTTGTGTGAAGGTCGGTGGTCGGCAGCTTGGATACGGCAGGTCAATGGAAAGGGGAGCCGTCCCAGAGCTCGTCAAATCACGGCCTGCAGCAAATTTGCAGCGTCTTGCAGCTCGCCGACAAGGGACAACACGTACATTTAGATGCGCGCCATGTGGATCAACGAGCTGGTTCCTCTTGCGCCGCCAACTGCAGAGCTGGCTCGAAAAAAAAAGACTGCTGCTGCATCTGACGGGATCGAGAGGTCTTATCAGCGTTGTGTTAAGTCTGTTCGGTGCATGGCTCTCCCAGACATAGTTGCCATTGCGCGCATGGGAATCGTAGTTACACAGACCAGCTTACCACGGCAGGTGAAATCATCTATCTGCCAATCGAGGCCATGCGTGAGCTGTCCAGGAACATCCCTCTAGCTCCAAAGGAAATCCCTTTGGCAAAGAGACTCGGCGCAAGATGAGCTGACACTCGTCCGCCAGGCATTGGGTTCCAATTAGGACGGATAGGCTGGCTGGCGACCTGAAAGTGCGACCAAGGAGGAAATTGGAGCTGCTCGCCTCACCTGTTCTGTGGTCCATTGACTGATGAGCCGTGACAGGGGAGAGGCCTGCTTCTTTGAACAAGTAAGCCAGTGGAAAAAATGGGGTGGCTGGGGATGGTGGTGGATGTGTGAGCCGTAGTTGCGACGGCATGGATCTGGGTGTGGGCGGAAGCCAGCCCGGCCGGAGCAGGAGAGAAAACACAGAGCACAAAGCCCAGCCATTTCCACAATTCCCACAATCTGTTTGGTTGGAATCGGCCGAGCCTGCATTGGCTCCGACCGCAATCGCGAATCTGGACGTAGACAAGGCGCATTCTCACTCGCCCATGATGCGATGAAATGAGAAGATTGCAGGCGGTGAGAGTGAGAGTGAAGGTGAGAAAGGTGTGTGTGAGTGTGAGTTGTCACTGCGTAGTGACGAAAGCCCGCCCGCAGTCGCCAATCACCCGCAAGTTGGCCCTCCCCCCTTCTTCAGCGATCCCGATGGACTGGTTTGCGCCCAGGAAGCCCCCGTCTTGAGCACTAGCCAGGAAGGGTCCAATGGTTGAGGGCAATCAGCGGGGGTGAGTGGGATGTCATACGTATCTGGTCTTGGACTGAGTGAGTCCTCAAGACTGTGATGTGAGAGGAGTTACCAAAGGTTATCGGGGGGCTGGCTCCCGTGGTTCAGATTATACTGACCAGGCAGTATTCGTACATATTAGAATGTCATCTTTACATCATGTAGGGTCTAATGTAGGTCATCCACGCCAGGCAAGGCATTTGGTATACTGCGCGACCTGCATAGGGGCGCTCATCCGTCTCTCCTGTTTCCGCCTCCCGGCATGCCAGATGCCGGCTGCATAGTACAACGGACTGGCATAGAAGACGAAGGGACGATATCGAAGAAAATGAAAAGCGGCAAAACACATCAAAGACAGGCGCACAGATCTCTGTCTCTCAGCTTTGACTATCAAGGCGTACTTGGGTGACAAAGCCGTATAGAATAATCAAGCAAACCATGACCCCAACCCTCGACCTTTCCCAAGCTTTCACCCAACCCTCTCAGCACAGACTAGCTCCTTCTCATTGTGAGAGAAAAAAAAAAAAAAAAAAAAAAGCCCGGACCTGCCAGTTCAAGGGGGGCCCCGTGCTGATGTGGAAGCTTTGGGTGTCAAATTTGGAAAGAACGGGTCGCTCCCGACGAGTGCCCCCTGTCCCTTGAACAGGTCTTCTGAGCCAATCAGAGTCCGCAATGGGCCACACTGTCCATTAAGCTCACAATCACCGCGTGTGTCTGAACCACATACATCACCTTTTGACACTGAAGCATTTTACCAAGTTTACGACTCCTCTTTCTGCCATGCGTCAACGAAACAATAAGCCTCATGTTTGATTTGGGGGCCAACATTTTGGGGGCCAAGGATCACGATTCTTCGAGTTCAACGATGCGCCGACTAATTACCCAAAAAATGAAGATTTACATCCAGCATCCAGGTCAATCCCTTCTCGGCGCATCTGGTCAACACTGCCAGCGGGCACAAGCAGGCACCCTGTTTGGGGAGCCGTACTAAGAAAATCTTTCAGGTCCCAGATGAAGATACCCCTCCAATGAGGGCTTCCGGGCTACTTCGACCGATGTCTTCAGATACTACCAGGCAGACAGACAGGGCCCGTCTTCTCTTCCGATGGCCTTGCCGTCAAACACACTGTTGAATCCAAAAGCTGAAGCGTCTTAATGTTTGAATACGTACTGCCATAATTTCCTGACGATCGGCGATCTGACTTCAGTCCGCCCTTTCTTCACAAGGAATACACAGTGGCATGGGAGGGCAGCGCGCCGACAACCACCGCCTATGAGCCATTATGAGGGCTTTCAGTGACCACAGCTTACCCCGCAGCTCAATATAATCTGCGTTGAATGGGATAACTTGTCTGAGGTATCCCTTTGCGCATGCGGTCTTCCAGTTATTCCGGCTCGACAAGCTGCGTACTCGTATGAAACAAGCGGAAGGAAAAACACCAATGGTGAAGGATCACAGGGAGAAATCAGGAGTTTGGTCCCTAGGGGACCTCAAGGACCCTAAAAACCTAAAAGGGGGCTCATCTCGATCGCTCCCTCAGCCCAAAGGACTGAGAACACGATGTTGCAATTTGGGGTCAATCTCTCAGTCACGGCCAGACTGCAGCCCAAAGCGCATCGAGCGAAAGGATGGTAAAGTTGCTTGCTTCTTCGCGGACTCCCTTGCATGTGGCAGTTCTCCACAGTCTTACGTTGTGGGAGAGCTTACAAAACGCCTCAGAACGCAAACGCATCCCTGGCTCGCAAAAGCTAAGTAGGACTCTAAGTATGCCAGGGGCGATCATCCCCTGTCGATCGGCCGGTTCGGCTCATCCCCCTCATCGAATTGTCTGGTCAACGAACCGAAGAAACCGCCATCTTGCATGGGAAAGCGCTTTGGAAGGGACCGTTTATTCTCGATACCCTGAACCGCTTGTCATCCTAGCTTTGGATGATCTCCCGCGTCTCAAAGACTGGGAATATGGCCATCAGGAAGTGTGCTTGCATGCTAGACCTGTTGAACATACGCTGACACCCACTGAACATCGTTCTTATTGCACTATGCACGAAGAGTATTTACCGATAAATGTCATCAATTTTTATGGTGTATGCTTGTAAAAGCGCCTTCGACGGTAGGAGGCGTATGGCAAACGGCATGACGTAAAAGGGAAATTGATGAGGCTCCTGCCCCTGTCAAGGCTTTTCCACGTTTGCAACACTCAATCTCAGCCATGCCTCTTCGGCTCAGTCTGCGTTTGTACGGTATCCGTAATCCGATCGATCGAACCACGCATCAGCTGTCCTGTCATCCGGTGGCGGCCGTTGCTCTGGTACGCCGCATATCTGCGCATTGCAATAGCCGGCAGTATCAAAACATGGGGGCCGCAGAATAAGATTGCCACCAAACAAACAGAACCAAGGGAACGTGCTTTCCGTCATTTACCGTTGTGGCCACTGAAAGGGCTTACCCGTTCTCCAGCCGGTGTCTAGAAAGGAGAGCCACCGCAAAACGGTGATCTATACATTAGGAACAAGATCGAGATCTCGCTTGAGGCTGAAGAGGGGAAGCCCCCCTGTCTTGGGCAGGGCCCTTGTGACAGCTGGTGCTGAGTCCGTCTTTATGATTCGGAGCGAAACAACCACGCCACTCACTAATACCACCTGTTTACTGCTCTGTCGAATTTTCAGCTGTTCGAAAAGAATTCTAATAAGAACATAATGCCCAGAATCCATCATCACACAGGTCCTTTCAGTTGTTTGTTTAGCTATTTTTTCCAATTGTGGTTTCGAAATATCGAGCCAGGAAGCTCTGGCAAATCTAGGCCATGCCTTGCACATTTACGCTTGCGCCCTCGCGAGTCGAGGATGGTACCTGACACCACAGTGGCATATTCGGCACAGAGGGCAGTACCCGTCGCCGTGGAAGTAAGACACCGAAGAGGTCGACGCATTCCAGCCGCTGGCTTCCACATGAAAATTTCCCCTCAACTTTCTTGCTTTTTCACTTACCTCTAGCTAGTGCGGCTTCACGTCTAGAAGCTGGCAGCTACAGGGAACCAGAACCGGATGTTTGCAAAAGAAGGGTCTCGATTTTCTTAGTGGAAGATTCGAATCAAACGGCAAGGCTGAGAGCGAAGGCTGATGCTCTCGGCAAGATGTTGTCTTCTTCCCTGCGTAGAATGTCGAATACCGCAGAAAGCATGTTTCCCCCTTCTTACCCGCAGCAGGTCTCTCCGGAAGGAGCAATCGTGATGGCCTCTCTTTTCTGATCGATTCAGGAGATTTTTCTGCTCATCATAAACGACGGACCAACGAGAGTTGCCAAAAGCGCGTTTGTAACTACATTACGGGAGCTTCAGCAATGTAGATACCCAAGTCATACCCTTTTGAGGCAGCTCTGCATTCCGTGGGGACGGAACTCGCCAGCAGGCAGCGTGCCATTCCTCGAGAGCCGTCGAGGCCCTCAGCTTCCGACGTCTACCGACTCCGCACAATACACCGGGCACTTTCTCCGACTCGCTTACGGATCCAATTAGTCTTAGTGCCGTTCGATCCCGAGTGTATGTAGTGGATGAGGGATGTCCCCTAAGTGAGGAATGTCTGAGAATTGCAGGGGATGGTCTGGTTGTCATAATCAGCCACCAAGTGGATCCAAGCTCACGGCGAGGCACAGAGGATGGAGACCAAGACAACATGCTGCATATTTTGTTCTGCTGTTGTTGTTGGTCGTTTGGTTTGAAAGGCATCTGATTCGTGTTGATGGAGGGCCATGACGATGAGGCATACATAAGTTTAATTGTGGCAGGGAGACATCCTCCAACGGGGCCATTGACGATTTGTGCATATATCATTGCCTCCCCCTTGCCCAACCTCTGGTTCTCTGGCCAATAACTCTTCCGTGGTGTCAGTATACTAGAGCTCTGCAGCAAAGCTTTGATTGAAGCCGTCGTTGCGGACGTTGGCCACAGTCATGTCTGTTCCTTCCGAGGACGTGATCAGGTTTGCACAAGAGCTCGACATGACTAAAGCTTCATATCCATCATCTCGGCCTGCGAGCATGGAACGGCAGACAAAGCTTGCCCATCTGAAGCTCGTCTCAAAGTATTACGGCTGCGCCAACTTCTCATATCCTCGACCAGACGGCACTTCGACTCGCAACCCATACAGGCGAGCTGGCCAGGCCTACTCAACAGAGGACCTCAACCAGGACTACAACCCTGACTTGCTGTGCCCCGAGACCCCAACTCGACGAGATCGCACATCAATCGGCTCTCAGAGCTCGGACGGGTCAACACCCAGCCTCATTGACGACCGTACTGACTCTGAAGTCTCACTTGACGACGATTATCAGTATCACGCCTCTGCCTCTCAGCTGTGGGACACCTTTTGGCAAGCCGAGGAAGGCCCAAGCCAAAAGACCCCAGAGAAATCCAAGACTCAGTATCCCGCCTTGATTCCTTCACCACATATTAGAAGAGCCAAGAAGGCGGGCCGCATCAATTACGAGGACTATCCATTACCGCCCCGGCCGGTGGAGTACAACATCAAAGTCAACCACCCAGCCCCTCCTCCCAAAGACGACTCTTTGACGCAGATGCAGCCACAACCAGCCACGAAAGAGGCACAGGCTCCTCTGGAACCTCGAGACTTTGTGGTCTCGGAGGAGTCTCGTCATCCTTTCCCAGGTCCCCGACGCACCGTTCGTGCTGTCCGCTCGTCTTACTGCCTCTTCCCACGCACCCAATCACCGGTGCCGAGCTACCCGCCGCCTCCTCCTCCACGCCTGCCGACTCTTCCAAAAACCAAGAGCTTGCGCAGAGGTCCACGGCCTCCACCAATTCACCTTTACTCTCTGCCCGTCCCAGCTGCAGCTCCCCTGCCTTCTCCCGCTACCGCATCACTTTACACACCTCTGTACTCACCCCCCTTCTCCCCTGTGCCGTCTCTACACACCCGGCCGCACACATCACAGGGGAGCTATATCTCCTCCGTCATCGACTTGGTCCAGCCCCGCTCCGCCCCTCTCCCCTCTGAAATCCCCGAGTCGGACACCCCCCGTGGACCGGAGATGCCGAAGTCCTTCTTTGACTTTGACTCGGACTCGGAGTCAGATGATTCGGAGCCGGAACATGCCATTTCTCGCCTTGTCAAGAACCTGCATATGCGCAACGCCAGCGACACAAGGCGAGGCGCCGCTAAGGCGTCTGCAGCCGCTGACTCTCAGCTGCGGCGTGCGCGTGGCGATGCCGAGCCCGAAAGAGAGGCGGACAGCCAGATGCTGTTCGACAAGCACAAAAGGAGCGCCGCGAGGTTCGGCCGCATGTTTGGACGCGCGGGAGGCAAGCCCTTCAATCTTTGAAGATATGCATGTCCTCCCCTACGGAACATTACGATTGTATCATGGCCCATGAGGGATGGAAACGAAAGTTTAGTCGGCACATGTCCCATTTCTCCGCGAGCGTCAGCGTTTGGCTTCATCTTTTTGAGTTTCTATTCTTTTTCTTTTCTCTTGTCTGTTTGGTTCATATCCTTCTGTCTGTTTTCTATGTTTTTTATTGCTCATGCTTCACGCATTGATGCTTATCATTGTTTATCTGATATTATTATCCTACAAAAGGGAAATGAAAGCAATGGATGGGAGGATTATAGTCAGAGAAAGAGGAGGATGACTAATTTTCCGTAATCTCACGTTTTTAACGGAAAAGCTTGGATGAAAGGGATGATGGGGGGAAGGTGAAAAAAGGAGGTTTGGAAGGGAGGACTGGACTGGATTATTTCACGATTCAGATGGATTCAACGAAGGACGACGACGACATCACGCACAAAACTGGCGAGAGAGAGAGGGAGGGAGAGAGCGGAGGGAGCCATGATGATGCCCTGTTAGGGGTACGAATGAAATGGTTTGGGATGACGAAAAAGAAACAACGGCCTTTGAGCGATTACGACTGCCCTTTTCTGTATGAGCTTACGATACGAACGTACGTGGGCGAGACCGAGGCGGTCGATATACGATGTTTTGCTTGGTTTTGCGTGAGGGGTGGGTCCCGAAGGCTCTTGTCGCGTAGGTAGCTTTTGAGAAATCAAATACGGTAATTTTTGGGAATCACACAAGTGATGGAACTTCCCGTTTTGCCAAGGGGATCATCGTGATCTTTCCTCCCCTTGTGAGTTCCATGTGAAAATTGTGAGAGGTATGGGTTAGGTGTCTTTCCGTGTTTGTTAGTTGTTGCCCCCTCGGAAATCCTGCCGACGAGGGAGAAATGAAGCCTCTTAGGCCGCCTTATCTCCATCCGCGCGCCACTTCAGATTCCTGGCGGGGTCGGAGATAGAAGGGAGCACGTTGCTGGAGCGACAAACCTGTGAGAAGTGAAGTTTTGGCGGCAGGAACGCTGCTGTGGGGAGGAAACTAGAGGCTGGACCGATGACGAGTTTCTGATCCTGAAGTAAGGTTCGCCTAGGAGGAATCAGGCATTCTTTTTTCGAGGTCTGGACTGGGGTCTAGGGATTCGCTTGGTGAGGGATGGTGTAAGCGAGGTTTGAAACGAGCGTGCCTCGTTGACTTAAAAGCATTTGAGCTGTTTCTCTCTTGAGTGATGTCGTCACGTAATGGGAACGTGGAAGGCCGATCAATCGGTGTTCTCGATGATGACGGAGGCGATGCGTTGCGCTGGTGATCGGAATTTCGTGGGTGGATTCTGTGCGTTCCTCGTTTCTGACGTGCGAAACATGTTGGGGATAGGTTTTGGAGTGGGAAGTAATCGTTTGTGATAGTTTCTAGGGTTCCGGGTGTAATCTACGGGATGATTTTGTGCCGAGCTCCCTAGAATATGCCTTCGAGTTGAAGTCGTTGAGTGTTGCTGTTGTCTGGACCAAACGGTCTTCTTTTGGGGATACGGTACTTTGTGTGTGGCTAGTGGGTTGCCAGTCCGTTATTGATACATGAATCTCAAAGCCGTGGTGTTTTGACTATGACAAGACTTTCATGCTGGCGTGTTCTGTTACTGCACCCCGAAATCTTACGGGCTTTGGGTACGGATGTTGCGCATCTTCGGCATATTGGCAAAATCAAGTTCACAGAATCAGTCTGTTCTTTGTACGCTTTGTGTGTCCATGTTCTGACCAGTATTCATAGACAAGCCGATAGTAGAAGAATCACCTACATCTGGATCTACCTAGTGCTGAACACACTCATAAACTTTCTCCCAAGTTTTGGCTGATATTAACTTGGCTGAAGAAGTTTGATTCTCTGTTCTTATAGTACCCGAGAAGCCATTTCGTTCTCCGAATTATACACTGGGTAGTTAGATATTGGAGGATTTGGAACTTTCAACATGATAGCAGTTGGCCTGGGTTCTGGCCTACCTTACCTCACATGGCCGGGATGCAATGACTATTCAGAAATCGTGAGAAGCTTCGAGGTTTCCAAGTGAAGCGCGGTCTACTACCATATGAGGCCTCTTCATTATAATATCCACCACCGCACACCATTTTGTACTTCAGGATCGGCTTGGCCGAAAGGCGTTGCGGCTCATAAAGCGGTACTAAGCCAATAAGGATATCATCTCCCTCACTACATAGGTAGCCCATGCGCGTACATTAAATTCAGCCACTTGGCTGCTGCAATGGTTTATGCTTGACCAGCATTGGTGCATTTACGGTGCGCCAACGTGGCTATGCCTTGCGGCTGGCGCGTGGCGTACCAATCCATTGGTGAAGAAATGATAAAGCCTGTATGTATGCCTAATGATTATTGACCGAGATATCACCCTGCAGCTTCCTAACTCACCAAGAGGGGTTATGTCCCTCACAGCCTCAAGTCTGCCCCTCACTTATGTATTGCTGGACCCAAGTCTATCTCTTTGATATTTGAGCCTGGCTAGACAGACTGAGTCTGAGTCTCTCATTTGACGTACTCAAAGTCTCCGTAAATATTCTTATTCACACTCGCAGCTTCTCATATCTTAGCTCATAGTATTACTTATTGTACCAACTAACAGGTTTGCTCTGGCTGGCGACCATATTTTCTGTCGACTGTTTGCTTCAGCCAACTAAATCTTGCGCAATCACAGTACAAAGTCAATCATGCATTGTTAATCAAACCTGTAATTTTAAAGGACTTCCCGATACTTCATTAACTTAACATGGCCGATAGCGCGGCTGCCAAGGAGCCAAAATCGGGTTGCCTTTCTGTCATTACTTCTTGTTTTCAGCACAAGAAAAGAGCATACCAAGTGACGAAGCTCAAGTCGCACCGAACGAACTGTCAAAAGCGGGAGATGATACGATGCCTCCAACGTCACAAGCCTCGCATGGCTCCAAGTACGAACCAATCCTCGTTTCCAGCGAGTCCACTATCAACCTGTGGTCGGTCGCCTATAAGGAGATTGACGAAGAGACTAAGAACTGGATTGGAGAGTTTGATATGAACTGCGAAGATCGCATCCAGGCCAAGCAGCTGACAATATTGGTGCGGAAGAAGGAGGATTTTTACAAAAGTGAAGAGTCAGGAGTGACGGTCGGCGAGAAAAGGATCCTGTGGAGAGACTATGCAAGCCGAGTTGTGGCAGGGGCGACGACTATCGGGGACATTTCCGTTCAGTTTGCGCCCGCGCCGGCTGCACCCGTCTGGTCGGCCTTGAAGGTGCTTTTGAAAGTAAGCTCCTGGATCCGGACAATTCTGGGAACTTTCTGCTGACAGTCAATAGACCCACGTAGCTCAGTTGGACCAAGTCACTGCCATCCTCGGCTGCGCTGACAGAGTCTTGAGTATAGTTAGACGTGGCCAGGTGTATGAGGTTATCTACGACCTCCGCACCGCAGTAGATCCTTCGGCGGTCGGTTTGAGGGACTCACTTATCAAGCTATATAAGGGATCACTGGAGTTCTTCGCTTTGGCAGCTAAAGAACTGGATGGAGGGTGGCCGAAGAAATTTCTACAGGCACTTACCAACCCCGGCCGAGCTGAGTTGATATTATCTGACCTGTCAAAGTTGGAAGCCGAGGTTTTGAAAGGTGCCGGTTGTTGCGAACGGGAGTGGGCGCTCTCTGTGAACGAAAAACACCAAGAGCTCCTTCAGACTCCTTAAACACCTCTGAGACGGGTTGACAATAGGGTGGGCGAGCTGCTGCAAAGGTTTGAGCAGGCCGAAAGACAAAGGAGTATTGACCATATCAGCAACATCAGCGTCGATAACACACATGTAGTCAAGAGAGATTACAGGACCAAGGAGACCTGTGAGTGGTTAATTTAAGACCCGAGGTTTCTTGGCTGGGAAGAGTCGAGCTATTCCTCTATTCTCTGGCTAAACGGTCAAAGTAAACGGTCAAAGTAAGGAAAACCCCCTCTGCTACCCCAGACACCGCAATATAAGCTTAATTTATTCTTTTTTCATTTGGGGCTGGGAAGTCTTTCCTAACTTCCAAAGTCATTGACCGATACCGAGCCGACCCGAGAGCTCTAGACAATAACGACCGACGTCGTCTTAATTTGGCTAGCGCTTGGTCAACTGCGGCCATGAACGATGAAGGCTTCGCCTATTTCTACTGTGATCGAAACGACTCTGGTCGCAGGAATGCCAAGTCAATCCTCAGTAGTTACATTGTCCAGCTTCTGACCGCCTCGCGTCACCGGGATAAGTGGCACTCACAGCTCCGCCCATTCTGTGGCGCATCTGATGCGACACGTCGGAGCCTCGGGCTATCCGACTGCAAACAGATCGTAACCGAAAATAATTGGAACATATCCTCGGTCCGTTATGATCTTGGATGCGTTGGATGAGTGTGACGAAGATTCGAGGATGGAACTTGCCGGCTTTTTCAGGGAATTGGTTGACCAGGCTCACCGGCCTGTCAAGATCTTCGTATCCAGCCGCCCAGAAATTGAATTCACCGAGATGGTGAAATTGTTCAGTTTCATTCAGATTCGCACTGCCGAGAACATGGGAGACATTAAGAAGTACATCGATGCGGCACCAGAAAAGGCCGTGTCACCCCCGGTTTGGAGTAGAAATGATATCTGAGAAGAAGTCAGAGATGCACCTCTGGAGAAAAGCGACGGATTGTAAGTCACTGCTGAGCTCTCAAACGCTGGCAACCTTTCTTACCCTACGATGTCAAGGTTCAAATGGGTCGAGCTGCAGTGGACGCAGTTGAAAGCACTACACACCGCGACAAGCATAAGAAACCGTCTTGGGGCGCTCCCAAAGGGCCTTGTCAATACATACCAGGAGATTTAATCTCAGCAGGAGGACCACGACCGAATTATTCTGCAAAGGGCAGTCAAATGGTTTAAGTGCGCTCAGAAGCCGTTGACAATAAAGTTTCTACTTCAAGCCGTTCGAATCACCTTCTCCGAGAAACAGGACACTACATTCGTCCTCAAAATTGACAAAGAGACTTTACAAGAGTCAAGCCTGACCGCCATGTGCCACCATTTGATCGTGATGGATCCCCTCCGGCGGTTGTGGAAGTTTTCACACGCATCCGTCGCAGAATTCTTTGAGTCAGACGAGCACAGAGAATGGATCAGCAACGCCGAACAAGAAATCGGCTTTCCTGTAGCTGAGATGGAAAAGTTGACGATGACACCCGAAGAAGAAAGGCTAGACCGTCGGTATAAAGCTTACATGGATACTCGGTACCATTTCAAGTTGCTTCGTGGTGCGGATGTCACATACACAAGCCTGAAGCTATACATCCTAAAGGAATTAGTGTTATAAACAGGGGTTTTCCCCCAATAAACCTTCAGTATCTCATACATCGTATCTCAAATGAGACAATTAGAAAAAGCCTAATGAGTTGCCTTCAATATATAATGGCGTTGCGGCTCACCATCTGCGGACCAAGCTGCTTCGGGGCTCGGTGTGTTCATTTGCTTATCTCTTGTTCAGCTTGTCAACCCCTTCAGTTTTACACCTACGTCGTACAGGTTATCAAAGCGGGGTAACATGTCAGATTAGCCCCCAATTGGACTTGTGTTGGCTCACAGTTGGGCCTCGCGCTCTGTTCTGTGAACCCACGCGCGAATCACATCCCTTGACGCTTCTCAGCCTGCTGCAACATTCTGCGCGGCGATACCGAAGGTGGCTTAGTATTAGCATACATATCTATTGTCTTAAATCAGCGCGAGCCTGATTTCGTGACGGGCTATGGTATATAACCCGGCAGGCCTGCTGAGTTCTATTCTACCAAGCTAGCTCAGCCTTGCATTTACATATTTGTCACATCACAAGCACTCGCGTCAAAAACAGTTATACATTCCCACTTCACCACTGTATGGGATCGAACAGCTCGAGCCATGCCAACCATGTTGGACCCCAACGAATACACGGTCGGCTGGATCTGTGCCATCTCTACCGAGTTTAACGCAGCAAAGGCCTTCCTAGACGAGAAACACGATGGGCAGCCTCCTGTTTCCCAGCACGACTGCAACAGCTATGCTCTAGGCACGATGGGTGATCATAACATTGTGATTGCTGTATTGCCTGATGGGGAGTACGGCACCACTTCTGCTGCTGCGGTAGCGAGAGACATGCTGCACAGCTTCCCGAATGTGCGTATTGGATTAATGGTTGGTATTGCCGGCGGCGCACCTAGCTCTAAGCACGACGTACGGCTTGGTGATATTGTTGTTAGCCGTCGCAATGGCGGTAAAGGTGGCGTCTTCCAGTATGACTATGGCAAGGCTGTCCAGAACCCGGCGGTCTCTTTTGAGCATACGGATTTCTTGGACCAACCACCGATGTTGCTTCGGGCGGCTGTTAGTTCTCTTAGGAGCAAATATGAAATGGAAGGACATCATTTGAAGGCCGATGTTGAGAAGGCTTTGGGGCGGTGGCCACGGCTTCGAAAGACCTACTCCCGGCCACCTGCAGATAGCGACAAGCTCTACCGATCCGATATCATTCATCCGAACTCTTCGGAAGGATGCCACAGTGTTTGTGGCGATGATACAGCCCTCTTGATAGAGCGGCCAAAACGGACTGACGATGAGGACGACCCAGCAATTCACTATGGATTGATGGCTAGCGCCAACCGTTTGATGAAGGATTCTACTCTTCGAGACAAACTCACGACGGAAAACGGCGTCCTATGCTTCGAGATGGAAGCTGCTGGCCTAATGAACCATTTCCCATGCTTGGTAATCCGTGGCATATGCGACTACTCCGATTCACATAAGAACAAGGAATGGCAAGGGTTCGCTGCAATGATGGCAGCAGCTTACGCAAAAGATCTCTTGCATCAGATCCCACCTAACAAGGTGGAGGCGGAGAGACGGATTGGTGATGTTCTTGGTACAAGTTAGTTGCCGCCCTCTTTAGGTTCTTGATGCTATCTAACTCTTGGGTAGTCAAAGACGACCTTGATCATATGCAGCAGACTACGAACGAGATCAATGCTACAACAGTGAAATTAAAACATGACCAGCACATAACCAGATTGCATAAATGGTTGTCTCCGCCAGACTCATCGACAAATTTTAACCATGCCAGACAAAAATGCCACAAGGGATCCGGATTATGGTTTATATCAAGCTCTATTTACAAAGATTGGAAGCAAGGGTTACGTCGACATCTCTGGCTCCATGGCTTGGCGGGGTGTGGGAAAACGGTGCTAAGTACGACAATAGTGGACGATCTTCGGAAGGCAAATGATGCCATCACCCTCGAATTTTACTTCGACTTTAGCGATAACACAAAGCAAGGACTAGACGGTGTTCTACGCTCCCTCATTTTTCAACTCTATAACTTGGGGCACAACACCGAAGAACTCGGCAGTTTATACGACACTCTTCTTCAGGGTCAAAAGCAGCCAGATACCAAAGCTTTAACAAATTGCTTTAGCGCAATAATAAAAGGAACTAAAACAATTTACATTGTTCTTGACGCTCTTGATGAGAGTACAGATAGAGAACAATTGCTCGATTGGATGAAAGACATCTTCACTTTACCCGATCTCAGTCACATCTTTTTAATCGCCACTAGTCGACCTGAAGAAGCGTTTCTCAAGCGCCTGCCATGCTGGGTCGGAGAGGAGAACTGCTTCTCGCTTGACAAAACGGCCATAAATACAGACATCTACGCCTATGTCGTGGCCCAACTCAAACAACGTCCTGCTTTCGTCGACAAGAATTTATCCGACGACCTCGGGGCCCAGATTCGGGATAAAGTCGGAAATGGGGCTGATGGCATGTGAGTTTGCAGTCTAGTCATACAAAGTTTTCAGAAGCCCTGACAGAAAGTGTAGGTTCAGATGGGCAGCATGCCAATTAGACAGTCTTTCAGCATGCCAGAGTCCCCAGGATATAGAAGATACGCTCAAATATCTACCAGAGGACTTGAATCGAACATACCAACGCATGATCGACTGTATTCCACCATCACAGAAGAGTAAAGCAGTTCGTCTGCTACATTTCATGGTCCACGCCGATACTCCATTGACTGTATCAGAGGCAATAGATGTGATAGCCACTCAAGCGGATGAGGGGCCACAAGGTTTCAATATTAAGGCGAGACCATTCCAAGGAGCTAGCATTTTGCACTACTGCCCCGGCTTAGTGTCTATAGTGGAAGTTTCAAAGCTGGGCAGTTATAACCTGGTTACTGAAGTCCACCTTTCCCACTTCTCAGTGAAGGAGTATCTTTTGCAGGAAGACAGGTTTGATCTTATGAGATCTAGCATTGTCATCACCCAGACTTTCTTGACTTATCTTGCGGATAGTAAGAGTGGTTTATATTACACTGCCGATCGATGCTTTCCACTGGCAAAACGTGCTGCCAATACGTTCATGAAGTATGCTGCTTTATCTGAGACTTCGAACGACATAGTTTCAGCAATCCTAGTTTTCCTGGAAGACGAGGCCTCTTTCCAGTGGTGGGTTAGTTTGATTGAGACTGGCCAGTATAACCCTGGCGTTATCTTAACCACCAGACTCTGTTCTACTTGTTATGGTGGAATGTTAAGGGTGTCAGAAAGCCTGATTCAGAAAGGGGTAGATGTCAATCAGCAACCTAAAGAAGGCATTCCTACCGCTCTCTATGCTGCCTCACAAGAAGGCCATTTTGATATTGCCCAGCTTCTCTTAGATAAAGGAGCAGACGTCAATTCACAGGGTAATGGGTCCCATGGCACCGCTCTTTACGCTGCCTCAAAAAATGGTCACTTGGAGATTGTCCGACTGCTCATAGACAGAGGAGCGAATATCGATATGCAAGATCAGCGGGCTCATAAAGCTCTATATGCTGCCTCTAGATACGGCCACTTACAAACTGTCCAGCTGCTCTTGGACAGAGGAGCCATTGTCGATATGCGAGACCATTTGGACCGTACAGCTCTTTATGCTGCCTCAGAAAACGGCAAACTGGAGATTGTCCGGCTACTCTTAGACTGTAGGTTTCACAGGGGGTGAAACGGAATTCCGTTCGTCAATAACAAATAACAGTAAATTGGTTCTAATCGATGGTTCATGATAGTTGAAAGTGGTGTTGTTGACTAGAAGGTGGGGATATTCCCCCTTGGCCTGTCACGTGGGTCTGGGAGGCTTGGGCCTCTCAGCCTGGCGGGCGTGTGGCTGGAAGTGCCACACGACTCCGTATTCCAACTATCGCAACATAGACAGAGGAGCAAATGTTAATGTGCAAGACCAGTGGGCCTGTACCGCACTATACGCTGCCTCGAAAAACGGCCACTCGCAAACTATCCAGCTGCTCTTGGACAGAGGAGCCAATATTGATATTAAAAATAGACGGGGTGATTGTGGGATATACGCTGCCTCACAAAACGGCCACTCACAAACTGCCCAGCTGCTTTTGGATAGAGGAGCGAATATCGATATGCAAGACCAGATGGCCCATAGGGCTATATATGCCGCCTCTAGATACGGATACTTGCAAGCTGTCCAACTACTCTTAGAGAGAGGAGCTAGTATTGATATGCAAGACCACTGGGCCTCTGAGGCTCTATTTACTGCCGCAGAAAATGGCAACTTGGAGATTGTCCGACTGCTCTTAGAGAGAGGAGCTAGTACTGATATGCAAGATCACTGGGCCTCTGAGGCTCTATTTACTGCCGCAGAAAATGGCAACTTGGAGATTGTCCGACTGCTTATAGACAGAGGAGCGAATATCGATATGCAAGACCAGCGGGCTCATAAAGCTCTATATGCTGCCTCTAGATACGGCCACTTACAAACTGTCCAGCTGCTCTTGGACAGAGGAGCCAATATTGATATGCAAGACCAGTGGGCCCGTACCTCTCTCTACGCTGCCTCAAAAAACGGCCACTTAGAGATTGTCCGGCTGCTCCTAGATAGAGGAGCGGATGTTGGTCTGCAAAGTAGCTATTGGAGTCACGTACTCAATGCTGCCTCGATATACGGCCATTCGGATGTTTTCCAGCTGCTTACAGAAAGATTCGCTGCCAAGCAAGTAGGGCAGGGCACACAAGGAGAGCAGGATAGGCAGGCTAAGCGGGCCAGATGCGAATAGAGCAAACTCTTTTCTTCTTGCTGCAGCACCTGTACATACCTGATATAAGATAGTTAGAATCACCAGCTCATTTGTTAAGTTTTCAAAAACCCTGCCATGTTCAAAGGATGGCATTCCGGTGATTCGTGGGCTAAGACAGATGCGAGGAAGTATTTTAGTATCGATCGAGATGCCATCATCGTGCAAAGAGCATCCTGTCATATGTTCTAGCATGCAAAGTTAGCAAGTGTTCTGAGTGCGCCATATTACCAGGAGTACCACTAGATGGCAAGTTCGTTACCATCTCAGAAAGGGGCGTAGATATTTTGATGGTGTTCTTTCGAAAGCCCCAGTCCGGCATATACCTTTGGACATATACTGCATATATGACGAAACGTCTGCTGCAGGGAACAAACCGCATCACACCGGAATGCTAGACTTAGCAATTTAATAATGGGACGTGTGAATAACTTAGGATACTTCAGCCTGACTATCTCGCGGTTTTCTCTATTGCTAATTGAGGTAATGCGGACTTCTCTGTTGCCTTGACAACTCTTAGTATGTTTGTCGAACTCACTTACGAAGTAAGTTAACCCGGTGAGGTGTATGTTTGCCTTTTAATGACAGTGACATGCCATAAGCTAGGAGGACAGGAGAACGTCAGGGACACTCAATCACCATCTTGACTAGTAGGTAACCAGTAGAAATTCTCATTTTAGTTCACAATTCTATTCAACTACTTGACAACCCTCCCATCGTTCACTCTGCTTCATCAAGCATATCCACCACCATCTCATCCTGGCTCAACCCTCAAAGCAAAGAAGACAGTTCCACAACATGGATACATAGTCAACTCCTCAAGCCACGATACAGATATATCACCTAAACCACAGCGTACGATCAACTTTTTAATCTCATTCAATCCATCAACATCTAAATCTCGTATCCCATGAAAATCTCGTGAAAGTTCCTCCACTCTTATCCGTGAATCTTGGTCCCGTAATCATATAAAAACACACACACACATAAAAAACGCCGTATCCTCCCAAAAACGCCATGCCAATGCAATACAATGCTAAACAAAAGTCAAAAGAAATGTAGCGCCTATGTACAAATTAAACGCGCTGACGAACAAGATTAGACGTAACCATCGAGCTCGTCTACTCTCTCTCTCTCTCTCTTCCAAGGTAGAGAGGAGACTCATTATGCATTAAATCATAGACCGACGCGAAGGAGCCCGTTCGTGAAAGCCCTTTCGCTCGGTAAACCTCTTCTGCCTTCTCACGCCCAACCGCCTCTCGTCGCGGCCAGGCCAGTATCCGAACATCCATGTGCTCTGCGCCGACGCGGGCCCGGCACCGAGTCTATCGCTCAGTTCGGACTTCGTATGCGGGGCCGTGGGCGTCTTGAAGACGGGGTCCTGGGCGTTGTCCTCGTTGGCGAGGAAGGAGAAGATCTCGGCGGGGCAGGTGACGGCGTGCGGGAGGCGGTACTGGTTCCTGCCGAAGAGGAGGGAGACGAGAGCGAAGAGGTAGAAGATGAGGAGGGCGAGGATGACACCGAAGACGGGAACGACGGGGAACATGCGGACGCCGCCTACGGGAATCGCGGTGAGAGCCATGAACAGACCACCGGCGAGGGCGGGGAGGAATGCGAGGAGCGTCGTGAGGAGGGAGAATGCGGCGACGCGCCAGTGGCGGTTGCGGAGGGCGTGGAAGGTGCATTGGATGGGTACACAGGCGGCGTAGTCGGCGAGCACAGAGCGGGAGGCAGGGCTGCCGTCTTTGGCGCCGAGGTCGGCCCAGGGCTGGAGGATGCGGATGTTCAGGTCGATGGACTGGAACGCAAGGTACAGGAGCAGTCCGATGAAGCTGGGGATGAAGCTGTAGAGGAAGTTGGCAGGAGAGAAGGCGCCTGGGCCGGGGGCAGCGGAGACGCGCGGGTTGAAGCCGTTTACGAGGCTAGTGCGGTTGAGGAAGGAGACGACAAAGAGGGCGGCGAGGAGGACGGTGGCTGCGACGACGAAGAAGATCGCCTGGCTGGTGCGGAGGCACCAGGGGAGGTAGAGGGTGCGGATGTAGTCGTCGTGGCCGGCGACCAGGAGGTTTGAGGTGATGGAGCGGCGGTCGGACTCGTTCTTCGTGTCGTAGTGCAAGTCGGAGGGCATGTGGCCCTGAGAGTGCTCGGTGCCGAGACCGTACCAGGGGTTCTCCTGGTTGTCTGTCATCCAGTAGCCGAGACGGTCGACGATGCGGTTGCGCAGGATATGGCGGAGCTGGGTGCGATTTTCAGCGACCTCGGATCCGCGGTAGGACTCGCGCGTGTTGGACTTGCTAATGATGAAAGAGAAGTCGGCAATGGAGCGCGGGTCCCACATCAATCCTGTAACACGGTTGCGCCAGTACAAAGCAAGGATGATGACAGCGATGATGACGAGGAAGTAGAGGCCTACGAGCGCCCAGATGGTGCCCTGGACGGCGGTCCAGTACCATACTTCGTTGTGGATGACGGTGAAGGAGGCGCTTGCGAGGGGGATGGTGAAAGCAGAGAGCCAGAGGATGACCAACGCGATCTTGACGTGGATCGGTCCGGCGAGCTTTGGGAGGAGGAAAGTCTTGGGGTAGAGGTCCTGGAAGAGGGCGTTGCGTCTCCTCATGGGCTCATCCTCGGACATTGAGACGAAGGGCATGATGCGAATGGTGGCGGTTGTAACGCACTGCACATAGATGAAGATGAAGGCCGCACAGATCTGTGGGAGGATGCGGAACAGGAAGTATTTGACGCTGTAGATGGTCTCGCCGTAGGTCAACAGACCGGGCTGGATCGGAGAGTAGATAGCCGAGAGCATGAGCGCTGCAACCATCAGCAGGCAGAGGAGCATCAGTACGGCCATTGAGGGAAGTCTCAGGACAGCGGGCACGTGTGTGAGACGGGGGTATGTCTCGCGGGTCTCGTCGATGGTGTCGAGCTTCGTCATACCCGGGAAGACGGACTCCTTCTCACTAACCGGCAGCCACTTTGGTGTAGAGTCGGGGAGGAGGGGTCTTCTGAAATCTTGGCTCGGGCGGTATCCCGAGTCGGCAGTCTGTGGCGGCGACATGATACGGGTGCCGAGCGACATTGACGGGCGCTCGGCCTGGTGAGACTGCGGGCGTTGCATCGATTCACGGGCGTGCGTGGACATCGGCGGCGCGAGCATGGGTTGGAAACCAGTTTCTGGGTCACCGCTGATCTGCGGGCTCTGTTGCTGAAGATCGTCCGGAAGGTAGCCGGCAGCACGGTAGTAGCCGTTGTTGTTCTCCGCAGGGGAGGGCAAGCTGGAGGGAGGAGTGAAGTTGTTGCCGTGCTCACGCGTCAAAGCCTCGAGAGCATACTGGATGTAAGGGGTATCATCAACTCCCGGGGTGACGGAGCGGTTGGCGGCAATGGTGAGCTCGTCGCGGAAGCCTTTTGCGCGGGTCTGGTTAGAGACTTCGTCCATTGCCAGCTGGGCCTCATTGAAGCGGACCGCAGGCTGGGAGACGTAGGGATCCTGGTGGTTGAACATGTTGCTGCCAATGACTACTGGAGCAGGGAAGTTCTGCTCCGGACGACTGAAATTTTGAGGGACGGCTGGTTGTGAAGGCGGTGAGGGCGCGGGGGGCACGAAGGACGGCGGGGGAGAGAGGGTTTCCTGGGGGCTGGAGTCTTCTTCCTCTAGGCCGTTTTCATAATGCCGTCTTGCCGCGTGATGAGGACGAAGTGTGTTTGGAGTGGAAGACTGCTGTGATGGCGTTCCTGCAGACCAGAGCTGTGGAGGGTAGTGGCCGCCTGTGATGTGGCCGTCAGTATTAAGAACAGGGATCGAGGATGGTGGTGTTGGTGGTGTTGGTGGTGGTGGTGTGGTGATGTGGTGGTTGGCGAAGGAAAAGTGGAAGAAGGTTGTATGTGGATGGAATGAGGGAAAGAAATGTTCAAGTTGTGATGTAGGATGTAAACGTACGGTAATTTTGCATATAGCCCTCGGGGTGGGCGTTATTATCAGAGGAATACATGTCGCCTTTCATGAGAGATTCTAGCAGATGTGCCTGATGAGCCTCCACTCGGAATTCAGCGATTGACCAATTACCAGCAATAGAGGCGACGGAAATTTGGTGTGATGGAATGGGATGGTTGCATGATGCGGGCAAAAGAGGAGGGGAAAGGGGGGGCGAAACATCATGGATGGGCAGTGTTGTGGTTTTGCTAGAGAAAATTGCAAGTGGTTGGGAAAACTTCTCTCTTCCATCACGAACGATGAGTGGTGGTTTGTGGTGAAGTTTGGAGGCTGGAAGGTTGGGTGATGTTGCGTCCCAGCCACCGAAAATGCCACCAAAAACCCCCCGGGACCCTGGCGGGGGCCGTTTTGAAGGTACGGACGCTAGCCCGTAGCGCCCGGGGATGCAGGTACCAGAAGGGCAACAAGAGGAGCTAAAGACAGGGGACTTACTACTTTGAGGATGGCGGTTACAGCGAAGAGACAAAAGACTCGTGGTAACTGAATCGCAGAGTGGTGAAGAAACAGAAGGGAAAGAGAAGAAGTTATTTTCGTGTGACAGCCGTTCATCTCATCTATGTATTCTGTCACTAACCATAAAATACTATCCCTATGTACTGTGTCGTAGACCGCCCACCAATCCGAACAAGTACGTATTCTGCAAGTCCAGTTGTCCTGCAGAAGCCCTCTTTTCTCCCCAAAGCTAAGAAGAGCCCAACACCACCACCCAATATGTGCCCTATCACACCTATCTTCCTCTATAGCTACAAGTAGTAGAGGTGCTTGCCTGTGACAGAAGCAACTGGCAGGTTGCCCCACCAGCGGAAGCAAGTCCCCACATCCGCTGCCACCACTCGCTGCGACGCCTCGAACCAGGGGGTTCATTCTCAGTGGCTGGGGAGCAAGGGTATCGGCTCCACATATCCAAAGGCCTGGAAATCGTGCCGCCTTCTTTTGCTCATTCCCCTGATTGCGAAACCTGCTTGTTAACCTCGAACAAACATTATAGACATCACCGCGTTTGCCTCTCACACTAATCAGGATGTGGGTTTTCTCTCGTTTCCTCTTTTGGGGGTGGTTGTCTTCTCATTCCCCTGTCTCTCGGGCTGAAAACCCGGCGACTGGACCATCATCTGTGACATAGGTGCTCATTGACGACCTTGGCGAGAGGCGGGATATCGGCCTGCATTTTGAGGCTGATCCTCACCGCCCACCAACCGTCCACGTCGGATGACAGTTCTAGCGGTCTGCGGCTTGATACACTAGTGAGCAGTTTTGAACCCGAGACTCGCATCATGGCGGCGGTTTACCTCTTTTCCCCTCATCTGTTCTCTGCTGTCTTAACCTTCACCTTCTTTCCTGGGTAAGATGCAGATGCGGATATTTGGTAAGGGTTTCCTTTAGGGTTGCCTCATCAACACCAACCAAGTCACATCATCCCTCACACCTGTGGCTTGACTCTCAAACTGAGTGACATTATCCTTATCATGATATTCTCCTTCATCCTGGTGTTGACCCATCCCCCCCCCCCCCCCCCCCCCCCCGAGTGGACCACCGCCTGTGGATATCGTCAGGACCCATTCAGTAGGGCTACCCGACATCACGTCGCCCACCATCTGCCACGCACATTGCAGTTCCCCGATTCCATAGCCGGGTTGGGCACGCTGACTTTCAACAATCACAGCTCAAAAGCGGGTCGGTTAGCTCAGTTGGTTAGAGCGTGGTACTAATATATCATCAGATATGTCAAGTAATGCCAAGGTCGGGAGTTCAAGCCTCCCACTGATCATCTTTTGCTGGTGACGCAAAATATCGTTTTGACATCGGCTCTGCAGTTTTACTTCATCCGAGGGCTGTCATTTTGTAGATTTACCCCGGGGTTTTGTGACTGGAACATCATCTATTTGGCATTTGAATTAGTCCCATTCTGTTTTTTGCACACCTTCGTACCGTCAACTACATGGAGCTCATGCGGAACATGTCAGATCACTTTAGTAGACTCAACGCGCTGCGTAAATGACTATGTTGAAAATAAAAGATATCTTGAGAATGGAAAAAATTGCCTTAAGGGCACCAGAAACCAACTTGCTAGTCATGACACATTCAATAAACGACCGACGTCCCCCTCTTATCCTCGCCGTATCCTACAACTCGTTACTCGCAAAGCCCTCTGCCTGAACAAATGGCCCAAGCAATCTCTTTAACTCTTCAACACCCAGTACTCCACCACCGCTTACGTTGCTTCCGGTGGACGACGGGATAAGTATTTCGTCAAGCACATGAACGATACCATCTCTCGCCGGCATATCTCTCACAGACACATTTTTCCCGTTCACCACCATGACTGGTTTCTCCCGGTTGATACCAACAGAAATCACGGCGTCATCCAATAAAGTCTGGAACTGCGGTGTGCTCGGAATCTCCTCATCCCCGGCATCGCTCAGACGTATGTCAGAGTAGACAACTTCGTCCAAGACATGATACCTCGCCAACGCCCTCAAATACTCCAGCCCCTCATCGGAGAACAAGAAAGTATTCACTTCCGCTCCAAGGGCTTCCCACGCCTCATTTGAAGGAGTAAACAGCGTGATCCCGTGAGCTCGAGCGTGCAACTCTTCACTCACTCCAGTTGTCTTCATCGCCCGGGAGAACGTGCCCAGTTGTTCTGGTAGGGCTTCTATAAGTTTATCATGTCGTGGGGGCGGCACGAGGACGTTGTCGACGAAGTGTACGATGCCGTTCGCCGCTTTCTTCTATCAGGAATTAGCAAAATCAACTCTCCACATTCCGGAAAGGAACAGTGAAACTTACAGATTCCCCATCCAAAACCCGGCTGTAAAAGTTCAGAGTGATTCCAGAAGAGCTGCCCTCGACCCTCACCCTCTGCCGCCGCCCCATATCGCTTTCCTCAAGTACACTAGACGCAGTCTGCACCCCACGAAGCTTGTCGAGGGTGTACTCGGCAGATAGAACATGGTACTCCAGAATCTCCTCCATCAGTTCCTCATCGCTGCGTTCCATACCATCCAACTTTGCAAACGCCTCGTCGGTAGGCACAAGCACCGTAAGTCCATCACTCCCACTCAGCAACTTACGAAGCTTCTCATGCCCGTCCACCAAACCCGCAAACCGCCGTCCCTTCTCGCTGTTCCTGATAACTTCCCAAACATTCTCCAAAGTACCGTCTCGATCTGCAACACTTCGTCGCCTATCCCGTCCCAAAGCCCCGTCTCTCTCAACGTCAACATCAGCTTTAGTCCAAGAAAGACTCCTCGCAGTCCTCGTCACCGCCCCAGCGACCTGAACTATCCCCCCACCGATAGAATCAACAACCCAGTCAAGCGAAGAAAGCACCCCGTCCCGCACCGGGAAGACCCTCCCGTCGAGCCCAATCTGCTTCTCGTCCGCAGCAGCATCTCCGGACGAAGCAACAGCGCAGAAGGCCGCCGCGAAAGGGAGGAAACAACCGGGCTTCATCACCTCCGTCTCTTGTTCAAATTTCGTCGGTAGAGAGGATGACCGGACGCGATGGATCAATTTCTCGGATAAAGTGCGTCGTAGAGTTGTCGACGTCTCAAAGTAAATATGTACCTGGCGTCCCATGAGACCTTGGTTCACTTATACGAAATACAAGAGGGGAAACTGGAGAAAGCTCCAAAAGTCGAGACAACTCCCCCTTTCAAAGGCCTGACAGACTACTTTGATTCGGATTTATCGGTCTTCTATATAAAACCCCCGTTGAAGAAACAGAAACTACCGACTAGTTCTCTCGGAGGGTCGAGACATACAAGCCCATGCACATTGTTGTAGCACGAGTGAGAGTGTGGGCCATCAGGGTGCTTAATGCCCAGACCGCACATCACAGCACGCGGCTCTTTTGAAGGGGGGGGAGGAGGGGGGAGCTGACTTGTTGTTCCACTACTCGTTATTGATGCGGAGTAAATTTCGTAACGACTGGAACCCCTTCTAAACCTGGATGCAGAGATTTTTTTTCAAACAGCCAGATGGGACAACAAGGTGCTGTCGGCCGCATTTGAGGAAGAGCGAACATGCTGCATAACACACAGGGGTTCTCAGCACCGCCCAAGACGTACCTCGCTGTTCATGACAAGACTGTGTACGATTCCGGGGGGGAGTCATGGCTTGCAAGGTTGTCAGACGCTGATTCATCGTAACTACAAGAATAATACTACTACACCCTAGGGCCGCCAAAGCCGCCGACGACCCTCACGTTCCCCTCGTTCTTCTTCTTCTCCGCAGCCCCGTCGAACGCATCCACGATCCTTCCCGCCCGCACATCAACAGGTGCCCACCTCTGCTCTCTCAATTTTCTTTCTTCCTGAGTGGAGTCTATCTCCCAGACACCCATTTCATCCAGAAGAACCTCCAAGACCAATGTGTACTTCACCGTCTCGTCGTCTTCTACGTCAGACGGAGCGTATAACCTGTCAGCATCAGCTTTCGTGCGTGGGACCCTCGTGCAGAGAAGATGTAAGTCAAGGATTTGGGAAAACACAAGGCCGAATGTGGGTTTGTTCCGCCGCGAGAGGGCTTGGCCGGTGTATCCCGGGATGTTCAAGGGCGGGGGGTTGAAGACGGAGCGAAGCGTGGGGTCGAGGGGTTTGTTATGTTTCGACGACATTTCGTCCAGCGGCGGTGGAGGCTGCATGTCTTCTGTGATGTTGGCCAGGTTCGCCGGGTTTGATTCTGCTGATGGCTTATTTTTTGAAGAGCTGGTGCTGTTGAGAAGCATAATAAGCGGACTGCTAGGTAGGTTACGGGATAGGTACCTCAGGTGCGAAGAGAGGTACTGTAAAGAATCGTGTGCCGATCCCCTGTCGTGCCGTGTGAAAAGGGCCGTCATGAGGGTGGAAAAATGTGTGATTAGAATAATGTCCGGCGTTGTAAGCTCTTTGCCTTCCTTCGTAGGGTTCCTGTTCTCGCTCTCTTGGGCCTGGGCCGCCACCTCTGGAGGCACAGGAAGGTCTACGTCTTGAGGCCCAGGACTTTGTGTCTCATGAGCATCTGCCTCTGGAATCTCCATATTCTCTGGGGCCTCGGGAGTAGCCAACATGGAGAGCATCGAAGAAGGTGGCGGCGATAATTCTGAAGAGGAGGACGGCGGAAGTGAAAACGCATCCTCGTTGTCGCTATCCGCAATCTCCGTCCTCTCTGCCCTGGGCACAGGGTTAGGTTTGAGATCCGGTAGCACGATTCTCTCAGGCTCCGGCTGTAGGTTTTGCTCTTCTTCAAGCTCACTCGGTAGCCGCATTGGAGGCTCCAAAGCGTCTTCGATCTCCGACATTAGCGATCCTTCAGAACCTGGACTCTCAGGGGGGATGTCCAAATCACCCAGGACCTCCCAAACGCCATCCAAATCAAACACTCTCGAGACGGACACCCGTTCCAGGCAAGCCCTCAGCTTGTCCTTCACCTCCGCCGCAGGAACTTCGCGAGCAGCCATCTCAGCCTTTACAGCATCCCTCAGCATGGGTAGAACAGCAGCTGGCGGCTGCGTCGTGACAATCATTGCCCTCGCATCGCCGCTACACAGATCATTCGCCAGAGCCTGCATGGAAATCTACCACAAGTCAGTCAACAAGCCTCATTTACATATAAAATGCCGCCTACCAGAAGGCCCATCTGCTCGCTCTCAGCACTCAGCCCGACGACGCTCCCCCGCTCGAGTCCTCCCATGAGAACATACTCATCAATCTCCGGACACCCAACCCTGACAGGGCCCCTCTTCTTGAGCGCATCCCGGCGCTTCGTTTCCTTGCGGCACAGCACAGCCGCCGATATGGGCTCCAACGGGAAATGCGAGCTTGCCTGCGATGCGACCGGGTCATCTGCTGCTGCTGCTGCTGCTGTTGTTGCTGATGTAGCGGCGGCCATGGTTGACCGCCTTCTCTATTCCGCTCAGCGTAGGCAGTCGACTTTCTGCCGCTGCCGTCCTCGAATTAAAGTGGTATGCGAAACGTGACATATCATTTCCAAAGATGGTTTTTTTCCGGGACCCCAGATGCAAAACAATCGGCTTACAAACTGGTCTGACTGCTGCTGCGCGCGTTGGCGACGCGGCTACCAATTCCCAAGAAAAGCCGACGACGGCAGGAAGATGCCGCCAGGTCACATGATTGAAGCTATTTAAACTTTTGGGGAAGCTGGGGGAACTGCCCCCCAGTCAAAAATCTCGATCCAGGCTCGGCACATAGACACCATACAGGCATGTTCAGCCACCCTCAATGACATCATTTTCTTTCCATGCATGAAAGTCACTCATGCACACATCCATCTTCCTGTGACTGCAGAAACAAAGCCCCTCCCAAAGAACCCTTGCATATGACAAGTCATGCACTTCCGACTACCATGTCAATAGGCTGATCACTAGTTCCAAAAATATCATGCAACAAAGAACTATCGCAATGTGAGGCTCAAGGGTCTCTATTTTCAACTAAAGCTAATTCGTAACAATCTGCCGACGGACTGTTGGTTGCCTGCTCTATGCTTTCTTCCATGTAATATGCCTCTTCCAGGTCTTAGAATACTCGTGGTAAAAGGAGGCGAAAGGGAGGCTCGTTTCCTCCAAAGAAATATGATTATGCACGAGAAAGGTATCACTTGCCAGTCGGTTCCAGAAGCAGGCGCATTTGCGCATCCACTCCGCCCTGGCTATTGTAGTTCCCGTTCTGATGGCTTTCCCCAATAACCACCCCAAAACAATTCAACATCCCAACCGGTATTCACTCCTGTCTGATCCAGAAGTAGACTGCGTGAACAATGATGTTACGATCGAGCCCATTATCCGGTTGTCGTCGTTGTTGTTGTTGTTGTTGTTGTTGTTGTTGTTGTAAAACATGTATATCTGTCGGTCGAGAAGGGTATGACATTTTTTTTCTCATGTTATACCGACAGACTGCGGCCACCTGTCTTTCTAATGAGATGAATAGAGATGAACATAAGCTGTGTGCTGTCCGCGCACGCCGCCACCTCGATAGCCGGACACTCAGTACTTCTTCCCAGCCTGCTAGGTCCTGCGTCTCCACTAGGCGGCAGTTCCAGGTGCCGGAGGAACCGCAACGTCAGAAGCCTGGCGTCTCCGGCCTCCCTTCAGACTCTTGACTCTAGCCATGAAGCCTCCAGATGGCTTACTGGGGGCCTCGTCGGTTGGTGAATAGGCTTCGTTAGTGGCACGACGCTCGAGGCCATTAGCAGAGCCCCTACGGGGAACTGGTGGAGGCGATCCAGGCGACCTGGCATTGTTGTCGGTACGACGAACCGAAATAGCCTCAGGCTCCTTTCCGTACTCTGAAAAGAAGGGGTTTCGCTCGGACGTGTACGAGATGCTAGTAGAAGGGCCTGCGCTATCGGGAGACCTGCGGGAGTGGTAAGCACCCTCAGGGTTTGTCATACGGCCAGCGGGTCCGTACTCGCGTGGTTCTCTCTTCATGCCACGAATGCGTTGAGCAATTGACTTGTTACGCTTGATACCTTCGGTAGCCATCTGCTGGGCCTGTTCAGCCTCGCGGCGTTGGATGGCAGTACGTGCGGCAGGAGTTCCCTCGAGGAAAGTCGAAGTACCCAGACCCAAACTTTCTTCGCCATGCAGAATCGAGCCGCGAGCACGAGGATCAAAGACAGCAGGCTCGTCCTTTCGCTCAACAAAATTGTTTCTTCCTCCGGCAGTGGCATAATCAGCAGATGCGTCACCATCGTTGTTGCCCATAAAAGTAGCGTGATCGGCGCGCTTGTTAAGAGGACCGGCTCCTCCAAGAGACATATTCAACGAGTCCTTGGCGAAGGCCTGCATGGGGGCGCGTCGGCTACCCTTTCGGTTACGATGAGGGTTTGCGGCATCGAATGGTCCATCGTGGTGGAACACTGTGCTCGTTAGTATCCAGACTTCAATTCAACTAGAAACAGGCCGCAACCTACTGCTGGTGCCGTAGATGGCAGTAGCGTCCAACTGATCGATGATGTCGTATCTGCGGCTGGGCTTCTTGGGGTCCTTATCCTTTCCTTCCCGTGCGCGACGCTCTCTTTCGCGTCGTCTGGCTTCCTTGGCCTTCTTCTCTTCTTCGGTGAGCTGCTTCTCGGGCTTCTCAATGTCGATCAGAAGTGACGAGTCCGAGTTCCTACGTGGGCGGCGTTCCTGAGGTCGACGCTGAGGAGAGCCAGGGGCGCCAGGTGGGCGAGGAGGGCCGCTGCTGACGCTGCTGTTGCCTTGCATTCTTCGCTGTCTCATCGCCTCCTCTTGAGATCTGGTCGGGCGATGGCCCGGAGGTGGAGGACCGCGACGGCCAGGAGGGGGCATATTTTCGCGCCCGGGCGGGCCTGGGGGGCGGTTCACCGGGGGCCTACCACCCTCGGGACGCGATGGCTTCTGATCATTGATGGTGAGGCCGTCCTGTGAGATGGACATGGTCAGCAAAAGTCTACGCCCAAAAATAGGACGCGTGGCGACAGCGTCTTCAATTCGAAATGCATCGAATTGAGAAAATTGGGCTACGTACAAAGAGCTCCTCGGCGGTCGGCGACGTCTTCGAGTCCAACGTTGGTGCCATGGTGCCAGTTCCGATCAAGTTTGGTTGACTAGACGAATATGATGGATCGAGAAAAGGATTGCGCGAGACAGGTCGAGGAGGAGGGTCATCAAAAGGCGAAGCGGGCGAGGTGGTATTGCTATACGTAGCGCCGGAGAGGAGTGGGGAGGCAGCGCGGTTGCGAAAGGGGTTGTTGGAGGACAGATTAAGCGTCAGGCCGGCCGACTTGCTAGGTTGATGGCCTGTTCCAAGGAAGTAAAGTCAGTATTCGTTTAACAGACAGGAGACAGGCGGCACCGTGCATGCGAATGACGGCGAGGGGGATTGGATATGAAACATGAGGGCCGTCTACATGACACAGCAGGTTCGACAATTGGGTGGAGCGGGCGTGTGCTTGCGTTTGCTTGGGCGGCAGTGCAGGCCGTGAATAAGGGCGGCTCTCCTCCCGTTGGACAGGGCAAAAGTTAAAAGGGGGAACAGGTCTGGGAATATGGTGGTAGACAGGGAGGAAAGGGGTTTGTGATGGGTGGGCAGCGACCGTGCCAGGCGCATATCAGTTGCTTGAAGCTTGGCTTACCTGACTGTGCTGATTGTGTCGTCGACATTTTGAAAGTGTGTGTGCGGTGTGGTGCCCGTGCCGTGACGGGAGGGAGAGATAATGAGGATGAACAAGCGGCGTAGTATTGAAGTCAAGGGATCGGCCTTTTCGCGCGGAAAAAAGGGGAGCTGGCTGAGCGAGTGACAGAGGTTGCTAGCAAGCTTGGTTTTCGTTGGCCTAAATGCCCGTTCTTAGCGTCATGCCTCTGCAGGGACGCCAAACAACGGGTTTTTTGGGGGCCACCCGACGGTTCCTCGGCAGGTCCAGGTCCAGGTCGAGGAGCAAGCTGCAGAGTGGTGCGGTCGGGGGTCGGGACCCGGAGAATCGAGGGGGGAAGCTGGGTAGCTAGGCGTGGGCCGTGGGTCTTCGGAGGTAAAGTACCGCCTGGGAAGGGGGAGAAGGAGGATGGAAAATAAAAAAGGGGTGCGATGGCCGACCAAAAAGTAACGGTGAGGAGTCCAAAAACAATAAGATATCCTATGTGATGTAATGCAACAGCAGCAGTAGGCCTGTTAATTCTTTTTCCGGGAGCTGATGGATTGTCGGATGGGTTATCGGATTCAGGGGGAGATTGCTGGTATGCTGGTTAGCGGCTGGATTAGCTAGGAATTTGAGTGGTAGGCGGGTGGATCTGGGGGTCCACGGGCGAGGTGAAGGGGTTTGGGTGCATGGACGGGATTGGGGGGTTTTTTTTTGGAGAGGGGGGGATCGCGAAGGATGGCCACGCCGTGAATGGATGAGGGCGCAACCAAGCAGCCATGGCAGTGGGCCAAGAAGGGAAGGGATGGAAGCTCACCTTTTCTTTCTTCTCAACTGCTTGCTTATTTTTCCTCTTCCCCTCTTCTTTTCTTTCCTTATGCGGGATGCAGCAGCGAGTGTACCGGGGCGAATCAGAGGATTAAAATGTTAGAGATCCACGCCGGGTATCCAGGCGACTCAAGGAATCCGGGTCTCGTTAACTGCCAAGACTATAAACCTTTGTGTGTGCCAGGCCCGTCTCTGTAGAGTAGGCAAGTGAGAGCTGTGTATGTGTGACGGGCGCCTGCAACATGAACTCGGGTCGGCCCAACTTCTTGGTGCCTACAAGTCAAGTCGGACGAGGGGCCCAACGGGGTTGCGTTGTGAGTAGACAGGCGGCCGTGCTGCCAACTTTGTCTCGGTACCGGTAACTGGGATGGGGCTTGAGTCTCGGAGGTGGCCGTTCGTTTGAACCAGTTCTTTCCTCCCTTCTTGAACCTGTTGAATGAATCGCTGAAGACGAATATGTGTTCCCCTGGTCGAAGCGATAATGTCTCTGCTGGGTGAATATTATTCGTCGGGGTAAAGAACGTGCTCGTGTGGATATATATTGCTCTCGCTATTACCGGCTTACGTCGAGTCTCGAGAGATGTGTTTGCTGGTGTGGTAACGGGGGGGTCTGATGTGACGACGGTAGTGGTACTGCAATGACGGCCTAGGTTGAGAGGGGAAATAGAAGTGGTGTTGTAGAGGAGAAAGGAGAAAGGTTTTCGAGTCTCTCTGTCTTTCAAAAAGAAGTCGGTAGACGAGGTCGGGTCGGGTTTAGATCGAGACTGCGCAAAGTGGTGAAATACACCGAGGCAGCAGAGGTATTTCGAATCTGAGTGGCAGGTGGGTTGAACAAGGGAAAGTTGGAGAAACAACTACCCGGGAGTGGTGTCTTCTTTCCCGTAGGAGGCAGGGACAAAGACAAAATAAAAAAGAATAAAATAAAGAATAAAAGCTGGCTGGGAAAGGCAGGAGAGGTCCGTAGTAGGTAAGGAGGCAAGAGTCAATAAAGGAAAGAAAAGGGGAAAGAAAGGACTGAACAGATCAGATCAGAAGGTTAAGCGGGGAAATAGGCAAGAGCGACGATTTATTAGTATTAGTCTATTTAGGCCACACCGGAGAAAAGAAGTGATTAAAAAAAATAAGAGGACGAGAAAGAAGGCACCAAGGAAACGTCCTAACGACGCACTTCCCGATCCCCGCGCATTCCACCCCGTTCCGATCGTCTTCCTCCTCAGCGAGACCACGCCCTCCTCTACCAGTACTTCACTCTCTTTGCCCACCCTTCGCGGCCTGGTAGCCACTGGATATACACACCTCCTCAGCTCGAGACCCCTCCTGGCCCAGATTTGGGGCTGCATCGTGGGCGGTGGACGGTGGGTGAAAGTGGGCGAGGGCCGGCCTGTACTCCAGTACAGATACATGGCCTCAATACAGAGTGACACACATCCAGTTCTCATTAGTTCACTCTGTTTCCAACATACAGGTACGGGTACGGTTACGGATATCTGCTAATGCTTTTACCTGTCATTGTTTAAGACGTTGCATAGCTGGGAAATAAAGTCCAGAGATGGCACGTGTCTTCACCATCGCCTGCAGACCCGGCCCTTCTCCCATGAGCCGCGTATGACTTTGAACTGTCGAACATGGCAGTTTGATTCAACGAGCCCAATACCCACCGCTGCTCTGCAAGCCTGCCAGTCTACGCTAAAACCAGTATCGCGGAATGGGGTATTGGAACACTAGCAACGACCAACGCGGGAGTGATGGCCCTCGGCCGACCGGGGTGCAGACAAGACGTGCCGGCAACACACACCCCAGGACCCCTAATAATCCTAATTACTTTCTAAACCAATTCAACAAATTGGTGAATGTCTGGATGACAGGGCGTCGAGCGCCCAGACTCTCCTGCCCTGCAAAATGGGGCTCCGCAAAATAAGACGGTGACAATTTGGCAGATGAAGACCAGCAGCTCAACCAGACAATACAGATACCACCTGCTCATCTCGAAAAGCAGCACCCCCGCAAGTTGTAACACACCAGACGAACAGAGGGAAATAGAGACGCAGACGCTGGAGCCATCTGACTGACAATGCATCCGTCCGTACCCACTCCATCTCCCTCTCTCTCTCTTTCTCCCCCGAGTCTAGACAGACCCAAAAAGCCATATGTACACGCCGGCTACAGCCGACCGAGCCTTCGTCTTTTAGACCGCGCTACCTTGACTAGAGTCTGTGGCCTGCTCACAGGGGTACATGTGGCATGTACTTGACGTCGACCAGGGCGGCCAGTCTTGAGGGGGCACTGACATCCTTTCGCCAGCCCGGCTCTGATTTGCTTGTGGTACGTACATTGTCTCTCTCACTCTCTCTCCTCCCCACCACCCTGGGCCCAGCTTTCGTTCCTCTTTTCTTTTGTTCGATCAGAGGAGCTCACATACGTAACAAACAGGATCTACCATCCCGAAGAACCCGTCCGCCGCCTGCAAGCCCGGCCCTTCTGGCTGATGACACCACTTCTCCTTCCTCTCCTTCCGTCTGGGTCAAAGATAACACCGATGGAGCTCGACGTCCGGCCACTGTAATTCCATCTCCCTTTGGCCATTGGAGATGACGAAAACCGAATGGTAACATAAGTAGGCTCTTGGTTCGTCTCTCGCCTTTCAAATTCGCCGGGCGTGACCTCGTGTTGGCCCCCCTGGTCATCTCATCTGCGCCAAGGAGGCATGGGATGGGGTGCAGGACCTTGGACGTCAGGCCAGCTAGCTGCTGCTGCTCCAAATGCTCCCCCTCCAATGACCCAAACTCATCACCACCAGCTTCGGCGTGCTGCCACTGCGGCAACACCAGCCAGCCTGGTGTTGTCGCTGCTATGCCAGATTAGCACCCCCGTAAAGTAATCACCGCACGCACTTGAGACCGTCTCCCTTCTAACGAGTGACGCTCCTGGGAAACCAGAGCCCGTTCTCTCCCCCGCAAGGCCCGGGCATCTCGGTGGCGTCCAATAGTCTCTTCTGCATCGGACAATTCCCTTGGTCTTTTTTTTTTTTTTCGATCTCAGCTGCCACCCGAGCGCAAACAACCACTTCCCTCATCATCAGTGCGTCAAGCGGGACAGTTAAACAGAGAACAGACCCGCTTTGTTTAATATGAGAAACACAGAAAAGAGTATGCATCCAAGACGTCGTTATCTGTGGGATTCGAGATCGACGCTGGCACTCACTCAGCAACAGTGCCTGAATCGATTAGCCGATTTACTTGGCCAGGCCAAGCTTCAAACAGGGAAGCCAAACGGGCAGCTGGCAAGCTCCCGACAAGGGAGAGAGAAGACCGCTAAGGTGATCTGATCAGCCCAACCCCCGTCCCTCCTGGCATACCAATGACTTTGGCTGCGCAATCAACAACACGCAAGCCGCCACAACTAGACACACAAGCAGACGCAACCAAGCAACACGAGTTTTCAAACCCCAGGCCAAATATCTTCCAGTACTTGGCAGCAACAACAATAACAACAACAGCATGACAACAGAATCTTGATGCGCCATCCCCCCAAATGTCTGTCGGGCATCGCGGCCCTTGCAAACTTAACCAAAACGGCACGCATTCTGACAGCTGTAACCCCCCATGGCCCCCTTTTCTTTTTCTTGTGACTCTTTTTTCGAGATCGGGGAGCCGCCTTCCGTCGCTACGGGACTCCGTGGAGCAAACTGGAAGCAGCATCATCCTGGACTCATGTCGCCAATCTGAAACGCAAGCGAGCTACTTGCGGACAAGAGCATTGGAGCAAAATTCTGATAATGGAGCTCGTTCATATAAAAGACGATCATGGGGGGCATTGATTAATATCTATAGCGGCGGTAGTTGTTGTATAAGGTAATGAAGTGCATGGGCCGAGCGAGGCGCCAACTTTGCCAGGCGCGATCTCGCAGAGATTGGCAGATTGCAATGCAACTCGGCCAGATGAGGACTCCAGTTCTGCCATTTCTTTTGTCGTCCACATCGCAGAGCATGCGACCCATCCATCATCTCCCCTATTCCTGTGCCATCGTTTCCACCTGAGTGGCTAATCTTCCCGGCCGTGCTCTTCATCCACTCTGATGCGGGGATGTAATCAAGCGAGTCGTTCATCTCATTTGCGGCAATGGATAACGAACCGCCTCTGGCGCGCACCGGTCGAACCACCAAGACCCGCTAAGCCTGAGCCCGAACCTGGGCTCTCACGCTCTTGATATTGGCTAACGAGAAAACCTGCTCCCTGCTTTTTTAAGAATAACTAACCTGCACTCTCACGGCCGCGCCCCCCGCCGACCCGAAGAGCCTTGTTTTTTTTCAGCCCGACCAAACATCCATGAAGCCTGTCTTGACATGATGGGAAACACCCAGTCCGGAGCGTACGGGCGAGTTCCAGACGTTCGGCCTTGACCGTCTAGAATCTTCTCGGCTCATTTACCAAGGCAGATGCAACGGTGTCGAGAGCCCCTTTCCGAGCACAGCTTCAGCCGTGCCAATGTCACCTTGATAGAAAACATCAGTCAACGTGTCTTGTCATGCTGGACGGTGCGACATTAACGTCGGCACTTACCCGGACCTCTCGGTGCCCAGTACTCGCCTGTCTTGGATATGTCAAGCTTGTCCGTCCACGCGACGAGACTCTCGGCCGCCTCGTCGGGGGTGACAGCTGCGGTTTTGGACGTCAGTAATTCACCACATGCAAGGGACATTCTGACGGGAGGAGACTCACCACCTCCATCATCCCAGTGCTTGTCGAAGCCAACGCCTTTGGTCATCTCGGTCCGCATGAAGCCCGGGTGGACAATACTGACGATGACGCCCTTGTCCTTGAGATCGAGGCTGAGCAGCTTCCCCACCATGTTGAGGGCTGCTTTGCTTGCGTGATGAGCGTAGTTACCGCCGCCCTCCTTCTCATGTCGGAGGGTGATGCTCCCGGACTCCGATGAGACGAGCACGATCTTGGAGTCTTTCTGCAAGAGACCGGCATGCAACAGCGCATGGACGATGAAGACGGGGGCAATGGAGCTAGTCGTATACATGCGCTGTTCCTCAGACCAGTTCGGACCCTTGTCGGCGCTGAGATCCTCGGTCGCAAAGTATCCGGCCGTGATGACCTGGCAGTGTCAATGTCCCAATTACATATATCTGCGCTCCCACTTGCAGAAAGTCACATACCACTGTCGACAATGGCTTTGAGCCTCCCAGCAGGCTGACCAAGTGGTCAGCGACATCGGACTTCATCAGATCGATCTCAGGCAGCCACTTGACGCTCTCGGGGAAGCCTTTCTCTGGGCCAGCCTTGGAACGCGTTGTACCGTACACGGTTGTCCCGGACTTTGCGGCATACTGCTTGATCAGAGAGGCTCCGAGACCCCGAGTGGCGCCAACAATCAAGACTGGAGACATGGTTGCCCAATGTGTGATTAATTCACCCTTTGCGGAATCTTTTGCGTTTCTAAATTTGTTCACTCTTCAAACGGTGTTGGAATGCGGCACAGTTGGAAATATTTATTTTGAGGCAGCCTAGGGCGACACGGGAGGAATGTTGAAGGGAGAGACAGACATCTTTTCCCGCTGTGACGTAGGTGTTGGGGTCGTGGCGTAAGGTATGTACGGCGGGGGAGGGGTCGGCATGAATGACGCCTTATCGATAAAGCTGGTGTGCTTGCTGTGCTGAATGGGGGTATTGCTGACTGATGAGGGTGGTAGAAACTTTTGACGTTGTTGGAGTTCCCGCCTTCTGGCATCTGCAACTATGAACCCAGCCAACCTGTCAGTTGAATGAATCGCATCTGAAGAACGCTCGGTGGTCGAGTGCTCTTTGTTCACTTGCATGTGACGCCTTGACGCCACGGCGGGTGCGTTGGTTTCCACAGCATTAACTCAATTCCTGCAAGCAAAAGTTTCCCATGAGCTAGTCATGGACAAGGGAGACGGAACTTGATAGTTTGGAGAATCTCGATGTGTTTGGGGTCTTTATGGTTTCTTCGTCTCAAAGTCTGTTGACAAGCTGCATAGCATCCAACCGGGTGGGGTGGGAGTTCGTTGAAGCCCGCAATCCAACCAAGCCGTCGTTCCGACCGAGCGGATAGACATTTGACCGGACCCTAATGCTAGCAACGGAGGACGTGTGGGCGGAAACGGTTTCTTCTGGTCTTTGAAACTAATACGCGGTGGTTGGTTTCAACTCGTTCCCCCCTCCATCAACCCTGCGCTGTGATGTTTGAGTATTCCCGGTTAGGTAAACCGATGGGTTTGACAGCTGCGACTTCGTATTCGTTTGAATTGTCCGTTGGACCCTTTGGTGATTACCTTTTTCAGCTGCTCATCGCGTCGTGATTCCGTAGCTGTGGGCTAGATAGATATGAGCTGTGCTGTGCTGTCGAATTTGATGACTATTGCAGACTCTCTTTCATTCACGTAGCGCTCGTCGATTTCGGCCAAGATGATCATAAGTTACAAAAGCCTCGCGATTTATACCGTCGCTTTCACATTCGTCTATGTAAGGACTGAGAAAATCGCCGTGAACCTTTCCTAATCGTATTGCAGTATTTCCTTCTCGGCATATACAATGTCTTCTTCCACCCGTTACGCCACTGCCCCGGTCCTCTCCTCTGGCGAGCCAGCCCATTGCCAAAGAACATTTACATGCTCAGGGGCACCTACGCCCACAAGGCACGAGAAATTCACAACAAGTACAAGGGAACCGTCCGTGTAGCTCCCAACGAGCTCTCCTATATCCATCGTACATGCCCCTGACATCTCGGCTCGTCCGTCCCTGAAACTAACTCGTCCTCGCAGTTCAAGCATGGAAAGACATCCTCGGCCGGCCCCTCAAGAATGAAATGTCCAAAGACATGCGCTACTTTGGCGGCGACACCTTCGGCCGTGACAGCCTCGTCACGACTCTCCCCGAGGACCACACGCGCATGCGCCGCATCTTCAACAGCGCCTTCACCAACACCGCCCTCATGGCACAGGAGCCACTGCTCGTGAAATACGCGGACCAGATGATCGACTCCATGGGCGCTCTCGTGTCGCGCTTCGGACAGGTCAACCTCGTCGACCTCTTCAACTTTTGCACGTTCGACATCATGGGCGACCTTACCTTCGGCGAGCCCCTGCACTTGTTGGAACGGGGAGACTACCACCCCTGGGTGCACAACGTCTTCGCGGGGCTAAAGTATGTAATCTACGGCGTCGTGCTCCTCGAGTTCCCCATCCTCGGGCCCCTCGTGAAATCCGTCTCCGCGAGGCCCCTGAAGAAGAAGGCCGAGGGACACCAGAGCTTCGTCGGGGACCTGGTCAACCGCCGGATGGAGGTGAAGGATCACCCAAAGCCGGATATCTGGAGCTTCGTGCTCCGACGCAGCGGCGACGAGGGTAAAGGGTTGAGCTACAAGGAGATGCACGCCAACGCGACCATGTTCATGGTCGCCGGCACCGAGACGACTGCTACCGTGTTATCCGGTGTCTCGTACCATCTCATGCGGAACCCGAGGGTGTACGGGTTGCTTACGAAAGAGATTCGCGCGGCGTTCTCGCGGACGGAGGACATGACGACTGATCGGCTGGCGAAGCTCGAGTATCTGAATGCGGTGCTGCAGGAGGGTTTGAGGATATATAACCCTGCTGGCGCGGGCATGCCGCGGATTGTGCCGAACGGTGGTGCGGAGGTCTGCGGCGAGTTTGTGCCTGGCGGCGTGAGTCTTTTTTTTATTTTTTTGGGTTTCTCTTGATGGAATCTTAGTAGTGATGATGAAATTGGCTAATGTGGACGTGTGTAGACTCTTGTCTCGGTCAACCTGCACGTCGCCTTCAAGCATCCTGACAACTGGGCGCGGCCGGATGAGTTTGTTCCGGAGCGGTGGCTCCATCCGAACGATCCGGAATGGAAGAACGATAGGCGTGATGTCCACGAACCGTTCTCGTATGGGCCGAGAAACTGCATTGGAAGAAAGTGAGCTTTGCTGGCCCCTTTTTTGTGACTATGTGTTTTTTTCTTTTTCTTTAAAGTGGTCTGATGCTGACGTGCGATGCAGCCTCGCCTGGCTTGAGCTCCGTCTTATCCTGGCAAAGACGCTCTGGCATTTTGATATGGAGATGTGTCCTGGGATGGAAGGCTGGGTTCATCAGAAGGCGTATATTACGTGGGAGAAGGGGCCTTTGATGGCCAAGTTGGTTCCTATGAAGAGGCAATGAGGTATCAATGTGTAAATGCAGCGAGTGTGTGTGGAATAAGCTACGTCCCTGGTTGGACGTACGCAGTGAGACCTCTTATTTCCCTTTTCTTCGTCACTTGATGTGAACAAGCGGTGGAAGACCAGCTAACATACTTCACGCGACGAGTGAATACGCCTGTTATACAGCATATTGACGTACTGATGACCGTTGTATTGCAACAGACGGGAGATCTCAAGTAAGATATCTTGCTAGTAAGTACAATCAAGTCTGCGAGCCATTATTTACTGCACAATGCCACTACCCTCAGTGAGTTTTATTCATGTTGTGGCCACAGACCAAAACAGTATCGTGAAGCAGAGTTGGGATGAACATGTTCGTCATATTACACGATGTCCGGGTGGCCCACGATATCCTCACTTTCGTCGCGTTCAGGAGATTATGCGAAAGGATCTGTATACTTGGCATCCAAGCGACAACGTTGTGAAATATTCAGAGCTTCCGAGGTCTTTGCGATCTTGGGGGGTCCATTTAACCTGGCAATTTAATAGGGTTGGTCGTAGTAGGTTGTTGATGTTAAATGAATGCTTATTGTCGCCTATTAATTAGCGGTAACAAGTTTAGATGAGACCGACACAATCCCACTACCACGATCCATGGTATTGCTGGAAGTAACAATCAAAAATATGGTAGGTCTTGTTTGGTTTCCCATGTGATGTGTATAGTCGTAGGTAGGTAAATATAGTAAGATCCACGATGCCGAACAAAGCTGATACGAACAGCAGAGTATATACACGGAGAACATAGGCCAGACGTCACTCCAAAGCCATCTGGCTTTCCCACTAATATAAACCGATAGCCTCGCCAACCACGCTCCTGAAGACGCCGTTGGGGTCGAACTTCTCCCTCACGGCCTTGAAGCGGGCAATATGCTACGACAGAAATCAGTTCACGGTCTTCGCGCTTTTGCACACTGACCAACTTACATCGGGGTCCAGATTCTTCTTCGACTGCGCAAAGACTTCTCTGGTATTCTTCGTCCAGTGCGGACGGCACGGGAACTCATCGATGAGAACCTTGGCAAGGTTATGATCTGGCCCCAAACAGTCAGCAAACATCCCCTTCACTCCACGCAAGCGGGACAACTCACAAAACGGCTCATTGAACCGGCTTCCATCGCCGACAGTAGGCCTAAACGTGGGGAAATCAAACATGATGGCGCCCTTGCTCCAATCCGCGCCATCGCTAGTGTTGGTCGCAACCTGACTCAGGAACCCCTCGAAGGGCCGGCCAAACTTGATGTTAATGCCGCTGCGGTAGGTCGCCGTCATGAAGATGAGCTTCTTGAGCTCGTCGTCGAAAAGCTGCCGCACGCGCTTCAGCATCGCGTTGGCCTGCGTGATGGGGAACGCCAGCTCGAGCGTGTACCCCTGGACGCCGAGCTCCCACAGCGGGCGCTGGTCAGGGTACAGGCCGCCGATGAGCACGTCGTAGTTCCAGCCGTAGACGGGCCACGACTCGATGGCGGCGTTGGTCGTCTTCTCGCGGAAGTTGGGCTTGGACCACTGCCCGAAGAAGATCTCCTCGGCGATCATGTTGGACGTCGGCAGGTAGCGCCCGCTGTCGAGAAGGGTGCGCGCCGCCGTGGCCTCGAGGTTCGTCACGGAGAAGGTGTTCTGGAAGCCCTGCTGCGGGCTCGTGTTCTCCGGGACCACGTCGTAGTAGCGCCAGTGGAACTTGCGCTTGTACGGCCACCACTGGTAATGGTCAGCCGAGGTAAAAGAAAAACGCAGGTTCGGAGGTTACATACCCAGAAGTTTGCCGTTGCGTACGGGGCAATCATGCCGTAGATGTCTCCGTCGAGAACATCCTTTTCTTCCAGTCTTTGTTGCTGTCAGTATTACTCGGGGATGTCAAATGCCCAAACTCACGTCTTCTGGTCAGCATAGACCTTGAAGTCGGGGTAGATCTTGAACTTCATCCTGACGATGACACCCAGGAGTCCCAGCGAAGTTGACGCAGCAAGCCACTCATCGCTCCCCTCATTCTTGACAATGTGTCTCAACTCCCCGTTACCATCAATGATGTCCAGCTCCAACACGCCTGTAGCAACCATTGAGTCCTCCCGGATCGACGAGCGGTGAGCTCCCATCGCAACGCAGCCAGCAAGCGTAATGTTCCAGTTGACGAGGGTATACCCCGCCGATGCGCCGCGGGCGTGCAGGTACTCTGCGAGCTGCAGAAACGTCACACCGGCCTCGATCACGACGGTGCCGGCGTTGAGGTCGAACTCGGAGATGCCGTTGACCTCTTCAGTACGGATGATGACGGTGTTGGGGTCGTCAGAACACATGGTATCGTACCACATGTGCCCCTTTCCCGAGGCGCGGACCTTCTGACCCGCGGCGATGGCGCCCTTGACGAGGGACTGGACTTCATCGACAGATGTGGCGTTGTAGACCGCCGCCACGTTGCGGCAGGCTGGGAACCCCGGGCCGTCAAAAGTGTTATAGGTGACCGCGGCGGCCAGGGGAGCGAGAGCGAAGGCCGCTGCCGCCAGGGAATGGAGAGACTTCATTGTCACGAATCAGACGGAACAGAATCAGAATTACACCGAGGGACCCGGACTCCCAAGATCCCATGTCGAGAGAACAAGAAACAGGCGGGACAATGGGACGAACATGTAGTTCACTTATACCACGTTCCTCTCCACAAACACAGTCCATCACAACACGCATGCCGCCGTCCAAACCCCCCTTCCTTTTCCTCTGCCGCGGAACTACAAAGTAACCTACAAACTTTCATGTGACGCCGGTCAATAATACCTCTCAAAAGAGACAGAAAACGAGCAGACACATACAGCAAATACGTCACGCAGATCAATTTCGTCCGACCAGCGCAGGAACACCATGTAGCATCGAGTGGCAGCTCATCAAAATCAGCGTCCCTCCCCCCTCCCCCTCCCCCCGCGTGCCCAACACGGACGCAGCAGGGTGCCAAAACGGGCAGCCAAGGCGGAAGAGCAGCCCTGAGAAGAGACATGCGGCCGATGGACGATGTAACCTGCTGCTTCCCCTTGTCAGATGCGGTGGTGGGAAAAAAAAAACGCGGGGAAGGGGAAGATCCCTATTCACAGCATCCCTGCCTTGCAGATGGCCGTGTGACGAGAGACTGGGAGGGCGGTTGATTGCGGGGGTTTTTGTGAGGAACAAAAAACATGATTTTCTCTTGGGGGTTTGGTCTAGTTGCTTCGCGGGATTGCTACAGTAGATACGACTCGGGAAAGTCGCCCGAGTCCTAAGTAGGAAGCTGTATTCTCTCACCCTCGTCTACGTGTTCTCGGTATATGATACGGCGTGATTGATGGTGTTGGATTTGGCTTTTATGCGAAAGGAGCTTGGGTTTAGCGCCAGGTCTGTCATGATGAGCAGGGGTCCAACTCTGGGGTAACCTGGGGAAGAAGAGATGGAGCAATTACATGGTTGGCAACAGACACGAAAGATATCCCTAAACTCCGCATCGTTGATCAGTAGACTTTTCAACAAACCTGTTACCCAGACAGAAAAAATATACACAATCGGTATTAGTAGAGCCAACCAATACCGGATACCGCAGACCAAGTCAGAGGAAAGAACTGTACCTTGTGGTCATTCTCATTTGCTGTTTCCGTGGTCCTTCATGCTGGTTTTCTACAGTTCATCGATCTTGGAAATAAATCTGAGGAGGGATAGTTAAAGAAATAGTCATTTCCCCTCTCAATCCAGCCTCGCGGATGCCTGCCACTGGGGAGGAAACCTGGAGTAAAGAATCTATTTTTGGCGTTGAAAGTGAGGATGGAGCCGGGCCTTTTGTGTTTAATACTTTTTCAATAATTGGCAGTCCGTCTCTAGGGCCGACTTTAAGTAGTGTGAGTATCTCCTGGGCGGCGACAAAACTGAAGTTGACATGATCAAAAACGAGGAACCTGTTGAAATCAACAGGCGCAGAGTGAGGTCCAAAGAGGCGGTGAAGGGAAATGGAATTCAGGGCTTATTCTTACGAGAGATTCGAGATTTTTGAGTTGAAGGACAATTGCAACCATCGTGAATTCGCGTGTCTATGCCACCGATATAATAGGTAAATGCCATCAGTCACAAGTAACAAACTTCTTAGCTGATGGTTAGTTGAAGAAAAGAAAGTAATCTCCCATAGTGAATGGGTTGAGCGCTAGTCTTTAAACAGGGTATGAGAATGATGGGGCTGGCCCAGGCACCCATAAACTTGTAAGGTAGCAATAGTCGACACATTCAAGTAAAACACAAACAAACAAAGTACATCCAGTCTAACCAGAAAGCGGCGAGAAGCTCCCATCACGAAACAGCACACTTTACAACAAACATCACATGTCAGCAAGCCTAAGTAAGGAGTCGAACACATCTATTCTCTCTCAAAGCAACTCTACGACGTAAGACACAAAAAAAGTAAACCACATCCCCAAGATTATCAGGGGGGGGGGGAGGAACACGGTCCCGCAACGAGCGGCGAGACAGCCCCCGCCCCCGCCCCTTCTTTTGATGCTCAATAGAAACAGAAAAGAAAAATCGCATCTCTTCTCTCTCCAAACACACCGGAATAAATTCTGCAAATAAAAAAGCTTAACAAGAATTAACTCCTTAAAAAATAGAATTTGTCCATGGAGCTATGGATCTGATGCTGATGACTTCGTAAACTTTGTCGTTGAAAATCATACTCAGGCACCTTAGACACCGGTGGGCAAGGGCAGGAGGGTCGTCTGCCCCAGAACCCAGGATCCCGTAATGATACGGCAGAACTGGCCAGTCGGGGTCGCGGCGCCTGAGGTGTAGAGGCCGGGGGGCAAGCTGAGGATGCTGCCGGTCGGCGCTTGGGTGATGACTGAGGTGAATGTGAAGGACGCGGTGGTGCCGGATCCGGTGCTGACGCTCACGCTGGTGAGGGTCGAGACGGGGCCGCCGTCGATGCGGACGTAGATGATGAGACGAACTCCGGCCGGGACCGGCCCAGTCTGACGCTTGGCGAGAGGGTTACCAAGACCACCGCAGCGCTGGTTGTTGTTGCCGGGGCAGCGGGTGTTGCACTCTGTTATAGCAAGCTGGCGGGTGTTGGTGGTAGGGAGCGCACTACCGCAGTAGCACTCTGTGTTGTAAATACCGACGTATCTAGACGTGCCACAAGCCGCAATGCAGTTCTCCACGTTGTTACCGCCATCACGCCTGGACAGCACAAACGAAAAGAAGTTGCTGGTTGAGCCGTAGCAACCCAGGAGCGCATACGCACCCACGAGGCCGGGGTTGGAAAGGGCAGCAGTACTGGGGCTCGGGGTAGGGCTGCTTACTCCACTGGTAGGTCCAGTAGGGCGGATGGTAGGGGAGGTAGGGCTGGCTGCGGGAGATGAGACAGGGCTGGTGGGCGGGCGGCTCGTAGAAGTCGGGATGGTGAGGACAGATGAGCTGCCGTCTTCACGGATGTAGATGACGAGACGAACGTCAGGCGGGACCTGCTGGCGACGAGCAAGCGGGGCACCGCGACCACCGCACTTCTCCGCGGGGTTGCCAGGGCAGTTGATGCTGCACTCGCTGTTGGGGACTCTGCGAGAAGAAGTGGCTGGAAGGGCACTTGCGCAGTAGCAGACATTGTCGAAGAGACCGGCGATTGGTTGGCCGGCGGCCCTGCAAGCCGCAGTACAGGAAAAGGCAGAGTTGTCGGGGCCTCGTCTGTTCTCCACGAATGCTGCCTGGCCGCCAACGGTGCCAAAGCAACCCAAAAGCGTGTAACCGTTCGCGACGGGAGGGTTGGGCAGAGTGTCGGCGGGAGTTGAGCTGACAGGGGGGGGAACGACGACAGCACTGGACGAAGGGTTGTTGGCAGGGGGCGCAACGTCGCCGATGGCGAAGTGAATCTCGCCAGTGTTTCCACCGCAGTTCTCCTGGTCGATGGCAACAGTACCATCGCAAGACTGGTTGCAGTTAGAATCTGCCACAGTCGAACTCGTGGCAGTGGTGCCACAGGCGCAGATGAAGCCAGTGTTGGGAGTGCCGCCGGTCTGGGGGTTGACTCCAAAGTAGATGGCGTAACCGGTAAAGCCTCCGAGTCCAGCACAACGGTCGCTGCACTTCTGGCGCGTCATCTGCTGGATGAGCTGTGGCGATCCGGAGAAGGCTCCGATGCTGTAACAGGTGCCAGGAGCGGCCGGGGGCGGTGCCGCATGGGCGACGCTGGAAAGGGACACGGCGGCCAAAAGGGCCGCCTTCTTAAGCCAACCCATTATGTCTGGTTAAATGTTCGAGAGTGACGACTTAGTTGAGAACCAGGAAGCCAAGAAAAGGCAAACTTTGAGACCGAGAGGTATTAGACGGGAGCAGGTACTCTTCAAAGAGCGCTAAACGCGAACAAAAATCCAAGCGACAGTAACGAGTGAATGTTCACTTGCCTGGAAAAAGGAACCCAGGAAGGATGAACGAGAGGCAACGAAGCGAGTGTGAGTTGGAGCGTGGTGTCGAGAGAGTAGAATCTTTCTGCCAGAAACGAGGAGAATCTTGGCCGTATTTGAAAGTTTTCCTTCCTTGGGGCCAAGCCAGTCACCCATCAACAAGGAGAAATTACTCCTTTCTCCCATCATCCCAGCGCTGTTGTGGTGCTGCCAAAACACTTTGCACCGTGCATCTGGAATGCGTGAAATGAGGCCTCTCAGTCCCGGCCGTCGGTGATGCTTGTCTCCTGAACGCCCTCCATTCCACCCATCCTTCTTCATCTGTGCTATGAGTGCTTTTCTTGTATGTGTGCTAATGTGTTTGGTCTCGCCCCTCATTTCGGTCTTCGCCTCCCGCTTTAGGGTCGACACAAAAAATAAGGGAAATAGGAGAGGGCCACATGGAAACAAGAACCTGGCCAGAGAAGCGTAGAGTCTGCCACCGTCTGCCTCATCCTGGCTCTTGCTCGCCCTCCGTCGGTATTACCTGCCCATCATTTACCCGCGGAACAGGAGTACATGTCCAATGATCTAACGACCAAAGAAGACAAAACCAAACCAGTCGTCACGAACTCCCCAGAGAAGTCCATAGAGCCAGGAAGGTTCCGTTATTTTCCTGCGGCATGGTCCACAGGCGTCACGGCCAGGATGAAAAGAAAAAATATAAAAAAAAATAGGGGGGAATGCCCACGACCGCTGTACTTTCCACCACATGTTTGAGCAACAACAGTGGGAAAAATGACCCAAGGTCGAGGGGCAGAGGCCTGCTTGGGATTCTGGCGAAGAATGCAGAGGGGCCGTCGTTGATTCAGGGGTTGAGGGGCAACCGTTCTGACGTTTAATACCAATGCATGCCGTAGTTCTTCCCACCAACTAGAGAAGGGGGCAAATGAGCACTCGCAAGAATCGGTATTTGGGGGCTATATCCGTCCAGAAATAACATGGCGGTGTCTCTGCGATATGTTGGTGGAACGGAGAATTGGACGAGCCTAGCCTCAGTTCGATCGGCAGGAATAGCAAGTTGCGTTGTGCAATAAACGGCTCGCTTCTTTTTGAGTCAACATCTAACCCATACCCTTGGTGAGAAACTTTGCCGTCCCAAACATGTGGACATGTCGTGAGAGTGGAGGCCAACACGTGAAAAGGCAACGGGCCAGCATTTCGACAAGGTACGAGGCAGAATTCCAGACTCGAGGCCCCCCCCTCCCCATCGCGTCCTCTCATGCTCAAGAATCCAATGCGACGGAATGTAGTTGACGCTAACCGATGACGATGAGTGGAGGGAGAGGTTGGACCGTAGGAGGACGAATCCGGTCGAAGAAATGGCCTGAACACTGGGTAGTGTCCATTCAAGCCAAAGGGAAATATCCCCCACGGCGCCACCTGCTCTCCCTGCATTGGCCATGTTGTTCTGAGTGCCCTTTCGGTGGAAACATGTCGTTAGCTTCGTTGCGTTTTGTCTTCCAGACCGCAAAAACACCTACACAAACACATCTTCCCGTCCGAATAAGCCCAGAAAGTGGCGTTTATGGCTTCCTTTCTTCATATGATCCCCTCTCCAAAGCTCAGGCATAAGAACAATCTGTGCCCACTCTCCCCATGCCAGTATTTGATTGCCAATATGATGGAAGATTCGCAACCATCCAAAAAAAGAGTTATGCCGGAATCTCTTTGCCTTCCAATCGGCTCATGGCGTGGCCGACGAAGAGTTTTCGTTTCCTTGGCTTCAGCAGCAACCCCCCCGTGCCAGATGAACCGTCTAGCAACATTTCCCTCTCAACACCAAGAAAGGGAGACCGCGCTTTGCTGTGGACAATGCGCTAAAGCAAGCAAGCAAGCTCTTCAAATATAAATCAATACTGCTGACAGTCAGCGGCGCTGCTTTAGGACATCATTGAACTTTGAGACTTCACAATGGCATCGAGGTCGTGGGTAAATGCACTGGGACAGTCATCCCCCTGGGTAATCAATGTTTTCTTTTGATGACTGTATAACCTAGCCGCAGAGGCGATTCGATCCCAAAAGTACTCCCAGTTACAACATGTCCGCAGGTATAACCCCAAGTCTTACAGATACCTTCTACAACAAGCAGATGAGGCAATAACATAGCCTCCCTCCGGACCAGTCCTTCATCCGCGTCCATGCTCACCTCCCTAATATCCCTTGCATTCCTCCAAAGTCTCTAATCGACTACTTCTCCTCGCGTGCCTTGACCTCGCTCTTTTAGGCTAGTCCTGTCATTCAACTGTCTCGGAGGCTGGCTGTTGGGCTCATCACACAAGAGCCGTGTGTCGTGCAGGGCAAAAATTACCCCTCAAACTCGACAACTCCCTTAGCATTCGCCTCGCTCCTGGTAACTGGTTCAATGTCGACGAGTTGGCCTTCCTTGCCGTTGCCGCTGGCACCAGCTTCGGCGTCAGCACCATCAAGCAGATCTCGGTCTTCACTCCGGACACTCCGTCTCTCAATGTCGGCACTTCCTCCGGCTGTACCTTTTCTGATGCCGATTTCGACTCCAATATCTGCATCATCTTCCTCTTCCTCGTCCCTTTGACCGGGCAGGGCGTTCTTTTCCAGTTCCTTTTGAGCCTCCTCCATTCTTCTGCGGACCTCGGCAGCGACACGCATGCCGTCTGTGACGATGTTATCAAGCACTCCGCGCAGGCCACGAGTGGCACCCTGGGCGGCAGGGTTCATGGCGGCAGCCGGTGCACGTCCAAAGTTAAGACTAGAGAAGGTAGTCAAGGTGGAAGTCGGGGTTGAGACCTGAGGTAAACCATCGATGAGATGGAAGGAGGTGGGGAAAGAAGACTCAAAGAACTGCTCCAGAAGCTCGTCGGCGAGTACGACCATGCGGAAAGTAGGAAGTGTGATGTGTAGAGGGTTGGCCGGGTCTAACGCAGCATTTGCGGCTTCTGACTGCGCCTTTGAGACACGTCTCTGGGTCGGACTTTCGGCGGGGAGCTTATCTTCCGAGGCTGAGGGCGAGTCATCCGAAGATCTCTTCGCCTTAGACGGACTTCCAGTGGGCGATTCCATGGCAAGAAGGTCTTCTTCATCATCATCCTCATCATCGCCGATAGCGAAAGCGCCGTCGGTGTCCGCAGACTTGGACTTCTCTTCATTTTCCTTTTGATTTTGATTATGAGGGTGATCTGGATCAGCATACTCGAAGCATCTCCTTATGAATGCGCTGACGCTTCCCAAGAACTTCTCATTTGTCGATATCCCGGGCAGGCTGGAATCGAGTCCATGGTTACCCATGCCGTTCGGCGTATTGAGGGTAAGGCTAGAGGCGCTCGGGCTAAGGGTTCCCTCGAGCCCTCGTCTTGATAAGAAAAGGAGCGCTTCGGACATGCGCAGGATACCCTCACGATCGACCTTACCGTCCCCGTCATCGTCGTACAGTTCAAAGAAGTAAGTAATGGTGCCCATGATATCCCGTTTGCCCTTGATACTGGCAAAGCCAGCAACAACGTTTGACAGAGTCAATGCACCTGTGCCACTAACGTCCCATTTCTTGAAAAGAAGCTGCATAAATTCATGATCTGCGGGCTCTGGTCCGGAGCCCCAAGGAGATAGCAATCCGTTAGTCTGTCGACGGCTGGTATAGGCATTTCTATCCTTGTCCGCAAATGTGTCACGTCGTGGGGTTGTGGGCGAGTCTGATATGGCCCATTTGGCCATGTTTGCAAGGAACTCTCTAAAAGCATCGTAGTCCATCAGGCTCGTACTGGGCCCGAGGGCAACTCGGCCTTTTTCAACTCCGTGGTCAGGGCTGTCTTCAAACACATCTCGCGCTCTAGGCCGTGCATTCTTTGCGCGACGTTGCTTCTCTTGCTGAATGATGCTGTCTCGCTGCTGTCTCTCGTATAGAATGGTGTAGAACCGATCATATAACGCGCCCAACTCCTCAGAAGCAAGAAGCTTGCTGTCGGGGCCCAAGTTTCGAATGGCCGTTCTCTTGGCGAAACTTTCAATGTTACTAAGGACGGCATCCTTGTTCTTTAAACGCAAATCGGTAATGCTGCTGTGAGTGATTCCGGAAAACTCCTTAAACGCCACCACCATCAGCTCTTGGAACTTTGTCACGGCGCGCAACTTGGGGTTCTCCGACTTCGGGTGCGCTGACTCGTCAAGGCGCGCAAAGTACGTCTTCAGGATAGAAATGAAGGCGCCATCGTCCGCAGCGTCAAGGAGCTCCTCGCCGTTGATCCTCAAAATTGCCAGGCCTATCTGGAACAAAACCTTGGGTCCTTCGACGAAAAAGACATCCAGGACCCTGAAGGCGAAGACCAAAGGCATGGAGTTGACATACAAGGACAAGAACCAAGGCAGTGAGACTACCGAAAGTTGGACATCGCTCTTGACCAGATGTTCCCACAAAACCGGCATCGTCTTCTCCACAAGCGACTCGAAAACTTTCTGGTCCAGGAGTGTGCCGTACATAGTTGTCGAATAGTATCCGGGAACAAGTCTATCGCAAAGCGAAGACAACAGGAAGAAAGCTTGCGTCTCAGACATGTAGATGAGCAGGGCCGCAACGACAATGTTCATAGCCTGGCAATATCCGACGTCAGGGTTGACCCAACTATAGGCTGTAAGGACTCGTCGGAGACGGCCAATACCCTCTTCACTCTGGAAGCCGGGATACTCTGGAAGACTTCGGTTCAGGTCTTTTTCGATTTCGTCAATAGCGAGCGACTCCTGACCGGCATACTTTTCCAGCGTGTCGGTGTATAAGCTGGGGTTCTCAAGTCTGAGATAGATCGATCCGGAAGTTAACTCCCAGGTTTCACCTCTCAGGCGGTTCGGCAAACCGACACGGATGAGCTTGTGAAAGGTGGGCTGTCGAATCAGCGTCATGTTCCGCCCATTATCGCGTAGGTACTCTGCCCACAGGCGCATCTTGGCCCGGTCACGCAGCTTCTTCGGATCTCCTGGGTAGCGGAAGAGCATGCCCAGGCCGGCGTCGGGAGGGCTCGCGTTCTTCTTGTCGTCCGGTCTGAGAAGATATTCGGAGTAACACTCGCCGACAACCTTCTTGTACTTGGTAACATTGCCAACACCGGCCCTCAGTCCCTTCTTCAGGCCATCGCAAAAACGCTCACAGCCCTGGCGGGTGCCCGCCAGATGTATTGTAATCCTCTGCTCCCTACTGTCCTTCTTGTCCTTATCGGCAGCCTCCTTATCCTGGTCCTTAGTTTTGTCTTTTTCTTTTTGCTGGTTGATGCCATTCCAGGTCGTAATCGCCAAGGCAAACTAAATAGAGCAGAGCGTCAGTACATGGCTTTTGCGGGGACAGCACGGACTGCTGGCTGTCATTGTCTAAATCCGGGGTCAAAGGTAACCCACCTGGAAGGTCTGGCTGTTCAGCCTCTCAACCCGTCTGATAGCGCAGAGAGGGAAGGTGAATCCATTCCCGCTCGGTCCCCCGCCATGTGTTTGGCCTGTGAAGGCTGAGCTTGTCGAGGTGCTGGCAGACTGGACGAAGCTGGATGGTGTCGTAGAGAAGCACATGTAGGCCTCGGAGAGATGCAGCTTGCCAGCATAGTGGTAGCCTCGATCGTGGTCCTTCTCGCCGTAGGTGGCATTGGCGGGGGGGATGGTCAGTTCGGCGTTGATCTCGTACAGCGGCGTCTGGGTGCTGGGAAGGCGGAACTGATTCTGGAACAGCGATGCCTTGGACGGGTTCTTGTCGGAGTTGGAAAGGTTCAAACCCTGGGTCGGGTCGATGAACTGCTGTGCCTTCTGCACGAGGCTGGATAGGTTCAACATCCTGGGGTTGCTGTACTCAGCTGGTCATGTCGCGGGGTATTGTTCGAAGGGCGGGAGTGGGAGGGCTCGGTTCAGGCCGGATGCCGCAGAGGGTCGGAAGTTTGAAGAGAGGACAGTGGATGACTTGCTGGCTTGAGGGGGTTGGCCTGGAAAGGGACGAAGGAGCTGGTTGCCAACGAAGCGAACGAACTTTGGCGTCACAGCAGAAAGAAATCAGCTTGGTGAAGCATCAGTCTGGTCCAGGACGTGGTCGAGGTTAGATTTGGCGATCGGGTGGGAGAGGTGGTGGATTGGATAGGTTGACAGGAGGAGCTGGGCTTAAGGTAAGCCGGGACTGGAGCTGAATGCAGTCAAGTGGATAGTTGGAGGTTTCCCGCCAAGACCAGGCCTGGAGGGTCCGGTACGTACCGAACTGGCTGCCATACCTACGTGCCTACCACACTAATAGCGCATTCTCAGACAATGCTGCAGTCCTGACAGTGTCTGACCACCCTGAATATCCTTTCTGATCAACCGCTGTTACTTGGAGAGAGCATAAGGCACAGCGGGCATGCGGCGAGCGGCACCCAGTCCGGCAGTCCCCTGCAGAGGGGCAGCCCCTCTTACACCTTATTCGTAACCCGCCTATCCGGCCATTCTTAGGCGGTAGCACTCCACCTCTGGTCACATCCTGCCTGTCGCTCATGGCATAGCAGGTCATGGACCTGACAAAGTCGAATGAACCCAGCTAGCCAACCCCCTTTAGCAACACCTATGGCATTTCTCTGGGCCCCGAGCATTCCAATCCCAGCGCAGCGCAAAAATGATATCACCCCTCCTCGACAATCTAGCAAGGCTGACTCTACATCATCTACTTGTCCCATGCAAGCCTGCCTGCCTCCCTTTGCCTTCTCCCATCGTCATCAAACCCCCACCAACACATGGGATGGGGCAACGAACGCGTTCGCCCAGTACAGGTGACGTGGGCGCGGTCACCAAATCACCAGAGAGATACCCATGCTAAGTGCCATTCCCGTCTTGGCTAGCTCCCACAGCTGAGACAACCCCTCGTGCTGTTCACTGCATGGGCTCAATGTTCTGATGACCTAGCCAGCTCGCACCAAAATGCTTGCTCATAATTTTGGCACTCGTGTACAATACGGGACCGCACTTCAGCCGCATCTTACTGTGATGAGATAACTTTGAAAGTTGAAGCTCCTTATCTATTCTTACAGATCCCCTTTTTTCCTAAACTCAGGAGTCGACAACAATATTCTCGCTCCTAGCCTGACAATACCAGCCAGCCTAGCCACCATTCTTCGATAGGTAGATCTCATATGCCAACGCCGGTGCCCAAAGGAAACTCCCACCAGTGCTCATCAAGGGTTTGCCCAGCAGATATGCCCTGTCCCCCTTCGTGCCTATCCCCTCGCCTGAAATCCAACGGGCCTTTTCCCATCGGAAATCCGAAATCTCCTGCTTTGTCTCGTGGGCTATGAAAGCGTCTTGCTCACTCCCGCGCTTCACAGTTGCATCCACTACAATGTTACATATTTGGAGTATCATAAATGGCCTAAAAAGAAACATGAAGACAAAACGAACTCCCAAACAAAGAACTCCCGGTGCATGAATTCATACATAGATGTCTGTCGGAATATCGTCAAAAGTCTTTGAAGTAATGGTCATATTTTTGGACCATATCTTCCGTATATGTCTCTCGCTTGCCGTCGTCTTCAGGGTAAATGTCGAAACATTGCGCGTCACCCGGATATCGAATGGGCGGGATAATCGGACCGCGGACTTTCCGGTGGTAGAGGTCGTCCCAGTTAACCCCCCGAAAGAAGGGATGCTCTTTGACCTTGGCGGCCCCTCCGCTGATGTTGCCCAACCGTCGGGACCGGTCTACGGTACAGAAAGATCTGATAAGATCTTGCGCTTCGGGAGATACTGGCGGATCTTGCGGGAACATGACTGGTTTCTCAACAATCCTGGATCGGGTGTCAGTAGCTGTGATGAGCGACGCTCCCGGTAGAAAAAGTGCCAGCCTATCCGAAGGCAACTTACTGTTTATAGATTTCAATAGGATTCTGATGCCAGAACGGCGGGTACCCCGTCAGAAATTCATATATCAAAATACCCAGTGCCCACCAGTCGACCGCTGTCGTGTGGCCCTTGTTATGGATCACTTCCGGGGCGAGATATTCGGGGGTTCCGCACAGGGTATACGTCTCGATGGGTTGCCCAGCGCTATTGCTTAACCTCTTGGCGAAGCCGAAGTCTACCAACTTGATATGACCGTCCTGGTCTAGGAGAAGGTTTTCAGGCTTCAGATCACGGTATGCGACTCTCCCTTGCTGCTCATGCAGATATTCAAGCACAAGAACGATCTCTGCAGCATAGAAGCGTGCCGTCTCCTCCTCGAACCGCCGGAACTTGCGTAGGTAGCTGAATAGCTCGCCACCGGGGACGTAGTCCAGAAGCATGTACAGGTGGTCTCGATCCGAGAAGGAGGTGATGAGATTTGTGATAAAAGGGTGGCCGGCAACGTCACCGAGGATAAGGCGCTCATGGCGAACGTGGTCGATTTGCTTGAGCTTGATGACTTCTGTTTTGCGCAAAATCTTGAGAGCAAAGACCGTGTCCCGCTCCTCCTCGGTGGCGTTGGCCGGCCGTACAAGACAAACACGGGCAAAGGTACCTGAAGCGGCGCATTTGTTAGCCAACCGAGGGGTCTCAAAAGAAGGCGATACGAGTAGACCAAAATCGAACAGACGTACCTGTGCCGAGCGTCCTCACAACACGAAAATCCTGAGGTGTAAGCTTGCGACTTGTGATGGGTCCAACCCCAGCGTCGGCATGTTGCTGCTGCCCCTGACTGTGTCCATTACTGCTGCCGCCACCCATCATCTTTGACAGTCCTCCTCCAACCTGGTTCGGAACGTGGCTCGCGTGGGCTACCGTCGCCGCCATATTATGTATCTTTTTGTTGATCGCCGAAATCCCAGTCATAAAGGGTCAGGGGTATTTGGACGGATAGTGCGTGAGAGAGAGCGTGTAGGTGCGGGTAGGCGTGTATGAGGTTCTTCTGTCGAGTTCACAGCGCACCGTCCATTACGGCCTGAGAAGCTGGCCGTTGGAGGGGGGAAAGAGGCGAAGAGAAGTAAAGAAATTTGCTGGATAAGTAGGTAGGTAGGTAACGTAAGACGGCGCCGTAGCTAATGGTGTGTTCGTTGCGCCTTGTCAGTGGTCAATGGGAGGGCAAGTTTGGGTGGGAAGGGGATCGGGTCGGATCGAGTCTCGTCTGGGGATTCGAAATGTGGTGGTTTGGGGGATGGGGTGGGAGGTCAGGCAAACTGGGGCGCTTTTTCTCCCCCGTCGTGAGTGTGTGAGAGAGTCTTGGGTTGTCTATGATATGGGTAGCGCGACGCAAATAACAGGTATTGCTTGGGTCTCGGTCTTCTTTTGGCCCCTCGACTTTGAGATCTGGGCCGTTCAGGGAGTCGACGGGGAAACCTTCAGATGAAAGGGCCGTGGCAATGACGAAAGCCAGCAGACAAGACAGCTACATAGTACTTGCGGTAGGGGAACATTTATGGGGCTGACCAGGAGGGGAGGGGCAGGCAAGCGTGGGCAAGCGTGGGCTTTCGCACCCGACGACACGGGGGTGTCCCATCCCAAGATGGGGTGGGGGGGGGGGGGGGGGGGCCACTTGCGCCTTTTGCCTCGAATCTCATTTGCACCTACCAGCTTGGCTAAGGCACTTGTACATACCGAGTATCGTGCCTGCCCTAAAACGTATGAAGTAGTGGTGATAGTACCTAGATATGGAGGCAGTACTCTCTTCACTTTGTACCTTCCCCTCCACCTTGCCGCCTTTCCTCTTTGGGTGCTTCTCTCTCTCCTTGACTGGGTCTTTCCATCCAGCCGGAGCCTGTCTGCCACACATGTAGATAAACTACTTTTACCTGCAGCAAGGTAGGAGGTACCTGATGTGATGCACACCTGCAACTGCCATAACCGCCCAGCAAACGGTGCTTGCCTGTGTCAACGACTGCTGACGGCGGGTGCGGCGTGTACCCAACCAGCGGACACGCCGATGTTATTTACCCGATATGGAATAGCGCCCAATCCATGTGGTGCAAATCCGGGGCCGTTCTCTCTTTCCTAACACTTGCGACGGTAGTGACATTCGACCTTGGGCGCTTCGGCTTCAGCTGTCTCCTCTTCTTTGCAGGAAATCCCCGTTCTGCGCTTCGCTGGAACTCGAGCTGGCACACCAGCCACGGCAGCCCACGGAGGCTTTCCGTCAACGAAAACACCCCACATATCACTTGGCCCCCTTTTCTTTTTCTTACCCTTAGCTCGCTCCGATTATCGAGGCGTCCTTATTCTGCAACGTTCGCCAACAGTTTCCGACTAGCCTCGCGTTGCTTTGTTCATCACACTTAAATCGGGCCATCAAGTCTCAGCTTGCTACGGTGCCCCAGAGAGAGAAGGGGGCCAAGGAAATAGGAACTCCGCCACTAGCAAACACCCTCCCCCTGGATGAACAGGAGATCCATATTGCCTTCTGCTTCTATCATATTGCTCACTCTCTCGTAGTTTTCCCCGGCTCGTTTCTATCCGCTGTCTGTCTCCCACTTTTGAAAATCTCCGAAACCCTGATGCGCACAAGGACTGTCATTAATTTCCAGCAGCCCCCGAAGCAACGGAAAAGGAGGCTCCATCGTCCCCTGACATATATGCTGGCCTAAGCTTCTGACTCCGTGTTTCCGCCCTTTTTCTTTCGTCTCGCCGACTTACCGCCGGGTCTGTCTTCAGGAAACACTAAGTCCTTGTAGTGTACCACCACCAGATGAAGAGTGCCGGCTTTAGGGCCTAAGTTTGCGGTAGCGGGGTGATACGTTCTTTAGCAACATGCTTTCTTCTTTCTAAAGAACAAAAATGTGGCTCAACGGGACCCCCGGATGTTAGTTGACGCAACAAGCCTCTTGGAAGGCGGTAAAGATGCTCATAAGCCATTAAGAAGATCAAGGGGAGAAAAAAGAGTGAAACTGACTAATTTGACAGCACCGAGTCGAAAGCCACGCTTCGGCTAATGAGGCGTTGCAACTAAATCACAGCGACCATCAAGGCACCCTTGGACAGAAGAGAAAAACGGAAACAATGCCCGTCATCCACTGAAAATTCACTTTCACACAGGGTATCCATTCTCACATCAGTCAGCCAGATCGCTTGCGTTCCGTTGCGGCGGCATCAAATCCGTCCCGCGGGGAGGGTACGCAAAATAGAAGCTGATACGCCATGCATGCAAGCGACTCTTATCGACGCCTATGACGCAACACATCTCTCTAAACCCCCCAAGTCTAACTCCAATCTCTCATCCCATCCCACTGTTCACCATTTCTAGTGTAATCCTCCCATCCCACCTGTTTCCTTACCGCTGACTGGCTGAACCTGCCCAAGCAGCAGGAAACATGCTTTTCTAGCTTCGCAAACCGAGCCGCCCTGTTAAGCTACCTGCAGCAATGGCCTCTCCTCCTCCTCGAACCGCCGGAAACCTATCCGATCTTTCTTCACCGTCAAATCTCGTCGATTTCTCGTCATGGCAGAGTCTAAAATTGCCCCCTTAAAGCCGGTATTAACACCAGGCTGGCTTGCTATGCAAACAACGCACAATGCTCCAAGCCTCACCAAGCCTCACCAAGCCTCCCAAGAGTGAGAGTACTTATGGGAGGGTCCCTTCGCCGTAAACAGGCCCAGAGCACGACTCATGCAGAGTTGAGCTGACGAAAAGGGAGTGGGGGAGGGGGGTGAGAGAGCAGTTATGTCACTTCAGCCCCCAACGAACCGTTTACGTTGGACGAAGTACCGTACGGAAATGTCCCATTCCCAGTTCTTGAAAGGAAAAAACCCCGGCCGGCAGTCTGGCGGTCGGATCCACAGGTTGCAATTTCCTCAGCCCCCATCACGGCAGATTATGGCATTGGATTGGATCGGTCACCGGTAAGGATGATGGATATTATTGAGAGCGGCACGGCCCCCATACCTCATACCCGAGGATCGCGGGTTCATGACTAAGACTGCCTTGTCCCCGGCATGTCAGGCTAACTTTGGAACAATTTGGAAGTTCCTTGATGGCTCGTCAACACTTTTTCCCTTTTTTTAAGCATGTCCAACATTTCGAGCTTGTTAATGCTATATCCAAGATTGCGGCTTGGCTCGATGAGTACTATGCCCAACTTGTAAAGTTGGCAACATGGGCCACTCTCTAACACAACATGCCCAACGGCCGCACGAGGCAGCATGGATCAAGACGCTCTTACCAACAATACTCGTGCGTGTCAATAGCCTCGTGAGCCTCTCTTCAATTGATCAATACTAACCTTCAAGCCCACACCTCGTGACTCATGCTCACAAACTAGCCTTTGCGGGCATAAAGGTGAAGAGTTACGAAATGCCAAGCCAAAACCCCATCCCTCTGGTACAGTCACCAAGAGGAATCCTCTTTGACAAGAGACGCGCGGTTAGAAAACATCATCAGGGGAAACACTCCCATTTCCCGAACCCGGCTGAATTCCACATACGGATACAGCACCCGGGCACCCCTCTCCCCATTTCTTTCTAAGCGTCTCCTTGAATCAGGAACACTACGCATCTCAACTTAATCCGAACTGTCATGAGCCACACTCATGCAACACGTACCCTTGCCATCCGCCTTACCCGGCAACCTGGGAAAGCCATGCTCATATTCTGCGTGACCCGTGACATATATGCCAATGGCAAAAGGGAAAGAAAAAAAGCAAGCAGAGTTGGACAACGACGGTTCTTTTTTAGAACCAAACCCAAAACAGCGCCTCTTGATCATCCCCCCCTCGTCCGCCTCGTATCATCTGGATCATGCCAGCTCATGTTGTTTAACATACTTACACGGACGATCTTGACAGGTTTCAACTGCACGGATGGGGGAATGGATCTGTTTAATTTTTTCTTCCAAAATTATCGGAGTAGCCTCCGGCCCTTTGCGTATGCTGCTCATACCAACTGTTGACTTGGCTCCCTAACATCACAGAAATGCCTGCGTTGGGTGAGTGATATGGATGCGACGTGATCCTTCACCATTGCGGCAAACCTCCTGGGGCAAATATGGACAATGCACGCGATAACTTCATGGTAAGGTATGGGCTGGTTCATGCTTTGCATCGGATCAATGAGTCGCTCTCTACAGTACTACCATGACGCTTCCTCTTTCCTTGATAGCCATCTGAATCTTCTCTTACACATATGTTTAAACATGAAAAAGCAACCCGACAATCATTCAACAGGGTATCAAGCTTTGGCCAACCCCCCCTTTGATCGCCGGCCATCAACGCTACTTCACTGGCTTAGCCACCAAGCACTAGCTCCCACAGCGAGAAGCGTGGCGAGCACCAACGCTCCCTGTTTAGTAGACCATAGGAACATGCTCCAGCCGACGAGCATCTCTTTCCTTCTCGCTGCTGCTCGCCTCTCCCAGGCCTCCGGATCGATAGCCACCGGCAGCACAAGGCGTGGGTCCACGGCGCCGCCCGTCGACTCCACTGACGTCGGTGCCAGCTCTTCCTCCGTTAGAAGCGGCACTGCGGCTCGCAGGTACACGGCCCTATGATCTGAGCTCCGAACAACGGGCATCGCATCGTACGCCTTTACATCAACCTTTTGCGGTTTAGATTTGACCCAAGAGGGGACGTCAAGGAAGAGGATACGGTCCGTCCAGCCGGGGTAACGGTGAGGAGCAAACACCCACGGCACATCCTCCACGCCGTCGACCTTGACACGGCTGTGATCTGGAGGTAGGACTGTGTACTTATAGGTAGGGGGGAACTTGACTTCAGCTTCGCTCATGCCGTGCAGAGTTCGGCCAGCCTGGCGCTCTCGCGTCAGCTGGTCCAGTATGAAGAAGCGGGAGTAGTGGTGCTCGCTCTCGGGGTCCAAGCTGGGGAATGTCGCCATCGGCGGCGGGCTTGTCGTAGAGATGCGGTAGTTAAGGTCGCCGCCGACGAAAAGGTGGGAGCTCGGCTTGAAGACGGAGATCTCCTGTAAGCGTTCTTGGAGAGCCAGGTTTTGTGCGTGATGCTCGCCATGGAGCAGGTGCAGTCCCTCCTCGCCATTATCCTCATTCTGACCTTCTCCGTTTGCTGCAGCACGGAGTGCGTTCTTCTTTGGACTCAGAATGTTTTCGGGGTTCTCGAAGGTCAGCCCACGCATGATGGCTGCCCAGTTGGCGTTTCTCCGGGGCAAGTTCCACTCCATGGCCGCGAGATGCGTAGCCACAAAGGTAAGCTCCGTCTCCTTCTTGCCTCCGTCTGCCGCCTTCCCTTCGTACAAGACACGGAGAGCAACGGCGCCCTTGTTTCCCATCTCTGCCGCGCCGAAGCCGACCTCCGCCTCCTGCACTCGGAGAATTGCCTCAGGGTTACGTGCAAAGAGCATGATGCCAGTCATTCCGACATTACGAGCCCGCACGAGTGTGTAAGGCCGCACGGGTGCCGGAGGTGTGGGCTGCACCGTGATTGTGTCGTCATCTGAGCCATCATTGGTGCCCGACGTGTACCGTGTCGCGGCGAGGTTCAGGGCCTCTTCGTATCGAGCAAAGTATGGACTCAGAAAGTAGCCGCCGATGAAGGAATACGATAACGGAGCGAACTCCTGCAGAGAGCTAGATGATGATAACTGTTAGTTCGCGATTTATGCTAGCTAAAGGAACGATATAATTCCATCGTGGGAGCTGGACTGGGTCGAAGTAGGTGTCGCGAGGGCATCAACTCACAAGACGACGAGGTCTGGAAGGCCTGTAGCATTCTGTTGAAAGGCTGTGTGCAGGTGGGAGGCAAAAACAGCTACATTGATAAAGTTCTTGGCGCAATTGAACGTCAACATAAACAGGTCGAGTGTAGAGGGAGCCATCTTGTCGGCGGGCGAGGTGGAGTTGACGTCCTTGACAAGGGCTGCCATTGTTATCGGAGGTGATAAACGCCGATGACGGTATCGGCGTATCTCCAGATAGTGGGCGGGTCGGCGGGAGGTTATGACACTGAGATCCTTGACCTGGGCTGAACTGGGCCGAGCTGGCTTTTATCCAATAAAGTCTAGTAGCTGTTGGCTGCTGGAAACGAGGTGTCTTGTGTGTTTAGGTAAACCGTAGCTTGCCACTAAGTGGAGGGAGGGTACTTCTGTACTTGTGGACGGGGGGGGGGGGGGGGGGGGGTTGTAATGTTCTGTACAGCCACGAGATTGCCTGCCCAACTCTGGATGCTGGTTCGGTAGTGATGACAATGATGAAGCTGGAGATGATGTCGTCCTGTAGTGCCCAACCTCGGATGGCATACCCAAAAGCTATATACTTTGCTTGGCACCCAATAGCTTCCGTTCGGGGCTCTCACTGCCTTCCCGGCATTGAGTCAGCTGCTGCAATAGAAGCCAGACAAGGCTGCACCTGACATGTACAGCCTCCCAACGCTGACCTTACCACTTCAGTGCCCACTTCAACAGTTAGTTGCCTGCCAACATGCCTTCTCTAAAGTCCTCCGAAGTGGGGGCTTGCGGATTAAGTCCTACCTACTCTAATAACCATGGCAGGCAAGGCAATACACCACTTCCAACTGTGCACGCTAAGAATTAGGAATCCCCAGTTCGCCCCTCAGACCTTCATTCTCACAGACATGGATCTGCTTCCTTGTCCACCCAAGGCAAAGGAAAACCCTAGGCGTCATGAAGTCACTCCCGTAAATGCCTCAAATGCGGCATCTCCACGATTCCTCACCGCCTCAAATCACTTGTTCATATAATGTACGAAATCGCGCGACAATGTGTAAATTGAGAAACTACCGTACGTGTATTGGTTGGTTCTGCCGTACCCCGCCGACCTGCCACAACTAACCGTGCTCCGCCTCCACCAGCTGATAAGCTTGCCAGACCGATCAAAGTCCTTGGGTGATGAAGGCGCAGTGTTGAAAGTCATAGCACCAGTGTCCTTGAAAGCCCTGCCGTCCACCCGTGCCAACAAGGCAGCCAAGTGAGGGCAAAGGTCGTCAAAAACTATGCTAAGCTACTTCCAAGAGCTCTTGATAGTTGCTGGGCATCCAAAGCTGTGACCTGCGATTGTCGTATTACAGGCGAGCCCGAATTACCCTCCACGTGCAGGTGGCGAAGACCAACTTTCCCAACCAAACCAAATAATATGAAAAGTCAAGGAAAAAGAATACTACTCTTCCCCAATTAGCTTTGCGTCGTACTGATGATGCCAGGTTGACAAATACGACTCTCCTGAGTCGCTTGTCCTTGTCGTTGGCATGATCCATGGCCATGAGTACTTTGCCATTCTCTCAATGTCGTCCCCATCCCCGTGCTACCTCCCCAGAAGCGGGCCTCGACGCGTGATTGACAAAGTGCGAAGCCATCGAATAGAAATCAACTCGTAGTGCGCGTGACCATTAGAGAAAAAAGAAAGAAAGAAAAAGGAAATAAAGGAAATTGAACAAGGAAAACCGTCAGTGGAAAACGCAACTCCAACGCATCGACTAGGTGCAAGGTCCGAAACCAAGGCACTCAAAGTGGGGTAGGAATGTCTCGCGGAGCGGCCCGACGACGGCACCTCGAAAACCAAGGTACCGGACGTGCCGTTCGAGTTCTTCCTGCCACGAACACCTTACCCAAGGCTTCCAGCAGGACTGCCAGAAGTCTTGAGAGAAGAATATCCTGTCATAAAAGAACTGAGCCACAGAGGAGAAAACAACCCAAATATGTCGAAGAACGAAGTTGAGAATGCGTAAAAGAGATGCGACCGGTTCGCGTGGCAAGGCGTATCATCAAAGAGACCCTGCTGGTGAGCAGAACCCGTACCAATCGTGATGTCTGGAGGCCATGCCACGGAAGGAGTTAGTCCAGTAAGCCGGTCAAATCATACTCCCAAGTTGGACAGATGCGTATGGCTGCCGTCGTCGTAGTTCACTTCGGCAAGTAGGAATTAGAACCATACATCGCGCTTTTCGTAGCCGAGCGCAAACTAGATCATCGTCCACTAGGTCAGCATGCTTTTGTCAGCAAGGGTTCTCAGGCAAGCGGTTTGGGTGCTTGGCGTTGGGTTTGGGCTAAGGGTTTCAACTTACATCCTGTCGCTTCCACCGACGGCACGGTTGGTATCCGGGGTGACAACACCAGCACCAGATCCTCGTTCAATCACTTTGCGGCGCGAGCTGGAAACGGCGTTAGGCTTAGTAGTGCCAGACTGAGGGGTCGGCTGACCGGCAGTAGCGGCATTCGTGCGAGATGCCCGCGCCTTATCATCATCCTCCTGAGTGGCTCCGGCGGCCTGGGCGATGGCCTGAGCATTCTTCTGATACTTGTAGACGGTCCAATCGAAGACGTAGTCGTACTGGAAGCCCTCGCGAACGAAGAGATCACGGAAGATCTTACGGAGGTAGCTGTAATCGGGCTTGTCGTCGAATCGAAGGGATCGGGTGTAGTTGAGGTAGATGGCGAACTCGTTGGGGAAGCCGCGGCAGAGGACCTCGGTCGGGGTGGTCATCTTCTTCTCCATGATTCTATCGTACTTCTGCTTCTTGGTAGCGGCCTTCAGTCCCTGCCAGGGGAGGGATCCACGGCAGAAGTAGAGCATCACGTAACCGAGAGACTCCATGTCATCACGGCGGGATTGTTCTGGGGCCATGTCAGCGGACGAGGGGATCGGGAGAGGGGGCTTGTGCGCTCATCAAACATACCGACACCCAAGTGAGTGTTAATGGAGGCGTAGCGAGCCGTGCCAGTAAGGTTCTTGTTCTCTCTGTAAGGGATGTGGAAGTGCGTCTTGGGGTCGCGGTACTTCTTGGCCAGACCGAAATCGATCACGTTGACCTGGTTACCACGCTTACCGATACCCATGAGGAAGTTGTCGGGCTTGATATCACGGTGGATGAACGACTTAGCATGAATGTACTCAATACGAGAGATCAGCTGGTCGGCAAGCAAGAGAACCGTCTTGAGAGAGAACTTTCGGTTGCAGAAGTTGAAGAGGTCCTCGAGACTGGGTCCGAGAAGGTCTAGGACCATGGCGTTGTAGTCACACTCAGTGCCGAACCAACGGACGAAGGGAATGCCAACGCCGCCAGCGAGCGACTTGTAGACTCTGGCCTCATACTCAAGCTGAGGGTGCTTGGCCTTAACGCTCTCGAGCTTGATGGCGATTTCCTCGCCGGAGATAATGTTGGTACCGAGGTAGATATCGCCGAACGAACCTGAACCAATCTTGCGACCGATACGGTACTTGTTACCAACGCGGAGATCCTGGAGGACAGTTAGCTGAGGATGCTTGGGGACATCAGCGCATCTCTAAGAGTGTCCACTTACCATGGTGGTCATCTTGGATGGTAGTTTGTGATTGCTCCTTTCCACAGAGGAAGGAAGCAGATGTACGATGGGGGTATATGTGCGTCGATCGACGAATCAGTGGGTTGGTCAGCAGTCGAGCTGGGATGACTGGAGACAGGTTAGGTCAGCGTCGATGCATGAAAGAAATAAAAATCTTGCCAAGTGTGACGTTAGGGTGATGGCAATGTAGGAAACGAAATGTTGGAGTGCGGAGGGAAGGTGGAAGTTGAAGAGTGGAGAGCACCGGCCGAAGCCTTGGAAGAGAAAGATTGAATGAGGCAAAGCTGGGGGGTCCACCAGCAACCGCGGACAACCCGAGGCTGGGCTGGGCAGAGTGGGATCAAGGCTGATCCTCAAGCAGAGTGGTCCGAGAGCGGAACGATTGTCGAGAATGCAGATGAGGCAGACAAAGTGGTTGAGAAACAAAAGGAGGAGAAAAAGAGAAGAAGCTTACCTGGTGATTGTCAGTGGGAATGTCTGGTGTCGGAAGCGGTAATGGCGTTGCTGTGCCTGGATAGAGGTGCGGAAGTAGGAAGGTACCTGTGACGAAAGAGGCCGACCGATGTGTGAATATGAGTTTCCGAAGTCGAAGATGGGGGGAGACCCGAACGAACTGGCGGTGAGTCGAGGGATGGTAGAGGGAATTTGTAATTGATGCTGGCGGAAGTGGGAATCTCTCCAACAAAAGCCGTGTCCTAAGAAGCGGGACAGGTCGAGGTGTTGAGAGTTGGCAGCCTTTTGCAAACGAAGGCTCGAAAGAGATCGTGGGGTGAAGGAAGAAGAGAGTAAGGCAGAGTTCAAGAGAGGGAGAAGGGGAAGGGAAAAGGGTACCTTAATGGGATGGGAGCCCAAAGTGGAGGCGAAAGGCAGAAGGAGGGCTGGCGGCGCGCAGCGGGCGGCGGACCACTGGGACGGACAGGAGCACTGAATGGACACGGAGTGGGTGAGGTGGTCCGGGCTGGCCTGGGCTTTTTCCTTTTTTTTTTTTTTTTCCTTCCCCCAATCTTTTTACGCGGGCACTGGGGGGAGGGAACGGATGGAACGCCAGGTACTTCTGCTTTCTTTACGAAGTGCCTTAGGGGCGAGGTCAGGCCAGAGCCAGGTACAAGATATCGCTTAGGCAGACAATAGCGCACGAGGTACCTAAAAGTGCACGTCTTTTTTTATGCGACTTTGGCACGTACCTTCCCTTTCTTTCTTGGGAATGTATTCCGTACCTTCTTCTCCTCCAAATTCCCGAAAGTTTGACGGAAAGGGATCATTCAACGACTTTTTTTTCTTCTTTCTTTCTTTCTTTTTTTTTTTTTTTGACGTTGAATTTTTATTTTATCTTATTTTTGTAATATGTGCTATGTAGCACCTCAGTGCCTGCTGGTTTGGCCTACCTTAGGAACTAAATGAAGAAGGGGCCACTTATGACCGCTTCACCTTCTGCGTAGTACCGTAAAATACAATTCATACTATGGAAGGAACCATACATGGCTGGGCCAGGCAGGTGTTCCTTACTTTTGCAATGTCCCAGTCTTTCGGTCAGAGTTTAGACGGATATGTTAGCTTCGCAATTCTACGCTCACTGGGCTTCCCCAACATTGATTGACTGATGGTGGTCCGTGGTTTGGCCCTAGCCAACCTCTCAAATCCCAATTCTCCTTTCTGCAATTGTTGGCATTGTTACTGCAAGTGTGCCCTAGTCATTCCATCTGAGGCATGGCAAGACAAAGCAATGCAGGGAACGTTATCAAAATACAGCATCAGCACGGCCTGGCATCAGCAATACCGCACTGTCGACCAGCCAGCCAGCTCGGTCCGGACAGCTCAGGTCGGGTTTTCAGGTCTTCTTCCTCTCGGGGAGGCCTGTCCTTCTCTACACGTCTTACTCACTGCCGTTGCCCACTACTTTTGCGACACACAATGCCATCCCGGCTGACCAACCGAGCTCAACCAAGTAAGGTGATCGGTAGTCTCGCCAAGAACCAAGTCTCATCATGCTCTCTCCTGGAGCCATACTATGGCTTCGACATTGCGACAACGCACTGGCCACTCAATTCAATGCAATGAACGCCTTTCCACTGGACGACGCGACTGGGAGTACCTGGGCAACACCTTGGGCCCTTGGCACCCTGAGTCCCACGGGTCCACCCGTTACTGTTCCACCCCATCCAAAGGGGGAAATTCCACAGCCTAAGCAGCCCCCCAAGGGTCCCCGACGAGCCCCCGAGAACATCCAGGAACCCTGCCTTGCATGGCTGCATTCAGCAGACCACCGTGGAATTCAGGGAATGAACGCGAGATGGGCACCCAGACTACGCCGTATGGGGGACGTCGATGACACGGAATGATGCAAGAGGGGCGAAAGCGCCGGCGTGGGATGGACCCTGATTGCCATAGCTGTGTCGAGACCTCAATCCCGTTACCCAGCCTGCAAACGCTCTCAAAGATAATGATGGCCGCCGCCTCCATCGCGACAGACCCAGGGTTTACCGGCATCTGGCTTTGAGTTTCCCATCAGATTTTAACTCAACACTTGACAATAGTTACACCCGCTCGTGTCAATGACAAGTATGCTGGCCGCGTGTCTGAGTACATGCAGGGCGCGAACCACTTCTTCAGGAACCTCATGGGCAGCATTGGACTCTGGAGTCACAGACTCACACGACCGCCCGCAAGGGCGAAACATGCATGCGCCCTTCCAAGTCGACATTTGACATTTTGGCCCCAGGGCGTGTAGTACAGAACTTACTTTACCTGCCACCTGCAAATCTGACATCGGTTTTGAATGTTCCCAATTTTATGGACACAAAGCCATCGTCATGCCAATTTCCAGCAGCAGCAGCGGCGGCAATATTATTCCATCAGTAATCTCGACCCCCTTCATTAACTGGTACTGCCGCAGCTACCATCGCCTGCCAACATCCTCAGGTGATGCAGCTTCAGCCAAAGCAGGATGCACTAATTGCCAGCCAGCTAATTAGAGCCTCACCGCTTTTAGTTCTTTTGGCGCAGCTAGACCAGAACGCTCGAGCCCAGATGTGAATCCAGAAATCGGTCAGGAGACCACAATCCGATAGCAAACGGCTATGGGCACAAGCACGATGGGATCGAGACGCAAATCCATAGCGATAAGAGCAGAGCTCGTTTATTCGAGCTAAAGCAGACCTTATCTAGAAAAGGGTTACAGACTATAATTATGGCTTTGTCGGTACCAACCACAAGTTACGGCTTGTCGGCTCCGAGGACTCGCTGAAGCCATTCAGCCAGCAATTGACATGCCACAAGCTTCTTCGGATTTGCTCTGCTGATGGCGGACCTCCCCCCCCCCCCCCCCCCCCCCTGGATCACTCCCTCCTTAAAACAGCAAAGGATCTCCCGCAAGGGGCGGCAACAAGGGGATATTCTCCCTGGCCCTCCACCACAAACCCTGTGGTTCAGAGCAATTGCCCTCCGTAAGAGAAGTCTGCAATGCAACCGCCCATCGCCTACCGCATCTCACCTGCTCCATCTTTGCTAAGGGGTGTCAGACGCCCGGGGTAGCAAATTGTGGCGTTGGATGGCTCAAAGGCATGAAAGCCATTCGACGACACCCACGTCATGCTGGTCTTAGACCTCCCGCCAATGGCTCCAGACGCCAGACACGAAGAACAAACAGCAGCTGGATAACCTGCCCCGACACCCGAGCAAATGAAGCCAATGCCTTCCAACTTCGGTGGTTGTTTTATCATGATCAGGGTCATAAAAAAAAAAAAAAAAAAGCCGGCTTTCTTGCTCACTGATGATCAGCAGCCACGATTCAGACTTCCGAACTGGCCCCCCCTGCTAGCTGTCTCGGAATTGGGCAGCAATCCCTAGGTTACGGCCCTTTACCTTCAACGCAGACAGAGCGTACTCTGTGCATACCGGGTGATTACTATGTAATAGAAGCGCTTGCTCCCGATCTGGATACTAATCGTCCTTCCTGACCAGGTGACGCTGAAAAGGACTTCCAATTGAAAATATTTATCCTGCGGTGGGGGAAGAAGACTTTATTTTTATTACACTCGCGCTATTTACAAATCGGCTGCAAAAAGATGCGATATTAGCCTTATCGCTAAGATAATATTGATGTGCAATTCATTCGCTCTAGCACAACCCTTCCTCTTGGCCAAGCTTCTTTTTGTCACCGTTGATGCATTCTCTTTGTCGCCGGCGACTGCCTAAATTTTGCGGGGGAGGCAGCAGTATTCGCCCAGTATTTTCTCTCCAGAGCAGACGATCGGCCGTCGATACACACAAACGGAAGAAGGAAAGGGGGAAAAAAAAAACAGAGGCAGCCTTCTGGGAGCTTCATCGACAAATGGGAAGAGAAAAGACCTTCTGGCCTCCACTTCCGCCCAACGTCTGAGTAAGCCCGTCATACCCTGGAAGCTGCAGCCCCAGCCAAGGTGCATATCTACATCCTAAATTAAGACGTTCGAGAAGCGGCAGATGAGTGGTCACAGTATTCTGGAAGCTCACCGCCGATGCCAGCGCTACGGCACGTCCTAGCTGCTCCTCATACGTTTAGACTGCACGCGCGTCTCAAAGAGAGGAGAAAGCGTGATAGCCCATTTCCATAGTGTCGGTTCAGGAATGACACTCATTCTCCTCCACAAACCAACCAACACTCTCCCCAGCTTTGTCCTACCGTCACTTGGGACGACTACACGTCGAGACTAGCAGAAGCTCAGTCCGCACTCGGCAGTAAGCTTTGTTGGAAAGCCTTTGGCACTTGCTTGTACAGGGCTAGTGTGCAGATACGGCGCCGTCAGCACCGAGGCAACCAACTCTCCACAACCCCATAGCGTACATTGTGCTCTCCTCTCCATCCACCATGTCGCGCACTTGTCTCTTCAACCGCTATCCTGGCTTTGTCGCTAGTAACAGTCTACGATCTTCTGAAACTGTGGCACAAGACTTCAGAAAGTGTGTATCAACACAAGTGCAGGTCTACTTCAACGACGACACGCCAACCTCTTCCGTGACTTCCAGGACCCCCGCAAAGCCAAGCAGTCCAGAGCCCCGAGTACCGTTTAACCAAAGGTCGATGCGCTTCCAGCCAACGCCGATCGCTTTCGGATGTCCCGCCTCGGCCAATCCACCAGCAGCGTAGGCTTCGCGGATGGGTCCCTCAACCACACCAACACCCCCCAGCCCGCCCTCCCCTGGTTCGCTTTTGGCTCCGACGGCTTCTTGGCGCCTTGCTCACCGAGTCTGCGAGTCGCCTGATCTTGCCTGCTTTAAGGCAGTTGTTCCAAGGCACCACAAGTCACAAGATCGCAGTTGCATGCCATGAAAGCTGAATGACGGCGGGCACATACAACCTAACACGGCTGGGTGTTTTTGTTTCAACTCCGAGATTGGTTATTGTGATGGGCTTGGTTGGAGGTACGTTTGTAGACTACACAAGTCACGGCGGTTGACGCGCGACACCGTAAATGAGTCGAGGGACAGCGTCAGGTAAGTACCCGCACGCTGATACATGATAGCCGCTGAACAGCCCTGACCACTGATGCCTCCTGTCATTTCCCCGACTCCTTCAATTACATGAACTGTACGGAGTACCCGTACTTGAGGATGGCTTAAGTGACCATTTCCGTACCCCATGTCCGGTTCTCCGAAGCCTTGAAACGCCATCGGACCATCCCACATTATGCCCCGGGCCGTACTTCAAAGCCATGAACGCTTCTACCCTCCAAGTGCCTGCCCTACCTCCGGGACCTCGGTAGGATGGAGCTAGGGAACGGCCGGGGGTCCTGGCCGAGCTTTCGACCGACCGCTGGCGTATTTGGGATCGAAGCTCCCGTCTGGTGCCCGGGTTTTCATATCATCCTTGAGGACTACGACGTTGACCAAGCGTGCCAACTTGACTGTTGACCACAAATCACCTTTTCGACGGCTGCAGCTCCTATCTGCCGTGATTCGATGACGTTTCGGACAAGTCAATGTTCGAGGGGGCAAATGACTTTGTCATCCAGGATCACGTCCGCTGATTGTTGATGGCAAATCCACTGACTCGAGCCACCCCCTCCTCGGCCTTTGCCCGCTGCTCCAATCTTGAGATGAACCTTGCGGCATGCGACACATGAATCGACAGGGGAAAAAAAACTTTTTTTTTTCTTCCTTTTTTCCTTGATCCCTTTCTGCCCATCGACCCGTCTGCGCGCAGCGGCATGGCACCCAACTCCACAATGATCCCGCCGTATATCTCGTATGAACCCGATCCCTGGCGCGCGGAGGGTGCGCTCCAAGGCTGTTTACTAGTGTTGCTGTGAAGACAAAAGTGGAGTTTCGGTGCCAAAATGGCATCACTAACAAGACAGACTTCAGGAATAGTCACTTGCCTTGTGTGTTGCTTGTTCTGTTCGCGCCAATATCCGACAATTCCCCGTATGTCAAATTGGAAGTCACCTGCCTGAACTCCCAAGTTCAGGATTTCAATTATTTGAAACACTGAGCTTCTTCTCAGCAGTTATACTAGGCTCGGGTTGTACCGTTTCATCCAAGTCGTGAGTAAATTTACTATAAAACTCTTGTGGTCAGAGTAGCTGCGAGACAAGATGGTATTCATTCGTGCCGGACAGAAATCTTGTCTTTTTAGAATACAAAACTGATGTAGCCACCATCCGGCAACATTGATTCACACAAAGTTTTTTTCCTCGTTTATCAGTCCCCGTTCAAGATGTGGCTATTTGCAAGAGTTGTCGCTGCCGCGATGAGGAAGATGGTTGAAGACAAGGAAGAGGCTTGTTGACTTTTCGACGTCAGACTCATCTCTCCGCACGGCGAGGCCGGAAGGTCAAACTCGGGGTTTTGGACGGTGTACATGCGGAACATTGGAACACGGGGCAAATGACGAACGCGTCTTAATGGTGCGGAACGAATCTATAGCCTAGCTGATATACTAATAAAACATGAACCAACTTTGAGAATATGAAGCAGGCGGTGATCTGATGGAATTCTCACGGCAGAATGAAGTACGGATTGATCAAGATATATGTATATATATATATGGCCACACGTACGAAAAACAAAAGGGGAAAAAAAAAAAAAAAAAAAAAAAAAAAACTGGCGATTATCATAAACCTGAACTACCTTACAAACTTGGGGAGAGCCACTCATAAAGCCAGTCTCAGCCCATAGATCGATCACCCTCTGGGCGGTTTTTTTGACGAGCCACCAGATCGAATCTTGGAAAGAGGCCAAAAAAAAAAAAAAAGGAAACCCTCAAGAGCCGATCTTGGCAGATACCGGTCGTCGTTAAAGTAAAGCCCGGCATCTGGAAATTGCAGGGTACCATAGTTGTTTGTCAATAGTGTACAAAAACTCATTAGTTCCAAGATCAATCGAGTCCTTGTTTTTTGGTTGTTGAAATCATGATTCATCTATCTACCGGATTTAAAGTTTATTACACATCGTTAGAACACGAGTCAAATCATACAAAATCATGACAAAACTTGATCCGCCATCTCGACATAGGAGGAAGATGAGGGGGTGGCAAGATGTTTGTTGTCGCTGTAGATCATGAGTGATATCCCTCAGCCCGTAACCCATCACGTACGAGTACAGTCTCGTCAGGGGAAAGGGGGGGGAGGATGTACACGGGCGCAAACGGCTCAGCCGAGTGAGAAACAAGAGTAGTAGAGCACGCGCGCGCGTCCATTCGTCACCCGTCTGACTCGTCTCCCGGGGCGGTCCCCGTCGTCGGTCGTACCCCCTGGGGCGCTGGTCCTTGGGCAACGGCGGCCCGGAAGCTCTCTCCACTTTCGTCCCAACACCTCGGCTCTGCCCAAAGCTCCATATGCAAGGTTGGCTTTGCGGATGTTGTGCGGTACGGGTACGCAGTGTGAACATGTAGGTGTGTGCGAGAGCGGTTATCCAGGCCGGATGCCGTTAGTTTAAACCCTCTCGTTGTGTCAAGGTTTGGAAAGGCTGTGCTGCCTCCTGCCAGCTAGCTCCTCGCCGTAACGACATGGACTGTCTAGCATAATCACGCTGGACGCTGGCCATCAGAATTTCCGCGCCCAGCCTGCGGCGCCGCGTACGTCGCTGCAACTCATACACTCGTCAACATGCATTTACAAAGTAAAAAAAATCAACAGGAACAAAATCTAAACTACATACGTTGCGCGGGACCGTAGCCCTGTGGGGGATACTGTCCCGGCTGCGGAGGCTGGTTTGGCGGGTACTGGTACTGATAGGGATAAGGGTACTGTTGGGGGTACTGAGGGTACTGTTGCCTGTACCGGCTCTCCTGCAGATAGGGCGTGATTGCCTGGTCGACGAAGTCAGTCGTCTTGTTGATCAGCTTCCTTGCTGTGGCGGAGCTGAAAAGGCCAGAGTTGGACTTTACCGGTCCTGCAGGTGGCGACACATAGTTCAGTCGCGTGGGAGGCGGGCCATACGGGCTCAGGGGCACGCCGTAGCCCGGCGTCGGGGGTGATGTTCGGGGAGGCAGAGGCGGGGCAACGGAGTGGTAGCCTTGGGGCCCATTGACGTAGGATGACTGCTGAATAGGCGGCGCCGCGTGGGGGCCGTGAGGGTGCTGTTGCGAGACTGGTGGGCTGGGAATTACTTGCCCCGGCTTTACTGTGCCGATGTCCGCCGGAGAAAAGGGGTAGGCGGAGGAGAGGGAGTTGCCGGTTGGGTGTGGCGAGAGCGGTACCGCTGTTGGCGGCGGTTGATGTTGCTGGGTCTGCGATGGTGCCGGGGACGCGTTTGCGGGACGGCCCTGGGCCACGGCCTGGTCGTATGACGGAGGCGGGGCGGCGTAGGGTTGGTTCGCGGCCTGCTGGGTACTTGATACCGATGCTGCTGGGCTGTGGTGTGCCGAAGGGGTTTGAGCAGGGGACACGGCATCAGGGCGCGCGTACGATGGCTGCTGGGGGAAGTAGGAACCCAGAGGGAGCGTCGGTGGCAGCGCGGCCTGGACGTAGACAGGGCTGGTGGGAGCCGCTTGCGTGTAGGCTTGCGGAGGATGAGCGTGCGAGTAATGAGGTTGAGGTGGTTGAAGGGTAGCATAATGTGGTTGCTGCGGCGACGGTGCCGCAGGAAGTCCTGGGGGAACAGGAGAAAGAGGTGATACGACGGTTGAGGTCGCAGCAGATACTGGTAGTTGCGGGGAGCCGCCAGCCGGTCGGGGATGGAGAGGCAGCGTCATCTGGACTCCGGGCGAGGGTTGGGGGCCCGAGGCGGGACTCGTCGGGCTCTGTGGTGGGTAGGTCCCGGCCGGGACGATATGCGGTGGATATGTCCCTGCTGGAGGGATCATAGTTGGAGAGGTAACTGAGGGTTGATGGGCGGCGAGCGGCTTAGGACGAGTGAGGTTCAGCGGCGCCGGTGCCAGTTGGACTGGATCTGCAGGTTCCTCATCACCTTGCTGGGCAGGTTGTCCGGCCTCCGGAGGCGACTCCGTTCGAATCTCGGGCTGCGGGGCAGTGATCTGAGGGTTGCTGATGCTATGTGATCTGCCGACTAAGCTCACATCAGAGCCTTGGTCTGGCTTGGCCGAGCTGGGGCCCGTCTTTACGATTCTCAAGGGCTGCACAGAGAGCGTCCCGTCCGGAGCCGCGGCCTTGGTTGGCGAAGTCGAGTCCTTACGACAAGGGATATCGTCGGGCAGGAAGAAGCCCCAGGGGTTTGCCTGGGCAGGTGGGTTTGCCGGCGACACAGGATTAGAAGCGGCAGATGAGGGCTTCAACGGCTCTGGTTTGGCGACGGCCGGCTCGGCGGACATCTCGAAGACGGGGGGACCGGCATCTTGGCCGGCAGCTGATGCGGATGACGTTGGCCTCGAGTTGGCAGATGGTGGTGGGGCTTCTAACTCGGCGAGGAACTGTTGGGGCGGGTGGTGAGGAGGGGCGGCAGCTGGAGCGGCAGCAGCATACTGTGGTTGCTGGGGAGGATAGTAATATTGTGGCTGCTGGGGGGTTTGGTAAGGAGCGGCATAATGCTGCTGATATTGAGGCTGTAACTTGGACGGCGACTGCGGTTGTTGTTGCTGTTGTTGGGGAGGCGGCTGGGTATAGTATTGTGGTTGTGGTGGGTAAGGAGCATGATGATGCTGGTCTGGGGGTCCTCGACGGGTGCCCATTTTCGATCCACCTTCACTGTACACCCTTCCGACGTGTGTCTATTGCGTTTCCGAGCCTTGCGATAGGGCGCTTCTTTGCGATCTTGTAGTTGTTTGTTTACTTGAAAATGAAGAAGTAGAAATTAAAAGGAGGAAGAGGGGAGAGGGAAAAAAAACCACACACACACACACACAGATGAGCTACCACGCTGCAAAGAGGCGGAATAAAGCCAAGGCTAGCCTTCCCAGCCGCAGGACCTTCTCTATTCTTGGTTAGCTTCTTTTTGGGCAATTGTAGGTCCCTTTTTTTTTCTTTTTTTTTTGATGGCAACGTGGGCCACCATAAATCAGTCCTAGCTTCCCTAGGACAACTGGACACAGACTTGGACACGGGGGGGAAGGACGGTGACGGTGACGGTGACGGGGAACATGGGAGATGGAGCTTGGGAACATGGGGAGGGGGACCCAGGGAAGGGTTCACTGGGGTCGATTGGGTATGAGCGGAGTAATTGTCGAATGACCTCACTTTCAATCCATGTTTGCCCCCATAAGGCCGTCGATTAATTACCAGGCTGCACTGTAACTGCATTGCACTGCACTGCAACTTTGCTGCTGCCTGTGCACATCACTCTGCTGCGGCTTGTTGCTGTACCTGTTTCCCCCCCCCCTTCTCTCTTCTGTAATGTTTTACCGTCTGACAAGGCGCTAAGCTGATCTCCTACTGAATGTGCCGGGGCCGGACAAGAGAAAGAGGGTGCCTCGCTGTAAGCCTGGGTTTGGGCCCCCCCTCCGCCAGGGGTCATCAGTACAATGCCATCACGGGCACCCCACCTGTGATTGGTCGTGTCTGTCGCTTGTGCTATGTCGCTAGGGCTGAACTGCCTAGGCTAAATCTTAGCGGCAAACTTAAGGCTTCAGAGCTGAAGGTGTGACAGCAAAGACTTTTGTTGGCTCCCTCAACTACGGGTTCCAGTTCCTCGTCTTTTCCTGTTTTGGTATTTTCTTGGATTTTCACTTGAATGCCAAAATATCGGGACTTTCCTCAACTTTACTGGTGGACCACTCTGTGAGGGATTATCTGACAGCCTTTTACGAAAAATCAATGAATCACCGAAACCGTCTCGCTGGCGGTGAGGCGGAGCGAGCAGCTGCTTTTCGTCCTATGCCCAAGGGGCGGTATGCTCGACTTGTCATGTCTAACCGCTTGATTCTATTTTCAGGTGACCCCCTCCTCTCTCCCAGAGATGGCTGAACAGGTGGCCCAATCACTTGTCTCAACTTCAGCCACTTCTCAAGGACCTCTGACTTGTACTAGCAGTTGGCGTGGATGCCCAAGCCATGGACTTGGAACGACTGCCAGCTTCCCTGTGACCTGCATAAAGATGGACAAGTCCGATGGTGCTCAACGGCTGGCCAGCACTTACACGGTGTGTGTTGCTATGGTAAAAAGCTAGTTCCAACCTCCCACTCACCCGATGCCTGCACTGCCTCCATTCCTTGCATAGGACTCCTGAGAGGAAACCATCAGATAACGGTAAACGTTCTATGCTCAGGATCTTTCCGCTACGCTGGATAGTATGAATTCGTTGTACGCTTAAAGACATTATCAGGCAGAGTAGTATGGTTATGCAGACAGAACCCCCTGAAGCCGCCATTCACCAGAGTTGTGACCACCCAAAGTCATTACAACTCCTCAGACCAAACCCCAGACTTATCCTCGACCCTCTTCAAATCCACCCCGAAAGCCTTTGGCAAAATACTCTCAACCTTTCCATCCTCCCCATACGTAAACTCAAAGTGATCTATCCCCTTGTAGTTGTACGAGAGCCGGTCAATCGTGAACCACGTGAGACACGACGCATTCTTCCAAAAGGCCAAATCGTCGATCCGCTGCCTGTGCTCCGGCGGGAACGTGTCGAAAACGGCCCTCCACGCCGTCTTCTTCCCCCCCTCCCGCAAGCCCGTCGGGTACGCCCTCGCCCTGGCGTCCGGGTCAGGCGGCATGTCCGTCGCGTTGACGCCGCGGTGGCTGTACCGCCCCAGGTTGGGAATCACCTCGAACCCGCGCATGAACCAGTCCTCCACGCTCAAGCCCCAGCCGCCGTCGAGCCGTAGCGTCAGCCTAGAGTCGCTGTCCGGGTCCGCGTACGTCCCCGCGATCCCGTCCGCCGCCTCGTCGCGCGCCGCCTCGTCCAGCGCCCTGATCAGCGGCGGGAGGAGGTCGTTGATCTTGAGCTGGTAGTACGGGAACATGGCGTTCGCGACCTCCGGCCCCGCGACGAGGATCGACACGGTAAAGTTGTGCTCCGGCACGAGCACGAGCCCGGCCTTGTACTCGAAGATGTCGCCGCCCTTGGTGAACACCTCCACCAGCCGCCCGTCCGCCGTCAGGTTGTTCGAGATGAAGCCCTCCCAGGGCATGCCGACGAACGTGCCCGGCGTCGACGTGTGCGTCGTGGGCTTGAGCCAGCGCCGCGTCTTTGCCGCGCTGAGGAGCCGGTGGTGGAGGATCGCGTCGCCGAACTTGAGCATGTCTTTTGTGCTCGAGTACATTGCGCCGGCGCTGGTTTGTGTTAGTGGTGTGTGTGTGTGATGATGAGAAAGAGAAGCCGCAGATAGTAAACGACTTACGCATTAAAGATGCCCAGTTCCCAATCAAAAATCGTACTGTTCTCGGGGATGAACAACTTGCTCAGGTCCTTGGGCGGTGACGGATAGCTCGTGTTGCCCATGCCCACGGGGTCGAGGATGAGTTCCTGGAGAACCTGTTCAAACGGCTTACCCGTGGCGCCCTCCACCACCAGTCCGACCAGAGCCGTGCCGGGATTGGAGTAGACGGGTGATTGATACACCGGGTAGATTGGCGGGCGGCTATTCTTGAACACGCTCAAGAAGTCTAGGGGGGGAAAGCAACATGTAAGCCAGTGTAAGTCACCCACCTTCTCGCAATGGACTCACCTTCTCTCGTGCAACGCCTCTCACCCAAGAACCCTCCACAAGATGGGCCCTTCTCATCGGGGGACAAGCGAGGAAGACCCAGAGCCTCCCAGTCGCCTTCATACTGCGCCCTGTCCGTCATCACTACCGTTCGACCGCGAGTTAGCTCTCAACTCTCATCCCAACCGCAAAACCCCAAAAAAGTGGAAGAAACAAAAACTCACTATCTGCCCCGATGCCAGCAACATGCGCCGCGACAGCCTCGACGGTGACCTCCTCCCAATCCACGTAGTCCAGCTCCCCACCCTCGGGCCGTTTGCCCCTCAACTCCGGGATGAACTTGGTAATCGGGTCGTCCAAGTGAATGACGTCGTCCCTCTGCAACGCCGCGAGGACCGTAAACACCTTGCTCACGCTCGCCAGCCGGTACACCGTGTTCTCGTCGACGACGTCTGCGCCGCGGGGGTCGCGGTTCTTCGGCGTGTGGTGGAAGTCGAGCAGCGGCTCGTCTTCGAACGCGGACTTGACGCCGATGGAGACTGCGGAACCGTCAAAGTCCTTGGTCTCGGCCTCGACGGCGGCGACGAAGTCGGCGAGCGCGGCCCGGACGGCGGGATGCGCGCCGGGGTTCTTGGCCGCAGGGAAGACGGGGCCCAGCGGCGGACATGTGAAGGATGCCGCTGTTAGGGGCGCCAGGACAGTTGCCGTGAGCAGCGTTGACGAACGCATGGTTTGCGGTTGTTGTGATGGTGTCTTGTATAATGTTAGTGCTGTCTACCATTGAGTTGACATGGCATGGTTTTGTTTTTACTCACCGTATAAGAATCGAGTGTCTGATGCCTCCCACCTTGGGGTTACACTACAAAAAGAGAGTGACAAGCCTCAGAGTTCATCTGGTTGCCCATGAAGGCGTGAGACGCAGATTATATAAATCAGTGTATATATATGTATATACATGGCTCTCAGATTCCTCATTCAGAATAAATGCTGCGACGCGGGCCATTGACCTTCCACACTCAGCTTGGCGTAATCCAACCAACGACCACAGCGTGCATATACCGAGCATGGTAGGATCTGAATCCATGTCAGCCGGGTCCGCAGCCTCAACGGGGGGTCATGAAGCACGTCACATAAGACCACCATGTTGCCTTGCGGGTTCCACGAGGGAACGGCGGTAGATGTTGTTGGGTACGGAGTCTAGCGGGTGCGTGTTTGCTTGCGAATATCCTCAGTCAAACGTCGTAACCACATCTAAAGTCCACGTTATAATGTGAATCAACCATGCACAGTTATCCGCATAATAGTGTTGTGACTCAATACAAACAAGCCCTCAGTCACAAGAAAGACAAACGCAGATCGCTCCCAACTGTCAAGAAAATCACGTGCAAGCCAGTTCCAGCGGCGTGTGCGATTTACGTCTATAATGACGAGGCGGCTGATGCAATTCAAAAGGGAACTTTGGTCCCTCACGGGGACCGCTTAGCATCAGCGTAGGCAAGGGGTTGGAGAACTTGCGCGGCTCCCCGGTGCTTACGCTGATCCAGCTTACGAGGAGGACGGGGCCCCCGCAGGGCCCTGATGTGTCAATCATTGTGTCTTCCGTTTTGGGTAGAATTTCTGAGGTGGTAGTAGTAGGTTATTGCCCTGCCCCCTGCAAAATGTACTGTTGATAACGCTCGCTGGCAGGGGGTGACGATGTTCCGTCGTTGGTCTCAAGGTAAAGATGCGGATGAGATTGCGACGCAACTTGTAAAACCTCCACCTCATCGACAACACCTAAAATGTTCAGGTTATCACGATGAGATTTGGAATCTTGTCACATCTTCACATCTAGCATAAACAACAACAGTTGACATGGGAATCATTATATTCCTCATCACGGGTCTTCTAACCCCGTATGGATATCACACAAATATCCCAGCCTTAAAAAAAAAAAAAGAATGGGTGGAAGTAAACACAAAAAACGGTGTACCGGCCGTGGCCTCGGCGCACCAACCGCCATTTCCAACATGGAAAAAAAAAAATAAAAAAATTTACAAGACAAACTTGCTTAATTCTCATCCGCACACCCCGAACGCCTTGCGGTCCGCGCAATCCTTGTCGATTCTGTCATGCTCATCAGGGCGGATAGCCCTCGGAAGAGGCAAGACGAGAGAAAAGAAAAAAAAAAAAAAACAACACAAGCTTCGAATCTCACATTACTGAGTCCGTGCTGGAAACTCTGGATGGACTTGCCCCGGGCAACATCTGTCCAAACCGTGGAAACCACGAAATGGGTTTCCCCCTCTCGTCAATCATCAAGAATTCCCCTCCTCTAATCCCTCCTTTATCCCATTCACTCAGACCTATTTCTCCATGTGTCCATCGTTCAGGAGCATCTCCAACACGATCTGAACGCCGTGTTGCTCGGGATGGCTCATCGAGATCTTGACCGTTCCCTTGGAATCCTCCCCTGCCGGTGTTTGACCGCCGAGCCAGTTGTTCTGGTTGCTTGCTGTGTTGCCACCCGTCGGGCCTCTAACGCCGAAGTCGAGGCATCTGACATCGCGACCAGCAATGATCTGTCTGAGGCGACCGTTCTCCGCGTTACGTACTTCTACATAATCTCCGTTAAAGAGGAGCAGGTACTGCCCATACATGGTCGCGCTCGTTGCCTTCTTCTGCTTGCCAGAGTATTCCATGATGAGGGTGCGGCTCACGTCGCCGTGCTTGTCGACGTAAACAGCGCAGTCCTCATAGGCTAACAAGAACTCCTGGTCGTTCAGCTTGAACATGCCAAGCGGCTTCTGGTCGCGTATTCTGCTGGCGATGTTGGCGATCGCAGGCTGCTTGAGATCGGGGATCGACATGGTCTGCTTCTTATCGAGGGTGAGTAGCTCGAAACCCTTGGCTGTCGATACAGCAATGTAGCTCTGGAAGAGGTTAAGCGAATAGCACTCCGTCGGCAGGTAAAATTCGTCGTAGTCACGGAAGGAATCGGTGCTGCCTCCCATGCCCCTACGTCCACCAAACAGACGAGATCTCTTCTCAGTCGACTTTTGGAAGACGGGCTCGAGAACCTTGAACGTGTTGTGCATACCCTCCTTTCGCTTGAAAAAGACAAGCATGCGCTCCTTCATGCGGGCAGTAGCAAAGAATGCCACGTCCTTGGCCAGCCTCTGTGGCGCCCGTCTCGGGTTGTCGTGAGAAGGAGCCGGGAAGTTCGAAACCGGCGCGATCACATCTAGTGGATACGCAATGAGGGACCGATCCGCAATGATCAGACAGACCGAGAACTCCTCAAGCACAGCTATTTGCGTTACTCTCGAGGTTTGTACGCTCTGTATATTGTCAGTAAATCTGCATTAATGCAACGCGGGATTACTAGAAAGCTTACCCTCATCCAACCGCGGGGGTTTGTCGCATCGGAGATGTATACGCCGTAGTCTGTACCGATGGCAATAATAGACTTGCCAAACGCGTTGAATCCACAAGCGCAGTTGACTTGCGCCCTGCACACTGGTGCTGGGCCTCTTCCGGGTCCATAGACCTCTTCAATCTCCCGGACAGCGCGGTCGAGGGGAGTGCCTCGGATGGGCACACCCGGCTGCCTTCCAACAGCAGACGCCGCATCGTACACGAAGGCGCTGTCGGCGAGCACACGGAGGCGGAAAGGTTCCGCGTTTTGAGAGAACAGAGCTTTGGCGTGGCGCGTCTTTCCTTCTATAATCTTTTCAACCCACTCTGCTCTGGCCTGCGCTGATGTGGCGTACAGAGTGTACGTTTCGTGCCCAAGGTGCTTGATCTTGAAGGGGTAGAGAATCTTGCCTTCAGGGTCCGTAGACATGACTGGTGTGAGTCTTGCCGTCGATGTCGACCCGATCGAGGAGCTCGTAGCAACATGTTCGAGGCCGGGACGTTCGGTGCCGTTGGATGAGATCTTATTCAGTCTGGGATCCGACCCTCCTGTGCCTGTGGTACGGGTTAGGGGCGCCGTGATACCCTTCTGCTTCGAAATCGGATCGTCATTCATCGTATCGAGGAAGAGCAGAGGCATCGGAATCGGCTCCTTGGATACGTCGTATTTCTTCTCCCCTCTGCCATCCTTGGGACTGACCACCTTCGCTAGAATGAAGTAGTGGTCGAACAACAGGGCGTGCGTGTCAACCCATCTCACACCCTTCGAACCCATTCTTTGCAAGTCACCCTGCTTAATAAGCTCCCTGCCGAGATGGTCGAGGTTGAGGACGGAATGGAAGCCGGGCCTAAGGACAAGCATGGAGTTGAGCTCCATCATCTCCACCTTCTTCTGCATCTCGGCGACCTTGGTGTCACATTCCATGGTGACATTGCGAATCTCCGCGATAGCCCTCGCCAGGTTAGCCTTCTCCTCGTCATCCCGAATCGACTTCTTCTCGACAGTCTCGAGCAACAAAGAGTATCTCTGTAATCGCGTAATCGGGGTCTTTAGGAAATGCTGCCAGCCCAGACGCTCGGAACGCTTGTGCTTCTGCACTTGATCCAAGAAATTGCGGAATAGTAGGTTGCGGTCAGACTCCTTACGAACCATGTACTCAGCATATGGGAACTGGGACGCATAGTCGATGTACACATCCCTGGCTTTTCGGATCCACTCGCGAAACAGGTCCGAAAATCCCGTAATCCATGGCCCTTGCTCTTGTTGTCGGTATTTCAGCTGCGCCAAAAGGTTATCTTTGTTGACGATTTGCACGGCATCAGCCTTGCCAAACACAACCTGAAGGAATTTCTCAATCTTATTAGGGGGAATGATGGGCGGTTGGCTGTTTCGCAAATGATCCCTGTACAGGACACGAAGAACCTCGAGCTGATTGATGAACAGTTCTTCACTGTTAACGATCTCGTGTAGGACGTGTTGACGCTCAATCTCTTTCTTCGGTTTCTCGGCCAGTTCGGCGTCTTGGACCTTGTAATGCACATTCCAGTCGGCAGGTTTGACCTCTTCGAGAAGGAGCTCGTCCAGGTTAGCCTTCTTCAGCGTTCTCATGCAGTGGTAAGAGTAGCATCTGCCGCCCTGGGAATCGTCATCATGGAGCTTGGATGCGTAGCAACCCGCGCCCGTCAGTTGAGGCAATACACCAGATATTTGGCCGTTACCGAACTTGACCCACTCCTCTTCTGGGACCAGCACACCGGCCTCCAACATCAGTTGAGACACAAGAGTGCTGAGAAGCTCTGCATCGGCCACGTTGATGGTCGGCACCTTGGCGGTGAAGAGCTTGAGCAGAGCCTCCTCGACGGTCTTCTGCTTCAGGTCCGGCTCGCCGTCGGCCATCTCTCGAATCCAAGCTGCTATCCCACTTAGGGCCCAAGGTTCCGCGCATCTCTTGAGATCGCCGGCTGTCAGTTTAGACGGGACAAATTTCCTCTTTCGGCCGCTCGGTAGTGTGATCATATCATATGTCATCGATGAAGGTGTTCCAGATTCGTAGCCGTCGTACGGCAGTCCCTGTTGCTGCGCAAGTTGTTGCTGTTGCATTTGGTGCCTGGCCATCTTCCTCCGCTCTTCAGCCGCATCCGTTCGTGACCGAGTAGGAGCCTGTACTTGAGGCGTGTGACTGTGACTTGACAGAGAAATGGATCGCTCGGGGAATGGCGAATTGAGAGTGGTTGAGCTTTGATGATAATCGGATCCCTCGTGATAGAGTGTCCGAGAATCGTTGCTGAGAGAGTGCGAATGGTAGCTCCTAGTCGTCTGCTGTACGGAGAGCAAGGAGCTCGTATCGCTGCTGGGGCCGGGAGGCAGAGCCGGGAGGGGCCGACTTGAAAGTCCTGGGTGGTAGAAGATGTCTGGGTAGTCCTCTTTGTACGGGGACTCGCTGCCGCTCTGCTTCGAGTTGATGGACACTCGTTCGTCGGCGTTCTCATCAAAGCTTAGGCGGTGAGCAGAAGGAGCCTGCAAACCTCCAGTGCCGCCGTAATCAACTTCGGCATCTTGAAACGCCGGTGCTCTTTCGTATGCCTCGTGGGAGTACTCGGTGGGGTTGGGAAGCGGCCGTGATCCGTCCTGTGTCGGCGCGGGGGCGACCTCGCTACCGTAGGCCAGGTTCCCAGCGTAACCGCCAGCAAGCGCACCCAGGTCCATGCCGCCATAGTCTGTGCCGTCACTTTGTTCTTCTGGAGGAGGTGGGAGGGGGTTGACGGTGGCTGGTTCAGAATAGGAAAATGCTGCCACGTTGCTGAACCGCCGATCGTCCAAGTCGGCTTGTTGCATAGCCAACAGGCCCGCGGTTCCTTCCGGATCATCATCGTCGTCATCATATTGGACCGTCAGGGTAGGGTTGTTGCTACGAGCATTCGAGGTAGCCGATGATTGATGCATGCTTGCCAGGTCCGAGTTGTATCGTCGTAGACCCTGCAGTTCGTCGTCGGAGAAATTCTGACCGTTGATCGGTGCAGGACGGTGTCGCCCGCCAAGTTCCGCCTCGATGTCTTGCATAATGTCGGCCTGCAGTTGAGCTTGGTCCTCGTCGGTGGGGGTCGCGGCGCTCGGGTCCCAGACAGGCTCTTCCATCGGCCGGCTGGGGAGAGGGGCGTTGGTTGGATGCCGCGTCAGGCCGTGTTGCTGAATTTGCGGCGATGAAATCGGCGACGCCGCCGAGTCGGACCGTGTGGTTCTGCTGTAGAAGGAGGTAGGATCGGCAGAGTAAGCTGGGCCGACAGGCATCTGTGATTGAATCGGATACGGAGTGGATGAGGTGTCAGCTGCGTATGATGATGTGGAGTTGGCACCGTTCGTCGCATATGCGCCATAATTATTGCCGTAAGATTGCGAATACGATTGTTCGTAAGCTGAGGCTTGGGGATTCCCGGACGCCTGCATCGACTGGAAAGTGGAAGAGTATGAAGTAGGCGGCGACTGGCCGAATGTCGAGGACGGCTGAGACGTGGTCGGCGAGCCGTAGCTCTGGTTGTAATTGTTATAGCCAGAGTATGTCGGCTGCCGCTGAGGCACCGACGTCCCCGCGTAGGCAGCCGGGTTGTAAGCAGCAGGCGTATAGCCGGAGGGGGCAGGGGGAGTGTACGAAGTCGGCGAAGTAGTGGAACCGTATCGACTCGAAGGGTGCGGGTGGTATGGCAGCGATGTTGACGCGGTTGACGGGGTCCGCGCAAAGGCTTGGGGGTTGTAGGTCGAGTGAGACGACGTGGGAGGCGACGAGGCTTGATACTGATGTTGGTAGCCGGAGAGGGCGTTGTTCGTCGAGCCGTGGCTGTGTCGACCTCCAGAGTGGCTCGATCCAGTCGGGCTCGTCAGGAAGAGTTCGTCCTCGCCCCTCGATGCTGTATGCTGATGGCCGTGGGCTTGTTGTCTGTTCTGGTCAAACATGGCGGCGTCATCACCGTTGTTGAAACTTGGACGGCGGCCCAGGTAAGGAGGCTGATCTTGCGACTGGCCGGCGGTGGGGTATTGCACCGGGGGCACATGGCCGTAGCGGCGCTGGCCATCTCGGAAAGACATGGTGATGGCGGATGGTGATGGCGGCGAGATTGAGAAAGGTCCGTAGAGACAGCCTCGGCCGCTGGCTGCTATGTCGAGACAAGCAGGAGTTGGTCGAGAGTTGGTTGCATCTGATCGAGACAAGCTTGAGCGAGTGACAGTTCGCTGCACGGTGGTGCCGCGTTACTCAAGGGTTCGGTTCGGCATGCGCCAGAGACCGGGTCGTCGAGGGGTCGGTGATGGTATTAAAATTGAGACGTAATGATGAGGTTGGCTGGTCGTTCGTCCGGGGGGATCGCGGGGGGGTGAGCCTCGTGGCCGTAGTAGTGCGGCGCAGAACGGTACTTGGTAGGACTGGACTGACGTCTTTGGGCGGCGCTTTAGGGAGTGATGCGCGCGCGCGACAGCAACAGGCTGGGGGAAGATTGTGAGGCTGATCGGCCTAGGACTGTGGCAGCGGAGGCAGCCTTCTCGCGGGAAAGACCAGGACTCGACGAGGGGGGAAAAGACGGCCGGAATGGGGAGGAGTAGTATATTCCGCAAGTGAGTTGTAGCATCCAAGATTACTGGGTGCTGTGAAGAGTGTTGGCGGCTGTCAAGCTGAAAGTAGTGGTGAGGTGAGAAGGAGGATCGGTAGATGGGACACAGTGCGGTGCTTCTGCCTAAGCTAACGGCGAGAGCGATGGGCCAAGCCACAATACTGGGGCTACGGAGCGCAAGGCCAGAGGTTGTCGGGGTTTGGCTTGGGGGCTGGCTGTGCAGTATGCAGTGTGTAGAGCACAGGCGCAGGCAAATCGAGGGCAAATAGTGAGGCCCGGAATGTCTGTGTGCAATATCCAAGGATGGTGCCGGGCACTCTGGGGTCTTTGCTCTGCGTATCACCCCAAATCAGGAAGCGACAGTGAGAAGAGACGAGGGGGAGTTGAGTCGCATACAGGCCGTGTTCGTCGGGCGTGTTTCGCCTTGGCTACTCCCTCGATTTTTTGTTGCTTTTCTTTGGCAACGGGCGTCGCTGATGAATTAGGGGGAGTTACCTGGCCACACCAAGTGAAAATTATGTATATATGTGCGTGTATGAGTGAGTGAGAGAGGTGGGAGAGAGAGAGAATGAGAGAGTGGGAGGTGTGTCAGGAGGGAGAGCGAATGTGGATGAGTACGAGTGTGTGGTGTAGAGTGAGTGGGTGAGGGATTGGTGTTGCGTCCAAAATATGAGGCGCCAACAGGAACAAAAAACTGCCCACGTTACCACTTTCCCCGTAGACCGTACCCAACGCAACGCCAGGTACAAGTCGGATGAGTATCCCTACCCTATTGCTAAGAAAATTGAAGACTGGTGTGTGCGTGCGTGTGTGTCTTGGCTTGGCCGCACCAGATTGAAGTGGGATGAACGGGAACGGGGACAAAGTTGGATCGCCTGCCAGATTCGAAGTAGCCATAGGGCAAAAATGCTGTTGGAGAGTACCTGGCTGTGGAGGCTGGCCCAGGCTGGACTGGGCTGACTTGGTTGGATACGTCCAATTAAGGTGCATGTATGTACTCTGAACCCCATTTCTCGTCTTAGAACCTTGGTCCCCGAGGTACTTTACGTAGGTAAAGGCATTTTCATTCTCACTCTCATACAGAAACTGTTTGTGGGACCCGAATCTAGGACTGTACGTGTCTGGTATGTGTAATGTCTGTTCCGCTTCCAAATTCCGGAATGAAACGTCTGTCGGCATCAAAGAGTGCTTGCAGGAAGCGTATAACCGTATACCATCTTTATGAGCTGAGGTACCGGTTTTCTCTCTCTCCGAATGTCAAGTCAGCTCGGGAAATACACAAGGGGTAAAAATGGCCAATCACAATTTTTCATCAGTTTCGTTTCCCGGTGACATCTTATCCTCCAGGTTTCGGAAGCCGCTACTGTACCCGAAGCATGCGTCCATCCTTATGCCTACCTCTGTATCTTATTTTTCCCACGGGTTATAATTTTACTGGGGACATTTCTGTAACTTGTTCTTGCTACCTCGGCCAATGCTGACGACGGCCCATCATAATCATATCTTATCCAGTACTGTTTATTGGCCATTTGCGCATTGGCATTGGGGGGCCTCAGCTTTCTGTTCGCCGAGTTGCCGAGTAGTCACCCACTCATCTCTTCTCTAGCCTTAACAATGTCTCTCTTCTTCCCCCCACAAACACATCACGTTCCCCCTCCTCTCTTCCGATTGAGCCTCTCGTATTTCGACTAACCACACATTTTTTGGGCTATAGGCCTTGTCCGCTCCCTGCCCACACCCTGACCGCACGGAAAATTCCAATAATTCGGGGTCCCTGCTGGGTGGGTATTAATCTACTGCTAGCGAACCCCATCCTCGTATACTACTCGTCCACAAACGCCGGCTAGTACCACGCATCGCGACCCGCGGGAGCTCCAGAAATGCTCCAAGCTTCGCTAACGGTCGCTTTGAAACGCAAAAAAGGAAGGAGCACGTAATTCCTGGCTGCTTTTCGACGGTTACTGTTAGCCTTTTTCGTGAAAGCCCTCCTCCGAAACCAGTCGCGTGACACGACAAGAAGGTTATCTCTTCTAGAGCTGGAACCAAGACACTGTTACTATATGAGGACATGTTGGTGAGTGCTCTTCAATAGTCTTTAATGGTGCCGTGCAAATACGATGAAGGAAATAACTGCAGAATGAAAACTGTCAGTATTTGACACCACGTGTCCTCCAGGGTTGATCTTGGCCCCTGGTCCGCGCGATGCGGGAGACTTGGCCAGCCCCCGTTGTCTCCCGCATTTGGGTCGTATGCCAATTACTCTTGATGTAGACCCCGGGATCGTCAGCGGCGATGCATTCCCCTTGAATGTTTGCGTCTTCGTACTTTGAGCCACTGGCTGCTGCTACAAGCTGGAACGGAATCACCATGCTGTCTTACACCCTACCCGAGCCAGTGGTTTAGAGGCAAAGGCCGTAGGGCTGACAGTACCTGGATGACACGGCACGGCGGGATCGGTCTCCGCACCCGTCAAACCTCCCTGGCTGTCAAATGCCTGACCTGACTGGTTGGGGGCTGTCCTTATGCAGAGAGACGGCGGGCATCCTATGTGCTTCAAATTTGACCCAGCTGCAATCGCTCTCGTCTGCTATCTACGGTTTATCGAACCCTTGGGTTTTCTATCTGTTCAAAATTAAGAGCGCGCCAGCGTCAGTCAGCTTGTCCTGCAAAATTCGACAATGCCACTGAGACATACGGTCATTCTGGCAAGGCCGAAGAGAGCCCCAAGACACTCCCTGTCTAACATACACGAGCAAGCATGGCATCGTAATGTCGGGATAGGCACAACTCAATCCAGTTGGCGATGTATGCCTGGTGTTTGGTTTTGACCATCCCGGTAACTGCTCAAATGCGATCACGATAACGAGGCCGCCTCCCGATGTGCGGCCCCGCCAGCGCACTACATGGCCAGAGCTCCATGCTAGCGCACCTCATCTCGTCCGCAATGCACGAAGCTGTCATTAGCAGCCAACTTTATCAGTTTGAGTTGGCTGAGTCTGTAACTCCCTAGACCCTGCCACTGATAGTGTTGGAGGCGACCCTCATGCAAGGCACAACACAACAGCCGGGCGGTTGTCAATAGCCGATTCAAGTCATGCTCTCAACCTCAATCCACGCAGAGATATCAGATAGCATCGGAGGCCTGTCGTATTGCCTTACCAAGCCACCCGGCAGTCTTGGAGCAACTGCCGCTGGACTATGAGTGGCTTCTGTCGGCGATGTGTAACTCGAGAGTTCAAGCCACGGCCATAATGTAGAATGTGCTGTCCATCCGAGGTTATGAGGTTAATTGTTATTGCGGGTACGGTGCATCGCGGAGAAATGTCGTTTCCTTTCGCCATGCGAACAGGCCGAAGATCGGCTCTATCGCGGCTTAGATTCTGTAACGGAGCTCGTGCTTCGCTGGTTCTATGCCGCCGCGAAGCTATTTCATCCCACTCATGCGGCATTGTATCGTCATTTGTAAGCAGTCGCTAGTACCCCAGGCCTAATCAGCCAACCAGATCGACGCAAAGGCCAGTGGGAATCCACTTTGCCTCAGCTGGCAGTGATGTGATAATGTTGATGCTGCTCTGGAAGCGGGGCAAGTTGGTCCCCCACCATTCCAATGGAAGCTCTGCTTCGGCCGATAGCAGGAGGGGGAAAGAGAGAGAGTAGAGAGCGAGGTAGAGAGGGAATCCAAGAGCGGAGGGGCGAGCTTCTGGTCCTCGGAATTCCGAACTGTGCTTCTCCATTCCCTCCTTTGACGGGGAGAATACCTCATTGGGCGTCACTGACCTTTGTGCAAGCTTATGCCCACCCGCCCTCTTTGTGCTGTGCATGCTGGGCCCTCCCGAAACAAGGACTCCATCAGCTACTTCTCTCTTCTTCCCCTCTTTACCTCTGAACTTTCGTCATTCTTCTCCTCAACCACTGTTGATTGAACAACAATCTCAAAAAACAACCAACAACAAACCAATTTTTTAAAAAGAAATAACTTAAAAATCCGTCAAAATGGTCAAGGCTGGTAAGTTGGACCCTTTATACTAGGATACAACACACCGTTTCCCCATGAATGCAGAGCAGCGGCGCCGGGATGGAGGGGCACCCATCCAATTTGCGCTGGATTGAGCGAGTTTTTTTGTATGGGAGCTGAGCAAACACCCTGATGGCTCTGCGACATGCCTACGACTGGGAGCTTCCCGCTGGCCAATCTTGGAGCTCGAATTACTCCATCCTCGCGTCCGTTGCGTCGTTGCTCTCGATCCGTTTGGCCCAAACCCAGAGGTTCCCGTCCTTTCCCGTCGTGGGGAACCCGGGATGTTGCGTTGAAAGGGAGAATTGAACAAGGGGAGGATGAAGATCAACCAGATTCGCTAACCTTGATGGCAGTTGCTGTCGTCCGTGGTGACTCCAAGGTCACTGGCCATGTCATCTTCGAGCAGGAGTCCGAGTCCGCTCCCACCAAGATCACCTGGGACATCTCTGGCAACGACGCCAACGCCAAGCGTGGCATGCACATCCACACTTTCGGTGACAACACCAACGGCTGCACCTCCGCCGGCCCTCACTGTAAGACCCTGATTCAGATCCGGGGATGATGGGAGTCGAGAGCTCGCTGACAACGGTAATCTATAGTCAACCCCCACAACAAGCCTCACGGCGCTCCCTCCGACTCGGACCGCCACGTTGGTGACCTCGGCAACATCGAGACCGATGCCAACGGCAACTCCAAGGGCTCCGTCAACGACTCTCACGTCAAGCTGATTGGCCCCGAGTCCGTCATCGGCCGTACCGTCGTTGTCCACGCCGGCACCGACGACCTCGGCAAGGGCGACAACGAGGAGTCCCTCAAGACTGGCAACGCTGGTCCCCGTCCCGCTTGCGGTAAGTACTTGATTAATGCTTTAAGGATAGTCCAGAAAGTAACAAATTTTCGCAGGTGTCATTGGTATCTCCAACTAAGAGTGCGGTATACGAGCTAGCTATTAGCTTGACGGACTTTGGCCCGAGGCGGGGTTAATTAAACCAAGGTGACCTCGTCTGGAGCTCCACGATTTTCAAAGTCGTAGTGATGGAATCTATGCTTTGATAGCACTATCTTGCACATCTGTGCCGGGTCCATAGTCTTTCCAAAAAATCAAATTACCGTAAATAAGTTACTGTTTAACAGTGAATTGTCTCTTGGAACCAAGTGAATGCCTCTTACGATGTGACAGCACAGGTGGGGCTGTCTTCTAACACTGTGAGGGGTAGAGATGACGTGCACACCTCTAGTGCCTAGACCGGTATTTAGGCCTTCTTTTGTTTGGTGAATCTCCTCACCAAAAGGTCTGAAGTACTCAAGCAGCTGTAGCTGTAGTGTAGGATAAGGAAAGGCAATGAACCGTTGGGTTGCCTGCCTACAAAACGCATACTACGTAGTAAAAGTTAAGGATGTAACAGTCTTCTTCAAGGGGTCTTTATGGTGGGCGGTCAATCTGGGCTGAGACGCTTCAGGGAGAAGCTGCCCCCCTAGCAACAACCAGCAACAACCAGCAACAAAAACACCTAGCACCCAGAACAGCAGTACCTTACCTAAGGTCGCCGCAACCCCGCTCTCGCTTAGCAGCTCGCCACTACTACTGGACGCCGGCTGCTTGCTTCCCCTGTCACCGTGTGGTCCCTGAACCTCCTTTCCCCACACTGGCTGCTCGAGACCGGGCGAAATTGAGGCAAGCTGTCAAAAAGGCGGTACGACTGTCGAACGTTGATCGAACAATCGATTTCAGTACAACTTCCTCCCATTCCTCCTCGAAAACCCATCCTCACATCCTCCTCCCCCATCCCCCCCTCTACTCTTTACAGTAAGTCAATGGTTTCTTTTCGATATGGGATTGTTGTATGAAGCTAGCTTCGGGATGCTGGCGATGGCAAGCTGATGCGATGCCGTCGCCCGGATCAAATGCACCTACCCACGCGAGCTCCCTGGTACCTCATCCGAACAAACGCCTGTTGTTTTACAGTCAACCTTACACCACCAGGGTTTGCTCCCTTAGCAATCCCATCATGTCTTTGTCGCTGTCAATCGTTCTCTAGCATTGTCCTTCGCGTCACTTTGGCATAGCTGCCTGAGAATGTCTAAGACGATGGCAGGAACAAGACATTGGAAAACGTTCACTGCAAGCAGCCTAGGACGAACAATGCGCTAACCAGCATAGTCATATCCTCCCTAGTATCCCAGCCGCTTCTTGATCGCCCATCATGTCGAAACCCTTCTTCGCCAAGGTCAAGAGCGTGCTGAGCGGCGACACACTGGTTCTTACTGCCCCCAACAACCCGAAAGCCGAGAAGACCTTCTCTCTCGCCTACGTCACTGCGCCTCGCCTCAGCAAGGACGGCGATGAGCCCTTTGCTTTCCAATCAAGAGAATACCTCCGCGAGCTCGTCGTTGGCAAGCAGATTCAATGCACAGTAGCTTACACCGTTCCCTCGGGCCGCGAATTCGGTACTGCTCTTCTCTCCCGTGACGGTCCTTCCCTTCCCGATGAGGCTGTCAAGGCTGGCTGGCTCAAGGTTAGGGAAGAGGCTGGCCGCAAGGACGATGACGAGGCGATTCTTCAGCGTCTTGACAACCTGCGCCAACTGGAGACCCAGGCCAAGAACGAGGGCAAGGGCCTCTGGTCTGGCAGCGGTGGCAACATCGAAGTCCAGAATGATCTCGGAGGCCCCGAGTTCATGAAGGAGTGGAAGGGCAAGACTGTTGATGGTATTGTCGAGCGAGTCCTGAGCGGCGATCGTTTGCTCGTGCGACTTCTGCTTTCGGATAAGAAGCACGTGCAGGTCATGACGCTCCTTGCCGGAGTCCGAACTCCTGCCACGGAACGAACAGTACAGTCTACCGGCCAAACACAACCCGCCGAAGAGTTTGGCAATGAAGCTAAGAGCTTCGTCGAGGAGAGGTTGCTCCAGCGTCGCGTCAAGGTTGATATCGTTGGCGCCAGCGCCCAAGGCCAGCTCGTCGCTTCTCTCATCCACCCCAATGGCAACAAGAACATTGCCGAGTTCCTCCTGCAAGAGGGTCTGGCGAGATGCAACGATTTCCACTCAACAATGCTCGGCGAGAAGATGGCCACTCTGCGCGCTGCCGAGAAGGCTGCCCAGAGCAAGAAGCTGCGTCTGCACCAGCACCATGTTGCCAAGGCCGACGGCTCGCAATCCGACATGATTGTCGCCAAGGTCATTGGTGCCGATATTATTATCGTCCGCAACAAGGCCGGTACCACAGAGAAGAGAATCAACTTGAGCAGTGTCCGTGGCCCCCGCTCCGGTGAGGCTTCTGAGGCACCTTACAGGGACGAGGCGAAGGAGTTCCTCCGTAAGAAGATCATTGGAAAGCATGTGCGCGTCAGCATCGACGGATCAAAGCCGGCTGCCGATGGATTTGAGGCACGTGATGTGGCCACTGTCACTGAGAAGGGCAAGAACATTGGTCTCCTTTTGGTCGAGGAGGGCTATGCTACTGTCATTCGTCACCGCAAGGATGATACCGACCGCTCCCCCAACTACGACGAGCTTCTCGCTGCCCAGGAGAAGGCCAAGGAGGAGAAGAAGGGTATCTGGTCCGGCAAGGCCCCCAAGCTCAAGTCCTGGGTCGATGTTTCCGAGTCCCAGCAGAAAGCCAAGATTCAGCTGGCTACCCTGCAGCGCCAGAAGAAGGTTCCTGCTGTTGTTGACTTTGTCAAGTCTGGCTCCCGCTTCACCGTCCTCATTCCCCGTGAGGGCGTCAAGCTTACCCTGGTCCTCGGTGGTGTCCGTGCCCCGCGTGCCCCTGGTCCCCGCGGTGAGAAGGGTGAGGAGTTCGGCCAGGAGGCTGCCGAGCTTGCCAACCGTCGCTGCAACCAGCGCGACGTTGAGGTTGACATTTACGACATTGACAAGGTTGGTGGCTTCATCGGAGACCTGTACATCAACCGTGAAAGCTTTGCCAAGATCCTCGTTGAGGAGGGTCTTGCATCCGTTCACGCCTACTCTGCTGAGAAGTCTGGCAATGCTGCCGAGCTCTTCGCGGCTGAGAAGAAGGCCAAGGAGGGCCGCAAGGGTCTCTGGCACAGCTGGGACCCGTCGCAGGACGAGGAAGAGGAGCCCGTTGCTGTCGAGACCACTGCCAACGACACCCCTGAGGCTTACGGGAACAAGCCCAAGGACTACCGTGACGTTGTTATCACCAACATTGACGGAAACGGCAAGATCAAGATTCAGGAGATTGGCAAGGGCACTGCCGCGCTTACTACTCTGATGAACGACTTCAAGAAGTTCCACCTCGACTCCAAGAACGCGAAGCCTATCGGTGACGCGCCCAAGGCTGGTGACTTCGTGGCTGCCAAGTTCTCCGCCGATGGACAGTGGTACCGTGGCCGCATCCGTGCCAACGACCGCACCGCCAAGGTGGCCGAGGTTGTCTACATTGACTACGGCAACTCTGAGAAGCAGCCGTGGTCTAAGCTCCGCCCTCTGGACCAGCCTCAGTTCACTGTGCAGAAGCTCAAGGCTCAGGCTATCGATGCCTCCCTGTCATTCCTCCAGCTGCCCACAGCCCCTGAGTACTTCCAGGAGTCAATCGACTTCATTGCGGAGCTCACCGAGGGTAAGGAGCTGGTTGCTAGCTTCGACTTTGTCGACAACAAGGAGAACCTGAGCTACATCACGCTGTTCGACTACAATGCCGGTGACAAGAAGCCCGGTCCGAACGACTCTATCAACAAGGCGATTGTCGCCAACGGCCAGGCTATGGTTCCCAGAAAGCTCAAGGCGTGGGAGCGCAGCAGCCAGCACGCTGCTTACCTTAAGCACCTGAAGGAGGTTGAGGCCAAGGCGAAGGAGGACAGACTTGGCATCTGGGAGTACGGTGACATTACTGAGGATTAAGCGGATTGAATTGGATACGATGGAAAAGCAACGGGCGGGGTGTGCTTGAGGGGGAGGGAAAAAAGAAAAAAAGAGCCAATACATAATAATGTGGTAGCGTTAGATGAATCACAACGCAAAAACAGGCCTACTTGAGTAGGCCTATGTCTTTCTCGCAGTCAACAATCATGTCTCGTTCCTTAATCTCTTATCTTTGGCAAGTGAGTCCTCGGAAGTCGTCCTGCGATGTGGATTTCCGGAGGTTGACGGGATTTCAGCATTACCCTCGGGTTTACGTAACGAGGGGACCCCGAGCGTGGTAGTCGCATATAGCTGGGCAAACGACGGCCTGACAAGGGTAGTTTGTCGGGATCGTCGGCCGGTCGGTTTAATGTTCCATGGCACACACCCCTGGGTGCCCCTCCATCCCCCCCCCCTCCCCCACCCGCGCACTGTTGCCCTCGCGGGAAACTGGAAGCACTCTTGCGGCTAACGTAGGTTGCGCGAGGGCGGCTGGAGAGTGGTGGGAAAAGGAGGCGGTGGGAAGATATGGAATGTCAGAGAATACCCGAGACCCGGAGTTTCCTGATACGTGACGAGGACTTGGCGGCTGTTTTTTTTTTTTTTGTTAATGTATTTTTTGTTGGGTTACCTGGGTTTATTTGATTTGATCTGATCTGGCATTGGCGCGGCACTGCGGATGCTATCTGTTTTTTTTTTTTTTCTCACTTTTATTTTTATTGACTTTGGTAGACTTTGATTCTGATACCGAATTTGCCGTCTCTTGTTGCTTACCTGTCGGTGTGTATAGTACGAATAGTATGTGTGTGTGGTTATCAGTGATTTGCATTCTTTGGCTGGTATTAGTGAGAGTCGACCTTTGGCTGACTGAGGGACACGCAGGTCCTTTCATTGTTCTAATGGACTGCCCTGCCATAAATAACGCAACGCCTCACACAGTGCTTTTGTTTTATCCTGCAAGGCGCCGGGACGTATTACATGGCGTCTCCAGAGGGGGGTAATGTATGGGGATCTGGACAGGGTCACCCTCTTTATTCAGCGCCGAAAAAGGCTCCAAGAGACCCATCACGTGATGTCATAAGAGCCAGTATGACATCAACTGTGGCTACGTTTTTTGTGATGAGGCTGCATTGGCCTTGAGTTATATCAATTGTTTTTCTCCTGTCCACTTTGAGGCCCTTTTCAGCCGTGTCATGCCATGTATGCCATGGATGCAAAGCTGGCTCGTGCAGTCATTCCAAGTTGCAGTTGGGTGGCATGCGTGTGTGTGTGTGTGTGTGTCCTCGCGTCGAGGTGCTGGTGCTGAAGAAGTCTCCGCGACGAGCAAGCATTGTTTACTCACCACGTGTCCGATGTCGCCTTACCGTTGGCCCAAGACGCGAGGAGGGACAGGAAAAAAGAGGCTGGTTCCTATTTCCCCCCCCTCCGATCCGGGTTACGGACTATTACCCGCCCAGCTTGCGCTACTACCGGTGATATTTGCCATATTCTGTAAGCTTGGGGGTATGTGATTAGGTCAGCTTTTTTTTTCCCGGTCTCGATGCTTCTTCCCTTTTTTTTGGGGAGGCCCGCCCGTTCCTTTCCATTTTCCCCGAAACCAGAGACGAGGTAAAATCCGATACATTTCGCGACGGCCGAAAACAGGGTTCCCGGTCATGAAGGGGACCATGTATCTTATTTTTCGAGGCCCATAGCGTTTCTGGCAGCGTCAAACCGTCAGCGGCAGGGCGGGTATTGGTAGTTTAAGGGTCAGGAAATACTGGGGACATGACGATGATTCTGGGTCATGGAGGGGCAATATTCAATGGGGCGAGTTACCTGGCATTACTCAACAGCGCTGCAATGCTGCTGAATCATTTCCTACCTACTTGCAGTAAGGTAAGACGATGTACAGCGTCGAGCAAGCACCTTTCAGGTAGACACGTCTGGCCCCGCTAACCGGGACTCGATGAGGGGTGCTCGTTGCTGTGTGAGAAAACGCTGGGAAGCCTGCAACCAGTGTATGAGGTGGGAGGGTGAGGTGGGCGGTCGTCAGGGACCCCGCTTTCCTAAAAAAAAAAAAAAAAAAAAAAAAAAAGTAGCTGATGGCTGTGGCTACGCTGGGAACTACCTGCTAAACTTGCCCCTCGTCCAGCCTGGGGAGGGGGGCCAGCATTACACGGTCTGAACTACGGTACGGGCGAGGTGTACACTACCACCACTAATCGCTCATTCCCATCCAATCTCTCTCACCCTCTCTCTCTTTCGCAGAGTGGGAGCTGCTTTCCATTACTCTCTAGAGGCCCTGTTTTTTTTTTTTTTTAAACTGCGATTTAACTCGTGCATGCACCCCCAAGTGTGGGCCTACGCTCAACCAAAAGTCTATATATATGTAAATACCTCCACCGTGACCGTCCATGATCCCACCTCTTGCATCTCGTCCACGTATCTGTAAACCGCCTCAATTCGATTGAGTCTTGCCTTTTTCAAAATTCCCAATCAAACCAGTCAAAATGTCTTCCTCTCTCGACCAGCTTAAGGCCACCGGCACCGTCGTTGTCTCTGACTCCGGCGACTTCGCCTGTAAGTAGCTCATCACCCCGCCATCACTACCCCTCCATTCAACCTTGTTGGACAATGCCTCATCACCACATGAGCCATTTTCCAATGAAGCAACATCCATTACGGCAGCATCGGAAAACAATTCTAGATGAGTCATTCGCTAACTATTCTCTCAATCGACAGCCATCGCCAAGTACAAGCCCCAGGATGCTACCACCAACCCCTCCCTCATTCTCGCTGCCTCTAAGAAGCCCGAGTACGCCAAGTTGATTGACGAGGCCGTTGCCTACGCTAAGCAGAAGGGTGGCTCCGTCGACGACCAGGTCGACGCTGCTCTCGACTCCCTACTCGTCGAGTTCGGCAAGGAGATCCTCAAGATCGTCCCCGGCAAGGTCTCTACTGAGGTCGACGCCCGCTTCTCCTTCGACACCAAGGCCTCCGTTGAGAAGGCTCTGCACATCATTGACGTACGCTGCTCCTGACTCGTGTTGAAGAAGTTTGATAGCTAACAAACATAACAGCTGTACAAGGAGCAGGGCATCTCCAAGGACCGCGTCCTGATCAAGATCGCCTCTACCTGGGAGGGTATCAAGGCTGCCGAGATCCTCCAGCGCGACCACGGCATCAACACCAACCTTACCCTCATGTTCTCTATTGTCCAGGCCATCGCTGCTGCTGAGGCCGGCGCCTACCTCATCTCCCCCTTCGTCGGCCGTATCCTCGACTGGTACAAGGCCGCCACCAAGAAGGACTACTCCAAGGAGGAGGACCCCGGTGTCAAGTCCGTCCAGACCATCTTCAACTACTACAAGAAGTACGGCTACAACACCATCGTCATGGGTGCCTCTTTCCGCAACGTTGGCGAGATCACCGAGCTTGCTGGCTGCGACTACCTGACCATCTCCGTATGTTACTACCCCGGCCTACCTTGCCCGTGTGAGATGCATTTGACTAACAAGATTCTCAGCCCAACCTGCTTGAGGAGCTTCTCAACTCCGACGCTCCCGTCCCCAAGAAGCTCGACGCCGCCCAGGCCGCCAGCCTCGACATCGAGAAGAAGTCCTACATCAACGACGAGTCCCTCTTCCGCTTCGACTTCAACGAGGAGCAGATGGCCGTCGAGAAGCTCCGCGAGGGTATCTCCAAGTTCGCCGCCGATGCTGTCACCCTCAAGGACATCATCAAGGCCAAGGTCACCGCATAAATTAGTGCGCAAAAAGAATAATAGGTGGCGAAAGGTGCTTATTGGTGCGAGGAGGCAAATTATCAAACAATGATGTGAGAATGACTTAATGAGACGGATACACCCATGGATACAACAGAGACGAAAAGGGCAAGGAAGGTCAGAATGGGCGGTTGTGAAATGATATCTTAGAGCGAGGCAAACATAGCAAAAAATCCCGAGATAGATTGCTTGGTTACCAGTCTCTTACGCCCCATGCTTGAGCTCGACGTAATTTTATAGCGTTTCACACTAACCGGCCTCTCTGCAGGCTTCCTTGTGCTGACATGGTTACTGTGCAAATGTCTGGTGTTAACACGTGTGAAGATAGATGGATCATTTGATCTTCGAGAAGGCAAATACATTGCAATTTGTAAGTGTCAGCAGACACGCATGGTTTGAGCTTAAGAAAAAAAAAACGCCAATGATATTACTATGTTCATTAGGGATAAAAGTACGGAATATTTGTCCGTCCTTGTCATGACTCCAGTTTGTGCAGTCCAACCCAGTCGGAGCTCGAGCGCCGCCACCTCGTGCAGAGCGACTGTCCAGCGGAATCTGCTTGTGCACTGTCTATACTCCCTCCGTCGAGACGAAAGCACTACCGAGATCTGTATTTCTTCGCTTGGTTTTGGCTTATGTATTCCCGACTTATTGCGGGGTTAGGAGCCTGTCTTCTTCTTGTCTTCCTCTGCTTTCCGTTCCAGTGACTCCTGTTTTCTTCTCTATCATGTACACCCACACACACACACACACGCGCGCGCATGCAAAGGTGTCAATCAACTGGTCTTATCCTTCTTGCTCTTCTTGCCCTTCTTTTTCTTCTTCCCATCGTCCTTTTCGCACTTCACGCTCTTGATCTCATGCGTGACGCCTTCTGTCGTGGCTTCGATCACGAGCGCGCTGAGCTCGCCGCCGTTGACGCAGCCCGAGTCCAGACCGAATGTGTATTTATCGATCTCGAGTCCCTTTTTCGAGTCGTGGCCGTAGACGACGGCCGTGCGGGGCTCCGTCGCGGGGAGAGCCTTCTGGTGCCTGTTCCAAGCCTTCGTCCAGCTGCTTGAGCCGTCGCGGCGGTCTGTCGGAACGGCGATCGTGCGGTCCTCGGGCTTGCGGCGCCGCTCGTGTTCCTCGTTGATCATGTTGTCCGTAATACCCGGTGCCGCGGTGTGGATCTTACGGTAGTCCTCAAGGGCGTTCTTGGCTTCCTTACGGCGGAGCTCCTCGCGGGGATAGACTAGTCCGCGCATGTTCATGACCGCCCATGGGTCCTGTTGTTTGAGAGTCAAACCTGGGACCAGACCGGCGTGGACGACGACAACGTTGCCTAGAGACTCGATGGAGCCGACGTCGAGGATGACAGGAAGCTCCGAGAGCCAGTCAATGTGTTTCTTGGAGAGGGATCGGGCTGTTCTGCGCTCGACGGCGTCGCCATGGGGGAAAATGGCAGGCTCGAGGTCGTCGTCGTTATCCTCGGTGTTGGTGTCCGATTCGTTGTCCGACTCGTTGTCGGACTTGGCGGGCGCGGGGTTGCCGTGGGCATCCTCGTCAGCGACGTAAGTCTTCTTCAGGCCGCGGTGGGCAAGCAGCACTCGGTCCTCATGGTTCCCACGAACAGCGGAGGCACCAAGACGCATGGCGAGGTCGATTACGCCGCGCGAGTCGGGACCCTTATTGATCATGTCGCCGGCCAGGACCAGGTGGTCACCGCGGGCAGTGTCGAAGTGCACCTCGGTGAGGAGGGTGTCGAGGGACTCGCGCATGCCATGGACGTCGCCGACAATGATCAGCCGGCGGCCAGGGTTCGACCGTGAGGGCACGTGGTGCTCCGGCAGTGTATTGATGTGTACCGACAAGTCGGTGAAGCCCGGACGGGCGGTGTCGCCGTAGGACATGGGCGCATCTGCTGGAGAGGGTTTCGGTTCTTCCTTGGGTTCGGGACGGCGGCTAATGATGGGCAGATCGAAGGAGGTAAGGCGTGCGAGGGCGAGGAAGAGAGTGGTGAGGACGAAGAATGCCAAAACGCAGACCGCACCACGACGTGGGCGAGCTGGTGCTGGAAACGTCATTGTGACGGTATTTTTTGGTGCTTTTTCCTTTCCTCTCCTCTGTTTTGAGGATATCCTTATCGCAGGCCCCCTTTTCGCAATGTCTTCGGGATGTGGCGGTTTTAACCCTTCAGAGTCTTCCGCAGCAGAAGACGGGAGGTATCCACGGTTGTCGAAACCAATGGCCTTTGATATATGGCCGATGACGAGGTCGACGCTCTTTTAGAGATCTTTGACAAGAAAGCTAGAGGCCGAGCTTGTAGCTAAGGTTCGTTTCGAATCGGGTCGGGTAGCTTTGCTCGACGGGCGGGACGGGCGTTCTGAAAAAACGTTAAGAGTCGTTGGGATGATACTTGGGCGTAGTGATATGGGCCGATGACGGCAGCTGGGTATGTTGGTGTGGTTCCCCTTATCGTGGGCGGCTCTTAAGGGAGTTTATCGTGAAAGCTGAAGAATTAGGCCGCGCGTCTGAGCCATCTGACGAGTTTGGAAGAAATTGCCAAAATCTACGTCGTCGAACCTGATTTTTGTCGCGTTGAGAAAACAGACAGGGAAGGAAAGGGAAAAGAAAAGAAAAAAGATTTAACAAAAACCTATCCGAAAAAAGTCGAAAACTGAAACCCCCCCCCCTTCTAGACGCAAAAGAAGAAGGAGTAGTCCAGACGAGATACCGTGCACATTACGCCAAGAAAGAATTTCGGCTGGAGATAGAGACCGATGCTGACACGAACAAACGGATTCACTGGATAGCGACTGGATTGGAACAGGATAATACGGGGCGCAGGGCCAAGGGGGGGCTATTTCGTCGCCAAGGGCCATATTTCGGTGGTGGTCTGGGAAAGTCGGCACGCGACGTGGCATGCGACCCCTGCCACTTCCCGCTGGGCGCATCCTCTTCCCGTCAGCGGCACTCGCCTTGGGAGGCACTGGCGTGACTGGGAGGCCCTCTTGGGGCTGAATGGGTGTTGCCCACGGAGGTAATAATGCACTAAGAACTGCATGCTGTGGAGGATCCACGGTGGCCCGCTCTTTCCGTCGCTCTCGCAACATACTTTGGGGGTTCTATTGGTCGGGGTCATCGTTGTCGCGGGGCGGAAGGCGCCTGAACGGAGGGATGTTTATTCCTTTCTGTCAGTTCATGGTAATGGATGGAGGCTGTGATGGCGATTTGATGTTCTTTTGTTGTCGCCTTCCACATTCCAATACGTTGGTGGAGGCTGTTAATGGTAGTGGCGGGGATGTTCGGCCATCTCGGTTCATCACTTGCGATCAACAGGGACACCTTACTCTGTATGTCTGCAGCACTTTATCGTATTTCTCAGTTACAGCGAGACAATATGGATTGTTGCTGTTGATGTCTCAAACTCCCATTCTTCCTACCTGTGTTCCGCCATCTCCGCCCGCTCACCAATATTTCCTTTCCGCTGCCGTCTTTCCTGCGCCACCGGGGCTCCCAAGACCTTGGGTGGTCTTTTGCCAAGTACGTCATTGCGGCACAGTGACGAGAGCTCATTTGCGAATGCCTCTTCCACCCCTGTTTGCTGCGCGCTCTTGCCTTGGGCCCCTCTCGCCTATGCCTTTTGTAGGATGGCTGCTGTTATCGGATACTGTCATAAGACCGGACCGTGGAGAATAGGTTGCTTTAGCCGCTGGGAAACGGGGTCTAGTGTGAGCCCGTCATAGTGGGGAGAATTTTTTGCAACCGCGGAAGTCTTTCTTGGGCTCCCAGGCTAACGTGATAACGGTGACTAGCTCACTTCTATCAAAATACATATGGTTGACGACAAGGAAATTTAGAAAAGAAGCGTCATTATAAACCTGAGGAATCGCGCAAACTCTATTGAAAGCTTACCACAACAAGCTTCATGATATTAAGTTAGGGATGCTGGAGCTAACTAACGTTGATACTAACTCACTCGAGTACAATTAAAAGCTTCCCTACAGTGTCGTGCCAATCATTGAGAGAAAGGAATAGGGGAGAAAAATATTGCAAAAGCAAAAGAATATGACCAGCATGGGGGTCGAACCCACAATCTCCTGATTCAACGTTGTATCGTAGTCAGACGCCTTGCCATTGGGCCAACCGGCCAAGACAATTGAGAATGCCTGAGGCACCCGTCTTGAGATGTTAGAGGGAGTCTGGAAACTGTTTATAAGGCTTAATTCTAAAAGATCCTTTGCCTTCAGATTGTCATTGGATCGCCATCATGAGGTCAACGGGAACAACCACCGATCTCTACCACCTTCTACACTGCCCACTTTGATTATATCAACCCACATCTCCTTGGTTCTTTAAACAATAACCGTCGGAAATAATTCCAGGCAGTTACGCAAGAAAGCTCCCTCCTTTGGTAAAATGGTTTGCAATGTTAGTATACTACAATATCCAGTTGAATTATTTAGAAAAACCAACAAGCTTCCTTCAAAATCCCAACAGGAAATTGAATACATCCACCTCATTAGCTATCAGGAGAATTTAGAGCTTCAACAATTTGCCCATCGGCCTAACACGTACAGGACAGTGATACTACACCAAGGTATCGCAGCCTTTGCACAGACGTCTGCTTAGCTGGGTCTTTTGCGCGGTTGGTCTGTCAACAATGCGAACTCATTGGGTCTCGATGATCTTCAAATAGAGGCCTTGGCAAATAACCCTGGCTTCAAACATCTGGCCATTACCTGCGTTCTTTATATGTTAATCCGAACCATTCATTGCCAGTAGCAGGACCTTTGTTCGGTAGACCTTGAAACCTTTGCAGGCTGCAACTCTTTGGAGAGCGGGCAAGGCCAGCGTCAGGATTCCCATTGTCTAGATCCGTTGTAATTATGAGACTTATTCGAGTGTAACTCTAGAAGACCCTAAGGTTTGTGTAGTTCGTTCATGGTATAAGAATCCCCAATACTCACCGTTTGATACCCGCAAACTACGCATCGATAAAGTCATTGTATGGCAGTGAGACCAAGAACGCCTTGATCGAACAAGATGAAGACCGTTATAATCGCCGTCATTGGTCCTTCAGGTGCTGGAAAAACTGCCTTCATCAAGTCACTAACAAAAAGCGCACCGATAAATCCAACAGCGAAACCGGTCATCTCTGATCCAACCCAAGATCCATTCGGTACGGATGGACCGCTATCCTCGAATGTGTCAAAAATCGCCATGTACCGGTACGCCCCGAGCAATTGCAAACGGCCACTCATATTCGTTGATACGCCATCAATAACCATTGACAAAGGGCCCGACATTGAGACGATTCGGTCAATACAAACTCAACTTGAAGGCAGAAATCACAAACTAAGCGGCGTCATCTACCTCCAGCGTATCATCGACTCGGATCAGACCCAAAACGCTATCCGCAACCTGCGGGCATTCTGCGAAATCTTCAACCCTGAGATATTTCGGCAAATTGTGGTTGCTACCACATTCTGGGACGCTGTCTCAAAGAGAGTCGGAGAATGTAGGGAAGCAGAATGCCTCGCTGAAGTGTTGGACTGTATGGGTTTCGCCGAAAAACAGGGCATCAAGATAGAAACGGCTCGGCTTCATAACACGGTCAACTCCAGCATTGCCTTGATGAAGATTTTCCGCCAGAACCACAAATCTGACGAACATGAAGATATGGAAGATTCCGATGCCGTTTCTGAATTCTTTCAGCTCGTCGAACGGCAAGTAGCCAACGTCCCGTATAGTCGTAAGTGGTATGTCTCGAATGTCCTGAAACGTGGTGAGTGGGAAGAGGATAATGCTTGGGATGTCGCGTCTCAGGAATCGGACATGGAAACGGCAGCTGACGGTAAGGACTTGCAGCAGAACTTCCCTTCCACCAAGATGGAACTTTACTGCAGGAACTGCAAATGTTTTGTTATGTAAAGTTATTGAGTAGAGGAGTCGTCTAGTGGCTCCGCTGAAGGCGGAATGTTGAATAGGGCAGGCCCCTGAAATACTTCCAACCTTCCCAAAGGGCTTACATGGGCTAGATCTTACGAGTTAATGGCGACTGATTTCATGTATTCAAATCTCTTCGTGCTGACAATTAGTCTAACCTGACCTAGTGTTTGTCGATGGAGGATCCAAGTGGCCTTGACGCCCACAACTTAACGTTATAGTTGAAGTCCTCACGTTGGTGATGTGCACAACCCCTGCGATAGACTAGTCTTTTTTTGGATTAACCGTATCCCTCGTTTTCTAGATTCATGCCGCTGGTAAAGGTTTGGACTTGAAACAGGCTGCAGCCCTCGTACGCGCCACACGATCTCCGCTAGATCGAATCGCAGATACGAGGAATACGCTTGACAACGTCGAATCATGTCCACAACTCAACGTCTGTCTCAAATTATTCAGTTCTGGTTATTATTCGTCTAATCGGCCATCATCTGCGACTTCAAGAATCCGAACAATGCAGCAGCTGGCATGCTGGCCATCCTTCCATCCGTTTTCATGTTAGCTGATGGAGCCCAGTGCGCTAGGTGTTGGAGCATCAAATGTCTTCCCAGCGGTGGAACCAAGGCATTACAAGCTTATGCGGCTCGACACTAGGCAGGGATTGAGAACCGGATGTCAGAACTCTATAGACCCTAGGAAGATTGAGAGGCGACGACTTTTGAGCATCATGGTAGCTCATCCCGTGGACTGTAAAACACCACCGCTATCGCAGCTGAATTATGAAATGATATCTCGAGACCCTAAAATCAGCCTCACACGCAATATACATGGGTGTTACAAGCCGCAAATATTTCCTGGAGCTGAGGAGTAAGGTCTAAGGAACAGCTCGGACCGCCTGTATTTCTCGAGGATGAGGGGAGTATTCCGCATTGGACAGAACGCCTCCTGCTACGTGGCTCGTTTACGAGGGCTGAAAGAAGATGTATGGGTTACTAAACCGACAGACGACAGGAATGGCTCGAAATAATGACCATTAGTGGCGCATCTCCCTTCAGCCGAAGAGGTGTCGGAGAGGTTGGGGGCTCGAATTAGCAAAGTCGCTTCTTTAAGAGATGACCACTGAGCACTGCTCGGTTATATCGTGGGTTTTTGTTCCCAAAAATGCTGCCCAGCGCTGAGGTGGCACCAGATCGGGTACACATCCCTTGATATGCAAGTCAACAAACTTGGGTCACTGCCTAGACTGGCTTACAAGGCTTGGCTAGTGCACGCCATATGCACCCCAAGATGGACACCATGCCCGTCAGCAGCTGATAAAAAAAAAAAGGCTCGTCATCTTTGATCTACAACATCACTTCTGCCACAGCTCCTTCATCAAGAACAGTGGAAAATACAAGCTGGAAAAGTCGCGCCTAATTCGAAGACAGAAGCGATTCACATATCGCGCGTCGCTTTGGGTCCGAACGGGAAACAAGCCGAACACAATACTACAGGCACAAGTACTGCGGTCCGGTTCAAGCACGCCTTATTCATTGCTATTTATTGTTGCTGGTTCTAATCCCGTGTTATTCGACGTATATGATAGCGCTCCTTCCTCGGTGTTTCAACTGTTCTGGCGACTTCTGAGAAGACTCTTGCGCCTTGAGATTCTTTCAACTGAACCAGTAAGCTCGCATCATGTCCCACAGGCCCATCTGACGAGCTACATGGGCTTCATGTTCCATCTTCATGTTCAAGACGAGTTTATAACCTTGCGTAACTTGTTGCTGACTGGCTATATAGGTTTCTGGCATTGCCTCGATGAGTCTTCTGGATAAAGACTGCTGCGACCTACTTGTTCGGGAGCTAGCGACCGTCTCGGAAAACCCGTCTCCTTCATCAAAAACTGCGGCATCGCCGCACAAAAATGGCAATAACATGGCTATTACATCGCCGTTCATGCATCCCTCAAGTGGGACGTCTGGAATAATGGCACCTCCCTTCTTGACGCAAGTTATATGTACAGCTTTGACGGATAGCTTGCAATCATCGTGGTCGCCACCGCGCCGGAATAGTTAGAGCTTGTTATTGGTCTGGTATGTTGCTCTTGGCTTTCAAAATAGCATGAAAGGTCCCGCTGACCCTATACCTCGCGGACACTGCAGCGCAAATCGCTAGGGGGCCTACCGAACAAATGGAGTGTGTTTGAATGCCGCCCAGGGACAGGGAACTGGTTTGCTCCGAGATTTGAGAGGTGTGAGTACTGTTGATACTAATCCTCGGGGTTTGTTTGACTGATTTCCCAAGGTGAAGACTTGGCCTTTGATATTCTTATGTTCATCATCTTTACAATGGACCCTTCATATTCGGGCTGTCACATCTATGGCCAATATTCACCAGGCAAGGTGTCAGTTATTTTTGAATGCCTCACATAGATTCTCTCCAAGACCTTTTCGTCGAGTCTGTTTCTTGGTGTTCTTCAGCCCAAACCCATCTCCATCGTGCCATGGTTTCTTCAATGGGTTGCAGAAGACATCGCCGCAAACGTGACCCTGTCCAGGTCCAAGAGCTATAAGATATCAGTAAAACTTGATATACTGAATCCCAGAACATGGCACCGAAGTAACGTTGGTCCAAGAATCGAGGAGTACATGGAAAGGTGGAGACGTTGAAGCGTAAGTGCACACTTCGGCCCGGGGCAGCTGGGGGGCACAACCCAATATTGCAAGCACAAAGCAAAGAGGCACTGCAAGTTGGTTCCACATTGTTGGAGTGGTAAATCTACAGGCTGATACATATATACGTTGCAGGATTTCAACTAAGAAAAGTCCCCTCGTCCATAGCTTGGTAACTCATCTGATCACTCTGCCTCGACGAGACCACCGACTTTGATAACGTCGTTTGGTGTCTCATAACACGAAGGAGCAATGGAAACGGAAGGGAACTTTGGTTGTTACCCTATGATGACAGACTACGAAGTACCACAGTAAGCAAATCAACGAACACCTGCAAGCCAAAAGAGGTTCATGAGCTGAGAGATATGAGAACCTATCAGTACTTGGCCTCTCATATATGTCGCCATCTCAGATACCAAATCGTAGCCATCACGTACAAAACATTGCGGGGGAAAAGTGGACAAAAAGTCATCTCGCATTATAATTAAGTAGTATACTGCTTCTCCACTCTCAAGCCTTTCTCGTAGCATTCATAGCCTTGACCCACGGCTTCCAGATATCCTCAATGGTGGCGGGGTCATTCCAGCCGTCCCACTCGTAGTTGGTCAGGCCCCAGGTGTCCGGGACGCCCTGGCCACCGGACCGCACGCGGTAGCTGCCGGCCAGGCCCCAGACCATCCAGCTGACGCCGTGCTTGACGGTGAACTCCCTCAGGCAGACCTGCAGGGTGTCGTTGCGCAGGGTGTCGTCCTGGCCGTTGCCGAACTCGGACAGGATGACGGGCGTCAGGCGGTTGGCCTTGGGGCAGTCGCCGGTGGCGTTGCAGGCGGCGGGGGCGTCGATGCCGAGGGCGTTGAAGCCGTTGCGGTACAGGTTGGCCTCGATGATGGGGCAGGTGCCCGTGTCGACGTCCTCGCTCATCTTGTAAATGTGCAGCTCCCACACGAGCTTGTCGGCCCAGGCGTGGCCGTCGACGTCGAAGACCTTGGGCTCGCGGCGCACGGCGTCGCGGATGGCGGTGCACTTGTAGCAGGGGGCGGTGAGGTAGTTCTTGCCGGTGGTCAGCGCGGAGAGGTCCTGGCCGTACTGCATGCCGCCCCAGAGGATGAGCACGTCCGGGTTGGCCTCGTGGATGGCGTCGGCGCCGGCGGAGAAGTTGCCGACGAGGGTGTCCCAGTTGTAGTACAGGTTGGTCCTGTTCCAGGACTCGCGGACCTCGTTGCGCAGGGAGAGCGAGACGATGTTGGGGTGGTCCCTGGCCCAGTTGGCGACGTAGGAGAGGCCGCGGCGCCAGTGCGAGGCGTTGAAGTGGACGTCGTCGAACCAGGCGTTGCCGTCGGTGTGCGAGCAGCACCACATGGCCTTGCTGACGTGCACGTCCGGCGAGATGTAGATGCCGCGGTCGAGGGCCGCCTTGGTGATGTCGGACCAGATCTCGAAGCGAGTCGTCTCGCGCGTCCAGGACGGGTTCTGGCGGATGATCTCGTTGGTCACCTTGGTGCCGTTGACGAAGCCCAGGGCCGTGATCATGGCGACCTCAAGGGGCACGTCCTCGCCTGCGCGGTCGTAGATTTGGTCAACCATCTCAATGGCGTAACCCCTTGTATGGTGGGTTAATTGCTTTGTTCCAAGTATGGAAAAGCTAGGTAGGAGGCGGCGGATACACTTACATGCGGATGTAGTTGAAGCCGACACTGGCAACATTGTCGAGGATCTTGTCGACAGAGGCCCATTCCAGACCCTCGGGGATCATGGTCTCACCTGCATATATACCATGTTAGTTCACAATCTTCTTTTTTTTCTTTTCTTTTTTTTCTCTTCACACAGCAAGGAAGCTGGGCTTACCGCTCATGGGCCAGTTGATGCCCGCCCACGTCACAGCCTCACCACGGCTGTTGACGATATCACGGCCCCTGGTGCTGAAGGGGCCATACGGCCAGGCATCGCTGGAGTGGTTGGTGGCCTGTCTCACGGCCTGTCTGTACCGAGGGACGGAGGGAGTCTTCATGAACTGGCCGCATGCCGACGACACCAGGGTCGCGGCGGCAAAGGCGAACGCTGCAACCTTCATGGCCGAAAAAATTCTCACGCAAAGCACGTGTGAAAGATGCGAGGGAGCGATGGGAGTTGCGTCAAAGCTGTAATAGCTGAAGGGGAACCAGGAAGCAGAGGCCCTTTTAAATTCGTTCAGCTTTCTCCGGTAGCATCGGTCGACCCATTGACGAATGAATCCTCTTCTCGGCTCCGCATCCCCCGCAGTCTCCTGCTTTCCCATGGTATTAGCAGCGTCATTCGACCCCCTCTGACGATGGGCCGTTGGGTCATGAGCGATTGTCGATTTTACCGGAACTATCTAACCAAGGTTTGGGGCCGGTAGACCAGGAACCCCCCCCTCCCCTGGCACGTGGAGAAGGTTCATTTGAGTAATTCGATGACGGTATTGGACCGCTTGAACGAGTGGAGAGCTCTACTGCTACGTAGCACAGAGCAAGACAGGCTACCCCGCATCGATGAATGTGGAGGTTGTGGAGATGCTAACAAGGGGAGAGGAAGGAAGAAAAAAAAAAGAAGAAGAAGAAATTGTCGGGCAGCGGGACAATGAGGAGTACCCCGGTTCACTGCCCTGCCGCGCTTTTCGTCTTCCCCGAGGTGGGGAGATACGATGCCGGCGCCGGACCGAATCGGATGGTGCTCCGCAGCAGTTTGCCCTGTGGCTGTCGCCTGATTTCCACCGCTTCGTGGGTTGTGAGGGGGACTTCGTCAGCCAAGCCGGCGCCTTTTTAGTCCAGGTTTTGATATGGCATGGGTTACCACTCGTAGTGCTGGGTTCCGCGATAGCAAGAGTAGAGCTTGATGGGCCAGAGACGACAATGTTGGGTTATAAGCTTTGGTTTGAATTTGGGTCAATTGAATGCTGGTTAAATGGAGCCAACACATTCCCAAAGTTACCATTGAATGGATAAATCATTCATTTGGGCCTCGATATATGTGCTGAACACATATCAGTCTCTGTATACTAGTAAGCGAGGACTCATGCCATAAGCAGCAGTGTGGATACTGCGGGCGTAGGACGTAGCGAACGAAGTCCAAATATCAAACTACAACTCGAGAGACACATCAACCCTCAACATTGTGAGCACGAAGTAAACGGTTGAAGTTCTGCAACGATATCATGTGCCAAAATAACATTATCCAGTCTTGATAAATCACACGAACCAAGGACTCCTGGCGAGAAACCACAGTCGTGGGTGGAGACAAGCAAGTGACATACCTGGCAAACTCATGTCCAAGATCAACCACAGAACAAACCACCACAAAAAAAGGATTTCCGGCCAGGGCATGAGTTGAACACGCGACCTTCGCTTGGACAATCAGCGATGCTCTACCACCTGAGCTACCTGACCATTGGCATGTTTTCAATGTTGCGCATGTTATTGTTATTGGCGACTATATCGAAGGGATGCTGACAATCTGTCGCGGCTGCCTAATCGTCATTGAGGCTGGGCAGCTCCATCGCAGAACCTTCTAGACCACTTTGCGCCGTCTGTGAGGCTGAAAGCCTGGATGGAACCGTGGATATTCTTTTGAAAATACTTATTTGTTATGCTCAGATGTATCATTCATGGTTGTTCACAATGCCTGTCCGATCGGGGCTTGATGAGGTGGACTGATACAAGGGCCTGTCGTTGAGCATTAACTACCTCAAACCGTTGAAATGCGAATGTTACATTCAAAAGTTTTATTCAATTCTTGTCAAGAAATTACTTTGCCAGGCTCTTCTCTGGATTCTTCTCATACCTGTTACACCACTTCCGCCACTCCTTTGCCGCCTTGTGCATTACTACCCTCAAATCGTCCTTGACGTCATTCACCTCCCATGCCTCGTCCTCCCAGTTCTGCTGCCCCTTTGTATGCGCGGGCGACCAGCCAATCGCTTCCAAGCAGTCGCTGTCTCAAGTGTTAGCACACACACGCAGTCAAGTAGGTAGGATGGAGAAACAGGTTTAACTTACACTTCAGTTGGCGCCGTGGTGTACCTCGGGAACAACCTGGAATCAACGCGATGGCACTCAGCCTCGAGATAGCGGGTGAGGATGTCGGTACGGGGGGCGGGTTTGAAGGTAAGCTTGAGCTTGTCCTCCTTCTCCATTTCCTTCTCGGACTTTTGAGGATCGATTGTTTCGGGTTTCTGAGACTTGGAAGCGATGCGCTTGGTGACTGAGCGGGCGGTCTTGGTGCCCTTGATGGTGAAGTATGCCCACACAGCTATGTGATGTTAGTATTGAACCGAGTATATGATGGAAAATCAAGACTGTACTGACCATTGACCTCAAAGAGTCCGCTGACGGCAATCATGACCAAGTCGATAGCTAATGAGACAGGTAAAAGGCCCGTAGCAATGATGGCGTCTCGTTGAGCTTTGGACTTTGTGCGGAGCATCGTGTTGATGAACTCTTCCCGCATAGCCTCTGGTGTCATGTTCATGGTTGGTGGGTAGACAAAGACAATCTCCTCGACGCCAACCGTTTTCTTGGTCTCGTGAGACTGATGGGCGGGATCGTCGTCTTGAAATACGTCGTGCTCCTTGACGTCGTCCGGCGACCTATCCCCTTTCTCGTCGTGATGCACCTTCTCATCGCGCACTCTGTCTTCGCTGAACTTTTCCTCAAATGGATTCTCTTCTCTCGCCTTTTCATCCAAGCCTGCTTCCCTTGCCTTTTCGTCCGCTGGTGTGGCCTCTTCATCATTGAGTTTTATTTCACTGGCATGCTCGTCGACACCCGCAGATCCCTTCCCTTTGGCAGTTTCCTCCTTGTTCTCATTCGACTTGCCCTTCTTGCCAATGCCCTTGATCGAGAGCTTACTGGCAAGGTTGGAAGATGAAGATGCCGACGGTGGTGGTGTCACACGGGCGAGGAAATCCAAGTTGCTTGTGGTTGTGTATTGCATAGCCTTATCTACGCCACGCGTGCACTTGGCCTTGAAGCCAGCCCAGCTTGTTGTCTTGGCGTCGCTCTGCTTGGCCTGACGAACTTCATTCTGCCACTTCCGCTGCACCTTGTGTGTAACGCCTTCTTTTACCCCCTCAGGCGGCGCTTGGAGCGGCGGAGGTGGAGGAGTATAAATCAGGAAGCGCGTAGGAATGGCGTCCGTAGGCGCTCTGGCACCTAACCACGGCTTGGGAAAGGGAACCAGGTACGCAATGAGCTTCTGGGGATCTCGCGAATAATGAACCGGGTTGTTAGGATCATCGCCGCCAAAATCTGTGCCCTGGCGTTTGGGAGGAGCCATGAGCCCCTCTGTCGATGGAGTCCTTGTAAATGGCGGTGGCTCTTGTTGCTGCTGTTGATGGGCGAGCATCGCTGCTACGGCATCTGGGTGTGGCCGTGTTGGTAGTGGAGGTACCGAGCCCCCGCCCTCTTCTTCTTCTTGCTGTAGCCGCATCGCAAGAGCGCGATCTTCGTCTTCCGTCGAGACGGGATGGGACGAAAGAGGATCTTTGTGGTCCAAACCGTAGGAGCTTTTCGACGGGCGCTGTGGAAGAGGTGGTCGCTCACCCTCCTCTTCTTCCTGGAGCGCTAATGCCATTGCATAGTCACGGTCTTCTTGCTCTTGTATGGCGGGATCAGCTGCATGTGATTGAGCGTAGTAATCCGTGATTTCTGGATTAGAGGGCCTTGGGCCGGGTAGCGGAGGCCGTTCCTCCTCAGCACCGGCTACTGGAGACTCATGAGACTTTCCCTTGTCATATGGTGTATCATTCATGACGGGTTCAGAATATCCGTGCCCGACATCATGATGTTGCAGCGGAGGTTCGGGAGATTTCCCCTTGTCATCCGACATATGATGTTCATTGGGTTGAGATTGTGGTTGTGGTTGTGTTTGGGATTGGGCTTGGGGTTGTGGGTGAGGATACTCGTATCCGGTGTCATGATGCGGAATGGCGGGCTCTGGTGTAGGTGGGGAGTAGTAGTCATTTGGATGCGTTGATTGATATGGAGGCTGCGATGAAGAAGCCATCTCTTCAGCTGGAGCCTTCGATTCAATAGGTGGTGGCGAGTGACTTTTGGTAGTAGGAGAGTCGTGAATCTTGTTGTTGGGAGGGTTTTCTGGGGGGTCATAAATGTTATCCTCCTCCTCTACCTCCGGAAGGGGTCCCGTGATATGCTTTTGCTCGTTGGGGTCCTTGAAAGAGAACTGTGAGCGTACGCTATTGGAGCGAACGGTCGTCGGCGTGGCAGGTATAATGTTCACTGCAGGGACATCGCTGCGTGTTGGGACGATAGGTGAGTCATCGTTGAGGTCATCGTACCAGCGATTCTGAGCTTGTTGGTCATATTCATGCTCATGTCTTCCGTGAGCTTGAGAACCCGACGTGAAAAAAAGCTCTTGTTCTGCGATGGAGCTTGGCGTATGGCGCTGCTGTGTGGTATCCATCATGAGACGCAGCTTGTATCCGTACGGAATCAAGCCAACGGTGAAATTCTACGACGAGGGAAATAAAAAAAAAATTGGCAAAATGCCGGTCTTCAATACAAACATTCACGACGTTTCCGCGAACCTTAAATTGCGTTTTGGTCTCACACCTTGAGGCGATAAATCCGCCTTGGAACACGCAACCCGGTGCGGCGTTGAGAGGCAGGATGACGTGGTGTCATTAATGGTAATTGTGGCGCAGTAAACCGTTTGTGGCACTGGCCAACGGCCGCAGCACTTCCTGGTACGGGATCTCCGTAATGGACAGGGGTTCCAGTCAGCCCATTGCTGTGGCTGGAGGTCCGTTTCATGTCTGAGGGGTTGCGATGCTCTGATGGTTTTCTGTTGGCACACATAGTAGAGCGATCCTTGAAACTATAGATTGGATCTGTCCAGCGCCAGTTTTTCTGGATGAGAGTCACGTGGTGTTTTGCTGTTCTTCCGTTCCGAACTTTCCGTCAAGATGTTACGGAAGATACTTTGAGGGTGTGCCAATGAACGGCCCGAGGTTAGTAATAAGTCATGAAAATATGATGTGTATCTTTAGTCCTTGAAAGAATGCAGAGATATATAATGATGTACCTTCCAGAAGCAGCCAAGATTAAGATTGGTTTCGCGTACATTACGATACCACGGTTGGGCTTGGGAGAAACACGAATGAAGCCACAGCATCATGGGGACGCGACGTGGAGATGATAAACTCCGAGTTGCCAGAGACACGGAGTCACCTTGGCAGACCAACGGCTTGAACGCACATCGCCTCGTCCCCACGGGGGTTGAGGGGGGGAGACGGAGAGCCAGAATCCACGGATCTTCGCTTGGAGGTTCTGATGGGGGCCCCTAAAGCTTGACACTCTTGTATGTAAGTCTATTCCCAGACGAGTCGAAGAGGGCACCGCTAGTGGTTAGCGTCGCAATACCCAACTTGATGTTGATGTATTTTGGTGTGGGTGTGGACGGAGGGTTAGCCGTTCGTGTTCGGGGTGACGGGCCTGGCACTCTCTGGAGTTTGGCGTCGCAATAAATGAAGCCCATTCAACAACTCTCCTATATGGTCCGATGCGTTCGTATCTTTTGTCAGTTCGCCCCCTTCAGCAGTCCAAAGCGTTGCTTTCAGCTCAAGTGGCAGCACAGCATGCACAGCATGCAAAGGCCCGCCCTTGCCGTAGACCGACGGGATCGCCTTTTAACTTTTACTCGAATATATGACCATGATGCCGCCACAGCCGTGCGCTCGGTCAACTGAAGTCTTGCATACGTCGAAAAGAAGAGATGGGAGCATGGTTACGAGGAAAGTCTTGCTCTGCCTCAGGAACCGAAGAGCAGTAGATTCCGTGTATGTTTTCAGGCGGTGCGTGTTTGGGAGTGTGATAAATTTAGCTGAGTCATCCTGGACCCCACCTTTACAATCTCCACTAGGAATCTAATCCGCGAATAGCTTCAACCAACCAAGTACTTGTCTTGCAACCTCTGTCAGTGCAGTGTCTCATGAATACGTAGCCCTGGCATGTTTGTTACCTTCCCGACAGAATTGACGTCTGATTTTGTGGGTATGAGAGCCTGAGCAATTAATTAACAGAATATGCAGGATATCTATCCGTATCTCCAATCGAGTTTCTGAGTTGCCAGTCACTCTGCTTTTTCCTGATGATACCAACCTCAGTAAAGCTCAACACTACTTTTAGGTAGCCAGAGCAGAGTCATGACTATGAGGCTCTTCACTACACTCCAATGAAAAGCTCTCTCAAAAATAAGTAACCCTTCCCTTCGTCTGAGAGATCCCCACTTCGCATGGATGCGTTTCCACTCGCTCTCTGAGGCATGTTTCACCATCATCCCGCGCCGCTATTCGTCGATCTCCCGCCCAGCAAACCGCGCAGGCCCTCCTTGAACACTCTCCGTTATCAGTTTTCTGAATTCGTTCACCTTCGTTTTGCTCCGGGCCGCAAGAGCCTCTATTGTGTTTGTTCGTATTACCACTACATGGCCCTGTACCAAATCCCAAGGCTGATGGGTCCTCCTTTCTGAGATCCACGCCTATTTGCCTCAGGATTGTAATGCACCTACATCAGGGCACTTTCTTCCTTTCTCCCCGGTAGGGCCCACGTCCAAATTTGGGTTACAGAAAGATACTGTATCAAACAAGCACTACCAAGTTCCACGGTTTTGTAACCCCACTGCTTATTTTGGCAGTCCATCAACGGGACATCCGTCTGAGCTTGTAAAGGGTGCCAAGACATGCCTCCCCCCCTTCTCCGACCCTCAGACTCGCGGGACTGGTTGTCAGTATAAGTATGCTTTTACGGCTCGCTCCCGTGGGAACATGATGTTCTCGAAACCCTATTCCCTGTAGCGTGTCCGCAACTTTCTTTTCTTTTTTTTCTTTTTTTTTTCCGCTGGGCTGGTTCCCGTTCTTGCCCGCCTACCGCTATGCAGTTGAAAGGCTTCTTTCCCCTCGCCTTTGCTGCACTGGCGGCGGCGGCTGAGCCGCTGAACGCCGTGCTCAAGGCCAACAATGACACCTTGAGTACTCTAAACTGTGAGTTGGGTCCCTTTGGAAGAAACGACGACGACGACGACGGCCAGGCACTTACATGACATGACCCCCCCTTCAGCTCTGCTCGCGATGGCCCCCGAGATTGTGAAGACCCTGGCCAGCTCCAACGACTTTACGATTCTCGCCCCCTCGAACGACGCCTTTGTCAAGGCGATGCAGATGGACCCCACATTCGCTCAAAAGGCCACCAACGTCACCTTCGTCAAGGATCTCCTCATGTACCACGTCGTCGCCGGCAAGACCACGGCCAGCATGTTCTCCACGAAACCCAAGTTCGCCATCAGCAGGTTGGAGCTTCCTACCCGTAACGGTACGGGTGCCCAAAGGGTTGAACTCGTCAAGAAGGCGGACCAGGCTGTCATCTTTAGCGGATACAAGCAGATGAGCACCGTCTCCAAGCCCGACATTGCGTTTTCGGGAGGCGTGCTGCATGTTATCGACTCCGTCTTGACCCTCCCCGGGACACCTTCCGACACGGCCCTGAACACGGGCCTGACAAGCATGGCGGGTGCGCTGATGAAAGCTGGGCTTGTCGAGGGTCTCGACTCGCTGAATGCGTCTACCGTCTTTGCCCCGACAAACGCAGCCTTCCAGGCCATCGGTGCCACCGCCGCGTCCATGTCGCCTCAGGATCTCGCAAAGATACTTCAGTACCACGTCATTATGCGCCAGGTCCGCTTCAGTTCCGGTGTTACGATGAAGTTGGGATTCAAGAGCTTGATGGGCCAAAAGGTCACGCTTCGGAAGCAGGACAGCACGGTTTTCGTCAACTCTGCCAAGGTTATCATCTCTGATATGATCACCAGCGAAGGCGTCATGCATGTCATTGACAGGTAGGTCTCTGTTGTACCGAGAATCTCCGTGAACATAGTTGACGCGGTGTTTAGTGTTCTTAACCCAGGGGAGCCGAAGCTGACGCCCAACCTGTCTGCTTCATCCGCAACACCCGCCTTTGCCGGGGCCGTCGCAGCCGCCAACGCTCCTTTCACCGACGGCGTCACACCCACAGCCAACTTCGTGCCAGCCTCTTCCTCGACTACGAAGAACTTCAAGACCACCGTGGGCCCCGCCGTGCTAGGTTTACTTGGGTACTTGGCGGTTGTTGTGCTGTGAGTGAGTGGGCGGTTTAGTGTAGCATACCTCATTCCATTCTTTTTTCCAAGCCTCAAATGAGCGACATAATACTAGAGAACGTTTCTCAGATATTTACTTTAATTCGAGCGGACTTTTAAGAACTGCCTAAGCGGATATGCATTACACTCCCGTCAAGACTCCACCTAATGCGCCTTCCTCTTGCTGCTGATGTCTTGATTGAACCAATGAATGTGTTACTTGATGTTGAACATCTTTTTTTCGGCATACAAGTGCTCTTTCCTATCATAAGAACCGCTGCATTTATGCCAAACGTGCTCCATTTCCTTAAAACGCCAGTCCCAACAAACTCTCTCAAGATAATAACCTCAAAACCAGCCAATCAAGTCATCCGCCATTTTCAAGTTCGCAAAAGGCGTCAGAGCCGAATGTCGTTGTTGTATCACCAGCCACACGCATTTTTCCATACAACGTTTTATGCCAGTCTCATCATAAAGCCCTGTAATCGTTTCAACGCAGCATAACCGCAAAACTTCAGGTTGACCCCGGTATCGCTCGCCAGGGACTGAACTAGACTTTGCAAAAACTCATAGCGCCAAAGATCATTCACTCCCCAAGGCGTGAACTGGCGCTCTATACGTTAAAAAGAATGGGATGGTTCCGCTAATCTCAAGTATTACGTGAATAGGGCGGAGATTCTTTACGGCTTCAAAGATCTAGTATATGAAACGACCGCTGCTGAAAAGATGCCCTGGGTTGCAATCAGGAACACCACAATGGAATAATGTATGGCGTACTGTTCGCCTGGGATATTCATTTAGACCGCCGTACCTTCCGTTGGCACATTCGGGTTGTTTCCCTTGCACGTTACAAGTCGTTCATTACTGGCTGTTCTGAAACTAGTCAACAACAGAAGACGGATAGGACAGATCGTTCGATAGACAGGCCGTCTTGTAAGACAGACTCGCCCCAGCTTCATCACATACTATGTCTGTCGTCACAACGATGGCAAGACACGAAAACCATGCTTTAATCTGTGTAATTACTCTTGACTCGTACCTGGTATATACAAGCATACACAAACCGCGTGTGAAACGTCACAACCCGCCTCGGGCCCAAGACAGAACCGACAAAAAACCCATTCGTTCAAACGACGCAAAAAAAAAAGCGAAAAAAATTTGAACGTGTAAAAAGAAAAGGAAAAGAAGGAGGACCATTGACAGCAAAAGGGAAGATGCTTTTTAAACCGGGTTGACTCCAGATAAGTTTGTGTGTTTGTGTGTCCGCGCCGAGCCTTATGAATCTAATCCGTTCCATATCTGAGTTTGACATCGTCCTTTACATGGTGGGAATACCCTCGTATTCGGCGTAGCCGAGAGCAAGGTTCATGTTCTCTGTGTGAATGGTCAGCTGTGTTCATAAAAGGGGATGATACAAAAGAGCAAAACTTACGCAGACACTGAGTCGCCGCACCCTTGAGCAGGTTGTCGATGGTAGAGCAGACCACGACGCGCTTGCCGCTGCTGTGTACCGCGAAACCGCCAATCTCAACGCCGTGCTTGTTCATGATGTTCCTTACCAAGGGAGGCTCGCCGACAACCTTGACGAGCTTCTCGCCAGCGTAACGGTCCTGGTAGATCTGGCGGATGTCACGCGAGGTGAAGGTCTTGTTGAGAGGAATGTGGATGGTGGCCTGGATGCCGCGGAACCAAGAGGCGACGTGGGGGGAGAAGGCAACCTCGGTGCCAAGCTGGTTGCTGATCTCGCGCTCGTGGATGTGGTCCGTCAAGCTGTAGGGCATGAGGTTGTCCTTGAGCAGGTTGATGTCGTTCTTGGGGGAAGGCTTGGTACCGGCGCCAGAGTAACCAGAGATACCGAAGACGGAGGGAACACCGCCCAGGTGCTCGACCAAGGGGGCAATACCGAGCTGGGCGGCGGTAGCGTAGCAGCCAGGGTTGGAGATCTTGTCGGCCTTGTAGATATCGGCGCGCTTGGTGAGCTCGGGAAGACCGTAAGTCCAGGTCTTGTCGAAGCGGTAGTCGGCGGACAAGTCGACGATGACGCTGCGGTGGTCGGCACCGCCCTTGCGAGCCTCGTTGATGGCCTCGATGTAGGGCTTGCAGACACCGTTGGGAAGAGCCATAACCCAGCAGTCAATGGCGCCCTTCTTCTCGAGCTCCGTAACCTGGTCAGGGCTCAGGTTCTCGTAGACGATCTCCCTCTTGGTGTAACCCTCGAGCTTCTTTCCAGCGAGCTCACGAGAGGAAACATGTCTGAGGTCCATGTTGGGGTGGGAGTTGATGAGGTCGATGAGGGCCTGGCCGGTGTAACCGCGGGCACCAATCAGAGCAACACGGGAAGGGACGTCGTTGGAGGCGTTCTTCTTGCCGAGAGGAGGGTTGGGGTTGGTGGTGGTAGCATAGGTGCGCTTGCCGTTAAGGCTGGCGGCAGCAGGGGCCCAGGTTGGGCGACGAGCCATCGTGGAGAAGGCACGAGCCTGCTTGGGCTGGGTGGACTGGTTCAGGTTCTGGGTAGAGACCTGAGCGGCACGGCGCAGACGGGCCTCCAGGTTGGAGTCACCAAGCATAGCTCTACCGTGGGCGTTGAACTCGTCGGTCAAGACACCGAGCTCCTGCAGGTTGTCGATGCCGTACCAGAAGAGCTGGTTGCCCTTGCTGGAGAAGCTGCCGTCGGCCTTGTCGAAGAACCAGGTGAGGTTCTCATCCTCCTCGCTGACGGTCCACACAAGCTTGGGGTGGTCCTTCTTGATAGCATGGAAGACGTTCTCGGTGACGTTGCTGAGCCAGCCCTCCTTGGTAACTGTCAGGGTGGCAAGGGTAGGGTGAGAGCGCTCGGCGTTGGGGGGCAGGACAATGGCGAGGCAGTTGAGGGGCTCGTCATAGTAGGCCTTGAAGGGAGTGTTCTTGAGGAAGTCAATGTAGCGGTCGACGGTGGCCTCGGCGTCCATGCCCTCCCTGTCGCGGATGAGAGTCTGCTTCAGCTTGGCAAGGTCGGGGAAGGAGGAGATGCTGTCGGCAGACTCAATCTTGTCGCCGCGGCGGATCAGGGTACCGGCGCCTGAGTCAGTGAACAGCTCCTTCTGCAAGTCGCTGGGGTGGATGATGGCAACACTCGAGGTTCTAGGGAGGGTCTCCAGCAGCTCCTTGATCTCCTTGATCTTGAGACGCGTACCGTAGCGGCACCAAGACTGGGACATGAGGTGGTCGTACTCCTCGTCGAGGTTGATGTGGGAGATCTTGTCACCAGTCTCCCCGTTGAACAGACCACCCTTCTCAGAGAGGTAGACGATCTTGAGGGGCTCAAGAGCGCGTGCAAGCTCGGCGGCAGCGACATCGGCGTTGACGTTGAGGATCTGACCCTCGGCAGTCTCAGCCATGGAGGTGAGGATGGGGACGTAGCCCTGCTGGATAGCGAGCTCAACGGGGGCCTTGTCAACGCTGGTGATCTTGCCAACGAGGTTCCACTTCTCCTTGTCGAGGTAGTCGGCGGTGAGAACAGTGGTCAGAGGGCGGGTGCGGACACCGAGGCTCTCGAGCTTCTCAACCAACTTCATGTTCTCCTGGAGGAACAACTTGCGGGCGACGGTAAGGGTCTTGGGATCGGTGACGCGGATACCCTCCTCGAACTCAGGTTCGACACCAGCCTCCTGGAGGAGGCGGTTGAGCTGGGGACCGGCACCGTGGACGATGACGGGGTACAAGCCAACCTCGTAGAGGAAGGCAATGTTCTCGCACAAATCATCGAGGTAGTCGGTGAGAATGGCGCCACCGACCTTGATGACAGCGAACTTCTGGGAGGAGACGGAGGTAAAGTAAGAGAGGTATTGCTGGCCCTCGCGGCGGCTGCCGATCTGACTCAGGGTGCGGATAATAATGGCTCGGGTGCGATCGCGGTTGGCCTGCTCAGACTGGGAGCTGGTGGAGGAAATGGCGCGGATGGCATTGAGGCGCTGGAAAGGGCTGGCACGGGCACCGGCGACAGCTTGACGCTGACGAACGACGCGAGGAATGGCTCGGCGGGCGCCGGCCCGAATAACGGCAGAGGTTGCGGAGAGCATCGCGAGTTTGGAACTGAGGTGGACACCAGGTTAGCCGATTCTGCGGTGGCCACGCAGGAGGGGTTTCTGCGCAAAGCCGATGTCGCGCAAAACGGTGCGTCGGCATGATATTCTAGAAATCAGAAGGGCAAGACACAAACTACACACCTCTTTCGAGTTGGAAACACCTCAAAATTGGGTGGGTAGAGAGTTAGATAGGGTTATGATTCACACACAAACACTTCAGCAGACCCGGGTAGCAAGCTCCCACTCTCTTGTCTGTGTCTCGCTGTCTTTTGCGCTCTTTCGGCTGCCGGCTAGTCAACAAGCTGGTCAATTGACAAGGCCAACGAGGGAACAATAGACTCAATTGGCGACCCGAGGCAGAAAAGACAAGTGGCGGACGGAGGAGAGGAAGGAAAGAGGGCTATGTTCGGGGGGGCGGGAGAGAATAGGACCAGAAATTGGAGGTGGCAGCGAGGCTTTTTACTTTTTGAGGCCTGCGAGACTATGACTGGACGTGGGCACTGGGCTGCGTATGATGCAGTGGAGGTGTGGAGGAGGGGCAGGGGGGGGGCGGCTTCTGAGTACAGCAAGCACTGATTGTGAGAGGCACTGAGTGTGGGCGGTGGTCAGGTCAACAGGCCTGGCAAGAAAAAAATTGACCGAAACCGCTCATTCATCCGGCACCCACTCCCAGCGTCACCATACAATTGGCAACACTGCGCTGGGTGTGGCACAAATTGTGGCCCTGTCCACATTGTGGCTCCGATGGGCCAATTGGGTGTGCTCTCGGCTATTGATCGGATCTGATAAGGAACTGCCCCGGCACGTACCGTCACCAAATCCTCGGCGCAAGGCATTAAAGACCCTAAAAGAGGCATCTGCGGCAGTTGCCCTGGAAAGAATTACTTGAAAAATGCCTGTTCCTTGGTGGGGATAGAGGGGAAGGGCTGGGAAAAAAACAAAAGGTAGAGGCAGAAGTAGAAGCAGCAGCACATGAAATCCAGCCGAGGCAAAACATGATGCTGTAATCATTTGTACCCGGGAAACAAAGGCAGTAACCCATCAATCAGTATACCTCCATATCATTCCTACACGTTCCTTACTAAGAAGAACGCAAATCAGATTGACACCGCAGAAATAGCAATCCAACACTGAACTAACGTCAACTGGCACCTCCGTTCTGCTTAAGAACAGGTGGGCACAAAAATTGTGGATTGCAACTCTAAACGTCTTGTCGGATCCGTACACAAAGTGTCCAACGCCGACGCAATCCCGGACCGGCATAGAGATCGCCGAGCTTGAGATGAACCTGGCGCTAAGCTAGACGCCAGTCAACCGTTGAACTTGCACTTACACCGCTCGACATCGTGGATCACCCCCCCCCTTAGGGTCTAACCATTCAGTGTGTTTCGACCGTCCGCCCTGCATCGACAGGGCAGTCGGCGATTGGGACACGCAGCTTTAGAACTCCATTTAATTCGACCATGAATCCTTGGAGATGCCATGTCTACAACGACCACGTTTTCTTAGCGGCATCCCTTGATTGACTCCATAATCGGATTTCGAGACGTCATGGAAATTAAGGCACGTATGGAGCTCGACGCTGAATCGCAGTCTCGGTAACCGAACTCTTCAAGTCCGTAACCCCATTCTTGCAATGCACTACAGCCGCCGTCACGTTATTCCAAATGTATAAGTAATACAGCCAGGTAGCGATATCAGGGCCAGTTAGAATTCAATTACGCAAACGCCTGCCATCCCTCATACATACATGCGGTCGATTCGCAGCCAAGCTGACACGGCCAACTACACCGACCAAGTCCCGTAGCCGGCCAACAGCCCATTGCATGCAGACCCTCGAAGTAGATTGGAGTCCATCTCGAACAACCTCTGCCCTTGCCCAAATCATTATCCCATAGAGGCGGCCTTGTGTGCCGTCCCTTCCCCGAGTCTTCCACGGTTGCTCGAAGCCTGCGAGATATCTGACGTTTCATTCCATATCATGAGGACGGACCATGAACCATGAACCCAAGGGGTCGTGTGATGCAAAATGGTGGTATCTAGTTACTTGCGGGTAGCAACAACTGGGGTGTCAAGTTAGCGGGTTGCAACGACTACATTGCAAATTTGAGATTAGAGCCGAACAAGACATAAGACGCGATCCAAAAGAAAAGCGCACTGGAAGGGGGACATACCCGCTGGAATGACAATGATGAGGATGAGGATGATGATGCCGGCAATCAAGCACATGCGCATCTTGACGTCCTTCCACCACATCTGCTTACGGACGCGGTTGGCGCCCCGACGGAACCCCTGAGCCGAAACCGCCAGGTTGTCCGTCTTGTCTTGCAGAGCATCGAGACGCTCGCCTCTTTGGGAGACCTTGTTGATGTTCTCACGCATCACACCAACGGTGTCATCGATTTGCTATAAATAGTAGTGTCAGCACATGACTATGATGCCATTATTACCAATAAGCGAAGCGGATTTGCCCAGATTGCGACGATAACGATGAGAAAAGTAAACGCGAGCCTTCGGTTTTCGTAAAAAAAAGACGACGAAAGAAGCGGATGGGATTTAGAAGCGAGGTTGTTGAAGTTTTTTCTGGTTCTCATGTCGCCGCAGTCGCTAATGTCGTCACCCGGCATGAAGCTTAGGTTAACGGGATCGCCAGCTGGGACCATTATCATTCATCGCGACGTCAGACACAGCGATAAGACGACAATTATCAATCGCCCAAAAATGAAAACCATATCGCCAATGTCCGCAGGTCGTGCTGGGGAATTGTTGCGATATCCCACCCAGGCGTTGTCGGTGAAATGGGGAATCGGTCGGGTTGCTCGGCCGGGTCGTCGTCATCAGGTGTCGGGCAATCCGGGGCAATAGTCCATCGGAAAAAAACGCTCTCGCGAGGGAAAAGTATCGCAACTTACAGCTTGCAAGGCTTGTGTCCTCGCGTTGCCGCCAGCACCTTGCTGTTGAGGCGCGGCCTGGCCGCTGGGGATGTAAGGGTCGTAGGGGGCGTCTTCGGGCATTGTCGCTGTGGTGACGGAGGTGACGAGGATGGAAGTTGAGTGTTGGCAGGAGCACGAAGCTACGGCCGGGAGAAATGAGATTGACTTCGGACGCGAGAAGGAAGTTTAGATTTCGATGCACGAAGATTTGTTGTTCGAGGCAGATGAAGGTCGAAAGTTGTTGCTAGGCGGTCGGGAGTATGTGTGGTTGGAAAAAAAAGAGGAGAAAGGATGGGTGGTTGGAGGGCGTGGGAGGTTGATGAGGTGGTTAAGTTCAGGTGATGAGACGTCTTGGAAAAGAGGCGAGCGCCCAGCCGAAACAAGGTGTCCGTCTGAGGATTTGGGGGGATGCTCTGCGCTTGCCTGCTAGGGGACCGATGGAGGGAAGCTGCTGGCAAGCCAGCTGGGCCACTAATTTTAGTTATGCTGGGAACGCCCAGCCACTGCCAGCCCGACTCAAAAGGTGATTGTGTCTACTGTCCATTTGTCGTTCCACCTCAATCTTCTGCAAGACGAAACTTTTTTCTTTTGGTATGGATTCCCTTCTTTGTCAGTACATTTTTTTCGTCTTTCTCTGGTTCTTTTTTTGTTATCATGTATGAATCTACCTTTCCTTGCATGTTTCCTTGTTGACAAAAAGCCCAGGGACCTACCTACTCGGACTTGAGCACCGATGGAGCGAAACAGAAACCACAGCGCGGCAGCTTCAGCACGGCCACGGTTGGAGACTGGGGGATGGCGCTGGAGCAGGACTTGAGGACCAATCAACAGCAACGTTTCCAGCGAATCAGAGACAGGCCGCGGGGTACGTACCCCATCTGGTGCCTGGGGAACCCAGAAAAAGTGGAAAACACGAACTCGTGAACGCAGTGGCTCGTTACCTTTAGCTCAAAAGTCTGCTGGACTTCCATAAACATGGAAGCGGTGCTGTAAAGGTTGTTCCCTGGACCCAAGAATCTGGAAGTGTCTCCGGGCCGGCACAGCCATCCTCTCATCGTCATCTCTGCAACACTGTCCGATTATCGACACTAGGTCACGCACCCTCGTGCAAGGGGAATGGGCATCTTGCCTGCCCTGCACTGGATGAAAGGACCCTATCCAGCACGCAACAAGGATTGTTCCATCGCCCTCATCACCTGTTTGTCGCCTCTGCTTCCGCCTTTGCTTCGCTGGGTTTCTACCGTTTCGACTCCGTTGTCTCTGCCTCACTGCGTATTCTCTAAGGCTGAGCGCTGACCGGTCCGGTCACCTTACTACCAAAACCAATGCAGCAAGGTGTTTACGACCCAGCCATTGCCATGGATTCGCGGCTTTCTGATGTAATCATTGAGGCGGTGCCGCAGGGTCGACATGCTAGTAGCTGGCTGGACCCCGACGAAGCTGCATTGGGTTCGGAGACTTGGCCCCTTCCTGCCCTTTCCCCTTTGGGTCTCCTCAGCTCACTAGCTCACTAACAGGGAGAGGCACGTGAAAATCAGTCACGTGATAGTTGCTGCTGGCAAGTGCTGCTCGTAATCGCATTTCAAATTCCGAAATTTACCCACTCAACTGAGCCCCATCGTGGCTGACGGCACCATCATCCAAACTCGCAGTGTTGTGACTTCACCATTTCCAGCCATCATAAATGATTCAGGTCACCCCATCCATTCCTTCACGCCCAGGCTCAATTAATTGGCAGGCGCATGTCTCTTAGTGTTAACACGATATGCGTTTCTCGACGTCTCCTGTGATTTCCAAACTCTTGCTAGCTGGAGCCAAACCAACCTAACTGGCTTACTCCCCGCCTTCAAAGCCCCTAGTCAAAGAGGCTGGAAGAACCATTGCGATGACACGGGTTCGCTATTCTAGGGACAGAACAGTCGATGCAGGTGGACATCATCGATCTCAACTTTTGTTCCGTAGCAAGACTTATAATTTTCTAAAGATTACGTCCGCTCGGGAACTTGCTGCCGGGCCACAACGAAGAGGTACCGCGCCACCCGATGTATCGGCAGCCTACGTACTGTGAATCGCAACCACACCACACCTCTCTATGATCCGTTGAACCACTACGCTGTTCCCGGTTGTCTCGCTTTACCTTCAATGAATAACATTTCCCATAAAATGTTTTTGCATTTGCTAGTTGCATCTCCCGTTTATTGGCTCATCGGTCAAACCCCTGTCGGAAAATGAAGGGTCAAAAAGTCCAACCGGTTGCAGAAGCCTAAGAGATGAGTCTTCGATCAGGCAATGCCGACTCTACTGCTGGGTCAAGAGAAGGAATGAGATACTCTGTGAACAATCTTCGCCTCGAATAAGACAAGATATTGAGAAATGAGGATCGATTCCAGCAGTGTGGGCGATGACAAAGCGGCCTCCGTATTCGGAACATCCGCCGGAATGCTGTTGCCTGGACAAAATGAGCAGCATTTCTTAAAAGATGCTTATTCAAGATTAGCATGCCGTTCCCACTCAGTCACCATGCGAAGCCTTACTCAGAGCCACGCGTTCACAAGACCGACGGCCATGTCTGTTCGTGTTGGCGCCCGGCTTTGCGGGTGGTTGGGGGGTTTGGGGTTTTGGTGTTTGGGGGGGGCCTGTGGCATGGAACCAACAAATAGTGCCTGTCTGATCATCAGCAGTGGCGAGCTCACCAGCTCGCACCAGCGCTAAGCTTTACGAGGTGAGGACAGGCTGGAAACAGACCGGAACATTCAATGTCGATGCGCCAGGAATCGGCCGAGTAGCGCGTTTGGATGTTCCCCAGAACACTATCAACACTTTACTACCTTGTCTTGCCCGGACGGCAACGGCGTTGGAAAAGCTGGGGGACAAGAATTTGCTGTTTAGGGAGAAATCTTGGCTACGGCCCCGTTACCAATCTATCGCTATTAACTCTTGGCGATGGCAGCATGCTACAGCAGAACGGCGCGCGGCCTGGGCATTTGTGGGTTTCCAGTCCCTGTGTGCCGGTAGTGGTAGTGTCCTTCAGGCTAAGTTCCACTAAGAAGCCCGGGATTATCGGCAAACTAGGCCCCCCAAGCTTCGCTGATCACCGACGTCAACCAGCCCATATATTCTGGAATCAACCTGGACTCCTGGCGGTATTCCACCGGTACGACCGCACTGAATGGAGTTGAAGCGCACAGCCGATGGGGCCTCTTTGGCGGTTGTGCAGCACTTTGGCCACAGGTCATTTCAGCCCATGTATTGTCGTCTGACCATGCACCAAAGTCAAAGCCAAATTCGAGACAATAGAAGCCACGGCTCAACGACTAAAGACGAACTCCTAGGCCGTCTAGTACGAACAGTCAGGTACACAGGTACACGCACAGGTACACGCGGGAACGGCAGACTGAGGCAGATCGACCAAAATAGTGTTTCCTCCAACGAACTTGGGGCAAAGAACTACAGGAGCAGCCGGCGGGACTTGAAAACGTCACACGTTCGTGTTGTGCAGACTGGGGATGCCAGCACAAAAGATGAGCAGGGGACAGTACTAAGCTCATGGGATAACAAGGGTTCAGACTGCAGGCGAGTGCTGTGGATTGGGGGATGAGAACGGGATGGTGTACGGCGATATGCACGCTGACCAAGCTTAGCTACCAATATCCACGCTAGAAGCAGAAACAAGAAGCAAGGAAGAGGGGCCAAAGCCCAGGGCGGGCCAGACGACAGACGGGAGTGATGCAAAAAAGATGGGATCAGAACACAATACACAATGAGACAGCGTCACGATAGGCCGGGGCCATTTCATTATTGAACTGGTTGCGCGATTCCCCTGGACGATTGTCCCTAGTCTTACCAGTCCCGAAATGTTCTCCTCCACCCCCAGGCCATGTGCCCGCCTGACTCTGTTTCTGGTCTGTTTGCCTGACCCATTTCATTCTACTAAAGAAGAAGGCAAATCTCGTCTCTCGTTTCTTGTATCCATCCGCAATCCTTCTCTCGTATTGCTCCGAGAAGCTATTAGTGGAACCTCTTCCGCCTTCTACCTCCTTTCCCCCTCTCGTCGCTTGACTGGCCTTTTTCGGTTCCTCGACCCTTCTTGACCAGCTCGTATTTACTTTGGGGGTCAGCCTCTCGTTCTTCACTCTGCATGTCACACTTCCTTCTTTACTCGGGCGGAAGCAGAAAGGCGGAGGCGAGCGCAACTCCACCGTCACCATTCACTCCTTCTCAAGTCTTTCCCCTCCCAGTCAAGCTACCCGTGGCTGCTTCGGCTTGACCTTTAAGACCCCCCCAACTAGGTTGACAAGGTACCACTGGCCTCCAACCTGCATGCACTTACTCTTTACATTACATACCTACTTACAAGTACATGCACTTCCCCAGGTGTGATGTAGTGTGTGCGTGTCTGTGTATGTAAACCGTGTAGAAGGAAACACGACCCTCCAACCAACCAACTTGACGGCCAGACAACGCATCTCACTTACATCGCCTTCCCCGGTCCCTCACGAACGTGGCTCGACTCCCCATGCGCAAGCCCTGTCCAAGTCTACGCTAGGATTCTCTTACTTGATGCAATTGTTGGCTTGTTCCTTATTACATCCTTAAGACGCCCGCCCACCCTTTTTCGCATTTAGTCGTCGGTTCCCCCAGAATTTCGATTTCGACCTTCCATGCGGTCCGCCCCCCAAAGCCAAGGACCCCTCACACTCATCCAACCTCATCCATCATGGCCGCACTGCGGGGTTCGCCGTCCCGGTCTATAAGCCGACTGCTATCGGCTTTGCTGCTGTTGTCAGCTCAGTTCACCTCGGCATACGATTTGAAACCGGATGAACCTGGTAAGTATACCCAAGCCTATTTTAGAGACCTATGATTGCTCACACGAATTCTTTAGAAAATGTCAAGTCCATTGCCAGAAAGATGGCAGAGGATCTGATGTCATTCTATGACGGGGACAAGCCGGGAAAGACACCTGGCCTTCTCCCTGATCCTTACTACTGTATGCACCTTGGTCTTGGGCCTTTTTTTGTTAGCTGACCTTGGTATAGGGTGGGAGGCCGGCGCTCTCATGGGTGCCATGATTGATTATTGGCATTATACGGGTGATGATACCTGGAACAAGGTGGTCACCCAGGGTCTTCTTCACCAAGTCGGCAAATTCAACGATTACATGCCAGACAACCAGACGCTCACCGAAGGTAACGACGACCAGGGCTTCTGGGGACTCTCCGTGATGTCCGCTGCCGAATACAACTTTCCTAACCCGCCCGCCGACCAACCGCAGTGGCTTGCTCTCGCTCAAGCAGTCTTTAATACACAAGCTGCCCGATGGGATCCCGGACACTGTAATGGAGGACTTAGATGGCAGATTTTTACGTGGAATAACGGATTCGACTACAAGAACACCATCTCGCAGGCTTGCTTCTTTGCACTTGCCAGTCGACTTGCCCTATACACCGGCAACAGCTCATACGCCGAATGGGCCGACAGGACATGGGACTGGATGGTGGGCGTCAAATTTATCACGGACGATTATTACGTGTACGACGGCGGTAACATTCAGCACAATTGCACCGATATTGTGCCGTATCAATGGACGTACAATGCTGGTGGCATGGTTCTCGGAGCGGCAGCTATGTATAACTTCACGGGAAGCCAAGTCTGGAAGAACCGGCTCGATGGACTTGTCAAAGCTACGGATGTCTTCTTCGTCGGCCCGGAGAGCAACATTATGCAGGAAGTTGCGTGCGAAACGGTCAACCTCTGCAACCTCGACCAGCAATCCTTCAAGGCATACCTAAGCCGTTGGCTGGCAGCTATCACCCAATGGGCACCTCATCTTCATGATCGGGTTATGAGTAAACTTCGCCCGTCGTCCATTGCGGCCGCAGCTCAGTGCAAAGGAGGTGCCAATGGCCGCATGTGCGGGCTCAAGTGGACCGAGAACGGAACATGGGACGGAATGCAAGGCGTCGGCCAGCAGATGGCCGCCCTGGAGGTCACACTGGGAAACCTCGTCAAAGACTCCCGACAACCCGTTACTGCGAGTGGCGGCGGCACCTCAGTCGGTGATCCCGGAGCTGGTGGTAGCGACATTGGCAGAAATGTCCCGGCGGTGGCCGATTATGCGCCGCTGGGACCAGGTGCAACAGCTGGCGCAGCAATCTTGACATTGATTGTTCTTGGCTTGTTAATAGCCGGCATGATATGGATATTCTTGGACGAAACTTCTGAGAAATCGCTGCCAGAACGCTTCTTCGACTTTAGATCCGCGCTCCTTGGTGGTGGCGCTGTCGCAGCCCTAGCCACTCGGCGGAGCAAAGACGACTTGAACGAGAAAGGCAAAGGTGTCGATCACGATGCCTCAAGCGATGGAGCGAGCTCGCAAGGGAATGGCGTCACATCGCCTTTACCGATGAAAGGCGAGGTTGTCACAAGTGAGAAAGGCGTACCGCAACGAGCTAGTGCCATCTCTCAAGCGACTGGCACCACCACGGTGCTGGGCATTCCGATGGTTCGGGAGAAAAGACTCAGCAAGAAAGCCAAACACCCGGAGTTGAGGAATAGCGTAGCATCTGAGCAATCGGCTCGGATCGAATAGTTTACGCACGGTCCTTGGTGGCGCTCTTCCAACATTCAGCAGGACCGGGCAGGGCGCACTAAATTTGGTTCTTTTTTTGTTTTACTTCATGGCGTTGTATCACGGACGGGACCTGGGATGGTCTATTTTCCAGGCATACATTTGGATGCCTATATGCATATGGGTTGGGCATCGTCTTGCATCGATTGGAGGACCAAAGCGAACAAAGATTTTGTCAATCATTACTACAGAAACAGCTCGCGAGCCGAGACAGGCGAAAGCAAAAGAAGCTCACGACCTTATGACCATTTGTATATAGATTAGAGGCTGCCAATAATAAAGCGACATAAATATTACTCTTCTGCACTGGCCACATGTTCCCCGTTGATCAGTTGAAGTGGGCAGAAACCAGCCATGTTTGCAACATGCATGTAAACTCCGAGGACCCTGGCACAGCTGTACAGATTTGGCTGTGTCTTTTTTTTTTTCTAGGTGCATGATGCACACATGCAGAAAGACACGGGGTCTGCAAGTTTGCCGCACGATGCCGTCCGTGTCCGATTGCCCGAAACCCCGTTGACCGGGACTCCGACCACCGGCTGCCGGCGTTGACGTTTGACGTTGGAATATTCTCCACTACAACATCGGGGGGACCCCCCCGGGGCGTCTGGAAACATCACAGATGGACGGACGTGACGGGGGGGCCAACCGACGTCCACGGACCTTTCTTGGCAAAGGAAGGGCCAAGCTTCGGCGGCGGTACAGGCTCCCCTCGAAAACGGGGCGGCAGTTCTACCTGGCTCCTCTCGGCAGCGTTGGCTAAGGGGGGGGGGGGGGGGGGGGGGGGGGGGTTTGGGCATGGCAAGAAGAGAGAGAGAGAGTGCCGGGCTGTCTTTTAAGGCGAAAGGGATATATCTACCCGACTCGCTTACCTGGGCCTGGGTTTGACCGGCGGCAGCAGAGTCATGGCAGATTGTGATTCATCGTCAAAATAGGATAATGCCAAGGCCGGCTATGTTTACCTAGTCCCCGCTGATTACGTTTGCCGAGGTTTGGTCTGGCGCTGTTTTTTTTCCCTTCTCAAATCCTTTGGAAAGGGACGTAGACATAAGGATAGGATATCTTGATGTATTTGTCCAAGGCGACAGGATATCTGCTTCATCCGTGCCGAGGTATTATTACCTTTCGGGGGTCGGTGCCGGGATGTAGAGATCGGAGTAGACCGTGGAGGAGGGGGGGCCTTCCGGCATCGAGAAGCCCCGGCACCTCCGTCTGACGTGAGCTGGACCTGCACGTTTTGATTTAGGATCGATTGACGTACATGATCTGGCGTCAAGGGCCGTTGTACCAGGAGCGAATAGGCTTTCGAGGCTATTAACCGTCGTGGTTAACTATGATGGCGAAGCCTGCTAATAGGCGCATTCGGACTTTGCCAGTCTGAGTTTATCAAAATGACTGTCGGACGACAGATGAACCTCGGCCTACAGACCACGAACAAATGCGTTTGGTTTTACTTTCGATGATCACCAATTCGAGCTGGATCTACTGCGCTCTGCCTCAGGAAAGAATCAGAATACGGTTTGAGGTTGCATGGCAGGGTTTTTAGCTCTAAAGACGTGTCGCGCGGTATTTAAGGGACCTGAGTTTTGACTTTGATAGCAAGTTAGCGATAGCAACGGCTTTTGGTTTCTGTTTCGAGCTTAGGATTCAACATACTACATACTGCATAAATACTCACGTATGCCAAGAAAAGCGCAATTTGAGGACTAGGTGTACCGTTAAGGTTAATGGGAGGGTGGCTGAGCCATGCTGTGTATTCAGGTACTATTCAAAGTACAGTGATTGGTTCGCATGGCACTTTGATTAGTAAACACGACTGATGGTGGAATGCCGAGAGAAAATGAACCTTGACAGGATATATAAACACACATCTATGCATTCGGCCGCGTATCTATCCCAGTAATCGGAAGGTCCGGAAGGGGAATCTCGGCTCCCGGAGCTTAGGGCCTCAGGTGTAAATCCGGAGACGACGGGGGCCTGCTTTTGTCCGCCCGGGAGACGGTGGGCATTGTGTATGATATACTTTCGACCAGCGGGAAAACAATTCCCAATCAGACGAACGCGGAATTGTATGACCGAAAAAAAAACACAAAAGAAAAGTAACCCACTAAATGTCCCTTAAAGGTGGCATTAGGTTGGCGGGTTGTATAAAACGTGTGCCGAGACGGAGAGTTCCGATACATAGTTTTTTTAACATCGGTTCGCACAAAGAGAGCGTCAAGAATGAATAAATTAACTTTCCACTCGTCCCGGCTGTTCACGGGGAGAACAATCGTCGAGCATCAGGGTCGTAAAACCTGGGGGTTCCTTGCCCATTGCGTACTATGGTAGTAGCTACCCCAGCCCGTCGGCGGCTTTTCTCTTTGGTCCCTTTATGCTCGGACTCCAAAACGTAGCAGTAGCTACGGAACACATTGCAATCCATTAAAAGTTGGAGGGGGTTTTCTCTTATTTCCTGAACATTCCCCACGCAATGGCAGACTGGCGAATGGATACCTACGCATGTGAAAGAGGGGGGAACAACGAACAAGGAGAAACTTGGGGAGAGAGTCCTGCCAGGTGATCTAATTACAACTGCCACATCGAGTAGGTGTTCCTCTTTTGGGTTATTTGCCTACATATTGCTCGAGGGGGGGGGCTGCAAGATGGTGTCCAATTGGCGCGCGCCAGAAAGTCAGCCCTGCACAAGCCGTTTATTGGGGTTCGTCGCCGGACCCGAGGTCTCCAACGTGAATACGGACTAAACAGCTTGGCCCATGGCGTCTGCCACCACACACATGTAAGTACGCAAGCCCCCTCATGTGAAAAAAAATAAAAATAAAGAAACTATGCTCCGTCGCATCTGGCTTGGTTGGGGCGGAAGCAGTTAACAAGAGGATCGTCACGTTACATTATGGTCCCAAAACACCCCCCTCCTCCTTCAGCTAGGGAAGAGATCCTTTTCCTCGGCAGAAAAGTAACCAGTGGATACTAGATAGGGTTCCTTGGTGTAAAGACATATGAATGATATACCACCCACTCCGCTCTAAGCCTCCCTTTTCTCATTCTGTTACTTTTATGACGTCCAGGGAATTCTACCCTTCATCCCCCCCCCCCCCCCCCCCCCTCCCGTCTGATAGTACTCAATTTCCATCGTATATCCCAGCACGGACGTTTAGGAACCTCAGCGTAAACCTCGCACGATTCGCATTTACTGAGGTCCGTTGGGGTGTATGACATCTGAGTATATAAACCTCTACTTCTTCTTTCTTGAGGTTTGTAATTGACGAAAGTTGCAGAGTACCATAACCAACATGGCGCGAGAATACCTCTACCTGGCCTCGTCCGTCCTCATGGGGACATATGTCCTCTGGACGGTGACGGAGACGTACCTCGGCTACAACAACAAACCACATCTTGCGTCTTCCCACGCCCTCGCGAAACCCATCATCGCAGCACTTCTCGCTCTCCCCTCTCTAATTCTCTATAAAAAGGCACAGTATCTTCTGCAAATGAAGGCTCGTGGTTGCGCCGAAGCCCCCGCGTATCCACACAAGGACCCTATCGTCGGCAGCGACTGGGTACGAGCTTCACTTGTAAAGCAGAAAGAGAACACTCTCCTCGAATGGTGGCAGACGTTGTTCGCCGATTTGGGGAACACATGGTGGGTCAAGACGCCCACGACCTGGGTACTCATGACTTGCGAGCCCGAAAACCTCAAGGCAATCCTGGCGTCAAACTTCGCGGACTGGCTCATCATAGGACCCCGCAGAGAAGCTGTCGCCCCCATTTTGGGATATGAGGCCATCTTCGCTGCGAATGGCCAGACTTGGCACGATGCGAGGGCCATGATGAGGCCCTCGTTTGTGAGAAACCAGATTGCTGATTTGGCATGCTTTGAGAGGCATGTCGGAAATCTCATTGCCAAGATCCCCAAGGATGGACAGACGGTTGATTTGCAGGCTTTGTTATACATGATGACTATGGACTCGGCGACGGATTTCATGTGAGGCTTTCCATGCAATAGCACATCTCCATTGTTGTACGCTGACGCAATAACCAAAAAAAGGTTTGGCCATTCAACAAACATGCTCACCACACCTTCGGCTGAGGCCTCGGAATTCACTGCGACATTCGAGTACATCCTTACCCGCTCGGCGATCCGTTCACGTCTGGGCCTCCTAACCTTCCTGGATCGCGACTCCAAGTTCGATGAAGGATTGAAAATCATCAACCGCTTCTGCGATCGCTACATCAAGAGCGCCAAGGCCGACGAAAAAGATCCAGAGCGGGCATATGTATTCCTTCACGAGATGATGGGCCAAGATACCACGCCAGAGTACATCCGGGGGCAACTGCTTTCAATGATTCTTGCTGGCCGCGACACCACCGCTTCAACACTTTCAGCTCTGTTTTGGATCTTGGCCCGAAGGCCAGAGGTGGTGGCGCGTCTGAGAGCGGAAATTGACGAGCTTAACGGAAGGCAGCCGACGTGGGAGGAGATGAAGGACATGAAGTATTTGAACATGGTGCTGAAAGAAAGTGAGTACCCAGCAAACTCTGATGCGCCACAGCCAACAAAAGTCTGACGGTGAACACAGTTTTACGGCTGTACCCGACTGTTGCAACCATGTCGCGCGGTGCAGCACGGGATACCACCCTGCCACTCGGTGGTGGACCAGACGGCAAATCGCCAGTGTTCATCCAGAAGGGCACAATGGTGCGGTGGTCCACCTTTGCCATCCATCGGAGGAAAGACCTCTATGGGGAGGACGCCGACGAGTTCCGGCCCGAACGCTGGGAAAACCGCCGTCCAGGGTAAGTTTCTCCTCTCATCAGATACACGGCGCCGATGTGTCGTTCGTCGTATTGAAAACCAAGTACTAACTTGTTCGTGATGAAGCTGGGAATACTTGCCCTTCTCTGGAGGTCCGAGAATTTGTATTGGACAGCAGTTTGCGCTAACACAGATGAGCTACTTCGTTGTGAGAATCTTCCAAACATTCAAGTCGATTTCGCCAAGGGACGAGAGGCCGATGGAGCAATTGGTGGGCATTACGCTCAAGTTGCCGAATGATGTACTAGTTAGCTTTGATTCGGCCTGAAGAAGGACTGTGGTTAGCTGTCGAATTACTTTAATGGACAATTTTGCATACTTTTTTCTGCCATCTTTCGCCTCGAGAATGGGTCGTGTTGAATGTAGATGGCATGATACCATCAACTCCTTGCATAACCTCTGGATCTGTCATAGTGAAATAGTCGCTGCACCTCGGGGTAGGCTGTATGAGACTGATAGGATGCCGGGGCATCTTGGTCGCTTGGCCACTTCGTGTACGAAGCTCACCGTGCCAGAACCTCGAAGGTGTCAACGTGATACGACGGCGTGAGAGTAGCTCAGGTGCGTTCCATTACGGCCTGCAGCAGCCGAATCGTGATGTAACACGACCCCCAGACTGTTGCGTACGGTAGGCCAATGATATTCAGCGCCTGCATGTATATCTCAGAGGTCAGAGCAGAACTCATTCTCATGTTCATGTCTTCTGTAAGCGTCATAATCTCGGTGAAAAAGTGCCATGGGTCAACCGCACTAGAGCTGGGAGCTAGGCACAACCCGTATTATGTCTCAGCCCCTGTTCGTGAAAAAAGACGTTCGAGGTGGAGTCCGTCTACTGGGCACTTGTCTAGCTTTGTCCATGTTGTTTTGTGAACTGCTTCCTCTGGCGACAAAATGGAAGTTTGACGTCGGACGCGGCCGGGTAACGGCCGGTTCGTGCAATACTTGTACAGTTGTGTCTCATTGCGCGATGAGCACTGAACTGATGTATAAACCGTAGATGCCTAGCGAAAGAGGGATTTTGATGGAGTCGACTTGTTGGTAGAACGGAAATCCAATGCATGTAGCCGACTTGAAATGCCCAGATCCCCTCTTTCTGAGCAATTACTTTGAGATTGCGTGTCTTAAAAAAAGCAATGAGATCCCCGTTAGCCGCTGCGATGCGCGAGGAGATCTTCATCGCACTATTGCCAGGGTCGCATCATAGTAGTCACTGGCGTGTATGGTGCTCGAGGGTTATGGTACCACCTTTCAGACGATGATTGAGCCCAAGGCGCACAAATATGCCTGGGAATCGAGGGCTTTCAGGCCCAGTCAGGGTTTGGATATCGAGAATTCGAGTTTGATCGGGGAGCGTAGCTTCCAGTACGTGAACTGCCCGTAAAAGCCCCAAAGGACGGAAGATGTCTTGTAACTGCATTACCTAGGAGAAGACCTTCCTCTTCTAGTCTTGAGCCGTCCTCTTTCGCTTCTTCGGCACTTGTGTCTGCAAGGGGAGGCAAGTACATTTTGCTGGGACAGGCAAACCGGGCAATTGCGGTTACCGGCATGATGCAAATAAATCCAGGTAGGTTTGACAGATACATGTTAGCATGGTAGCTCTGGCCTCCCTGTTGCATTTGGTGGGCCGCCACGCTCCCTGCCCTTTCATATTTCACCTTCTCATAGTCCCGAGATTCTGGTTCCCTTATTTTCACATAGCCGCGCTCCTGCATTTCCAACCTTTCTTCTGGATCGTAAAGTATCAAAACACTCCTCAGATGATCCGAAGCCACTTGATCTAGCTTCAAGCCAGGGCTGTTGTCGAATGCCACACATCACCGTTACCTGCTTCAACAATGTCCTTCTTCCAAGGAGACTCCCGTCCAGGTGAACAACCAGCGCCACCTCCACGCGCCCTTACTCCTGTCGAGGTTGGAGTCATCATCGGCACCATTGCAGTCTTCATCGCCGCCCTTGCCACCCTGTTCTTCTACCGCAATCGCAAGGCCAAGAGACGCCGCGCCGAGAGCAGAAATGTCGCTGACGACGATGACACGCAACCAGACACGGGCCAGAACAAGAACGACGACACATCATCTCGGGAGGCGGAAAGCGATATGGTATCACCTTCGACGAGGAAAAAGGGAACCAGGTCCGGGTTTAGAGCTATGAAAGTGTACGAAACTGATGGTAAGCGAACTCGAATGTCTGACTAGATTAGTGCTGATCTTGGACGTAGTCGAGAGAGGGGAGGAGCACGAGATGCGTGACAGAGCCTGAACTTGCCTCACTCGTGCAGTAACTGGAATGGCTTCAGCTTCAAGCAGGAGCCTGTCTTCTCGAAAAACCAAATTGCGTACAACACAGTACCATGGGCTTGAAACCCTGCCATAGTCGTTCATCCTGATAGGAAAAAAGTGGCTTGTGGAGCATCTGCAGTTTATCATCTGTATTCAGCCACTCTTGCGCATCGCTGTCGGTCAGCTTTGTCGTTCTAGCGCATGTCTTGTCCTCGAATATTGACAATACACCATCAAAATTTACACCGCGACGCATACGAAGAGTGCTGTGATCGCATCCGCAACATCCTTGCTTACAACTAGGCTTAAAAGCCGTCGATGCAGTGATACATTAGAGCAAGGACAGCTGTCTAAGAAAATGTAATGTATTGACGCCAAATCCTAAACCAACATTGAATCACGACAAACCAGATAAATAAACATTCTGAACCGCTTCGTGATCTTACCTAAACGCCACAGATGCTTCCAGACCTATCCGCCCCATACTCCTATCATAGAATCCGTAGATTATCATGCTGTTATTGCTGGCCAGGCTTAGGCATATAGCGACTCCTAAACGCTTGGCTGATGCTGAACCTGCTTCCAATGGCGCCGTCTTGCATCTTACTCGCGAGGGCCTCTTCAAGAGCTGATTGAGTCACTGATGCATCTATTGTACTTTAGCTCAGGGTTCTTGTTCAGTCGAATACCAAAAGGGACCTACCGTCCAAGTCACTGAAGCTGCTACCCATACTCGGTGTACCGCCGTCACTACCATCCCGTGAGTATCCCTTACTCTTGGAAATGGGGCTTTTGCCGGAAAGCTCTGCTGGCCGACGAGGAGAGAGCGGACCAGTCGGCCGACGCTCTCCCGTTGAAGGATCACGGGAGACCAGGGCTGGCGAGCTGGTCGATGAGTCCGACGTCTCCGAATGGTGGATCCTCTCTTTGCCCTTAGGGGTCCGCCGCAGATTCCGCGGGTCACCACGCAGGGTAGAACCCATGTCTTGTGCTGATGCGTTGGAGGATTGCGGTTTGTATTGTAGGAAAGCGGGCTCGGCGTCATCGTCTTCATCATCTAGATCAACCACTCCATCGCGTTGTTGGAAGCGCGGAGGGCGCCGAATGATGCGCGACTGTGCAGGGCTAGACTCATCATCAGATGACGTGGGGGAGCTCGATTCGTCAGGAGGTGATGTTGGTTCAGGGCTTCGAGGGGTGGCCTGGATCGGTAAAGACGATAGCCGACGTCGTTGACCTTCGTTGGATGGCCGCGAAGCAGCAGGCTTGCTCTGGCGACCTGAGGAACCTTCACCTAGGTTGCGTGTTATAGTCCCAGCAGAAGCGTTACGAGAGATGTTCGGTCGAAGGGAGGTTGTGATTGGGGTCGCCGGTGTACTAGCATCGTTGCGAGGAAGGGGCGACTCTCGACGGATGGAGAGAGCGGACGTAGTTCTCTGGTGGGAGTGAGGCTCGGCGCCTGGAATCGGAGAGGGGGTGGCGGAGCCTTTTGCCGCGGCCGTCGCCTTGCGGACTTGAGCTCGGAGCTGTGCGGTGTGTCGCTCGGTGAGGTAAGCTACTTGTTGCAGAAGAAAATCGACAGTTACGCCAAAGTGGGCAGCTCTGGACAGTAGGTTAGCTTGATGGGGGAGTCGCCCAGGTCCGTGGGATACTAACAGTTCGTTCCCTAGACAAAGGCAAGTTAGCTACATGATTGGAAGAGGAAGGTCTAGACGTACAGTCAATTTCCGTCTTAGCTGCCCCAGAAAGTATGTTCCACAGCACATCATCCTTGGTGGAGTCCCAGTTGACCTGTGTGGATAGAATCATATTAGCAAAGCCGCGCGTCGGAGGGCCTTGGGAAGGGTGTCGATGCGCGAGCGGGCTTACCGGAGGGGGGTCCGCGAACTCGCCCCGTAGAATGGGTAGCCGGACGAAGACTGTGTATGTGGGATCATTCATGCCGTACGTCTGCTCATCATGCTTGCTGGCGTAGCTTGAGGTGATCACGGCGGGAGAGGAGCTTTGGAGGAGCGTGACCTTGAGAAGGAGGATGACGGAAGTGGTTTAACTCGTGGTGAGCCTTATCGGAGCTGCGGGAGCGATAAGGACAATCAAATGCAGCGGCTGCTGGCGGCTGGCAGACAAAGGCACGGTTGACGCTTGGGCCACACTGCCTCAACGTTTGGATACCGAAACAGGTGGCTGTCCTATTGTTGTCTCATTACTTATCTTTAGTTCTGCTGCATAACGATAAAAGTAGTTCTATTCCAGCCAAATTTAACGTTACGCTGATGTAAAGGGCCCAATGCCGCCAAAACAGAGTCAGGCCTTCCCACAGTTCCATTCTTATTCGTTCACTCTCATTATATAACGTCGTGCGGCATTGAATCCAAAAGAAGCTCTAGCTCTGTTGGCTACGCAGTTCTGAACTCTCAGTCTCAGACATTGGTTTCTTATCGGGAAGTAAGCATAGGCGTTGTTTTGGCACACATTTAGACAACTCCCCTTAACACATGCTCTCTGGTTGTTTAGTCTTCCAAAAATGGATAACAGGAAAATTCCTTGCCATTACTCAATGATAAGTCTGATATGCTGTAGTGGGTAAAATGATGCACTCTCATGTTCAAGATGCTATGCGTAGCCCTGAGACCGCTTTCTACTTGGAACTAAACCCGTAGCTTTTTATTACGACAGACTATGAAAGCTGGGAGATACATGCCATATATATGTGCTGGACTCCTTTTGGTTTGCCAAATATCCCAATCTTGCCCCCCGCAGCATAATGCCTCTTTGAGTCCCTGGAACAAACAGCATATAAGTGAAAACTTTGGCAACGTAAAAAAAATCAACAGTGCGTTTTTAAAGCTTCAAAGACGCTCTGAGAGCCTCTTCGTTGCGTGGGGTGAATGTCACATGGTATGACTTTGGCGCAAGGACCAGATTTCTCTTGTCCGCAACTCCTGTGAGGGGGTTTGAGTCGATAGCTTCATTCGTTGAGATTTTGAAACTGGTGAGCATTCGGAGGAAGGTCAGATACAATTCGCGATTTGCCAGCAGAGTTCCCGCACACATCCGATACCCCATCCCGTAGGTGAACATTGGCGCTTCGGGAGACTCCAACCAGCGCTCGGGTCGGAATACTTCAGGGTCTTCCCAGAGCTCTCTATCTGTGGAAACGTTAGGTAATGTTGTTTGAGGCGTATAATAGATGACTGACCCATGTTGCAAGCCCAGGAGTTGAGAAAAATAATCGTCCCCTTGGGAATCAACTTTCCTTCGAACATAAAATCCTTGTTTGTTGCGCGTGGGAGAGAAAGCCGGAGAACAGTGAAATATCTGTCAAGTTCGTAAGCACTCACTAAGCCCTGTTTCAAAAGAAGCATGTTTACCTAAGACTTTCGCGGACCAGGGCCCTGATATAAGGGCAGTTTTGGTCGTCGTTGACATCACAGAGAGGGTTTGTCACATCGTAGAACTCTTGAATGGCTTCGAAGGCTTTCTGCTGGATCTCAGGGTGTTGTGCCAAAAACCCTATCGCCCACGTTGTGACGGTTGAGAACGTTTCAAACCCGGCCGATAACATTGTGAGGCTGATTGAGGTCAACTCGACGTCGTCCAGCTTTGCCTCCTCGTCGAGCATAACGTTGGCCTGGATACAAGGTTCGTATGTGCCATTTTGAACCTTTTCCTTCAGGTCATTGTTCAGCTTTGAGAGATAAATATCTCGGCGACGTCTCATCTCTACAGCCTGGCGTGTTCCTGCTGAAAAGGGGTTCATTCGCATAAGAGGGATATAGTCCTGCAAGTTATCCGTAACGCTTCGGAAACGACTAATGTTGACCTCGACATCGATAATCTCCTTGAACAAGGGATTCTCGTGACTTGGGAATCGGAATCCCCAGTTAAGGGTTACAGCTAGCGAAAGGCTGAGTCTTTGGACGAGGGGCATGGGGTCTACAGGCACCTTTCCCGCTTTCCCGTAAATGAAAGCATCCTTGAGGAAGTCTTTCGTCTCCAAGTCCAGATGAGGAAGATAAGTCTTTATGGAGGGGCGGTTGAGGGCCGACGCTGCCCCCTTCCGGCGTCTCTTGAGAGACTCATTGTATGGAGACGTGCCTATAGTAGTACCGGCAGTATTTGCCACGATCTGATCGACGACGTAAAATCAGCAACGATTGTTAGAACTCTGAAAGAAGTGAAAGTCACCTTGTGAAATGTATACAGCTCGGGGCGCGAGGCAACCGCTTGTGAGTTGTGACCAAGAATAACTTTGGCGGCGGCAGCGCTGTTTACGACCAAGACCGGAATGTTACCAAGTTGGACCTGATAAACTGCACCGAATTCCTTGGACCACTCTCGATATTTCTCGGCGGCGTCGTGGCGAACTTGATATAGATTCCCAATAAGGGGAAACCCTCTTGGCCCGTTGAAGGTGGAAAGGCGAGCCTTTGACCTGAAAACCTCATTCACTATGACATATACCAAAAGGGTTACTGCCAGGCCCTTGGAAAGAAACTCAATCGGACGGTCCGTTGCCTCCCGGCCCAAAATCTGGATCAGCTCCGCGATGAGCATAACGATATAATAATGGTGGCTAGCAAAGATGGGTGGATTGTGTTGTGTTGAAAGATTGAAAGAATGAAAACCCGCAACGGTTCCCAAACGGCGACCCGAGAGGAGTTTATAATACTCGAGCATTGATATGGAGAAAGTAAATTTAACTCAACGCTTGGAAAGATCTTGATCTTGCACGCACGCATGACATGCAAAAGAGGAACGTTGTGAAGCCGGGCGGAATTTTTGGCCCCGAATTCCGCTTTCCGCCCTCGAGATTTTTCTGCCATACCCAAACCCTTTGCGAACGCACTAAGCCAGGAAAATGGTACAAAGCTCAAATATATTGTGTCATATGTTATCATAAGTCTTTGGAATAGTACGTGAGATTGGCTATCTCATGACGGAGACGAGCAACTCTTCCCATTTGATCAATTCGTGCAATATGCTAGATCAGTTCATAGGCTTACGAGACTGGCGAAGGTTATCATATAACCATGATCACGCTACATTCAGGACGAGATTGCGCGAATATTTGCCAAAAAAAAAAATAGATTGAGCTTGCAGACGAAGAGTTTGTGAAGCTAATGAGGTTTTGTAATCATCACGATTTCGTACTAGCATTCGAGGGAGAGATCTCTTAGCCACACCAGGGAAAAAGGTGATATTGACCCTGGCCACGCTAAGATGAACACAATCAAGCAAATTTCATGTGTCAGTGATAAGATTTTGTGACCGAAGAGATTGTACAATCGATGTAAAATAAGGGGATAAGCGATTTATAGGCTATAGCATATCTACATAGAACTGTGATATGTCTATCATTGGAGCAAGGCTGTTTTCAAGATGATCCCCAGAAGCATCTATACTCTCGCCGCAACTGCCAATGACTGGATATGGGGATAATAAATCGCCTCCACTATCCATGGCGTTGAAAAAGTCGCTTAGATCCTGGGCCATTTGTCCATTGCTGGTTGGTTCCTCGGCTCGCCATGGCTCCTCCTGTGCATTGCGAATCTCCTCGCTGCCAAGCTGTGGTGCATTTCGTGACGTTAATGAGACATCAACACCGCTTGAAGAAAGTGGCGGAGTCACAACTAGACCATGTTGCGGAGCAGAGTGCCTATCTTCACGAGGTATCGGGGTGTTAAGTCCTAGCTTCCTCCAGGCAAGTCGTAGATCGCCAACCATTTTCCAAAGCCGACTTGAAACATATGATTTCGCGCTAAGCCCGCGGATCAAGTCAAGAGCAAGATGAAACTCATCTCGAACTATTGCCCCGTATTCTGAAGGGGCAAGTGCCACAACCAGAAAAATAACCCCCAGAGCTGACACCAGAAAGTGATTGAAGCACATCTGCTGGGTCTGATAGATATCTGTTGACCTATTCAATGAACTCAGCTTCTGGATCGTGTCCTTGGCGCGATCTATGAGTGACTGGACTTTGGTTTTGTTTTCTTTGAAACTCGACGAAGACTGTAAAACTGGCTGAAGAAGTAGGATCTTCATTTGGTTCGCCCGCAAGTGGAGAAGAAGCTCAAGCCTTTGAGGCCCTCTTGAGGTTTCTGTCCATTCCTTTGATTCCCAATTCGGACTCAGCCTTAGTTCTTCCGGAAGCTCCTCATACCACTTATCAATGAGATACTGTAGGTAAGAGACCTCATCTTCTCGAACTGCCCCTGTCGTCCTGGCAGAGTTGTACGATGTGGACCATACTTTATTACCGATCTGGCTATACGTGACCATGGCTTTGAGATAAGGAATGTCGTCACCCTAGAGAAAGATCATTAAAGTTTCACTTACAAACTGTTTCTGCGTGAAGCTTACTGGTTCTGGCAGACTCTCGTCGACATCGCAATGGTGGATAACAAAGGGGAGGCCAGCGCCGAAGCCCCACCGGCGGTCGAGAGTGTAGACACACCAAAATAGGCGCAGTGCCACTTTGCGGCTTTCTAAATCTTTGAATAGCCTTTTGACTGTTGACGATTGATGGAGGCCAACTTCTAGACACCATCGGGCGGAAACTCCAACCAACCTCCAAGCTTGTAAGTCATCACCCGTCATGAAGCTGTAGATGGCCTATGCTTATGGTCAGCGACTTGGTCATGAGTTATGTGCTCAGTACGTACCAAGAGAACAAAGATCATCGTGTTCTTAATCCCTGCTGGTTCCCAAAGCTTGTCATGTGATGATTTCCTTACACCAAGAAAAAGCTTTCTACCGAGTTGGCTGGACCCGCCCGCTTCAACAACTGAGGCCACCGAGATGATTAGTTTGACTAAATCCAGATCCTGAGGGTCGATGACGGTAGGCCCAGGCATCGAGGTAAATGCGAAACCGTTTTGTGAACCTCTAGACATGGCCCTATACAAGGAACGAACCTTGTCTATCAGCTGCGGCATATCAAGAAAGGGGTATTGAATCCCGATTTCTACTTCATAGATATTGCACAACCGAATCGCTTCCTTTTCGTCAATGAGCCATAGAGGATCCACTGAACCAATGTCTAGTTCAAGGGGTAACTGGTTAGACAAGGAGGGAGACGGGGGCCTTGTCCGTTCAGCAGACGATGTGGCCCCTTGCTTATCTTGATCGATCATAGCGATTCCCTGCGCTCGAAGGTGCGATCGGGCAAGATTGATGTTGAATGTGTAACTGGCTGATGATTGGCGATTGTCCTGTACTTGATTGGCCTCGCCAGTGGAAATATTTTGATCTGATCGAGGCAACCTGCTACTGGGGTCTGAGTAATCGGGCGAGATTAAGCGGCCGCCAGAAACATGAGGAGTATCATCAACCGGGAGAGTTGATTGCGCAGGGGATTGTAGCATCTGATGCGAAGACTGTTGGCGTAGCAGTGAAAGGTCGCCTTGAAGTGAAGCTATTTGTTCCCTAAGAGACCGAATAGCTTGTGCATCGCCGTCACTAAGGTCTCCAAGTTAGAGCGCGAACCATACAGCCCAACTAGCACGAACTTACGTCCCATTGATTGAATGCTCCCGCTGTTTCTTGGAAACAGGGTAAGTACCTTTGACTGTCAGTTAGTTCAAGATGACGGCTGTTGAAAAAAGGTCTTACAAGTTAGGGATTGACGTGCACATCGCAAACAAGGGCTTCTTCCATTGCATTTGCTCTTTCTCTTTCTGCATTCATAGCTACAGTATCAAGGTCTCGGTGTTAGTGACAATATACCTAAATGTTTACACAATAGGGCCAAGTTGAAAATATCCTACCATGCCTTGGAGATGTATTTCCCTCGTGTACTTCGAGGCTTGGTTGTAGCAGTATTCCCAACTGGGGAGGCTGGTGGGACGGAAACAGGTCCAGAATCGGAACTGGGCAGATCCATAGTGAAAGGAAGTAGCTTAACAGGTCTTGATCCTACTGATTTGTTTTTCCCCACGCCATGCAGCCGGCATTTCTTTCAGACAGTGCCGTCAGACAAAAGTTCGTGGGCAAAACATGCACGAAGTAAGTGAGCGGAATTTGGAAATGAAACCCCGGGGTTTCGAGTCTTGGGTGACGGGGTTCCCCGCAAAGCCCCTCCCGTCCCCCCCGCAAGATCCACGCCCAGCATCACTGCGGCAGGCTTAGCTTAGCGCCATGAAAAGCAACTGGGATATCTGACGTATTGGCCGAGCGATAGCCGAATGCTTCTGTGATTATAGATCCGATTACGAAGCAGTCGTCTTTATGATTTTTATTCCAATTATGATTTCGGCACGTTATGGTTACGAATCCAACGAGAACTCAATATTTAAGTACCTGTTCCAAGCCTGATAGTTCGAGTTGGAAGACATGTGATGTGATGAATCCGAGCGAATGCATTTGGAAACTTGGTTACAGTAGAGAATGCAAGTAGCTTGAGAGAAAAATAGAAGAAATACCGTGTAGCTAACTCAGCCCGACAGGTGCTCAACAACACTAAGAGGAGTCTGCCATAGACCTCATGCGGATTTATTACGCAACAGTGCCATGGAAAGTAACTCCCTGGTTATCTCAATGCACACGAAGAACGGGCTGGGGTGAAGCGGGGAAGCGGAATGATCGGAAGTGTGATCAGACATATGGAGACTGGACCGGAATTTGAGAGCAATTCCGCTAATACAGTATGCTTCACCAACCCCAACGTACTCGCCGCACTGTTTGACGCCCGCTACTCAGTACCGAGGTGAAAGCGATGACAATCAGATTCTCGAATATGGATCGGTTCGAGGGGGTAATATCCAGGAATTACAACCTTTATTGAACTGGTTTGAGTTTCGAGCCAAATGAAGCTGAAAAAAGAAGTGGCATCCTTCTTCATTTCAATTGTGAAATTGCACGGTGTCGTTGGTTTCGTTGCTTTTCAGGTAAAACTTGGCCACCCTTGTAACAGTCGAATGTGGCTAGAAGTGATTAGACTGGGGATTGTTTGGCTGTATTCGATTTAACCAATTGAGATTTACAGGGAGTGGTTGGTGTGTTCCGGGGGAAGGGGGGCGGCAAAAGCTGGCAACCACAGGTGAGACTTCGAGGAACAGTGTTTTGACACAAACAGCTAAATGAAATCAACCGTGTAGCCAGCCGGTGATTCGGATATTAAACAAAAAAACTATTGCATGATATTACCTGAGTGGTACAAAATCAAGGCATTAGACCTCTGAATGGGAAAAACAAAACACGCAGCCTTCTTCATGTTGGACATGAACTGGAAACTAACATACACAACCAAGAGAACTCGGAGAATTGTCATGGAAGCAGACATTAGAGCCTTTCAGACTCTAGGACTTGCGTCTTTGAGCGATCTAGCTTGGACGTGGGGTGTGGGCATTAAACCTTTGCAACAAGTTCCTTTATTCACTACCCCTTGCAAAAAGTTGTTTAGTCCACATTGAAGCTACGAATCCGCTTGCGGTCAAAAAATTGAAATTGCAAGGTTGGCCGGAAAAACAGTTATTTTGCGACAAGCATGGAGAAAGAAGAAGCAACCTTATAAGAGCAAACTGAATATTGATCAGTAACTGTTGGTGACTAAAAATGTGTGTGTGCAGTCATTAGCACAGTCATTTTTGCCAACTTTTAACCATACTCCCGGAGACCGACGGAACGCCCAAGGAGAAGATAAAAATGAAGCTATTTATTTTTTTGAGTACTGCGTTTACCGCTACGATTTTTCTTCAAGCCGTACCAGCTCCGACGATCTTCGTCTGGTTTCCAGTTGCTGGGAACCTTGTTCTTGGTACTTCAATAGGGATTACGGCGGCCGGTCTAAAAGATAGAGAAAAACGCGAAAAGAAAGTAAAAGAGGACCAGGAGAGACAGAGAAAAGCTTCACAGCGTCGAAGCCTCATTCATGTGCGTAAAATCGCACGTGAAGTTGCGGCAGAGCTGGGTGGTCGTGAAGGTCCTGGCTCAGCTCCCCCTGGCGTTCCCCAGCACAACTGGAACGATTGTTATCACGCAGCACTTGAATCGGAGATTTTCGTCGAGGGTCCGACCCGCGAACGTGGCATACGAGCTACCAACGTACCACCCGTGTGTATGGTTCTTGCGAACGTTCTTGGGGGCATTTACAACGGCACCCAACCTACGCCCATCCCCTGCGGTTCGGATTGTATGGACTGGATCAACATGACTCCAGAGTATTACGACGGAATTCGTTCAATACTCAACAGCAAACCTTTGAATCTCCGTCACAAAAGAGGGTAGACAGACCAGTGATCAGTCACTGGCAGCACCATGGCACAATTGCAAAGGCACACATTGGCTACGGCAGTACTCAGCACTGGCAGACACACGCTCTCCAATTTCTTTTCAACTGTACAATTTCTTTTTGCCTTGCTCTTGCCCAGTCACGGCAGATGAAGTCGTAAAGGGAAAAATGGACTAAAGCTTTTTAATAAAAACATGGCATTTTTTCTGACTTCAAGTGATACCTTGCTGCTTTCCTTGATTATGTTGCGTGATGCAGATCTTGGAGCATACATAAACCTACCTAATCAAGTTCTATAACACGCCTCTACCTGATATACCGGGCAACCACATACGTTTCTAACAATTTTCATTGGACAAAAAATTGCGACACAAAACGCCTCCTGCATTAACGACCATCTGTACAACCCTCATGCTCGTTTCTGTATTCTAGCTACAACTCAGATATCCTTTCCTGTCCCAGTTTAATCCACATCGGGTGGGAACGGTGAAAGACTTCTCACTATCAACAAAACTTCCTCTTAGTTTGGCAACTATGCTCCAATATTCCATTGCTTCAGATGACTTCTGATCGGCATCGACGTCCCATGCTCTCCAACCGCTTTCCTCCGAAACTTTCCACCTGAGAACCACCGGAGCGCTGGCTTGTAAAGGATTCTGGCTAGATGCCCCATTCCCCTTTACTGCATCTGACTCATCCTTGTCTGGCTGAGGCAGAAGCGCGCCAAGGGCAAGGTATATACCGCCCGAGCCATTTGCCATGCCCCGATATTTTAACGATGGATTCCTTCGAGGGGTGGATGTTGGGAAGTATATTTGTTCTCTCAAGGTGAAAATGTCTTTGCTCTCCTCGCAGAATGTAGCAGGGGCCTCTGTGTCTGCGACGATAGGCTGTGTAGTTGGTAGTATAATCTTCAGAACCTTAGGATCGCAGGTAAGAGGAGGCAGAGCGACAAAGACACAACCGTCAACCCAATCTGTCAGCGCTAGAGGAGTCCTCATCTGGCCTAGATGTGCCGCGGAAATGAAGGTACAGCTTTGCGCTTGGAACTCACGCATCAATATGTCGCTATTTCGGTCGGATCCCCAGTTGAAGCGAAATGTCGACACTTTCACCACGCATTTGGTAGAGGAGCCCTGGTGGCCATGGTGAAAAAAGGACAACAGCAACACGTGTAAATAGTTACCACAGGAGGAGAATTTGAGCTCTTAGCAGAGGTCAGAACGAATACACGAGGTTTTCAATGGTATAAAGTCAACTTACCTCTCGAGTAGGCAGCAGGTGTCTCAGTAATATCGGCAAGTTCGGGAAGATTTACATCTTGTCTTTTTTCTGTTTCCAAGTTGATCAACTCGAGTTGTATAGGGGAGTGTGTCAAAGCTAGAAGTGGTAGAGTTGGATGTATCGCTGCGATTGCATTTGCCCAATAATAAGATCGTTTGGTCCATTTGACGATGATCGGTGGGTTTTCGTGCGTAACTACCATCAAGCAGTCGGTACTGTCGTCCTGAACCGTTTCCTCTTTAGAGTCGACAAAAGTGGTCTTAGACGTTTCTTCGTTCAGGAACTCATCGTTTGACTCGGAGCCATCTTCAGAACCGTAGTCATCCGAGAACGAATCATCACCAGAGCTCGATTGTGAAGTTGTCGAATCAGAGTCACTTCCAGCATCATCCTCGCTATCTTTGGATCTACCGTCCATGGACAGGGTATTACTCATTTTGTTTCGAGCCAAGTACAATAAATGAGCCGTTGATCCGGAGGAATTTGACACTGTGGTCGTACGCAGAAGATTCCAACCATTTTCGGACCTTTTATGTTGGTCTCGATATGATAGTGAGGTTAAATTGGACATTTGCTTAGAGTGCTGCAGAATTCTTTTCAGTTTCAGTGTCTGCCAGTTGATTTGCCACACCTCGAGTGTGTCTCGGCTCACGCCACGCCCGATGATGTATATGTGATCCTCCTTGTCATCTGCGAGACACGTCTGGTGCGTCCTTTGGGATATGCCGATTTCTCTTGGGCTCTTCTCCCGTAGCACCGGAACTTGAAGTTGCTGGATCTCACTGATCGGATCAGACTTGCCACGGAACAGCAAGTCTACGACTGGTTTTTTCCCTTGGAAGTAGAGATCGAAAGAGTAAAGTTTTGCAATTTCGTCCAATGAGATAGCTTCTTCCAGATTCGCAATTCGTAGTGTTTTTGGTGTTTTATTCTGTGTAAGAGGCTTCAAATAGCAGGTGTTGCCTTTAGGCGACTCTCTCAAAGGCAGGCAAAAGTTCAAGCCCCGCGGGCAAGTCACCAGCATCTCTCTCCATTCGCTCACGAACGAGCAAAAAGAGTAATCGAGCTCCTTTGAGTACTCGCCCAGCCATCCAGGCAATGGAACTCCGAAGGAGTCTTGTCCTAGACTTTCCGGTCCTCTGATATTCATCCGGAAGGAGCCGGACTTTTGGTGGGAATAGAATCCAAATAGAAACGGGGCAACCCGACTTTGCACGCATAAGCAGTTCCAAAACGCCTTACTCCCCAGAAAGTTGATGACATGATCGCGAATTTCGCTTGAAGGTTTGATGCTGAACATGTGTTGACACCAGAAAGTGGCTGCATAACGTAGAAACGCATGTTCCTTCGGTATGTCCTGCAGGAGTGAATCAAGATCTTGGTATTGCATATACCGTTTGTACATCAAGTAGGTCACGCAGTTCATCCCTAGTTCAATCTTGGCTGCCGTTCGATTATATAAGAAGAACTTGTGACAATTCTTTCCAATACTGTCGTCCTTGGCTGGATTCTGTCGAAGGTAGTCTTGTATCGATTTGTGACAGAATTTGACAGTAGGGTTGTCTTCTGTATTGTTGCCGCGAGTATCAAACTCTACGAGCGGTCCACAAAGGCTCTCTATGAGTGCTCGGCCATCAAGTGGAACATTTCGGTAACTGTGATCCTTTGCTCCTGGGATGATGGAGAGTGCGTCAATGACTTCATTAAATGTCAACGATTGTTTCGATGTCGCCAAGAGCAAAAAGAGACGCCTAAAAAAAGTCGTGTCAGTAAACCATTTCTATCGGCCGACCACAATCATGAGTTGACTAAAGTATAACCTACCGAGCGAGCTCTTGTTTATACTCTGTGTGTTCTGATATTTTCTCCAGAGATCGAGTAAAATAACTGTTCAAGTCTTTTGGAAACACTTGCAGCTCTCTTTCAATGTCCGACTGTCGGGTGATACGTTTGCCACCAAATGTTCTGCACAAGATCCGTGCGTATAAGAAGTTCTCCTCAGTCTCTGCGTATTTAGCAACAAGATGATTGCAGGGCATATTCGCCGACAGGTATGTCTGTATATCCCTCATTACGGTATCGGAGTTAGCTGTGATTTCCTTGGCGTCGACTCGCCGCATAGTTTCGTGGATTTTGGAATGTCGGTTGCGACTCGTAAAAAACCATCTCTCACCGCCGTATGTTGCCCGTTTGATCATCTCCTCAAGATAGCGCAACATGTCAGGTTTGTACTCTCCGGATTCTTCCTCTTCTGGTATGTCAACATCAACACACTCATCTAGGCCGTCAACCACTATGCAAACGTCATTTGCCTTGACAAGTTCATGAATCATCTCGGCGGCAACGCTGTTATTACTAAGGCCGCCCATCCGACTCATCTCTTCTTGACAGAGTTTTACAAACCTGTCAGACAGCTTATTGGAGAAAAGATGTAACATCTGAAGAATCAGAGATTTGAAGCAGTTAATACCATGTTTCCGCAGATTGTCATTGAAGGAGAAGAAAAAATAGGCAACTTTTTCTCCCTTCTCCTGCAGATGGTCTATGATTGCCGATGCGAGAACGGTTTTTCCGGATCCAGGCGGAGCATTGTACCACAGGACTGATTTCTCCGTCGAATCTCGCCAATTCTTAAAACGAGGGTCTTCGAACATCCACACACACGTGCCTGGTTGTCGATAGCGTCGTTTTCGTTCGAGATCTTCTCTAACATCAATTTCGCCGGCGCGATCCCCAACTATCCATTGCCGAACGCACTCCCGAACATGGCTTTCCCTGTCTTGATTCCACTGACGGAAGTGGTTTGCCATTGCAAGGTTTTGGATGTGCAAACTATCGTCCTTCAAGGAATCTACTGTATCCTTCATTTCCTGGTACAGAGGACCAAGTAGCTTGAACACTGTGGGGCCTGTCTTGCATAACCTCTTGGAAGCTTTGTACCAGAAGTCGAATATCTTTGTGTAAGAGCGAACAAGCCGATCCTGGAAGTCAGGCACGTCCCTGAATGTTTCTCCGTGCAGCTCGTAGACTTTCATGTAGTCTCCTATAGCATGAAGGGCGTCCACGAGGTCTTCGAAATATTGATCGAAACCAATCGCCAGCTCTAGTACTATGCGAGCGCCTGATATTGCCACGCCAGTCCCCAAAGGACCAGCTTGGCCGAGAGGCTCACATAGTTTCATCATAACCTTGAAGCCTTCCAGGAATGGTGCCATTTTGTGAATTAATCGATTTCCGCGGCGACTCTGTCGCTTGACCTCTAATTTTTCCATGCAGTCTTGCAGGTTGTTAATCGATTCTTGAGCGTAATTTGCCCCTTGAATTCGCGCGTTCCCATCTCGCTGATCCCTTTCGATGCGCATAAGCTCACTCAGGAAGGGGTTTTTCGAATCTTCCTTGCTCTTTTCTGTCAGGCCATTCAGAAAGTTGTTGATTGCTCTTCCGACGGGGTCATTTGGCGAAGAAGTGTCCACACTCCCCTCACTAACAGAATGAACATCGTATGTCATTATGCCTTTCGACTTGTCCATTTTGAAGTTATTTCAAGTCGGCCATTGGTCGCTTGGCACGCATATAGTGCAGCAGAAGTTGAGGAGCGGGAATATTTTGTTTCAATGATTTTGAGAAGAATTTGAACAGGCAAGGCTTTCTACTGGTGGCAGCCTTGACGTGGCGCAAGATGTTGGGCTATGCGGAATCACACCCTTGCACTGACAGGGTGACTTGACATGCATGTCAGCTGCATAGATGGGAATGATGAGAAATTCCCGCCTTTATCGTCATCTTTCAGCCAATAGGCACGTTGTAGTGTATGTTGTGCTTCGACCACTTCCCACAGGAAGCTAGATCATCTCGACTATCGTTTCATTGGAAGGGGTCAGGCGGCTTCCTGCATGTACGACAGGCAATGTTTGACCTCGTCCTAGATCTTGACAGCCTTGTGCGGGGTTGCTGACCAGAGTGGTCGATCACTCGGTCTTTATCTACAATGATTAAGTCCGGCCAGTGGCTGCGTGAGCTATTTTCTATCGAGCTCAAATCAGGCTGCGGCAGTAGTTGAAAAATACGCTGTTCCTCAACCTGAAAAATAGCCAGTTCCTTGAATTCGTCTAAGGTAGTCCCAATTAATTCCACACTGACCTTTCTTACCAACGGAACGAAAATGACATCCAAAGAATCCGCAATTGGTTTGCAATGCGAGTTCAAGACTTATCACGCCTTCTTCAAGAAAGACGGTAAAGTCACAATTGAGACCACCACCAATCCATTCGGTCGCTCCCCTTTCGGCAGTAACTCAGAGGATGAAGACTTGTCCTACGCCCTTGTTATCAAACGAGACTACACCAAAGAAGATTCCCACCAGCCAAAGAGTGTAACACTCAAAGTCAATTCGCCACACTTGCTCAAAGCCTTTCGCGATGTCATCGGTCAAAATTACCCAACGGTGGCCTCCGATTTCCACTCACCGTTCGAGCTTAAGAGTCCTTTTCAGATGCTGGTGAATTACTGGGATGAACTCGAGGTGTACCGGAAAAAGGTAGAAAGTTCTGACATGCGAGTTCACTTGGGCCTGCTTTTCGATTTTATGAATCACGAGTTAGGGGCCGACCGTAAAACGATTCTTGGTATGCTACAGAAGAAACAGATTACTTATTTGACTGCATGGATTCTCTTTCGGCCGGGCACCCGTTTGTATACCAAAGTACTCGACTTCCCTTGGGTCTTAGTATGTCAAAAGACTGTATATGAGGAGAACACCAAGATCGGTCCATACCTTGAAGTTCACTGCACATACACGGACTACAACGGCACCAGCGTCGGCGAAGCATCGCACATTGTCACAATTGTACAAAAGCAACAGTTTGGAGGGGACAGTCCTGCATTCATCACCGACTTGCCAATATACCCCAGAGAATATGTTGACGACAACGAACTTGAGGGTTACCTAATAGAACGCGGCAAAAAATTCCTTTCGTACAGAAAGATGTCTGTAGAGGCATACGATGGAATCGCACAGTATATGAGAGAACCCCCGTACACATACTTTCACTATAGTATGGATAAGTTTCCGGACATTTGGCTTCCGTACACAGTTGGTCATTCAAGCAAATGTGTTATAGCTTATCCGCTAACGTAACACCAGGAATCGGGAAAGGTTGTCATCGACCGGAAGACCTTCCAGAACGACTATTATAAAAGTGTCGCAGCTATCAAGAAAGTCCCTGATCCGAACCCGTTGACGTGCCCTCCATATGTCTTTGGCTTTTCTTTGAGCCGAAAACTTTGGTGTCGCTTCTTTGTTGAGAATATCGGCTCTGTACAATGGAAAACGTATGTATGGGATTCGTTGATTTTAGAAGAAAGCCAGAAATTGGTTATTCGAGCTCTGATCACTTCTCATGCCTACCCCGACAATCCGCGTAATCAGCCCGAACAGAAGGGCAAAGGGCTTGTGATTCTTCTTCATGGAACCCCTGGCTCGGGCAAGACCTTGACCGCAGAGCTGGCAGCAGAGGGGAAGCAGACAGCACTCATATCTGCATCCTTGGGAGAACTGAACAAAGAAAAGAAGTCAGTCCATTTTATCTGAGTTGACATGCAATAAACAGCGACTAACATGATTCTTGTAGTGCCATGAGATTCGAGCATGAACTCCAACGACTGATGCAATACGCCACTCAATGGAAGGCCGTGCTCCTTCTGGACGAAGCGGACGTCTTCCTGGAGAAGCGGGAAGAGAACCCAGGAAACGCAGAGCGAAACGCTCTTGTAGCGGTATTCCTCAAGCAATTGGAGTATTTCTCAGGAGTAGTCTTCCTCACCACAAACCGTTTACGGACATTTGATGCGGCCATGAGCTCGCGTATTCATTTGGCACTTGGCTACAAGGCACCAGGAATCGAGACTCGTCGAAAGCTGTGGATACAATGTCTCCAGAAGCTGCCAGCTAGTGACATTGAGTTCGAGGATCTTGATGATGCGGCAATGGAATTCGTCACCCATCATCTAAACGGAAGAGAGATATCCAACGCTGTGAATACCGCCAGGACGATAGCCAGATTTGAGAACGAAAAACTACAGATCAAGCACATAGAGCAGGTTTTAGATGTGAGAGCCAGTTTCAGGAAGGCGATCAAAGCTGAAGGAAAAAAGATGACTGCACAAGGCGGAGAAGGGGATGGCCTCAAAAGGACCGGATCAATTTTGGATGAACCGAACGAGTACAGCTCGTGACATGTTAGATGTAATCGTAGTTCTTGAAAAGGCTTGGCTAAGGTCATGTGTGTCTTGACTGTTTATTGCTTAAAGGCCTGAAAACTATAGCCCGAAAAGTCTTGATTCTCAGCATTTCGCTGTCAGTCTTTAAAGGTGGGTTTGTGGCGTAACGATGAGATTTACTTACCCATCATCACAAAGCTCCCTCGCTTCGCTTCTACCGTATGGCCACATTGAGAAGACGTCTTGAAATTTTTATGTTTACATACCAGGTGCCACCTTTCTAGCCATTGAAAACCATGTACATGTCTATCGTTTCGTCACCTCTTCCATCAACCACGTTTTCCAGTCCTCATCGGCCAGAATGGACCTAACTCTCGCCTCCAGCCATTCTGTGTTTCCCCAAAAGCCCCAGGATGCCTGGAAACGACACCAATCAACAAGCGCAGTCTCCCAGTGGCGGATAAAAACATCCCAATCATACTGCGAAGGACCCTTCCCAAGAGGCTTCTCCCTCAGGAGAGTCTCCCGGTAGTTTTCAATCAAGGCCTTCTCGCCTTTATCCATTCTCAGCTGGTCTGGTATATCCTCGTGGTGAGTGAGCATTTCGAGAGGAACTGAGCATGTAAACAGTTTGGCCAGGTCACAAACCCCCAAACCCAGTCCGGCGTACTGGAAGTCGAAGAAAGCGACTTTATCCCCTGCTTGGGTTGTGAAGAGATTCTCGGACTTGACGTCACCATGGATGTATGTCTCGAAGGGCCTCCCGGATGGCGTAAGAAAATCAGCCACCAACTCGGCAATGGACTTGGTTGAGCCATCAAGAGGTTCGCAAAAGGCGGCGGACCACTCTGAATATTCATCTCGGCATAATGAACTGTACTCCTTCCGCCGCGTAGCAAGATATGTGTAACCTCCGTTAAGCCATAGCTTGGGACTGGTAGGTGCCTGACCTGATTCCCGGCGCTCCGCTTCCTCGAGCGGGGGCAGCAGGAACTGGTTGAGGTCATCCGGCAACGAAGCCCAAGAGATTCCATGATACCTGGCGAGCCAATCTAATGCCGCCTTCACCTGAAGGCGGTTCAGAACCAATCTCTTTTCACCTGCGACGGGGAATTGCGGACGCAGGTCGGTAATGATGGTGGCCGTCAATGCCTGAAGCTCTTTGGCGCGGGGCTTCCCCTTCAGATCTTGCGTTGAGGCGAGGCATTTGGCGACTGCGACATCATCACCGAGCCGTGGAGCAACCTCAGAGTAAAAGTACTGCTCGACCTCGTAGCTAAGCATCTTCCGCAGGTGCCCTTCATCGCCGGCTTTAGCGCGGGGTGGTGAGATGAGCTTGAGAATGAGACGATAAGACCCTTCCGCGTCTGGTTGAAGTGTCGGGGAGATGGCATTTACGTTAAAATTGCCATTCGGAGATTCAGAAGGCCGGGCAGAGATGGCGCAGATGTGTCCATAGCCGGCCCATAGGGTCTGGAGCTCGACAAGGGAGACGAGATCGAGGCCAAGCCACGAAAGCATAATTTCGGCGACGCGCCGAGGTTCTTCGAGAGATACCATGGTAAGAGATAGTGCTGCTGCGGACAGAATAAACTGAGTCGAGTCAAAGGCGACCTCTGGAGGCGGCGTTGCGGCGACTAGCTGGGTGAAGTTGGAGGCGAGATGGTAACCTTTGGTGAGCACTGCATCCATTTCCAGATTGTTTCCCAAGTGGGTCTGGGCGACTCCAGTGTCGACTCCACGACAGGCCAACTCAACAAGTCCCAGTCATGCAATGGGTTATGAAGAATGAGCGGAAGTTGGGTTTTTGCAGCTGGAGCAGCAACCCCTTAAAGGTTTCTTCAAATTCTAGAATCGACAAGAAATGGCGAGTTCCGAGAAATAAGAAAACAAGAACCTGGTACTACTCAAGCCGTGGCTTGCTTGGTTTTGTCCTCAGCCGTTTCACAGCTTACTGGGCATCTTTGCATAAGCTAAGCGTTGCCAGCCGTCACCAGCTGTGGGTTTCCCTCACGCTGTGAAAATCGGAGCTTGCCCAACTCATTTTTAGACCCAACGTCATCGTGAAAGGTTCACATTACGCCGAGGAGAGTCGAACAGCACGAAGGAGGAAAATTGGCAGAAGCTCGACTCGGCAAGTCGAAGCAGATCAAATCACCTTGCCAGTAATAAGCAGGTCTTCCAGGCCATCAGGGTGTGGAAAGCCCCACTCAGAACATCGCCTTTTAGCGACAACATTCCCGGACTCATCTTCGCCGCGAACGTCTTCATCCTCAAGCAAACACCTTTTCGCTTATTAAAAATCTAAAGCCCAATTCTTGCCATGGGGAGACTTCAACCTTCAGTCGGCCAGCCGCCGGCCAGTTTTCGTAAGGCCGCCAGAGCCAAGAAGGCCAAGGCCACTCTCAATCAGCTCATACCATCACTTCTGCCCACGCATCCCCGCGCTCGTCGAGGAATAGATGCCGCGGAACTCGTCATCGAGCCAAAGCCACTCGAGAAAGTGCAATTGACCTCAAAGTCTGAAGCAACTGATACATCCTCAACGGAGGATTCGCCTCGCCTCATTCTCAAAGTGGCCGACACTCTCACAGCGGCGCATTCTCTTGTCGTTGCAGATTCAGGGCCAGAAGAAGGGCGAGTGGCGATCCTCAACATGGCATCGCCGCTCACACCCGGTGGTGGCTTTGTAAACGGAGCTGGCAGTCAAGAAGAATCACTCTGCATGCGATGCACACTGCTGCCATCGCTTAAAGACGAATGGTACCGGCTGCCAGAACTTGGCGCAATTTACACACCCGACGTCATGGTTTTCAGAGATGAGGATACAGAGGACGTGTTGGAAAAGAAAGACCGGTGGTTCGTAGATTGCATTAGCGCCGCCATGCTTCGGAACCCAGAGACCGAGAGGGACGAGTCGTCAGGTTTCAGCTACTATGTCAACGAAAAAGATCGGCAACTCGTAATGGAAAAGATGAAGGCGGTGCTGCGAATATGCCAACTTAAGGGAATTACAAAGATCGTCCTCGGAGCCTGGGGCTGTGGTGCGTATGGGAATCCCGTCAACGAGGTCGCCGCAACCTGGAGGAAGGTCCTCCTACCTAGAAATGACAACAAAGCAAGGAAGAAGGGAAACAGAGAAACCTGGAACGGCATCAAGGAAGTTGTTTTCGCCATCAAGGACTCTGGCATGGCTGACGCGTTTGAGTCTGCTTTTGGCAAAGGTCTTGAGAGGGAGGAACCAGACGAGTCCGAGGATGAGGCTGGGAGTGAGATTGACCCAGACGAAAGGAACAGGATGGAGCTTCAAACTAGGATACGCGAGTTGGAAGAGCGTATTGAGAAAACAACTAGCCCGCAGCTGAAAGATGGACTTAAAGGTATACTCGCAGGGTTGGTCAGTCAACTCCCACCTGACGATGAGGAGAACATCACAGATGATGAGGAGTAGCGCATTGGCAGGAATTCACCATTGAAAAAAAATCAGAGTGAAATTAGAAGAGCGCTTTTGCAATACTATTATTACTGTACATGACCAATAAACCCTGGGTCTTAAACAGCATCGTCGAGAACCAGCATCAAATTCCAGCTTCTCGCTGTCTTAGGGTGCTATTAACTTAGTTCGTTAACAAAACCAATAACATACAGAGACAACATCAATTTGAAGTAGAAAAAGACAATTCAATAGAATAACATTAAAGAAAAAGAGCAAGTCTCTTCGCCAACATAGTTTTTCGAAAACACCCGGGATTCGGATGTAACCATATGCATGTTATCGAAGTATTTCCGACTTTCGGTTATTCCTCAACTACGTTGGTTAGGAAAGGAGGTGCAAACCTCCGATCACCAGAACCCCGAGCACTCAACAATGTTGACACCCAAGTCGTAATCAATGGATCATGATTAGCGACCCTAGACAGACCGAACAGTCTACTAGTTTACAAGTTATAATATCAATTGAAGAGACATTTCCCAGAACGGATGAAGCTCATCGGAGCGGACGAGAATGCCGGCGGACCCGCTATTGAATCCTCCGGACCAGTCGACTCCGGGACGATCGGACCTTTTGCGGGCTATGCGGCTTTAAGGGTTTGGTGTATTGCCAGAAAGGTAGCAATATGTGTCGATTTCACTTTCGCATACACGAGTAAGTACATTGGCATAGACCAGGCAGGGTTAGCCGCTGGACCTACAGCCGTGAGTAAATGGCCGACAATAAAGTTGATACTCAACTCACGTGCCAGGTCTGAAACATCTGATGGGCCACCGACCGAAGAATCTGCTCTTTTGAAATCCCTTTCTACTAGTATACACTCTTTTTCGTATTCCAGATGGCTGCCATCCGAAGTTGCGGTATCTGACATTTTCTTTTCTCCAACAATGACTACTGCATCGTCCTTCCCTCAATTTCCCAATCTCCCCACTGAGCTCCGCCTCTCTATATGGGAAGAAGCCATTGCGAGTCCGTCTATACATGTTTTTGACGTCTGCTTTCCGTCCCGTCGCGGGAATAGTCGCAGCCGGCAGGCCTTTCAAGGATCAAGATGTGGCACCAACTCCAGTCGTAATGTTTCTTGGAACAAATATGAATACATCGCCTTTCTAGACTCCTCGGACAACAATGAAGATGATGAAAAAGCCAGATTTGATAAGCCTCATTCCAGTCGCTTGGTCCATGGAGATCCTAGCATGTACAAACAACGCCAGGCTCAACGTTTGACCTGCCTCGAAGCAGCTTTAGCATCATCTCTGAGAACCCGGGACCCAAACATCGTCTACTTGCCGGGACGGGGAACCAAATTCGAATACGACAACAATAATGACGTACTGTTTCTTCGATTTTCAAATGAAGATTTTGGAATAAATACCGAAAAAAGAACAACTTCGCGAGCCAACCCCTTTGTTAGCAGCATTGCGGAGGCACTCGAAGCCCACTGGAGCGCAGAGATGGCACTCACTATCTGGCAGGCACGACGTATTGCCATAAACGTAAAAGATGCATTGATTCCCTCTCACGTTATAGAGATATCATATTTGGCATCTTGCATTCAAAAAGATTTGAATGTTTTTTACCTTGTAGAGCATCAAGGGAAAAGACCTACCGAAAGCCAGGGAGAGCATTTCAAGGCCTCAGACCTTCAGCATAGAGGCAAGCTATACCGTCAATTAAACAGCCGGATGACAAAAGAAAGTTTGGCAAGAAAACCGGATATAATATATGGAGTCTGCAAGACGTACAGAGAGGTGTTCGATTTTGAAAAGCTTTCTTGGGACGAGAGCCACCCTACTTATGTTTTTGCTCGTCTTATATCGGAATCAGTCTACAGTCAACAACTTGATACAGGCGCACCAGACTTTAAAGGCGTTAGAATACTTTTGGAAGAGGATGATAAACCATGAGATTACTACGTAGAGAACTTTTAAGTAGCTTAATCATCGGGTGTTATGCTAAAGAGGCGTGCAAGGCTCCACATCCATCTATGTTTAAATCCAAGTTTTAGCAGATGAAGCATGGTGAAGGCGACGTCTCCAAAAAAAATAATATGAACCGTGGTGAGTGAAGGTTTCAGTTTAACATGAACTGGACTTATTTACGAAAGGCTGCATCATTCAGCCTTTGCTGTTGTTATTCGGTCCCTGTGCTGTTGCCTCATCTTTTTTCCTCACGTCTTTGAATCCCAGACCCCACGCAAATAGAAACATGCCTCCGGAAAAAGCGGTAGCAATGTACATGGTCTTCTGAAAGCCAATAGCCCACGCCTGTACCACGTTGGCAAGGTCCTCGGCAGGCACCTGGCTCCTGTACAAGGTTGCTCCAGCCGCAAGGACAGCCCTTGGCTTGACATTGGGAGCATTGATTTCAATCTGGTTCACTACCGTATTGTCGAAAACGGTGTTTGCAATACTGATGACCACGGCAGATGAAAGACCCTGAGCAAAAACGAGAATTGTCAAGGCAATGGCCACCTGCGCTGGCGGCAAAACGGTTTGGATGGCGATAAGGGCCTGTTTTTGCAAGTTAGCACATCCATTGCACATGAGTGGTGGGCCATAACGACGAGTGGCTACCATTTGCAACCCCAACCCTCTGCCAGAGCCGTACAAGACTTGATATCCGATCCATTCCCCCGTCTTCGTAGATGGGGACCACGTAGACATAAGACCTGTTCCGACTGTTGATAATACAGCAGCGAACACTGCCCATGGCAGGTAGTAGCCGAGCTTCGATACTGTACAGGCGTCTGTGTTAGCCAACCTAGGTTTCTCTCAATAGGTCTCCAAGGAGGTGAATGCATCATTATCATACCCATCATTCCAGATAAAACAGTAAATAAGATTGAGCCAACAATGCTAGGCAGCATGTGAATACCACTTTCCATTGGGCTATCCCCCAAAATGCTTTGGAAGAAGATCGGGATGAAGTAAGTCGAGATGTAGGTTGCCCCGAACAAGCAAACATTCATCATTGATCCGCATGCAACGACCCTATTCAGGAGCATCGAGAGCGGCATCAGAGCATTCTCTCCGGCACGATACTCCCATCCCATGAAAAGGAGTGTTGCTGCACCGAACCCACAGAACAGCCCAATCACAATGGCACTACTCCAGGAATATTCAGAACCTCCATAGTGCAACGCCAAAAGAAGCTGTACAACGGCGCCTACTAAAATACCTGATCCCACAACATCGAACTTTTGAAGGATTTTGCGGTCCGTAAGTACTGCGGTGAATTTGGGCTTTGCCATTTGCTCAGGAAGATAAACCAGAGCTAGCAAGATGCAGGCAAGGCCCCCAATAGGAAGATTGATCCAGAAACCTGTACACGCTCATAGTCAGCAAGTTGTTATCAATGAGAAGAAGTAGTTTGAAGAACGTACACCAACGCCAAGTACTATACTGCGTCAACGAGCCGCCGATTAGTGGACCTGCAATCAGCCCAACCTGTGATATGGCAAGCATAACTCCCATCACTGCAGGCCTCTGCTGTGCAGAAACCATTCCATAGATTATTATCATAGAACCATTAAACAAACCAGAAGCTCCAACACCAGATACTACCCTACCGGCAATGAACATGGGTGATGAGGTTGCGAGTCCGCAGATGAGAGAGCCAACTTCAAATATGATGAGAAAGATGATGTAGGTCCACTTAATTATGTTAACTGTGTGCTATGGGTGTTGACAAAGTCATTTTACCTTATTACTAAAATATGTGAAGAATTTGCCTGTCAAGGGCTGTAACGCCGACCTAAGAGACATGAATATCACGCACAGAAACCTCGACCAGAAGGAGGCTCGGCGGATCGCTTACACTGCTAGCTGGAACGAGCTAACGTACCAGCCAATGTCTTTGAGAGAACGAAACTCGTCGGTGATAGTAGGGATTGCCTATAGATCAAACTCAGTCAAGGTGTAGCCTGACAGTAGCGTAGATACGTACAGTTGAAAGTATTGAGCTATCGAGATTAATCAGAACAGCACTGAGATTCAAGGCAGCCATGGCAAATATTAGCCTATAGCCTGTGACGTATTTCGGGCCATTGCCCGTCTCTTCTGTGGTTTCTTGCCCTTTTTCGGGAGCTGCAGGAGAACCATCTTCCGAAGATTGCAAGTTATGTTCGCTGACAATGACATTGTTATTCTCATCAAGAGACTTTCGTGATTCTAACATCTTGCAAGTTTTGGCGCTCTTGTCCAGCTTCATTCAAAAAATCAACAAGAACAACAAGAGTTAAGCGAGATCCAACCAGGTCGTTTACTACAACCGGGAGGGGTCGTTAGTGGGGAAATAGACAAGCACGAGCAGCTCCGTGTGAAGTGACATTTAAGCTATCGGGCGTTTTAAACTTCAGAATTTCCGGATCACACGGTGCGGAAACCGTTCTCCGGCTGGCGGCTCGGAAGTAAGATATAAGCTTCGGTTCGACTCAGTGGGCTGCTGTTTCCTTGATTCTCAGCTAATCAATGTTACATGCTACCATTAGTGCAATGATTGCATCCTGGGTTGCTGGGCAGAGTTCACGCCTTTTGTTTTAGAACAAAGCGAAAACCTAGAATCCCACTTCCCTCTTCTAGAATTTTGATGGCATGTGCAAATCACGAGTCTCCCACCCTCTCTGCTTCTCTGTCAGCGAATTACGTGCTTCAACAACATCTCCAAGGGATCCCCGCCGCATGTAATTGGTTAGCACATTGATATTGCCGCTGATCAGAAGTTTCTTGATTCATCGGATCAGTAGACTGCGGTTAATTCCGGAATTTGGCATTCACAGCTCTGGGAACCATGCATGGCAAAATTCAACCTCCTCGTATGTCACCAAGTAGCATGACTTGCGGCAAACGAGCTTAAACATGAGACCAAGAAGAGATTAATGCCAAATTATGTATGTCAGCTGCATAGAGGTATAATTAGGGATCGGTAGCTTATCTTGTGCAAACTCGTGGAATTACTACGGCGCATGCCCTGTGACGCAAAGCCGCCTGCACAAGGTTGTAGATCTAATAACGGGATCTAGCAAGATCTAGAAATGTAATTGCCCATTATTGTAGCAACGGCCCTTGAGCCAGACCTCTTATCAACATGCAATATTCAACCAAACAGTAAACAAGCCAATGGCTGCTTGTAACAAACGCATGTGCTACCCTGCGGCCGAGGATGCTTCTGTCGGCACCTGACACCTGCTCTGCTGAAAGTTTTCGCTATGAATCGCCATGAGCGTCGAACAGCCCGCAGGATTTAACCTTCAGGTTTTCCCATGTTCACGGAATCCTTCTAAATCCATGGCCATAAGCCTCGCTCCTGCAGTATTTAGAGTTCACTTGATTTAGTTGCTGAATCTTTTAAACTTCAAAACCACGAGCCACTTGTAACCCTACTTGGATTTGACAGGGTTTCACTGTATACTGCTTCTGTTCTACAAGCTCCAAGTGATCGATAACATCTTTACTACTGGAAATTTGTTTCCGGGAGCTATATACTTTCACATTAAGTGTTCACATAAACACCTGTCACTTTTCCCATACAAAGGTTCTCAAAACTCACTAGTAACCACTCTGTGTTTATCAATAGTGGCTGGTGACAGGACAATCGTTGAGTAAGTGTGGATTTCACATGGTATAGACCCCCTACGGCCAAACAGCAAACACACCATAACTATAGATGTTCTAATAATGTGTAAAAAGGTAGTAGGACCAGTGGTCCGAAGTAAGTAAGAGAAATACTGTCTCCCTGGCTGTTACGTGCGGAAGGAAGGTTGCTGGTACCCCCGTGGTGGGCGATTAGCTGGGAGGCCGGCGGGGCGGTCACTTTAGTCCTTATTTCGACTATTGCAACAAGAAGATGCAGACACATTTACAACAGTTGCAAATATCACGAAAATTGAAGAAGCTTGATAGAGTACCTAGGTTATCGAGTGGCTCGCCGTTTTATGAAGTGTGCGAGGCTACGTATGATTGGTGTATCCAGCTATCCGTATCAAGTTGCAACAGATAGAGCTCTGCAACGATTTCTATGTCCAAGCTGCGCACGAAGCAGACCCAGTTCTTCTCTAAAGGCAGCAGCAGCGCTTTCCATGGTCTTGTTGATTTCCTTATGCTCACCCCAAAAAACACATCTATCAATTCCACTCCCTGATAGAATAGCATCGAGTGTTGGCTCCGTCACATCTGAGTTCTGTTGACGGCCACGAGGTTGGTATTGTTTTGCAGCTTCTGGACCACCGCCCGGTCCAACGCTGATGTAATGCTTTTCTGGAATACCAAGCTGCATTCCAAGGGTGTTAAGCTTGTGTGTCACGACCTGCATGAGAACTAAAATTTTGAGATCATCGTCTCCGTCAAGGATGACATCTTCTACGCGCAGATCATATAAAAGATCTGACATGTTTGCACCGCTTTTGAGGCCAGAGTAGACGTCCGCAAAGATCTGGCGAAAAGCCTGAAATATCTTGGTGTAGCAAGATAGCAGCAGTAGCTTCGTTGGCCCGTCAAGGGCCAATTCGCTTACGTCGGGATCTGCTCGGCCTGGTAATGGCTTTGATGATTGATATCGTGAATTGGTGACCATGCTTCGTAATGTCTCACTATATTGCAAAATACTCCTTAGTGTTGTTGTTGTTGGTCGTATAGTAGCAGATGTGTCCGTAGATGGCTTTGATGCTTCAGTTGGATGAGCTCGCCGATTTTGTAAAGGAGGTGATGGGACAAGCTCGAAAAGACAGGATGTGAGACCGGCCACATCGCGTGCTAACGTGCCATCCAAAGGCATTTCAGGCTGGAAGTCTTCTTCAGACGGGTTTTCATTTACTGTGTCATGGCCTTTCTGAGATAAATCAGAGTTGTCTGATACAGACCCAAGTGATTCACTTGAGTTGCTTGGCTCCACGCTGTTGGGATTGATGGAAGATGTGCCATCAGAGCTCCAAGTCATCCATTCCGTTGGCATATCAGATGCGAAAAAGTTCATTAGCTCCACATCATGAGAAATGACTCCTGATAAAGGTGGGCTTGCCAGACCCGACGTTGTCTACAACGTGTTAGTGCTGGAATGGATAGCACACAGCCAGCAATAGCTGTTTTGATATTTTGCACAAAGATGTACACATACCATTGTGGGATTAATTCGATCAAGTTCCGCATTGGTATCTTCCCATGAGCTTCGCCTCTCACAGGAGCCTTGCCAAAGTGTCGGTGGGAGATACGATATCCCCTGCGGGTCAACCAGGTGTAATGAAGCTGAACCTAGCCTTCCTGCCCGTGATCTGGGGGGTCTGCCAACTCGACGAGAATGATTCTTTCTGCATTGAACGCCTTTCCGACTGCATCTTTCGCACGTTGCATCCGTCCCTGTGCTAGGCCATTCGCACCGCAGCTTCTGAGCCCGACACCTCTCGCAAGCCAAACTGTTGGTACGCTTCGAAGCATCGTTGACAGACATGGCGGGAAGTTTTGGCTTTTTTTTGTATGTTGGCGGATATCAATAAACACTTAACAGCATCCGATAGCTTCAAAGCGACATGAAGATGTGCATCAAGAGCTATAAACCTGCACTAGTGAGAAACAAAATGAGGAAGGCAGATGTAGACTCTTTGGGACGGATGCTAGGACTGAATTAAACGGAAGTATCCGCTATGATCAGATCTAAATGGAGGTACCCGTGCAAGCCGCGGTGTGTCCAATTCCACATGGCCCTACCAGCTAGAAATACTCTCGGTCTCGCGTGTCAGCGCGTCGCATCTACTACAGCCTGACTCATGATAAGGTTAAGCGATCATTAATCCAGTAAATAGGGCCAGCATCAACTGCAGATGATGAACCTTAATCACCGTGCAATGAGGGGTTGTAGATATGGCACTGGCAGCTGAGGGGCAGGTTTACCAGACCAAGGTGTGACAGCGAGGAAAAGCTTCTGGTCCCTTGGATAGCTTTCTGCATCTGTCTACTGTATTTTGAAGATCACGCGCCTCTAATCCACAACACAGAGCAGTCTTCAAAGGGAAAGATATAAAACACGCATGCTATATACCATGGATAGCCTTCTGAAAATTTGCTGATATCGCAATACGTCCAGAGATAACTCGCTTGGATCGTTACTGGTTACCGAGGGCAAGGGACTCATGATAAATCTTCCATTCTAGCAGGGAACATTGGACACCGCCCGAACGGCAATCCAGGATCTACTTTCAAAGGCAAGGAAAGACAGGGAGCGACCCTAGCTTGCGCAGTTCAACTTTGGAAAGGTGAAGCTATGTGGGCAACTGGAAGTGGGATTCCCAGTGCACGACTTCCCTTTCAGCTTTCACTTAGAAACTTGTACGAATGTGAGGTAAGTCACACTTGGAATCCATGGTACTGATGAAATATGCTTTACAGTGTACCCCTCATTACTGTTTGACTATCACAGTACGCAACATTGACTTGGGCCCACCGTGCAAAAGGCGGACTCGGCTTTGAACAATAGACCTTTAGCTTTTTAATCATTTACAGCTTCTTAAGTATGCAATGGAATGCCTGCTTTACGTTTAGGACCTTGAACGTCACTCGATGTTACTAGCAACTACGTAGTAGCAGAACAAAAGCTGGCAAGCCTAAACTTAGTTTTGCGACTGACTCGCATTGCACTATGCGTGGGCAAATTATCAACCAAATTCTCCACAATATAAGTATCCGGCTGCAGCTTTCTATGTAGCAGTTATCCGTTGTAAAGCAAACAAGGCGACAGCTCGTACCATGTCATTGCTGAAAACGCCGCTTTCGCCCCAAATGCTAGCGAGGCGTTTCGCTACTGTAGCATTCTATTTATTTGCGGCTAAATGTACTGAGCTCAACAATAATCTCCCTATATTGACTTTTGGCGCTGCATCAATTGAAGCACATCATCTTTTACTCCAAGAAGTTTAAACCCAGAGTAGCCAGCCAGTTTGTTGCTTGCGCTTTGATTTGGCCTAACATTCCGATCCCGTAAACCAACCAGATCTTCCACTGAGCAAGAGTTTCTGGGAACTCGGCTTCTTCTGAAAAAGCACTGCCCAGATACTGACATCCTCCAGCTTCTCCCCCAAACATTCGATTCGTGAAAACAGCAAGGCCAGTATCTCGGCCGAATGGCATCTGAACTTGGACGTACTGATGCTCCAGTTCAAAACGCCAGTGTCCCCCGTCAGCGGACCAAAATTCCACAACGTGGCCGGTTGACCTCCCGGCAACTGAAGCCCGTACCCCGCGTCCATTTTTAGTTGCTAAGACCTGTACCCTGTCCCCGTTCTGCGGCTGATACGTTGAGTTAGCTGCTTTTGTAGAGACAAGCCTTTTCCCGTTTTTAAACAGAATGGCTGTGCAATGAGTTGTTCTACCGCCAACTCTTGATGTGGGCTCCCAGTAGAAGAATGAGTATGGTCCGGCGGTTCCGCGGATGATTTGAAAACCCCAGATAATTTTGAACCAGTTATCTATGGCCCACAGATGCATATGTCCGCCTTTTCCGGAGTACGACGTCACTCCACCCCGACGTCCCTTGATTGTTATTTTACCCTCAACCTGGGCCGCGGGGATGGTGCCATGCATGTGTAGCCCTGGCGCCACCTGTGTTAAGGTTTCCGGAGACGCGTGTAAATTCCCGTCGGGAAAATGCCCCGGCGCCGAGCTCAAGAGATGGAATCTCCCGTGGAGCTTGGGCGTGCTTACCACAATGGTGGCTTCAGCTCCAATGCTTGTATCTCGCGGAACACGAAACTCGAAGGAGTGGCTATTGGAAGTCCAGGTGCTGGCAATGTAATCCCCGCAGTCGTAAATTGAGGATTGATCAACAAAAGCTAACTCTTGAAACTTGGTCCCGTCTTCCATAAGGGCATAGAACTCAACGTGCAAGTTGCCCTGTCCGAAGAATGCATAGGAAGCATCTCTGCCGAGCGAAAGAAAAATGCCGCTGGACCCGTCGTCGGATACACTGTCAAAAACCCACTGTTCCCAAGACGTCGAGTTGATGCCAGACAATTTGCCAATGGTAGGATGCTCATCGTGTCTTCGAGGACCAAAGTGGATGTCTCCTGTCACCGTTTCATAGGATGTTATTCGGTGTTCCTTGCATTCTTTCTTCCAAATGGCTGGGTCTTCTTTATCTTTGAATGTCGATTTGCTGCTGGCAGAGTCTGATCGATAGTTTTGGATCAAGGGTTGTTGCAACTGTTGGGCGGAGTTCGAAGCCAGGGTTATGGCAGCCTGCATAGGGACAAGCCCCCAAAACATCAAACGATAAATCATCTCGATGTTTCAACAGCTCTGTACGATGCAATCGACTGACTCACTCCGAACTCAAACCACCCAGGTACTAGTAGGCGACGGGAGGTATAGCCAAGTCGAGAATCAAACGGTACTGGATGGGAAAGAAATGCTTGTCACGCTAAAATGGCCCTTGGCGTGTGAGCACAATATATGCATGAACGTAGCAAAGGGGCTTCAGCAGATGGGGCCGACCGTCAACTTTAACCAACGGGTTCTTTACCGAAGTCTGGCAACTCAAGGGTTTCGGCCCACAGGCAATGCTCCGATTCCGAGCAATCCGGCAGTTCTGAGTTGTCAAGCTGCCCGGCCTTCTGTGTGGCGCGCGCTTCAGTCAACGCCGTCAAAGGTTGGCCAGAGGCTCACAATGACTGCTCGAGTAGTCGGTCAATTCTGCCACGTCGGACGTTTGTTTGGAAAACCTTTTGAGCCCGAATGTAACTTCAATTTACAAGCTGCAGATAAACTACGGGTGCAGCGCCCTGGGTTCGCTCCTTATTACTGGAAAGGTTGTAGGCATAAGTGAAAGCCTGATTGCTGGGTAATAAGTGATTTCAAGCTGCCAATAATTAAGACCTAAGCCAAAGTTTCGAATTATGGGTTCGATTATCACTCCGACTCTAGCAGCATTGCCTGAAAGACAGCATGCCGTCATTCAGGCGGCAAGCCCGCTAGGAAAACTCATTGTTGTTACCGATCGTCATGTGCCCAAGCTTGCGCCCGATGAGGTTTTGGTTCATGTGCAAGCCGTTGCCGCAAACCCCTCGGATTGGAAAATGACTAGTCAATTTCCTTGTCCTGGGGCGGGATGCGGCATGGACTTTTGCGGAGTTGTGGTTGCAGTCGGGGACGGAGTTGCCCCATCATCGGGCATTCAAAGCGGCGATGTCGTAGCAGGAGCCGTTCACGGAGCTAACCCGGCCGACCCTGAGGCCGGCTCTTTTGCGGAGTACACCTGTGCAATTGCGGATCTCCTGTGGAAAGTACCACCAACATGGTCCTTTACTGACGCGGCTGCAGTTGGGGGATGCTGTGTGGCCACTGTAGGCTTGGCGCTATTTGCTGGAGACGCTCTTGGTCTTCAGTTTCGACTCAATCAGTTCACCAGTGGCTCCAAGCCTCCACTAATTCTTGTTCATGGTGGAAGCACCGCTTCGGGAACCATGGCTATTCAACTGGCAAATTTGTAAGTGAATTCCTTCATGCTTAAACAACAAATGTAATATAGTCGCTTACGTCTAACTGATTCCCTAGGTGTGGATTTCGAGTCATCGCAACATGCTCACCTCGCAATGCCACTATGGTGTTATCATACGGGGCGGAACACACCTTTGATTACAATAGCCCTTCCTGCGCATCCGACATACGCTCCTATACCAGTAACTCGCTTCACTATATATTAGACACTATTGTTGATCCAAAGTCTATTGTAATTGCCGATAAAGCAATGGGTCGTTCTGGTGGCCGCTATGCTGGGCTTGAAGCTTTGCCACAGGATGTTCTTGATGGCAGCGGTAGTACTCGCAAAGTCATCAAGTGGACGTATGTGATGGGAACAAGTATGATCGGACGAGAAGAAGGTCTCACAGGGCCATACTACAGCAAGCCTCGCCCCGAAAGGCGCGCCTTCGGCAAATGGTGGTTTCGAACGGTCGTTCAAGAACTCATGGATAAGGGCTTACTTCGACCGCATCCGGTGAAATTAATGGATGGAGGATTGGATCGAGTTCCTGAAGGCGTCAGTATGCTACAGAAAAAGCTTGTCAGTGGCGAGAAGTTGGTGTATAATTTAGCATGACATAAGAGAAGGACTCATGCACCTTGCGCCCACGAGAAACATGTGTAGGAATACCAAACCAGCACTGGTTATCAATAAAGTCATAAATTTACGCGTGGCAATGCCCTAAATTATTTTCAAAAAACTGGACTATCGGCATGGCCGACTTATCCCTAGCTGTTTATCGAGAAATGCAAACGTTTCTGTAGCTAAAGAATTCCAAGCTCCAACTTTGCCTGTAAGGGCACCTTCACCCACATTCTCAGGTATCCATACTTGTTTCTTCCCCTCCGGTACGCCAGCGAGCTCGTCCATAATGCGTTGCGTGCTTGCATCGGGAGTCTGATAAATTGCTTTAGACGCGCCTGTGACCAATACGGGGCATCGTATTTGCGAGAGAATTGTGGAAGCTCTGTTCTCTTCATCTTCATCTTGATCTCCGCCCTTCAGGATCTCATCTTCAGGTCGCCACCGCAGCGAATATCTCTTGAATTCTCGAACGACATCTGCAGGCCTGCGTTTCCCCATCACATGCATAGTTGTGGTGAATTCCCACTTAGTGGGAAAATCCATTGACATATGGGAGTTGCATGACCAGTCGAAAAAGTCATCGGAAATCCAACCGCTGAGCCACATTCGTACGTACCACCTGGGAAGCCTAGTCATGGCAAGTTCCCACATGTCGTAGAGAGGATCTGCGGAGATGCATGCTGCGACACGCATGGGCTCAGCAGCTGCCGTACGAAGAGCAATATAACCGCCCATGGAGATGCCCGCTACACATACGCGGTCCAGATCCAGGTTAGCATCAGGCCGTTCCTTTGCTAGAACCCAGATGCCGTCAAGAACGCAAGACAAAACCTTCTCGTAGTCTGGCCTCATCGGCTCGCCAGAACGTTTAAGCGTGAGGCCTTGGCCTGGGCCGTCGAAGTTGAGGACGGCATAGCCCAGCTCTGGCCCAAGGGTACCGTAAACAAAATACAACTCTTCCATAGTAGAGTCGGCGCCGCCACAGTTGATAAGAAGTGGGGTTTTTTGACCATTCCTCAATCTCTTTGACTCCGGCGGTAAGAAAAGTCGGGCTGGAATGATGATATTACCGAACTGGAAATTCATGCTGAGAACTTTGCCCTCCATGAACTCAGTAGCCTTTTCGAAATGCTCGGCACTGAGCTCCCCACACTTTACAATGCGTCGATCATGTGTTGGAAGCATGTATGGAGCGGCTCTGTAGTAGTTTGCAGCTCTCAAATAAGCCGCCTTAGCCAAAGGCGTGAGTCCTTGGCGGCTGGCATTGGTAGCGGCATGACTGGCTCGGTTTGCCTGCTTCCACCATGCACGATACCAGCTTTCAGGATCATGTTTCTTGATTTCGCCGACGGCCTCTAGGAATTCGGCAACATCACAACCGCCAGCGGCCGCCGTTCCCAAAATTCGAGTAAGCTCAAAATTGTAGAAGGGCGATGAAAAAAAGTGATGCATTGTGGCTTTGAACGGCTGTTCGTTGAAGTTGAGTGAGTTTCGAAGACCTGCCATTAGCAAAGGTCTGGACAAAGTAAGCGACTAACGTGGTGCCTTGAGCGGTGTGTTGTGGATTGCGGCATACCCGTGCAGACGGTGCGCACCCAAAAGTAATCTAGCACATAACTCAAGCAAATCAGTACAAAGTTTTACGTTTTTCGGCTAGTTACATGCAGAACCGGCTGCAACCTCCATGCTAGGCCGGAGACTTGTTGGATGGTCCTTTTCGGGATGAACTTCGGGGTGCTAGTTCGGAGATTGATGCAAATTCGGATATTCAAAAGGTTAGACCTTGCGCCGACACCAATAGCTTCTTCATGACTCAGAAGGGGTAAAGGGAGTTCTGTAAACGGTAACATTGAAGATATTGGACATTGAATTTGCACGCAGCCATCTCCTACTGCCTTTACCATATGTTGCGCAAGTAGTAAGCAAGCCATCCACTCTATTCCACGGCTTTTCTGTCCGTAGTAGCAACAATACTCTGCGGTGTTCGTCCCAACAGATACTCAAGCGACCATAAAGTATCACAACTGTCTCTTTGTAACCTTCAGAGGCAAGGCAGTATGGCGGTAGCTTTCATCCATGTGGCACCATTAATCACTTCATCCGCGTTGTCAGTACTGCCAGCCCTCTACGTTGGATCATAAAACATAGTTTGCTGATAATGATTGCATCTCAAGCCTCATGGGTTCATATGCTCAAGGTGTTGCTTTCCACAGCTTCCAGAATCCGAAACTGGCGCCGAAGGCACGCCGTGAAGCCTTTCTTCACTGGGTCGAAATCTTCGCGGGTTTTGCATGGTCCATGGCTCTGGTCTTCTTGTTCAACATTACCTTCATCTGTCTTAATTTGTATCTCGGACCTCCTTCTAACTTGCAGTATGAGGGCGCATCCCGTTGGTTGTGGGCAGGAGCTTTGGTCTGTGGTATGGGCCATCCTCGTCCACGTGAGGTTACTGCCGCCTTGATGCGGATTAGTCGAGGGGGTGACAAGTCTCATAGTGCTGAGCAAGTAGATTTTTTCTTGCGAGGATACCGTCGGGTTAACTTGGAACATCTATTCATCACTGATGGACCCAGCTGGATATTCACTGTAGCTGCAGTGAGTAAGAACCTAGGGGTTTGTTGGGAGTGTCATATGCAGAAGGCCTCACTCACGCTCGGTGCTATCGCCCTGATCCTCTTTTGTTATGTCAGTTTGAGAGGATTGCTGCGATCAAAGTCTCAGCAGTCAAGGGCTACAGTTAAGCTCACTTAGTGTTTTCTAATGTTTGAATTCTTGAACCAAATAAGACAACCTGCATCCAATTCAACCCGTGGAAGTACCAACGTCTCAGTTTCCATTCAAGATAAGTATTTAAAGGGTAAATTCTACATTTGCTTCTCTTCAAAGCTATGCACTCTTTACTCCCTGTTATCCATCTCGTAAAGTGTATCTTACTCGTACCTGAGGCAGGACCCATAAGGCTTGAAACTTGCTGTTCTTTTCCCAGTCGAGGTTATTCTCATCAACAAGCTGCCACTCATGCTCCCAAGCGAGGCGTGCAAGCAACAATCTCAGCTCATTGTAAGCTAGGTTGATCCCCAGGCATACGCGTGGGCCCAGTGAAAATGGTTGCGATGCTTCTTTCAGGTCGTTACAAAATAACCGATCATAATATTTGTGAGAAGAAGGTAACCATCTCTCTGGATGGAACGTTTCAGGCTCAAAGAAATAATCATGGCGGCGTGTGATACTCCAACCACTAGTAGACACGACAACCTGTGTGATCCACCCAACCAGTTAAACACAACTCTGGTGCAAGCAATACTTGAAACATGGTGAATAATGAACAATACTTGGACTTACTCCTTTTGGAACGTAGCAACCGTCAACTTCAGCACCAGGGCTCTCTCGAGGCAAACCGAAAGTGATAGGGGGCATTATTCTCATCGTTTCCTCGATACATGCTGTAAGATATGGCAACTGTTGAACTGCAGTGCTGCTCATTTCGCTGGTATCAGCAAACCTTTCGCGCAATTCTCGACGAAGCCGTTTCAATTTTTCGGGGCTTCTGGCAAGATAGTAAGATACGGCAACTGCTGTCACCGCTGTCGTATCAAAACCTGCAGCGATCAAGACGCCTGCTTGATTACCAAGCCAGGACTCGGATGCTACTTGTGAAAAGTTATCAGGTTTCTCTTTCATCAGAAAACTAAAGAGATCTCTCCTATGCTCATCAGCTGAGCGAGACAGTCGTTTCCGTGTCATCGTCGTTTGGTGCTTGAAAAAGCGAATGAATTGGCCAATGGAGCTCCATGGAACAACGAACGGAAGAACCAGCCAGAGTATCGGAAGACGCGGTGCAACCTGAATGATACTCATAAAGTATATTGCACCGTGTATTGTTCCAATCCAAGGATGTGTTTTACCTATCAAATGGACAATAATAAGTATGGCGTCTCTAGGCTGCGTGCAGTCTTTCAATCGGATGGCAAGAACATACCTGTTCCAAGTGCTCCAAACGGTTCACCTAAAGCGAGTTCTCCGATTGTATCGAACACAAAGGCTTGCATAATCTATTGGAAAATGTTAGCCTCAAGTTTGACGCATGCCTGATTTGATTCTCGCCTGGTTTAAGGAGATTCCCTGTTTTTCGAAGCCGCCGCGGAGCTCGATTTGTTTAACCATAATATCCAAGTTGGTCTTCAGTGTAATTTCTTGAGCTTGGAGCTCCTTAGAACTGAAGCCATATGACATGAGCCTTTTTGTTTCTCTGTGCTTCAGTGGATCTCTCTCCATTACTATAGTACTGTAGCCGCCAGGTCCATCATAGAAAGATGACTTGAGAAAAGTCTGTCCTGTTTTTGCATGATGTCCATAAATATCTGCAGGTATCTCATCAGCATCGCACCATGTTTCTAGGGGGCACAATATCTGACCACGCAAGCTTTGCTCTGTATTAAAACTGAGTTCATTTGGTGCCACACGAACCACATCTCCTGCGTAAAGAAGTTAAGAAAACAGAATTTGGTATACATTTATATTCTTATGTGTACTAACCATAGGTTTGATGAAGTTGGTGTATACGATCGTGATACCTTCCTGTGAGCCTTGAATAATAGGCGTTACAGAACGAACATGTATTCTGTAAAGCAACACTTACCAGTTGTAAACATGGGGGATCTCAGAAATGGCAGCAAGTTTTGGACCAGGGAAACGGGCCAATGGGTGAAAGTATGCGAGATACACAGGTCTGATAATACTGTATACCAAAGTCTATCCGATTGTGTCAGAACTCTTTGGCAGCTAATCCCTAGCCATGGAAGATGCACATATGTTCTACGAGGACGTCTGGATTGGAGTTTGACTTACAACTACGGCCACAGCCTTCAGCGCTACGCCGTAATCGCAAAACTGCACAATGATAGCCATGGGATCTTTCTATAGCGATAAATTGAACTAAATGCGTCTTTCATAAAACCGCGTGAAGAATTATTACCAGCTTGAGGCGTTTGCTCTACGAGAGAACGGTGTGGGATTCAGGGTCGAGTATGAGAAGCAGCTGGTCCAGTATGACTACGGACTCCAACTAAAGAGCGTGCTAATCACACGGAAATGACTCAACGTAACTTGAGAGCTGATCTATGGTAATTTCCAAAGTCCTGTCGGTGAATTTTAATTTTGATGCTTTCCCGAGTCGGGTCTTCGGAGGTTTAATGAGACTAAGATCGTGTATACCGACTCCGTTCGGATGAATCAGAATCAAGTGGGTCAGGGATGCTGTGGCCCAAAAGTACAACCGGCACCGAAAACACTGCGGAGTTCGAATTGCAACGCTGCTCAAAGGAAGGCAATTTGTTACGTTGTATGAATTATTCTACGAAGACTGCCTACATTGGATCAACTTCTACTTACACTACTACGCTCTGTACTAGCTACACCTTGAGTTGTCTGTTCCTTTATATCCAAGCCTTACATTGAAGATTCAACTTCAACGATCAGACGAACCATAATGCCACACTTTACAGAGAGCACCAAGTCTCAATCTCAAGATGAGATTGGCTTCGCAATGCAAGAGCCTATCGCCATAGTGGGCTCTGCATGTCGCTTCCCAGGCGGCGCGTCAAGTCCATCGAAACTGTGGGATTTGTTAAGACAGCCACGAGATGTCCTCTGCAAGATACCCCAAGATCGATTTAACCCAGAAGGTTTCTACCACAGTGATGGTACACATCATGGTACCAGCAATGTTACGGAGTCGTACCTTCTCCAAGAGGACCCTCGTGTTTTTGATCTGGATTTTTCAACATCAAGCCAGTTGAGGCCCATGCTACAGATCCACAACACCGGATTTTACTCGAAACTGTTTATGAGGCTCTTGAATCAGCTGGCTTACCCATGGAAAGAATTTCTGGCACTCAAACCGCTGTTTATGTTGGTCAAATGTGGAGCGACTATAATGATCACCTTCAACGGGACATCGATAGCCTACCTACCTATGCCGGCGTAGGAACAGCACGAAGCATTCTGTCAAATCGCATATCGCATTTTTTCGACTGGCACGGCCCTTCGGCTACTATAGATACAGCATGCTCTTCGAGTTTAGTGGCAGTCTACAATGCACTTATGACACTCCGGAATGGAGATGCTCCGATTGCTGTTGTTGCTGGAGCCAACATCATCCTCACACCCGAACCATACATTGGGGAAAGCAAACTGAAAATGCTTTCACACGACAGCCGATCACGTATGTGGGATGAAGATGCTAAAGGGTATGCACGTGGTGACGGCGTGGCAGCCTTGATATTGAAGCCTCTATCTGCGGCCATAGCTGATGGTGACCGTATCGAGAGCGTAATCCGTGAATGCCTTGTCAACCAAGACGGTCGTACATCTGAGGGCATTACCGTGCCCAGCTCAGAAGCGCAAGCGGAGTTGATTCAAAGGACTTATGCAAAAGCGGGGTTGGATGCTACTAATCCAAAACATCGCTGCCAGTATTTCGAAGCTCATGGTACAGGTACTGGAGCCGGCGACCCCAGAGTCAGTATACCCATATGAAAGCTAATTTACCAGGTCATATGGGCTAATAAGATAAACAGGAGGCTAGAGCTATTGCAACAGCTTTCTTTGGTTCCAGTCATCGTAGCAAAGACCCTACAGACAAACTGTTTGTCGGCTCAATCAAAACCATTATCGGACATACAGAAGGCACGGCGGGCATTGCTGGCATCATGAAAGCTTCGCTTGCTCTCCAACATGGCGAAATACCACCAAATCTACTCTTCAACCAACTAAGCCCTGCAGTTGCCCCGTTCTATGACAGCCTCGAGATACCTACCACCGTCCAGAAATGGCCCTATCTGCCTTCAGGCGTTCCTCGGCGTGCAAGCATAAACAGTTTTGGTTTTGGAGGAACTAATGCTCACGTCATATTGGAGAGTTATGATCAAGAGGAGGCTGGGAACAAAATCTCGAACGGCGACTCCAATCTTCGTGATGTTTGGCTATCGCCATTCATACTGTCCGCCTCCTCGGAAAAGTCAATGAGGGCTTTGATCCAGCGATACATCTCATATCTTGAGGAGAAACCTAACACGAACATTCGAGATCTATTATTCACATTGAATCGCCGATCAGTATTGCCATACCGGGTTTCTTTCCCTGCGCAATCCGTCAGTGATCTGGTGGCCAAGCTGGTTGAGTGGCTCAAAAAAGCAAAGGCCAGCCCAAACGCACAGCTTAGTACCCGCTACTCTGGAGGATCAGGTTCAAACATCTTGGGTGTCTTCACTGGCCAAGGAGCCCAGTGGGCCAGCATGGGGAAAGGTCTTCTTTCGGCTTTTCCCCAAATCCGCGCTACTTTGGATGATTTGGACCGTTCCCTGGCAACTTTACCACACAATGATCGACCACAGTGGTCTATTACAAGTGAACTTGAAGCCGACCGAAGCATATCACGCATCGATAGTGCTGCTTTCTCACAACCCTTGTGTACTGCTTTACAGATTGTTTTAGTCGATCTTCTGCGGTCAGCGGGTATTCGGTTCAAAGCTGTTGTTGGGCATTCCTCTGGAGAGATAGCTGCTGCATACGCTGCCGGCTTCATCACAGCTAGCCATGCAATAAGAATAGCTTACTACCGCGGAAAAGCTACTGAGTCCGCTGGTGCCAATAGGTCGCAGAAAGGGGCAATGATGGCTATCGGCACGAGTTTGGAAGATGCGGAAGAGCTCTGCAATGTCGATACTCTAGAAGGGCGTATTTGGATCGCAGCGGTCAACTCACCATCAAGTATCACTCTCTCAGGAGATGCTGACGCAATAGAGGAAGCGCGCTTGATCCTCGAAGACGAGGGAAAGTTTGCAAAAATCCTCAAGGTTGACAAGGCTTATCACTCAGATCATATGCTACCCTGCGTGGAACCATACCTGCAAGCTATGATTAACTGCGATATCAGACATGGGCAGCATGGCGATGGCACTTGCACCTGGTATTCTAGCGTGCATGCTGACACCAAAATAGAGCCATTTAACCGTGAGCTTAGAGGAGAGTATTGGTGTGACAATATGGCGCGCCCTGTCCTTTTTTCCAACGCTGTTCGAAATGCGTGGGAGAAACAGGGCCCTTTCGACGCCGTTGTTGAAGTTGGAGCACACCCAGCCCTTAGAGGGCCCTTCTTGCAAATATTGCAAGAATCGGAAACAAGTATCCCCTCCGTTCTGTACAGCGGCTTGTTGTCACGAAACCGCGATGATATTGAATCTTTCGCCCAAGGAATTGGAGCTTTGTGGCAGAGTCTCAGTTCAGGATCTGTCGATATTGATAGGCTTAACCGAAAGATTGCACCTAATCAGCCATCTCCACGGCTCTTGAAAGACCTTCCATCTTATACCTGGGATCACGATCGAATCTATTGGCACGAATCTCGGCTTTCCCGTGCTTATCGCACTCGAAAATCTCGACCTCATCCTTTACTTGGAACACTCACCTCAGATGGAGTTGAAAAAGAGATAAGATGGAGAAATATTCTGAGATTATCCGAAGTGCCCTGGGTCAAGGGCCATACCTTACAAGGGCAGGTTGTCTTCCCGGCTGCTGGTTACATTGTCACCGCAATGGAGGCAGCACTGGCTCTCTCAGGTGATCGACTTCCTCAATTGCTTTCAGTCAACAGTGTCGTCATTCATCGAGCACTCACGATTGAAGAAGGCATTGATGTTGAGACATTGGTCTCTCTTTCCGATATTTGCAACGAGAATATTGATGTTGCCAGCGCTGAGTTCCGATATTATGCATTACTGCGTCAGGATGCTACGAATCTCACTCTCCTTGCCTCGGCTTCTGTCGAATTAAGTTTGAGTCCTTCTACAGAATCGGAACTAGAAACCTCCGAAGCCTTGCTCTTTAGAACGGAGAGTGATCAACCTAATCTGCTTGCAGTTGATACAAGCGATTTCTACGACTTTTTGGACGAGGTTGGCTATGGATATACGGGTCCTTTTCAAGCCCTTAACTCCATGCAGCGCAAATTAGATTATGGCACTGGGAAAATCGAGATTTACGAAGAAGATTGGGATAACACAATGGTACTAATGCATCCTGCTTTCCTTGATGCATCATTCCAAGCCATTTTCTTGGCCATGGGCTGGCCTAGGGATGCTGGGTTGGTTGAGGTTTTTGTGCCGACAGAGTTTCAAAGCATCAAAGTTGATGTACCGAAGTGGAGAATAGCAACGTCTCAAGCTACCACTCAAATGATGTTCGACTCCAGACTCCGCCAACTGCCAGAGTCTATCACAGGAGATGTCGACGTCTTCTCCACCATAGACAATGATACAACTTTGATACAGGTGGAAAATATCAAGGTAGTTCCCTTTTCTCCGGAAAGCACGGCGTCAAATCGGCAATTATATGCCAAGACTGTGTACTGGCCAGTCACCATCGATGGTCTTGAGGCATCAGGGGGTCGACTTCCTACCGACCAAGAGCTTGAAATGGCATGGGACCTAGAACGTGTTGCAATCTACTTCTTACGCACCATCGAAGACGAGTTTCCGGGCTCAAACTCTCGCAGTGGCATCGCACTCCATCATCAATACTTCTTTGATTTCAGCCACAGTATTCTATCTCGAGTTTCGGGGGGTACAATGCCATATGCCAAAAAGGAGTGGTTAAATGACACATGGGATGATGTCGCAGATATCTTCCAGAGGTATGTACTTCGTTTTACTTCTTACACTTGAAAGATATTGACGCACTCAACTTCTTGGAAGGTATCCTGAAAGTCTTGATCTTCAACTCATGAAGAAAGTTGGCGTAAACATGGCAGCTGCCATTAGGGGGGAAGTCAACATGGTAGAGGTTCTGTTCAAAGATGACTTCATGGACAGATTCTACGCCGGAGCTCTCGGACTCGACCTTACAATGGACTGGCTTGGACGTATTGCCATTCAATTGTCCCGTCGGTATCCTCATATGAAGATCCTTGAGTTGGGTGCTGGCACAGGCGGCGCTACTAAAAGTGTCTTTTAGCATATCGGTAACCAGTACTCGTCTTATACCTTCACCGATATCTCAGCTGGCTTCTTCACAACAGCTATGAATACTTTCAAATCTCCAAAGATGATTTTTAAGGTTCTGGATGCGGAAAAAGATGTTGTGGAACAAGGATTTCATGAAGGTTCTTACGACTTGATTGTTGCTTCCAATGTCCTCCATGCAACAGCCAGACTCGATGACACTCTTCGAAACGCACGAAGACTTCTAAAGCCCGGTGGTTATCTTCTAATAGCTGAGGTAACTTGCGCTGATGTGGTGCGAGTGCGCTTCCCTTTCTCGGCTCTGCCGGGCTGGTGGCGTGGGCACGACGACGGACGACCACTCACTGCAACTATCAATACTACAGAATGGCATCAACGACTTTGCCGAGCAGGGTTCTCTGGCATTGATACGGTTACCCCCGAGTTCGAGCCTCTAGCTTGGCCCTCTTTGATTATACTATCTCAAGCTGTCGATGATAGAATATCGTTCTTACGCCAGCCTCTGTACCATCAACCACCCACACTAGATGCCTCGCCTGACAAGGGCAATGGAAACATACAGCATCAGCTTGTGCTAGTTGGAGGGCAGACTATGCAGTCTTGTAGTCTTTTAGGGCAAGTCAGCCGCATTCTTGCCCCCTGGTTTGCAGGTGCAAGCATAAACAGGGTCCGCTCTCTAGCAGACTTAAACGGCTCCGATATCATTGGGCCAACATCTACAGTCATCAACTTTTCTGACTTGGATAACCCTGCTCTGGAAAATCTCACTGAGGAGTCCTTCGCCGGTCTCAAAAAGCTTGTCGAGCGACCGCATTGCCTTTTGTGGATCACCAGCGGTTGTCGGGAGCGCTCTCCGACAATGAACATGAGTGTCGGCTTGGGCCGTGTACTCATTCACGAGATTCCTGGGTTACGGTTGCAATTTCTTGACGTGGACGCCCCTTATAGCGCCGGAACGCCTCGCTTGATCGCCGAAACATTTCTTCGATGGAGAGCACTTGCACAGTATGAATCTGATGAAGGTGAATCTTCTCCCTTGTTGTGGGGAATTGAACACGAACTTGTACTGGAGAAAGATGTTCTCAAGGCACCTCGTATCACGTACGACACTGATATGAACTTGAGATACAACGCATCGCGAAAGCTGATAACCCATCCAACGGATCTCAAAACCACCCCTGTCTATCTACGGCGCTTTGAATCAGTATGGAAGTTTGAGAGGTCTCCAGTGCACTCCAATCCAGCTGATAATTTGAGTTCATTTGACATCATGTCTTCTTCCGCTGTGCCATGCTATGGCGGATTTTACGTCGCACTTGGCATGCAGCCTGACACCGATTGTCCACAGATCACGCTGTCTACTATCAATGGTTCTAGGCTTTTGAAAAGTGAGGTGGCAGCCAGCGCTCGTTTCGGCATCGGCGGGGAAAATTGGAAAGCGCTTCTATCAGCTCTCATTCTGGATCTCCAGGCCCTAAGCATCCTCGATACTATTTCCAACGGCACCACGCTCCTACTCCATGAACCGAGCAGTGTCCTTGTTGAATCAATTCTTTCAAAGGTCAAAGACAGAAATATTAAGGTCGCATACTCTACAACTGCAACTCGGATTGATTCTTCAGCTTTGATTTCGAAAGCTTTATTGGTCGCGATTGGACCACATTCTCCAACTCGTTTGATTAAATCTCAACTACCACCATATCGATGTTGTCGTAGACTGCCGTCAAACGCATGAGCCTAAGTTACCGTTATCTCTTGTAAATTCACTCCCAAGAAGATGCTCGAAACTATCTCTTCGCGAAATCGTATATCGCAAGCCTGTTAGCGCAGATAGCCCAGCCGTTATTCTCTCAGCTGCTATCAACCGACTCACCAACATGACGGTCCATGAAGAAACCTTTAGAGATAGGCTTGAGGGCATGAGTCTCCCAACCAAAACACCCCAAGAAATCGATCTGTCCAAAGACCTCGATGATGGAATCTCATTAATCATTGACTGGAAGTCCGATTTAAACACCATTGTGCCAGCCATCGTGCCTTCAGTTGATACATACCTCTCATTCAAACCAGACCGTACTTACGTCCTCTTTGGGCTTACTAGCGATCTCGGCCAGTCCTTGTGCGATTGGATGATTAGTCATGGGGCTCAAAATCTAGTAATGACTAGTCGAAGCCCCAAGGTTGATCCAAGGTGGCTATCAGCGAAGGCAAAGGCTGGGATTTCAGTCAAGGTGTTTGCCAAGTGAGTTTCTCTAGCACACAACGTTTGATTTATGATACCGAGGTTCCATTTACGGAAAACACCTGATCGGAAAACGCTGATTATTTCTTAGTGATATTACCGACGAGCAAGCTCTTCAGGATGTGGTCAAAGAAATCCAAAGAACCATGCCTCCCATTGCTGGTATCGCCAATGGCGCTATGGTGCTTCGCGATAAGCTTTTTCTTGACATGCCACTGGAGATGATGACTGAAACTCTCCATACGAAAGTTAAGGGCAGTATCTTTCTTGACCGGATCTTCAGCAACACTGTTGAGTTTAACCTTGATTTTTTTGTGTTCTTCTCATCAATCGCTGCTGTTACAGGCAACCGAGCTCAGTCCAACTACAGCGCCGCTAACATGTTCATGACGGCTTTGACCCAAAATAGAAGAGCACGTGATCTGCCTGCGTCCGTTATGCATATCGGAGCAATCATGGGCGTAGGCTATATGGCTCGAAATTTGACCCGGGCCATCTTGGACAACCTCTGGAGTGCCGGCGCCACGTGGATCTCCGAGAAAGACTTCCATAACTGTTTCGCCGAGGCTGTAGTAGCAGGCCGACCCCAAAATCATGTTAACAATGACCCTGAATTCATTGTGGGGTTGCGCCAGCTGATTCATGGTCATGACAACCCTGAAAAGGTTCTTGTGATGGGAGACACCCGTTTCAGCCACTTAGTTATCAAAGACATATCGCCTGAGGACGATCCTTCCCACGGAGCCAACTCAAGGAAATCGACCTCTGTTAAAAGTCTCCTTAAGAGCGCAAAGTCTCAAAAGTCTGTGGAAAGAATCGTTCGTGGTAAGTAACACCTAGTATCCGATCAAACCATGTCAATGCTTTTGCTAACCCCTAGTTATAGAGGGCTTTGTTGCAAAATTGATAGCCACACTTCAGCTAGATGCCGAAATACCCGAAGCTGAAATTCTTGCTGCGCGAGCAGACGAACTTGGCGTTGATTCATTGGTATCAGTCGACTTTCGTGCTTGGTTTTCCAGCGAGATGGCAGTAGAGATGCCTGTGCTCAAGCTCCTGGGCGGCTCGACAGTGTCTGAACTGATCGCTTTCTCATTGGAAAAACTTCCCTCTACGTTCACACCTAGGCTTGGGGAAGCTACAGAAGACACGGAAGAAGATGAAGCGCCAGACGTCGATCCTGCGATGGAGCATGTCAATCACAAAACCCCAACACGAATGGAAGGACCGACTGCTGCAGAGGCCAATTCCATAAGCGAACCTCCACCGATCCCACTCTTCAGCATGCCAGAGGTCCCGTCCGATATTGAGACCAGAGGGCTAATGATGCCAGTCTCAGACTCCTCTAGGTCTTCACCTTCACTACTGGACGACCACTTTACAGATAGTGAAAATGAGGGCATTATCTCGTTCCCAAACTCGGTCGGATCAACTTCGCCTGAGCCAACCAGCCCAATAAAGCCTCAACTCAATGAGGGGAACAAGAGCATTCCCTTATCTGCCGGCCAATCACGCTTCTGGTTTTTGAATCATTATGTAACAGACAAGTCCGCTTTCAATATTACCTTTTGGGCCAAGCTGAGAGGTGAGATTCGAATCGACGCTCTTTCCAAGGCTGTGGAGGCTGTTGCTGCGGCTCATGAGTCTTTACGTACTACATTCACAACGATACAAGATGGATCTGTAGTTCAACTAGTGAAGAAAAAGTCACGTCTAAGACTAGAGCACTTCCACATCCGCAATGAGGAAGAAGTCAAAGCTCTATTTGATACTTTCAAGTCGTACGAATACGATCTTGAGACGGGGGATCTACTAAATTTCAGTTTGCTTCAATCGTCAGAACACGTTCATTATCTCGTCATCGGTTACCATCACCTTATTATGGATGGTGTTAGTCTTGAAGTACTGCTCAATGACATTGAGAAAGCCTATTTTGGCGAAAATCTGCCAAGTCCAGTTCAATATTCCGAATACTGTTTGAAGCAGCTTCAAGATCTTCGGTCAGATGTTTTTGCAGCGGAAAGGGAATATTGGATCACCGAGTTGACCAACCCCGTCCCTGAAACTATTCCTCTTCTGCCATTTGCAAAGACGACCCAGCGAGTTTCACTGGAGAAATACTCACACGAACATGTTCAGGGCTCAATTAGCGCGGCTATTACAAGAGCCATCAAAGCTGTCTGCCAGCGCACTAGGACTAACATGTTCCAATTCCTTTTGGCCACATTCGCCGTGCTTTTGAATCGGTTCATGCAAGTTCAGGACTTTTGCATAGGCATGGCGGATTCTGGGCGACATATGGGCGAATACGCTCACAGCATAGGCATGTATCTGAACTTGTTACCGCTGCGATTTACTCTTGATGGCTGTCAAAATTTTGAGGACATTTTGAAACAATCGCGACGGAAGGCGCTAGCCGCCGTAGCTCATGGGCGCTTGCCCTTTGATACGATACTTCAGTCAGTGGGAGTTGAGCGTTCTGCCACGCACAACCCTCTTTTCCAAGCCTTTATCAACTATCGCTCAGGAGTCAGCGAAAAGCGCACATTCTGTGGTTGCGAGGGCCAAGGAGAAGACTGGTCCAGCGGAACAACTTCGTACGACATCATGTTAGACGTCATTGAGAACCCAGGAAGCGAAATAACTCTCCGCTTTGATCTGCAAGAATCTCTTTACTCCAAGGACAACGCACATACTCTGATGGATAGTTATTTGATTCTGCTTGAGATTTTTTCTCGGAGCCCAACTTTACCAATCCATGAGCCATCTCTTTTCTCACCCAACGAGGTTCAAAGAGCTTTGGCACTTGGCAAGGGTCTTGATCACGTTTCTGCATGGCCTGAAACTGTCGTACATCGTATTGATAGGATATCGACTCAGCAGCCTGGTGCTTTGGCAATAACCAATGGCTTTGCATCTTCAATCACGTATGGTGGCTTGCGAAGAAAGATACAGACCATTGCCAAACTCATTACGGACAATACTAACGCCGGAAAAAGTCATCTCGTCGGGGTCTTCTGCGAGCCATCCATCGATTCTGTGTGCAGTTTGCTGGCAGTAATGTGGGCTGGTTTTGCCTACGTTCCGTTAGATCCAACCCTACCATCTGGACGGCTCACAGCACTGGTCGAGACAGCCAAACCTGTTCTTGTTTTAGCACACAGCGAAACAGTCAATCGCAAAGCGGATTTGGGGCCCTCCTCGAAACGAATCCCGGTAATCAATATTTCCGATCAATATGAGCTCGCTCATGCCCATGTTCCAATCTCCGCCAAGCCTCATGACAATATGGCGGTACATTTTACAAGCGGAACCACAGGCATCCCTAAGGGAGTTGTTCTCTGTCATAATACCGTTGTTAATGTTGTTGAAGCCTGCGCCGACATCTACCGTACAGCATCAAGCGTCGTGCTTCAACAAACAGCTTTGAACTTTGACATGGCGCTTTGGCAGATCCTTGTAACTCTCTGTTCCGGGGGTAAGCTAGTTGTCGTACCGCAAGACAAAAGGCTTGATATGGCTGCCATAACGCGCCTCATTCGTCAAGAAGAGGTCACTCTTACCATAGCCACCCCGTCTGAGTACTCTTCCTGGCTTTCATACGGGTTCGAAGACCTCAAACACAATAGACAATGGCAGATTGCTGTTATTGGTGGAGAACAGTATTCATCTCAGGTGGATACAGGCCTGAGAAGTCTGCAACTTCCACATTTACGGTTAATGAACTTTTACGGACCCTCTGAAGTCAGCTTTGTCTCTCATTACATGGAGGTTTTTCCTGGGATAGCCGCAAAAGAGGAGCCGGTGCCTGTGGGCTTCCCACTCTACAACTATAGCGCCTATGTTCTGGACTCCCAGCTAAATCCGGTGGCCCCTGGGATGATTGGGGAAGTTTTCATCGCTGGTTCTGGCGTCTGCAAGGGTTATTTGGGTAACCCGGAATTAACCAACCAGAAGTTTTTGAATGACCCTTTTGTGCATTCCGACTTTGCCACTAAGCGTGGTTGGACTCGGATGTATAGGTCCGGAGACAAAGGCAGGATCAACCAGGATGGCACGCTCTCTATCCTTGGACGTATAGAAGGCGATGCTCAAGTGAAGATCAGAGGAGTTCGGATGGAACTTGAGGAAATCGAAAGAGCCATTCTCAAACGCTCTGGCGGCTTACTCGAGCAAGTTGTCGTGTCGCCCCGAGGGGAAGGAGAAAATAAGTTCCTTGTGGCGCATGCACTTCTTAGTACCAAGGAAAATAACGCCGACAATATCGAGGGACGGCTAAGGGAAATCCTGCAAAGCATCACAAATCTTCCCAGAATCATGCAGCCAGCTGCCATTATTCCGGTTACAACCCTGCCCCTGACTGTCCACAAGAAGTTGGATCGTAGGGCAGTGGCAGCTTTGCCTGCGCAGATACTGCCATCGAGGCAAGGTTTTGACTCTTCTAACGATCCGGAACCAGCGTTGAGCCCTGAGCAACAGGATATGTTGCGGCTTTGGAGCTACACCCTTGGGCGAGATCCCATCGAAGTCTCGGGATCAGCCTCTATGATCGACTTTTTCAACCTCGGTGGCACTTCTCTCCAGCTTTTAGGTGTTCAAGCTGCCATCAAAAACCACTTTCATGTATCTGTTCCAGTAGTGGAACTTTTCAAGAACAGCAGTCTCAAGGCTATGACAGAAATCGCCACTATTGGGACGGAATCTCCTGTCACTGATGAAGCCGCTATTGATTGGTACAACGAAACTCAGTTGCCAGATGTCACTGCGAGTTTGAACAGAGATCACACATGGCCACTACGCAACGATACAGTTCTACAGCCACCCCGGGTCGTTGTTCTCACTGGCGCAACAGGCTTCGTAGGCCAATCCACTTTGCGTTCTCTCTTGAACACACCTTCCATCGACACAGTTCACTGTCTTGCAGTCCGAGATCCCACGCGTTTGGGCAACTTGAGAAACAACCACAAAGTGGTAATTCACATGGGTGACCTTCGTCACCCATCACTGTCTCTGGCTGCTGAGGTGGTGACGAGTCTGGCGCAGACCGTCGATCTGATCATTCATAATGGCGCCGATGTGTCTTTCATGAAGTCATATTCATCTCTACGTGCCCCCAACGTAACAAGCACCAAGTTCTTGGTAACAGAGATAGCGGCACCGCGGCGCATACCGATCACGTATATCTCGTCAGTCGTCGTCGGGCGACTTGCACCAGAGATAGCTGTTTTTGCCCCAGTGTCAATGTCTCACCGACCGCCGCCGCCTGATTATAGTGATTCGTATGGTGCCTCAAAATGGGTGAGCGAAGTCGTGCTAGAGAACGCAAACCGAGATCTTGGGATTCCGGTGACAATTCGCCGGCTGTCAAGCGTAACAGGGACGGGTATTCCAGACTCAGACATCATGGGCAACCTTGTTTCTTATTCCGAGGTCCTCGCCTCTGTACCAATCACTACGAAATGGAAGGGTGTGTTGGACTTCGTGTCAGTCGATCATGTGGCACAGGCCATCGTTGCTGAAGGCATGCGACGTAGCCGTGGTGACGAAGTCCGGTATCGACATGACTGCTCGGATGAAGTTGTTCCTCTGAACAACGACGGTATCAGTAGTTTCATCAGTAGGCGACTTCATGGACGGAATGTGTCCGTCGTACCCATGTTGGAGTGGATTGAGTTGGCTAGAAGGGCTGGGATGAGCGATTTGGTTTGCACGTTGTTAGAACAGACGGAAAAAGAGTCGACTGTAACATCATTTCAGAGATTGTTGAAATCAGGTTAAGCTCTTTGGTATTATATTTGTGTTAGAATTAGATATGTGTTAGAAGAAATTCATTCATCTTGAGCGGAGCACAAAAGTCTTTGGGTGACTGAACATCCCCATTCGCGCCTGACTTGTTCGGTTTCCAGTCTCTGACTGTTCGTAAATGATGTAGACTTATGAAACATGATACCACTCGTCTTTACATAGCACCTTGTCTCTGAGGTTCTTTGCTTGCGCCTTATGAGAAAACTACATTACTGTAGGTAGTTGTTTCAAATTCACAATGTAGGACTGTGCTTTCATTCGGTATTTTAATGCATTCATGGGTTTATTGAGTACCTTAGAACTAACTGGCATAAGAGTACGCCCTTGAGCTTCACTTCAGAGGAGCTCCTCTTGAGATCCCATCTGTGCCTACTAGCTTAAGTAATGTGAAATCACTCGACATCAAAGTTATCATGGTCATAGACAACCATAGCTCTTATTTCAATGCTGACCCTCGGATCTTCTTTCGACTCTTCTAGTCGTGGATCTTTGAAAGCAGCATGGGGGCATCGTCTTACAGCCCCAGGTCGCTTCGTTGTGTCAGCCTGAATGAATAGAACCACGTCATCAGTTTGTTGGTTGTCCTTGAAGTACCATCGATGAGGCCTTTCAGGATTGGCTGCAGGACACACTTCCAGCAACTCAGATGTACGGTCCGGGTAAACGAAAGGGACCTTGATGTAGTCCGAGTCCGGGATCGTAGTTGCATCCGACACCGCGAATGGGTCCCGAGTGATAGGTTTGCAAGGCCGCCACATCTTTTGCCGATGAAGTGAGCATTTAATCTTTCTTGGATTCCTGTTCGGGAACTTTGACATACGTTTATAATTTGGAACCTGGGTTTCGCGAGTAACTCAGCTGCATCTTCACCAAGCCATCGATGAGCAAGCACTTCAGCGGCTGATGCAGACTGGTCAACATGAACGTTATAAATGGGGCCCAACGTTCCTTTCTGCCCAACCTGAGAGACTCGGTTGGTGTGCATTAGAATACGTATAAGCGATGGTTTAGGTCTACGTGGATCATGTTAGTATATCTCTCAACCCCTTAAGAGCCGATGTGAGCTACCCACAGATTCTCTTGTTTTGATAGAATATCTTCCAAAAACGTGTGCATCTCATCGTAGTGTGCTTTCGTGGTCTCATTAAGTGGCTCGGTGCAGCCATTACGATTCTTCAACTCCGGCAAAACAGATTCAAATTGGGTTTTATGCTTTGCGTACTGGAATCCATGTGTCATGAGTTTGTATTGGTCCTCATTATCGGTAACGTCAGTGATTATCACCGGAGAATCGACCTTAGGCGCCCATTTGGGAGGCTCAGGACTATTAAACAAAATTAGAACCCGATGCAAGGTCTTTTTCTGATGCATAGATAACACATACCCTCCTATGATGGTAGGTTCCAATGGCAAGCTGGGGTCACCTCCATAATACTTCAGTGTCGTATGAACCCCTTTGGGTTTTTCCGCCGCTTTGTGCATCCCACAAGCCAAGTCTTTTGCGCCGGCGTGGTTGGCAACCATGGTGAGATCAGTTCTTTGAGGGTTCCTAGATGTAAAACATTGGAAAAGAACTGTGAAGAGTTGAGCTCCTAGCCATATGATAGCATTACAGCTACGTTTACTGTAACTGGAAATTAGCTTTCATTGACCATTGACCAATATCTGAGTTCAAAGAAAACCAAACCCGGACCTGCACTAAATCTAGGTATTTCAGCTTAGGTACGCAGCACTCGGTAGTTTGGTGCTGCTAGCTGGTTCATCTCAAAAGTTCCGAATTAGGGCTCAGGGTGCCCAGTAAAGGATGCTTGGAACACTACAAGTCAACCGGCTACTTTCACTTCCAGGTTTATATCATGGCCTGTAATGGGCTCCTACATGAGTTCCTTGCAGTCTGTTGCTCGATTTGGAAATAATCATGGTTACTTTAGCGGTAATTCCACTGCCGATCCAAGGTTGGTCGGAGGCCGACCATTCAGTTTGGGCAAATTCCGAAAGTGCCGGAGCTGTTGCAACGACCCACGGGACGAGTCATTTCAGCCGATTCCTGATTGCGACCTTTCGGAAGTTTTTGAAGGAAACAAGCGCCTTTTTGGCAGTAAATCCAAGTTTTGTTCCGCTTTTTCTTTGATTTTCTGAGAACTGATTACTGGGTAATTGGTTGCGAATAACACAGCCCGACTCAATTCGGCCTCGGCATAACACCGTTCAATGCAAAGCAAACTTCCAAGCTGCAGACCAGCACAGAATCATTTTGAATGCCGAACTTGCAATTCTTTTCTACGTATAAATTTTCAGTGAAACGGCCCCTTAGGGGCCGATCTGCCACGGTGGTTGATATCTCCATTTTGTTATCTTTACCATAACATTGAGGGAAATCACGAACTCTGAAATCCACTATGGCCCCCGCCAGCATCGAAGTCGATATCCCGGTAAATGGCAATACTAAGATTGCCTCTTCAGCTAAGCCACTAAAGCTTTCAGGAGTGCTAGACTCTTTCGAGTCTTTTGACCCAACACCCCTTACTGGCCGCGAATTTCCCAAAGCAAACATTGTAGACTGGCTTAGAGCACCTAACTCCGATGACTTAATCCGGGATCTTGCCATCACTGGTAGGTCATTACATCGTCTTATTCGACAGTACTAACTAATACAGTCTCTCAACGCGGTGTTGTCTTTTTCCGCAAGCAAGATGACCTCACTCCTGAGTTGCAAAAAGAGCTCTTGACGAGGCTTGGTGAACTCACTTGCCGTCCCGCCTCATCGGGTTTACACATTCACCCAGTCTTCAATGCCGAACGTGATGACCAGGGAGATGATCATGTCGTCAGTTATATTCATCAAAAGCAAACAAAGCCTTCGTTTATCAAGAATAGCGACCTGGCTCCTGATGCCCTGTGTCCGAAAAAGCAGAATACATCCGAGTGGCATAGTGATTGTTGCTTCGAGCCTGTTCCGGCAGACTACTCTTGTTTGCGTCTCACAAATATCCCTCCAACTGGCGGAGATACACTTTGGGCAAATGGATATGAACTTTATGATAAGATTAGGTCAGCCAGACCTGATACCCCTTTTGCTTTCTTTCCAGCTGACAGAAACGAAGCGAGCCTTACCAGAAGTTTCTTGAAACTCTTACAGTCACTTTTGAGCCTCCAGGTCTCAAACAGATGTGTGATGCAATGGGGATCACACTGTACTCCAAAGAGCGTGGTTCACCTGAAAACGTTGGTGATATCATCAAAGCTGTGCACCCCGTTGTAAGAACAAACCCAGTCACGGGTTGGAAGAGTGTTTTTGCCATTGGCGGAATGGTTAAGCACATAAACGGCGTCACTGCTGAAGAGAGCAAAATGCTTGTGGATTGGTTCCATGATTTGATTTATAAGAATCATACCATTCAAGTGCGGTTCAAATGGAAGGAACCCAATGACTTCGGTAAGTCAACCCTCGTGATTTCTAGAGTTCTCAGTGCATAATTTGCTGTTGCTGGCTAATTACAAACGCTGCCTCTACCATCTTACGAACCATTCTGAGGATTTGAGAAACATTTTGCTAATTCCTGCTCGTCTCTCAGCTATTTGGGATAACCGCAGCTTCTACCACTCTGCGACGTATGACTTTTGGGAGATGGGTGACAGGGATGGATGCCGAGGCTCTGGCGTTGGCGAAAAGCCTTACCTAGATCCTACCAGCAAGTCCAGGAGAGAGTATCTCGCAACTAGCGGCATTTAAAGTTGTAGTAACTATGAGATAGAAACACAGATAATGTTTGTTTTGGCTCTTATCTTTACAGCAGAGATTATTACATGGCTTGAAGCGGGAGAAAATTTGCCTATTGACTAACTTCTGAGCACCACCAACCTTTGACAACTCTAATGCTGTTATAACCAATCAATTTACCTGTGGCCTAGTTCAATGTTAAATCGCTGAGGACATACTACTCTCGCAGGGCGTTCCCAAGTAAAGGAATCTGATAAGAACGGATGGCTGCATCGTACAAGCTAACTCAGCGATAGTACCTCCAGTACCTGTGCTTCTCCATCTGGCCGTCTTCTTCGAAATCTATGATAATTCCTTCGGGGGGTTTTCCAAATTCTTGATCCCTTCTACGGTTCTCCCTGATTGTCATGAAAGTCATAAATGCACTACCAATACCAGTCCAGCAGGTGGCGGCGAACAATGTCCAGAATCCCGTCTTATAGGATGGGCCATCTGTTGATGGAAAGAGGTATCCAGTAGCAATACCCATTGTGCTCCCAAAAGACTGAAACAACCCAGATGCAATGCCCTTTTTGATATCCCCGCAACAGTTACTTGTGATATTTCCTACACTTAGTGTGACGCCTGAAAGGATGCCTGACAAAATCAAGAAAGTAGCCCCGTACCGTGCATTTGCTGCTGTGTGTGGTAAAACTGCCAGCAGAAGGTCACCGGTAGCTGCTACCATCGAGCAGATGACCAACAGCCCCGAGCACGACTTCAACCGGTCACTTGCGTAGCCGACCACGAATACCATCACGAAAGCGACACAATACGGAGGCGCTGTCATTAGTTGCGCTTTAACATTGTCGTACCCAAATGTCGCGACGATGATGGGCGTGAAAGTTGCGATCGTGTAAGTCTGGAGGACCTGTCCCATGTATATGGCAATGTTCATCCATAGCCGCCAGTCATACAGCTGATTGATTGTGGTTTTCCAATTAATCTTGCCATGCGTACGGTTGCCATCGTTCATCATACGCCAAGTTGCAACATCTCGTTCGCGAGGGGTAAGCCATTTGGTGTTGTGTGGGCGATCAGGCAAAACCCAGATGCAGAGAACACCGAAAAGTATAGTGAGAAGGCCCTCAATCAGGAAGAGAGCCTGCCAATGCTTTACACGTGGATTGGGAATATTCGAGACCCCGTAGGCAACCCATCCACCAAACGCACCGGCCAGAGGCGTTGCGGAGAGGTAGATACTTATCCGACGGCCCCATTCCTGTCAATCTGCATAAGCCTTCATCCCTGAAATTTATATCTCTTTGGAAGTGACCTTACCGCTCTGGGGTAGAGAACTGTGGTGAGATACGGAGCACCGGAGATAAACGCAGCTTCAAATATTCCTAGGAACAGCCGAATGGCGTACATGCCCCCTGGGCCACCCGCAACAGCCTGCAGTGTTGCGAAAATTCCCCAAATGATCTAAATAGGCGTTATTACGGTGGCTTTGGGATTTGAAGTCATCACTTACCATTGCGGTTGCTAGGTACAGAGACGGTCGGATGTATCGCATGCCTATGTTTGTAAACAAGTCGGCAATGCAAGTCCCCACGAAAAAGATGCTAACTGCCAAAGAGAACTGCCTGCTGGAAAATCCAAGATCCTCTCTAATGTTCATCAAAGCTGCGTTTCCCAGAGCTCCGCGGTCAAGCCAAGTAAACATGTATAGAACCTTTATTGATTGTCAGCCAGGTACAACTTGGAGTGGAATGGTTACAAACAAGCAAAAACGGAGGCAGGCGCATATCGATTTTCCTTCTCACCCTCTTTATTTCTTCTGGGGTCACTGGAGGATCAAGGTTGTTCATTCTGTACACAATATCGTCTTGATCAGTCGGTGGTGTTTTCCGGGTTTCCACGTGAACACCGCCGCCCTCCTCATCGACCGAGGATGCTTTGTTGTAGCATGTTGCTGCTGCCGAATTTGATGCCTCCGCCATCTTTTGCATACATGCACTTAAGAGTTTCGGCGGTTAATTGTGGTTTGAAAAGTCTTTTCACTCAAATCAGCGAAGCTCTTTTTTTGGTTTGGGCTATATTAATTAGCGAATTCGCGTTGTCGTTGACAAGCTCTTAGGCTCCGTGACTTGGGCAGCTAGGTTCGAAACGCATGATACTCAGCTTCGGCACTCGATCCAAGTAACCAAAACTAAGGAGTAGATAAATGATTATGTAGGTCTCCTTAATATTATCACTTCCACATTCTTTTCCGCAAAGGCATGCTCTTGATCTTCGGGGGAAGTGCTTTCCGCTGCCCCTCTCGCTTCCCCGCACGTTGGACGTTGCAATGAGCCGATGGCACAGAGTTCCTGCTGTACATGAGATCCGATGAGCTTGATTCGCACCATAAATCCCTAATCAGGCAATCCGCAAGTGCCTATCAGTCACAATGCCGATCACTTCTACATTGCTGGGGCGGGAAAGCCGGCTGGAACCAACGGGAAGCGGTATCCGTACCTCCAACGTCGCATGCACGGGATGAGAATTAGTGTGTTGTGGACCCCCCACATTAGCTGCTTCGGATGTCTTCCGAGGATGATGACTGCAAATGTGAACGCCCTTCGGCATGTCGGATAAGTCGCCGGTCCGGCCGTTTTCTGATTGCACATATGTGCTCTACATAGTATAGCTTCTCATTGATTATTATTAATAGGTTAATTGGCATTGGCTTCCACTCTGTAGATAAACCACCACAACCACTTAGCGCCCTGACCAGGCTCAGGCCCACACCGGCCCGGCCCCAGACTCCAATTTCAACGCCGTCAGGGCTTCCACAATTCTACGCCAAATACGCCCAACATGTCAAACACGCCCATCGTTAGGTAAGGAGACCATCAAATACATACAGTTGATATGCTTGCTCAATGACGCTATTCTCTGACATCAGCGCGAGTGTCACATGGAATTCTGAACTCTACTTTGTTAGCTATGTATGGTGGTTTCGATGTTATTGTACCTACCTAAGCACATGTAATTTTGCCCTAAATTTTGAATGGGGATGCAACTGAGATGATGGATAGAGAGGCATAATGCATAAAATGTCTTGTTCTACGAGATAACCTATTTTGAGCAATGCAACCAAATAAGAGGTTAGACAAACTATACGCGAACCCTTTCGGAGTCTCTGCGAATTTCATTGCTTAGACTTCTCTTTGAGCTCGGCACGCTCTTTAACCAAGTCAGCAACACCATTGCCCACATCGGTACCTAGTGACTTGAAACCCTTGATAACGCCTTCTCGATCTCCCTCTCCCATCTCTTGGCTCATCTTGAATTTGCCACCGAGCCGCTCGATCTGGATCTCAATGCCGATAATAGCCATCTTAGACAGCTCAATATAGCGCTCTGGCGCATCAGTAACCTTCCAGGGCCCAGGACGGTCGCCCTTGCCAGTATACCCCATGACGGACGTCTCCCCATGACGCGAAAGATCATCAATCTGCTTTCCCAAGAAGTTTTTGGTCTCCTCAGCCTTGGACTCGTAGAAGATCTTGGCACGACCGTACGCCTGGACGGCGGCATAGTTCCAGGTTGGCACGACCTTACCAGTGGTAGGCTTAGTCTCGGTGTAGAACTTCGGGGTCACGTAGTGATGCGTTGGTGCGGTGAAGAGCACCATGACCTCCTGATCAAGAACGTTTCCTGTTCCAGTGCGGCCCTCGGCTGATAGTGACTCGATCATAACCTTGCTCTGAGGGTTCGCACGTGCCAGATGGCCGCGCAAAACGCCAAGCTCAGTCTCGCTCGACTCATCTTCGACGTCGAGAACCCAAGGTATGTGACTTGATTGAATAAGAGGGTGCGTCTGAGATGCAATTGCCGTGGTGAGGATGCCGAGGGGAAAGTCGCGAATGAGCTTGCGAAGCGCAGGGATGCTCTGCTCTGCGTGAACGCCGCGAAGATACATGACGATTTTGTGCGAAGGTCAGTTGAGGTTTCTGATTCTTATATATGTGTGTTCGCTTCGCTATTGTTTAACAAATTGTTTCGTTTCCAATGAGAGGCGATGTCTTTTGAAATATGCGGCTGATTACACCGGGCGATCGGGTTTTATAGCGCCTAAAACTGAGTGTCACCAGTGCATGTTTGTCAAAGGGCGCAGTGGTCCACTTATTACGGTTCTACATAAGTTCAGCTAAATGCGGAAATTTTCGCCCCAGCCTAACAAACCGAGCGCCTCAAACCTCCTAGTTCCACGTATTTGTTCAATGACATTGGAAGAGTCATCTCAGGTGACCAAAGCTGACACCGCTACCGCTTACGAGCTTCTATATGAAGAACCCGAGAGAACAGTCTCAGCATTTTTAGATGCTATTTAATTATTCATCCATTCAAATCGGTTAGTCTAAGCTTGGTAAAGATGCAACGTGGGCGTGTAAATAACTGTGGACATCTCCGCGGAGGGCTGCGAGTGTAAAAATAATTTCCGTGAGTTTGTAAGTTCATCAGATGACTCATATACGTACTTAGTAAATATGAGATATATAAAACTCCAGCAGGAAATCAAGCCATCTGACTTAATCGAAGCTCTTCACGGTACTAAGCTACCATGACTGAGGCTCCGCTGCGGAGGCGGAGGCGGATCCGCCTCGCCGCCGTGATGACCGGCCCGGTGGTGGCCCCGCCTCCCACAAGCGGCAAGGCGGTTCAAATTCCGCCCTGCTTAACAAACCAACAAATGATTTAAGGAAATAGAAAAAGCCAATCTATTTCATGAGCGGATTCTAAGCTTAATTTCTTTGTGATATTATGGAACTTAAAATAACGGGTTGGAGAGGTTAACCGGGGCTCTCCCCACGCGATAAGCTGCCCAGGGGATTTAACTCTCTTTCACTCCAACCCCACTTCCACTATGTATCCATCAGCAACTATTATCAACCTTGCAATTCGCTGAGTTCGACTCTTTTCCCACCTATGCTTAAATCCTATAATACTCACAGTCAACCTTGTTGCAGGCCCCTTACCAGGTCTTGCTGTCTTTCACGTCCTCGCTTATTTTCGTCTTAAATCAAGTACACTTCTTGCCATCCTTTGCCAGTAAAAGTAGCAGGCCCTACCCCATATGGCTTTCCAATTTACGAATATTTATATTGACAACTAAATACGTAATTACTGATGGCCCAACCAACCGATTGCTCACAGTACCGGCTTCAACTATCTTCCACTGCTTATGTTGTAACAGTCGGGCTGAGGTGGCTTCGTGTTCGCACAGCTATCGATTGCCGGCTATCTTAGCCTCGTATGGATAGGTGACTTCGATCGACCACATGATGGACAATCCGATGGGATCTTTTACCCATTTTAACCTGTTTTTATTACTCTTTCCACAGACAGATAATCAAACTTCCATCACACCTTGAGAAGAACTCCTCTTCATGCGCCCTTAGTAGTATCTCTACAATCTTAATAGCTTAACCCTGCTCACACAAGCCTCTCCCTACTATCACAAAAGTCTAGATTCATAGCTCAGCCCAAATCCATAAACTTACCACAGGCAAATAAACGACAGCGAGATTGCCTATGAAGAGGCTAAGAGTAACTTCTTACTTATTTTCTATCTCGTCATCAAAAACCGTTGGAACGAATGCGGCTTATGAGCTCTAGGTCGTTTCATGATGCCCAAATGCCAACGCGCAAGATCAAACCATCAACTGAATGAAGGGCTTTGTCGTTGCTTACAAGTGCATTTCCCGCCACTTCTTATCAGGTACCACTGACCTCATTTCCGCCTAGTGCGGGGTAAGGTCAATAAGAGTTGCTGTATCGGTAGACTTATCAAATCATTTTCTGAGATTCATAATATATCTCCGGTACGTCAAAGATTTCAGCTTTCACTATGCAAACATGCATCAAAAAAACTCGTGCAAGATTCGCCACCAAATCTTTTCCAATTGACTCCGCTTTATCAAAGTACATAACCTCTAGGATGCCTGAATCCGTTCGTGAAAGCAATATGACGGTCAAAGATACGGTTTAAAAGTGGTATTTATTCCCAAAAGAATGAGAAAAATAGATTCATGATACAAACAATTTAGCCGATTTGAACTGTATGGAGAACGCGTATACATAAAATCTTTACACAGATGTTTTGTGCTTGCTCCAATTTAGCCGTTGCAACAGCAGCGGCGTTGACAAGACGATAATCAATCATACTCTTCCAGTCGTCTCTCTAAACTAAATGCGCAACCACAGGACGGTTTGTGCTGTTCGTGATAGTCGGGTATGCTCTAATCAAACCAGAGAGCCATGAGTTGCTGAACCTTGCTGTTGTTCACTCCCTCACAAGCCCGATGTTGGCAAGTTCAAACACTGTTTCACGATGGGCTCAATCATGTCTACCGGCTTGGAGATTTTAGATTGGCAATTGGTAAGGGGCGGGCTGCTGTTCATTCTTGGTCGTAATGGGACTGGATTCGCAACAGTGTCCGCATTGCGAGGCCTGGACGAAAGCCCCCACTGGGACCGCACGTAGGGAAGAGGAATTCCCGAGGACGTGGAATGATCTTAAGTATGAGGTAACGGAGATTGAACTATCATTTTCTAGCCTGCAAGATCATTTTGGATTGGCATAGCTGCCAATCAATCGATTAGTCTTCCGTAACATCCGAGCTAATCTGGTTCTTTACGTGAGCTAATCTCATGAAATCAAATCCACAATACAAGCTTGGTTCCTACCCCAGGCCGGCTGTTCAACAACACCAACTTAAACTTACGTACGGAGTACGGATAGTTTAATCGGTGGCGCAGTGTATTTATCCGCACGTCGTCGTGGCAGCCAATTATTTCCCACCAATGAAGCCAAGCCCAGCGCTGCAATACAACCTTCCAAAGGGTCTCCCCCGCAATCCAAGAATTGCCCTGTCCACTTCTCCACGCTGATCTCCCATCGCTTTGGTGCGCCAAAACGCTTGACTGCAAGTTGCGATAGGCAGTCCCACGGGTTCGGTGGTCTTTTCCGACCCGCGCGGGGTTATAGTCACTTGATGACAGCATATTTTCCGAGTTCGTTGCGATCAATATGAGAGATAATGTATATCCTAGTGCAATACTTTACTTTAACTTTTCCGTCTGATGGCCATTCACCCGAAAAGTGGGAATGCCTTCAGGAGCTCCACTTGGAACACATCGGCAAGGGTGCATTCGCTGAAATGCTGAAGCCTTTAAGATGGTAATAGTAGCCGCCTCCAGTGGCTCGCCTTTTAGGGAAACTTTGCTTGACGGGATTCGGATAGCGTTGTTGCATCGCAGCTTTGACGTGTTTTGAAATCATGCGCCTCTCACGATCATTCGCTCTGTTTGCGGCTGTCACCGGCGTGCTCTCCTACGCGGTGGAGCTGCCAGCCGGCGTCCCGAGATCTCTGTCGGAGTTCCGAGACAAGCATCCTTATACACCCCCAGCTACTGGGTGTGGACGCAAGAACATCCAAATACGCGCTTCTCAGAACGACACGGATGACGTCTCTGAGGAGTTCCGCAAGGGTCTTGAAGAGGCTAACAATGGTGGCACGCTGTACTTGCCCAAGGGGAAGACCTTCGTTATTGCCAAAGCGCTGGATTTAACCTTCCTCAACGACGTCCACGTTCGTCTTGAGGGAGAAATCAAGGTAGAGCCTGCCATCAAACAGCATTCAAGCACATGGCACTAACACATCGGATCTAGTTCACCAATGACGTCGCGTACTGGCAGGTATGCTCTGTCCCAACGAACACCTTTCTGCCTACATTGCATAGTATTAACCATCGTTTGCAGGAAAATGCCTTCACGCATCCCTTCCAGGTAAGGCCTTGCTTTTGCTATTGAAACTCTGCGCTTAGCTAACCTTAATCACAAGAAATCCATCATGTTCTGTAAGACCACCAACCCTGGTGATAAACCGCTCAACTAACGCTTCATAAGGGAAGTGGGGTGGAAAAGACATCAAGATTTACGGTGACGGTGTCATCAATGGACAGGGGTTTGTATTTCCATTCTTCGCCGCTTATCGCTTACTTTGACTAAAGTTTTCAAACAGTCAACGCTGGTGGAACGAATTCAACGCTGGTATTGGATCGTAAGTAGTCACCCCTATCGATGGGTATTCTCGTACTAACCAACATTAGGATCTTGGTGAGATCATTCTACTCTTAATGATCCTGCCCTCAATCTAACATGCCCCAGAACCCCGATAACAAGTACCTCCGACCAATTCTCTTCTACGTGGAGAATACTACCAACTTGGAGGTTAATGGTATTCACATGAAGGACTCTCCTTGCTGGACTAACTTCATTGTCGGATGTAAGTAGATGTGACCTCATGACTAGGCTTCATCTGTAGCCATTCGTCATTTTCATGGAACTAACCAAACTCTCAGCGAGCAACATCCAGTATAAAGATGTTATCGCCACTGCTATTACAAACAACGGTAGCATTATTCCCAAGAACACTGATTTCTTCGACTCCTTGGATGTGCAAGATGTCCGGATTGAGCGTGTCTGGGTCAACATCGACGATGACTGCTTCTCCCCGAAGTCCAACAACACCAACCTTTACGTCAACACCATGTACTGCAATGGTATGCGAAAGTCACAGGATTCTTGCTTTTTCTTTTTTCCTTATGCTAACTATCCTAATTCACTAGGCACCCACGGTCAGGTAAGAAAAAGATAAAATATGTTGGCGAGAATAACCTAACAGTACTTTCAGTCTATCGGATCTCTAGGCCAGTACCCTGGCGAGATGTCTTTTGTCAAGGACGTCCACATCGAGAATGTGTGGATGTTGAACGGAGACGTAAGTATTAGCCGGTGCTTTCGATTGATATGTAGCTAACGAGGGTTAAGTACTCTGGCGCCCGTATTAAGACATGGGCTGGACCGAACGTCGGCTACGGCTACGTTGAGAACATTACATACAAGTAAGTCACCTTGTTTGAAAGATTCCACAGCGAATGTATCTAACATTAATGTACAGGAACTTCTGGCTTGCAAGAATGGACTACGGAATTATTCTTGATTCTTGCTACTTCAACGTAAGACAACGTCTTGATTACCATGAATATTCTACACTTGAAAGCATCGAGCAGTACTGACACATCGCAGATCAACGAGACAACCTGTGAACAGTACCCGTCAGGCATGAACGTCTCCAACGTCTTGTTTGAGAACTTCACAGGCTACACGAGCGGCATATACGGTAACGCCGTAGCCAAGCTGACTTGCTCGACAAACCCGGACGCTGTGTGTCACAACATCAAGGTCAAGAACTTCAACGTCACAAGTCCCTGCGGTGGCGATCCAGTCATCATCTGCGATGGAATTGATGGTGGAATCGACGTTCCATGCGTAAGCATCGACAGTGACGAGGCAAAGGCCGCTTTGGCAGCCAAGTGCCAGACACCGCTTGCCCCGATTGATACGAAGCCTTGGTAGCCTCGGATTTTCACAGGGATTCCAGGACCATAAAAATCACTTCGGATATGGCGGGAACGACTTTATCAAGATCTATTAAATTTTTTTTTAAAAAAAAAAGTAGTTACTATGACATTAGGCTACGTCTCAAATATGAAGTCCTTCTTAGCGCACTTGTTGTATGTACGGCGGATATGATGTTGATTCTCTGACTTGCGCCTGATACTCAGGCCTTATCACCCTGCTGCTTACGAGCACCGTCCGTCAACAAAGGCTTGACTGGAGTAAGACCGGTTGAGGTAACAGCAGGAAGGGCTCCCCGAGTAGTAGTAGCAGTAGTAGTAGTCGTACTAGACTGAGGCTCGTCAATCAGTTCTTCACTCGGATCTACCGTCAGATCGGAGGCATAAAGCTCATGAGCGACCACGTTAGTGGAAGCAGGTTCGCCGTTCTCGCCCAGATGAACCCCGAGGGTAGGCGATGCAGTTTTGGTGGGGGGAGGAAGGTGGTTGTCTGCCGCAGGGACGACACTGTTGACAACGAAGAATATGGTCGCGCCTTTCTCCGGAAGAAGCCCGTTGGGCCCGGACCGTGCCTCGTACCAGGAGCCGTTGTTGTAGATGTGTGCAATGCTGATGTACTGTTCCTGTTCGTCGGGGCCGGCTTGCCAGACGGAATAGACCTTTGACGAGGCGCCCATATCGCTGCCATCGGGGTTTTTGCACTCGACCCAGTCCTGTTGAATGTAGACAGGACTGCATACAACACTAAAAGCTGGTGCGCCGAGTGGGTAGTTCTTGGGACCTTCGAGATTGAATGTTGCGCTGCAGCCTCCAGGAGAGCAGCCCCATTGGTACTTGGTAGCAGTCCATTTCGAGGTGTCTTGACGTTTGATGGCGACGGCGGAAGCACCGACCGCGAATAAGGAGATAATGCCAGCAATTCGGCTGCTGCGAACCATTTCGAAAGATTTCAAACTCAAAGATATGGAAAATGGGTTCTGTTTGGGTTGAAGAGATTGTAGTAGGAATCGTTTGTCGGTGCAGATATGAGGTGCCTTTTGTTCGTGGAGAGGCACGTGGTTGCTTCTTCAAGTGAGACAACGAACGGTTGCGGGGGTGGTGAGACGGAAGCGGCGATTAGGGTGGTATAGCCTTTTGTTAGATCTCAGGATTACCTGGTTTAATGTAAGGTTCAGTGTGTTTGGGTGATCGGGATTTAAGAACCCATAATATATCTTGATTTGGATTCTACAGGATCTGAACCTGGCTTTATGGGAGGCGCCACTCACACTCCTTTTGTGCATGTCCTAGAACAAGTGCAGAGCTAAAATTGGATGTCTTGGAAATTCTCGTATCGCACGGCAGGCCGAAAGGGATCTGCAGTTGGTGATGTAAACGTTCTCTTTTTGCTCGGTTTTGTCGACAAACAGATGTCCGGACGCGGTGTTACGTCTGCCGTTTTTGGCAGGGCTCATCGGATATGGCTTCGTTCCACAAAGGGGGACCAATCGAACAGCAAAGGATTGGGTAAGACGTCGCCCATGTTCTGGGTAAAAAATCATCAAAGGGCTGGTCTAGAGCAAACAATAGCTAGCTCATGAACTAAATGGCTTTTCCAGCCTCCTCCGGTTTGTCCGTGTAAGCAGCGTGGCAAGCAAGCGTGGTGGAGCAAGTGCCATGCTGTGAGACATTGGGAAGAGTTACAGCGTCCAATGGAGCGCTACGGGCCGTGGGCCTACAGTACAGTACTCTCCAAATCCATGAGCGGCTTATTCTCTAGAATGTAGTCTTGGGTCGGATCTACAATTGGTCTTGCGCCTCTTGCAAAAGCCAAAGAGAAGCGTCGTGGCGTGTGCTGAAAACGGACATCGGCAAGCGCTCTAGACGTTACCTCTTCCTGGTCTAGAATCAACCGGGCACCATGAGAACTGATTCCTCTGCTTTATGTTAATATGTTAATTTGGGTGGTTATTTTGGATCCTGCGATAAGTTTTGCGAAGTAAATAGCGATTGGAACTACTCAAACCAACTGACATCTAGCTAGCTGCAACCGGCGTTCCCTGGGATGCTTCGACAACGTTGCAAGACTAGGCTACCACAGTTTGCCAAATTGTACAAAGCCATCAGCCTTTTTCTTTTCTTTCATTTGTCTTTTGCCTCCCTTTTTCCCTGTGCACATAATAGAATCAATATTTTCAGCGGTGTTTAGGGGACCTCTCAAATTGGTGGTCTTTCTGTCTTTATTAACGGTTCTACTACTGAGGCAAAGTTTACAGACGCCTCAACCACCATCTTACCGTCTAATCCGCGCAGCATGCCGCCACACAGCAACACATGGCAACGCCGTCGGGTCCTCTTCTCGTAGGCTGACGAGGACTGCAGTAAATAGCCTTCTAACTAGCTCGCTATTAGCATTGTTCTCTAACCATCGCCATGGTGACTCGTCAGCATTCAAGCGGTTATTTCCGTAAAGATTTGTTGCTAAACCTAATGCAAAGTTTTCATGACAACTAACCAACAACTTACAAATCATATGCTATTCCACCTTCGCTTCTCCATGTTGAGGATTGATACGCGGAGGACTTTTTTTCCCGCGAGAATCATCATACTTCTAAACTCTGCCTTCGGTCCTCATGGCGATAACATGAACACAACTCAAGGTATTTCGAAAGCTAAAGTATGAAAACTTATGGTAAGTTGTGTGTTTCGTCTGTGAATGAATGTTATTTCTTTCTTTCTTTCCTTTTCTTTTTATTATCATTGGTAGTCTCGTACTGCCATCATCGACTTAAGAGGTAACAATGGTACGTAGGTCGTGGCTTGGTGACATTATCACGTTGTAGCAATGTGAGTTGTAAAAAGTCTCGGTAAACATCTCAACGTTTCTATTTAAGCCCTTGATTTAGATACAAGCTTCTCTAGTGCGGCTACAGCCTCTTGTTTACTCCTTTTTTCGATAAGGCTCTTGGTAATATTGTCTTGTTCCGACTCTGGCGCCATGCCCTCATTTCTCGGTGGGTTGTTGTCAAGATTGGTGGGAAAAGGGTATCCGTTACCAACCGCAGCCAAAAAGGACTTGATCTCATCGCTCATACCCTGTTCTTCGTAGGCTTTCAAAACGTGGTCCCATGTCGTCTCTACTAATGGCACCGCATCAACCGACTCCATCGGCTTGCCAAAAGCACTACTGATTTGAAGAAGGTTTGCCATCCGATAAACATTGTCAGACTTGTTCTCTCCCGCGGCATGAAAAAGCGCAGGGTTGAAGAAGAGTCCGTCACCCAACTCCAAGGGTAAAGCGACATAGTTCTTCAAGAAGTACTCGTTGAATTCCGGTCGACGATAGGCCATATATCCGGGCTCAAATGTTTGGCTGAAAGGCAGCAGACGCGTTGGTCCGCTCTCGATCGGAACATCCGAGTGGGCAACAGCACCCTGTAGCGTCAACAATTGACTGGCAATCTGCATCGCGCGGGGAATCCGCGATGAAGCTTCGGCCGTCTGGAAGCCAACATGATAATCTCGGTGGCAAACTTGCGGCGTGGCTCCCGGCTTCGTGTTGTTAACCTGCGCGGTAATGCGATAGCCCGGCCCCAACCATGCGCTAGATATCAGGCCGAGATATGGGTTCGAATAATATTTGACGAATGACTCGGGGTCTGTAAGGCCATGCTTGCTGAAAGAGTTCCAGATCCGATCGTTTTTACCAGCACTGGCAAAATGGTCGCCTTTTGCCGAGCCAGACTTTTTCTCCTCCTCTATTATAGAGGCGAACGCGGCGTTCACGGCCTCAATCAGGCCTCTGTCGTGGAAGAGGTTTTTAGTAACGAATACTCCGGGACCTGAGATGAGGATGCGGTACCACTCGTCTTGGAGGGCACTCCGCTGATCTTCGTCGAGACTGGAATACTGCGGAAGGTGGTACACTGGAATGTTCTGCTCTATGGATGTGGCCAAAGGGTAATCCTCTGGTCTAACCTGCTGGGAGCAGACAGTTCTGAAGGAGTCTAAGGCCGATGCCTCAGAAAGAGAGAATAGACGTGCAGATGATGGATGGGAATGCTGAGTTCCGCTCGTCTGGGCGTTTCGACTGGTCATTTTGCTTTTTTTCCTCGGCTACGTACGGTAACGAATGCGAGTTTTAGGCGTAGTATGAAACGGAATTGTAAGGAAGTTAAATCTATTTAGCTGTGAGGAATGGATGCGCGGGGTACTTTATATGGCATTATGGTGGATTTCTCCACACATCGATAGCCTACGTCAAGTCTCTGCCCATCAAGCATGTATACCACAAGCCCCAAAAAGGTGAAATCAGGCTGTTCACATGGACTCTCAATGACTTGAAAGTCATCTTCGTATCTGGCAGAGTCTAGAAAGGGAATCATTTGGCGACGTCAAGAAGGGTAGAGGATCCCCTCCTCCCGGCCAAAATTGCCTAGTTAAGTTCCGCACGGAGCCGGGTCTTGGTGGGCCCACCCGAACCTGCCCTCTACAATCTTGTTCTCGGCGCAGCGGCAGCCGTACAGATCGAAACATCATGATCTATGAGTTCAAATTCGGAAATTATTATGATATTCGGTATGAAGTGCTTGACATATCTCATGTTTGACTGAATCATCCATGCCATCAGGTGGGGGCTTCGGGATTTGGTTTCCGATCAGCCTATTGGAAACACAGGAATGGGTTAGGCATTAGTTCTCTCGGGCCCTAGTTCCGGAGGGACTAAATAATGCGCTAGAATAGTGAATCTAGGTGAAGAACGTGCATGTCGCTGGTAAAGCTTATGCTTGTCAAGCATACAACTTACAAATTATCATGGACAGTGCGATTTGAGCGGCCCTGCTTGCGGCAGTAAGAATTTGGGTGTCGAGCTGTTGAAGGGTGAATGAGAGATCAACTCCAAAAAGTCGAATCTCTCAACACCATCTTGGGTAGGCACCTAAAAATCCGCTTCAAAGCAAAGTGCACATCATTCAAGTGGACAGGGATTATCTCGCCATCTACGGATACATGGGGCTCTAAGAAGGTTTTGATAGGATAAAATGTGATTTCTGACTTTGTCCAAGTATTCAGTTTCTCGTAGTGTAGCATGTTTGCCTTTTGAAGGTTCAAGAATGGTCAGGTGTTTTGAGATATTTCTATCCTGGCGCCATTTACGGAAGACCAGGTTAACAGTAAAATCAATCGATATTTGGCATCATCTAGTTTTAGGCTGCTGTAAATAGCCGAAGGCAAACTGCCTTTTAATTACGTTTTCATCCCCATTCAAATTCCACTTCAATGCCACAAGATCATGTTCGCGGGTCATATCTTGCCAACTACAGATCTTGCAGATGTCAGGCGTCAGATCGGTCCAAAATCCGCCGATTCAATCTTCGGTAGAGACCCTTCACAGTGCGGGGGGCTTGGCGCAAAACCAGAGCAAGCAACATCTCTGTTCCGGGGTGCATCAGTTGCTTTGTTCCCCAAACTCTAAGATATTTGGAATGTTCGGCACGGTGTGGCCAGCCCTGGCTACTTTGGCTCACTTGTACGGCCAAATGAATAGTGTGTCGATATGCGGTATACCAACATTGAAAACCAATGGTACTGCTAGCTATTTTCTCATAGTTTTCCGTGGTCGTGTCAGTCTTTTATTCTACGTCAGACAAACTCTTGCTCAAGTAAACATTATAATTAAGTTATCTACAGCAGTGCAATTGATGAAGTCACAAAAGAGAATAAAGCTTGCCCGAAGGGTGTACCATTTTTTAAAGCTCAAAACTGTACCAAGTAAACAAACCGAAGATTGCCAACATTTCTCATAGTTTGACAGATAAAAGTTGCACTTGTCTGATTTAGGCACCATCTTCGCCCGCTTCTCGGCGCAAGCGCATAAGCGTCCTCCAGCAGAGCAGAGCCTTAGTGAGTGCCAAAGCCATGTAGTTGCTTTAGCGTCCGCAAGGATCCCTGTTGTCTTTCGGCTCGGCGTTCACGCGCCCCGCGACTAACGCCTATTTCTTGGGGCTACGCCACATGATTAGGTCGTTTAGAGGCCGGTGGGTGGGCCGCTGGACTGGGCAAGAACTTCCCACCGACTTCATTCACACATCACACCCTGGCCCCGTTCAATCCTTCACCTTCTCAACACGGGGGGCGCCATTTGGTAGAAGGATAACATGCCCCAATCATCGAAGCCCGAGACAAGGAGGAGGCACGTTACTACTGCGTGTCTCTCATGCAGAGAAAGTAAGATCAAGGTACAGCCATGAGCCACCAATCCAGGCATACGAGAGCCACACCTTCATATCGGACTGGTTCCATAGGATACTAAAGTTTTCCGACTAATCGTCTGCAGTGCGATGGAGCAACACCATCTTGTTCCAACTGCAAGAACAAAGGACGAGATTGCCGATATCAGGCCGGGGACGATAAACGCAAGTGAGATCTTGCTTCGGTCTCTGTCGCTAGAGGATTGCCACAACTGACGCATGGCAGGCTTTCCTTGCGTGTGGCTGTCGAGCTGCTATCAAGCAGAGTGGATCAGCTTTGCCAATTTATCATCCAGCAGGGTTTCCAACCTCCAAACATGCCTCCAGATGAGGACGAAAGCCTTAATCGGATCCTGGATACTCTGGGGTTATCTAATGTTCAGGTGACGCCAGAGCAAATCATTCAACTGCCTATAGGTCTAGATTCATCACAAGAAACACAACCACCAGCCCCTTTCATTCCCATCGCGACTCCTATGGCACCGCCTGGCCAACTGCCCTCAAACCTCGCTTTGCCCTTCGACACTACTGTGTTTCGTCTGGAGAATGATGGCACTAGCTACGTTCACCCAGCTTGGAGTCAACATCGGGAAGTTGCAGCAAGTAATATGTCAGACTGGGAATGGAGCTCTCCTGGCAATGACGATACCATCGCGCCAAGCGTCAACGTGGCCAGCGTGCGTGCTCCAAGTCATCCATTACTTGGCTCCCATTCAGTAGAAGCTCCATTAAGTGACAATGACGATAGTACATCGGGGACAACAGAAGAGGATCTTCTCAACCAGCTATCGGATAGACTTGGTTCGTTACATATTGGGCCTAACGGGAAAATCTCCTACTTTGGACCAACTTCAAACTTCAGTTTAGTTGAGATGCCTCTTGGGAGTGACGTTTTGGCTGTGGACAGAACCGTACGCAATGATGGCCAAGAACATCTAGACAACATGGGATATGGAAAAACAATACCGCCAGATCTGGAAGAGCACTTGATCAGCCTTTACTTCACATGGCAAGATCCATTCTCGCACATTGTCGATCGAGCCTTGTACGAAGACGCCAAACAGAAATGGTTTGAACGAGAGGAAGATACTCCATACTATTCAGAAGCTCTTAGAAACGCAATGTTTGTCTCCGAATTTCCGTATCGTTTGTACCTTCCATGATCGTTACTAACTGGCGAAAGGTGTTCTCTTGGGGCTGCTTTTGAAGCACGATATCATCCAAGTTTCATAACATTTCCGAAGTCTCTTCCTGAATTCTTTGCCGCACGCGCCAAAACCCTCCTAGAGATTGAGCTTGATTCTCCTTCTATCTCCACAATTCAAGCAATGGCTGTGCTCAGCAGTCACGAAGTGGGAGCGAATAGAGATTCCAGGGGCTGGCTATACAGTGGTACTGCATTTTCTACTTTGTCATGAAACCAAATGACTCGGTGAATAAAGACTGATATCCGTTAGGAATGGCAATTCGCCTTGCTTTCGACTTGGCATTGCACAAGGATATGACGCCTTATGTTGTGAAGGGCGTCTTGACTCCCGCCGAAGCTGAGCTACGCCGAGCCGTCTTTTGGGGCACATACGCAATAGATCAGTAAGATATTCACTGTAAAGTTGAGCTTTATGACCTAACTTTCTGTTTCAGGAGTTTAGGTTATTACAGAGGCCGACCGTTTCGCGTTAGCCTTGACGACATTACAGTTGAGAAGCCCAGAGTAAACACTTCAGAAGTCAAACGTTGGTTTCCATACACTTCACCGAACAGCGACGGCGGTCCTTCGGCAACTCTGGTCGACTTTGTGGAGGATGTCAGCCTTCAAAGGATAGGTTTGTGCGAGATAATGGCGCCGCTTGGCTATACGTTGTGAGATTTCGGTGGTTTTACTCTGTTGTCCTTTTGTGCTTGATAGCTAAGTTTCTTCTCAGATACGGCAACTCTAAAATACCGAAAAACATTCTGCAAGAGAATAACGAAAGACTTGTTTCCAGACTCTTTGTTTGGAAAGAAAACCTGCCCGATGTTTTACAAGTCGATCTCGAGAGTGTCGAAGGAGCCTACCTGCCACATGTCTTGTTACTTCAGTGGGTGTCTTTCCTCCCTGTTTCCGTTTCAACTTTATGATACTCCTTGCTAACTGCTACTTAAACACAGCATGCAATACTATCAAAACGTGATTCATTCGCATAGACCCTGGATGTCGTCTAGCTACCTGCAACCTCAGCCGCCACAAGGCCCAGGCTACATGCACGCGCAACGCATGTGCATCGAGTCCGCCAGCGCGATAGCGAAGCTAATACATATTTACGAGAGGCTTTATTCTCTCCGTCGAGTCAACATCGAAGGTGTTGCCATCATCTTTTCCGCCGCCATCATCCTCATCTTTGCGTCCATATCCCGTCGTCGACACAGGAAGACAGCTGAGATTGTGACACACCTCAGTGTCTGCTTCCGGGCGCTAGAGGAGCTTTCATCTTCGTGGGAGTGCGCTAAAAGGGCCCGCGACTTTCTGTTAATGTTGCAGCGCAAATGGGAGCTACGTTCTCGTCGGCTGAGCAACGCTGCTGGGAAGCTTGAGGCGTCAACGCATGGGGTCAACAAGCCCGTGGACCAGTTGTCGCGTAAACGTGTGCGGACCGAAAGTCCCGCTGGCTCAAGGAGTATCAGTAGCTTCCAAAGCACATCGTCTTCTCGATTGGGAGACCAACCATTCGAGGAGAACAGGGCGGAACAAGAGAGTGCAGACATGGACATGCGGCTTGACCTCGACTGGGTATTGGCCGCCGGGGCACATTCTATACCGGAGGCCTGGGGCAGCTTGGTGCATCCAGACACGCTGTATTTCACTGATCCGAACCTGTAGTAGACCACTTGGCTTGAAAGGTCAACATGATTCAGTTAAACACACATTTTTGCAGCTTTAAAGTTTCCGTGGGCTACGGGTAACCTAGCTGATTGTGAGAGTCCATTGTTCGATGAAATTCCAGAGCCGCTCGCTAGGTACTTGGACATTTTTCTGGCATATAAAGATAGGACTTCTCGCTGGGTAGTCTTCCAAATGCCTCTCTCCCCAGTGCTACTTGCGTGGCGAGCAACCAGTCTACTGTTGAACTTGGAGATCCCCATCGATCATACAGATTCCGTCTGCTATAAGAGAACACTGCGATCGGGATTCTAGGCGTCTACTCCCAGAAATTGAATTAAACCTCTCCCAGATACAACTCAAAGGGTGCTGAAATCCGAGAACGATTTGGTGCAGGTTGCAGTAGAACTGAACGAGCCACTCCGAAAGATCCGTACACGGGCAAAGATGCCGCCAAACATACGGCGAAGGAGCCTTGTTCTCGGACACAGTGTCTAAGTGAGTCGAGTTGCCGACCAAGGATTTCTGAGAGGGACGACGATAAAGGTGTATTGACCGGCGAAGACGTTCGACAAACAATCTCAAGGCTGTTTTCGAGGCATTGTAGATCTTCGGCCCTGAGAATTCTATGGAGATCGGGCCTTCGTTTTCATGTAGCGGACAACACGATTCCAATTAACAACCTGGTTTCGGATGATGAAGTGACTTATTTTTGCCAGCTATGGCCCGTTTTTGTGTAAGTCTAAGGATGGCGGATATCAGTAGTTGTAAGCAAATACGGGTGCTGATATCAGAGATTGTTTCACAAACGTGGCATGGAAGAGATAATCACGTTCCAAGGTCTCTTTGACTTGCTTCAACGGCTTCTTCTTAGCTTACACTAAGCCGGGTTATTGTTGCTTGGTGGCAGTCCCAAACAGCATCCGTCGGATACGTCTTGCCCTTTACCAGCGGAAGATCGTGACACTCGTCGGCATTGTCGTCTGACCGGTCCATGGCGATAACGATGTTGATTTCAAGTATCGAAGCTCTGAACGACAAAGAAGAGGATATTCGACCAATGAATTGAATTCTACTGGTGCTAGAGAAGATATTCGTAGAGAGAAAAGCCAGTTATGTCAATAAGGCTGGTGCTTTCGAAGTGATGCCGCAGCCAGGACTCGTGCTGAGACAGGCAGGTCACCGAAACTATCTGCAGTTGTCAATGGTCCAATACAGAAGAGCTTCGAATTTCGGCGGGCACTCTTGAGGCGTCCAACCTCTGGTAAAAGCCGGTGGCAAGGTGCTTGTGGCGCATAGCAAGCATCTTCATTCGTAGTGCGGGTGTTGAGTAGTTGGTAACCGCCTTCTGCCATTGATCTGCAGAAGAACTCCGGGCAATGTCAAATTCATAACCCACAGCTGTGCAAAGGGCGCCTGATCCCTAACAAAACGGAGATACTGTACTTCAATTGATCTGCGACTAACTTCTGTTACTCCTTTCCTCTACCTTCAGCAGAAGTACTCGATATCCAATAGGGTTACCAATCCGAATGCCATCGATCAAAAAGATCGCGGGGAGGAGGTCCACTAGCGTATCCATAGGGGCTAATCCTGTCGCGTCTCGCCCGGAACAGATCCGATAGCTCGTCCCACGTCATGCCGGCACCGCCACGCCTACTGTTATCGGCCGTCGGTGCCCGGCCTCCGGTATAGCCTCCTTGTTGAATATAGCCGTCACCATAGCCAGGTGATCCGAACAGCTCCTCAAAGCTGAGTCCCGGGCTGCTAGCTGATCCAAAGGGGCCTCCCTGACCACCATATCCGGAGTCGACGCCGAAATACCCACGTTCTTGGCCGCCGGACCCCCTTCCACTGAAACCACCTCCAGAATGACCAAAGAGACCCTCAAAGATATCCTCGTAGCTCATGCCTCGGTGCGTTCCAAAGGCTTGCTGGTCATACTCCCCAAAACCAGCGCCTCCCTCCGCCATTCCCATTCCACCAAATCCAGCGGTCTCTGTCCGCCTTCTCTCTCCTGCCCTTCGAAGAGCCTCCATGAACAATCTTTCCCACTCTGCCTCACTCCTCATCCCACCAGATCTTTCAGGGCCGGTGCGATGGCCACTGGACGTGTAAGTACGATGATGTCTCTCGTTTTCAGCAGCGAATCGACCCGTTCCATAGTAAGCGCCGCTGGAACGTACGTTCTGTCCCTCTTGACGATGTCGCTCGCTGTCTCCGCCGGCACCTATTCCGGAGCCTTGAGTGCGGGAGTTGGTGTTGGTGTAGCCTGGGCTGCTGCTCGGCTCAGAGTAGCCATCGAATTCGTAGCGCATTGTAAGAGTTTCGTGGAGAAATGCTGTTAGATGCCTTCTCAACACAGGTACAGGTCTGTTCTTTATGTGATGCGTGCTTGGGGTGCGCTTTGACGGGGAAGGTCAGCCGTCAGCAATATATAAAAGTGTTTGCCGGAGGAGTGACACAAGTGACTAACCTCCAAACAAAAGGACCTGGTCAGTGAAGACAAAAACATGTTTGATGTTGGCCAGCATGGTTGCTAAAATGTTGTAGTAAACCATGATTCACCTTCAGTTTGACTTTCACCAACATCACTGTCAAATCAGCTATGCAGTGGGCGTAGGGTTGGATATTCATTAGCAATTGACTTGCAAGCGCATTAAGTGCGCCAAGTGTCTATATACAAGCTCCAGACGTGGGCATTTCGCCCCGTCATTAAATGCCAGTTTGCCCCTCTAATTATTTGAAGAGAAGTAAAGCTAAGGGCCTGTGTCTGTTCACCTGAATGGCAGGTAACACCGGGTATAATAGAAAACATACATTACAGGTATCCAGGATCCAGTAGACGTATGATCGCTCCCATAGACAACGCCAAGCACCAAAACAATGAAAAAGAAAAGAAAAAAAAGTGCAATTAAGTCGTAGAAGTGTTTGCTTCGTTGCGTAAAGAAACTGGGCCTTGAAAGCCGGCCGATGGCTTGACGTTCTGCATCTCCATACCCTGAACATCAGACTTGGGCTGATCTCGGAAAGTTCCAAGGCGCTGATCGCCACCTTGGTATCTCTTCTTGAATTGGTAATAGGTAGGAGTTCTAGGTCGGCAGAGAACGACAATCCAGTTCTTAAGGATGCTTCCTTGGGTAAAAGCCCGAAAACGCTCCTTCTTGATGAACTTGTGGGAGTTGATGTACTCTCTAGTTGTCTCGCCACGTGCCATGAGGAAGATGTGGTAGCCCATGAGGGCAGCCGGGTACAGGAATGAAATAAAGCCGTAAATGGCCATCGCAAAGGGGACACGGAAGTCGTCGATGGACTTGCCAAAGGAAATACCGGAACGGTTCATGTGGATGAGGATATGGGCCAGAGAGGCGCCGAGAAGGTAGAGTGAGAGGAATGTGGCTGATGACACGAAGGCAAAGAAATATCGGTAGTTACGTCGGCCAACACAGTTGTTGAGCCAGACGCAGTGGTGGTCGTGGGTTTCGATGCAGTTGTCGCAAAGGCGGCAGTGGTGAGCACGGGGAGGCCGCCATATATTGCAAGTTCTGCAATGTTTGACGGGGACTTCCATGGCTGCTGTTGATGATTCGGCGGACTTGATGAGAGTCCAGTCATTTGTGGGAGGGCCGAGTCGGAGGGGGTCTTCGGTAGGTTCTGCGGGGGGGAAGGCGTGGAGATTTCGAGGCAAAATCTGTACGCTGTCAGTTATACGTCCAACATCCACAACGGGTAATTACCTACGCCAGGATCAGAAAGAGAGGCATGGAAGAAGGAGGAGATGCATATGTAAAAGAGATATGCGAAGGTGATCGGAACGGCGGGGCTAATGTTGTGCCATATCCAAGGTGCGGAGAAGGCGAAGAAGAGGACAGCGGGTATGATGATGAACAAGCCTGTAGCTACATTCACGGGCCTATGCTTGGTGTTCTGGAACCGGCCACCAATGCAAAAGACAGTGTTGCCCTCAAAGTACTGGAAGACATAGCCTAAGTTGGTCTTGGAGCTCTTCAGGTTGTGCCTGTCAGCAGGCCTCGAAGGATCATCTGGGTTCAGGCGCGGGGTTGAGGCAGTCGATGAGAGTTTCTCAGCACCTGGCAGGCTTCGGTTTGACTTGTTTTGTTCGCCGTCGCTTCTTCCGGGGAGCAGGAAGCTCGAGCGGAAGGACCGCGGAGACTTGGCGGGACTGGGCTGGTTGCCGCGGTCCCTGAAGCCTCTGTCGATGTTGACGCTCAGGTTTCGACTGTTGCGATGCTGTCGATAAATCGGTGTAACACTCTCCGACATGCTGCCAGCCGGATGGTGGCCCTGTGTAGGGCTAGTATTTGCGGTAATCCGGTCGTAGGTGCCCTGGTCGGTGTATTCGGTCCCCCGAGACGGAGGTGGGCGTCCGTCACCATCGACACTGAGTTGTCTTTGAAGGCGGGCAACTGGGTTTGAAATCGGATTGGAGATGATGCTATGCCGAGCATTCGGCCCACCACTTGCCACAGCGGCGGCAGCGGCAGCGCTAGGACTCTGATCTGTAGGCTGAGCGTCCTCTATCGTCGGTTGTTGTCGATTTTGTGTCGCAGGACGGGAGCCTCCGCCACGCTGCGCCTGCAACTTCTGCGAACTCATGGGACGGAAAAAGGCCGAAGACGTGAGAGAAGGGACATGGCTGCGACTTGCGGAACTTGGTGGCCGAGTGCTGATAGAGCCGGCGGTACTACCCGCGCCAGTGCTTCGTCTTTTCTCTTGTAGACTCGTTATGTAGTTCAGTCGCGGAGGTGGCCCTCGTCGCCAGCCTTCGCGAGATCCAGACAATCCCGTTTTCGCTGTGCCTGGCCGCGACAATGTATCGGACGCCATGCCACTCCTCCTGCGTGGGTTTTCGGAGAGGGCATGAGCCGAGGCTTCCCCTCCATCGTCGGACGCAATATCGGTCATACGCGAAGAAATGATACTCGGCGGACCTGGTCTATCAGAAAGCCCAGGAAACTGTGGTTTCGGAAAGCCATAATCACTGCCGGGAGTGTTGGGCCCGGTACCCTGGTCTTTGGAAGTCATGATCGGCGCTGTAATCTAAGATGGATTGTCGGCGCAACAGTATTGGGTGTTCGGAAAGGCTCTCCACTATAACATATCGCTCTCGACACAGGATTAATATCGTGAGATTGATAAGGCTCGGATGAAGATTGTTGAAGATGTATCGAGGATGTCGAGAGGAGAATATCGGCGCTTGGACAATGGTGAAGACTGGGTGCGTTGACGCGCAGGAGAGAAGGGCCGGTAGACTCGGCAATGAGATAACACGGTAGGTTGAGGGAGTGCAGAAGCGCAAAGTCTGCGGTCGGAGACGGAGTCGATATTAAAAAAGGTCGTGCGAAGAGAGGAAATGGGAAGAGGCCCGTGAATTAAGGTAGGGTAGGTGGGATAAGAGAGTGTAGTTTGTAGGTGGTCGTATCGTCGTATCGTTTGGACGTCGGGGCGTCGATGGATGGTGAGAGAGTGACGGAAGATAGAGGATGGTGAGGAAAAAGAAAAGAAAAGAAAAGTCGGATGGCGGGCAGGCCGTGAGAATGAGCGAAGCAAAAGAGACTCGAAAATGACGAGCCAAAGGCGAGGATCTTGTCTTGCCTGGAGTTCCTTTTTCGAAGACCCAACAGGACAGGAAAAGAAACCTGACTAAAGAAGGGTAAGGTTTGCCAGGGAAGGGGATCCAGTAGGGAAACGCATGGATTATCCAGAAGTGACGGAGCAAAGCAGTCTTGACCGGGGGTTGCAGCTCTAGGCCCTACTACGTGAAAGCACATAGACTTTGGGGCCACAGTAAGGGGCGGAACGACTGGGAATCCGTGCTTTGCGCATGTGGCAGACTGCACAACCGACCAGACGGGACTAGTGGTACTACTACGGCATGAGGCTGCCGCTTGTCTTCACTAACAAAATCACACCCAGTCTCTATTGATCGGCGTTAGTGACGGCCGCACGAGCCTCCTCCCAAACGGCTTTGGCCGTCTTTTTTATGCAGGCGGCGGCGCAGAGGTGCCCGCCAATTTTGATTAGAATTGCCGGATTGGGGCCCAGCTTTAAATTGCTATGGCAGCCGAAGCAGCCAACTGGGGGACGCGGCGCCCGCGAACTCTGTGATGAGATGACTAGGGACAAATGGGGCTGCTCAGACATCATCGCGACTTGCGAGCGCCCTGAGCGTGACCTGGAAGCGCACGGTTATTTGTTGTTCTGAAATGAAGGTTTTGAGGAATTGTGATATATTCTGGAAAGTCCCTCTCCGTTCCGCAGTTGAAAGACGAAGAATGTCACGCTTTCGTTTGGGAATTGGTGTGTCACCCGGTTAGGGCCGGTTAGGGAACGCGTTTTGCCCCTCTTTTTGATGCCGCTGAGGCTGTTGCAACGGTGAACACCTACGGCGATCATCACCGGAGTTCTGGGTTAGTCCTCGTCCGGAAGCCGTTGTCCATTACCGACCTTCCAGGGAAATGCTTGAGCAGCGGCTCGGAGACACCAATCAACCCCGCCAAACTTGCTCGGTTTGATAAGGCATATACACGGCAACTAATATTACTTTGCATTATAAAATTTCTGCAACATCCATAAGGTCTATCCATGCCGAAATTGCCTAACGGCGGAATCCACGCTATCCATCCAATGTCCCATTTCACAATCACCGTTCCGTTTAACATGGTTATACCGTCAACCGAAAATGTTTCCTGTGTCACTACCTGGTGCCGAGGGGAACCGCACGTCTCAAAAAATGAGCCAGGCTCGGAAGCCCCATGAAGAGATTGAAAGTTACGAACATTGGATGTTTCTGAATGTAAAACCATTAGCAAGCCCGTTCTATTGGCTGCCTCACATAACTTCCATATGCCATTGTGTTGCTTGAACAAGAAGCTAAAGCTTACCGTCAAGCGTTGTAGCCACATACAATGAGTCTGACGGTTTGTGGCCGGAAGACTCTCTGGTCGCTGCCTCCACCTCAATCATGGCCACCTCCCATATACAGATGTTGACCAGTTCGCCTGTCAATATCCAATCCATCTCCCACTGATGTTGTCGCCAATGCCAGGACAGGCAATAGTAGCGCCATAACTATTTCGCATGTTGAGACAGACTCCATCTTACGAAAGATCACCATAGTGCAAAGCGAGATGGTGACGCTAAAAGAGAATTCAACAGTCCAGCATAATCCACGCTGTTGCAGGAAAGGCTGATAAGCCATGTCGTTCCACGGCGGACGAGAATATCATGGCAAGAACAAGACGGGGTATCGAGAAGAGAAAAAGGAATACCTCAACGGTGCCATTGTCAGCAAACGATATACAATCTCCCCGCACTTGTCTAGGCTGAAGTGAAGAGTAGGCAGACAACCAATTGTTCTCCATCATGCTTACTCCGCCACGGCAGTGTGGTGACAGCCTTTTGGCTTAAAGACCCTTGCATCTCTCAGTTGCACTAACATTGACTGAAGACGATACAACGACTCCAAGATTGGTAATACCTACAGGTGGCTTCGTAACAACCGAACCCAAGACGTGAAATCATCATCACCCAAATGCGGCTGGTGGTACGTAGCTGGAACCTCGTTACACTAATAAAGAACTAAGCCGTACAGAACACTATATGCTTTATATCAATAATATTCGTATATACATCGCAGAATGAGGTAATGCCCACATCACCCAGAATTGGCCAATCAACTCTTTCCGCATGCCCGGCCAATCGTTTCTCCCGAATTTCAACCTTGGGATCCTGTCTCGACGAACCTGAAGCTCCGAAATCATACGACAGCCGAACCTCACTCTCACAACAAACCCACAAACCCACCACCACCAACCCCCAAACCACCGCAACAATGGCCTCCTTCGTCGCCCGCCGCGCCTTCTCTACCTCCATTCGCCGTCTCGCCGACGACCGCGCGAAGCAGCAGCTCACCCAGGAGTCCAAGCGCAACCCTGAGCTCTACGTGCGTGATATCCTCCCGTTCCAAACCCCGAAATCCTGACATCACTCGCAACCCGATTTCCCATTCCGCGAACACCCGCCGACCGTCTAGTCCTCCGTCACAACAATATGTTGTGCTCGTTATATACGTCGCTCAGTCGGAGTCATGGCGCTTCGGGTCAATTGCGTGCGGGGAGGAAAAAGAAATTGAGGCTAATTGAATTTTTGTCGTACAGATCCTCGGTGGTGTCATGGTCGCTGCGCTCGGCGGTGCTGGCCTCTACTTCGGTATGTTTCAATCTAGCGATGCACTCGCACCCTTTCCGAATTACCTCGAATTCAAGATCTCGCTGACCATTCCTGTGCAGGCCGCTCCCCCACTACGGCCACCTCCGAGAGCCCCGTCCTGAAGGCCGGTATGCCCTGGGAGACCGATTCCGAGGGCAAGTACAAGTACCATCCCGGCGGCAACCCCAAGAACGCCCCCAAGGACGCTCCTAGCGCCGTCAACTCCGTCATCATCCCCGACGTCACCCTCCCCAAGGTGCGTGATATTGCAAGGAATTTGACATCCCAGCGAAACAAGTCTCATTGTGGCGCCATTGCACCTGCCCGCACCAGATGAGGCTACGCTTCGGGATTTGAACTGAGAGAACCCCATACTGACTTACGATATAGGAGCTGCACGACAAGTACAACAAGTGGGGCAAGGACGGCTACTAAACAACTAATGATACCGGCATAGAGAAGACTAGCATTGGCGCAAGCTGTGCTACGGGCGGAAGGTGTTTTTCTTGTGTAGATAAGGAGAATTCAGACTTTACCACAATTTCCTTTTTTTTTTTTTTTTGCCATCTACAATGCTTGAGGGTTTCACTTGCTCATGGTGCAGACTTGGTTTAAAACAAGGGAATACTACCTCGGGTAAAACGTCCAAAAGGTGCTTATCCCTATGGCATACAATTAAGTCAGGAGGGCGTATGCAAAAACTCCCGAAACAAAAAGGATCACCAAGTAAACGTTAGGACTCCCCCCAAAGCCCCTCTCCCTCCCCCCTCTCCCCCGGGCAACGGCCTGCGCCCAAACTCCCCATTCTACAGCCCCCAACCCGTCTCTACGACGCGAGCTGCTCTATCTCATCCCCAGTGAAACCAAACAAGTACAGCAGGTCAAGCAGGCTCTCACTGTTTAACCTAGTATCGGCCTCCATCTGAACACGCGGCTTCGCGTTCCAGGCGACGCCAAGACCGGCCGCGCCCATCATCAACAGGTCGTTGGCTCCGTCGCCCACAGCGATGACTTGTGAGAGATCAATGCCCTCCTTACCCGCAATCTCAACAAGCAAGTCGCGCTTCCGCTCCTTGCCGACAATGAGACCCTTGACCTCACCGGTGAGTCTGCCAGACTCGTCAATCACAACTTCGTTGGCGTGGGCGTAGTCAATGCCCAGCTCTCCGGCTAGCCAGCTCGTCAGGGGCAGGAAACCGCCAGAGAGCACCGCGGTCTTCACACCGAGGCGCTTCAGAGCCTTGATCAGGCGTGGGACGCCCTTGGTCACGTCCAGCACTGGCCGCAGCTCCTCGAAGAAGGACGCCGGCAAGCCCTTGAGCAGCTGTACGCGCTCGCGGAAGGCGGCGTCGAACTCGAGCTCGCCGAGCATGGCACGGTGAGTAATGTCGGCGACACGCGCAGCCAGGTCAGGGGGGTCCTTGATGGTGGCGGCGAGCAGGTCGATTACCTCCTGAGTGATGAGCGTGCTATCCATGTCAAAGACGACGAGCCGGGGATGGCGGCGCCACAGGGTGTCGGGCTGCAGCGCAACATCAACGCTCCACTCCCTCTCAAAGCGGTAGATGAGCTCATGTTTCCGCAGGTCCGTCAGGCTGAGGTAGCTCTGGCAGGGGGCAGGGTCGAGGGTTAACTCGACGACACGGGGGCTCTCCTGGCTGTCGAGACAGCGGTGAGAAGAGCTGTAGTCGCTCTCGCCGGCAGGCAGGGGGAAGGTCGACATGAGGTGCAGGAAAGACGTCACGCACATGGGCGAGATGTAGGAACCGTAAAGATGGTCAAGCTTCTCGGGCTCGAGCGTAGGAGGCTCGAGCGGAAAAGACTCGGGATTCTGCGTCGGCGCAAAGTTGGCCGGGATCGACTCCTTGCCGGAACTGGCATCGGACGAGACGACGGGCGCGGCGGTATTTTGCGGCGGAGCGGCAGCACCGCTCGTAGAAGACTGCTTGCCATTTGGCTTATAGAACAGCGTCGCGATAAGGCGGGAAGACTTCTTGCCAGCGGCGGGGGCGCAGTTCGGATGCGAGTAGGTGTGGTTCAATCCACTATCGACGATGGTCGGCGGGTGATCCTCCGAAGGGACGCCATTGAAGGCCGCGAAGTTCTTGTGGTGCTTGGGTGGGGAGACGGAGACGTTGCCCAGGTCCTCAACAACCGTATCAATGCCGAAGCGACTCTCCGGATGCTGCGGCGGTCGATACTGCTGATGCTCGCGCAAGAAAGAGCTGCTCCTCATAGATGAGGTAAGCTGTGGTCGGGGAGACGTCGTCGACGACTTAGCGGGGCTTGCGTCGGCCATGGTGGACTCTTTTTCGAATTTTATCGTCGGAACGAGGCGGGGTGATGGAGGGGTTTTGGGGAGCTGAAGCAAAGATGGCGCGACAGCAACCTAACACAGCGAATCAGAGCTGTCGACGACGGTGAAGCCTCGGGATTGAGGGGAAGAGAGGAGGTCGGAGGGTGAGGGTCAGAACCAGAGCTCGAAGAGCTGCGATATCGTGAACAATAGCTTAAAGCCTCAGAGAACCGGACGACTCATGTTTCGAAGATAAAACATGTTTGCGTGGTTGGATGACAGGCGGCGGCACAAAGAGAGGCTGGCTGAGAGCGCTGGCACTGTGAGCCTGACTGTGTGCCCCGCCTCTCCGTCACTGGTCCGGAGCCGAAAAGTGTCCCGCAATTCCCGTGGCCGAAGGCTTGGACATCATCTCATTGGTCAGTTAGGCAACATGCGAGGTGCAGTTGTGGATGTTCTAGTCACGTGATTACCCTCTTAAAATTCTGATATGCCAAGCTAAGGTAGGTACACATGGCACGGTGAGCCTTCATTACATCACCTGTGGCTGATGACCCCCTGTGGCGAGTACTTGAAGGGCAGAGAACTAGGTGCTGACCGGATGCCAGTCCGGGATCTGCAGTGTTTCCCCTTTCCCTCCCGTGCGCCGGGTTAGCCTCGTCCGAATGGGCCGGTGACAGTCGTCAGAGACGATGCTGACACAGCATTATCATTTTTTCAGCAACCCCCCAAAGCATGTGTAGTGCAACAACGCACTGTCACTGAATTGTCATCCTGTTTAGTAAGTCGTTTCTTGTTTGTCATCCTGTCGCCGCAGTAGCCGATGGCTGATCATTGCTGCGTAGGCAGGCTGCGCCAGTCTCCGCCGTTAGGGAACGGAGCCATGCGGGAATAAGGCACATGCTCGAGCAGCAGGATAGGCGACTTTGTTGCGGTGTGTCCTGTTCGGAGCATAGCCTCCTCTCCTTGGCAGCCGTAATCGGCCTTACACCATGATGATGGCAATGCGATGGTCGAGAGTGAGCTGTTAGCTGTCACTGCAAACCATTCTGCGGGTGCTGGTTGTGATGGTGACAGCGACAGCACAGGTTAAGCGGCCTCCGGCAAGCCGTCTCGAAAATATCCATAGACTTTATCGGTCATGCAAGAAGTCCTTGTTTGGCCTTATTCTTTAAGCCAGAGCCAAAACTGTCGAGTCAGGTTTTCCGATGTGAAAGGCTCTTTCAGGCCATGTTGACACCATCTTTTAAGCATCCGGAAGCGGCCAGTGTGTGTCTTCGGGCAAAGTCGGTAAACGAGGTTCTCGCGCGGTGATAAAGGTCGAAACGAATCTCACATCGACACCCAACTGTGGATATGTCAGAAATTCCACGACGGTTGCCATGGATGATGCCTTGGAGCTGTGTGTTGGCAGATGAGATTATGTGATGGAGCTACGTGCAAAGTCCGGCGGCGCGGGTCTCTAATGGCCGGAGATCCTCCACTTCACCGAGGGCCGGTGTCCACCGACTGCCGAGCCGCCCGACAAGTGCGCCGAGTGCCGTTCTGCATCCACTAGGCCAAGCCACCTAGTGGCCCGGGCTGAATCACGTCTTCTTGCATCATGATGGCGAATTCGCGCCAGTGTCTCTCCTGACGAAGGGGTCCTTTTTCACTCTGGCGTCAACCTGTGGGATCATCATGAATTTTGGGGTTTCTTCTCACATCTACAAACACGGGGGACACGGCCCCAATCTATACTTTCAAGATTACGGCTTCCGGCTGCCGGGAACCGGTCTTAATAGCAGTTTAAGTCATGTAAATCTACTCCGGCACCCGGGGCGATGGCGCAATTGCGGGATGTCCACGGTACGGAGGATCCCCTGCCACTTGTATCCAATCATGTTTCGCCCTCTTCATCACGAAAGGTTTAGCGTCGATGTCGTGATTGCTCCCAGACCACACTTCGTCTTAGAGGATGCAAAATCCTCAGCGCTTGTTCAATGCAGATGCCTCAAACGAATTGCGATTGCGCAATAGCTGGGCGGGATCCAGTGGTCCGTTGCCATCTGCCTCCTCTCTCGGCCTTTGCTTCGATCGGCTTTGGGTCTAAGGGGAAAAAATCAAATTAGTAATGTTGGTTGATGATGCCCTGTGCCCATAATGATACTCCTCCCGCCCCCTTCCCGCCGTGTAAGTTCTCTTGGTCCTCCGAGTTCTCCTCATAAAACAGTCTTTCGCCTCTTCCTCCCTGTGCAATAATCTGAACTCTTCCCCAGACTCATCTCTTGCGTCATCTGCTTCTCATATCATCTCTTTTGACAAGAGCCGTACTGAGTGAATATACCCCGGGTTTTCAACACACCCTATTACAATCACACTCCTCGCTCTCCCCTGGGTTCTGTCAACCACCGCAACCCGTCTTCATTCAACCGTTCTGCCACTCCTCACGTAACACAACGAAAATGTCGTCCGCTGTCGAAGCCGCTACCGCGACGTCCTCCGTGGCGTCTTCACCCCGGCTGAGTGCCGTCGAGGCCGCGAAGCTGGAGCAACAAGAGGTCGAGTCCGGTTATGGTTCTGCCACCGATGCCTCATCGACGGCGTCATCCATCCCCGCGCTCCCTCTCATTTCCCTCACCAAACCCCACCTTGATCATCTCAACGAACAGCTTGAGAACATGCACCCCATCGACATCCTCCGCTTCTCCAAGATCATGTTCCCCAACCTCTTCCAGTCGACGGCCTTTGGTCTGACGGGTCTTGTCACTCTCGACATGCTCTCCAAGATCCAAAAGGAGAACCCCACCGCTGCCAACGTCGACCTCATCTTCCTCGACACCCTTTACCACTTCAAGGAGACTCACCTCCTTGTTGATCGTATCCAGGAGCGTTACCCCAACGTCAAGCTCCACATCTTCAAGCCCTATGGTGTCAACACCACCGAGGAGTTTGAGGCCATGTACGGCCCCAAGCTCTACGAGACCGAATCTGAAATGTACGACTGGATCGCAAAGGTCGAGCCTCTCCAGCGTGCTTACGCTGAGCTCGGTGTCGCCGCCATTCTCACCGGCCGCCGTCGCTCGCAGGGTGGTGCTCGTGACAAGATCCCCATCATCGAGGTCGATGACGAGCGTGGCGTCGTCAAGATCAACCCCTTGGTCAAGTGGTCCTTCAAGCAAGTCCAGGACTACATCAAGACCCACAACGTGCCCTACAACGACCTTCTCGACCAGGGATACAAGTCCATTGGCGATTGGCACTCGACTGTGCCCGTCAAGGAGGGTGAGGATGAGCGTGCCGGTCGCTGGAAGGGTCAGCAGAAGACCGAGTGCGGCATCCACAACAAGAAGTCGCGGTACGCACAGTACCTCGAGGAGATGGAGCGCAAGGCCGTCGATGCTAAGGCGGCGCCTTCATCGTCGTCCGAGGCAGAGAAGAAGGGTCAGGCTGCCATTGCCCCCGTCGTCAAGACGGAGCAAGAGGAGCAGGCCATCGCATCCGTATGAGGTGTCGGCCACAGATGGTGAATTTTTATAATGACTTGTACATATGATGCATGACGGCGTTATCAGGAAAATAGAGGACAGCACAGGATAGCATGCTGGAGTTCCGGTTGGATTTCGGTCACAAGACCACAATGTATCCCGCACATCGAGGATATACAGTCCTACCAAGTAGATAGGATAATGAGACAAAAGATGAAATAGTACATAAGATCTCCTTGAATGGTGAATATTGAAGTGTGAAGTGAAGTGCGGCTCTGATCTCATGTCCCGCTTGGACCCCGCACAGGGAACAAAAGTGGGACGGTTGACGACGTCTCATACGCGGCTAACGGGCTTTGGTGGACTTTGGCGGGTAACATGATAGACCACTATCGTAATATCTTAAAAGCTTATTTTGGCATCTAGATAAGCTGAGAAAGATCTCGTGACCTTTTTCCTTATTTTGGTGTGCCCACTGGTACGAGATGGGAATAGTCCAGGTCGTCTCACAAAAAAGCTCGACGTTATTTGTTAAGTCTGGAAGGAGCGCGATCAGCTTACTGGCGTGTCGATCATGGCCTTATTTGATACCGAACCAATAACGCGATTCAAAGCAAAGGAATGCTTACGAATTGTATGAGAGTGGTGGACAAAAGGAGTATTTATAAAGCCTTCTGAAGGTACTGGCTATTTCTCGGGGTAGACGAGGGCTCTTTTTACTCTCTATCAATAGATAAAGGTCAGCGTAGTTGTGATCACCGCCAAGTACGAGGTTCCTGAATGCCGACGTCGCAATATGGGGAGCGTCAGCACGTGCCGAATGATTAAGCATACCTTAAGCACAAGCGCAATTGATAAAGTCGAAGACTTAGGCCACCGGTGTGACTGTAGCTGGAGTCTTCCCTGAGGTGTGTGTGGTATTGGGGTTCTGCCTCGCGGTTGGCAGGCAAGACGCAGTTCCACGCGACATCTAGGCCAAGTATTGAATGAGCGCCAACCCGATGCCTCAGCACAAAAGGCAAAAATAAATGGTCTACTTACGGTTTCATATACATTCTTGATTTCAATATCATTAACTAAGGAATGGTTGCACGTGATCTCCGAACGTCTTCTCGACTGAGCATCCAGTGTGAAGTCACCTGGGCTGTGCCAAGGGTATACGGCCCTCAAACCTGTCAAATTTGAATAGATACTTTACGTGATGATTTTCAGGTCAACTATATGACCTTAGAGGAAAGAATTGTTGTTATTATATCGTTTTATGTTACCAGTGTGTGGATATCAGTGTCAAATTCACACTACAACCATGAATGTTTGAAAAAATTGTAACATGTCATTATAGCTCCAAGAGAAACCAAATGTCGCCCAAAACCAATAGTACGAGGTGCCTAAACTACAGGAAAACGATTTCATTTCTTTGACACCACCTAGTCAATCTGTTAAGCTCACACAATCAACAACTTAGCCCACATATGCCAAACGTCAGCCTCCATCACTCTGACAACTATCAACTTTGTTCAAACCGGGAAGACACAGCAGATGAACACATGTAATCAATATAAATTACTTGGAAAACCGGTCCAGCCGCCGGTTCCCAGCCATCTGGCGCCGCCGGGCGAATGAAGGTCCATCTTAGAAAACATGCCCAGGCACCGATCAACACCCTTGGCAGAGCTAGAGCGTATATTAAAACCGCAACACATGCACCCTCAGATAGCCTGATTCTACCGGGAAATGGCCTGCTTTATCGGCCTTGTAAAGTAGTATTGGAGGGTAGGACAGCGTGCAAAATAAGCTTGGTACCGGCTCAGAACCCGACAGGACACAGTGCATGCTGCACCAAATGACACGGTGGGAGTACCTCACACAACCATCACACACAATTTTCTGCAGGTTACTCTAGGGCCTCACTTACACGCCAACCCTCGGGACCAAAACAGGGAAAACGTCAAAGGACGGCTCGGAGCCCGACGCACCCCAGACGGGACTTCTCAAGAAACACCCGAAACGAGAGACTCGCATTTTCCCTCCCTCTTCCCCGTGATCGATTTCCCCCCCATCCCCCCCCCACACTAAGTTGCGGAAAATATGGCGCCGCAGCAACAACAGCAGCAGCGGCAGAGGCCACTGCCCTCCCCTCCCGCCACGTTCACGGCTCGTAAACACAAAATCCTGCAGCAGCTTAGCGTCCCTGACGCTGAATACACCGATGCCTCCCCCAAGGGGTCTGTGGACGTCGGCATCCGTGAGCTGATTGACGAGCTCAACACCCTGGATGGTTTCGTAACGACGAGTAGTTGCGCGGGGCGGGTGAGCGTCTTTCTCGAGGGACGCAAATCTGCATCCAAAGATGTTACTTCACATGTAACGCCGACGGCTGGCGAGCCCCAATCTCAGCCTCAAATTGAGGACGCTGGCAATGGGGGCCTCACGACGATAGCAGGCCCCGGAGGAAAGGGTGGCGGCGGCACATGGTTATACGTATCGCATGATCCCGTCTCAGGGCTGTACGATGAGAATGTTGACCTACTGCATTTCCTTGGTCTCGTGGACAAGACTGAGGAGAACAGGGAGAGGGGCTCCGGAGTATCGGGGAGCGCTCAGTCTGGGCGGCGGAGACGACGGCTTATACACTTCAAGTTCGAGCCGATGGTATGTAAAATCTGTCCGTCCCTACCATTTGTCCACGTACCCATGTACACCCATGCAGATGTGAAGTCATATCTAGACCCCGTGGCGTTCCACTTCCACACCTTATACATGCTACGTGCACTCTGCTCACATGACTGACCACCCCTCTCAGATTCTTCACGTCCTTACAGCATCTCCGTCTCACGCCCAGCTCCTTCTCAAGTGTGCCCTCGCAGCCGGATTCCGCGAAAGCGGTGCCCTCAACTTGCTCCCAGCCTCCACGTCACCGGATGATGAATCATCAGTGACTCCCATCGTGGGGGTCAGGACCATGGGCCTCGGCCTCGAGTCCTTGGTAGGCTACGTAGAGGACGAGGATGACGCCACCCGGCACTGCACTGTCTCGACAGACTACCTGCGAGACCTGGTCGAGATTGCCAACGAACGATTTGTCGAGAATGCGGCAAGGATCGCGAGGTTCCGGACCGCATTGCAGGAGGCCGTTGCGGGGCCGCCGGTCAAGTTGGGCGAAGGCGGTGCGGAGTGGGAGGATGCCGCCGCTAGGAGGGAGCGCAAGAAGGCGGAAGGGTTAAGGCGAAAGGAAGAAATGCTGGCTGCTCGGCAGAAGACACAAGCTACGAGTCCAGTAGTGGATTCTGCGGAGCTACCTGAATATGAACTCCACGGGCTGTGATGTGACCAATTCATTCGCCATCTATACACTTTTTCTTATCTTTGCCATTCGCAGCATGTTGTACATCACTACCTTTCTCGTCTCTTTGTCCTGATACCATCTACAGCAGGCACCATCTCCCCAAGTCCCATCACAGAAACATAAAATAAAAAGATGGAAAACAGAGAGGGAGAGAAAGAGAGAGAGAGAGAAAAGCACGCCCCCCCCCCAACTATTATCACGAAAGTGTTCTTCTTTTACGAGACGACCTTCTCAACCCAACCCTTCTCTAACCGCTTCACCTCCTCCTTGAACGCCTCAACCTCCTTCCAGCAGTCAAGCGGCCGGCGGTCGTTCTCGCGCAGGCATCGCACAACTTCGCTGCGGGCCGTCTCCACGCTCTGGGGGAGCTCACGGATCTTCTTGCGCTCAGCAAGCTTCGTGCGCAGGGCCTCGATCTCCTTCGTGACGCTCTCGTGGCTGCGCTGGCCCTCCGGCGCGGGCTTCTCCTCGGCGGCGATCTTTTCGTGGGCGAGCTTGAGAGCTTCCGACTCCTTTGCCTGCAGGCGCTTCAGCTCCTCGGCAACACGGGCCTGAACCTGGAGCTCGGAGAGCTGCGCGCGGGACGCATCGGTCTATAATTGGTCAAAGGTTAGCCCTCTTCTGGTTTTATGCGGGTTTGTTGTGTGCTCGTTTGAAATCGCGCAAGGGGGGGTTGCCGAGACAGAGAACTGCATTGCGATTGGGCACCACTGGGCGAATTGAACAGGTGAAATAGGGAAGAAGAAGGAGGTGATTAATTACCTCAGGACTAGTCTGCAGGTGCTCGACGAGGTCGTGAGAGATGCCGGACGGCGGAGGGCTGTTGCGCGATGGTTAGCCGATGATGCCATTCCCGATGACAGCAAGACGGATCACGGGGGGAGGAATTGAATCAGACTTACGCCTTCCACAGGTGTGGGGGCGTGTTGGAAGACGGCTTTGACTCGCTGGCACCCATGATTGCGGCCTCAATGGCTTCGAAGGTGGTTTGGATGTTTGGGGCCGTTATGGTATGGAATTTTCCGGACCCGTGATAGCCAGCGGTCGTCGAGCTGCAAGCTCCGACAGGCCGGAGGTGCACGTGACAGGAAGGCGGTGATGGAAAGCTTAGTCATTCTGTCGAAAAACAGCATTATGTCATCTTGTCAGGGGGTTTAAAATCTGAACATGACCGCCAGGTGTGAGACAGCTGGCAGCCAGCTCTGACGACTGCCCACTCCACGGCTTCGAGTAAAGTTCTGGAAGATCTCGTTGATAATGAGCCAGCACTAATTCTCTAACCACTGGGGATCTGCCCGCCCGCAGTCCACGTCCACATCCACGTAAGTGACCCCCGCGCCCCTAGCGTCTATCACTTATTCAACGCACTTCATCACCGTCATCTTGTTTCAAGGATCGAAGTCGATAATATGGGCGGAGTTGTGATCTCTAAGTCTCACAAGGCCTACGTTGTTTAGGAAATGCGGCAACATGACGGGAACCAGATTCAACAGTCCGGTTATCTCGGCGGCGAGTCCTACGACAAGCACTTCAAAAACAACATCCAAGAGGCCAGGATTTGCACCCAAAGATCCCAAAGACGTAAGCGAACTTAGGCGACCGCCAACGGACGGTAATATGCCAAGTCTCAGCTTGTTACGGTGCCAAGAGACGACAAGATGTAGAACCAAGATAAGGTCTTCTTGGACTAGAAGGTGACCAGTCGAAAGACTCGGAAAGGCGGGAGAGAAATGAGCGGACTCCAACAAGGAAATGGATGAAATCTCACGAACCGTCCGAATCTTTCGGCTTCATGTGCACGTGTTTGGTTGGCTATTGAGGGGTGCTAATGCATGCCATGCACACCTGCCTACGCTCACCTGAGGCGGACGGGGCCTGCAATATCGTTGAAACAACAGGTCACCGAACAAGCAAATGACTTCATGGGTTGGCACGCACGCTCACCCACCTTTGCCCACCTGTGGCTTCCAGGTACCTCCCAGGGCGACGCAGCCTGGACTGGGCGGCTCGCCTTTCACCAGGGCAAATTATCGTGGCTGCGGCCACTCTGGACGACCCGGGCAGGCGGTTGCGAGGAGGCCCACGATGCCCATAATGTCCACGATGCGCCCCCTCCACCCTTGAGGGTTCGAAAGGGCGGCAAGGCTCTTTTCGGAATCTGCGTCCGAGAAGGGCTGTTGGGGCAGCCGGATTGGTTTATTTGTTCGCGACGCCGCTTGACCAGGGACTCCCAGCTTACAAAGCGCATGGTTCCGCTAGGGCACGGCTGCACCATCACATCCCGCAATTTGTTCGCGGCCGAGGCCAGCAGCAATTCATCAAAGTCACTGTGCAACTGTAGAAATTCCGCGGCTGGCTCCTGGCTGTGGCCACCGAATGAGAAGCCCATCAACCGCGGTAGGCAATCCCTTGCCGGTTGCTGTACTATGGTGGAGATCTCTGACGGATCTTCACCCCCAAGCTGCGGATTTTCACTGTGTCATTAATTTTTTTTTTCCTTCCTTTCTTCAGCACTCTATCGCTCGGAGCGAAGCGAAGACAAGGGAGCCTGACGTCGATGGAGTCATGGCATTCTATACAAGACAGAGCTTGGGCTTTTGACAGATCGGACAGGCCACACAGACCCCGCGAACTGCAGGCAAGGTAGTCGATGACGGCAAGATAGTTTCTTTAGCATGAGACATAGTTTCGTCAAGGGGAGATCCAGATGACGAACGGGCGGCCGGAGCATGAACCGTTATCATATGGAGATTGTTCGATTGTGATCCCTCGGGCGGCAGGGAATAAGTCAAGATGAAATGGGATCATCCAGATATGGTATATGAAAGACGTAGATGAACATTGATGAGGTGGGTGGGTGGGCGGCCACGTCCGACAGAGTGTCGTCAGATGTCGTCAAATGAATGCCACGGGTCGATCGGCCGAGAGGGACGGCAGAGTATTATGACTGAGACGGACGGCCTGATTGAAAGATGAGGGGCTGATTCACATGCTTCTATACTAGCATTGTGGCCCACGTACAATTTCTAGCTTCTTGATGATTTTCTCGCCCCTCTTTGAGCGTTGCGGCAACGTCAGGTTTATCCAGTCCAATGGCACCTTGGTACCGTTGCCGTGTCTTCCAGCCCTTTCCGCGGGAGGGTAAAAGATGGATACACTAATATCTGCGCATCTTATGGCTCATGAGGAATATGTGCGCAGTATACAATGTCTGTGTCACCCGTTCCACATCTCATCGGAATTCGGGTCCTTCTGTTGTGGGTGCAAGACGCACTACGCAAAATCGAGTGTAGTGTCGCCTCGTATGGCGCGTCGCAGCCGAAACTGACTGGGCACGGATATCTTGGGTTGGGGGTTAGGATCTTGGGGTACGCTCGCCTCATGGCGCCCGACCGAACGGATTTCTGTCTTTGGGTCAACTCGCACGGCCAGCTAGATCCAGCTTGGAACCGGGCCCCATCCGAAAAGGGTGGACGAACGATGGAAACAATCAAAAGACCGACCCCAAACTGAAGGATGAATTAGTTGGTCTGTGATGTCTCTCGCTTCGGGGCCTTCGGCTGGCTAGGCTGGGCGATAACAACGGTCATGGGGTAGCAGGCAAGCAGAAAAAAAACAAAGACAATTCGCCTATGGATTTCTAATGGCAGCCACACAAGGGGTTTACCATTAGGATGAGGCCTCTCAGCCAATGGAGGACACCCATTTTGGTTCCTGTGAACGTGTTCCCTGCGGCTAGGCGGTGGATGAGAGGCCCAGCGAGGCCCAGCGAGGCCCAATTAAAAGAAAAAAAATAAACGGCCAAGAAGAGGGACCTGTTCGGTGACTCCTTGATCTGTTTGGTGGTTGTATCCCCTCTTCTCACTCATGCCATGTGCAAGGCCTGTCGTGTTCAGGTAGGTCCACTGGCCGAGAAGCAAAAGAAAAAAAAGAGGATTGGCTACCTGTCTTGGCACCGTAGCAGCGGTTGGCACTAAGCCATTGGCTCAATCTGTGTTACTGCTCCTCCCCCAGTCCCTGTTCATCCGGTCTGTTCCCCTGTCACTTTCCTAGCCCACCATAGCGCAGCCCCTGGGCGGGTTTCGCTGTCAAGCCCAGTTTTGCTGCCTAGGTCCTCGTCCCAATCAGCATGTAGTAGCACAGCGCGAGCCAGTCGATTTTGAAGGAGTAAGGACCGACCAAGCGGGCTGATTCTGGGCCAGTCAAACCAGTCAGCGGCCAAGACAATGGCGAAAAGGCCCGGCAAACACTGGGCCATTTAGATTGTGTGTTTGGCCAGGGAACACGGCCAGGTGAAATCAACGGCCAGCACGCTCAGCAAGCCACCTGCATCCTGCTAGCCAGTCAACCAGTCAACTGCTCCGTGTTCCTGATCCTTTGGGAGAGTGCTCAGGATCTTTCCACCCCTCCCTCTTTCTCTTTGGCCCCCTTCGCTGTCTGAGAAACAATTTTCTTCACTTGTAGGCGAGGATACCCTTTATGGTGTTGGGTGATCCAGCGCAGGTGAGTCCGCTCGAGACGAGAGTCGGTCTCGTTCATTCCGGTCGTCATCCCCAGAGTATGGACACAAATGCTTGGCCCCCATTTACAGTTTGCTAAGTTGTGACGAATATACCCCCTGAGTACAATTAAGGTGTCCAAAGACAAGGGAAGCGAATGAAAATCATGGCAATCAGCAAACCCAAGCGGCCAGGGAACATCCCTCTAGCCTCAGCGAACGGCTGCGCTGGATCTCAATGATTGGCACCCAGGGATCGACTCCCTCCTGTGCCTGTCCTAGGGTTCTGATAGTAAAACCCATACAGGTAATATGAGAGAGTTACGGGAAGTATCCGTTCTACTATGTGCGCAGCTCTTTGCAGGTGCCACCCCTGTTGGGGCCCCCTGTAATTCACCCCTCCTTTTTCTGCCATTCGAGGCTTGGAGCAGAATGGTGGTTTCCCCGTTTGCCTGCCCTGCTTGAATTGCTTTGCTTTGCTTGATCCATCTCATCTCGCCGCCATGGTCATCTGCTGGCTCTGGTGCGAGCAGGAACAGATGCGTGGGCCGATGAACATGGCGCAGTGAGTCCATTTCAGCACCAAGAGGATCCGAATAGGATTAGACTGACATGATGGACAAAAGGCCTCTCATGATATCCCTGGAAGGTGCTTCCCTTTTTGGCCGCCATCAATCAAAAGAACCTGCGTGTCTGAATCTGTCTGCCACAGGCGAATGAGTGATAGAGAGCAAGGAGACCGGACGATTCGGACGTATGTAGGGCCAGCGGATAGCCGCGCAAAGAGAAAAAGGGGTACATGGCTAGCGTACCGCGGATGTAAGACCGACGCAGGTACCTTTGGTTCTCGTCAGATGCCACGCCCTGCTAGGCCTTTTCTTTCGTAGCGTATCCGCTCGACACGATTCTCTCATCCTCAGCCTGACGCTGACGGATACTTGCCGAGCCAGCTGAGATGGCAGTGACCTTGATGTACCACTGGACCCGACAAAGAACAGAACAGGACAAGCGGCGGCCTGAAGATGGGGCCTGTCAACGGCGATTCGTAGGTTACGAGCAGATAGATGGTCCCAGTCGACCCAAGCATTCCCGTCATCCCCTTGCACGCCACCCACCAGGGGGAATGCACCTTGTCACCCTTGGCTAGCAAGCAGCAGCAACGCCAGTCCAGGTCCCCCAAAGAGGAGACCAGAGAGGGCCAGAAGCCTCAAGGCTAAGAGGAGAGGGGAGACCTCTCGGCGGCGCTACCGTGGGACCCCCGGCCTTCTCACGGCACGCAGGAGTTGTGTAGCCAGTTCTCATAAAACTACCCAGAAGCCTCGCCGCCGCAGCCTGGCCCATCCCAACCTCTCTCTGTTTCTCTTTTCCTTCCCTCGAGGATTGTCGTCACTGCTGACTCTTTTTGACTCTTTTTTCTGGCCAGACCAGCTTGCTGGATTTTTTTTTTTGGAATTCGACCATTTTTTCTTCTTCTTCGAGATTCTTTGAAAGGAAAGAGGCTGGGACAGTCTGATTAGCTTGCGTGGTCATCATTTTCTGGAGCCGAGCACCGAGAAGAAACCGTTTGATTCACTTCCCGGTCATTTGCACTACCAAAAATACAGCGATACACCCACCAAAGTACCCATATAGGACGGAAACAACGGCCGCGACCCCGACACCCCCGACCTCACTCAGGAACTTACACCACTCAGTTGTGCCTTCCTGCACCTCACCTCCTTTCTCAACACACGCCTTTATTTTCGCTTCACTTTTTTACCACCCCCCCAAAAGTCTCGTGAGGTTCACTAGTTGAACTTGCCACGCGCAAATCTGAACCTGCAAATTGTTCACCTTCTTTCCCGAAGTAGAACAATTTTCGCTCGTTCTTTCCATTCTTTTTTCTTGAGAAACTCCCGTCAGCGGCGGTACACACTCGTTTTTATTTTTATCCCATTCCCAAGACACCACAACGCCACATAGCGACTTTCTCCAAGACACCAAGGAAAAAAGGCTTAACGGTCGACCGTCTAGCCCATCTTGTTCCACTTTATTCGTCTGTGGACAAACTTGAACAGACCTTCTGTTGTTGCTGTTTTCCAAAGAAGGACCACCGATATCCTTCATTCACTCGTTTTTTCTGGGTTCCCCACAACACGAGGATTCCGGTTTTCTAGATTCCCAAAAGGACGCGGCACGAGACCTTGCGAAGGGCCAGCTGAGAGACGCATTAATATATTGACGTCGCTCCTTCCCTTCCTAATACGTCAATATACCACAGCCACCGAGCCCGGAAACTCATTTGGTGCCCGCTTAGGCCTTCACCGCACCTTCGATTACACCTGTGTGATTCCCGTCGAACCGGCTTCTTGCTCGGCCAGATTCAGATCGTCCTAGCTTTGTTGGGATCGCCAGCACTCCCACCGCACCTTTCAACCACCCCTGGCTTTGCTCTGCCGTGTGGAGGAAAAAGATCAGCACGAGGATCTCGACCGCTTTACCTGCACCTCGACGTTGCCTGACCCGACATATCGTCAGTCACCCGCAGCATCGGTACCACTACCTCATTCCGAGGTTGGTTGCATTCTTTCGTCACGCAAACTGCGCCAACTCACCCCACGCCATCTTCGACACTGTGTCGGTACCTCACAAAGACTTCATTGCTTCGGAACAGGCTGACTGTATCCCGATCCTTTCTTTGTCACTGATTCTATCGTCACCGCACAATGACATTGTACCTTGGCCTTGATTCTCAATAACAGTGCGCCTCTTCTCACTCTCACTTTCCATTTTGCCGGACGATTCTAGCAAATCCGCAACCATTCTACGGAACCTGCCTATACTTTGACCTCGCGGTTATCACCAAAGAACCCTGAACCCGATTGGAGCCACCCCTGGCACATCCAGACCAGTCTTTACTTGGGAACATCCATATACCCTCCTTCACCATCCACACCTCGACTTTGAATTTCATCTACAGCAAACGACAGAAAATCAGTCTAAAATGGATTTTCACCGGCGCAGGCTCGCCGGCCTGGCGGATCTTATCCCCACCAAGGTCCTCCTCGAACGTGCTCATGCCGAACATGGCACCGAGGAGCCCTCGGCCACCTCAACCATCTCCCCCTACCACTCCAACCTCGACGGTGTTAACCAACCCGTCAACATGCTGTTCAAGGACATGCTCTGGGCTAGTTTTGGCGGCATGGCCATTCTCGTTCTCGTCATTACGATAGGTCGCATCCTCTGGGCCCAACTCCGTCACGTCTCGGCCATGAACATCGAGGGCGAGAGACAGCATTACTGGAAGGTCGCCCAATGGAAGTGGATGCCCAGCTTGAAGAAGCACCTCATGTATGCTCCTCTGTGGAACAAGCGTCACAACAAGGAAATCAAGCTCTCGAACCTCGGCATCGGCACCCTGCCCTCGCGCATGCACTCTCTCATCCTCTTCTTCTACCTGGCCAGCAACATCGTCTACATGTTCTTCCTCAACTGGGAGAACAAGAACATCTACTCCTTCTGTGCGGAGCTCCGTGGCCGCTCCGGAACCCTCTCCGTCGTCAACATGGTGCCGCTCATCATCTTGGCCGGCCGCAACAACCCACTCATCGGTTGGCTGCATGTCAGCTTCGACACGTATAATCTCCTTCACCGATGGGTCGGTCGCATGTCCGTCATCGAGGCCATTATTCACACCATTGCCTGGCTCATCGTCCAGGTTGCTGACAGCGGATGGGAGGGCGTTTGGTATAGAATGTCGAACGAGCTCTTCATCGGCTCCGGTATGGCCGGCACCATCGCCCTTGCGGTTATCATGATCCTGTCTTTCTCGCCGGTTCGCCACGCTTTCTACGAGATCTTCCTCAACGTCCACATCATCCTCGCCTTCTTCATCTTCCTGATGACCTACATCCACTGCGCCGTTGCCGGTCTTCCCGGTGGTCTTCCCCAGCTTCCCTGGATGATTGCCATCTTCATCCTCTGGTTCCTTGAGCGCATGGCTCGCATTGTCCGCGTTGCTTACCTGAACTGGTCTGACCGCGGCGTCAGCGACGCTATCATCGAGGCTGTCCCCGGTGAGTGCACTCGTGTCACCATCAACCTCCCGCGCTACGTCGACGTCAAGCCTGGCACCCACGCCTACCTGCGCTTCAAGGACATCCGCCCCTGGGACTGTCATCCTTTCTCCGTCGCTTGGGTCGAGCACATCCCCGATCATCGCTCCCTGCCCCTTGACGAGGAGAAGATCACCCTGACCGCCATCGACAAGAAGCACACCACCACCTCGATCTCCTTCATCATTGGCGCCCACAAGGGCTTCACGCGTGACCTGTACAACGTCGCCCGTCAGAGCGGAGACCGTGCCATCCGCATGAAGGCCTGTATGGAAGGTCCCTATGCCGGCCACCACTCTCTTGACTCATACGGCCACGCCGTCCTTTTCGCAGGAGCCACCGGCATCACCCATCAGATCTCTTACCTCAAGCCCCTCATCGACGGCTACAACAACGGCAGTGTGGCCACCCGCCGCATCACCCTCGTCTGGATCGTTCGCGATTACGAGGCCCTCGAATGGGTCCGCCCCTGGATGGACACGGTGCTTCGCCTGCCGAACCGCAAGGACATCCTCCGCATCCAGCTCTACATCACCCGGCCCCAAAACTCCCAGCAGATTGTGTCGGCATCGACAACAGTCCAGATGTTCCCTGGACGCCCCAATATCCCGCTTCTCATGAAGCGCGAGGTTCAGGAGCAGCTGGGTGCCATGTGTGTTACAGTTTGCGGACCAGGTGCTCTGGCTGACGATGTGCGGTCGGCTGTGAGAGTTGTGCAAGATGAGGGCACGGTGGTTGATTTTGTCGAGGAGAGTTTCACATGGTAAACTCATCTCCATCCATCCTTTCGCACGAAAACAGAAAAAAAAACATGACCGAAAGAGGAAATGATCATCTTTGGTTTGGGCGTCAACGGTACCAAGCGACTTTTTTTTATAAAGAAGGGGACAAAAGCGGTGTTTTAATTTTCCATCTCGTGGCTTCTGTATGTTCCGACATGCACGACACTTTTCACGGCCGATCCCTTGTCATAATGGGCTCATTTTCTTACGCTGTACATATTTCTTATACCAACGCTTCTTTGCATCGGAGGGTTTTTGGGACTGAGGAAGGAGAATGGTGGGATCTACCCGTCCCTTCACCCTCAAACATTCCTCCTCTCTTTTTTTTCTTCCCTTTTCTGGGTCTTTTGTCTAATTGTTGGAATGTATATATCCCCCACTACATCTTCCACTGCGAGACAAAGCAGAGGGTTTGATGTGCGTACCTGTTGTACATATCGCCCGTCATGAAGATAGAAGATAGACAAGACGTCTAAATCGCATTTCAGAACAAAATCTTGGGTTCCCTTGCCACTCGTGATACGCTTCAAATTGTAGACTTGTTGTTGTTGAATTGTTTCGTGACCTGTTCATGTATGTATGCTGCAGCTTGTCTGACTTGAATGTAACTGTTAAATAGGCTGTTGAATTTCGCCAAGGTAAACAAACTGTCGCCCCCGTTGTCGTGTACCAAGGGACGGCCCGGCGGCCGAAACATGTGGCAGTGACTCACACGTTTTCGATGTAGAGAGTAGACGGCCGGCATATACACACACGGATAGGTCGGCTGCCAGGGTCTAGCATGAAATGACATCTCTACGCCCTTTTGTAGTCAATGTTAACTACATTGAGATACATAACCGATGCAGCTGCTCAGGGTTTGTCGACAACGATTGGCAATTCTGGTTGGGAAAACTATTTGTTGGCTCAAGAGGGGGGCTGGCTAATAGAAACATGGGATCGTAGATTGTTGAGACATCTGTGACTCACAAAACGCTTACGGGAGAAACATGGATTGCGGACGGAGTTGTTCTTCCTGCAACACTAGCAGAGTTACGAATGAGGCGATTTTGGAATTGTGCTCCTTGTTAGTTTTGGAGCGCCTGATCTTGGATTCCAACCTGGTTGACATAATGATGGAAAAAGAGGGCGAAGTTGTTGGACATTTAGAGGCTGATTTAGACATTTAAGAGTGTCCGTGGTAATTATAGCGTGGTCATAATTATTGCCAGTCTATACCGGCAGGGTCCTGGTGGGCAACATTGACGGTTGATTAGTAGCTGTCGTGTAGATATTGCTATAGAGAGAGTATGCTGCCCGTGGGTCTGGGATCTTGATCTACAAGTGAGTCATGCCTCAGCGTACGTACGAAGCCGTATTCATGCCAAAATTCATACCAGCGATGGAAGCGGTGAGCAGAACGGCTTGTAAACGAGACATCGGGATATACAAAATCCTTGCCATATTTTACCAAGCTGAATAAAGTAGCGGGAAGTTGGAATTGAGCTTTGTGAAGCGGCAAGCAACGGTGTTACAACCAAGGCTCTCCCCGGGGTAGCCATGCAAGGGTAAGACTGCGGTCAAATAGGGTGGTTACCATTGGAAGAACGATCGATCGATGGAGCCCTGGATCAGTCTCCAAGTCTCATTGACCGTGGGGGTGGACGATATTGTTGTGTCGAGGCTTGGATGACTGACGTTGTCGTCCGCAATGGGGGACCCACGATGTTGCGAGACTATCCGGCCGGTCATCGGGGGTTAAGCAGGGGGCAGTACCCACCGCCGACCCTCCCGGGGCTCTTGATAAGTCCGTCGTGAAATCTTTACACGATTTGGGCGCGGAAAACTTGATGGAAGACGAGCGATGTTCGGAAGGTTAGCACGGCTAAAATCGGCATACCCAAGTCGACTGTTCCATGTTGTCCTATTAACGACTTTGCAGAGCAACACTGGGAACAGACTACACTACGAAATAGCATCATTCGTAAGAGTGGATTCTGAACGGCTTGAAGGGGGATTTATGTGACTAAGCCATTGCTGGTTCTCGGGCAATTCCCTTGCTGCTGAGTCAGTTCAACATCTTGTACGTCAGATGGTGGTCATGCGCTGGAGACGAAGTTGCTGCGGTTTAGGGGATGAAAGCTGAGGAGAGGCCGGAATGATAATCATCCATTGGCTGCAAATTGAATGGCGGTTTGAGGATTGGAAGGGAGACCCCTTCTATTGCCCCTCACTGCTCTCGCTCCAGCCGCCTATTAGGAAGGGAAAAAAAAAAAAAAAAAAAGCAAGGCGAGGACGGGTTAGTAGGTGTGGTGGTGGTGCGATTGGAAGACCAGTGCAACCCCGCCATCAATGTCGGCCAGTGTGCGACATCGGCCAATCAAGTCTGTTGTATGTTACTCCTATAGGGCGCGCGGGGTGGGGACGGGGGGACTCGGACCTGCCCCCACCCTGTGACATTGAATTTGGAGAAGGACGAGGAGGGACAAGGGAAAAAAAAAAAGGTGAAAAAAAAATATTTTGACTGCCGGTCAAGTTCTATTGGAATGCTCCTGCAGCTGCCCTTACGGCAACCATTACGGGAGATGGGATTGGGTGGCGGTACTCATTTTTACATATGGCATCATCTTGTACGCCGTCAACCGGCTTCATTGTGGCCAGTCTCTTTTTTCCCCGGCCAACAAGCAGAATAATCAGTGTACTAGTAGTATAATGAAGCGCTGAGAACAACTGGGGCCTTGCCTGCGCGTTACCGTTTAAATGATTGCTTGCTGCGAGTTCCATCAAGTAGAATAGACGGGGTAAAGATGTTCATGTACACTGGAGTGTAGAGTGTACGTACCCCCTATGGCTGCCGATTTTGGTGGAGGGGAAAAACCAAGAGTGGGCTACCCGTCAACTCACTGCGTCTTCGTAGTCCCGTCTCTTTTGCGACTGCGAACCTTGTGACTCAATCTATCCCTTCTCCCCTTGACTGTGATCTTTTCCTTCTGACGACCATCTACAAATACCCTCTTCCTGCTTGGTTCTCTTACTCTCCCTCCATAGCAGGTCAGCCTTCTTTTACTCTTACACCCATTGTGACGCTGTCGCACCCGGAATAGATCCGCTCTACTTACACCTCCACGAATCTGCCCCGCACCAGCCCAAAATGCCGATGTAGGTGACTCAATGGACGCCCAAACGACACATCACAAAACGGATTTCGAGGAGCAAGACATAGCTGACATTTCTTTGTCTACAGGCTCAAGGATCCCTCGACAAAATACAAGCCCTTCCCTCCCCTCAACCTCCCTGACCGCCAATGGCCCTCAAAGACCATCACAAAAGCCCCAAGATGGCTGTCGACGGATTTGCGTGATGGCAACCAAAGCTTGGTTGACCCAATGGCACGTTGATTCCGATTTTTTTTCTGTTTTTACCGAAAGAGAGCACCATTTACTAATACCGTGTCTCAAATACAGAACGGTGACGAGAAATGGCGCTACTTCAAGATGCTTTGCGAGTTGGGTTACAAGGAAATCGAGGTTTCCTTCCCCTCGGCCTCGCAAACCGACTTCGACTTCACCCGCCGCCTCATTGAGACCCCCGGCGCCGTCCCCGACGACGTATACCTTCAAGTTCTCTCCCCATGCCGCGAGGACCTCATCAAGAGGACAGTAGAGGCCATGAAGGGTGCCAAGAACGCCATCATCCACATCTACCTCGCCACGAGCGAGTGCTTCCGCAGGGTAGTCTTTGGCTTCACCGAGGACGAGAGCGTTGAGCTCGCCGTCCGTTGCGCCAAGCTCGTCCGCTCCTTGACTAAGGACGACCCATCCCAGTCCGGAACCAACTGGCAGTTCGAGTTCTCTCCTGAGACCTTCTCCGATACCTCTCCAGAGTTCGTCGTCCGCATCTGCGAGGCCGTCAAGGCCGCCTGGGAGCCCACCGCCGAGGTCCCTATCATCTTCAACTTGCCCGCCACCGTCGAAATGTCCACCCCCAACGTCTACGCCGACCAGATCGAGTACTTCTGCAGAAACGTTACGGAGCGTGAGAAGATCGCCGTTTCCCTGCACCCTCACAACGACCGTGGCTGCGCTGTTGCCGCCGCTGAACTCGCGCAGATGGCTGGTGCTGACAGAGTCGAGGGCTGCCTCTTCGGCAACGGTGAGCGTACGGGTAACGTCGACCTCGTCACCCTCGGCCTGAACCTGTACACTCAAGGCGTCCACCCGAACGTGGACTTCTCCGACATCAACCGCGTTATCGACATGGTTGAGGTCTGCAACAAGATCCCCGTACACCCGCGTGCTCCCTACGGCGGATCCCTCGTCGTCTGTGCCTTCTCGGGCTCCCACCAAGACGCCATCAAGAAGGGCTTCCAGGTCCGCGATCAGGAGGGCAAGAAGAACGAGGACCGCTGGCAGATCCCCTACCTGCCCCTCGACCCCACCGACATTGGCCGCACGTACGAGGCCATCATCCGTGTCAACTCCCAGAGCGGCAAGGGCGGCGCCGCCTGGATCATCTTGCGCAAACTGCAGCTCGACCTCCCCCGTGGTCTGCAGGTGGCCTTCTCCAAGGTCGTGCAAGACAAGGCTGACCAGCTCGGCCGCGAGCTGCTGTCAGACGAGATCACCGATCTGTTTGAGCAGACGTACTACCTCCGGGAGAACCCCCGCTTCACTATTGTGGACTACAGCATCACTCCCGATCGCTCGCAGAGCCCCGCGCCCCCCGCGCCTGGCAAGACGCAAGACACCAAGAACCTCAAGAGAGTGTTCGAGGGAGTCGTCGCCATCGACGGAAAGGAATACAAGCTGCGCGGACGCGGCAACGGTCCTATTTCCAGCTTGGCCAACGGCCTTAAGAGCGTCGGTGTTAACCTCGATGTCGAGGACTACAAGGAGCACGCCATCGGTGCTGGTCGCGACGTCAAGGCCGCCACGTACATTGAGTGCACTGCCACGGGCACCAAGCAAAAGTACTGGGGTATCGGCATTCATGAGGATGTGGTTCAGAGTTCTCTGATTGCTCTCCTGAGTGCTGCCAGCAACGTAAGTGCCAAAATACCTTCACCAGCTATCCCTCCATAAAATATCATTGCTAACACATGTATTACAGTTTGTTGGTAGCCGCCCCGGTAGCCCCATCCTTGCCAAGCCTATCCCGACCAGATCTCTTAGTCAAGAGCTGGACCTCGGAGCGAACGGAACCAACGGTGCGCCTCAAGAGACGCCGAGCGTTATCTCGGTTCTCGAGGAGAAGGCGAACGGCATGTAAGAGGAGATTTGGATAGCATATACGGTGCACACCTGGCATGGAGATGAGTTGATGGACAAAAGTTTGGTTTGAGTCGCATTTTCAGTGACATTTCAAAAAGGGGATCATGGCCTAAGGCGGGTGTGGGCGGTCAACTCTTCGGCCCGTCGAGTTGGAAAACAGGGGGGTTTTGCATTTTCATCAATCTGAAAGGCCGTCGTATTAAAGGGTCTTTGCTGGCCCGTTTTCATTTTGTATGTTTTGAACGGTATGTCTCATTGGAATGAACGAATCAGAAATGGTCAAAGTCGGTATGAGTCATCTCTGGATAAGTGCACACATTTGGAACGGCATATGGCTTTGAAGCATGTCTTAGCCCAGTAACGGTGGTTTGTGCGTATGTGACAGAATGGTGGTAGGCATTTTGGTAAGGCAATTGAAGAAAGTCCGGTCGAATCCGGCTGTGTGGGAAAGGGATGACGTCTGACTCGGGGGCTCGGATGCTGTCACCCACTGGAACCCCTCAGGAGAGGGGGAAAAAATAAAATCAAAAATTAGGTAGGCACACGGGTATTACACGCAGACAGCAGCAGCCTTACGCACACTTACTCGCTGTCCTGGGTAGGGTAAGGCGGGAGGCACAGGGCAGGGCCAGAACCAGAGCCAGGCTTGCTCGTCTTAAATGCCAGCCTATCTCCTTGTTTGTGTGCTTGTCCACGGACCAAGATGACGGAAGAGGGGGTGATAGGTGCGGTGGTTGAGACGAGCCTTTGCCTCGTGACGAAACGAGGGGCAATTTTTGTCTTTTTTTTTTCTTTTCTTCCTCGGATTGCGGTTACGCCTGCGCATTTGAAAATTAAGCCCTTTTTAGTCCCCTCTGTCTGTCGAAGACACAACGTAAAGTTTTTTATGCATGCATCTGTTTCTGCGTCCTGCGCCGAGACAGCAACGACAGCCTAGCAACCATGACAACAGCTGCAGCCCTGAACACACTGAATTGTGTAGTCTTTCTGCTTCTGTCTTCCCCCCCCTTTGTGGGGTTGATGGTACCGTTGGGGTTAGCCTCACTGTCTGGTGGGCGAAATGAATGTGGTGGGGAAGAAGCTGTACTTTTGGGAAGCTAAGACGGCAGAAAAAGATACATAGATACGAGTGATGTGGAGTGCTGGATTCAAGGTATCTTCTGATGAGAGGGTAGCACAGGGGCAGTCTATCAGGATCTCGTATACGTACCTAATTGGTACGTACACAGTGTTGAAGGGTATGGCTGCAATAGGAAAGGAACAAACAATGTCCCGCATCCATCATTTTACACTCCCACAGCCTGTTTACATCACCGGCTCTACTCTGCAGAAAAATCAGACAGTAGCAATAAAAACGTGACGTGAAAGAGAAGGAAGACAGAAAAAGAGGCATTTTCTGAAAGTGTAGAGAGTCTTGTCAAACACTCCTTGTCGAGGTGTAGTGCAATCCCGCACATGCCAAAACAATATACCATAATAGGTAGGCTATCTGTGGAAGCAGACAGAAGCAGCCCCTCCTTGGGCTTTTTTTTTTCTTTTCTTTTTTTCCTTTTTGCATCAGAACCTGTATGCTTCCCCACACTCATTTAACGCCCTTTTCTGTGTCGCCCACTTTTCTTTTAGTACGAGACGTACTTTTCGGACACTGTTGGAAGTGGCGGTTCGGTTACTTCCAGGGGGGGAGCAAAACGACGCACTGTATTGGATTGGTGCCCTCAAGAGGCAACTGCCTACCTGGCTGTCTGCACTGTCCATGGTGAGAGTGGAAGCGGGTGAGTCGTTCGTCTGCCCGCATCTTTCCTAGACGGTACCTGGAGAGTCACCGCACCTTCCAGCCCACCACAGTTAGTACCAGGTTTGGGGTATCTGTTGCAGCCTAGAGGACCACTACCAAGAACAACATTAGCAGCACGACCACAGCCTACCACAGCCTACCACAGCCTTCCGCTGCTCTTCCCGCCTTCGCTACTGCCCGCCGCTACACTGGGTGCCACTGGTGTATCTCCCGCAAAACCTAGCTACTAGAAGGAAAACGGGTCACTGGCGCAGCTCTCCCACTTACTCTCTCACCTCTCTCCGATCGTCAACAACCTCGACAGGTCCCGCTCCTTATTATTTTTTCTCCTCTTCCACCCAAAAAAAACCCCCCAAAGAAAAAAAATCCTTACATTACTCACAACTCTTCCCGTCTGTTGTTGTTGCGACCAATTTCTTCCTTTAACGGTACGCACCTCTAATTTCTTTCCCGACTTTACCCCAAGACACCAAGCCGTGTCGTCGTTAGTCGCCAGTCACTCAGTCCTAGAAGACTTGTTTTAATACGGATACCACAGAGCGAATTCTCTCCCTCTCTCTATCTCTCCGTCGTTCAGTCTCTTATTTTCCCCCCTCCTCTCTCCCACTCACTCTCTACCAACAAAAACACACCATACACACCACCCTGGCCGGCACCCGCCTCACCGCGCGAACTCTGAACCTCCCTCGTCTAGACCGCCGCCGCAAAACAACCACCCCGCGTCTCCCGTACTGACCCTAAGGTGCCGTGCCTTGAACCCTTTTCTCCCACCTCCTGACACGTGCAACCTGTCAACGAGAGCCCCCCCTCCGAACCTGTCCTGCTACCTCCCAAAACTGGTACTGGTTCGGCGTTACACCTCCTGCTACATTTCATTTTGAGCGGCAATCATGTCGAGCTCAGAGATCAACCAGGTTTTGGCCAATTCGCTGTCGCCTGGTAAGTCTTGCGTCGTCGCATTTCTTTTTTCCCCTTCTTCTCTACCACTGCTGTTTCCTTCCCATCTTCATCAACATCAGCGAATCCACTCCTGGTCGCTACGGCGATGAGACAGTCTCTCACCCCCCCCCCCCCCCCCCCCCCCCATACCTGGGCCACTTTACCCCCTTAACCCGCGCATCACGAACTTTGAAAAAGTGAAAAGATCATCATGAGACTGACATCGTTTACTAGACGCGAACTTGCGCAACGCTGCCGAGCAGCAACTTACACAAGCAGCTGAGAACAACTTTGTAAGTGCCCGCCCGCCTTTCGGATCCCCAGTCCTCATACCCCCCCCTCCCCCCTCCCCCCACCGCTCGAAAGTTTTTGCTAACCGAGCTCGCCTTTCAAACAGCCTCTATACCTCGCAACCCTCGTCCAGGAGCTTGCAAACGAGAGCGCCGACGGTTCCATCCGTGCCGCTGCCGGTCTCGCACTCAAGAACGCCTTCACCGCCCGTGACTTTAACCGCCACCAAGAGCTCCAGGCAAAATGGCTTCAACAGACCGACGACGAGACGAAGACGCAGGTCAAGAACTTGACTTTGCAAACACTGGCCTCGTCCAACGCCCAGGCCGGCCAGGCCGCCGCCCAGGTCATTTCTTCTATTGCCGGCCTTGAGCTGCCCAGAAGCCAGTGGCAGGACTTGATGGGCATCCTCGTTAAGAACGTCAGCGAGGGCGCCGAGCACCAGAAGCAGGCCTCCTTGACCACGATCGGATACATCTGTGAAAGCCAGGACCCCGATCTGCGCACCGCCCTTATTGCCCACTCCAACGCCATCTTGACCGCCGTTGTCCAGGGTGCCCGCAAGGAAGAGACGAGCCTCGAGGTCCGCCTGGCTGCTATCACAGCCCTTGGTGACTCGCTTGAGTTTGTCGGCAACAACTTCAAGCACGAGGGTGAGCGCAACTACATCATGCAGGTTGTCTGCGAGGCCACCCAGGCCGATGACTCCCGGATACAGCAGGGCGCCTTTGGCTGCCTGAACCGCATCATGGGTCTCTACTACGACAACATGCGCTTTTACATGGAGAAGGCCCTGTTCGGCTTGACCATTCTTGGCATGAAGTCTTCGGACGAGGACGTTGCCAAGTTGGCTGTCGAGTTCTGGAGCACTGTTTGCGAAGAAGAGATTGGTATTGAAGACGACAACGCCCAGGTAAGAACAGATAGTCAATATCTGCTCGCAACGACCCACACTGACGTTTTTTTTTCTTTAGGTCGAGAGCGCCGACCAGATGCGCCCCTTCTACAACTTTGCTCGCGTAGCTGCCAACGAAGTTGTGCCCGTCCTCCTGATGCTTTTGACCAAGCAAGACGAGGATGCTGCCGATGACGAGTACAACCTGGCCCGTGCCGCCTACCAGTGTCTCGCTCTTTACTCCCAGGCCATCGGTGCCGCTATTATCAGCCCCGTTCTCCAGTTCGTCGAGGGCAACCTGCGTGCCGAAGACTGGCACCACCGTGATGCCGCCGTTTCTGCTTTCGGCGCCATTATGGACGGTCCCGACGAGAAGGTCCTCGACCCCATTGTTAAGCAGGCTCTTCCTATCCTCATCGGCATGATGGACGACAGCTCCCTCCATGTCAAGGATTCTACCGCCTACGCCCTCGGCCGCATCACCGAGAGCGTGTCGGATAGCATCGATCCCAACCAGCACCTCGACCCCCTCGTCCGTTCCCTGTTCAACGGCCTCATGAGCAACGCCAAGATTGCCTCTTCGTGCTGCTGGGCCCTCATGAACTTGGCTGAGCGCTTCTCTGGCGACTTCGGTGCTGCCCAGAACCCTCTTACTCCCCACTTCAACCAGAGCGTCACCAACCTGCTTGGTCTGACTGCTCGCCCCGACTGCGACTCCTATGTCCGCACTGCCGCATACGAGGTCCTCAACGTCTTCGTCCAGAACGCCGCCTCTGAGAGCCTGCAACCCATTGCCTCTCTCTCCGGAGTCATCATTGAGCGTCTCGAGGGAACCATCCCCATGCAGAGCCAGGTTGTCAGCGTCGAGGACAAGATCATGCTTGAGGAGATGCAGACCAGCTTGTGCACAGTTCTTCAGGCCATCATCCAGAGACTGGACAAGGAGATCATTCCTCAAGGCGACCGCATCATGCAGACTCTACTCCAGATTCTCAGCACCGTCGGCGGCAAGTCGAGCGTCCCTGATGCCGTCTTCGCCACCATCAGCGCTCTTGCCAACGCCATGGAGGAGGACTTCTCCAAGTACATGGAGGCTTTCACCCCCTTCCTCTACAACGCCCTGGGCAACCAGGAGGAGCCCAGTCTCTGCGCCATGGCCATCGGCCTGGTTAGCGATCTTACCCGATCCCTTGGCGAGCGCAGCCAGCCGTACTGCGACAACTTCATGAACCACTTGCTGCACAACCTGAAGAGTCCCTCCCTCAGCAACCAGTTCAAGCCTGCCATTCTGCAGTGCTTTGGCGATATTGCTGGCGCTATTGGCGGTCACTTTGAGACATATCTGTCCGTCATTGCGCAGGTCCTGCAACAGGCTGCCACCGTCAATGCCGGCCCTGAGGGCCCTTACGAGATGTATGACTACGTCATCTCCCTCCGCGAGGGTATCATGGATGCCTGGGGCGGCATTATCGGTGCCATGAAGTCCGGCGGCAAGAGTAAGTCCAAGTCTATTCTTCATGTTCCTTTACAAATGCTAACAATTTGCAGCTTCCGTTCTCCAGCCTTACGTGTCTTCGATCTTCCAGCTGTTGAACATGATCGCCAGCGACATGAACCGCAGCGAGGCTCTCATGCGCGCAGCCATGGGTGTAATTGGCGATCTTGCTGACGCCTACCCCAACGGCGAGCTCGTTGACATCTTCCGCCAGGATTGGCTCACCGCTCTGATCAAGGAGACCAAGACCAACCGCGAGTTCCAGCCCAGGACAATCGAAACCGCCCGGTGGGCCAGAGAGCAGGTAAAGCGCCAGGTTGGCGGCTCTACCAGCGTTATGGCCCAGACCTGAGCACGTTTCTCAGTACTCTGATGCTACTTTCTACATGTTTGATTATTCACATCTATCCCCCCAAGCCCAGCACGTATCCTGGAGCAGCCGGTTTCCACACATCGAAACCCGGATCTGCGTCAAACCAGGAGACAGCACAGCCCATATGACACTGCACAGCATCGAACACGGAGATCTCTCACGTGTATATAGACGCCTTACACAATTTTTCCCCCAAAAGACTAATATCACCAATACCCCTTGTCAGCACCCTTCCCATCGCCTCACGACACAACACATCATCAACCCCTTTGCCCCTTTGGCTGTATCTTCTGGACTTTGATTTTCGCAACGGACGGCTGGATTAGAGAGGAGGCGGGAGTCCTCATTGTCATGTACGCCTCGCATAGAATCGCGTTGGCGACCTAAAAGTCATGTAGAAGGAGTTTCCCTCAGAAGGAACCGGGAGTTTGCTATTTTCATTTTCCAACGGGGAAACGAGAGCAATGAGAGACGGGGAAACGAACGACGTCAACATACAATTCGGAGTCGGCCGCATCCTTTCCCGGCAGGCAGCCCTATCAAGTGATTTGGGCTATCGGGGAGGGAGGAGTCCCTGTCTCGTCAGAGGCGCGCGCTCTAGGCCGTGTTGGTTGCGATTTCGTCGAGACATCTTTCCCGGAAAAGGTACTCGCGCACGGTGGATGAGATGATAAGAGACGCCTGACGAAATGGGCCAGAAAGGAGAGTGTAGGGGCATGTGAGGATGCAAAGACAACAGTCCTTCAGAGGAGGAGCGGACATTGCGAAACGGTTCCAAACATGTTGTGACTGGGCCAAGTGGTCACTGTCAGGCACTGTTTTGGTAGTCAGTCGTAGGAGAAAGTTCAATGAGTTTTGCCCCCTTCAATCATGATGCATTTGTGAGTGCTAGATGACTTTGATGAGGTGAACGGTGACATGCCCAACAAGCTGCGTGATCGTATACGTCCTTTCCGGCTGTCTCTGGTCCAACAACTCAACATGATGGCACTCGAGAGTGAAACAGACAATGTCGAAATCAGCACAAACTACCGCTACGTTATTGCCATTTCTGTTCTCTCTCTCTCTCATATGGCCCCATGCAAGCCCGACTTACGATCTGCGCAGGATACTACAGAACCAACCCACAGAACGCCCGTGGAAAATGGTCACAGGAAGTTTAAACAACAGATCCTTGGAACATGTAACCCCACAAACTCCTCCTCCTCCTCCTCCTGCTCCTCCTCCCCCGGAGCAAAGCGGGCGAGAGGACTGTGAGGTCATGCGTCCCGCTGATCAGGGCCGATCTCGTCCTACGCGGAGTAAGGTGTCGTCACTACAGATCCCATCCCCCCCCCCCCCCCCCCCCCCCCCCCCCGGCCTGTCGGCACCTTTTGGTTGGGAACGTTTGTCGAATTGCCTAGACGGTAGTAGCGGCGTGATATGTATGTAGATAGCATAGCGAACATGCGATGGTGTGTAATTGCCACGTTATCGATATTCGCTACCGGTGCTTTCGTTTTGCGTGTGGACAGCAATAACAGGGTGACCGTTATTGCTGCCCTGAGCTTAAAAAGAAATTCTGCGAGGGACGGGGCTATCCGCCGCGGATCGTCATACTGCTGCGGAGCATCCATGGAGAGAGAGAGAGAGAGAGAGAGAGAGAGTAATTGCGGTCTTTTTGAGTTTTTTTTGGGGGGGGGGGGGGGGGTGTGTGTGTTGTTAGCGATGCAGGCTGGACCCCGGCACCGTTTTTCATGTACTTTGTTTTCTTGTTTCGTATCCCTCCCCCCCCCCTCTCCTTCTTTCCTTCCTTCCTTCCTCCTGGGTTGGGTTAATCTGGCGTGGGAGATGCCGGGGTAAGTGATGCGTGATTTGTTGCTATTGGACACGTGGAATGATAATTTGGGGACACAGAGGGTTTGATGTTTGTTGTTGCTGTTGTTGATGGTAGGATCTCGGGCTGCCCTTCCTGATCGTGGTTCCTGTTGTAACTGATAGTATCAACGTCTAGGTTATTAGTAGCCATTCAAGCGAACCTCCAAGAACCGTAGGTATACGGTACCTGGCCGTTTCTTTTCCCAAGTGCGGGCCCTTGAAAATAACATGTCGCTTTGTCACATGAAGTTTGCCCGAAGAAAGAAATCATAGCTTGTCAAGAGAAGCAAAAAAACGATGACCATGAATAAGTACAGAATTTCACTATGGTATCTCTTCTGAAAAGTAAAACGTGTACAGAGACAGGACTCGACTTGCCTCAGTCACCAGGAAATTCCAAACGCCGCCGTCGAGGCTATATATGTACAGGCCCTATTTTCTCGTTTTCACACACCTGCGCCGTGCCGTAACCTGATATATACCGGCAAAAATGACGCAGACCCTTTTTGCCTTCTAGAACCATGTTCTTGCAAAACCCAGTCTAAGACGCCGTCCGTTTGTAAATCTCATGTCCCTCCCTCCTTGTCTTGGTTTCGTAGAATAATAAAAACATTCGAATGGTGTGATTCGACAGGATGGAAAAGTTAGTTTGGTCCGAACCAGCCCAGACCCGCCGCGCCGTTGCCAATCCAGCTAGTTGCCTGTACGGGAGCCGTTCCATCGAACCAGCTTTGCAGCTCACACTCGAAGCCGTCGGTGCCGGGGCCCAAAGTGATATTGACAGATTCAGGAGACGAGTAGAAGGCGGCAACGGTGGCTGCGGTGACCGCATCGTATGGGGTCCCTGGTGATGGTCCTCCCACGGGGCTTGTGTCGAAGGCAGCCGCCTGGACAAGCATGCCCATGCCATTGTTCGGGCTGTATGGCGGTGGAGCCTGGGCGTACATTGCTGGAGAAAAGTGCTGCTGCAGCTCGGGAGGTATGTGCTGCATTTGCGCCTGTGGCTGATGGTGAGGTTGGGGTAGATGTGATAGGTGGTGCTGCTGCTGTTGTTGGTGCTGGAGCTGCTGCATTTGATGGTGCTGATGCTGATGTTGCTGCTGCTGCTGCTGGTGATGTGTAGAGGGTTGGTGTTGCTGATGAACGTGAGACTGCTGGGGCGTGTTCAGAGGTGGAAGCGGCAACGGCGCGTTGTGTTGCTGCTGCTGTTGCTGCTGGAAGTTGGGAGAAGGGCTCGGGGGAGGAAGGATGTTGGAAGTGTTACTGCTGGTGCTTCCGTGACGGATAGGAGGTGGCTTCTTCTCGTTGAGCGGTGTCGGCGGAGGGCCGGGCATCTGGAATTTCGGCGCTTCGGTGCGTTGTTTGCCAAAGGCTGAGGGAGAGGGATGCAACGGACGCAGGGTGCGATCGTTCTGCGTCGTATAGGTCAGTATTTGCCCAGTGGGAATGAAGGTCAAGAGGGGACGTACGCCATCTGCCATGCTGCCCTCCAGGCTGTATGCAGTAGCCTTGGGATCCCGCGAAAAGCGCTCCAGAGACTCGAGCCATCGGGATGCCAGCGGCCATGTCTGCTTGGATTCGATGAGAATAGACATGCATCGTTGAAGCATATTAGGAGCTTGTGCCACAATCGACTTATCGGAACAGACTGCGGTTGTCAGCGTGTTTTCTCCAAGTTTGAATCTTTGTTACCTACTGTTCTTGTACTTGACCAGATACGTCGAGAAGAGACCACAGCTGTAGACACAAAACGAAGCCATCTGAGCGCCAACGCCCTCTTCTGACGATCTTACACTGAATTGCGCATCGACTTGCTCGTATAGGTCCCGCACGTTACGGAAGAGGTCATCCGACATATGCGAGAAGAATGCTCGGCGCTGGGGGTCCTTATCGTCCGTCTTGATGATACTGTTATGGTTAGTGTCTGATTGGTGGAGAGCTGTTGATTTCGCCCACGTACTTGTCCAAGTATGCCCTCCTCAGAACGATATTGCAGAGCTTCGTGATCATCGTCACCCCCAAGTAGGCCTAACTTGGTCAGCATTATCCCCCCCATTGCTTGGTGCAGGTCCTACCAAATCCTCGCCAACTGTCTTGTGTCCCTTTAATAACACCATGCTCCAGCGATGGTCTGCGGGAAGCTGTTGCTCCCAGTGCATGAGTTGTTTAGCCATAATCGCATATTCGCTCGTCGGATCCCAAGGGTTTGCGCTCTTCATGGTTGCCATTGCGCGACGCGCCACTTTACCCCAGTAATAGTGCGCCTGTATTAGGCTGGCGAAAAGAGATCGTGACGGCTGATGGATCAAAGCCGGGTTATCGCGAGCTGGCGGTGTATCCTCAAGCGCCGCCCGTGAGAAGGGCTCGCGGCCGTTGGCAAAGTCGTCTTCGTTACTGGGGAGCAGGGCGGTAATATCATTGGCGGCGAGCGAAACAGGAGAGAGAGCGCCGCAGTGGAGGTTATCCTGGCCTGTAAACGTGTTAGTAAAGACAATTCGCACATGCATCGCGGACTACGAACTGTGCAGCATCCACTAAGAATCGTTAGCATTCTGTCTCTCATACTCTGCTATGAACTTACCAAGGTTCTCCGTGCAGATTCGGCTCTAATGATCATTTCTTTCGTGGGATTCTTCATCTTGTAGAACTCTTCTCGGTGTAAATGCATCAAAACAGCCATCCTCGTAGCAATGCCAATGTTTATCTTTTAACGATTAGCCAGCATCGTCGGTCATTGTGTTCCAGCAACTTACGTAGCTCCTGTTCCTCCAACCGCTACCCTGCTGGGCTAGACTGAGCAAATAGAACGCCTGACATCGTTCCAGCGTCGGTTCTTGGTACAGTTCGTTCAGCGCAAGATTGCTGGCCCTTTCCATGAAGAAGTCGACTGCTTTCATTTCTCCTTCGAACCTCTCGATCAGGGCCGGAGAGAAGCGCGCTGAGATGCTGAGGATGCCGAGCACAAGGAAGACACTGACGGAACGGTGGTCGCGCTGCAGCTGCTGAGGAAACAGCACCTTCGGAATAAAGCCAAGTTGAAAATACTTGCGCGTGAAAACGTAGACGGCATCAACAACCTCGGAGAGCGGTGGAAGATGCTCCCACTCGTCCGCAGGTTTCCGGAGTGCCGGTGCTCCTGGGCCCCGGGGGATGGACTCGGAGGCACTGCGTCGTGCCTTGTCGGCTTCTCGCTTGGCTGTCTTTTCGGCCCTCAAGCGTGGGTGGCGATACTCGCGATCGAGGTCCGGCTGGCCACGCTGGGGGAAAACACTACCCTCAGTTAGCTGCGGGAGGCGAATGTCAGGAGAGGCTCGCAGTACCAGTCACTCGCTTGCAGGCCTGCCTCAGCGCAAGATTTGCATGGCGGCTGTGCTTTGTCATGAATGCATTTGCTCCTCATCCGTCGACATCTGCGCAAGGTCTCAGTTTCCCAGGTCGTGGGCAGAATATGAGTTCATGATGGTTACAAACCTTCGGCAGGCGATTGGGGCCCTGCGCTTGATTGGGGGCCTCGACTCACCCTGCGACTGCGGCACAGGGTCGTAGGCGTTGAGAGAGTCACTCCTGACGCTCACGTTCGCACTCATTTCCAATGCCATCACATTGGGCTTGGTGTCTTCGTCAACATTCATTGCATATCGATATGGACTTCGCCCAGCCTCGACGGCCTCCAGGCGAGCAACTCTCTGTATGAGTGACGCAGCAAGCAGGCGGATAGCTTCGGGATGTGGAACTTCTGCTCAGGTGGTGGGAACGGGGTTTTTTTTTGGGATCGACGCGAAGGATTGCGGAGAGCAAATCGATGCGAAAATAAGAAAGCAGGCCAGAAACCAGTAGTTCGGGAGCTGGGACCGCTTGACGTTTTGACGGGGGCGTGGGGGTTTGAAAACAGACGAGGCGATTATAGGTAAAGGGAGACAGCGAATCTAGTGGCCATCGGTCGTGATCCGAAGTGTTGGAGAACGAGACATAGGGTGAGTATCTCCATCAAAAAAACAATGCAAATCCCATTCAGGTTTCAAGCAGGATTGAGAGAGCCCAAAACTGTTAGGCTCCCTAGCCCTGTCTGGCCCCTGAAATGTTCAAGCGTGCTTGGGTTTAGAGTTTACCGGCTGTTCGCTCTAGAGCCAGTGATCAACAGCATTCCAAGCTGCCGCGGCGTTGATGGCGTAAATAGGGCCACTCAGTAGGAAACGTTACGTCTTCAGGGATGCCCTCAAGCTTCTTGAATTGGTCGATTGTGCTAAAGAAACGCAAGCGAACAAGTTCCAGGGGGGAAGATTCCCAGGGATTCGAAAGCCAGGCGCGACTTGACGAACACGGGGGCGCGGACGGCGTGTCCACAAGTGCAAGGACAGAAAGCTTGCCAAGGTTAGGTGGTGGACCATGCGCACTCCTTAGTTGGCCCATTGAGGTGAAGGGCAGTTGCATTGGCCTCAGAATTGGGGTAAAGACAGGGGCCTACAGCATCGGCAGTGAAGCACTGTTCCACTGACCACAGGAAAAACGGCCGCGTCTCGACCACCGGTGGAGGGTTGCTGAGGAGCATCTCATGTTCTCCTACACATAGACTAGGATAGGGCTCACGGCGGGCGTTGCCTTGTTAGAGGAAGCTCGTCGCCGCCGCGAGTCAGTTGGATGATGGGGGCTTAACGTCATGACGAATATGGCTATGTGAAGGTTGGATTGGGGGTGTGTACTAGTACCTTACGGATGGATACCTGTCAACCCGTAGGTGGTAATATCGGATGGGGGCCAGAACGGAAGAAGAAAACGCAGATCGATGCCGCGGTTGATTGATCTCTGGAGTCCTCCGTGTCCGTAATCTCATTCTCTCATACCTTGTTGTGCTTGTATGATCGGACTGTTGGTCTGGCAGTTCGGTGGCCCCCCCGACCCACGTTCACAATCCCTTCAGGTGAGGCATTTGAGTACAGGCTGAAGAACACTTTAGAATTGCTCTGAATGCGATTGGGCCAAGTGCTCGGACCTGTTCGCGCCCGATCGGTTACGATAGCCTTCTAGTCCAGTTAAGCAGCGGATTGCGTTGGGCATTTTCCTCTTCCGCAAGGACTGGCCTGTTTTGGGATGTAGCGTAGCTTTGTCATGCCCTGGTCGATATATGGCTAGTTTTACTATTACAGGTTCATAGTGACAGTTGGAAGTTCGGCCTCTTTAGTAGCCCCCGAAAGAAAATCAATGGCACGGCGTATATACGTGAACTACGCCAGGGGACGGACAGAATGCTCATTTCGTACTTTTACGAGGCCCCTCCGCCGAAGTGATGCCGGTGTCTCCATAGGATGAACCCTGATTATCTTGTCATTACCCTCTCGGTACTTGTCGATGTCCGACCTTTGGTCGCCCGTCTGATCAAGCTTAAGTTTTACTTGCCGTGAGACACACCACATAAAGGGAGAGGGAACCAGGCTGAAGGGTCCTCCTCTGTGCGCTCTTGGGAGGCCCAGTCTAGATGTCGATCAGTTCATCCTGCTGTCGGTGCGGTAACGTCTGTGGGCTAGGGGCAACAAAGAATATGATGTTGGTGACTGCTCTAGGGAAATGGTTCGCTAGTCTAACGCCTTGGTCGATGGTTACTGGTAGTGTTGCTGGCCACCAAGGCCGCTGGGTTTAGGGCGCGGGTACCTACCTACTCGATCTCCCGGAGATTGCTACCGCAGAGAATCGGTCTACGTAGTACCCAGGGAAGAGTAGCATGCCCCACCCGCCATATTGTTCTTGGAATTCGAGTATTGTGGCTGACGAAGAGGACAGTCTCAATTGTGGCTTTTGTTCAAGCCACTCCTGGTGCTGGGGAGAGATGTTATCGTGCCATATGTTCGATCATCATTGTCGCCGTTCCGTTCCTTGAGCTTTCCATAATCTGATTCTTTGTGTATTACTTTTTTTCTACACTGCCCAATGTGAAAAGGTAATAATCGTATCATAGAGCGTGCGAGTTAAACATTTGCAAGATAGGTAGAGAGCGCATTTTTCCTAGGCCCAATTCCAGCAATGCCATTGGGCTTAGGATATTCTTTTGGCTGTGGATGTCTGCAACGACATAGACAAACTTCCAAAAGCAGGCTTACAGAGGAATTCGAAATTGCATGAAAAGAGGACGATGCTGTCTGCTTTTCAATTTCTTTTGGAATTTCACATGAGCCCGTCCCAAACCATATCTACCCGTTGTTCATGGGTAGGAATTGCTTATTGCCCTGCCATATAGTTAAGTTTATTGAGCAATGCACTTGAGCAATGCACTTGGACGTCCCGGACATTGCTTGTTTCTATGCACAGTCGGTTGACCGGCAGCCTTTGTATAAAATTGAACGACTCTGGCAGGACGAACTGGCGGCTCAGGCATCCCTCTCTCCATCCTTTCGGCACTTGGTACCCCGAAGTTGGGGCAACCATGTCGGGGTAGTCCTGTTGGCTTGGCGATCTGAGAAGCTAGATTCTCTCTCCAATCTCCCGCCTTCCCGAAGGGAAACGAAGACCGGTGTATTTCCACCCATCACGGACCGCCCTTTGCAAAGCTTCAGTGGGGATAACGGGGTACTACCCTGCTGTGGCATATGTCGCCGTAAACAACTGACTCCCCCCGGCTTTCATTGAACTAATGGGTAATAGTTAGCGAACCGCATCGTGGTCACGCACGACTCCTTCCCCTCACCGTCCCAATTGTAAGGCGCTCAACTGAGTGAGGAGAACTATGAGCGACGGCACCAAGTTGCCGGTTTATGCACCTCAATGCTTGTTTGGGGAAAGGGGAAAAAGTCTGGGGTCAAAGTCGGGGTATGGCCTCGGGCTTTCAACCACCGATTGAAAATATTTAGGTGCGCGTCATGCCTGCCATTTGGGAGTATGATGGGAGGTTTAGCACTCGAGCTCACGCCGACTTGAGCCGCCTTGGTTAACGATCAATTCTCGCCCTGACCGAAATGAGGACCGCTCTCTTTGCCACCGCCCTCGCCGGCCTGGCGTCCACCACGCTCGCCGCACCGGCCAAGCCCGAGCCTTTCCTGACGCAGGTTGACAATCAGACGTGGATTATTGGCAACGATGTCTGGAACATGACCCAGGGCCTCAAGTACGGCGTGAAGCTGAACTACAAGAACCGCGACCTCGTGGGAAACGCGGTTGGCCACTACGTGAGCTACAGTACGTTTTGTTCGGCTATCACATCATGAACCTGAGCTGGAATTGACTGACACACTTGCAAAGACGGCGCTGCAAACGACATTGCCTGGACCTCTGCTAGCATTGTCAAGAGGTGCAGTTACAAAGGCACTCCTTATATCGACGTCAAGTTCACCTCCATCGACGGCGACTTCCATTGGGTCATCTTCCAGGGTCTTGCTGGTGCCTACCAGTACTTCGTCAACCACAACCTCCCTACTCTTGGCGAGTTCCGCACTCTTTGGCGTCTTGACAACACCACTTTCCCCAAGGGCAAGACCGATCTCCACGACAAGGAGCTGCCTCCTTTGAGCGACTACCTTCCCCAGAACAAGGTCCAAGACGAGACCTGGCTCACGCCTGACGGAAAGGGTTACATCACCAAGTACGACTTTTCCGATCATATCCGCACACAAAAGTACTACGGAGTGTATGGCGACGAGGTCGGCAGCTGGTACATCAACGCCGGCAAGGATTACTATAATGGAAATCACCTGAAGCAAGAGCTCATGGTATGCTTTCCTATACTCATACAACCGCCGCTGTTCTGACACCTCTTAGGTCCATCGTGAGAGTGCTACTGGTGATGCCGTTCAGCTCAACATGATCCACGGCACACACTTCCAAGTCTCTGCCGTCGACGTCTTCCCCGACGGTAAGATGTGGGGTCCCTGGCTCTGGTACCTGGTACGTCTTGTTCTCGCTTCTCCCCTGCTAACCGCCCTTTCTACAACATGGCCCTGACATCCTACAGAACGATGGCTCCAAGGAGGACGCCGAAGCCCGTGCAGACTCCGAGTTCGCCGCTTGGCCCTACCGCTGGCTGTCCGACCCCGATTACCAGTCCCGTGGTACAGTCAAGGGCAAGCTCGTCCTCTCCGACGGCCGTCCCGCCGCCGGCGCCGCTGTCTTCCTCGGCGACAACCACCCCAGCAAGACCGCCCTCGACATGGGCTCCGACTACTACTACACCACCTATGCCGATGCTTCCGGCGCCTTCGAGATCCCCAATGTCCGCACCGCAGAGGCCGGCTATGCTCTCCAGGCATGGTCTGCAGGCGGCAAGTTGGCGGACGTAACGACGCAAATCCTTCACAACGACGTCAGCATCACTGCCGACAAGACGACGGACCTCGGGACGCTCAACTGGGCTGTCTCCACGCGCAAGCGTCTTTTCCAGGTCGGCGACTTCGACCGTACCTCCCGCGGCTTCGCCCACGGCGGAAACCCAGACTTTGGACACGCCATCATCGCATCGTGCCCTGCTGACATCACCTTCGTCGTCGGTAAGTCCCAGACGAGCGATTGGTGCTATGGCCAGACGTACAAGGGTAACTACACCATCCGCTTCACCATCGACGAGGTCCCCAGCCCCGCCCCCGAGACGGCGAACTTGATTGTTTCGCTGGGCGGATACTCCACCGGCGCAAGCAGCGTTGTGTTGGCCAACGGCCAGCAGGTTGGAAACCTCACCAGCGGTGCCGTCGGTGTTGACTCCACTTCCGGACTACTCAACGACCCTTCCGTGTACCGTAGCGCAACATCCCACGGCGAGTGGCGCTTTTTCGAGTTCCCCGTGCCTGGTGCGTTGTTGAAGAAGGGCGACAACGAGGTCACGTTCCAGCTGACCCGAAACACGACCTGGAGGGGTTTCATCTGGGACAGCATCGTCCTCGAGTGGTAAACGGAGTTTGTAAAACAACCAGCAAAGAAAAAGAGATGATAATGTTTGATTCACCTTGTATACATATTATTCCGAGAACACACATTTCTTCTCGTGTACGTAGCAGACGATAAAACATAAGCAGCACACATTGATATATACATGAGAGCACATACGAATTTCATTAAATTTCTGCGCCACTGAGAGATTCGTGATTTTTTTTTCTTTCTCTTTTTAAAGTCCATTCTTCTTCTTCTCAACCCACCGAGTACGGTCGACGGCCGTGTTAGGACATGTGACCCATCCGCACTCTTTGTATGAATGTACACTACTCTAAACAGATATATATATCATGCGCTCACAAATTACTCGCAACACCCCACCCCCCCAACGCCTTCCCACCGTCGTCAAGTATCACCCAGCAGGACATTCCTAATAACCCACATCGCCAACTAAGCATCAGCAACAGACGCATCCGTTGCCGTCTCCGGTTTCTTCTCCGCGTCTTCCTTTGGTGCGTCTTCCGCGGTTGCAGGAGGCTCGGCTGCTGGGGCCGGATCGGCAGCAGGAGCAGCCTCCTTCGGCTCTTCCGCAGGCTTCTCTGGCTCAACCGGCGGGACCTCGGGGAGAGGTACCGGATTTTCGACTTCAGGCAGCTCGGCAGGCTCGGGGTGCGGCGCCGCAGGTGGTTCGGGAAGCGGGGATTTACTCAATTCCGCCTGACGATTCAGCTCCGTCTCCAAGCCGGCCAACAGGTCAGGGCCATCATCAGTGGTGACAAGCGGTACTTCTGCCACGGTGGGTGGGTTTACTTCGGGTTCTGCGGTTGGGATTTCAGCCAAGGGTTCAGGAGGTGCGTCGACTGTTGGTTCGACAGGTGGCTCGACGGGGGCTGGCGGAGCATCCACAGGCGCTTCCGCTGGCGCTTCAGCTACGACTTCAGCTGGTGCTTCGATAGGGGCTTCAATGGAAGCCTTAGCCTGAGTCTCAACTGGGATGTCCATGGGAATGTCATCCACAGGTGCAGGCTCGACTGGTGGCTCGATTGGTACTGGAGCTGGAATCTCACTTGTAGTTTCGGTCGAAGTTTGAGCTGCCGGTTCGACAGCAGCTTCAACGGGAGCTTCAACAGGTTCCACAGTAGGCACGTCGGTGGGCACCTCCACTGGCGCTGCTGCTGGGGAAGGCTCGGCCTGAGCCGACGGCTGGGGCGACTTGACTGGAGACTTCAGTGGAGACTTGGCAGGCGACTGGGCAGGCTCTGGTTGTTGCTCTGGCTCCACAGGGCCAGGTGTGGCAGCTGGGACGTCCTCAGTCATGGGTACGCTGGTCTCTGTCTCTGCGGCAGCAGCAGCAGGAGGCTCCTCGATGGGCGTTGGCTGCGTCGGGGCGCTGTCATCTTTCATCTCAGAGTCCGCCTCCTCAACCGCCGGGGCCGGCTGTTCTTCAACAGGTGGTACCTGGGGTGCCTCTGTGACTGGTGGTGCATCAGTCGCTTCCGGAGCCTCTGGTATGTCGGGGACATTGGCGGCTTCAGAAGCTTCGGGCATGTCAGGAATATCCAGAGCCATGGCGTCCTCTTGAGGAGCATCATTCGATGCGATGGTCTGATCAGTGCTCTCTATCCTTGAGCCCGAGCCTTCTGTCTCTGCTGTTGTCGCCATAGAAAACGTGGATCTAGTCTCAGCCATAGGTGACGCAATGTCACCAACCTTCTCAGCGGGCGGGATGAATGTCTCTGGTATGGCTTCCGGAACCGTGTCGAGGGGCAGCTGCTCATCTCCAGCAGCTGGTACGGGCTTTTCAGCCGGGGCCTCAGTCGCAGGCTCAGGCAGATCAGTAGACTGATCGGCCATGGTGACATCTGCTTCCTGCGGCTCGCTAGCGGGAGCAGGGACTTCAGGAGCGGCGGGAGCGGCGGGAGCAGTGGAAGCAACAGGGTCCGTGGTAGCGACGGCAGCGGCGGCAGCGGCGACGGCGGCGGAAGAGGTGGGGGGCAGAATCTCTGCAATAGGTGAGATCTGCGGGGATGCTTCGGTTGGAGATGGCAGAACCACGTTTTTGAGAGGACTGCCCTTTGGCGATGAGCTTGCCAGGTGAGGTGGTGCGAGATTGATGGGATTCACCGACGGCGCTGCCCGCTTCGACAGAGGAGACTCGGGATCGGCCGGCTCTATCGAGGCATCTACAGTTGGCGTCGGGATAGAGGGCGAAGCGTCCGTCATCTCATGATCCTGGTTATCTGTATTCTCGCGCTCACGCTGTTCGTCATCGCCATCGTCGCCGTCTTCACCGTCGTCGCCGTCGTCGTCACCTTCATCATCATCATTGTCTGCCATCTCGCTATCGGGGTTGATTGATTCTTCGCGCTCCTGCTTGACACCCTGTTACACCAATTAGCATGAATGCTTCTACCACACTTCAAGGTTCGACAACTCACGTTCTCTTTGCCCTCTGCCCCCTCAACTTTGGGCACTACAGGTGCACCCTCTACAGGCGGCGCAGCATCAGCCGCCGGAGCAGGCAGAGGCAACGTCTTCTTCTTGCGCCCACGTCCAGGGCCAGGCTTGTTCTTCTTCTTTGGTGGCGGCGGCCGTCGCACACGCTGGGGTGCCACCTGGGCAGGATCGACTGCAGAGACAGGGACTACTGTTGTAGAGATGACCTCGCCCTCAATCTGTTGACCATCCTGCAATGTAATCTCCTGCGTGTACGGGTTACCGGCGGCATCAACCCTGCGCACCGTAGCTCTGGTGACAGTGGCGCCGACGGGCGTGCTGGCGACTGTCTTGGAGGAGATGGTGACTGTGCCCTTTCTTCGCTTCGCAAGATGCGAGACGGACGAGCCTTCCGAGTTACGGTTGATCTGCTTCCACACCTTAATTTGGAAGCCCTTGGTTGTGGTCTCGTCCTCTTTCTTCTCGGGCTTGTCGGCGGCCGCTTCAGCCTCAGCCTCTTCTTCCTCAGCTGGCGCTGGCCTCTTGTAGAGCACCCCGGATCGTGCTGCGCGTAGCAGGTCTTGACTGTGCTGCGGGAGAAGGCCCGCATCCTTGGGCATGCCCCAGGGAAGCTCAACATCCCAGATATCGTTCTTTTGTGTCGTCTCGGCCTGTTGGGGTGGCTGTACGTTCACCCATTCCTGGCGCCATTGGCGGACAGGAAGGCCTTCGAAATCATCGTGTTCGGCATAGCCACTGCGGTTCGCGCGTCGAGTCTATCGGCCATAAACGTGTTAACCAAGTGCATCATTAAACAGGGGTACGAGCACTCTGAGCTCGTCATTTTGGGACTTACGCCGGGCGCCATTTTGAGCTCCTACAAATACAGAGAAATACACAATGAAATATCGGATAGCTAACAATTGATCGGATTGAATGGGTCGCGACACGCGCGAAAGGCGTTTGATCGTCTGGTGATATCGCGCTTGTCTTTTAGTGACGGCAGCGCCTATAGGTGCATGCGCCAAATTCTTACACCCGCGACAAAGGTCTCGAAGTCTGCGACTTCAATTGAACGAGGCAATGCGACACTCGTAGAGCTTGCTGCGTCGTGGTCAACAGTGAAGCGTAGCCGTGCCCAGGATTGGCTGCGCTGGGGCCTAGCCTTGTCGCGAAGTCTAAAACGCGATCTGATCACGGGCGAAGTCACATGACCATAGCTCGGTCAGCAGCTGTCTTCACCTTCACCTTCGGTGAGCATCGGTCTGCAGCTATTTCACTTGGCAAGTTCTATATCATTGTGATGTATGCCGCCAGCAACGAATTACTATCTTGCGAGCGCGTAGTCGGCATTTCCAACTCAGAGCTGGATTCCATAATTTTCATTATGTCTGACTTCGAAGCGCGTTAACAGACTAGGAGAATGGCCACGGTTCAAAAAGTTCTTGAGTAACATTTTATTGTTGATACTTGGTTGTTCTTAACCCCTAGCTTTACCGTCGAAGCTTCTTTGCCGATACTTCAGATATTTAAGGCATTGAACACATCTCATGGGGTTATTTTGAAAGTATTTTCCTGGTATATATTATTGGGAGCTTTCTGATACTCGGTGACACTGCCATCGAAGCTCATATACCGGCAAGCAGGTCGTAAGAGTAGGCTTCGAACCCATTACCAGATATAAGACTTACTCGTGCGTTAAAAGTAAATAATCAGCCGCGCAGACATGAAGCAAGCTCGTCGACAAACATCACGCTTCGGATTGACAGGAAATTATAGCAAAGGCCTAGCACTCATAGAACTCCATTGCCATGTCTATATGCCCAAAAGCCCCGAAAAAAACACTCCAGAGTGGAGGTTGCACTGGAAAATCTGCCCGCCTCCTACTGATGCCTCGTCCCAAAGTCAGGAAGATGATGTGGAATTGTGACCCTTTCGTTTCGTGCGGCATGGTGTGATTGTACACTTTCTGTCCCCTTTTCTCTCTTCCCCGCTAGTTATGTATAGTACAAGTCCGAATTTGATTTTAATATCCCGGCGTAGATGTCGGCCTTCACGGCAGCTTTTTTTTAATCCCAACTACAGTAGCTATTAGCACTTGCGTCGGAAAGTCGAAGCGGACCGGATGGAATGCCAAACTTACCCTTGGTCCTTTTGCCTGACGATATCTCCCTTGCTGCCCTTTTGCTTGCCCTATTCAAATGCATCAGCTTCCCGTCCAACGTGTCGAAGGGTATCCATGCTGGAGAGAGAGAACTTACCGAGGCACCGCCCTCGACCACTAACCGATCGAACTGGAAGAACTGACTGACAACCGTTTGCCTCTGCGAGCGAGTTAGCGCCTGACCTTCCATCCCTCTGTCGCGGCGACCGCCGATGCAGAAAGCGGCAGCCCTTGCAAACGGAACGGCACCATAAAAAAAAAAAAAAGACGAACCTTCATGACCTGGAGCTCGTTGATTCCCTTCTGAATCAGCTCCTGCACCCGCCGGGGGTCGTCGACATTCTTGTTCTCCCTGAACGCATCCCTCGTCCTCCGCTTTGCGTACTCGCGGAAGTTGTACGCAGCAAACTGGTCGCCTTGCCTCAGCATCTGTCGGTACTACATCCATTCACACAACACGTCAGTATTCTATCCTTAATGTCGATATATCAGCCCGCAGACCGGGGGATGCGACTGCGGAATAGCGCCCGGCGCAGAGCTCTTGAAGGTTTGCGAACCGGGGGTGGGAGGGGGGGAAAAAATGATAATAACGTACCAAAGACCGAACCTGCTGCGGCGCATCGCCTTTGAGAGCTTGTATCGCCGTCGCCATTGTATGTGCTGGGGTCGTCTCTGTGGAGTTTGTGGTAACGGGGTGGACGGGAGTTACCAGGATTAGAGAGGAGAAAAAAAAAAAAGGTTGCGCTGAAAGTTGCTGGACTGCCACTGCAAGAGTGATAATATTTTGGGAGTGGAAGGCTGACGGGTACAGCTATGATGCAACGCAGGTTCCCCCCCTCGGCGTTAGCAGGGTATCCTCGGCGCGGTATTTTACTAATCCGCCGCCCCCCGGATCCGACGGGACCTTTGGACCTCAGATTTTCGTCATCAGAGTGTATGACTGTGAACAGTCGGTCGAACAGATTGGGAAAATACAGCAATTGGGCTTTTGATGCATCAAGTTGTGTATTGACTGCATTTCTGTTCACATGGCAACATCTTTAAAAAAAAAAAAAAATGATGAATCCTAACCCGTCTGCCTCCAACCTTCAGTCTCTCTTTCGATCTCATCGCTCATGGACCACCATTTCTGGTTGTTGCTCAGTAACTTCTATTATGCTTAATTATCTACATGTTATTGCTATGTTTTACAAGGCCGGCGATTAAGCCATTGCCGTGGCCGAAAATAGCTCCGTGTATGTGTATATCGAATGTACCTTATGTTGCGCCAGAAAAAGAAATCATATGGCTACAATTATGCCCATCACGGCAAGCTCATGAAGAGTTTCTCCATCTCCTTATAATTAGGTGTTCTACCATAACTGTTAGTAACTGCGTCCTCGAAGATTTTACTCAGGTAATGCTTACCCCATGCCGGTCACAGGATCCCATCCTGGCACGGCAGAGAAGCCCTTTGTGCCGCACCCTGGGTTATCTCCATTGGTCACGTCGTTGAGAACCTCGGGGTGGGCGTAAAGCGTCGGGTTGATAAAGCCGACGGGCTTTTTGTTGGCCTCGATGCGTTTCTCATTAATCATGTTGATGATGGAGCCGACCACTGGCGCGGAAGCTGCGTACATGTTAGCATGAGTAACAGGACCGTGAGGATGTGGTGCCGCATGCTTACCTGAAGTGCCGAACGATAGCGAAAACTTGCCATTGACGGCCGTGACGTAGTTTGCGCCGTTGGCAGAAATATCCGGGAAGCCACGCACGGCCTTCGAGTTGTTATACCGATCTGCGCCATACGGTGGCGCGTTGCTCTTATAGTACTCATCGACCATCTTCTTCTGATAGTCGGGGATGGCGAAGATGTTGGAGAAGCCTCCACCGGAGAAGATGGCTTTCTGGCAAGCACTCTCAGGGGTGTGAACAGTAGATCCTTCCAAGATCTGAGTAGCACCAACAGACGTGACCCATGGGCAGCCGCCAGGAAATGAAGGGTTGAAGATGCCTTCCTTCCCTTCGTTGTAAGCGCCAGTCTGTGTATCGATGCACTGTTGGCCATTTCCAGCAACCCCAGAGTCTCCAGAAGAATACAGCACCGTGACGCCTTGAAGGCCAAGCTTCATGTATTCGGCGCATTGACGCTCCACATACTTGCGGCCCAGGTCTGCTTCGTTGAAGCCGTAACTAGTGGAAATGACGTTGACCATCGGTACTGAGCCGCAGACCTTTTCGCCGTACTGGCCGTCGATGTTGGGATCCTTGGACCCTCCCCCTTGGAATTTGCAATAGCTGCCATCAATGGCGTCCAAAAAGTTGTTGAAGCTTGCACCTTGGTTAAGGTCACCCACTTGGTACAGTGTCGCTGTTTGAGGATAGATCATGGCCATGGCAAACTCCAAATCAAGAGCAGATTCGCCATTGAAATTGAAGCTCTGATTCTGGGTCTGCACGACGGCGTTTCCAACCAAAGTGACGATAGGGGGCTTGCCGGAAAGTCGAGGCTCAAACTCTTTGAAATACATGTCTAGGTCTGACTGGAGGAAAGCTTGCGGAGTGTATTCAACAATGCCGAGAGTGTTGTTTGACGCCTTCAGCGACCCAGGCGGCGTGTTGTAGAGAGCTCTCAGACAATCTGGAGTGATCATGGAGTCGCACTGACCAAGGTCCATGAGAGCATTCTGGACGACCGCGCCCTGCTTTGGTCCGAAACCGCCGTCTGGAGAACCCTGGATAGCCGGCGACTTGCCGCCAGTAGCTACCTCTCGCTTCTCAAGGAGCTCACGCTTCTTGAGCTGTCGCTTCTTCAGCTCTTCAACATGCTCCTCAGAGAGTTCGTGCTTGGTGTTCTTTCGCTGTTGCCCTAGGCGCTGGTCGAAGTGCACTGACGGGGTGATCATGTCGACATGGCCGACCAGGTGCTCTGGAAGATGGTACTTGTCGCATGCGATGTGGGTGTGGCCTTGTTCATGCTTGTAAACGTGATATTCCGTTTTGAGAAGCCTCTCGACTTCGCCAGCTGTGCCGTTGAACTGAACCCAGTTTCGGCCTTTGGAGAGAGCAACGCGACTTCTGTGGATGCCCTCGCTTTCAAGCCATTGCATGACCAAAGCTATAGACTCCTGCTTAGGAGCGAACATGTCAATGATCTCCTCGTGTGTCCAATGTTTGCCGTAGTTGGGCGAGTCGGGATGTGCCACATCGTTCATGAACTCGTTGGCGCGATGTAGGTTTGACTGAGAAAGGCCAATGCGGACTGGTAGCCTGGCCATAGTGTGCAAGCGATGGTTCTTGACCCATTCCCGCCGCGCGGGGTGCCTCTCCTCGTGCACAACATGCCTGTGCGACCTTGTCACCGGGTTCGCAGTAGTCACTGCCGTGAGGGCAGTGAGTATGGTTGTGATAGCACTAAACTTCATCGTGTCTTCCCGGTCGTCGTTGTCGAACTTCTACCTCACTCTACACACAAGATCTGGAAAGGCGAACAGCATGAGGACGAAGCTGGCTATTTGTTGATGTTTAGCAGCTGTCGTCCAGTCATGAAAACCCCCAGGTGACGCAAGGTACAAGCTCCAGACACGTCGAATGCGAAACCGGTTTCAATGACATCCTGCGGGCTGTTTGTCTGGTGGTGGCCATCCAAAACGAGCGATGGGGTGAACGGCAGCCTGTGCGCTGAGCATTTTGTGGCAAGGACGGCATACCTCTTACATGAGCAGTTTCCCGAGCTGTGAGCACTGGGATGAAATTACTACTACGGAATTTTTTGGTCTGGATTAGAGTCGGGGAGTCCACAAAACATGGTCAACAACAAAAGGCCGGTAGCCGAGGACTGAGCTTCGGGATGAGTTACTTCAAACAATCGTCTCATGTTTGGGTGGACCACAACAGCATTCTAGGCGTTTGCTAAACCACCAGAATGAGGGTGATTGATTCGTGCAGCCCATGCGAGACAGATGATCAGGCGTTCAGTTATGCTCAAGATGAATTGAATTCCGGTGTAAATCCCACAATGACTCGCTAGGCGAGGGGAGAGTTTGCAAAAGTTTGGATAAGGTCAATTGTAGGCTCGAGCCGCCATCTGGAATCGGGACCCAAGAAGGGTGAAACGCTTTCAAGAATGAGACGATCTGGCTTCGATATAACGTTGCATGGTCAGCTTTTGTAGTGCTCGTTGCTCGTTGATTATTTCCCATAACTCATCCGTTTCCCTTTGAGTCTCAGCATCGTCGCCTTCAGCAGAGGCCTGCGCAGACGCCTCTTGAAACGAGAGAATAGCGGATTCAAGAACATCATTAGGCAGTCCGTAACCATTGAGCATCTTTGTGAATCTGGTCTCTTGCTGGAGCTCCGTGTTCAATTGAGACGTGAAGGTGTACTGACGCTCGGCCAAATTCGGCTTGACAACCACACCAGGTTTTGTGGATCGGGTAGCTTGCAATAGTGGGGGAAACAACAAGTTTGTTACAGAAGCGTTGACATCTGCCAGCTCTGTAGGATGCCCGTTTTCAGTCAGTTGCCATTGCAAGATTTTGCCTTTGGTGTGGCCTGTTAAAACTGTCGTGCCATCATGGTTTACTGCCAAGCAAGAAGCTGGGCCAGCATCCTCATCAGCGAGTCCAATCGGCGAATTGACCTGAACAACAGTGGATGCCGACTCAGCACTACGGGAACCAATGAGCGGTTTGTCTCCAAGCAAATCGACGAGGTAGAGAGACCTGTCCTCGGATGAAACGAAGACGGCACGAGCACAGGGATCCATGGAAACGCAGAGCGGAGCTGTGGGGAACAACAGAGTGCGCAGAACATCGCCTGTTTGATAGTTCCAGATAATACACGTCTTGTCTTTGCTGGCTGATACGCAGATGCTGGTTTCCGGGTTAACGCTCCGGCTGACGGCGAGCGAAGTGATTGCAGCGCGATGGTTAGAGAGCGTGCGATCAGGCTCGCTCTCAACTGAAGCATTCAGCTCCAAGAGGCGGGACAACGTCCAGATGTGGATGTTGGAGTCATCAGAGCCGGTGATGAGGTGGTGAGGCGTAACAGCAAGGCATGATACAGCCTGGACGTGGCATGGCGGCGTGGTCATTTGACGACCAGTGCATGTCTGTTGTCTGATTAGCCCTACAACACCCTCGAAACAGAGGCTGGAAATGTTTACTCACCTCCCACAGGATCAGTCTTCCTTCGGAAGTGCCTAACGCCAAGACATCACCGATCAACGCCAAGCTACGGATTCGTTCAGGGAAGGTTACGGTGGTCTCTTGGATACCCCGCGCCCTTGAGTAGACATGTACCTGGGACTTTTCATACTGGGCGGCAAAGACGTGTGTTTCACTGACAGCTAAGCAGTTGGCTGGCGAGTTACTCTTCTTCAAAGTTGATTTGACGGAATAACTAGGAGTGAGTGAGTGGGCGTAGATACCAACATCTTTGGAGATGGCTGTGTTCGCCGCAATAGGCGGGCCGCAGATGCAGGAATAGAACTCCTCCGACAACATGGTGGTCTTGGTGACGAAGAGGCGCGCTTCGGAAGATGTTGGGGGCCGGCTAGGTGCGTTCCAGTCGGATCTTTCTGTGCTAAGACTGGCGTCCGAGAGCGGCTCTGACTCTAGAGATTGAAAGCAAGTAAGGGGTAAGTATGTGTGTGTGTGTAGGCGGCTTGCTCTCAGCCGCGTTCGAGAACAGGCTCTGACCGCCAAGGCCACGAGGGTAGCAGAAACGTGGTTGTGGGGGATTCAAAGCCACAAGAAACGAAAGCGAGAAAGGAGAGCAGAATAGTCGTGACGATGATCAGCGGAGGGCAGATCTCTCGAGCCGAACTCTTCGCAACCACGTTGATGGGCTTGGGACGGTTCCGATTCAGATGTAGCCGGGTGAGGGTTGGGCCGAGAAGGTTGTGCAAAACGGCTCGTGATGAAAGACAACAACTTTCTTGTTCAAAGTCGATGACACGCCGGTGCAATTGTGGCTTTGAAACAGCAGCAGAGGACAACAGGAAAAGGAAAGACCACCTTTGGAAGAAGTGATATGTCAAGGCTATGAGGCTGCTTGACGTCCAAGATGGTGAAAAATTCGAGTCCACCAAAAAATGTTATCGATAGTGACTGAAGTGGAAACTGTAGCCAAAGTTGGAAAGGGCGGCCCCACTCGTCCAGCACTCCTTCCACCCACAGTTACAATACCATGTGAGGTGGCTTTGGGACACTGACCACTAGGCTGACGCTAACAGAGCGGTACAGAGCTAATCACTGGGAAGAAAACAAGATGTGGTCAGACGCCACAGGAGGGCTGCAGCCTGTAGCTCGCTTGAAATTAAGACACCAGCTCATCCCTACGGCAATCCAGTGCCCTAGGAATGCTGCCGCCATCCCCTGGAAACGCTAACAGGCCGTCTCCACGAGGCGTGGGGTGCCCCTTTAGCTGGTGGTATGTTTGGGGCTGTCATCTCTCAGAAGTCTCACCATCTGCTTTGCATCGCCAAGGTTACCAACAAAATCATTGTCAGCCCTCAATGCATGTTTGGAACCGAGACACGTCCTTCCTGTTGCAGCACTAGCACAAGGTGCTAGATCCATCGTTTACTGGCTACCCGATCGCTTGGGCTGCTCATCCCCCCCGCTGTATTCCACCGCCAAAAAGTCTCGAATCTCGTCAAGCCTTTGGCCTCTCTCCATTACCGTCGCCAGCCATGAATCCATCCCGGGACTTGACTACTGCGTAGCAATCCTTCTCCTCCGTCACATTACAGGCTCCGTGCCACTCACCGCTCCGAGCAGGTCGTTTCTTTTTTCTCAGCGATCGACCGCTATCTTATCGAGTCTACATAAGGTGAGGATATGGACAAGGGATACCTGGGCTTCGCGTGTTCGTCTGACGTGACGGCACTGCAGGTTACAATCATATTTCATCTGCGGCCTGCCGACATCACTCACATCTGCACGCCGGCAAGCAATTCAGCTGTCGTTTGTGTGCCTGGTGTCGCTCCGCTGATTCAACATGCCTGCCATGTCTACGGAGTACGGGCTTCATACTGGACGGTGGCCCCCTCTGGCATCCGAGACAGGGTGAAATATCAGCGGGCCAAATGTGTCACTTTACGCCCTTGAGAGGCAGATGACAATGAACCAAAAGGAGGTACTGAACCCGATTGCTCCATATCGAGACGCGTGGTCGCGATCTTTGTGCCTGCTGGTCGTTGGTTTCTTTGGTTCATCAAATCTTGCTTCCCAGTTTACCAGGAACAGCTGGCTGGCTCACACACCCCTGCCAATTGACTACAAGACAAGCAATCCATGCTTAGCTCCCTGGCGGCCAGTGGAGGCAAAGAATCAACGTCGCATTTTTAATACCACGATGCTTTGATGGACCAGGGCTAAGTATCCCGTAGGTAGGTACGACGTACCTGATGCGCGTTTACTCTGTGCAGCATAATGCAGACTGCATACGCATGCGACCTGCAATTGCGGGAGATGGATTGGGATGCAACACGATGCGGCCCTCCTAAGCATCGATAATCAAAGCAGTGCCAGTGCTCTAAATGTGGTGCCTCTCACGCCTCTGCCACCGTCTTACAGTGTGATTGTGGCCTTGCGCAGATCAGAGACCAGACGCAATATTGAGTGAACATCTAAATGCAAATTTGCGGGCGTGTGATCCGGATCGCCAGTTTACCTAGGCCTGTCAGGAACATCATCCTCTCATCACCCACGTCACCCTATGGGTGAGGGACTCTCTGCTGCGCCGCGCCTCAATCTCCTGTTGATCCTGGCTAGGACGTCAACCCGAAAGGGGATAGCAAGAAGGGTGAAAGCCGAGAGACAATTGGCAATCAAGGACGATCCAAACCCCAAACCAATTGCCACTCGAGGTGTGCCGAGACGATCAGCTGCCACCCCCCGGGAGTATTCTCCTTTTGAAATTTCGACTCGCTGGTCAGTCTCGCCGGCGACGTCGTCTTGGAGGCGGAAGCGGCAACGGCAACTAGAAGAGATGGATAGCAAGCGAGGTCTTAACCCACACGGACGTGGGGACGGCTTGTGCTGCTACGATGCAGTAAATGTTTGCACTCTGCGTTACACCAGATGCGATGTAGACGCAGCAACACAGACGCATCGGCTCTGCCCTGGACCGTCTCTGCACTAAAGTGGTATAGGCGGGTAATTTGCCTGCCCGTTCATCCTACGGCAAGGTAGCCGGGGGGGTTGGTGGGCGATGGGCCTCTCCGTGCTCAGCCGCTGGCTGGACGATCGAGGTAGCGGCGGTTTGACATCAAGTCTGTCTCTAAGAAACAGCTGCGATCACGCGGGGCTAGATTGATCATAGATTCTTCTGGTGTCATCCTTCGTGGATGGCTGCTGCGGGAACAGGTGCACGAGTTCGGACATGGCGTTCGTTGTCGGATTTTGCAGTCTGGAGAGAGAGCAAAATACATTTTAGACTGGGTTGGTATACCCGATTTGAGCGGGCCGTTGCCCATGTGGCAATTAGATGGGATGTTAGTGAATGGTGGGCACCAACATGTGTCCTGAAGGACGATTTCGGAACGGAAACTGTTCATTCGGGACTGGCGATTCCCAACGAGTTGATTGCTCTTTTTCATGTACGTCGTAATAGGCCAAGTCTGGGTCTTGGACTGGGGCCAGTTTGGTGATGCCTGGCACAAAGTCGACATTAAACTTCCTCCACCGGGCTTGGTGCCATATTATAAATTATTACTTTTGAAATGAAGTAAAAAAAAAAAAAGTGAAATGGCAGTGGGCAGGCGTATGCAAGCAAGGCCTACTAGTAACCTTACGTGTGCACAATGAGACCACTCCTGGACCGAGTATCCGTATTACTGGAGGCTTTACCCACACCCCTCATATTGCTTTTCCCCTCGTCATCGTCGTCTTCTTCTTCTCTTTTCGGGGTGGGCCGAATAAACGGGGTTCAACGGGTGGCTCTCACTGCTGACTGCGCCTGGTGCCCCTGACCTGGCTGCCCTATCCATTCCCTCCCCCATCCATCCCGTAAGACCCGGAGTCCCGCAAGACTGGCTCCTCACTTGGAAGCTAATCCAACCTGTCCTCAGTGTGTAGGGAGGGCCTCTGCTCAAGGTGAATGAAGTGTGTGGTTGTGCTGGTGCTGGTGCTGGTGCTTTCTCACCCACAGACACTGGATACGCAGAAGAAAAGAGCTCGTTCACGGCTAAGGCTGCAGAGGCAAAAAGGTCCGGACGACGACGCAAGGTCGGAGAATCCGCGCGGTTAATGGGATACGCTTGTTGTTGTTGTTGATGATGCAGCTAAACTAGAGAAGAGGAGTTCGCCAGTTTGTCCCTGTCTGAGCTATTGTTGTTTTTGCTGTGCTTCTTTCGTCTATCTCTGTGCTTCAAAGTTGCACAGCATAAGCAGTCTCCTTTCCCTCGTCCCCCCTCGTCCTCGCAATCTTGGAACAATCTTTTTTTCTGTTTTCCCAATCTCACTCTCGGTGCTAGCCTCCATCCATTCATCCATCCATCTCTCTCTATCTCTCTCTTATGTATGTGTGAGAGAGTGTGTGTGTCTGTCTCGTCTCGCCTTTCTCTCTCCCTCACACACAACACACACACACGCCCCCCTTCCAACCGAGCCTCAAAGCAGAATTCTCTTCGTCGCCTGTCCTGTTCAATCTCCCGAGCCTGCACGAGAAAGGGTCCTCCACCTCCCCTCCGGCGCGCCCCCCCTCGCACATCTCCTCTTTTGGCCTGTAAGCAAATCCCGGATCCGAATTCATCGTCTTCTTTCCGGTCGACGGTATCGAACCTCGATCCCTACTAGCGAGGCATCTTTTTGCCCTACCTGGTCCGTTGTTCTTACCCACGGACATGTGCAGTTGTGACCATTCAGGCTGGAGCAGCTGGAGACTTTTCTCTCTCGTCCCCGTCCAGGTCCCTGTCTTCAGCCCCGGCAGCTTAAAGGCATTGCAGCTCCCTGTGGTCACCAAGTCACCAACTCATGACCTCCCCCTGGCAAGCTGTTCTCCCCTTTTCGAGCCAGTCGCCCAATGGCATGAATATGAACCCATGTGGCATGCACCCCATGTTCGCGTTAGACGTTCCAGGTCCCTTCCCTGCCCCACAACCGACCGAGGCCGACCCTGCAAGGAACATCTCTCCAACAACCTTTAAAGCATCCCGTCCGCCGGCCGCCCTGGGGAGGAGACGCTCCGTTCGGAGCATGAAAAATCTCCTGCCACTGACACTGCCTTCCAATTCCCAGCCGACATCGACCTATAGTCGGCCCATTTCGCTGGCAACGCCGCTGTCGTCCCAAAATCGACCTCCTTCTTATCAGCCTCACCACCAAAACCACCAACACCACCACTGCCAACAACAACAGCAGCAGCAGCAACAACAACAACACCATCTTCGTCATCGCCGTCGCCCCGATCATCACTTGAAGCATTTATGCATCCCTCCCGGCACCATGGTCGAAGCCGCGGAACCGACTATGGATTGCAACTTGCCGGAGCTCCTAGCTCAGGACCTCGAGTTCTCTAATCTCGTATTTGCCGCCAAGAACATGACTGCCGGTGCTCCTTCGCCCGATCTCGCCTCTGACGAAGAAGACTGGCCCTCTGCCGAACCTCCCACCGTATACGGTGCATCCTGCCACCCCAATGGCGTGCCCCAGTTCCAACCCTTGGGTGCCATTGACGAGAAGAGCTCCGCCAGCGGAGCCAGCGAACACGACCTTTCAGATGCTGCATCGAGCGCCAGCGGTGCCTCCTTCAGCGAGGCAGAATACCAAGACGATGATGCTGCCGCCTCACCTCAGATTCGCCAACAATCCATCATGACCGCCGACACCACCGTCTACGCCGTGAGCGAACCACCAACCATAGCCTCCCACAGGCGCCTCGTCTCGTTCTGCGACGGGTCAGAAGAACAAGACGACACCGGTAACCCGGAGAGCTGGATGGATCTCGAGTCCGAGGGTCCTGCCGACCACCCCGAGCTCGGCAAGAGCCTAGACCAGTCACCAGTTGCAACGCCCATCAAGCCGGTGCGTCCGCTATCCCGACTAGGGGATAAGTCCATCAACGAGTCCCCGCCCCGTGCGAAGAGCGCCCACGCCGCAACCCGCCGGCTGTCCAACCCGTTTGATGGGTACACGCGACCCGCCAGCCGGGCGCTGAGTCTACAAGTTGATCCAACTACGGCCGCTGCCAAGGAGCAGAACCGTTTGTCATTCGACTCACTACATTCCATCGACATCGCCGTCCCTACACGCACCTCGTCCCTGAAACATCGTGTCTCATCTGGCGAAGAAGCTCGCAAGTCCATCGCGTCGCGTTCGCGGGCTCGCTCACATACCTCTTCCTCCCGTGCAGGGTCCGACCATGTCGTGGCGCCAGGGGCGAACAGGAGTTCCATTATTGCTGATCTCAAGGAGGAATTAGAGCCATGGTTCCGCTACATAGATGACCATGAAGGTCTCGCTCCTCCTCTCCTCATCACTCCTCGACCAGTGCAGCGCTCAACAGAAACCCCGAGGTCAGTCCCGACACCTCGACCGAGATCCCAAGCCCAAAACAGGTCCCGCCCAACATCTGCCGCGAGCGCCTCGTACGCCTGGCTCGAGAATCCGGCCGAGATGCACTCCACCTCATCCGACGACAACCGCCGCATTCCTTTACCTCCCAATGTGATCGAATCCCTCCGCATCTCAGTGACTTGTTTCCCCGAGACCATGCTCCTCAGCTCCAGCCTTTCCATTGAGACCATCCGCAACTACTCTCGCAAGATCCGGCACCCGGTGCAGGAGCCCATCCGCCCCGAAACGCCACCGGCGTCGCCGAAACGGTGGAAATGGCTGGCGTCGCGCCGCAACAACGTAAACCCTTCTCGCCACTGCAGCCGCACCCCGTCGTCCTCCAACGTGGATTTGGCTTCCATGCCACCGTCGACGGCGACACTTACGCCACCGCAGTGGTCCCGCATCCGCAACCTCTTTCCTACGGGGTCCGACTACCTGTGCGATGCGCTCTACGCGCACATCGTCGCGTACAACTATCTTCTGCCACTGGCGCAGAGTGCGGCCCGGCCGGTGACGCCAGCAACACCTGAGACCTCGCCCGGCGGTACGGACGACTCCATCCCCAAGAAGGCCGCCTTCCTCCTCGGTCTACATGGACTGCAAGAGACGACGCCGCCTCCGCCGCCGCCACCCCCAAGACCGCTACGCAAACGCTCCAGCATGTTCCTCAGCCTACGGGGCACAGCGTCACGACAGTCCTTCATGCCTTCAATACCCGCGACGCCCGCCCCGGCCCCCGAAATACCCCTACGCGATCTCCTAATCGGACTGAGGCGGTGCATCGCGCGCCTCGTGGCCACGTTGCGAGCCGAGGCGTCGGACGGCCTGCTCGCAGGGGACCCTGTTAACGAGATAGACCCGCTCATCATGAGATCCCTCTGTGAGATTGTCAGGTGCTGCGAGGACACGCCTGCCAATGATCGAGCTATATGACAGTGTTCATTTCTTGTTTATTTCTTTCAATACTCATTCATTTTATGAGCGTTCTGTTTTTTTTTATATATACTTGCTAGACATCCCAGGCAATGGGAACCTCTCGGCAAGGTGGAACAGCTTGATGACGTGGAATAGCTTCAGCAGATGGTACATCTCCATGGGGTGGAGGGGACAATGTGGGTTCTTTTGTTTTTTTTTTCGTTTCGGGATTTGTTTGGTATATATACCCTCTTGATTTTCTACATGGAGTTTTAACATTGTTTCGTTTCAAGCGCGGGAGTAGAGAGTGGATATAGGGAAAGGGGACGGGGTTCAAAGGAGAAGCCAAACATGGGGTGATGAACGGTTTTTACCCGGCATAATGTCTAACAAAACAATGGACAGCAAAACCCGAAAAAATAAACGAAGCAAACGGCTGCGTGCCTGACTTGGTCCCTTTTCCCCCAACGCCCACGTGTATGCTTTCTCTTGATCTCTTTCTCTCTCTCTCCGCCCTCGTGTGACCTTTGCCTCGAGAGGAAATTCCAAAGGAAAAAAAAAATGAAGAAGATATGTATATGTTTGTATCACTCCACATTCCCGTCAAAGGCATACGGATCCCTTCCAACCGTTCCAGCCTGACTGACCCATTCCTGCGCATCAGACCCTGCATCCTCCTCCTCTCCTCCCCTTTCATCTGTCTCCCGCCGTCGACCCTGCTGCAACGGCGGCCGCTGGCCCTGCGCAAACGCATCATCGTACTCTCCCCGCCGCCCCGTATTAATCCTCCCCCCACTTCCCGCCGGCGGCACCGTATCCGTAGCCGTAGCTGTAGCCGTCGTCATCGTCATCTCAGCATCGCCTTTCCATACCCGCGCAACGCGTCCCCGGCCCCTGACGCCCTTGACGAAGCCGTTGCTCAGACCTAGAAGCCCCGCGCTGCCCAGGAGAAGCACCAGGAGAACCATGTTCCCCGCCTGCGAGACGTTGCCGCTGAAGACGGCGACCATGTACACGGCCAGCTTCGCGACGGCCTCGAGGTAGCCCTGCACCGCCGTCTTGGAGAGCAGCCACGTTTCCGTCGTCACGGCCGCGAGGTCCGAGGCCGGTCCGCGCATGCGTACGGTGAGGTTGGGCGAGAGGGGGATGGCGTATTCTGTGAGCTTTGAGGAAGCCGAGAAGGTCGGAGGCGGAGGCGGGGTGCGTTGCTTGATGATGTAGATGTTTAGGAGGCGGGATGTTATTAGTGCTATTATCGCGGCGAGACCCCACCCTGTGCTTGTCAGCAGATATTCCCAGAGAGAGAGAGAGAGAGAGAGAGAGAGAGAGAGAGAAAACTAAATATGCTAAATAGGTAGGGCAAGAATACTTACAATCCGCCAGCAAAATCATAATCGTCAACGCCGATGTAGTGAGTAGCGGACTCGCCAGGTAAAGCAGATGACTCCCCCGTTCAAGCTCCCATTCGCCGTCGTGGTCGAAAGCCCGGCCCTTTCTCGTCCGTCTTCCACCGGCGAGTGTCCCGACGTCGAGGAAAACAACCTTGTCATCTTTCCTCACACCGGCCGCAAACGCCTCGACGCCGCCTGCGCGATTCCTCTTCCTCAACTCCCTCTCCCGCGCCCGCTCTTCCTGGACGCCGAGCCTCGAGAGAAAAAGTAGCATCCCCGGATTCGTAACTCGGACATCTTGAGTCCCTCCACCGGGCAGAGTCTCCGTGCCAAACATGCCTCGTCCCCGGCCGCCTCCCCGGCCTTCACCGGTCTCGAAAGACGTGACCTCGGCACCGACACCGACGCCGCCGCTATCGCTCGCTACTCCATCTGCCGCTTGCTGATAATGCAGTCCCGGCGCGAGGACGAGGGCGTCGAACCATGATGATGTGCCCGTCAACGCGGTGCGGTGAGCGATCGTTTGCAAGTCTGCCAAGGCTACTAAACCTGCCGCTGAAAGGGTGATTTCAGGTATGGGCGTCTTGTTAAGGATGGGAAACACCATGTCTAGTTTTTTCCACACGGCGGCTACGCTGGAAGTCTACATCACTTCCAAAGAGACAACCAAATGGAACCAGAAAAAGTGGAATAGCTGGGAGGACATATCTATAAAGCGGTCTACCAAAGTCTCGTCTCCAACACTAGAAAAAAAAAACAGTCCGGCTCCAAACGGCCTCACCCGCCACTGACGTGGTCTAAATCCTCCCGCCTAAAAGACCGTCGTCACGAGGTTGGATGCAGATCAAGAACAATGTCAAAGAAAAATAAGAACCCCCTCCCCCCCGAAAACTCCGGCCCTGCCAGGATTTTTTATCCATTCACTCTCCTGGCTTTGAGAACGGGGGCCGGCAGACAAGCAAACATAAAGTCCCGGATGACCCTCCAGACAGGGTTGTATCCTGCTGCACGACGACTTACCTCCCGATCCATGTTGCTTCCCCTCAAGCTGCCTCACGAGATTACGTGCATGTGAAGAAGAGCTTGCTTAGTCGAGTCTACTGACGGCAACGGCGCCAACGCTAGGCGCTCTCGCCGATGCTACCCCCACATACACACACACACACACACACACACACTCTCTCTCTCACTAACACACATAAGCTCCACGCCCGCACTAAAGAAGCGTTGCCAAGTTGCTGCCCACCCATCCACATCTCCCGTTTATAAGAAAAAACCCCGACCGCACCGATGCCGGCCGGCGCCGGGTGGGTCCGCGGTGAGGTCTCACCTTCACGTTTAGCCACGTGCGTCCCTATTGCTGACGCTTTATCTGTAGTGATCTACGCTCCGCTGGAATTCGTAGACTGGTTTTGGAAGCTGTCTTGGTTCAAGTGCACCGTGGCATCGTTTTGAATTCCACCCGAATGCCTTTTCTGCAGTAGAGACACACGGACGTTTTAGATCTTGGTATTAGTCTACTGGCCTTTGCTTCCAAATGGCATCTGCCAATTTACCGAGTTAGGTAGGCTGGGTTATTTATCAAAGTGAGACGTACACCGTTCGAATGCTCCAGGCTCTAGGTTACCCAATGTAGCTATCGGTTGGACAATCTGGTATAGCTACTTGACGAGATCAAGCCAACCTGCACCGAATTACAACAACATCGATCAGAATCAAAAGCGCTGCGAAGAAAAGCAACAAGATTATGCTGCCAATCCACGCATTCAGAAAGGTTCGTCCGGCTTCAGTACAGGCTGGTGTTGGGCAGACCTAACCCTGCTCCTCTAAGCACCGCACTGCATCTTCACAGGGTTTCCCCCGATTAAGGCCATCCCTTGTCTGTTGGAACAACCGTCAGGAAATGTCTTCTAATGCCCTTCATAGGCCCATTTACGTCGGCGTCTTCTCAAACTGCGAACCAACAGACTCAGATGGCGCCAGGCCTGTGTAAGCGACTTGCTATGCAGCAGAGCTCCATTCATTCCCAGCTGTAAAGCTTCTGGCTGGCCGAGTGAGCTCCACTGCGATGCTGCAGTCACGGCACGGATACATGGAGGGGTTGCGCTGCCCCCGCTCCGGGCGCGCAGCGCTTCTGTTCAATGCGTGATTGGAGCCCGCGTGGCCCGGAAGCATCTGCTAGGAAGTACTAAAACGACCTGAACCCCCACTTCATGATGGTGGCATATCCCGACTACGCAAGTTGACAAGTTATTCAAACACACGCGATGGCAGAACCCATAGGAGTCGCCTCTGGCGCTGTGACGTTTGCTTCACTCGCATTCAAGTCTAGTATTGCTCTCTACAACGCCATACAGGGCTATCGGAAACATACCAGCAAAGTGCAAAGTCTCTTGGACGAGCTCAAGGCATTGAGCGAAGTTTTACGCCTACTTACAGAAACGATCGATGAATACCCTGATATCGACTTCTCTGCCCTCGAATTGCCTTTGCAACAATGCGATGAAGGCTGCAAAGCTTTCAAAGAGGAGCTACTGAAATGTTCTTCGCGGTCTACGGGCGACCGTACCAGCTTCCGCGACTGGGCAAAGTTACAATACCTGGGCGATGGCATCGGCGAATTTACACAGATAATTGCCAACTATAAGTCAACAATTAATATCGCCCTTGCTGAGGCCCAAATGTGAGTCACAGTTCCTGTTTTGTGCATGCAAAGCATTTCTAATAACCCGGCTGTTTAAGTCGCCAATCTGCAACTACCGCCGAGCAACTAGAAAAGTGTCAAGCTATGATCCAAACAACAACAGCCGATCTTGAAGAGCGCCTTGACACCATTGACAGCAAGCTTGCGGCCGTCCTGGAGCGTAACGTAAACCAGGATGACCCAGACGCAAAGGAGTTGCAAAGAATAAGGGCGGAGAGGGCGAGTACACAACAGTGTCTCGATATTTGTACGCAGTTAGCCAAGCACATCGACCGGATCCAGCGCCAGAGACCCGCGAGTCCTAGCACTCCCGTTGGGGCTGGGACTTATCCTAACCGCGTCACTGATGAGGGCTTAGAGGCGTGCAAGAAACGCCTCACCCAGACAGTCGCGGAATTGGAAGAGCATATGCACAAGTTGATGCATCAGCTTATGGATAAGTCTACGGCGAAGATGATCAATAAGGATGAACTGGAAGAGTTTGCCAAGCTTCAAAAGGAGGCGGCCACCGCACGTCAATGTCTCGATATATGTTTCCGCGCAGAGAGCCATGTAAAGGAGAATATCAGCATCATCGACAATTACTCGACAGGCGATGATACCATTCAATGGTTGGTGTCGACAAATGGCAAGACCATCCACGGCAAGAATAGAGGCTACGGCGCGTTGATCAGACAAGTAGGTGGCCACCTCAACGATGTCTCGGTTCAGCAAATCTCAAAGGATTTTTTGAGTCTCCATAACGGCGGGAGGAGAAGGGATCCCCGAGAAGACGATGAGGATCCATCTTCTGATGAAAGGGCGGGAAACGAATCCAGCTATGAATTTATGGACCGCTACGGGCGAGGAAAAAGGCTGTAGAGACTATCCCCGAACGTAAGAGTCCTTGGTGATTACCGAAGCAAGGTCCACCAATGTCACAAAACAAGCAGCGTACTAGAATACATCTCTTCGATAATCATAAGCCATTGAGACAAACTGTTTGGCACCAGTTGCGATGGGCATGGCGTGTTTTCATGAGTTCAGTGTATGCCAAAATCTAAGATCACTTTCCGTGTCATAGGCTCAGCCTAGCTATGTTCTGTTTACTACACATTTGCGACGACACTAAAAGCAGAACAAGAAAATATTAAGACCCTATCGTCAGAGTTGCCTCCAATGATGGTATGAACAGATGAATTTTTTCTGAGCATTTCAGCACCGGAAACCCATGCCAAGAAATCATAGTCATCACGAGCATCAATCAAAGTAGGTGACAGGGGTACTTCAAGGTCTTGGCTTAACCCTGAAAGCCGGCCTGTCAACCGCATCCCCCATACCCACTCCTTCCATCCGCCTCTAGCAGTATCCGGCCAAACCTCCGAGACGACATTTCCATGAAATTATCGGGACCAAAGGCGCAAGGGGCTTATTTCAGCCTCGAACCTTTTGGTTAAATTCGACTTTTCTCGCCTACTACTTTTACCGATATTGTCAACCAAGTTGTGCGCATCGTTACAACACTGGTGGCTTATTTATTTTATATTCATCAACAGCTCTCGCTTACAATGGACTTGGCTAAAGCGTGAAGGAGGTGTATCTAACCTCCGATGCACGCCTCATTCAAACCATCTATCTCGTCTCGTCTTGGTATTCTGGATGTGGTTCACGCAGCATGTTATTTCATAACCTCCTAATTATGTATAATATCTGGACGCCTTCTACAGTACTTATACAAGCTTAAACAGATAAAGCCTAAAAGGGCCCTCACATTACACTCATTCACAATGACACAAATATTACATGTGGAACATATAAAACCTTGAGCTGATACAGACGATTTATAATTTTCATCCTAGAGTATATATACTTCTATTTCGGGTCTCTTTGGCCTCCAGTCTTCACTACGGCCAGTTTAAAAACCAAAGACAGTATTTTCGTATCTTTCTTACGCTTAATATGGACCACTTTAAGCAAGTTGATGTTTCTCGCTTTAGGCATGGTCTTCCCCAAACCGGCAATCTCAGTCTATTGCGATATTATTCAGATTTAGCAAACAATGAATTATCTATCCATACTAAGTATTGAAACACGTCAGACATGGCCTGCACAATCACACGCCCAGCTTGTTCAACCCCCCCTCCAAAGTCTTCCTCCACTCCCTTGCATTCTCCCGGTGCTCCCTCCAAAGCTCACAAATCGCCCTCGTATAATTACTAATCGTGTGCACCGTCTCCTGCACCCCCCGATATTCAACCCCGTTCACAACTTCCTCATCAATGCCCTTCACCCTGCAAAACTCCCTCGCCCACCCTCTCATCCTGTCCCTCTCATTCCTTGCCTCATCATCCTTTCCCCCCCAGGGATACAGAAACGCGTTAGGTGGATCCCATCTCTGCCCTGGCACAACCCCGCCAAACTCCCAATCCAACAACCCGGTTACCGTCCCATCCTTGTCAACCATGATGTTCGCGAGGTGCAGGTCTCGGTGTGCGAGAACATACCGCGTCTCATTCATCTCTTGCTTGTGCTCTCGAATGTACTTTCTGAACGCCTCCAATCTTGGCACCAAATCTCTCATCCACTCCAGCGAAGGATGATGGTTAATCACGTATACATACTTCTCCATAGCCGCATCTATATGCGCAGCCCAATCTTCGAACGGTCCATCAATAGGATTCAGGCTCTCAACAGTCTCTCCCTTGTCACCCCAGAAGCGCTCAATTTGAGGGGCCATCCAGAACCACTCATCAACCAACGGCCCGGGTCCAATTTCCCCCTTTTCATCAACCTTCATTCCTCCGACATACTTCCACGTGGAATTTTTGTAAATCTCCGCGAGGAACAGGACAAGTTGCTCAACTACTTTCCTCCTTATCTCGTCACTCATATCCCAAAACAGCTTATCCGCACTAATTCCGGGTACCTTCTCTAACAGCGAAAACTCATTTCCCAGAACGTTCTCACAAGAACTATCCCAGCGGATAACAGCAGGGACAGGGACAGATGTATGTTCCCTCGCCCATTTCATAATAGCAATCTCGTTTTCTGTCTTGATGCGGGGCAAGTGCGGCCCGGAGACACGGAGAACGAGGGTTGTGGTTCCATCAGTATTGGGCCTCGCCGGAGCGAGTTCGGCTGCAGCTGAGGAGGGGAAGTGGAGGAGGTAGATCCGATGGAACGCCGCCGTTACCGTTAGAGGCTCGGTAGAGGTCGGTGTCGGGAGTGCGAGAGAGGCTGCCAGATTCAGTAGTTGGGCGGGATTGAGGAGAGGCGGGAGGTGTGATGACGGGTCGGTCATTTTTCAGAGCGGCTGAGACGATGTCAATACTACTAACAAGGTGAAAGAATATCATGTGTGGCTGATTTGCAGTTCCACTGCAACTTTGGCGGAGAAATAAAACCAAAAGAATCGACGTTAGCCTTGATTGAACCGCCATTACTGGTTCTTAAGTTTACTCATGTAAGCGCTAATCCGGTCCCATTTCCTCCAACGGTACCGGGGCCCCGGAGCTTTCCTCGACATTATCATCATGAGTCATCCCGCATCACACGAATACTAACGACCCCTCAATGCTACCTCCCAACCGATAAGGAGAGCATTCATTCCTTTCGGACTTTTCCCCACTCATTCTCCCATTCAGTCAAAAGCCAATTGGAAGCTGCAGTATCCGGATGTTCAAAGCCAAGAATTTGCTGCCTGCGGTGAACGCAGTCCCGCATCAAACTTATTGCCGCTTCCCACTTACCCTGGCCCTTCCAGATGGAGGCCAGGTTAGTAGTGCTAACAAAGGTATCGGGATGATTCTCTCCAAGGACTCTTGTGCAGATTTTCAACTCGGCAGCTTGGAGGTCTTCCGCCTCTTTCCATCGACCCAGACAACTGTACGTCAAAGCGAGATTAGCCATGCTAACCAGCGTATCGGGATGCTCCTTTCCAAGAACCCTTGAACATATCTCCAACTCCTCGACTTGGATCTCCTCCGCCTCCATCCACCGGCCTTGATTTCTATAGCTCACTGCAAGATTGGCCTTTCTCCTCAGAGTGTCAGGATGCTCTTCCCCGAGTACTCTTAAGCTGATTTCCAGGACCTGTAACTCTTTTTCTTCTGCTTCTTTCCACCGACCTTGACTCCCGATTGTGACTGCTAAATTCGCTATTCTGTTCAGTGTATTGGGATGTTCTGCTCCAAACACTCGTAAACTCGTAGCTACGAGTGGAACCTCCAGCTCTTCCGCCTCCTTCCAACGCCCCATGTTCCAAAGCGTTGCTGCCAGACTGGCTATTCTATTGAGCGTATCGGGATGATCTTTTCCTAGCACTCTTGAGCTTATCTGCATGATCGGCACCTCCTTTTCTTCTGCTTCCTTCCACCGGCCTTGGTGCCTAATTATCACTGCTAAGGTAGCGATCCTGTTAAGTGTATCCGGATGCTCATCTCCAAGTACTCGGATGCTTGTCTCTACTAGTGACGACTGTAACTTTTCTGCCTCCTGAAACTGACCTAGCCTTAGGTATGCTGACGCCAAGTCGTTTACGCTATTGAGAGTAGAGGGGTGGCCTTCTCCCAAAACTGTTCTTCGTAGCTCGACTGCCTCGGCCACTCTCCTCCCACACTCTTCCCAACATCCGAGATAATCGAGATACCCTGCCACGCAGTGTAAAAGTGATGCCCTTGCGGCCTTGAAACTATGGTTTTCATCATGCCAAGTAGTCCCTTCGTTTTCCAGCACAGCGTAAGCATGTGGAAGCTGTTCCTGGCACACCTCTCTGTTTTCATACTGGCCGTACGGGAATGCGGTCGAAACCGTTTGAAGCGCCTGCTGCGCGAACTCATCCTTTCTATAATTCTTGAGAAGCCACTTTCGTGTGATTAGCTGCACTAGGCGGTGCATGTCCACAGTCTTGTTTTTCGCTTCTGTGATGAAGGAAAATGCCTTTAAAATCCCGAGGACTTTTTCTACGGTTGCATCCGCACTGGAGTTGATTCTGCAAGGCTGCTTTTGAAGGTATTCGGCGACAAACCTTTTCGGGATTGCCTGGCGATCAAGGAAACTCATAAAAGACAGAACATTACTGGCAAGGGCGTCTTGCCGCTCAATCTGCTCGAAGGATATAATCCATGTCGCTGTGAGAGCGTGCGGTGTTGCAGAGTCCCTCCCAACAGCTTCGAATGGTTCGCTGAGAAAGTCCACCAGCGTGGAGTCGCTCTCATTTAACAGTCCGATATAATCGTGTACCGTGATTCCATTTCCGTGGATGAATGCCGCAGCCTGAGCAAGTGCCAGCGGGAGGCCTTCTAGACGGGACGACAGATGTGATGCGTCTTTAGTGGAAACCGGACAGTCTTCTTCTTCCAAGAGCGAGCGCAATAGTTGGTCAGCTTCGCCCTCAGTCATTCTCTCAACGGGTATCGGAGGTTTCGGAGGAGCAAGTCTCATGCCAGTCTGTTTGTTCCTAGTTGTAATAAGGACTGATCCGTGGCTACACTCGGGGATATATCTGGCCAGGCTGCATTCTGCGCCACTCTCATCAGTGGACACGCCAGCATGATAGTCTCTTTGTGATTGGAAAAAGAGGTGCGAGTCGTCTGCGTTGTCAACCACCATAAGCCACTGGCCCCTCTCCTTTTTTTCCAGCCAACTTTTGACAAGCAATAGCGCGTCAAACTGAGGCTCTCCGTGCCCTGGGATTTCTAATTCTTCGGCGATATGGGTATAAGCCTGGCGAAATCGCTGCTCGTTGCTGGCATGGACCCAAAAGACGGAAATATCTGGGCGGAACTCCTTCAGCCAATACACGTACGCCAGGGCTATCTGGGTTTTCCAGGATATTGTTAGTGGTAAATAGCGCCTGTAAAGGATTGAGAGTAATACCCAACACCGCCTAAGCCATGAAGTGCCACCCTGGGTCGAGACTTCACCATGGCGTGTTGTTGTTCATGGCCGAAATATCCCTTGATGCGTCGTAGAGCTTCGGACCGACCAACAAAATCCGGGTTTTCGTTATACGGAACAAGAACTAAAAAATCGTAAGAAGGTTCAAGGAACATAGGCTTTTAACCTGAACTTACAATAAGTATCAGTGGTGCGAGAAGACGCTCGCCTGGTGTAACGTCCCAGAAGTGCCTTTGCCGCTGAGGCCGCTACTGCAGCAGCAAAGTTTTGCCATCTCTTGTTCTTGTGGCTGTCGGCGTAGTCACATACGGATTTGACGATGATGCATGGCATTTCATCCCAAATCCCCGCCCCCTCCATTTCAAAAGCGATAATGCCATGCTCTCTGGCGATTTCGTCCCGGTGCTCTCCCGACTTGACTACTGTGTCGCCCGAACCAAAGCGTCCAACATGTATTTGAAGCTCCTCGACGTTGTTGATGTTTACTTCTTCATCAAACTTTCTCTTTCTCTGGAGGCCGAGTCGTTTCCTCCCAATCTGTCGGCTGGCGTCACATTGAAGCTCTTCGCAAGACGCATTGACAGCATCATCACAAATATTGGTCTCGTTACAGCCGCAGTCTAGTTGCTTACGATGTCTATGGGTATAACCAGGCTCAAAAAGGATGTCCTCACTAGCTGCAGGACGGTCGTAGCAGGCTCGGTAACTCAATTTGGCGGCCATTTGCTTCAGTTGGTCCAGATGTTGGATCGTCTGGCGCTGCAGGTCACGCAAACCATCCACCGTTTCAAGCCTGGAAAGGAGAGCGCGGATGTCTCTGTTCGGTCGGCTAAGAGTATTATCGACATCGTCTTTTGTAGCAAACCTGCCAGGGTACTGTCGTCCCAGGTCATACTGGACGACACTCTTGCTGATTACTACGTCCCCAAGTAGGATTTCCTTATCAGTCCCTGGGCTAGGCACACCGCCGCATACACCGATCAAGATGGCCAACTCAAGATTGGTATATATTGATCGGAGATGTGATGTCTCATTTGCGGCACTGACCTTTCCCGGGTTAGGAAGAAGGACTAAGACGACGTTGTGGGCTCCGATGCGGCCAATTTTGTGACTACAATGACGCCCGTACGTGTTTTCACTATCACTCCACACATCGTCGAACGCCAAACTGGCAGCGTCGTATTCGCGGGGTAGCGCGCATACTATGGCGATGTATATGTTTTCGAGGCGGCGAGGCCGAAGGTGGCTAGCCATGGCATTGGTTCGAGTTGAGCACTTTGCTTAACAAAAGTGCACTTAACCAGGCATATGGATACACGGTCTTCTGTGCAATGTTGATCAGTGCCACTTTTCCAGAGCCTGGTAAGGCAGAGGAGCAAGAGTGTGATTTCTGCCCAACGAGGGTTGTTGATACCAGCCCGCTGCGGCGGAGCTCCATGCCGCTGGCGAATCAAAAGGTCATATGGCATTGCCAAGCCTGCAAGAGAAGCAAATGTTAACTTCAATCAGCTGTTGTCTTTGGAACAACGGATCAACACTTTAACACTGGAAGCTACTTCTCAAATGAAGTCTCAGTTATCCACAATAGCCACTGGAAGTAGCTTCGTGGATATCGCTGTCCCTCAATGAACCTCTATCACCATGTGTCTGGAAGGTACAGTACCTAGCCAAATCAAATTGGTTTTAAGAGCACCATGAACAAGTTCATGAAGTTTCCATGCAATTTATTATAAGGGAAGACTGAGATACACGTCATATAGGCCCCGCACTCCAAAACAGCGATTGCAATCTCTTGAATCATTGAAAACCGATTAACACCTGAATAGACGAGTAGAGAAAACCAACCAACTCAGAAGACAGCTACTATTATTCAACACTGGGACGCCCGTCTTCCGCATCTGACTGCTACAAGTTATAAACTAACAAGCTTATAAACCGAGCAATTAACAACCTTAGACATGGAAAATCTCTCACTGAAGTGAAAGCACCACAAGTGACATAGTCTGTGCACTCGAACAAACTACCGAAAGGTAAAAAAAACCGTCAAGGCTGTTCAAGTCAGCGCCGTGTAGGCGAGTAACTCAAAGATGAAACCGAGTCGTGTCAGCGCTAATGAGCTTTTACATCTCCGGCACGGCAAAGAATCACCACATACCTCAATCATCTTCGTTTCCGAGGAGAGTTATTTCAGTTAGAAAAAAACACCCCGCTCTGCACGCCATCCCCAATTTTTAACAGTAACTGTCAAGTGGCCCAGCCGCAGCTTCTCATAATAGCAACTAGCATCAAATGACCCATCTCCTATTAAAATGCCACAACCCAAGAAACACGCCTGCTCTTGGCCCAAAACCGGCATACCAGCCCATTCCTTGCTCCACGTCAGCGGCAGATTGCCTGCCGAACGGAACGACATACCTAACTAACAGGCAACAACACATGGTTTTTTTTCGGGGCCCTCCAATGCCACCCACGACTCGCGGCTCTCTCACATTCACGCACAAGCAATATCCTTGTGCTGAGCCGCCCAGAGAGCCGCGTAACGGCCGCGCCAAGCCGGCGCTCGCTGACACTTTTCCCAAGGCTGGTTTCTATTTGCTCTACCAAGCCTACATCGAATGTTTTCCAATATTCTCATCCAAGGAGGGGGCAAAACGCGCATCCGCTTCTATTTACGCAGTCTTGGTATCTTGGCTCAACGGGAGTTGTCAATGATCGTTTTCGTGGCACAAAGACAGCCACGGACTTTCGATGGATCATTATCCGCCGGAGCTGGTCAGTGCCACGGTCAAAAGCGAATTTCGTCACTGAACAGGTTGAGGATGACTCGTATATTCTACTCCCTCGTGTCTATCGTTTTCGGCTTCTTTTTATGACATTATCTAGCTTGACTTGAATGAAACTCATGTGGATTTCAGAATCCCGTGGTATCTCCTCCAACGACTATCTGTCCGTGTACAACCCTCTTCCTCTCATCACCCGTTCAGACCGCCTCCCAAGGCCACGATTTGCCAAGCTCTTCGCATTATTATAACAGCACAATAGGAAATATTTCGGCAGTCATCGGAAGTGAATGGCACAAAGGAAAATCACTCCGATGTCTGCATAGCTTTGTTCCAACAAATAGGCTCAGGAGGAAAAGAAGAAATTGTCTGGGCACAAACGGTCCGTCAATTAGTCATGCACGTAGACATGGTTGCAGCTGGCTCGCGTAAAAAAAACACTGTTGTCTTGTCTCAGCTGCCCATGTTGTGCCCAGGGCCTTTCTCTTCCAACAGAGTTGTCCACCTTAACCCTCGACGCGTGTGACACATAGAGCACAGCCGAACCCAAAAAAGGTGACAAGCATCTGCGTGTTCTCTAAATGTCTCGCCGCACTGGATGATCTCGCTTTTTCGAGAAGCCATTCGTGACGTCGCATCATGGCCGTTCACGGTAGAATGCTTATGCGTGAGCGGCCGGGGCAGCAGCTGCAGGAACTGCAGGAGCGGCGGCAACGCTGCCAGCGCCGGCACTAGCGACCGACTTCTGCGCGATTTGCAGGATGTTTTCCTGGCCAGGGGAGTTCTGCGGGAAGCGGGAGTTGAAACCGATAACATCGCGGACGGCGTTGAAAGTCTGAGGCTGGACCATGAGGCGCTGAGTAGACACCAACCACTGAACACCCTCACTGCATGGAGGAGTAGTGAGGGAGCCCATGTAACTAGAGAAATGTTAGAGAATTCTTCAAACTAGGCTGTGGACCTTCATACCTCTGGAAGCTGCCTGCGGTCAGGAGGGTAACGACCTCTTGCATGTTGAGACCGCTAACCTTGGTAACGGTACCAGGTTCCTTGATAGCATCAAGGGAGGAAAAGACGGTAGAAAGCAAGTTGGATGAGGCGGCCTCAGCCTTAACAGGGCTAAGGGTCATGCCGGGTATAGTCTTAGGGGCCTCGGCCGGTTGGGCAGCCTGGGCCGCATCGACAGCGAGGCGGCGGGACATCTTACTGCGACGTTCAGTGGTTTTGTTCTGTCCAGAGGCAGGCTCAGTGGCAGGCGGAGCGGCGGCGGCTCCTTGCTCAACATCGATGTAAGTACCAATGACGGCAATCTCCTGGTTGGCACCCTCAAAGACCATGTGCATCTCCATGGCCATGCTTCTTCCAGCATCGAGGTGCTCGCTAGGCAAGTGGAAGTGGAACTGCTGCAAAGTGAAGTTGGACCCGCCGACCTGCATTGAGCCTCCCTTAGCGATGACCTCAACCGTGGTTCCCAAATTCTCAAACTCGGTCTCCTCCATGTCGGGAATCGCGAGGTTGATGGAGCTACCGGGAAGAGTGTTGAAGGCACCGGCAACCATGTCGATAGGAGACTGCGTCTTGCCAGTGGCGCAGAGGGCATTGACTTGAGGGTCCAGAGCAACCCAGTTCAGAGGACCCTTTGGGATAATGTTAGCAATGGCCAAAGAGGCTTTCTTAACAGGGGCAAGAGGACTTACATTACTGCCAGTGTAAGCGAAAGTGTTGACCTTGACCTTTCCTCCCTCGGCGCGGGGGTCAAGATGGGTCCCGTAGGCACAAGAAGCCATGACCTGAGAGGCGGAGGCGGCGAAGAGGCCGGCGGTAAAGAAACGAGAAGCCATTGTAAGGACGGAAGGGTACGGACCAGCGTTCGTTAAGGCCTACAAAGGAGTCGAAGGAAAGAAAGAAGATTATTGGTTTAAAAAAGTAATGCCAGCCCTCTAGGGGAAGAAACGAAACGAACGGGGGAAGAGAAGGGAAGATGGTAAAAGTTGATGATGTGAGAAACGAAGTGAGCCAGGGAAAAAAGGACGAGTCTTTGTCAAGATGGCATGATGTCTATATAGTCCGCTCTCTAGAGCTCTAAGTTGAAGGCTGGTTGTCGCGATGATCGCCCTCGCCAGTCCAAGAATAGCACTGGGGACCATGAACCCATGCGCAGATGCTTGGGGCAGACGAGGCAGGAGATAGAAGAAGCCATGGTGAGGGTCTTGGCAGGCGCTTCATCCAGGGTATTGAGGAGCAATGGGAAGACAGGAGAAGACAATAGGAAGCATACAGCGAGTAAAGAGTAAGAATAAGGATGCCCTGCGTTTGGGCGGGCGCCTCCGTTTCCCATAGCATCTTAGTTGAGTGCGTTTCCGGCACAGGAGACGGGGGCCTTCCAAGCTTCTCCATACGAAGCGACGGCATGCCATCTGGACTATGGGACTGGAACATGCATCTGGGCGAGTCCGGCAGTGGCTATTGAGACGATGAGGGCGGGCCGTTTGGAGCGACAGGTAGAAGACCAGGGTCCTGGTCAAGTTGACAGGATGGGAGCCCGTCGCCAGCATGAAACTGCCAGGCTCCGGAGGTTTGGAAGGCATGTGGGGAATACGACCACTTTATCGGCCAAATGCTTGGCCTAGTAGTAACCCAAAGAGCGAATCCCTGCCATTGCGGTGGACGTTCCACGAGTCTCAATGCGGATGTCGTAGTGACAGCGAGCGACAGCCTGTCTGGTTCAGACGGAGGTGAAGCCCCGTCCCAATGTTCTTTCTGCTCTGGTGATCTCCATGTTGAGACGATCAACTGAAGCTCAACATCTTGGGGGAGGGGTCCTGAAAACCCATGATGATGATTTCCCGTGGGATGGCAGAGGCGAGAGCTAAAAATAAGCATTCGGATTGATCGCCTTCAAGACGGGTAGTCGCTGTAGTCGGAGAAAACAAGCGGACGGGAGGGATTTCCAAGAAGAGGACAAGAAATGAGGCTCGAACCAAGAAGACCAAGAGATGCATCCAAGACTCTAGGAGATACCAAGAAGGCGGGGGAGGTCACGTCACTTGAAAAGAGACAACAGGGAGGCACATCATATCTGAGGTACGTATCTTTCGACTTACACGTTTGCTCCAGGTCTTCCTGTCTGGGTTGGAGGGAAGAAGAGATCAGGTCAAGACAAGCCCAAGACGGAGAAGCCATAACCTTTCCTACCAGTACTACAGTAAGTGGAACCGAGGTGGGCCTTGAGCCCTCTGATAGTGAACGACTGGCTGAAAGGTACTGATAGCGAGGAGGCCAGGGACCAGCTCACTGCTTAAGAACCTTAAAGGCATTTTGGTGCAGTATGGCCCACTAAACCTTAAGGCTTTTTAGGGCAGGCACGTGCTATCAGACAGAGAGAGAGAGAGAGCCCAGACTCACTTGCTCTTGCCTGTTCTGTTCGGACGACCGAATGGATACAAGGGGAAGGGGCCCGCTTTTCGTACCGGTCGCCGCGTGCTGAGACGACGCACAGGACACTGCGCAGCCTGTTCCAGGCTGTAGCAGAAGTAGGAGCAGGAGCAAATCGCCGCACCTGCTTCCCTTCAACGTCGCAGACTCGTGGCCTCGACCAGCAACAAAGGAGAAAAGGAGGTCTGATGAAGACATTAGATATCGGCGCTAAGACAATATTGTCTCTGCGCACCGTAAGGTTGGTTGTGAGACGGGATGACAGGAAGGCGAAGTTCAAGGAGAAAAAGCACCTGATTTTTGCAGAGCCAAGAGATTGAATGGTCGCCAAGTCAAACAGGGATGGAAGAATAAGGGGAAGGAAGTAGTAGGCGAGGAAGACCGGCTTGCTCGCACAAATGTCTGCGTAGTATGTACATAGTATGCTGGCCTACTCTGTCCAAAGGACCCTGGTTTTCGTGGTTTCCCCACTCTCTTTACTGACTGTTGGATTGTGCGTGGCAGCTTACCATCAGGGCGGTACGACGCTGTAGGCCCCTTCCCTGCGCATTGTATATTACTCGCTGAATTCCGCTACAGCGCCTCTACCTGCTGTTGGCCGCGCGCCACATGGGCCATTGAGATGCCCGCCAATTACCCAACTGCACCTCGCCAAGTCTTGCACCTCCTGATTTCTCCTGGGCACGTCTCATCGATCCAGGGGCCTGCGACAAGCCTCTCCCTCCAGACTCAAACACCTTCACCAATCTTCAACGGGCATTTGCTATCTTTTCGGCCCCTTCCCATACCCGTTAACGCCTCTTATCACTCACCGTCCATTATCATAACCCACTGCGCCTCATCATCTTCTCGAGGCTGCTCTCCGTCTCGACCTCCCATCGCTACCAGCTGCCCTTCTCTGAAGCTTCTTGGCGCGCCCCAAACGCCAGACGCCCCTCCCAACCATGCCAAGAGCCCAGTCTACACGTGTACAGGCACTGCGTCTGATGTTTGACGATGACATGGGACTTGCTGAAGCTATCCCCATTCCTTCACTCTCACCGTTGCTCATCAGCAAGACACCCACCACGAAAGACCTTGTTTCTAGACCCCACGCCGGCGACGACACACTGAAGAAGCTGCCTTGAACGTAGGGACTGATGTTCTGTTTGCCTCGACCATCTACTGGTCCGCCCGCGAACCCCGCATGTCGTCTGGCCGCCGCTGAGAGCTATAATCTTGTTCGCTTTCGTTATCCGTCTCTCTTGACACCCCCCACTATCGCCGGCTTGCCAAGTCGCCTAGCTCTTTTGTCCCAGTTGCTTTCGAGGCTTATCAATTTGTATGCAACATCGGCCGCCATACCTACCGACATCTGCTTGTTTGTCGTCCTTGGCGAAAACCGAATGCCGTCTTGGTAGCCAAGGAGTCGTCATCCTTACAGGGCTTGAGGTTTCCAACGTGGGTTTGTGACGCATAAACCACGCAGACGAGAGCCTGCAAACGTCAGCCCAGCCTGAAAATTCTCATATTGCCAGCAATGCCCATCGAGTTGTGGCATTATTCGGTTCGTCCAACTTCCGCAAGATTGCCAGCGCCTGCTTCGTCGCGTGATAAGACATTACGGCACCTCCGCGACACTTCAATTGCGACGGAAAGTTGCCTTCCATTCGCCTGTATCGTTCTTTTTCTGTCTCACTCCTCCTCTCCATCGGTAGTGATTTTGTGAAAAGGGGGGCATGGGGTCACAGACTTTGTTTTTCAGGTGAACTATCCGGTCTCTTTCCCACACGTGCTCATGCCGCCTACAGATGTCTGCTGGGGCCGTGTGAGAGATGTGTCCCAACCAGAGACAGTTGACCGAATAGGCAAGCATTGATACTTCTAGTTGAGAGTCCCCTCCCCATTGGAGAAGCGACCTTGAAGATTGTGCGGATTAATTTCAGCAAGACGTACGTGTCGTTCTCATGTTGAATGTAGTCCCTTACACAGCCACGAGGGAAGAACTTGCCAACTAACCAGCAGTGAGATGTCACAGAGATAAACGGCCATTGTTAGTCTTCTTTTTTTCAGGCATGAACGGACATTTCAGAATCTCTATCAGGGTGTGCTTTCGCTCTCTGCAATTACATATCAGCAATCTGGCCAGGAGGGTTAGCCACAGTTATGTCGTGTCCCTGTTTTATTCTGTTCCATCAAACCCCAGAAATCTTGGCACTTGGCTTCCTCAGACACCCACTCCTCTCCACTCGCTAATGCAAAGCATGTCTCGTCTACCGAGGGAAACAAGAGAACTAAGCTTCTATCCAAGTGCGCCGAGTGATCAGCCTGGTCAATCATGAAAATCTCAAGTAAGACCAACGCTAAAGAACGCTCAGAAGGGTAAACTCTGTAGGAATATTATTTGAAGTCTTACGGGATGATATTCCAGCTGCAAAGAGCTGTTCGAGTTGGTAAGACGCTGCGCTTAAAAGATGCTTGTATCACCCGCTATTAGCGACTCGAGGTGATGGCTCGGATGCGGGCATACTCATCCATCTATCGCGAAACAATAGCCCCTATTGAGGGGAGGCCGGAATAGGGAGCCAAAACCAATGGCATTCTACACTGAATGGCGCCTGGCTAGCGACTGCTGAGTCATCAAACCTTGACAGAAACTGGTGACCTAGGGTCCACATGCGTCGTTCCTCAGTTGAATGGGTTAATATGGGTCCTCGGATGCCGGATTGGGAATGCGAGAAGGTGGGATTAAGCGGGAGCTACGGCGTAAGCGGGCTTACCAGCCAACGCCAGACTCCAATTTACACTACTTTGCATATCCTCTCCAAAAGGCCCCGCCACATAGCCGCATTGTGTATCCAATTTCGTAGGCAGCAATACATTTCTTTGAGCTCTGCATTTGAATGGATGTGGGATCCTAGCAAGTGCATCATGGCTGGTCCAACCTCAGTCTAACTTAAACCGGAATGCGAGGTTAATGCGAGGGAACTTCAGTGAACTTTGCATATAAGACCACTGCTTGAACCGCAATTGAACAATTTGTACGAGCTCGAAACTTACCAGTTAAGACCCAAACGAAGCTTCTACGGCCTTCTTTGACATTATTTGCATCTGCCATCATGGTCACCCTCACCAAAATCCGCCAGTCCAACGCCCAACTCACCAAGGCCACCATCCCACAAACCGCCCTGTTTGTAGGTGGGACATCGGGTATCGGCAAGCTCACACTCATCGAGCTTGTTTCCCTCAACCTGCCAATCAAAGTCTATATCGTCGGTCGCAAAGCAACCGAGCCAGCAATAAGACCGCTTCTCGAAGACCTGCGGCGCAAAAACGCCGATGCGGAACTCGTATGGGTCGAAGGCGAGGTGTCGCTTCTCTCCGAAGTTCAGCGCATCTGCAGCTTAATCAAGGCCAAAGAATCGAGGTTGGACTTTTTATGTTTGACGGCGGGCTACGCCCCTTTCGGAGGAAGAGACAGTATGAAGTTTTCTTCTTATGATCTTACATGTGGGATGAATTCTGATACTGATGACAATTAGACACAAGTGAAGGATTAGATGTAACCCATGCCCTCGAATACTACGGCAGAATGCTATTCACTCTGAACCTCCTCTCTATTATTCGGGAGTCTCCCTCACCTCGCGTCCTTACCGTCCTCGGCGGCGGTCTTTTGTCAAAGAAGCTCATGACCGACGATCTCAACCTCGAAAAACCCAGAAATTTTGGCGGGATGCAGTCGCAGACGCACATGAGCATCATGAACACGCTCTTCCTCGACCGCCTGTCTTCAGACCCGCTCAACAAGAACGTTAATTTTGTGCACAATTGGCCTGGTGCCGTGGACACGGGCAACATGACGAGATACCACACGTCGAGCGTCACGTCTCCGCTGCCTTTGACGATTTTGATGAAGCCCATCATGTGGATCATGGGATTTGGGGAAAAGGAGGCGGGCGAGAGGCATGTTTATATTGCTACGACGGGCAAGTTCGGAGGGGTGGGGCCTAAAGATGGGAATGTCGAAAGGGGAACTACAAAAGTTGAAGGAGAAGGGTTATTTCTGCTGAATCATAAATGCGAGGTTTCGTATAATGAGGACGTTTTGAAGGAGTTGAGGAAGGAGGCGCAAGAGAAGGTTTGGGACAAGACTATGGAGATTCTGAAGCCGTATCTCAGTTAGCTTGGGGTAAAGGGACACAAGATATTCAACTGATGACTTTGATTTGAAATTTTTGGTTGGTTTCTAGGTCGTAGCGGGACCTCACAGCGCTGGCACCATATAATTTATAATTTATTAGTTTCGCTCATGACATTGCACACATCTAGCACCCGCGGTCCTCGTAGGCTTTGAATGGCCAGAACACGCCTTGAGTACCTCAAACATAGCTAAGTGGTTTTATGCGGTCGGTACAACTGGGGGTAAATAGCAGCGAACATGTAAAGAGAAAAAGAGAAATAAACTTTCCCCTAAGGCTTTGTCCGGAACTGCGGTGCAGATAAATATGGGATTAGACAGTCTAGCATTAGCATAGGCGGTGAACGTTGTTAACTCTGGTCCAGGTCGAGAGAATCGCTTAAGTGACTAAAGTGACCAAAGTCAACGGAGATGATGAGGGTAACGAGAATAATGACAAGTTCAATCGAAAGAATGGAGAGGCCAACGAAATTTTGACGTGCAATGACAGTCTGGAGGTCTGTTCCACTGTCCCGGGTGATGTGTCGCTTCAAATCTGGTCGTTCCCGCCAGTCCTGCTACCACTTTAGGTTTTGCCATCCCTTTCTAGATACAGTTGAAAAAGTGACACCATTCTTTGACAATAATTAAGTTATGACAAGGGAAAGCAGGTAGCTATTGCAGGAACTCAATACTTGGTTCTACTTCATCCACAAAAGCACTCAAGACCAGAGCCAAAAGGCGATCAAAATATTCTGCATCTTCGCAAACAGATTTGTCCGAAACGAGTCTTTCAGTGGCTTCAATTTGGCATTTGTTACCAAACCTCTTACCAAACTCACTGCACTGCGATTATGCGGCGGGAAGAGTTTCACACGCTGCCGCCAGAGGTTTAGCATGATGCTAGGGCGTTTCTATAATTCAAATAATTGGATACATATTATCTAAACCTCTATTATGAAATCATACTAGATACTGTTTCGGGCTGTTGGCTAAAACCATACATCAAGCCACGAAGAAGAGTTACATGACGTTGAAGAAATTACATGAATGTGGAGTAAAAGTCCTGGGTCTAAAAACCCAAAGGTACACCACGTCTCTATTTGACAAATGAAACATCGAATGATTCTAATTGCGGTGCGCCAGTCGATTTTCTTTTTCTTTTCTTTTGTCCTTGGAAATCTCCGTCATGAGGGATTTGAAGCGGACATCCAGTTCTCGCTCTCTAGATACCACCAGAGTCTAGACATCTTGCACCATCGTTTCTGCTGGTAGCCGGGACGCTCGTTTGCTGCTGGGGTGCAGTCGAATTGTCGACGGCAATTCTCCAGACCTGGCCGGAGTTGTTTTCAATAGCATATAGGAAACCCTCCTTTGTCGCGTAGGTCGCGCCCCAGAAAGGTGCTGTGCCACTTGTAACGCCCGTAAGTCTTCCAAGGTCTCGGGTCACGGTCCAGACATGGCTTGTTCGGTTCCATCGCATGAGGGAGCCGATGTAGTTTTTGACGCCGACAGACCAAAGATCACCTCCCCCAGGACCTGGCACAACTGCCCAATCGCCAATGGTGTATCCAAGAGGACCACCAGGGACTAGCCCTTGGCTTATGAGCTGACTGTAATTGGCTCTAGCAGGATTAAAATTGTATTGGTACCAGTCATTACCGCCGGTGGAGGCCCAGTACTGTCCGTTTTCATCGACATCTCCGGAGTTGAAAAGACCCGAGTAGAGCTTGGCAGATGCGGCAAAGGTTGTGATGGTGGTTGTTTGTCCATTCCCGAGGATACGAAGAAGCCTGAAGTCTCCGGTAGCGGTTGTCTGGGATATAGCGTACATGTAGTCCTCTCTGGAATTGTACCCCAATGCGTTGATATTGCGGGAGATATCTCCGCCGACGTTAGTTGCGACCGTATTACGGGTACCATTAGCGAGATTGATGGAATAGAGCGTTACGCCGGTAGTATCGTCACTTTGAACAAGAAATCCAAGTGTGGGACAGGAGTACGCAACTCCCAGGGTGGCCGAAGCAACCACGCGGCTTGAAGTTGTCGTAGAGGACCTTGTGCTTGAGCTCGATGAGCTACTGCTGCTGGAAGAGGACGAGCTAGAAGAACTCGACGAAGTTGAGCTCGTACTTGTTTGCGAGGAAGACCTTGAGGAACTCGAAACACTTGATGAGCTTGACGAACTTGAACTAGTGCTGATGCTTGAGCTCGAAGTACTTGCAGTAGAGCTTGAGGTAGTTGTAGTTGTGGTTGTGGTTGTGGGCCGTGTCGATGAAGATGTGGAGGAGGATGAGGAAGATGTCGTTAATGACGACGATGATGAGGATGAGGATGTAGTTATAGACGAGGACGTAGTCGTAGGAGAAGAGGTGGTCAGTGTGGAAGAGGTGGTCAGTGTGGAAGAGGTGGTCAACGTAGAAGAGGTAGTCAATGTGGAAGAGGTGGTCAACGTGTAAGAGGTTAATGTGCTAGTCGGTGAGGATGAGGGAGAACTCGAAATAGTCGAACTGGAAGCTGATGAAGAGGAAGATGTTGTCAGAGTCAAGAGCGTCGAGATAAAAGTTGAAGACGATGAGCTCGAGGACAAGGTCGAGGATAGGATCGAAGATAGATCAGTAGACGTTGCTTCCGAAGTGGTTGATTCTGTTGACGAGGTAGTTTCCAATATAGAGCTGGAAGTAGAGGTTGGTAAATCAGAACTGCTGAAAGGTGTTGACGATATGGTGGAAGATGTTTCTGAACTGGTTGGTTCCGTTGACGAGGTAGTTTCCAATATAGAGCTGGAAGTAGAGGTTGGTAAATCAGAACTGCTGAAAGGTGTTGACGATATGGTGGAAGATGTTTCCGAACTGGTTGATTCTGTTGACGAGGTAGTTTCCAATACAGAGCTAGAAGTGGAAGTTATTAAATCAGAGGTGCTGAGAGTGGTTGACAGAATGGTGGAAGATGCTTCCGAACTAGTTGATTCTGTTGACGAGGTGGTCTCCAAAATGGAGGTGGAAGTAGAAGTCGTTAAATCTTCAGAGCTGCTGAAAGAGGTTGGAGTGGACGTCGGCGTGACCCCTGCAGATGTGGGGGTCTCAATATACACAGTTCCAGGGGCAGTACCGCTTGGCTGAACAATTGAAACAGTGGTAGAACCTGTCGGCGAAGCTGTCCCAGTATAAGGGCCAATTACAGTGACAAAAACAGCGGGGAGGCCTATAATAACGGTGCCTGGGACTGTGCCACTTGGAGCGATTGTGGTAAACGTTGTTGTTTCCGCATTAGGGACTGTGAGGAAGAGCGTCGAGGTGACATACGACGTTTGTGGAGCTGGTGTTGCAACAATGATTGTGCCAGGAGCAGTGCCGCTCGGTGGTATTGTTGTGATGGGAGTAGGACCGGTAATAATCTCGGTACCTGAATACTCTTCTGACCGGGTTACGAAAACTGCAGGTAAACCAATAATGATGGTGCCTGGCACCGTGCCACTTGGGGCAACTGACGTGAGTGTAGTTGTCTCAGCATCAGAACCTGTGAGGAAAGTGGTAATAGTGGTATATGATGTTTGCGGAGCTGGCGTTACAACCACAATTGTACCTGGAGCAGTACCACTTGGCTGTATAGTGGTGATTGGAGTAGGTCCAGTAATCACATCTGTGCCGGAGTACTGCTCCGATCGAGTCACAAATGTAGGAGGACGAGCTATGATGATAGTGCCAGGCACGCTACCGCTGGGCGGCACAGTGGAAATTGCGGTAGGCCCAGTGATTGGGCTTGCACCACTGTAAATGATATCGAGAGTCTCATACCTTGCTGCTACGATGTAAGTACCAGGAACTGTTCCATCGGGCACAATAGTGGATATTGTTGTCGGCTCAGTGAGCGTGTCAGAGCCCGTGTATACTACTTGTGAGGTGAAATAGATAGGAGCTGGGCTAGCTACAATGTAGGTCCCAGGTACTGTGCCGACAGGCTCAATGGTTGAAATAGTGGTCAGCCCTGTGATAGTGCTTGGGCCACTATAAGTAACTTCTGAGGTAACGTAAAGGGCTACCTGACTGGCCACAATGTAGGTACCTGGGTTAGTGCCACTCGGAGCAACCGTTGAAATGGTCAACGGCCCTGTGATTGGAATGGTGCCGCTATAGACCACTTGCGATGTGACATAAACTGCCTGTGGTGTTGCAATGATGACCGTGCCTGGGACAGTCCCACTGGGCTCAATAGTAGAAATAGCTGTTGGGCCTGTGAGAGTGTCTGGCCCAGTATACAAAATCGTTGTGGTAACATAAACTGCGAGAGGCGTTGCAATGATGATTGTGCCCGGGGCAGTGCCGCTCGGTGCAATAGTAGAGATAACAGTCGGACCTGTCAGAGTGTCTGAGCCAGTATATACAATCGTTGTGGTAACATAAACTGCGATTGGTGTTGCAATGATGACTGTGCCTGGAACAGTCCCACTGGGCTCAATAGTAGAAATAGCTGTTGGGCCTGTGATAGTATCTATGCCAGTATAAGGCACAGTCGTTGTAATATATAGCGGTGCCGGCGTTGCAATAACGACTGTTCCTGGGATAGTCCCACTGGGCTCAATAGTAGAGATGGCTGTCGGACCTGTCAGAGTGTCTGAGCCAGTATACAAAATCGTTGTGGTAACATAAACTGCGATTGGTGTTGCAATGATGATTGTGCCCGGGGCAGTCCCACTAGGCTCAATAGTAGAAATGGCTGTTGGGCCTGTCAGAGTGTCTAGACCGGTGTAAAGCACTGTTGTCGTTATATACAGAGGCGCCGGCGTTGCAATAATAATAGTCCCAGGAATAGTTCCACTTGGCGTGATAGTAGAAATGGCCGTCGGACCAGTAAGAGTGTCTGAACCGGTATAAAGCACTGTCGTCGTTACATATAGAGGAAGAGGAGTGACAATAACGACTGTTCCTGGGTTGGTTCCGCTTGGTTCAATAGTAGTCGCAGGTGATGGGCCTGTGAGGGTGTCTGGGCCAGTATAAGGCACTGTCGTCGTCACATACAGAGGCGCCGGCGTTGCAATGATAACAGTCCCAGGAATAGTTCCACTTGGCGTGATAGTAGAAATGGCCGTCGGACCCGTAAGAGTGTCTGAACCGGTATAAAGCACTGTCGTCGTCACATATAGAGGAGGCGGCGTGACAATAATGACCGTTCCTGGATTGGTTCCGCTTGGTTCAATAGTGGTTGCAGGTAATGGGCCTGTGAGAGTGTCTGGGCCGGTATAAAGCACTGTCGTCGTCACATATAGAGGAGGCGGCGTGACAATAATGACCGTTCCTGGATTGGTTCCGCTTGGTTCAATAGTGGTTGCAGGTGATGGGCCTGTGAGAGTGTCTGGGCCGGTATAAAGCACTGTCGTAGTAATATACAGAGGAGGCGGCGTGACAATAACGACCGTTCCTGGATTGGTTCCGCTTGGTTCAATAGTGGTCGCCGGTGACGGGCCTGTGAGAGTGTCTGGGCCGGTATAAAGCACTGTCGTAGTAATATACAGAGGAGGCGGCGTGACAATAACGACCGTTCCTGGATTGGTTCCGCTTGGTTCAATAGTGGTCGCCGGTGACGGGCCTGTGAGAGTGTCTGGGCCGGTATAAAGCACTGTCGTAGTAATATACAGAGGAGGCGGCGTGACAATAACGACCGTTCCTGGATTGGTTCCGCTTGGTTCAATAGTGGTTGCAGGTGATGGGCCTGTGAGAGTGTCTGGGCCGGTATAAAGCACTGTCGTCGTCACATATAGAGGAGGCGGCGTGACAATAATGACCGTTCCTGGATTGGTTCCGCTTGGTTCAATAGTGGTTGCAGGTGATGGGCCTGTGAGAGTGTCTGGGCCCGTGTAAGGCACTGTTATCGTCACATATGCAGCCGCTGGCGTTGCAATAATAACAGTGCCTGGGATAGTCCCACTGGGCTCGACTGTAGATATTGGCGTTGGACCGGTGATAGTATTCGTACCAGTATAGAGGACTGTTGTTGTCACATACGGAGGCGCCGGCGTTGCAATAATAATAGTACCTGGAATAGTCCCGCTCGGTTCAATAGTAGATATTAGCGTTGGACCAGTGATAGTATTCGAACCAGTATAGAGGACTGTTGTCGTCACATATGAAGCCGCTGGCGTTGCAATAACAACAGTGCCTGGGAGAGTCCCACTGGGCTCGACTGTAGATATTGGCGTTGGACCGGTGATGGTATTCGAACCGGTGTAGAGGACTGTTGTCGTCACATATGAAGCCGCTGGCGTTGCAACAATAACAGTGCCTGGGACAGTTCCACTGGGCTCGACTGTAGATATTGGCGTTGGACCGGTGATGGTATTCGAACCGGTGTAGAGGACTGTTGTCGTCACATATGAAGCCGCTGGCGTTGCAACAATAACAGTGCCTGGGACAGTTCCACTAGGCTCAATAGTAGAAATAGCCGTCGGACCAGTGATAGTATTCGAACCAGTGTAGGGGACTGTTGTCGTCACATATGAAGCCGCTGGCGTTGCAACAATAACAGTGCCTGGGACAGTTCCACTGGGCTCGACTGTAGATATTGGCGTTGGACCGGTGATGGTATTCGAACCGGTGTAGAGGACTGTTGTCGTCACATATGAAGCCGCTGGCGTTGCAACAATAACAGTGCCTGGGACAGTTCCACTAGGCTCAATAGTAGAAATAGCCGTCGGACCAGTGATAGTATTCGAACCAGTGTAGGGGACTGTTGTCGTCACATATGAAGCCGCTGGCGTTGCAACAATAACAGTGCCTGGGACAGTTCCACTAGGCTCAATAGTAGAAATAGCCGTCGGACCAGTGATAGTATTCGAACCAGTGTAGGGGACTGTTGTCGTCACATATGAAGCCGCTGGCGTTGCAACAATAACAGTGCCTGGGACAGTTCCACTGGGCTCGACTGTAGATATTGGCGTTGGACCGGTGATGGTATTCGAACCGGTGTAGAGGACTGTTGTCGTCACATATGAAGCCGCTGGCGTTGCAACAATAACAGTGCCTGGGACAGTTCCACTAGGCTCAATAGTAGAAATAGCCGTCGGACCAGTGATAGTATTCGAACCAGTGTAGGGGACTGTTGTCGTCACATATGAAGCCGCTGGCGTTGCAACAATAACAGTGCCTGGGACAGTTCCACTAGGCTCAATAGTAGAAATAGCTGTCGGACCTGTAAGAGTGTCTGGACCGGTATAGAGCACTGTCGTTGTTATATATAGAGGCGCTGGCGTTGCAATAATAATAGTACCCGGGACAGTCCCGCTCGGTTCAATAGTAGATATTGGTGTTGGACCGGTGATAGTATTCGAACCGGTGTAGAGGACTGATGTTGTAACATAGATAGGTACAGATGCTGGCGTCACGATGATTATTGTTCCTGGATTAGTGCCGCTTGGTTCAATAGTAGATATGGGTATTGGTCCAGTAATGGTGCCAGGGCCAGTGTACACGATCGACGTAGTAACATACGTAAGAATTGGAGCTGGTGTTGCAACAACAATAGTTCCTGGGTTCGTTCCACTAGGCTCGATTGTGGATATTGGGGTTGGGCCGGTAATTGTGCTCGGGCCGGTATACAGGATCGAAGTAGTAACATAAGTAAGAACAGGAGCCGGCGTTGCAATAATGATTGTCCCTGGGTTGGTTCCGCTTGGCTCGATTGTGGATATTGGGGTTGGGCCGGTAATTGTGCTCGGGCCGGTATACAGGATCGAAGTAGTAACATAAGTAAGAACAGGAGCCGGCGTTGCGATAACAATTGTTCCTGGGTTGGTTCCGCTTGGTTCAATTGTGGCTATGGGTATTGGACCACTAATGGTGCCAGGGCCGGTGTATAATACTGAAGAAGTAACATAAACAAATGCCGGAGCTGGTGTCGCAACGATGATTGTCCCTGGGTTAGTCCCGCTTGGCTCGATTGTGGATATTGGGGTTGGGCCGGTAATTGTGCTCGGGCCGGTATACAGGATCGAAGTAGTAACATAAGTAAGAACAGGAGCCGGCGTTGCAATAATGATTGTCCCTGGGTTGGTTCCGCTTGGTTCAATTGTTGCTATGGGTATTGGACCACTAATGGTGCCAGGGCCGGTGTATAACACTGAAGAAGTAACATAAACAAATGCCGGAGCTGGTGTCGCAACGATGATTGTCCCTGGGTTAGTTCCGCTGGGCTCGATTGTAGATATCGGTGTTGGGCCAGTAATGGTGCTGGGCCCGGTGTAGAGGACCGATGTGGTGATATATACAGCTGCTGGAGTTGCAATGACGACTGTCCCTGGATTAGTTCCGCTGGGCTCGATTGTAGATATCGGTGTTGGGCCAGTAATGGTGCTGGGCCCGGTATAAAGGATAGTGGTAGTAACGTAGAAAGGAGCCGGCGTTGCAATGATGACTGTTCCCGGGTTTGTTCCGCTCGGTTCGATCGTCGATACAGCTATCGGCCCTGTAATGGTACTCGGTCCAGTGTAAAGGATGGTCGTGGTAACGTAGAAAGGAGCCGGCGTTGCAATGATGACTGTTCCCGGGTTTGTTCCGCTTGGCTCGATCGTGGAGATTGGGGTTGGGCCAGTAATTGTGTTTGTGCCGGTATAGAGGACTGATGTGGTGACGTACACCGCTGCTGGAGTTGCGATAATGATTGTTCCTGGGTTGGTTCCGCTTGGCTCGATCGTGGAGATTGGGATTGGGCCAGTAATTGTGTTTGTGCCGGTATAGAGGACTGATGTGGTGACGTACACCGCTGCTGGAGTTGCGATAATGATTGTTCCTGGGTTGGTTCCGCTTGGCTCGATCGTGGAGATTGGGATTGGGCCAGTAATTGTGTTTGTGCCGGTATAGAGGACTGATGTGGTGACGTACACCGCTGCTGGAGTTGCGATAATGATTGTTCCTGGGTTGGTTCCGCTTGGCTCGATCGTGGAGATTGGGATTGGGCCAGTAATTGTGTTTGTGCCGGTATAGAGGACTGATGTGGTGACGTACACCGCTGCTGGAGTTGCGATAATGATTGTTCCTGGGTTGGTTCCGCTTGGCTCGATCGTCGATATAGCTATCGGCCCTGTAATAGTACCAGAACCAGTAAAAAGAATCGACGTGGTGACGTAAGGTGCGGAAAGTGATGGGATTGTTGTCTCTGTTGTTGTGGTTCCAGGACCTGATGTATCTGTACTTGGCGGAGAAAGTGTAAGAAGCGAGCTGGAAGACGTGGTGATAGTAATGCTTGGGGGTGTAAAAGTAGCTGCACTCGATAGAGAAGAATCTGTTTGAGACGAAAATGATGATAGGGTAGGAGTAATGCTGGAAGTGTCCTCTGTTGTGCTGCTTATCGTTGAGGAAGTATCTATGATTGACGTATTGATAGTTGTGCTAAAAGTATTGGATCCTGTTGAACTCGAAGTTGAAGTAGTTGTAGTGTCTGACACCACCGTAGTCTGTGAGATTGTTGTGCTTGTGGTCGATGACGAGGACAACGTTATGGTGCTAGTCTCACTGCTAGTAGATGATGTGCTGCTGGAGAGTGCGGATGTGATGGATATGGTATCCGAGGATTCTGGGACAATGATCACAATAACCCCTGGAACTGTGCCTGAAGGTGCTCTTGTGGTCAGAGTTGTTGGAGCGGTAATTCTCTCAGTCCCAGTCGGGGTGTACCGAACTGTGGTAGTAATGAAACGGCGAAAGACGGCTGCCCCAACGATAAACGTTCCTGGAATTGATCCTCTTGGAGGAACTGTGGAAATTGTTATGATACTTCCGGACTGTTCCTCTCCATCGATAGTGTAGACAACCGTGGTTGTCACAAATACGGCAGGCCTTACTCCAATGATAATCGTGCCAGGCACAGTTCCGCTTGGCGGAATTGTCGTAATTGGAATAGACCCTACAGCGTCATCTGTGCCGGTGTAGGGAATCTCCACAGTGTTGAAGACTGCTGAGGGTGTCGTGGAACTAACAGTTTCATTTGCCACAGTGGCTGAGAGTGTCGAGTCAGTACTGCTGGAACTTTGTGTGTCGCTATTCGTTGATGTGACGCTACTGAGAGTTGTATTGCTCGTTGATGATAAGTCAACTGACGATGTGGTGGTGGTCGTGGTTTGCGAATTAACATCTGATCCAGTTGTTGTGCTTGTGCCACTTGCCGTATCATCTGAAGAGGGACTTGTTTCAAATGTTTGTGCGGTTGATGAAGAAGAGCTCTCTGATGCACTCGATGAGAGACTGCTGGAGGAGGAGACAACTACCGAAGAGGATGTAACCAGCGAGGACGTAGTGTTGATTGTAGAAGTACTACTGGTGGAAATTTCTGAAGAAGTTCCTGACCCCAGTGAAGTGCTAGTGCTCGTCGTGACCGTCTGTGATGATACTGTGTCTGAGACTGATGTAGATTGCGAAAGAGATGATGTTTGTTCTGTGCTTGTTCCATTCGAAGTACTAGTTTCGGAAGATAGCGAATTGATCGATGAACTATTTAGCGTAGTGGTAACCGAGTTTAATGTGCTTGTAAAGGTTTCCGACGATGTACTGCTTTCGGAGGTTGAGGATTGAACAGTCTCTCCTGTTGAGCTGACTTGTGTAGAGTTATCGACTGACGAGGAAGTTGGTACAGATGATGTTGATGCCGTTTGCGAGGAAGATACATTGCTAGATGAACTGGCCTGCGAGGTTGCAGTCGTTGATGTCGAAGTTTGACTAGAAGTATCGGTCCTTTGAGTAGTGCTAGTGGTTGATGAGACCGACGACTGAGCAGAAGATGATACAGTTGTAACTACAGTAGGCTCACTGGATGAGGAGATAGTGGCCGAAGTAGTTGATGCCGTATCCGCGGAAGATGTTGAAGCTCCTGGAGATGTCGAGTCAAACAATGATGTTGTCTCTGTCGTTGTCGATGGAGAAGAGATGGGGGCTGATGACGAGAATTGGCTCGAAGCGTCGGCCGACGACGTAGCACTCGTTGATGAGCTCAAACTATTAGTTGTAGGAGACAATGGGGTACTGGTACTCTCCGTCGAAGCCGGTTCACTAGAAGCACTCGTCCCCGACGGCGTAGCTCCTGTACTGCCTGGAAATGTTGTCGTACTTTGTGAAGTTATTGTTCCGCTTGTTTCCGTGCTTAATAAAGAACTCGACCCTGTTACTTGACTACCATTGCTGGAAGTACTGCTCGACGTGCTGGTGCCCAGATTCGTTTGGGGAGATGAGGTGACTGTAGGGATGACTGTGCCAGTTGGAGTGAGTGAAGTCGGCGTAGAGGTCATTGAAGGGCTAGTTTCAACAGAGTTACTACTTTCGGCCGAGTTAACACTTGGGCTTGAAGTCGCAGCAGTTCCAGAAACGCTAGTTGACGGTGCCGTGTTAGAGTTGACTGAGCTGCTCGATGCTGATGGCAATGTGAGCTGTGATGATGAAGGCCCTGTGGCATCAGAAGAGGAAAGACTACTTGGCACCGTGCTTGTCTGAGATAATGCACCACTTGTGCCTGAAGTTGTGCTCAGAATCAAGCTGGAGCTTGTTCCGCTTATCGTTGAAGTTGCTGTCGAAGATCCAGTCAAAGGAGTACTGGAGGAAATGCCACTAGCTGACGAAGATTCCGATTGGCTCGGCCCCGACGGGGTTGACGGAACCGAAGTGACTTCTGTTCCCAAAGAGCTTGAAGTGAGACCTGTGATTATCACTGAGCTACTGGTTTGGGCAGATGAGATGGTCTCTTCAGTAGTAGGGTTCGACGTAGATAACCCACTTGTACTACTGAAAAGAGACGACGAGGAGATATCTGTTCGAGAAGAAGTACTCGAAGGGAAACTCTCGGATAAGGTTTGCGATGAGATCGAAGAGCCTGCATCACCCGTAGATGAAACAGTGGACTCGGAGAGAAAGGGGGACGTCGAACTAGTTGAAGGTAGTCTACTAGTAGAAATAGAAGACTCCAAGGACAAACTACTTTGGCTCTGCGAGATGAGGCTCGTAGATGTGGGACTACTAGGCAGTGATAAGGGACTTGTAATGGAGCTGGTAATAGAACTAGGCTCTGTAGACAGCCCAGATTGAATCGAGGTAGTGATAGAAGCTGTGAACGATTGACTTGTAGAACTGGTCTCTCCTGCCGAAATAGATTCAGAAGAAAGACTAGAAACCAAAGTAGGGCTTGATGTCGATGCACTGGGTGAGGTAAGTAATGGGTCCGATGTAGATCTGTCCGTCGTAATTTGGGAGGTAGTTGTGCTGGCTATAGAAGTGCCAATTGTTGGAGTCGTGCCTAACGATGGTGTACTTGCAATCGAGCTGGAAAAAGGTGTCTCTGAGCTTCTAGTAGTTGAGCCTTGAATATCCGTCCCAGGTGTATTCGAGGGCGAAGTAGCTGCTGTATCAACTAAAGATGAACCGCTGGCTGAGCCACTCAAAATTGATGTTGGAGTGGTTTGGATTGCCGCAGAATCAGTTGTGCCGGTACCAGAGCTGGTGGCTGCCACGGAAGATTCTGTAGGAACTGAGTTCGTTCCTGTGTTACTGGCTGTCGAGTCACCAGACCTTGAAGACTCAGAAGGCGGCGATGGTGTCAAGGAGGAAAGGCTAGCTGGAAGGCTAGATGGGGTGACAGGCTCCGATAGAGTGGGCGACGTTGACAAGACTGTTGTCTGCGATAGGCTCTGCGACGATGAGGGGCTCGGTAGATTAGATGATCCCACAGCCGCTGATGAACCCGGGCTAGAGGAATCCAATAGATTTGATGACCCTAACGATGTTCTTGACGAAGCCGATACGGTTGGTGAAGCCGAAAATGGTCCTGATAGAGTAGGTGTCTCCTCTGCAGTTGGAGGAGTTGAGACGTTTGATGGATCTGCTAAGCTCGGAGTTGAAACAATTGAGGAGAAAGAAGCTGCTGTTGTCGGCAAACTAGGGTTGGGAGTAGGCGTTAAGTCGATGGTCAAAGACAGACTCGGGCTAAAGCTCGGTGTGTCAGCGCCAGTTCTATCCATAGTGCTGCTGGTCCCCGAAACGGACAGAGTCGATGGCACAGCAACTATTACAGTAGCGGGCCCTGTCCCTTCCGGAATGATTGTTGATATTGGCGTTGGCCCTGTGATTGATTGAGTTCCTGAATAAACTACCTCTACCGTACTTGACAGTCTTGTGTTCTGTGTTACGGCTGTTCCCGGAAGCCTTCCATTTGGAGGATTTGCCGTGGCAGTGATAGAATTTGTCGAAAGACTAGAGCCTGTGTTACCCACCCCCTGAGTACTCGATCCTGTAGCCGCTCCCGGCAGGTTAGTATCTGGGGCAGGCCTGCCTTGCTGGTTTCCTGTCGTCGGCAATGCTCCACCAGAGACAGAGGTTCCATCATCAATGGTTTCGGCTGGCGTCGCAGTCGGTACAGCTGTGTTGCTTAAGCTGATCCCATTGTTTGCTGTGGGTGACGCTGTTGCAGTAGAAGTTAGAGCACTACTGGTACCTGAACCCCCAGTCTGAGTGCTAGCAGATCCTGTCTGAACTGGTGCAGCGGAACTCGACACTCCGTCGTTCGTCCCCGTTCGTGTACTTCCAGGCTCTTCAACTCCTATATCCACCTGAGAAGAGCCTGGAGAGGTTACAGTCGCCCCCTGTGACGACACTGGCGTCGGTTGAAGTGACGAAGCTGTCAATGGATCTGATGTGATGAAGCTCGGACGAGCAACAATGATAGTTCCTGGTACACTTCCAGAAGGCTCAATTGTTGATATAGGAACAACACCAGTCCCGCCGCCCTCATCTTCAGGATATTGTATCTCTGAGGTCACAAACTGAGGAGGATATCCAACCACAACTAACCCAGGCGAAGTACCGCTTGGCAAGATGGACGTCAGAGTCACTGGCGCCGTAGCCGTGCTGGCGTCAGTCCCAGTAAGGACAACGGCAGAAGTGCTATACACAGTAGGCTGACCGACAATGATGGTACCAGGCACTGTGCCGCTAGGAGGAATCGTGGAAAGGGTAATAGGGCCCGTAGCATCAGGTATTATCACCTCAGATGTGACGGTAGAAGGGGGACGAGCTACGATGACAGTACCAGGGGTGCCGCTCTCTGGCGGGATTGTCACAATTGCTGTCGGGCTGGGAATACCAGGTAGCACAACCTCAGAAGTTTGAAAAGGCGGAGGTTCTGCAACTACAATGAATCCTGGGCTAGACCCACTCGGCTCAATCGTGGAAATAGTTGTTGGAGCAGTGACCTGAGGATCGGTAACCTGCAAAGTAACGTACGTGTCCGTTGTTGGATCTGACCCTGGTATTGGCTGAGCGACGTTCACACCGGGCATTCCCGTAGGCCCCGGGGCCATTGGATCACTGGTTGTAAGAACAGCAATAACAATGGTTCCAGGTATAACTCCGCTAGGTGGAATCACCGTTACTGTCACCGACCTGTCAATCGGGTCAGTACCTGTATAAGCAATATACGAGAAGACGAAAGGCGCTATCGGGGTATCTGGCAACGGCGTCGTTGATGAACCAGCTGCTGTCAAACTTGAAGCTACCGTCGAGGTAATGAAAGGGCCTCTTGCCGAGGCGGACGAAATGGTCTCTGGTAGACCTATAACGACAGTACCGGGCTGGTTATTACTTGGTTGCACAACCGTGAGGGTGGATGGTATTCGAATGGAATCAGACCCAGTGTAAGCCACTATTGATGTTACAAACGAGGCTCCTGGTGATTGAGAGACATTAGGCGTTTCAAGAATACTGCCACCGGATGGCGTGGTCGCTACAAAGGTCCCTGGGCTCGAAACTCCAGAAAGCCCTCCAGTTGGAACAAAGGTACTCTGACCGATGGTGATATTTCCGCCCATGGAAGGATTGGTCGATGGTGCAGGCGGGGGTGGCACTCCTGTTGGGGGTACTCCAATAACGACAGTGCCAGGATCGGTACCCGATGGTGAAATGACTGAGATGATTGTCGGGTCAGATATTGCTTGAGGTCCGGTATAAAGTACAACGGATATATCAAATGAGGGGTTGGCACTTGGCGGGCTGGTGGGAATAGCAACAACGTAAGTTCCAGGCACAGAACCCTGAGGGGGCACAGTTGATATGGTAGTTGGTCCTGCAACCAGACCATCTCCACTGTAAGCAACGGTTGAGGTGTCGAACAATCTGGGATCTGGTATCGCGACAAGAATGGTGCCGCGTGCGGACGCAGAGCCACCGGAAGTCGTGGCAGTCGGCCTCCAAATCAAGATGGTTTGCGAGTCAGATATGATGTTGCTTGTGAATGTGCTCGTGTAGCTAGGCAAAGATGGCTCAGGCTCAGGAGTGATGAGCCCTGCAGCGGTTCGCGAAACTGTGTAATACGGTGGGGGGACTTGAATTATTACAGTCCCTGGTGCACCGTTCGTGGGATAGATACTGGTCACCGTCGTCGGCTCGGTGAGGATACCGGGTCCAGTGTAGATGCCTTCAATCTGAGTTACATACGACCGAGAATCCTCTGATGAGAAGGAGCTTCCCGATACACTCCGTTTCTTCAAATAGATTTCGTCCGATGGAGTACTCCGCCTTGAAATCAAGGAAACTGTGGATTGGATTGGAGTTGAGGTTGGGATAGCCTCGCAGTTAGACGTCCGTGACGTCGAAATAGCCATGTAGGCGACATAGCTGACGACGTACTCGATTGAGTAGCACACGCACGCATTAACTTCCTCTTGATTGAGAGCATCAAAACATGACTGGCCATAGCTGCTGCCTCCAAAAAGAAATGACGACAGCAGGAGCAACCGCAGCCCTGCCATTCTCGACATGGTCGGTCATGCATGGGGGTAGCTGTCTCCCTAGATGCAATATGTGACAGGACAGCAAAATGGGAAAAAAATCCAAAAGTCTTCTGAAACCTCCCACCGCAAAGTCTGCCGGGTGGGATTGTTGTTAAGTATGATGGACATACAACAATCGCTTGTATGGGATCTGAATTTTGTCGTAGTGCGAAACGAGATGCCTATTCCATCGTGCAGGGGCTTGCAAGAAAACAATCGGGGGAGCCTACGCAAATCTGCGATTTCTCTCCTGTTAAAATTGGCACGTCCAATTACCGTCACCAAGTCCCACGTTATTTCCATAAATTCCGAGTATGGGGAGACCCCAGATGCTTGGGTTATTTTCATGGGTGTGAGTGTAGAGTCACGGCGCGAAGGTGTGGGCTGAGACAAAATCAGGGCGAGAGGTGTCTCTTTGAAAGTATGACCAGTCGTAAATTCTCCAAGTTAAGATCGTACACATCTGTATGCGTAACCTAATATGTTGACATCTCATTGTCTCCTTCTGGCGCCTAATGACATCGAAGTAGAACATATCCGATGATATTACAACGGGCCGCCGTTAAAGGACCGCAGATCTAGAGTTAGTCCCCAAAGCATTGTGACTAAGACGGCAAACAATGGAACATGTAAGACAAGAGCAACCAATTTCAAATTAGCTTGCTGCCCATGGAACTTTCGCAAGCCTCAACGTCTCAGATTACCTTGAACCAATGGCTGGGATCGTCAGGAACACTGGCTCTTTTGCGAAAGTTGTTTCGAGCTAACGGATGTGAAAATACGATCCAACAATAATTTACCCTATATTCGGGTAGTATGAGGCAGATTCATCAATAGTTTCTTGCCATCAAAGAGGTTCAACATTAGGACGGACCAAGGACTTGATAATGTAAACTGATTTGTGGAATGTGGCCTCTTTTCTTTCCCATGTTTATCAAACCGTGGCCTAATAAGCTCATCATTCAGCGCATGGTATGCGAAACAATCTTGCTAGTCCGCCAAGCTGCAGGCCACATACCTCTTCCCTCCGAAAATAAACAGATTTCTTGTGCTGGGCACTGTGGTTCGACCGGGTCTCGGTGTCTCAGTACTCGGTTATCTTTGGTCCGACAGCTCCCTTGATTTGATGGCATGGGGCTTATGGCAAATTCTGCCTTAGCTTGGCTCGTTGACATTATCACTTGTTAAAAAAAAAAAAAAATTAGAAATGAAAAAGTATATGTATGAGCCTAAGCAAACGTACTAGTCCTGGTAGCGCACTTCGGGTTCAACATCAAGAATCACAGACCTTAACGTTTAATTGATTAATACGACGTCTTCTAGTCGTTTGTGCTCAATTTCTACGTAATGTTTTTTATTTACGTCGCAGTTCAACAAAGCATAGACTGGATTACGTTTCCGTTATTAGCATTGTTTCTGCTCCTACTCGCTGAAATAGAATACCATTTTGGTTTATGTTTATGGAAGTTCACAGTGAATAGATACTGATTCGTATTACTAACAAAAAGTGTTGACGAAATACGCCCACCCCCTTCGAGTCATGATTCACATTCCATCGCGTATGAAAGGAATCGATCTTGATTTTGGAAACTTCTCAATCCACACACCAATCACAGTCCTCATCATACAACTCCCCTTCCATGCCTCCGCCGAAGTATGCCATCTGGCGGACATAGGTCAAGAAAGTTTCCAATGCGCTCTCGTCTGTCGCCGATGCCCTACGAGACAACACCTCAAAATACAACGCTTCTTTCAGTTTATCTGAGGATGTCAAGAACCCTACGGCCACTTTCCTAAGTAGATTAAACATAAGTGTGTTATCTTTCCAGACATCTTCAACAGTAAGATCTTCTCCCCGTTGTCTCGCTTCAGCCACTACTGACTGACGCAGGTCCCGAACGCAGTGCCGCGCCGCCTCCGCGATAACACAGGCTGTGTCAGCTAGGGGCATGATCTTCACAGGAAATTCGCTATGGACCCTAAGCGGATCTTTCGTGAGGGCTAACCTCTCTAGGGCGCTTCCCAAGTCAGTCGTAGACGGCGTGGTCTCAATGGAGACAAGTAAGCCAGGTCCAGTAATCAGCTTGCCCGGCTGGAAAATGAGGGCAGCGGAGCCAGTTTTGAGGTATCGCACCAGGTCGTCTTTAGGGTCTGAGATTGGGCTTGCATCTGATTCCCTGCCTGTTCCAGATCCAGGAACAGCATCTCCTCCCGCCCTATCGCTAACCTTGTCATGTACGCGAACTGCATACCATTGATCTCCGTCTGGTGGTATTTTTACCATTAGAACCCGCGGTGTCGCCTTTTCACTTCCCATTCGTGGATTTTCGCTCAGCTCATGTTGATTACCATCAGTGGCTTGTTTTCCGTCAGGTAAGTGTCTCCCGATCGTATCCCAGGCACCGAGACATGTTAGTTTCGCACCTGGGAACCTCACCCTCAGCCCCCCTTGCTCAATCTTCGCTTGGTAAGGGGTGGAATAAGAGATATTGAGATCACCATACTTTGCATACTGGACCAAGGTTCGAGGTGCCCAACGGAAACCGGGCACCTGAACACGTGGGACGCACGTGAAGATGATATCAGGGGGCAGGCCCGCGGAGCCCTGGAGAACTTCTATACGACGCCACAGCTCGCACATCCCATCCTCAGGGGCCTGTCCGTCACCGATCAGAGGCATCACTTCGCCACGCGTGCTATTGATTCGTAAGTCTAGCAGCGTAGCAAGGCATATAACCTCGTCTGATGCGACCGTTAAAGTACGGTATTTGAGCGCATTTGCGATCATCTGCACGAAAAAGCCACTTCCGCTGCGACTTACTGGGTTGTTCTTGTCAGACAGCCTCCACATGCTAACGCTGAGATCACGGAACTCAGCAATAAAGCGGAACGCCAGCGCTGCCTCGTGTTTCGGCGCCTGTTTCAAAAGACCGATGACTGATTCGAGGCAGAGCAAACTATCGCTGAATGCAAAGCAGAGCCGGTCGCCGGCGCCTCGAGCTCGGGATGTACCAGCTAGAACGCCTTCCTGCAGCGTCCACATACGACGCATCCATGGCGAGAGATATATCCTCGCGGCAATATCCATTATTCCCTTGGACGTGTCTTGCACAAGGTTTCCTATCCTTGTTACTTGTAGGATGGAGCTCCTGACCAGGACAGCATAGGCATTTGCGTAGATCTCGCGCATTCTGGAAAGACACAGATTCTTCCCATACCCCGGAGTCGCGGGACAGCACATCGTATCGATCCAGAGGTTAACTTGTCGTATCTTTCGTTCTGTTTGGATGGTGATGCCTGATTGTGATTTCTTTTCGCTCTGCAATTTTTCCTCGACCAGTTGGTAAGCCATCATCGACCAGTGCATCACATATGCTAGCTGGCAGAAGGGCAGAGAGTTGGCCTGAGGGTTTCCCATGCCCTCTGACCACACATGCGAAAGTGCAACGTAGTGATTATCGGGATCCTTTTGGGATTCCTCGTCGATGCTACACGAGATCAAAGCTATGCCAAAACTTCCATCATCCAACTTCCCAATTGCAAAACAGGGAATGTCACCCTTTTGGTAAATTTCGATGAGTTGCTCTTCCTCAAAAGTTACCATTCCTGGACAGTCACACTCGGGTCTTTCGTGTTTGGGCTCGGCAGGTACTTGCAAGCTGCACCCATATTCTTGGCAATCTTTGTGTAGATCTGCGACAGTCGGATCGGCTTTGAATTTGCTGAGGTAGTAAAAAGCGTCGATACTGGTGAAGGAGTCCCGAATCTTGCTAATATCGCCAGGGCACCAACCTGCATTTATCATTGCCATTTTCACACCACTGCTCATTGGGTCAAGCAGTGATGCTATCTTGTAGAACCATGGGTGTTTGGCTGACTTTGGGAAATACTGAATATCACTCTTCATGTCTAGATGATTTAAAGACACCTGGTCAGCCTGTCTCTTTGACAATTAAGGTATAATAAACACTTGTTATAATACCACAGAGATGAAAATGATATCGACAACTTACCATCCTTTGGCCCATGCTCCAGAGCTGTCTGGAGCGCCGAGTCAAGCTTCTCAGCTACGCTAGCCAGACAAATCATCTCTTGGTCAAACACCTTCAAGAATCCAGGGAACCTATGGTCAATGGCGTCGAAGGCATCAAGGGCGGCCGCGAGACACTCTTCAAGGTGTAGGTGGTATTTGTCACCCGCACGAATAGATGCCAAGGGGCCCGATGTCCTTAGTGATGCCAGATCATCATGCAAAGTCCGTGTAGAAAGCATTACGGAGCTCAGTTCCCCTTGGTCATCAAGAGTGAACGACGTATAATTCTTCATGTCGTAGAAATCTCCTAGGAATTCCTGAACCAACGAAAAGAACAGCCACCCTTGATAATAGTCGATGACATCGTTACTTGCTATGGCGGCGGAAAAGTGACCTCTCATGGCGTCGGCCTGAGTAGGTACATGTGGGAATTTTCCATTTAGAATGCTCCCGTACCGCTCTGGGTATTCGAGAAATGGCCCAGGGTCGTGAAATTGAGCTGTGGCAAGCGCTATTTCTGGGTGACCCTGTATCGGGTCATGCGGGACGGGAAGATGTTCCATTTGGAACACTGAGATTAGTTTGTTTTCCTGGGCTGCCAAGACAGGTATGGTTGAGCTGTTGAAGATTGTCTTGGGACGCACGTTTCAGTTCTAGAGAAAAGAGAGGGGGAGTTCGTGATTACTCGAAGCCGCCCTCAGCCTATGTTGGATTTGACTAAACGAGCCAATCATTGCAGCCGTCTCCGCTAAGCCGTGCCTAGTGTAGGCAGCCACGAATCCAACAAGATGATTGCTGACATCAACGTCAGTTTATTTGGCAGCGCACCTAAGTGACAGATATCTGGTGGTGTTTTCAGCATCGAAAAGTAATTCATTATTCAGTACAACATATGATATCAAGTTTTAACCTACTGAGAAGGTACATTTTAGCCCTGAGTGATCGCTCCAAGGCACATCCTCTTCAGCTTCGATACTAGAGCTCGCTTTGGAAGGGCTATGTTCAGCTTTGGGCAAAGGAATCTTTCCAGGGCGCATAACCTCCATCCGAAAAGGTTCCAACCCTATCATCGCGATTCTGTCCATCCTATTTGGCGGAAACGGCTCGTTGCCATCAACACCCCATGTGTAACCAGGCTCATCACCGTGCACTGCTTTCCATGCATCTATAAGATTGTTCTCTTCAATGAGTGTCTGGTCTTCTGGTAGAACTGGGTTGAAATCCCCCGCGACTAAGCCGTGTCCTGCTTCATGGAGGAGAGTGGCGACGACTGAAAGTTGGCGGGGCCGATAAGAGGGTGTCAGTGCCAGGGAGTCTAGGTGGACGTTGATAAGCTGAATGCGCCGATACTCAGGCTGCTTTGGTTCATGTTTCCCGCTCGACAGAATATTGACCTCACTGCAGAGTGCGTCTCTTCCATATCGTGAATGGTATTTTATGCGCGACAGCTTGCCAAGACTGCCGAAAGATGCACGAGGCCCAAACCGAGATTTTGAAATCAGAGTCACAGTCATAAATAAATGACCAGCCATTCCGATGCCATCTTTTTCGCTGCAATACCAGCTGTTGCGCACTCGTTGATCTTCTAAGATGCAAGAGATCATGGGCTTGCACACCTCTTGTAGGAAAATGATGTCAGGTGAAGGCGAATTGTCAAAAAGACTGGAGAGAATTGCGGAGAGCCGGTCATTAGGTAGCGGGGAGAATGCATCTACATTCCATGAGGCAAGAGTAAACTCGTGTTTGCGATCATCTTGTTGATGAGGCCCGCTCGCGGCGTTAGTGTTTGTAGAGTCTGACACTGGCTCCCAGTCGGAGTTGCGGTGATTGTACTCGTGCCATGATTGATAGATAGGCTTGTATGTTGGGTTTTCATGATCCGTTGAAAAAAACAAGCGGCGCAACATGGTGTGTTTCATTTACTGGAATCTGAGGAAGAGGATTGTTGGGGAATACTGAAATCGGAGTTGGATAGAATGCAAGGTAGCTAAGGTTCACCATGACCTTCTACTGGGCCAGCGCACGTGCAATTAGGCTCAGGTGTTCTTCTGGGATGAGTACGTACCCAGCCAATGTGCGATAGTTTGAGCGCGTCAACTTTTAACCTTGCCACTAAAGTAGGAATCGTAGCCCCCCCCCCCCCCCCCCCATATATATACACTACAAAACTAATTCGGAATCGGTTGGGCGGAAAGGTTGTGACCAAGATAGCTGTGTACTGTTCAAGATCATGAATGAAAGTATCGCCAGTCACCGCTGACGGAAGCCTGGAATATACTTTCGAAGCATTACCTGTGGCTCTGAGAGATGGAACTGGCCCCTTTTTTCCTCTTGACTTTCTGCATTTGGTTGAAGTAAAGTTGATGGTTTGGTTTGCAATACGCGTAGCAATGGCATATTCTGCCCTTTTGTGTCGTCCTGATTTCTCCTAAACAGAAGCTGGACTTGACAAGTAAGCATATGAGTATTGATATCTTCTAAGCCGTAGGGCTCAAGTTGCCCGCATATCACATCTACATTCAACAACCACAAAATTCGGCATGATGTTGCAAAGAGAAAAGACGTTCAACTATCAAAATGTGAGTGTCAAAAAGTAACATGTCTCCTGGCTAGAGTCCGCAAGGTATCGAGTTCGCAAAATAATCATCTTTCATCTTGATTTACTGTCAATTGTCGAATCTACTTAATGCGATGCCAGTTTGCATTAAAACCCGTACTCAGATGTGAGGCGCAATTCGTGCCCAAGAGAAGCGGGTGGACAGATCGGGAAATCCGGGTCCTCAAGTGGGAATTGGACCGCTTCGGATCCGACGACAAGCCTGAGGAGCTTGAGGGCATTCCGATGCTGAGATAACCAACCGTGGTGTCATTTAAAACAACGAAACATTACATAGCACTACATTCCATTTGGCCGAGACTTTGGTTTCAATGCTCGGCCCAAGTTGTCAGATCGCTGATATGAGAGTGCTAGTCAAATTTTAGCTCTTGCAGTCAGAGACAAGACTCACCGACGCGAGGCACGCGGCGAGGGTACCACCCCCCGAAATACCCAGTCACGGAATGCTATCAATTGGCTCACTGCAAATTACCACGCCTCGCTTCGCACGTAAATCGATACGTCAGGATGGTCTTAGCACTTGCATCCTTCGCCGCTTGGCGCTGATTTAATGGTTTCGCTAAGGTCGTCTCCAGTGCATTCGGCGAGATGATTCTGCCGATTTACCTTTCCCCTGTTTAATAGCGGATGTTCAGCCATCTTTAAGCCGAACGTATTACTAAGTCGGCCTTACTTCAACTCTTGGCTTGGCCTCTCATACGCGGTTACGCTACGTCGGTATCCTTTCACTCTCATTACGTTCAATCCTTTAGGAATACTATAGCGCCATGAATGTATTGCGTCTGTTGAGTAGCTAAGATGATTATTCAGCTCGTTGTTGTAATTGAGCCGCTTCTCTGCGACTGTCAAAACATGACAAGTCACTTCGAAAATTGGCCCTTGCAGCCCCCTATGACCGACATATCACTGTAGGCTGAGTGTTACGATATTAGCTGGTTTATATCCCGCAATGGAAGTGTAAAATAATATAAAATAAAGAGTGCCATCTCTCGATGATGCATTGTTAACTCTAAGCTACATCAAATCATATTCGGCCTTCCTTACACACCATCGTTGCAAAATAGTGAAAACAAGCCAACAAAACCTCAACTCACAATGTCTGCGCTCAAGTACTTCTCTTACAAGGACTATGGTGTCACGCTCTTGAACGAGATGCACTACAGCCAGGCCGTACGAGTCGGCGACACTATTGAAATTTCCGGTCAGGGTACGTCAATCTACTTACTGATTCTCATAATTAGGGAAACTATTTTGCATAACCTCTGGAGCAGTACTAATTTGAACTTCAGGCGGTTGGGATCAAAAGACAGGAGAGGTACCGTCCGACCTGTCAGAAGAGATTGATCAAGCTTTCGCAAATGTGGATATGACATTGAGAGATGCCGGCGGTGAGGGTTGGTCTCAGGTCTTTCGTATAAGGCTGTACGCACTTGATGAAGCATGGACGCCGGAAGGTATGGGCCGCATGATAGAGAACCTGAAAAAATGGGCTCCAAACCACGCACCGATTCTTACAGGCGTTGGCGTAACAAAACTTGGACAGCCTGGTATGCGTATTGAAGTGGAGGTTTCTGCGTACGACCCAGAGAAATGAAGGCGCCTGGTAATAACTCAAGTCACGTTCAGGCTACTATTAATTGTATGATAGTCAGCTTGCAGCTACAATATTGGTACAATTGGTTTTTTATTTATTTTATTTTTCAGCAACTCAAGCTGTTCTCAACGAAGCTTAATCTGAGCCCATTGGGTCTTGGACTCTGATACTAGCGACTTGACGCTAGGCTTTTGCTCGGTCCAACTTGGCCACAGTTGTATGTGTCCTATTCTAGAAGCCCAGACATCAGTATCTATGGTATGCCACTTCAATACGAGAAAGGTCGCCGTTGCTACAGGCTTAGACTCCCCGTGTGTACGGTATGAGCTATGGAGAAGTATTACTCCCCAGTTTCCCAAAGCCACCTGTTCATAAGCATATTTCCAGCCTTCATCGGAGAGCCTGCTAGGCAATTCGGGGTTTAAGTGATGTCCTGGAATCTTTCTGACAAATTCCATGTCGTCAAAATCGAAATCCATCGAGGAACCATATATCTGTTTCATATGTTGAAGGGCGCTTTCAAGGAAAAGCAAGGCGTCTAGATGAAGTGTGCAAAGTTCGGTCTTTGCCGAGACTCGATGGGAGTGAATGGCACACTCCGCTAAAGTATGTTCTGGGCCTCCATTATCATCTTGCAGGCGAACGTTTCTTGGACACAATTCCAGTTCTGACAGTGTTGTGACTTCACCAGACCACATAACACCTTTGCCCATGAAGTTGCCCCAGCTCCAGGATGGATATAATGCTTCATTGCCGCTCAATTGCTGGAAAGCATGCCGCCGCCTATTCCACCCAAGCCCACCAGCGAAGTACTGGTCTTCGTGTATGTGATTTGCACTGGCTCCGGGTGCGTAAATAGTCGGTTCGTTACGTACGGTGCTACTATTCTTCTGGAAAGCAAAAGGGATACCCATGATGTTGAACACCGGGCTACTACCCCGTTCGAACCGTTTAGATATTCCTTGAAAGCCACTGAAGACGTCCGTCTGGAATGTGAATACCCTCTTTGAATATACAGTCAAGACCGATATAACCATTTTATACTTTTCGTCGATTGAACAGTCTTCCGAAGGTAAAGAATCTCTGACCAAATTCCAGGAGCTTGCTGGCATTGCTTGCCGGTATTGATCCATAGCTTCCTGACTTGTAATATTTTCGATGCATCCTCGAAGGTCGTGTGCCCAAGTATCCTGGCAGAGCAGTGATACTGACGATTCGGTAAATATCAATCGTCGTTGAGAAAGAATGAACTCTTGGAAAGTCCACCCTCTACTGTTCCACGTAGATTGTTCGGATTCATCCTTTGGGTTTATATACTCTGAGAAGGTAAGGCGTCCCAAACTTTTCCGTTGAGTTTTACGCTTTTTCTGGATACCTGGTATTCCGTAATGATGGTTTTCACCCGCAGCTGCTATAATAGTGAAAGCAGCAGACTGGTAAATCTGGTCCATGACCTCAATTTGGCTTGCCTTGTGGAAATCGTCGCTCTGGTCAATGCAATATCTGTCTGCCCATAGATATCGATAGCCTAAATTCTTGGTAATAGAGATTGCGCCTTCAATACTTTGAGGAAGATTTGCGAGTTGTGAATTCCAGCTACGTAGCGTATCTATGTTTGCTGTCCCCCAAACATAGCTCAAGGCGACATAGACCATTTCTGGTTCTGCACAGACAATTTCTCGGTTTTCGCAGTCAATCAGTCGCATATTTCGAATTGGGTGGGTTGGAGGTTTCGCGCAGTTGGCATGATACTTGTCACAAGCTCTTAACCATGACTGTACTAATTCCACGTCAACCAAAGGAGATGCTAAACAAGGCTCAAAGAGTCCAGGTCTACTAATCCCCCTTACGCACACTAAGGGGGTTTTCCGGAATGGTAGCAAGGCTTCGTGCTTCTCAGGGGCTGCTGCAATGTAAAATCCGTGTTCCGGTCCTTGGTTTTTGGTCAAAGAGCCATTGGCCTTGTCATTGACGAGTGGACGGTAGATAGATGTATGTCGCCATCGATCGTGTGCTCCCAGCCGTAACTTTGCAAAGTCATGGTCATTCCCTAGGAACAGTTCTGCAGGACCCAACAAATTCCATATGAGATTCTGGCACAGCCAGCAGTCGGACGGGGGAAGCACGGCTTTGGGGAGCGTGTTGGGGGATGTCTTCAAGCTCTCCAGAAACCTCCCCCAGTCTGAACGTCGATTTAAATTTTGAAGGTGCACGCACCCGCGACGTTTCGCGGCTCTATTCCAAGACTTCCTGCTAAAAGCAGCCTCGAAGTCAATTGCTGCGCAATCCCGGCATAGATTCAAGGGCTCCGCAAGAGTAGCGTCTCCGTTTCCCACGATAGCAGGACAGATTAAGTCTTTCTCAGTAGTTTTGGTCGAAAACGTTGTAGAGGCTGTTTGACCCATATTCGAATGCGTTATCGGCCCACTCCGCAGGGTGCTGTTTTGCTGGTTACTAGATCTGCCGATGAGAAATTGTGAGGGAATTTCGTGACATGGGGGGACGTGCGCCTGGTCTTATGTAGTATCCTGAAGACATGCAGTGACTGCCTGCTCTTGGCAGCATCAGGGGAAATGGTTGGCTGCCTTACAGGTTGGATCTCGCCCACTCTACAGGACTATGTCATACGTCAGCTGAAATTGTACCTCAGGTATTTTGTGAATTACAACTCTGAGAGACGTCGAAATAGTTGTCATCCGGTGCAAAATAGGGGCACCTTTATTTTCAATGAGATCATCAATAACACAGACGACAGCACAAGCTATCTGGTACATACTCACATCATCAGACCATGTCGGTTCCATTGCGTAGCCGCGAATATGATTGAGACACTAGTTAGGGAGTTCTCGTCTAGAAACACGTGGGAGAGGGGCGGCGAAGGCGGCGCTCCGGTAGTTTCGCCAAAGTTTTCCTCACAAACATTACTTCAGCGCCCGAAGTCTCGAATGATAGTTAGAATATAGAACCATATAACCGCCTAGCTAGACACTTAGTATATTAGGTATAGAAGGGGCTTTACTCCTTTCTAGATATTATAAGCTAGGGGACAGTATCTCACACTTTTACTTCTAAACTTATACTTTACTTCTACTTCTGTCTATTATTACTCTTTTACCCACCCAGTATATAAGACTCTTTTCACTCTGTATATACCTATAAACTATTTTATAAGCACGATTCTTTTATTTTATTTTCAGCAGCTGTAATAAACTAGACGCACAGCAATCAGGCTCGAAAAAGTATGAAAAAGTAGCTTAATTTAGAAAGAGGGCAAGTGCGTAAGAAAGCAAATACTTACACGTCTCCAGTGATTGTTTGATATAACGTATGTAATACATCTTGCTCATTGTGTTTAGTGAGCGTTAACACTATCGTTACAGCAGCGTAAGCGCCAAAATGTTTGACGAATAGATCTTGCGGTATCTCTTTTGAGCATGAATAGGCACTCCCCGAGACTGTTGTCGACAAAGCTGTCGGGGGTTCCAAAGACATGTCTAGGTATTTGGTTTGAAAAGACTGAGAAGTATTGCGTGGTTAGTAGATCTTGCAATCTGCTCACTGCAGACTTTTATTTACCTCTCTCCATATCACATGACGATGCGAGTTTTAGAAAGCAGTAGCTTGGATATGCTTCAGTTGAATTTATGCTGTTAGTTTTGTAAGTTGTACAATTATGCTAATCAATGTAAAAACTATACTATGGCCACAAACCTCCATTAGGCTATCTATTTTTTACGTATGCATCAAACAGCCCCAAGGTCTAAAGCTGACTTGTCCCATCAAAAGACAGGTGGAATGCCTCTTTGATTCAAACAATGCACATGCTATCTTTTTCTCTGCCAATACCAGATGCCCACGCCTACCACAGCAACTGCTGAAGAACATAAAATGCGTACTGTCTTCTTGACGGCAGGTGATAGGACCATTTCGGCCGCAACGTGAAAGTCAGCCATCGCGTTGATACGAGGGTACGGCTCATCTGGAACCTCGGAGCCTAGAAAAGTGCAGATTTCGCCCCAGCCAAACCCTTTTTCAAGATTGAGCACCAACAATCTCTCAGGAGGCACAAGAGACTTGACGCTTTCCATGCTTGGAAACAGTTAGCCTTGAAGATACCGGGTAGGCGGACTCAACTTACTATTCCACATAGCTCTTCTCAAGAGCAGTATCGAAACCGGGGTCATTGGGCTCCAATCCTCGAGACCATCGATACGTCATTGCCTTGAAAAGTGACCTAAGTTCCCAGACGAAACTGTCGAAATATCGGACAACCGACAGAGGCGGCTGCGCAAGCTTGGCATGGTATGCGCCCAAGGACCCGCTGATAGATTTTGCCCATGACTCTGGTGTTCGCTCAGTCAGGATGAATTTGACTTCAGGATCTGCCAAATATTCTTGAATAATAGTAGGACACAGATAACAGGGGCTTTCGATTATGCACTGATATGGAAGCCATCAGTTCAGGCTCGTCTTGATCATATAGTTTAGCGAAGAGGAACTTACGTCATAGCCAGCGAAAAGCTTGTCGAAATCAGATCGAGTAAATGGTTTTTCAGTCTTATTTGCAATGATAGCCTCCTGCAGAGCTCTCATTTGCTGAAAGCCATGAGGCAATAGTTCTGAAATATGAAAAGGCTTGTAGCCAAGGGTCTTCAGAGCTTGCCACAAACCAAGCGTTCCTGTTCTGATCAAGACTTAGCTTATGCAACGACACACACCTGCAGATTGTGCAAGACTTACCGACTTGGACCAAGGCCAATAACTTTCATAGGCCGCTTTTCCACTGGAGAGGGCAGTCTATCAACAGCTCGTACCATTTTGTCAGATTGTTGGTGTTCCTGGCGAACTTGTCGGCACTTGCCTGGGCTCAGAACGGCCCTGCTGACCTTTTACTCTTCACATACTACTCTCTTATCCAGGTACACAACCCACACTGATTACTCGGGTCACCTGGATGACTGTTTGTTACTTGGACGTCGTATCGCTCCGACCCCGCTTCACGCTTCATGACTCGCAATCGTCGCGACTCATGCGTGTGGGCTTCCAATATCCGGGGTAATAATTATGATTCAAGTGCTTATCATTCGTTCTGGCATTCTAGAAGTTCTTTGTCATAATAGCAATCGAGATTAATCCTTGTTGTAGGTCCCATTTGGTTCGGGACCCAGCTAGCACTGCCCTTCATATCTCTCGTCGCTAGCGTTTACACATCGAGACTGACCAGCGAATCAGAAGCTGAGCAGCGAAATAGCATCGATAAGACATTAGTATCTGTTAATTGCAAGAACATTTGTCTCAGTTTACAGGGGTACGAGCTGTTTTAGGCTTGGGATCGGCCTACCTGTTCATCCAATCGCACACAATTTTGCCAGATGGTTCGACGTCTCATTCAACTTCAGCACACACCGATCATTCAGAAGGGCAAAAGAGAAGAAGAAAATGCGTCTCTCATCACTGGACGACTCAGATGCATACTTCTCCAGAGGTCGACGGCCATTGAAGTTCCTGCTTCATTGCTTCTCTGCTACTGGCCATGTCCTTCCAATGCAGGCGGTTGCCAGGGAGCTTGTCGAACGTGGCCATGAAGTCGTCTGGACAACAATCGCAGCGCAGGAAGCGCGAGTAACCGCGTCAGGGGCGAAATTTGTTGCGGCAGAAGCGGTGGCAAAAGTTGACGCCAACCTCGATGGTGCGGATCCGAAGGACATGACTGAAACCGCCGAGGTCATGTTCGCCGGCCGGGTTACAGCGCAGGTGTCCGACCTTCGTAAGGTGCTTGCAACATTTAAGCCTGACTTCGTGGTCACGGATGCATTGCCACAGGGAGTGGCAGCGCTTTATGAGCTTGGAGAAATTCCCAAGTATGCAACACTCGGCGTTGTTCCGCTCTACCACCCCGACATTGGGCCAGAACCCATTCAGCATGCTGCACAGTCTGCATTGGGATTGCTCTTGAGCCGACCACAGCTAGTGCTTCCAGTGATCAACCCGGAGAGGCAGAACCTGGGACTACCTCCCTTGAAGGTCACAGACGCGTACTCTTACAGTCCTTTTCTACACATTCAGGCGTCGTGTCCCTCGTTGGAGTTCCAGGAAGGGCCTACTCCTGTCATCCCGCAAGCGCATTATGTTGGCCCATTGGTCGCCAAGTTGGGAAACTCGACTGCCCATGTTCCTGAGTGGTGGGACGAGGTTGCCAACGCTTCATGTGTAGTGGGCATCACGCAAGGTACATTTGCCATGAACCCGACGTCACTCATCATCCCCGCCATACAGGCGCTGCAAGAGGACGAGAGCCTCTTACTAGTGGTTCCATCAAGACTTGCAGACGAAATTCGAGCGCAAATCAAGGTCAAAAACAATGTTCGAATCGCCGACTGGGTTCCCTATGACTTGCTGCTTCCTCGTTGCCGCCTTCTTGTAACAAATGGCGGTTATGGAAGCGTAACGCAGGCTCTCTCACATGGAGTTCCTCTCATTTGCGCGGGAACTTCAGAAGATAAGAAGGACACTGCTGCAAGAGTATCGTGGGTTGGTGCGGGTATTGACCTAAAGACCGATAATCCTTCAGTGTCTCAGGTCAAAGAAGCGGTTTACAGGGTTCTTCAGGAGTCCACTTACACAGAGAACGCAGTCAAGATCGGAAAGGAGCTAAACAGTCAGGGTGGTGCAAAGAGAGCTTGCGATTTGTTAGAAAAGGCAACATTGGAGCTAAATGCTGAAAAGTCGGCTTAGATGATAGATCAGAATATAGACTCATATTATTCATAACATGGCCAGCTTGTATATATGAGATTTTGTGAATGTTTTGTCCAAAGCCACTGACCATTGACGTCATGTAGGAAGCGGACAAGAATTTACTTAGATTTAGGTTGCCCATATTATTGACCAAAATAAGGATCATAGTTGATCATAGCCAAAGAAGAGGTTACGATAATCCATCGCCAACGTGACAACTATTTCAAGCTACACTTCTCGCATTGCTCAATATCAGAATACGCAGGGGAAATGAACGCTTTCGAATACTGTTTAACTACATATATATCAAGGAAGGCTAAAGAAAAATGCTTGCTAGGTCTCTATCGCTATTTGATCTGAATCCTGTCTTTTTCGCAATCGAATGACTGAGGACTTAAGTAAGTAACAACCCTCAGTTGACCTTTTGCCAACGCACATCCAACGTAATAGTGACTGCCGCATCTGGAATACAGTGTCTTGGTACCACTGAAGAGAAGTCAGCAAGGCGAAACCAATTGATAGAACAATAACTTACAAGATATCGACCATAGCTTGTTCATAGTTGTCCATCATCCGATCCGATCGGCGTGTGGAGAAGAATTTGCGGAGGCGGGCCAGAACATCCACATCATTCTTGCAGAAGTATTGCGGACAGAGATAAACCTTGGGAGAGATAGCTTTCCCACAGCCGAGAGTGTAATAAAACCCAGGACTTGCTCGGCCAGGGGCGTCTTCGGGTAGCACATCTGGTGCATCACCAACGAAGGTCTTCCAGAATTCCTTGAGGTCCTCGATTGCCTCACCTGACATGTCAAGTTTTCCTCCTAGTGTGATGCAGTCCATCATGTACTCGAACGTTGTGTGGCGAGCACGTATATAGACCTTGATTCGCGCATCCGTTGGTGCCAAGCAGTCGATGGCTAGGATACCTGTTTCAAAGTTGTATTTCTTCGTACCCTCTCGTAAAAAGTCAAGAAGCGGTTCCGCGTTAAGTGACTGAAACTGATGCGCTGGCAAGCTTCGTATAGATTTCTCTACGAGTTCGAGGTTGGTAATGCCGAGCTCCTCTGCTTTGAGTCCGGGGTAGATGTAGATCTTCATAACGGGCCCGGTCTTCTCGATGTCAAGAGCAACTACCGTTCCAGCTTTTGGCGTTGTCTCTTCGACAAAGCAGTCTACTGTTTTTGATGTTCGCATGTCGTGTGGCAGAATTTGGTTGGTGAAATGAGTGTACCACTCCAAGTCAAGCTCAGGAACCATTTTTTGCTGTTGAAGTCTGAAGATCCAGTCGTTTGTTGCGTGCCTGTTAAGCGGGTCAAGCTCTGTGCCGGCGTGAATGCCAATGGGCTCGAAGCTGTACCGGACAGTGGCGCGATTATCCTTTCCCCATTCCCAACTGAAGTCGATGGGCGTAGAATCTGGGGTTCCAGGGCTTCTCCATCTTCTTACATTCCCATGGCAGTCTGGGGAAGGACCAAGCTCAGGGGCAACAAAGAGGGAGTAGAAATTAAGCTCGCGGTACTGCTCTGCGGCGCTGTAGCCAGCATATTGAAGGAGCCTGGAGAACATTCGTCCTGTTCTATCCCACCAAAACTGGGAGTCATCGTCCCTAAACCGAAGGACCGAGTTCAACATGTCCCAGGGCCCGTTCGAAACGATCATTTCACCCATCTTGGCGGCTTTGGAGGGGGCTTTCAGATGGTGAATTTGGATAATTGTGTGAATGATGAGCGTAAATGAAAAGTGCTAGCGAGATTTATGTTACATTTCTCGGAATCGAGGTGTCTAATTTATCATGGGCTGCAACACAGGTTATTCGTTTTCTCATTACATGTATGCCCTCGAGTACTGCATGGCCTCATTATTACCATGGCTAAGAATCCCACCTCATTAGCCTGTTTTCTTCCTGACCTAATCGATACATGAGTAGTACCCTATCCGTGACTATGGGTTTCCCACTGTAGTAATGTAGCATTCTGTATCTTTCGGCCTTGCTAGCACCACAAGCAAGTCCAGGGTCACTAATGAACAGTTGAACCACAAATATTATCATATGATTTGATTAGGAGTAATGAGCGTAGGAGCCATGACTTGCTTCACTCCGCCCTTAGCCAACATGACGCCCAGAAGCGCTCAATGGGGCTTTCGGCTGTTATTAGTATAATAGCTGATTGGTTCACTCTATGTGGAGGTTGAACAGCCAGGATTCACCGCCATCCACATCCGGCCGAATCGATTACTATATAGTATCTTGTCCGGGCCTGTCATGTCCCCTGACTCTAGTTCCGACTGGGGAATCCCAGAAACTTGATCAGAGGCAAGTTGCTGGACTAGAACACATGGCCTGTTGATAAACACAAGCACAAACCACTCTGTGCCTGCCTGCTTTGTCCACGTCAAGTAGCCCCACCTTATCATATTCGTACAGCAGGCCCCGCCGATCAAAGCTTGTGTATTGACTGCTATCTATTCAAAGCCCTAGAACCCTGCAATCGGCATAAAAGTATGTTGTATTGCTTGGCCGTGGACGAGTCAGCCTTTCTCCGCGATTACTACTATATCCAAGACGATCATCGGCATCTGCCTGCCAAGAAAAGAAGCTTACAGCTTTGGTGTCCATCCCGCTTTACGGAGTAACGTGGACAGTGGCACTTTTGAAAGAAGCTTGAAGCACTTTTTGATTTCAAGGAAATGTGGCATTGCCGCTGGGATGTGGAGATTCTATCGATATGAGCCGTTTATCTGACTCGCGCCGGGGACTCAAACAGCCGACAGCGGCGATATGCGTCTGACTACCGACGAACTCCTTACCTTTAAGGAATGTAATGCCGTTTACACATCCAGTCTCTCGCTGATCACCCCCGCGTTCTTTTATCAGGTGACCCGGAGCCGACGGCGACGTGTTGACTGTATTCGTTTCATATGTTGATGCCCCCCCGCGCGATATCGTAACCAGCGGGGTCCTGCAACCTCACTGACTAGTCACCATGGCACTGCTCGGCATCATCTCGTTTTCGGTAGGTCTTGTGATATGTCTTGGTCAACTTCTTAGTGCTGATTTGATGCCATGCTAGGTAATCTTGGGCCTTGTCGCCAAATGCGTTTACAATGCCTTCTTTCATCCCCTTCGTCATTATCCAGGCCCAAAGCTGGCTGGAGTTACAAGGGCATACTATCTTTGGTACGATATCCGTGGTATTAGTCACTGGAAAGTAAAGGAATGGCATGAAAAGTATGGTGAAGTCGTACGCATCGCGCCCGGAGAACTATCCTACGTCTCGGGTCAAGCATGGCAAACCATTTACGGTAGTTCTTTCTCGTGACAAAGAGCCGACGCATTTATCTAACGTGAGACAGGGTTTCCCAATCGTGAAGGAGTCGGCAACTTCGAGAAGGATGCCCAATGGTGGAACAAAAATGTAAACGGCGTCGAGAATATTCTCACGGCTGACGACTCGGGCCACAAGCGTATGCGTCGTCTACAGAACCCAGCGTTTTCTGACAAAGCTTTGAAGGCACAAGAGTCAGTCATCATTGGATATGTCAAGCTTCTTATTCACCAGCTCTATGGTCAAGTTTCTAGCCCAGAAACCTCGCTGGTTGATATGAATTCTTGGTATAACTTTACTACCTTCGATATCATTGGCGACTTGGCTTTTGGCGAACCATTCTATTGCCTTCGAGACGCCAAATGGCACTGGTGGCTCCATGCGGTGTTTGACATCTTCCAAGCAGGAACCTACCTTCGTGCTGCCCGCCGGTTCTCCTACCCCTTCTCTGAAATGTTGTTACTTCTAATCCCGCGGAGACTTATCAAGACCCGCGTTGCTCAATTCAACTTTGGAGTTGAGCGTGTAAACCGTAGATTAGAGAGGAAGACCGACCGACCTGATTTTAGTAAGCTTCTTGTTGCCTGTCGAGTCTTTTACAGTGCTGATTACAAGTCTAGTGTACTATATTCTACAGGGGACCGATGAAAAGGGTATGACAATGGAGGAAATATATGCGGCAGCCCAAGTTCTCATTGTCGCCGGTAGCGAGACAACGGCCACTGCTCTGACCACGGCTACATATTATCTTTGCGAGAACCCACAAACACTGGAAAAGTTGACTGCGGAGATCCGCGACACCTTTGAGAATGAAGATGACATCAGCATACAGAGTACTGCTGGACTGAGCTATCTCAATGCTGTTGGAGAAGAAGCTCTGCGTCTTGGTCCACCAGGCCCCGGCACCTTCCCTCGAGTTGTGCCAGAAGGCGGGCGGATGGTTTGCGGCCAGTTCGTTCCCGGTGGATACTCCGTCGGTGTCCACCATCTGTCCGTTAATAGATCGCCGGCCAACTTTTGTGAACCTGACTCCTTCCATCCCGAGAGGTGGTTGGGGGATGAGCGTTTTGAGTCTGACAAAAAGTCTGCAGCTCAGCCTTTCTCATTCGGCCCGAGAAACTGTATCGGAAAGAAGTAAGTCTTGAGATCTCGTTTGTCTTCAACAATTCATCATGACTAACAAAAACACAGTTTGGCATACGCCGAGATCCGGTGCATTCTGTCTCGAGTCGTCTGGAACTTTGACATGAAGATACACCCGGACAGTATAGGATGGCTGGCTAGACAGAAGATGTTCACGACCTGGCATAAGACTGAAATGAAAGTTCACCTTTCTCCAAGGAAAAAGCAAGCCTGAGTGGCATTGTATCAGTAACGTATGCAAATGGATGAACCCAAGACGAATTGAGTAAGTTGCCTGAAATAGTAAAAGATAGTCATTTAATGAGACTTGTGAATCAAGCTTTAATGTCATTTGAAGTTTGGTAATGATTTATTCCTGCGTGAACCTAAATAAGCCTTGCTCTTCCTTGCGGCTATGTCGGCACTTATATGCACGAATTGTTCCGTCAAAGCTTATTTGTTACCAGAACTGGCATGGTAAGGTGCGCCAATGAGAAATTAATATAAATCACCGGTCATGAGAATTTTTGACCATTACACAGCTAGATAAACGGCTGAATGATGGATAAGAAATGTCTATACTAAGTTGCATTCCGACTAAGACGACATGTTTAGAAGTCCAGCATTTATTTACCCTGGAATACGTGCTAGAATTTAGTAAGTAGAAGAAATATTGGTAGGCATTGGGTTAAACGATGTTCTATTAAACTATCCTTCGCGACGGGCCGTGATGGGTTGAGGCATAGAGAGTGATGATATCATCAATTATCTAAAGGTTTGCCACTCCCTCAAAACCCTATGCTATTGGGGTATGGCAAAGAATTGAAGGATCAGATTCCTCAACCATTCTTTGTGGCCATGCTAACCATTCCCCCCAATATGAACCGAGTTGAGCTGAAACAGACTGCACAAGTGCTCGGCCAGCATTAGCATATGCCCAGTATCCTCTGGATTGATGCAACAAAACCCCCCAATAGGCCAGGACAACGAGTGCCTCCGGTCGCCGTTGGTCTAACAAGTTAACATATTCCGTTGGAATCCTTATCGACCATTCCTGGACAGTCGCCATACGCCTCCCTGGCGTCAGCTCTGGATTTCTTTGAATGTCAAACATTAGCTGCAAAGCTTCAATGGCTTCCCGGCAAGCATTCCGTGTTGGTTCACCAAGGTCGCTGTTGTCGAAAAGCTCGATCAAACCCGCGCACTCGTTCCCCTTCTCATATCGATCTGGTTCAACTATGATGGTGTCTATGAAGTGAGAGTCTGAGCCCAAGTGCGTCATGAGATGGCCTCGTAACGTAGCCCATGAGCCGGCAACTATGGTGCGAATGCCGCGATGCAGGTTCATGCAATGAACTAGCTTATCCAGGATTGTTGCGAAGTCGCCCGGGTGTGTAAATGTATCGAAAAGAACATGTTGACCTAGCCAGGTTGAGTAGAGGAAGATCGCTAAAAAGTTGTCGTTTGAAACCTCGGCTTTGGCAATGTTAAATTGTGACAGCGCTCTTGTTTGAAGCCGTGTTGCTTCGGCACGATAAAACATCTGGTCTTGTCCTGAAAGTGTGCTCTTGTGAGCAGCGGATAGTGCAAGTAACTCGTCCATCAGGTAAGGTGTCCGAAGTGCTTGCTTGATAGACATCTGCTGGTACCTTTTACTAGTCGAGTCACCCCATCCAAATGCTGACCCTAGTTCGTGCTCAAAGTGGAAGAGCAACTCCATATGACGTAAGTCATAAGGTTCGGTTGGCGGGTACTGCGGCCGGTAACCGGGAGGCTCAACAAAGGGAACGGAACCGGCTGTTGCGGCCGACGACTCTGTAGATGTCGCTGGGCTTGGGCATTGGTACATGAACGCTGATGGCGACGGGAGTGTTGTCTCAGCATCGAGGTATGAGCACCGCCGGAGTGCAGTCGAGCAGTTGACACATGACGGACGACTCTCGTCGCATTTGACATGACGCTGTTTGCATTCTTTGCAGCCAAATCTCGACTTCCGGTGAGGTGTTCGTTGGCGCATTCTCATTCGGTTGTTCTAGTCTTATGAAGTTTTAAGCGAAAGATTTTGGAGACCGGGACCGAACGGGCTGGACAAGTTATGCCTGTTTTGCTTGTAAACACGTCGAATTGATGAAGCCGATTCAAAGTGTGGGCGATAAATGACTGCGTGAAGGGGGTTCTATGACATGAACCCCCCCCGTTCCCAGAGCCGACACACTCCTTAAAAGTCCCCAGATACTCCACACAACCGGGCGTTGATACAACCCGGTCCCGCTCTTACTAGCATTCCCCAGGTCCATGCACTGTGCACACGCTGACATGGTACCTTTGAATTCTGCATTATCATCATCCGATTCATCAATAGACAAAAATGAGCCCACCGTATGAGAATTTCACGGGCTTGAAATGAATTTACGATGAGATCCTTTTCAAGGTAGGCATCTCTTTAAGAAGCGTATTTTTTCATGTCTTTCTCAAATCCATGGTTCAATCAAAAAGAATGAAGACCGTTTAACGAGTTACTATGCATACTTGAACCCTGATGCGGAGGCAAATGCGGAGGCTGATGCTTCTATGAGATGGGAAAGGTGAGTTCTCTAAGCTCGAGTTAAATCAGAGTCCTTTTTTGCAATTGAGACTCTTTTGAACGTTAATGACACAGACAGCCTCTGCATCTTCTGAGAGAGGCGACGTTGATGCGTTTCCTTCCAATGACTGTGTCTCGACTATGTCTCCGCTATCAGTTCACAGTTCGTATTAAAGAAGTTTTACTGGGTAAGAAATGCCGGATTCAGATCAAGCAGTGTGGGTCTCTCTATGTCGTCGTATTCAGCTGCAGCGTATTGCAAATAGAGCGATTGGCCGACCGTATTCACTCGTATTAACAACCACTCAAAATAGACCAAATACGTCAAGAGATCCACACTAGCTTGCGCTAAAATTTCCATGGGTGCGAATTTTCAGAGTCTGCCATCACGACAAGATCACTGAACGTAGGCACCTACGTAGTAATTCTTATGGATATTAATTAATACAGGCTACTGGAGGCCTTTCTCGGTTATGCCGTTCAGTCTTTTGTACAGTCTGAAACGGGAAAATGGAAAACAGAGAGACTGTCAAGAACCAGGCAAGCTACAGCTTCTGATCAGGTTGATACCAGTGAGGATGCAAAAGAATTGGCAAAATAATGATTTCGCCCGGACTTGAACCGGAGACCTTCAGTGTGTTAGACTGACGTGATAACCAACTACACCACGAAACCATTTGCTGACAACAGCGGACCCAAAATATCATTTTGACTAGCGAGGCAAGTTGAGCTCAGCTGTAGGCGCTGGGACAGTCCCACCTTTCACCAGCTGTTGCCAATCGAGGCGACGTTGCCTTGGCACTATTATTACTAAGCATTGTGAGAAGCCCACTTTACTCGGCCTTTCGCGTTCTTGTCGGCCTTCAGCGTGTGGCATCCCTTTCTAGTTGGCCAACAGTCAAATCAACCTGCATTTTCAAAAGCCTACAAACCAGCAAACAAACCTAATGTCCAGTGCCGCAGCATTAGAGACAACTTCACTCCTTCCTGTTCAATCCAACACTCGTCACACAAGCGAAGAAGAAGAAGAAACTATGAGCAGCCAACTGTTCTGGAGAGTCGGGGCTGTCTTTGGTGCCGCCGCCGTCGGCCTCGGAGCTTTCGGAGCTCACGGTCTGAAGAATCGCATATCTGATCCCGCAAAGATTGCTAGCTGGTCCACCGCTGCACACTACCAGGTATCCTTTCCTTATCTACATATGGATTACTTTATATGCCTTCGTCCTTACTGACCTGATGCTAGCTCGCTCACTCTGTTGTCCTGCTCATCGCTCGCCAGAACCCCATCGCGTCCGGCCTCTTCACCGCTGGCATGACCATGTTCAGTGGCAGCATCTACGCACTCATTCTCAATCCCGACCTTAAGTTCCTTGGCCCTGTCACCCCGCTTGGTGGACTTGCTCTCATTGCCGGATGGCTGGCGCTCGCCTTTACGAAGGCCCGCTTCGGGCTTCGTGTCTGATTTCTAATCGACACCATCAAGCTCATATGTCTACCAATTAGACATAAATTGTACTTATAGACTCAAAGGCATAGCGAAAGCCTCAGAAATGTTAAATGATCTCGACTCTCCTGATATTGCCTGGCCGTTCGAAACAAGCTGTGACATCCTTCCGGTGTAAATATAATAAAATGGCCGTTTGCATGAAGTGGGACTACAGAAAGGGTCGCTGACTGGCTTTTTTTACTGCGGGCTGTAGTAATAATAGGGGCTACCAAAACAAGTCCTCACTGGAAACGGCTATGGTTCTGAGGTTTTCGGGTTTTTTGGTAGTTTTGGTTCAGCCACTATCAATCGTCATGAAAACCTAAAGCTATAGCATTGTGAATAGTGCAAATAGAGTTTCCCACGTCCTTCAGAAACTTAAACCAAACCGGCATTGCTATTCAGCCAGGAAAACGCAGGCACTTACTTACATTCAGCTTTATATGTGTTTCGCTCGCTAAATGCCTTGCTTCAGCTGGTTTTCTCATCACCATTCCCGTTACGGCTTTGTTGTCCAACCCCACCCCAAGTCTTCTAGTAAGGTATGACCGAGACCATATGTGCGGCGCTGGTTGGGGAGCTGGCTTCCCCAGGATGTAAGAATGTACTCTGCTAAAAACCATGCTGCATGAGTCGTGCCAGGTGCATCTCAGCAGCCAAACCAAACAGATCAGATTTTGACAGGTTATTCAGTAGGATTAACTCTCGCCTACCAGTCCACCTTTGTAAAAGTCCCAAGTCCGGCCCAGGAATGACAACTAGTTGCACAACCAAGCACTGGCTCAGTCTTTCAGCTTGATAGTGTGAGACACCCTAGACCCTGTGACTGTCCTTGGACGACTCTCTAAGAAACCAATCGATATGCTTTGCAAACTGAACTTCAGGGCATCTCGCTGTCAAGATTCGTTTTCGTCATGATCCATGGTGTGTTTACAGAATCTTTGAATGTCTGATCACATTGCTCAATGACTCAGTGATAGTATTTGAAGGGCCAACACCAGATTGCTGGCATGTGCAGCTCTACATTGTTTTGCCATAAATCCATTGGAGGGATAAATCTGAAGATTAAGGGCATTTAATACTTCCCTTAAAGTTGAAATTATGCACAGCGCAGCTTGGAAAGCGAATTGTCTCCATTCTCATTATGCCCATAGATCGATTATAGCACCTCTTTGGCGTACGTCCAGGACATTGCTGACAAGGACTTAGAATTGCATTTGCATTGACTTTCGCACAAATCTGTCACACATAGGTTATAGGCCGTTCCCCACAACATGTTGCCCAGTCTTGCAGTTAGAATCCTAGGCAGCGAGTAAGACCACCATAGGGACACAATGATGACGTGGATCCGGAGACGGGTCAAAGGTGAACAACAAGAGTCGCGGCATTCAGATTACAGGCTATGCCAGAGCCGGTGGCGCCAGTACCAGGTCCAACCTAGCATCACCTCGGTGGCGGTCATGTAAACATTTACACACGAAAACTATACTCAATGAAGATAGTGACTAAGATCGAGCTAGACCTTTACAAGAAAAAAATAAACAAGAAGCTCCTGCCTGTCCACTGGAAATGGTAAATAGAAGCGTCATCAGGCGTCCTCATTCCACGAGTTGTGATCGTGACATCTCGCGTCTCCTCGACACTGCCCCAACTGTTCATGCTTGGCATTTCGATTATCTCGAAAATCTGTAAGCAGTCGAGTTTAGGGTCGAGTTTGTGTTCAAGCTTCCACCCAAAGCCGCTGTATATGCGAGACTCCAAGCTAGGCTCAATCCGTCCACGAACTCACTGCCTACCTTTTGTCTCTTCATGAAATTATAGCTCTCGACGGCACCCTGGTTGTCCGCAATAGCCAGGTTAACATATACGTGCCCAACAAAGCCTCCCCCAGTTAGTGCACCGCTCTTGTTTCCTGCGAAGTACTGGTCCCACTCTTCGCGTACAAAAGAGGGCTTCCGGATATATCCGCTGCTGGGTACGATGGGAAGCATGTGAATGCCCTGGATGAATGATATCTGATCGCCAAAATATGTCGTGTGAGTCACCTTCCGATCAAAGAGAATGCCCGACGCTCGGTTCCCAATAAATCTAGGTGGCTGAACGTCATTGTCGCTGGCCATGAGAAAATAAGACTGCAAGCTGCGGGCTGTGACAGCAAGCTGAAGATTTCCACGGGCCTCAATATCGGCATCGCCAATCGTGCGGCCCCACACTTTAATAGCGTACGTCGAGAAGGCGTCCTCAGCCGATGATTCTTGGTCTTTGCCATCAGGCGCTTCCAGCACACCTCGAGCCCAGCTGTGACCGTGAAACCAGTCAAACGAGCGCGAAAACGGGAAGTGAGGATCTTCGGTTGAGGGGTTTGCCCAGTCACGAATGAGGTTATTGACCCAGATTTTGTTGATCGAGTCGTTTTTTGTTAGCCAGGACGGGTTTAAATGGCCAATAATGGCTGCAGTATAGACATAGTAGCCGTAATGGAAGTTATGGTCGTTGTAGTATGTGTTCCCAAAATCGGCCTGAGTGTCATTGTTACCGTATGATGCTGACGAAACCAGGCCTTTCCATACGTTGTCGTAGACCAAGGGATTCGGCTCGAGGTTATTGACGTATCTGTCAAACGCCTTCTCAAGTTTTTGAAGTGCGTCAACAGTGAAAGAATCATCTCCAGCAATATTGTGTACGGCGTAGAGTGATCTCGCATAGACTGAGAATGCGATTCCGGAGAAGTATTTTGACGTCAAATTGGTTAGCTCTGTAATGTCCCTTGAGAGCTCTTCCTTAGCTGCAGCAATAATCGCGGCCTTAGCCTCAGCAGAAACAGTCCCCCCTGGGGCATTTTTGGACCCAACTGAGCCCAAACGGGGTGACCACGGGTCTAAGCCGACATCCGTTGGAAGGTCGCTCTCCACCATGGTAAAATAATCGCCAAATGTTGCAGTCGCAATGCCCTTTGTAGTGCTTGCCAGCTTGACATCGGTGAGGCCGGCCCTGGTTCTCTGGTCGAAGGATTTGACGTGATGAGGCAGAGCAAACATAAGGAGTGGGAGCTCCTTGATTCCATTCTTGCTCCAGCTCAGAGTGTATGTTCCAGTGTTTCCCGAAACAGATCCAGAAATGGTAGCCCCAACGGGGTATACTCCAGCAGCACGGTTAAAGACCCGAATGCCTTCCGCCCCAAGTGGGTTTTTGGCAATTTGTACATATCCTGTAAAGTTTTGAGGTCCTGTGAGCGAGCTTTTGTCCAACATTTTGAGGGACGGCTTCTGGTACGTGTGTTTTGGTGTCATATATATCAACCAGTCTGTCCCATCGTTGAGCCGCGCGTGCCATCCATGTACCGCGGCACCAATCCCCGGGGAGTTTAGTGGTAGCCTTGTGATGTTTGAGAACCCCTTCTCAGACTGTATCAGAACCGAGCCGCCCTTGTAAACTCCTGTCACGAAGGCCATGCCCTGGACAAGCGGGAACGAAAGCAACGGTTCGGCATTTTTCCTTGGTGCAAGATTAACGTTGATAGAAAATCCCGTAAGAGACTCCGTCGTCAGGGCGGTATCGTTTTTAAGTTCGCTTGCAGAGATAGCAATCGATTGGCGGAATTGCGGATCCTCGAAAGACTTGACCGGAGTCCCTGGGCCGTACAGGAAGTCGTTACGGTCCGTATGGGATATTGAAAGACCATGGCCTTGCTTGGCTGTGTCGTTAGACCACCAAACTGAGTAGGGGTGAGTCCATGTGGCGTTGTCTTGCTTATTGGCAAAGAAATTGGCATAGAATTTGTTAGTTTGGAGAGGCCCCTTTTGCTTCACCCCGACCGGCTCTTGTGGATGGGAGTCTTGAGACGGGACTAAGACAGGGGCATCGTGAGATATGGCCACAAACACATTGTTCGAGTTATGTGCAGTCAAATTTTCAGGTTTTGGAAGGTTATAAGAAACCAACCCCCGGGTCCGACCTCGAGTGTAGCGTCTCGGGGACTCATAGGATTGGACACCCTGAAGAAGCGCCAGAGCTGCTATGAGAGGCAAGATGCGCATATTCAAAGGAGTGACAATAACAAGTAACGAATGGACAGGCTCGAAGGCCAAACCCCTTTAGTCGGAAGGAAAGGAATGTGTCTGTGAATCGTTTGCTAACCTCCGAATGCCACGAATTGGCAGTCGGGGTGCAATTCATGTTTAAAAAAAGTGACCGACAAGTCTATAAAAAAGGAAACATTCACCGTGCAGAGATTGAGGGGGCTCAGGACCACCATCAGGTAGGCAGTTCCAACTTTATTACCTTGGCCATTATGTGGTGCAGTTTTGACATCCTGGAAGAGTTTAATCTGAGTTTGCATCCTTGCATGGTTCCGTTCTGTCCGTTGCATATATGCGAACGGCTTGTTTCACCGGAATGAGCCAAAGCCCGCACTTGGCCCGAAGCATCATGAACAATCCGTTTTTGAAAAAACGCTCCAAGGAAGACCCCGCGCCTCAATGCGCCGACCTCTGCGCGGTTCTAGATCTCTGTAAGCGTTTGAATATATTTAGGACTGCTTCGGCAAGGTCAAATCCAGCAGTCCGGCGATCGGTGATGCCAAGAACGCCAGGCAACGGGCTCCCCAGTGTCTCTGAACTCAGTTACAAAATACAAATGCAAGACTAAGTCAATGCCACATGAGAAAGTAAGTTCAATCTAACTAGTTTAAATTGTAGCTCCCTTTTAATCGGGTGTCTTTTTCGGTGCATCGGCTTCAGAATGGCCACCATACCAAGGGTGTCGACATTCAACTCACACCAGCGATGCCAGAAGTACCAACCAACCAGTATGCTAAAGACTCTTCCCGACAATGCTATTCTTAATGCAGTATTTGAGAAATCTGTTAGTCTGCAACCATTTGAAGAAAGTAATGGCTGTAGCACGATTTAAATATTCATTTCAGTCTGGTTGTTTTTTTGCTTGTGGCAATACCCAATCGGAGGCATGAAGCATACCTTATGTACTTTTCCCTTAGCGGCTTGCTTGGCATGTGATTGAAAAGGTATCTGGCTTCTTCCGCCAAAGATCAATTGATAGTAGAACCATGGTTAAGTAATAATTCAGCCATTCTTTCTGTGTTCTTAGTTGAAACAGAAATTTAAATAATGAGAGACAAGCCAAATGTCCACTGAATGAATGAAATGATGATACGCGAGCACACTATCTATCACATAGTTAGAGTTAGTTCAACCGCGTGGAACTTTGCAATGACGTGCTTGAATACAGTGACGTAATGCTTCATCGACCACTTTATGATGATAGCCATAGTATGAAAGCAGCCTTTATATGGCTGTAAACAGCATGCATGTTTCTAAGGAAACAACATCGTCTTGCCACAAAGGGGAGTTCAAGATGTCCTCTGTGGGTCTCGCCCGCAGCTTCCTCCTTTTCATCGCTCCAGATTAGGCAAGTCACAAAAAGTATATTGGGAGGGGGGATCCAGTATTGCGTCGCACCTGAGATGAAATATAACAAGAATGGAGATGAATTAGCGCTGGGTTAACAGGAATAAGTAAGTACGGATACCACGTCGTTTACCCAGCTTGGGCGAAAGCTAATTGACGATCCACAGATTGTAATTCCCATTTGCATACCATCTAACACGCTTAACTTCATGCTACACATTGATCCTTAAAATCATTTAGCAACTGTTACTTTGGCCTTGACTTTTCATTTATGAAACTTACAAGTTCAGGCCCTTGGAGGATTTCCTTTTTAAGTGACCTAGTCCCTGTCGCACCAACGGAACGTTTGCGAAGGATCAGATGAACTAAAAAGATCACCATGGTACTTCGTTCTCACGAATGCACATATTTCGTTACACCACAACAGTACTTAAGCTATCAGGAGCTATCTTTACAAAGCGGCAGTTAAATTTTACTTTGTCTGGCGCAAATGGGCTGTTCCCCTCAAATTGGAGAATAATTGCTCCTCTTTCGCCCGATGGTGACCCGCAGATGATCCTCTGCGACACTGGTCGCTCATAAAATTGAACTTTTTGGTAACAGTAACCATGGCACAAGTTTGCGAATAAGACCTGAAGCTGCGTTTTAGACTGCTTCTGACCACTCACTTTCGGACTATTTATGTGCTCAATGACCTCTTTTTCACGCCTCCCTTTTTCGGTTTTTTCTTTCTTTTAATCTAGAATGCACGTGAATTTGTTTTTTAGACCAACACAACGTCGAACGGAAGAAGCCATCCACTGATACCTTACTTGATCAAGTGGGTATTTGAGCATGTTGTTAACAACCTACCTACCTGCTACCTGCTACTAACATTTGCTCTTTTCAATAGCGGTTATAACTCATTGTTTCTCTCTTACTCGCTTCGCTGCTACACAAACCAGAGTTTTTCGACGCAGCTTGGCAGATAATTGAATTCGCCTTCGTGCCCTCGGCTTCTAGCGCGTTTCCCGGCGATGAATGCTTGTGAGACCAAAGATAATACCAGGGCGGCGGAGGGTAGGGCCGGGGGCTTGGGATTCATCGGGCCGATGGTGAGTTGCAAAAGACCGGCGCTTGGTTTTTTTCGGATGCAAAAGCAATGTATGCCAGGGAGATGAAAAAATGGACAGGCTTCAGCAGAATGATATTTGCACCAACGGAAATGGCTTGAAAAATGTCTCAACAAAAAGTGGGAAGTGGCCTTGTCTGTGGCTTATTCCGTCCCGGCTCGCTGCCTGCATGTGGGCACAAGATTCACTATCATGTAGTAGTGCATATGCTATTTGTTCCCTGAAGTGAGCGGTTGCTGGTCATCCGGTCCGAATATAATAGCTTTTTCGTATTGTGGCTGAGATATACGCATCGGATATCGCCGATTTATTGTGTTTGAGTCACTGAATGGCATCTGGCATCGCGTTCATGTTTTCGATGAAGCGCCACTAGCCGGAAGCGCTGCTCGCGCAATAAATACTCAGATATGCTTGAACGGAATGCTTGCTTAAATATGCTGCTCTACATTCCGCTGGTTAGATTGCAACTTGCGCCATTGTCTAATCGAGCCTTTTTCTCTCCGCGTGGATCTAAACGTAAGACCGTGTCTGCGATCTTTTCAAGATCTGCTGAAAAATCAACTCTGAAATGGGCAACGAACAAAGCTCGCCTTTGGCGAACTGCTTAAACTCAATCTGCAATGGTCGCACTAATTGCGTCGCATACCCAAACACCCCATTCTACCAGGTAGCATGGGTCAACCGTTACAATCTTGACATTCCAGTGGAACCCGTTGCCGTAACGAGACCAAGCAATGCGCAGGATGTTGCCGGATTTGTCAAGTGCGCCGCTGAACACAACGTCAAAGTCCAAGCCAAATCAGGGGGTCACTCTTATGCGTATGCTTCTCGTTCCTCTTTCAACCGCCAGAGTGTTGCTGACCTCAGTTCAGAAATTTTGGTTAGTAGTCATGGAGAAATCCATGCGATACGGGGTATTGACCGTGGAGCTAATGATCATTACCATAGGCCTCGGAGGAGATGACGGTGCTTTGGTTATCGACCTCTTGAACCTACAACAATTCTCCATGGACACGAGCACGTGGCAGGCAACCATTGGCTCAGGCCATCGACTATGGGATGTCTCGAGGAAGCTGCACGAGAATGGCAAACGCGCCATGTCTCATGGAGTCTGTCCTGGTGTTGGCATCGGCGGCCATGCGACGATTGTAAGTTCTAAGTAGAAAGAAACCCCAACTAAGTATCACACTGATGGAACAAAGGGAGGCCTGGGACCGTCATCGCGAATGTGGGGTTCTTGCCTGGATCACGTCTTGGAGGTGGAGGTAGTAACCGCGAATGGGACCATCCAGCGAGCCAACAGCGAAAAGAATAAAGACTTATTTTTCGTAAGCAACTCGAAGGGAGATTCAAACAGAGCTGACATTAAAATAGGCTCTGAAAGGCGCTGGTGCAGGGTTTGGCATCGTAACCGAGTTTGTTGTTAGAACTCAACCAGAGCCTGGAAACGTCGTTGAGTACACGTACTCTCTCAGTTTTGGGAAGCATTCAGACTTGGTGGACGTTTTCGAGCAGTGGCAAGCTCTTATTTCAGATCCTAATCTCGACAGGAGGTTTGGCTCGGAGTTCGTTATTCATGAGCTGGGCTTGATTATTACGGGCACTTTCCACGGTACAGAAGCGGAGTTCGACGCCAGTGGAATTCCAGATAGGATTCCCAAGGGGAAGATCGCCGTTGTTATTGATGACTGGCTTGGTGCCATTGCCGGCCAGGCGCAAAAAGCTGCTCTGTGGCTTTCGGAAGCTCGGACTGCTTTTACAGCGCGAAGCCTGGCGTTCCGTGAAGACCAGTTACTCTCGAGGGAAGATATTGCTAGCATGATGAAATACCTGGACAACACAGATAAGGGGACGTTGATCTGGTTTCTTATCTTCGATGCGGCTGGCGGTGCCATTGGCGATGTTCCCACGGATGCGACGGCCTATGCTCACAGAGATAAAATCATGTTCTGTCAAGGATACGGCATAGGTATCCCGACATTATCCGACCAGACTAAAAGTTTCATGAACGGCCTTGTTGCGGCTATTCGTGGAATTGTTGGTACAACGATGATGACATACCCGGGCTACGTTGATCCTACTCTGGACAATGCTCAAGAGTCTTATTGGGGATCCAACTTGGCGACTTTGGAAAGCATCAAGACCCAGTGGGATCCAAGAGACATTTTTCATAATCCACAGAGTGTTCGGCCATTGAAATGAATGGCGATTAGTAAAGCATGAAAAGGAGGATAAGTGGCATTGTACCAAGGCAGCCTGAAAAGATGGGATGATCTGGGTCCCACGCCTACTTAAATAGATAGAACCATACAGGGGCAAATCCATTTTTGAGATTTTTTTTTCATTTCTCAACTTTTTCATTGAAACCCGAGGGTTCATTGCAGCTGCGTTTTCCAGGTCCCTCGACCCTTTTCATCACAATATAAATGAACAACCAACACTAACTGTATGTTCTTGCAGCAACATGCATTGGAGGCTATGGCTCAATCTGAAATGTTTGACTCGAAACAAATGCAGGCAGCGGTAAATATGCTGCATGGATTGCGTCGGATCTACGAACGTTGAACAGACAAGCATCATCTGGATGAAATCTGGGATGTTATGGCTGTTGTTCCGCAAAGTCATAAGATTCTCATGCACCCAGGCGATATAGTGACAGGCGTCAACTTCAATAGGAGGCAATAACAAATATCAAGGTGCATCAGAAAGGATAACACGCCCAAAAATATGCGAACTAACTCGGATATTTGGGCTATTGGAACTTGTGCTTGGAGCCTTGAAGCCTCACTATTGAATTCTCAGTTTTGACGAACTAGACACCTATCAAACAGGCTAGAAAGGGTGTAAGAAAGTGACTTGATTTAAAAAGAGAGCATGTGCGCAAGTAAACACATACTTGTACGTCCGCGGTGTGCGATTGGGAGAGAGCTTACGTAAATACACCTTAGTCGGTGTGTTCGGTGAACATTGACGATATCGTCACATTAGTGGATAAAAATTGCACGCAGCAAAACGGTTCTCTCACCTAGATTTAGGCACCCGCTATACAAGGCTTTTCTTCTTTGAAAGACTTGACCAGCCGTCCCAGACCCACCACCTGCTTTTGTCCCAGCTTTCTTCACCTTTTCTCACCTCTTCTTCCATCCAACCTACCTCACGGCGCAAAATTTTAACCCTTTCACCACACCCAACCAACTTTTCACAAACGCAAACTTCGTTGTTTGCTTTCGTCACAAATCTCACGCTCCGCAAAAGTATACTCGATTACCAGACAAAGGCGTCCAGAGCCCCTTCGCGCACGATACTAGCAGATTCAGGTACTCACTCTTGTATAACCTTTATTCTTTTCAGCTACTGACTTTAGTATAGCATGTCTTGCCCAATCTGTCCCCGTGGCGCGATCGGAGTTCTCGTACCCAGGAGGCCCGTCACCTACAACGGCAGAAATGTCAATGTTGGCCGGATGAATACCTTCTGTAACTACTCCCTCGCTCGATTCTTGCGAGAGAACAGCTGGTACATGACAAATCAAGGTCACATGGAGAATAGTGTTGTTCTCTGCACCCCGATCACGATCCCCGCCGAACTCATCAACAGCACCATCTACGACATCATGGTCTATATACGCAACTTCATCCGCGTTGCTTGCCCTGCTGGTCCTGGAATCATTCTGGGCCACGACCTTACCGATGAGCAGCTTGGTATGGAGATTCACATCCCAGAGATTTATCTCTCAGCCTATCTTTACACCTTGATTGCATACCTTCAGTATGTCGTTGGCCAGGACCTCACTTGGTGTTATACTTGATTATGGGTTGAGAAGTGTGTATCTTTACGAACGTCTTTTCTGGAGGGATTGGTATCAGGGAACCTTGGAACGACGCGGTTTTCGCACGAAGACACATGGTCAGTTGCCGACAGGAAAGGGCAAGGAGGACATCGATTACAGTTGGACTCCAGTACATTTCCAAATCTCATTTCTGAGGCCTAATTACTGATGAACATTGAGAGGTAAAAATCAATTCACAGTCCTGTGCGTGTGACTTCCCTCAGTGAGAAGTAAATCTAAATTTTGTGGGAAAGAACTTCTCAATGAATGATTTCCCATACAGTCCCTCTTTCCTTCCTTGTTTGTTTATTCCCTCAAAAAGTATGTCTTTCTTGTAATCCCCTCCCATCGACAGTGTTTTAGTCATCCACTCTTGTTCAAAGCCTTTGACAAGGGTCAACTTTGGCAAGAATTCCCGTGCGTTGCGCTCTCTCGTAGATGCGAATTTTGGTGCATATTTGTAACAACCACTGGGATACATAAGAAGGCACGCTTGAATGCAAATGTATCATTCACTCAGCCAAAATAGAAACCAAATTATTGATCATCTCGTAAATTAATTATCAATATCATCATCAGCGGATATCCCGCAATTAAGTATACATCATCATCCGTGGTATCGAACGCCAGGTATTTTCCACCCAATTCGTCAGCCATCCTATAAATACAGGTCTCTTCATCGGAACTGCCTCACAGCGCATAGTTCTCGGTATGTAAGTAGATTTCTTCCAGCATGTCATCGCCCCAAATCGCCGCCTGTAGCCTGGCGACGGTGTTTGCAACACCGACCCTCATTGCTGGCGGACCGCAAACAAAGACAGCTGTTCGCCTGCCGAGGATTCCTCTCCCATCGGGCCCTCCGGTTGCCCATTCCTTCAGCATGTAGCCGAGGTCTGGTCGGCCATACTCTACACTCCAGCCACCGTCAATCTGATGCGGAACTGGGAAGGCAAAGCGCATCAGATTCTTCTGGAACTCGGTCGGCGTCTCGGGGAAACCGAAATCAAAGCCGGACGGCGGGCCAAATGTACTTGTTGGCCGAGGCTGATTGGAATTAGGCAGGTTGACAGTGCGGAGATGGGCGAGTTCTGGCGGTCGAATGGGCATGTCAGAGTCATCCGTGTCTATGTCAGGAACCTTGCGAGGTGACGGTGGGGCATAGTTAAAGTGTGGCTGATCACTCTTCGAGTTGATGCGAGGGAAGTGAAAATCGCCGTCGTTCTTTGCGTCAGGGTCGCCGTAGTCGTAGTCGCGGCCCTCAAGGCGGCGAAGCGATTCCTCTTGCGGGGAAAATCGGTCGGACGGCGGCGGGCCTGGTGGTGGGGGAGGGTATTGGTGAGGTTGAAGGTATTTTTGCTGTGGCAGGGCTGTGATTTTGTCTTCTTGTTCGGCGCGAAGTTCTTGTTCGCGTTGAGGGTCACCTTGTGCTACCGATTGGATTAAAGCAGAGTTGCGTTTTGATGCAATGCCAGCCACGAAGCCGTCCAGCTTGTCATGAAAGAGATGGCTCAACGCTCGCGGCGCTGATCGATCGCCAGCAGCCATCATCATGGCGCGGTTGCGCACTGCAGAAGTGACGAAGAATTTGCAAGTGACACTCTCAGGGGGTGCGGACTCGCGGCAAATACGGAGCTCTTCGCGAAACCAGTCCATGGCCTCTAGTCGTTTTAAGGCCCATACTACAACTACCTTCTTCGTAATTGCCTTTCCATCACGCATTCGCTTGATTAAATTGAGTAGTTGAGACATCAGCGCGGTGATACCGCTGCCACCAGCGATAAGAATGCAGGTGTCAAAAGCGGCAAGATCTCTTCGCATGCCTCCGTAAGGTCCATCCAGGAAAGCACGGTAAGTATGGAACGGGCCTTTCTCAATGGCGGTGTCGAGCACCTTTCGAGTAAAACCGCCGTAGGGCTTGAACACAAGCATGCAGTCGCGGTATTGCTCACCATATTCTGAAGGAAAGTCTTCGCTACAGAGGGAGGCGATGGTAAAAGGATGATTGTCGAAAAATGAGATGCCAGGCATGCGTAAGTAAACGTATTGCCCCGGTTTCCATCGCATTTGAGTAGGAATGGTAATCTTGATAGCGTTCTCGGAAAGTAGGGTGATGGCGGCCTCATCGCCGACCATAAAGCTCAATCTCCACGGTTTTGTCCAGTTCAGGTTAAACAAGCGGAATATGTAGCAGGCGACCCAAATAGCAATGGTTGCCCAGAGATAGTCCCAAGAAGCAAGGTAGTTCTTCGTGTGCCAGAACAGCAGACCGACATAGACCATGCCTACCGGGACGTGAAGCAAGACAAAGACCTCGTATGCGATGCGCCGGATAAAGGGGAGCGAGGCAACGCAGAGCCATACCAACGGCACAAGGCAAGCAATGCCTGTACCGTAAATGACACCACTTCCACCGTCAAAGAGCCTTGAAAATACATCCATACCGCCATCATCCCACACCGGCTGAATATAAAAAGGAACGGTGTGTACCAACGAAAGGAAGAGACAGAGGTAACCCGCCCATCGGTGGAAGACATTGAGGCGCTCAGGCCCAATACCAATGAGCATCGACATGACGTTGGCCTTCATGCTGGTAACGATAATCCAAGGGGTCAGGGCGACAGCAATCATGCCTGCTCGGATGGCAACAGGTGGCGAGCCGAACTGAATGCTCTGCCAGTAAAGTGGTTGTTGGAGGAAGCAGTAGAGGGTTACGAAAGCTAGAGCGATGAAGACACAAGTCAAAACCGCCAACGAGGAGAACGTGACTCGGTAGCTTCCCCAGACGAAATCAGGAATGGGCCGATAAAAAACCCAGCGGAAGAGAGCTAGGGTATCGTTGACGAAGCCAACTGAAGAAAAATGAGCTTTTGGTTTGAACTGTTTCTCCCCGAGTCCTTCTGCGTCGGGGAAGAAGTGATGTGCTTGTCCGGTTTGCATTGCGTGAGCGTATTCGGGATTGGTATTGTAGATTTCGGCATAATGCTCCTCTACTTCCTGTTTGTAAATGGCCTGTCGGATCTTGTCTTGCCAGAAGTGCCAAAACCGCATGAATAAGACCACGCCCACAAGAGCCAATGCGAAGTATGTCCATCCCAGCCCATACTTTCCTGACTTGTCCCAGGGATCTACTGTCAGTGCTTCCACCAGGCCGGCAGGGCTATCCGGCTTGAGTGTGATGGCGATACGCTTGGCAATCCGTGTTGCCCCATGCGTAGCAGCATCTGCCATTTCACGGATGTAAGAAGCCATTGTTGCGAGTTGGCAAGCTTGATCGAAGCAACACTTAAGAGCGGCTAAGCGCGTGGCATGTATATTCTCGTCGACATACGGAGCGGATGTTCAGGTGCTGGTGGGTATAGTTCGGTGACGGTGAGAGCAATGGGTTTAGACGGTTTCAAAGTCTAGGTGAACTCAATCTATGCGGCCCTATTCCGATGATGTTGATAAGAAAAGGCGGGGGCCGATGGCGGCTTGAGGAATACCAGATTCCTCTGAGTCGGATCAAGGAACAACCAGGTGAGGTTAAAACAACGAAACGAGAGACGGAGCAAGAAAACGCGGAATATGGGAGCCGGTCCACAGGCTCGGGAGCCCGCAGGGGATATATGGAAAGGGGATCGGAGTCGCTCCGAGGGTGGAGACGCCTTAGTGGGTTGATGTTAACAGGTGGGAGGCGTGATGAGCGCAAGTGTAGGCAGTTCCGTCACGTTGCTGACAGCTGGGCAGAGAGGCACGACTAGTCAGAATGTGGTGACATTTGTGGTGTATAAGATGGCTGATAAGGCGGCGAAGTTGCCATGTGGAGGGGTCAAAAGGATGCGGCCTGAGTGCGGTCGTTCAATCAACGACCAGAGAAGGGTTCGATGGCTTCGTTGGCTCCGGTGGTGAAATGTGAATGGCACTGGGCCCAGCGGCTGGCCGCACTTTAATATTGGCTGGCCAATATTCTGACCGTCCCCCGCCGCTGGATGTCACACAATGCAGGCCGGGCGTGGGCGCTAGAGGGGTGGGTGCGATGCAGGTGAACAGCTGCAAGCTGCAAGCTCTTGAGGCACGTTGGTACGGCCGTGTTCTCGGCAGAGAAGAGGACTATTGAAGATGTGCTGACCGGGGTCAAGGGCTGGGAGATGCGTTGGTTGTTGTGTCTAAGGTGTGATCAGCCGAAGATTAGATATCCGCGGCCACTTACGGCAGCCGTTACCGTTGGGCCCTCGTCAATGGCTGTCGTTCTCTCTTCCATTTGGAGATCGATCCATGCCGGTTGATCTACTCTAGGCAGCCGAATAATGGCCACAGGAACCAAGGCGGTCCTTGACGTGCTGTGTGTGTGCCTGCTGTCGATGAGGGAAATAACAGGTAAACGCAGTGGCGGACATGCGCAGTTCGCGGTTGAGTAGTGGTGCTCTTTTGAACGACAGCCACGGCTCTCTTTGCGCTTCACGTTTTGGTTCGTACATCGGCTTAATCCTGTAAGGACAAGTCCTGAATAGCGGACTACATCACCCATCGTCGTGGGCTGTTTACCAATGAGGCAACCTAGACACCCCACGGAGGTCAACTTGAAATCGGCCGGGCTAATGATCTGACCGCCAATGGAGACATCGGAAAGGAATTGGTCAACAGGTGGCAATCTCTAGCGAGAGGTTCCAAGGTGAGAGGCCATCACGCCCTGTAAAAGATGCGAGCCCCCGACACACATGGTGGACAGTTCCACACCGATCCGTATTGGGGGCGGGTAATCATTATGGCTGGCGGTCGAATGACAGATGGAAGAAGGAACTGTGATGGATAATGTGTGCAGTTGACGAAAAGATTGTTGGCAAGGGTCCGAACGGGCACAATGGCGGGAAAAAGCTAGATGGTAGATGTGATTCGGTAGACTTGGGTGCAGAGTGCGCCAGTGAGGTTACCTCCCCGTTCTTCCCTGCTCCCTGACGGGCGGCAATGCCAGGCTTCTGACTGGTCAGCACTACTGTGTCTGCACCCTGCCATGCCTGTCTGTGCGTCCATATTGTTGCGCTAGAGCAAGCTTTTGGGCCACCCGCGCCGGGGGTTCTGACCCACTGAAGCTTCCCGGCCCAAGCTCCCGCCACCAAGCAACAGCTCTTTCTCTTGTCACATCTCTCCACTCCATCTTCTGCCATGCCATCTTTACCCTTCCGTCTCTTTTCCATCTCGCCTCGCTTCACCTCATTCGCTCTATGGGCCGTTGACCTCCGAGAATCGTTGGACGTCGCCTGATCTGACTTCCCGATTCTTCTACTGGCCGGTACCTGACTTCTGCGCTGCACCTTGGACCTCCACCAGGCCAGACCTGCGACCCCCGCGTGGCCATGGCACCTGTTTGCTTTGGACTCTAAGTCGACATGAGAGCGGCATCCCCAACTTTGCGTGGTTGACCACGGGTTATCAGACTGTTTGCCACTTTTCGATGATGCTCCTCGAAGACAGATGGCAATGATTTCATCCGAGTCATCGACACTATTAACCGGATTGCGGCAATTAACAACAAGCTACGGATCACACCCACGGCAAGAGTGATAACATGGCTACGCGGACCCATCTCTTTCGGTGAAGCCATGATCATGGACCCCTCATTTCCGCTGCCCGCGGCTGCGGCTGGCAGAAACTTGTGTCTTAGCCGAGTCCACCTACTAAAGTCGTCGTCCCGTATGAGAACTGGCAAATAGTGGTCTGTAGCGTCTACGGCGTCAATTAACCAAGAATCGAGCAAGTGGAGGTGTCGCCATCCTGATTCGGAAGCCCAAGAACTCATGCATCCCAAAGAGGCGAAGAAAGCCAGATATCGACCCCGCTGCCCAGCACTGCCCGCTACCAATTACATCTCTTTGAGGTGTGATGAATCTGCCAGCGGTCCCTGACCCTGTCCCTTCCGTCCCTGTCTTTTGCCAGTCGACGTCCTTCTGGAGATGATGCTGCCCGAAATCTACACTTATCGTCGTACGGTCAATCAATATTCATGCACTACACCCCAAGTGTGCGAGATGCAAATGCAGTGCAAGATTTCTGTCACCAACTGCCAAGGCTTCCTTGCCTCAAGGACTGGCAGTGGTGATGGAAGTTCAGATCGAACAAACAGCCCATCACTTTTGTTGAACCGCCGCCAGGTAGGGCAGGTCGCTGGCAAACATTTCTGATACATCCCTGTCGCAGCCCGTTTTCCCGCCCGTCCCGGTCTGGGCCGGTGTGGTGCGCAACCGGGCCATCCTAGCTATTGCCCGCATCAACCCTGGTGATTTTCCGCCATGTCTCGCGACCCAGCCATCTTACTGTCGCCCGCGTCACCCAACATTCCTAGGATTGAAAAGCTTTTGTGATTGTTGTCCAACTGCATGATACGAGAGAAGAATCTCCGCAGGTCATGCCCAATATCCACAGCGTAGTACACCGGCTGACCATACCGATGGTTGATCTTGCCGCGGTTTTCTCCTCAAATGCACTCCCCAGGCAGGGATGGCAACTACAATAACCTCGGCCTGGCTACCTTAAACGGCTGCGAAGAGCTCGCCTTCGTCTTCAACGGGTGTTCCGGGTAAGACTTGAGGAGTACAGCTCTCATGAGACCAAGTTAAGTTACGGAGGACGAACCCGCTTGTACCGAAGTCAACCGGCAAACATCCTTCTGTGTATCTTTTTGACTTTGGCGTTTTCAGGACCTTTTCGTCACGCCTATTTCCTTTACATCAGTGATTGCAAACGTGGATTTAGGCTGGTTTTTCATCTCTCTCTTGAGGCAAAATCATTCTTCACTAATTGGTTTGATAGACTTTGGCGTACGAACCAGGTGCTCTTCTAATCTTTCAAACTTACCTCGTTAGTACTTTGATACATAGGGAACCAATGTCAGAAAGACCATCAACCGATACCAATTTATCGAATTGTAAAGACAGTATCTCTAAGCTTCCCATAAAACTTCTGACAACACAGTTGCTCATGGACATTGTTGAAAAGGGCGGGCATGAGTGAATGGCTGAATGCTGTCCATGTTTTTGATCTTTGTCGTAGCTCTCGATGATTCTTGGCACTAAATAAGCCGCTCGACTACTAGTGAAATCAAGGTTGATAGCATCATCCCTAGACGTAGTGATCCATGAGGCCATCTTTCTCACATAAGGACGGATAGATTGAACAGTTTTACTTGGAAGGTCCTAAATAAAGTCAAAATAGCTAACATCAGAAAAGACTTTGTAGCTCTGCTCAAAAATACCAGGACCGGGCAATAATACAACAGGCCTTGTCTTTGACGCAAATTCGGCCTTTTCTCGGGTCACTTTTGCCCGACTAGAGTAAACTAGTCGTCTAGAGGCTATAATGAGAGCCTTCACTCGGATGCCCTTGCATGGTGGATGTCGTAAGCTTATCTTCATCCTTTTCAACGTCAGCCCTACAAGGAACGACCCACCTGACGGCAATCTAGCCATACTCTTGATCTTCCATTGGCGGAGAGTACGGCTTCTTCTTTCATCTTGAAATGGGCTGATGCTGAATTCTTAATGAGGTTACATTTCGCCTAGAATGGAGCTAGGCACGTCAACTACTCAGGTGCTATGTGGTTTAAAACGGGCAGATGAAGACAATAGAAAGTCATAGTGACTTTGGCTGACGCCGATATCTTTGCCACCTTGAGTCATTCCTGGTCTTGTAATCATTTCATTCTTGGTATTTCAAACGTTGTCTTACCGTCTTGGCTCTCTTATAAAAGCTGGTCTTCATCCACGCTGAAAAACCATCTAATAAGGTACCTCTTAAAACATAACCCATACCTTCCCAATCTTTCTTAGAAGAACTTTTCCACCATGGCTCAAACTAATGCTGCGCAGTCTAAAACAATGAAGGCTGTTGTCTGGGAGGGGAAACCCTACGAGGTGGCAGTCAAGGAGGACATCCCATTTCCCCGTCTTGAAGCGCCTGAAGATGCTATTGTTCGCATTACAACCTCGGCCATCTGCGGTACTGATCTCCATAACTACCGAGGATACTTGGGAAGCAGTGAAGTCCCCTACCTGTTAGGGCACGAGGCGATGGGTATCGTCGAAGAAGTCGGTGACGCCGTCGACAGCTTCCGGGTTGGTGACCGTGTTTTGATCTTGCTCAACCCACAAGACGGTCTTTTGGAGATCAATCTCGCATTTAGGCCAACATACGGTCTTGGAAAAGATCTAAGTGGGGATTTGGGTGGCTTGCAAGGTAAGCACCTCCCCCTTCCCTTGTTGACTCCAAATTTTCTGACATGGATCTCGAAGCGGAATACGTTCGTGTTCCCTACGCAGACAGTTCCCTCCTAAAAATCCCAAAGAAGTTGCCCGACAAGGAGTGGCTATTTCTCGGTGACATTTTCCCCACAGCCTGGGAAGGTCTCACTTGGTCTGGTTTCGAGGCAGGTGACACTGTCGCCATTTTCGGCGCGGGGCCTGTCGGCCTCCTTTGCGCCTACAGCGCCATGATACGCGGCGCCAGTCTCGTGTATGTCATCGATTATGTTCCGCAACGTCTCGCTAAAGCTGCGGAAATTGGTGCTGTGCCAATCAACTTCGCCAAAGGCGGCTCGGCATCTGAGCAAATATTGGCCTTGCAGCCCAATGGCGTCAACCGCTGCGTCGATTGCTGCGGTCAAGAAGGGAGTCTCAACGCAGAGCTGAAGCCGCAGCAAGACTATATCCTCCGCGAAGCCATTGCCGTTACCTCTTTCCGGGGCGGCATCGGGGTTCCAGGTTTATACTTCACGTTGCCCAAGAGCCCTGGAACCCCGAATGCGGATAAGATGCAAAAAGAGCTCAGCGTTCCTATTTCTGATGCATGGTTGAAGTCTATTACAATCAAGTTTGGCAACGTTGAACTCCTTCGCACATTGCCTGCTTTATTCAAACTCATTGACAACGGGAGAGCGCGGCCTGGCTTTGTCGTCACTGCGGAGTTCGACCTGGATGAGGCTCCCAAAGCCTACACGTTATTCAACAAGCAACTCGAGATCAAGACATTGTTCCGTGGGCCGGGCAAAGAGGGTAGAGACGACTTCGTTTGGGAAGCCCACGAAAACGGAACCAATGGAAGGTAAGTGATCAAGGTTCACTCATGGCATTCAAGTGTACTAACATCCACGCAGAGCTTTTCATACAAACAAGTTGGTGAGGTTCCACTAACTGTCCAAAATACCAAATCTCCCAGTTTCTAGTTTGTTCATTCCGCTGTTGCTGCGGCTTTAAGAGTTTTTCACTGTATCTTTCTTCCTCGGAACTCAGTACGCACGAGGATGTACATTGGATGTTACCTTTGCAATCTTATTCTTTTTCTTCTCATTGTATAGAGCAGAAGACGCAAGAAATACATTTACTTCTTTAAACTTCAATACCAAGCTATGTACAAGTTCTCGTCTCTATGGGAATGCAGGCTTTTGTTCAGCATCCTTAACCCCTGTCAAGTAGGAGACGCGGCTCTTGCAGTAGAACTCGACGGAAAGCTTTCCATCCAAGCTTGCCTGTCCGTCATCAAGACCGCCAGCCTTGATGCATGTGACATCTGGCATCATGTCCAGTTCAGTGTACAAGCTAGAGCCGCAAGTGGGACAGAAGAAGTGACGGTTGTTCTTGCCAGAGGCCCCGGTAACGTCGTAATACTTAGGCTCGCCTTCGAGAGATGTCAGTATCTTGTTAACCCAGTTGGTTCACAAGGGGGTTACATACCTTGGGTGACCTTGAACGACGCGCGAGGAACAACAGCATTAGACGTGAACGCAGACCCGCTCCACTACTTTCGTCAGCAGTGTTTCTCAACCCTCGTTTTGGGCTACATACCTTTTGGCAATCTGTGCAGTGGCACAAGGCCTTTACTTGGGGCTCATCTGCGTTTATCAGTCATCCATTGTGATCAAGGATCCAAGCATGAAACAAAAAATGGCATACCACTGCTCTCGTACGTCACCGCCTTGCACATGCAGCTTCCCTTGAGAACCATTTTGCGGAGAAACAGTAGGTTTGTTGGACTTTAGCGACGCGTGTCTATAGACGATTCGATTCCAAGACGAAACTGAGAGGACAAGTTTATCATCTACCTGTGAAAAGCGGTTGGAATCTGACCACCATTTATATACACGTTTGAGGAATCTCGGCTAGCGCTAGTGCCGGCAACAAGGAAAGCCAAAGCAAAGTCAACTCTTCTCATTGAGTGACGCAGCTTGCCGAGCCATCTCCTGCGGGGATTGAACCCAGAAAGCATGGGCCTTATTTGTGTTTACCCCGCGGTTCAACCGGTTCAAGTCGCGCCACCTGCGAATCAGATGTTCGATTCCAGCTTTGGCTTACTTGATAATCTGTGGGTTTTTTTGTCACCCGCAGGGCGTGACGGATGAATCTAACTCCCTCTGGCAGGCGAGGGAATAAAAAGCCTCTTGAGTTCGGCGTTTGAACAGTTGTATTTCAAATCATTCAAAATAGGAACTTCATAATTCCAATTTGCAAGTGGCTTTGAGGCGAACTCACTTGGCAGTCCAATCCCCCCCCCCCCCCCCCCCCCCCCCCCGCCTCTGCGGGAAGCTTAGGTCCGCAACATAAACGACTCCACGCAAAGCCTATTACACATTTCCCACATCGCCGCTTATGCGGTTTTTCGAGCAAACGTCTGAGTTACTGGGGTTCAAGAATCAGGGCACCGTTTCTATATAGTTTGATGGATGGATTATCGACATTGACAGCTTTACGTTGTCAAGTCGACCGAGCTAGACAGTTGAGTAAAAGACTTGATGTTTCCGATTATTGTCTCCATGCAAACGGGGCGCAAAGTGAATGTGCTCAAGTAATCTCCAGATCCTGAAAAATTGAAGTAAGCTGCATTGCACCGATACGGCTCTCCAGCGCGCCACCAACGTCATTGGCGAAAGACAAAAGGGCATTTTCCTGGCTTCCCAATACGCAATACAATGGCCGGCATTGCTGTGAATCTTCTTGTTGGCCTGATTATATGATTAAATAAGCTGCATCAGTTGGTCTTCGATTCCAAAAGAGCCTCTGTCGCTTTGTACTTTCGATGGTAAGGATGGAGAACACAGAGCGCAATTTAGCAGAAAGGTTCCAAGCTCACCGGTTTCTCAAAGGCCGGTTACGAGAGGGTTAGAAATTACCGTAAGGAAAAGATCAACTGCTGTTCTACGAATTGATGCTGTAGCGCAAGATGCGATGGGCCGTGTCTGATGCAGATCTCTAAGGACCATCAGGTATGGTGCGCTTTGATGTGAAGGGGACTCTGTTCATTGCCAATCTCCCAAAGACGTTGACTGATAGCAGTTGGAATGTTCTTTAGCCGCCATCCTTAAGGTCAAGGTATTACATGTAGCTCTTGCTCGGTTGCAAGGCTATGTATGCTACGAGGACGGCAAGCATAGCTGACAGAGGAAGCCATTCGGGTTTTTCACAAGCTTTATGCAGAGGTCTGGAAAAGGAAGCTTTCCAACTCTTGGTGATTATAAAAGCTCAGAAATAACTATCTTCCAATGCTCTCAACATTTGGTTATTCATGTAGAGCCAGTTCCCCAGCTGAGCCCCCTGATGGTCTATCTCCATACCCGTATCTCCAGGCATCCCAAACGATCCACCTGTCATCCAGTTAGGAACCGGCACTTGCTCGTTGAACATTGCTCCCATAACATTCCCAGCGTCGGACATGTGAGGCAACGGTGTCTGTGACAAGTCTGTTGAGCTGGGTGTTGCAAGAACAGTTGGCTGCGGCAAGGCCGGGGGTACCATTAATGTGGAATCGCTCCAGTCCTCAGTGCCTCCTGGCTCTGTCGAACTGCTCTTCTTCGCATTAATGTAGCTGCAAGCAACATCGTAGAGGACTTTGAATAGGCGAATCTCTTTTTGTATACCGACGGAAAAGGAGTCGGCCGATGAGAACTGTAGAGATTCGATGAGGCTACCAAGGCGTTTGAGGTCGTCTTCATTCCCAGTCTCAATAATATGACAGAACAAGACGGTGAAGGGGACAAAGGGGGATTGCAGAATAGCCCTGTAATATTCAGTGTTAGAAGATGTGTCTTGACGACGGTGAAGACAGTGCAGCGAGGTGAAAATACCAATTTATATAGGTTTCGAGGAAGTCTTCCTCAAAGTTGGCTATAATAGTCATGCACCTTTGGTGCTCTTCGAGGGCTTGACGTGCGTTCAGTATGCACTCCTTTCCGAAAATAGTACCTTCGCCTGGATCTGCGGGTATGGCTCGATATATGAGACAAAGGAGGGATAAGTGAGTGACCCTTGTAGTGCTTATGAAGGCTTTGTAGACTGTGTCTCCTACGGCATTGCGCAAGGCTTCCAAGTACCGCATCTGCTATATCGTCAGCACATAGGATATGAAAATTCTCTCCCCAACGGACAGCTATCGCAAGACTTTCACAAAAGAACATAATATCATGATCGATTTCGAGATGCGTACTAGGTGAACTTACTTCATCTGGAGACCTATGGTTGGTGTGCTGTTCAAGCTCCAGAGCAAGTTGTCTTGCCTGGGCGGTTCTGATAGCTTGAGGTTGAATTAATGCGTTGGGGCTGTAAATTTTGTCGTACACCATGCCCTGCAGCCTTGCCAGCCCTGCCCACTTTTGCAACTGCCCGAAGACTGCAGCTTCTGATCTTGAATCAACTGACACCGGAGGTACGGTGACATCACTATCGCGAATCGTCGAGGAGCGCCCGAGGCGTAACGCAAGCCCTTTTTCTTGCATGTAAATTATCCAAAATAACTTTAACTTATTTGTTCTAGTTTGCACATCATCGTTTGTCATTGTGACGATATTGTGCATGCCAAGCGTCTGGCACATGTGCGATGCTGTGGCGATGAAGTTGTACGCAGCGGATGGTTTGCAGGTGTCGAGACAGTACATGCCCTGGTGAATGTTAGCTGCGTCCATCTGTAAGGGCGGAGTGTTCGCACGGCTACTGTCATGGCACAGGTTGTTTCCATCGTGGAAGGTAAATGGAAGGGAAGAATGGATAGAACTGTCTCAAGGTTTGCCCGGCAAACCGTCGCTTGAGCTTCGCAGTCTGCCTTCTTGTTTGGATCTGCAATGACATTCTTGCATTCCAAAAACAGCCAGTACAGGCCTGCGTTGACCATGATCAAGTCAGCATACGCTGGATCACTATCCCCAGGAGAATAAACTCTCAGAAAATAGTCCGTGAAAGCTGAGATGGAATTTATTTCATGGTTCCAGAAAAACCTTACTCGGATGTGTTCTGTACTTTTGTCAGAATACGGTACAAGATAACAATCTAACAGTTATACCTTTAGCCATTCGAAGACAGGCGAATGCTGATTGCACGGGTGGCATGGGAAGGTCACGAAGGTTACTGCCTGGCTTGAGCGTCCTAGCGTAGGGGTAGAGGTATTCGGGCTCTTGGTCTCTCTTTTGGCCTCCAATAGTTCGACTTAATGTATCCAGGACGGATGCCATCTCCCCTGTGATGTCAATAGATGGCTTGTTGTTCACAGCATCGCGAAGGAATCTGTTTGCGAAAGCGGCTTGGGCTGACAGAGAAGACTCCCCCTCGTACTCCAACTTGGGAGTTAGAATTTTGCTAGCATCTCGACTCAATGGCGAGGAGGCTACCAGCATATCTGGCGTGGGGCTGGACGAAGATACTGTGGTCGACGGTGAAGGGCGGTATGGAGGGGCGGCTTGCGTGGCGATTTCAGGACGGCCCTCTAAGTTGCCCAACGCGTGGCCGAACTCCTCGAGCTTCTTTACGATGAAGTCAATCTTTCTTTCACTGAATGTTGTTGGTTAAGTCACATATAGCATTCCACGATTCTTTAGAAGACCACTTACTACAGCTCAGAGACGAATATGCGCTGCTTTCTTTCCTTGGGCTTTTGCTTTGTTGGATAAGTGCAAGGCACATCAATGCGGACGCAATAGGAACATGGATGCCGTCGGTCACACCGCACCTTGCATGTTTTGTCAATTTGTTTTGAGGTTTAGGAAGGGATGCTGCTTACTTTACGGCGACGGCAACGATCGCACTTGAATGAAGAACCCGATGGGTTAGCGTAATAGCATCATTGAATTTTGGCTACAACGTACGGAAATTGTGGACAGTGGAACCTCATCGTCGTCTTCATGGTTTTGGTGAGCCTGGTACGACGTCTCATTTGCGGTGCTCGAAGCCCCAGGTTCCCGCTCCGGTTCCATCATTGGATATTCTTAAGGTTGATCAGGTCAAGGTGCCACATGCGTTTTCCTTGAGCTATTGCGATCAAAGACCGAGGTGTGAAGACAATACGGCGTGCGTTGTGCTTCAATCAAGGCGGCACGGAGGTTGCTTTCAACACAGTCCGCAACAAATGTAATGTACGACGTATTAGGTTTTTTTTTCCCCCGTGACGGGCGCGGAGGTGAGGCCGACTGATGCAGCCCGCAACCCCGAAACCGAGAAATACGTAGTACACTCCTTTAACGTGTGGTGGGGCTCTAGTTTGGGGCCCGCGCGCCCCGTCATTCTGGCTACTCAGCAAGTTCTCCTTTACAGATACACAAGAAAACACAGTAGCACCCAATCACCACGACTAAGGGGACTAGAAGTAAGCGGGGCATACTTTTCTCATGTATTCTATCACTTTGATTCATCCTGATAATAGGAGTAAACGTGAGTCATGGTTGGTTAGAAGTGAAAAGGTGCGGACCCGAGGAATCTTGGCATCCCGCGCTCCGTTGGATTCGTACGCCGTCCAGGCTTATGTCATCCACGATGGAGTATCACAACGTACACAGGTTTGGTTTGGGTTTGGTTCGTTGCCGAGCAATCTCAAATAGGATGTAGTTTGTATAGGGACATCAGGGATAATAAGAATATGCCTTTTCGTGCGCCACTAAAGTGTCTTGCCCAATAATCGTACAAGATCTCATTTGCTGTGGAGATGATACAGGATGATTCATACTGAACCAGCCATGCAGGGTGCTCACTTCGGTCGCGGTTTCTTGGCATCCCGCACCACCGTAGCTCCAGGGCGGAAAGGAAAATAGTGGGCCCCGGTTCTTGTGCTGCTGCCATAAGTGTAAGTCTACGTCCTCTGCCAATTTCACCATCTGGCTGGAGGCATTCCAATTTCAAGAGCACTTTCTAGCTCCTTTCTTCGTTCTTTCTTGAACTTGGAGCTACTCAACTTTTTTCTTCTTCAAGCCGGTTTTCCTCTTGTCACATCCGCGGCACTACAGGCTCTACAGCAACATCGTTGCCATTCCTTTGGCATCCCTTACATTTTCTGCCCCTTACTTTTCCTTTTTCTTCCACTCGTCTTTCTATCTTTTTTACGCGATTGATAATTCAGATACCCTCGCAGAAAACATGACGGCCGATATGGAGAAACAAGCTCTTTCCTTGAATACATCGTCGCCTGAGTCGACAACAAACCACGAGAAGACCCACGAGAAGCCCGACGAGAAGAACGAAAAAGGCTCTGGGGGTTTCTTGGTAAGAATAGGCCACTGGAAAATTGCTTGCAGTATTTGAATTTATCGAGATTCAGGTAACTGATGATGTGGATTACAGAGAGTCTTTACTTATGGAGAACCCATCGACTATGTCCTTGAGTTCATCGCCGTTCTCGCCGCCCTTGGCTCAGGTGTTGCTCTAGCAATGATGAATCTCATCATTGGTGAACTGATGAACGTCATGAGTGACCCTACACTCATCGCCACTGACCCCAACAAGTTCATGTCCATCGTCAGTAGGAATGCGTAAGAATCTCTACACCCAATATCCGCGCTGCACAGCATTCGCTGATAAATCTTCATAGGCTGTACTTTGTCTACATAGGTATTGCTCGTTTTGCCACGACTTATATCTACTCGTCGCTCTTTACATACGTCGCTTTTAAGCTGACCCGCAACCTTCGACGCTCCTATCTTCGAGCCGCTTTAAGTCAAGAGATTAGCTTCTTCGACCACGGCACCGCTGGCTCCATTGCCATGCAAGCAACAACCAACGGAAAGCTAATCCAGTCGGGAATCGCCGAGAAGCTTGGTCTCTTCTTCTCCTCCATTGCCACGTTCATCGCCGCCTTTATAATTGCTTTCGTCAGCCAGTGGAAGCTCACCTTGATCATTATCGGTGTTTTGCCAGCCATGATGATTGTTATGGGAGTATTGGCAGGAATGGACTCCGGTCTTGAGACTAAGATCTTGCAAATCAATAGTCAAGCTGGAACATACGCTGAGAGTGCCCTGGGAAGCACTCGAGCCATCAAGGCATTCAACCTTGAGTCTCGAATCATGCATAAGTATGGCTCATACCTCAACAATTCCCGACAGCTGGGCATCAAGAAAAATCCCATTTATGGGGTATTGTTTGGCTGGCAATACTTTCTCATATACGCATGCATGGGTTTGGCATTCTGGCAAGGAATTGCAATGATTGCCCGTGGGGAGGTGGATGGCATCGGCACAATATTCACGTGAGTTTTCACACCTTGTTGCGCCGCTGGGCTTGGGCCATTGTTGGTTGTTGTCTTTGCTAACTAACTCTTTCATAGCGTGCTCTTCTCGGTCATCATCTCTTCGACTTCGATCAATGGTGTGGCTCCTCATATCATGTCATTTACCCGCGCTGCTACTGCTGCCTCTGAGCTATTTGTCTTGATTGACAGAAAATCTCAAATCGATCCCTTCGATGAATCCGGCCAAATACCCAATGACGTGCCAGGCCACATTGAAATCGAAGGCCTCAACTTCAGTTACCCCACTCGTCCGGATGTTAAAGTCCTGGAAGACTTCTCACTGCGCATCCCCGCTGGCAAAGTCACTGCTCTCGTTGTATGTTAACAGTTGTTTTTTGATCATTTGATGCGCAGGTTCTGACATACACATTTAGGGTCCCAGCGGATCCGGTAAAAGTACTATAATCGGCCTTTTGGAAAGGTGGTATAACCCTGCGTCCGGCACGATCAAACTCGATGGAGCCAGGATCAGTAGTTTGAGCCTTGGTTGGCTGCGCACGACGATGCGGTTAGTCCAACAGGTAAGTGTCCCAGCTGGAAACTCTACGTTTCTAAGGAAATTGAGTAACACTAACACCTAAACAGGAGCCAGTTCTTTTCAACGGTACAGTCTTCGAGAACATTGTCAACGGCCTTGTCGGTACTCCTTGGGAGAAAGCCTCACGTGAAGATCAGCTTCAGCGTGTCCAACAAGCTGCCAAGCTCGCATTCGCCGATGATTTCATCGTTAAACTCCCGCAGGGATACGATACACGTATTGGTGAGCGAGGCGGTCTTTTGTCTGGTGGTCAAAAGCAGCGTATCGCTATCGCGCGCAGCGTCATCTCCGAGCCAAAAATCCTCCTCCTCGACGAGGCAACTAGTGCTTTGGATCCCCATGCTGAGGGTGTCGTACAACAGGCGTTGGATAGTGCTGCAAGAAATAGGACAACCGTCGTGATCGCTCACAAGCTCGCCACCATCCGCAATGCAGACAATATTGTGGTCATGTCCAAGGGCAAGATCGTTGAACAAGGGAAACACGATGAGCTGGTGGCCATGAATGGCACTTATGCAAAATTAGTCAAAGCGCAGGATCTCTCCGTCGAAAGCCAAGAGAAAATGGACCAGAGCTCTGACGACGAATCAGCCGATGCAGCAGAACCCATCCAATCCCTTGCCAAGTACGACACTGCAGTTGCACAGGGACTCTTATCGCTCAAGGACAAGGAAGACTACAGCCTTTACAAACAGACGGGACTTATCCACACTGTTTCCAAGTTGGTTCGCGCAACGCCAGAGATCAGGATATGGTACATACTTGCATTCATCACTTGCATACTTGGAGGTTAGTTGATTCCAACGAAACGTGTCTTGAGTACAAGCTAATTCAAAATTCCAGCTGCGGTTTACCCTGGGCAGGCTCTGCTCTTGTCCAAAGTCATGGAAGTCTTCAGTGGCAACGACATGGTCAAGCGCGGCAATTTCATTTCGCTCATGTATTTTGTCATGGCTTTGGGCACCTTCATTGCTTACTTTGTCATGGGATGGACGACGAACGTCATTGCTCAGGTGAGTTCCTCTAGAAACCTCGTTTAACTTGGGTATATACTAACCCAATTTCCCACTGTAGACTCTGAGCCAAAAGATTCGCAGGGGCCTTATGAGGGGAATGCTCAGACAAGACCTTCGGTTTTTCGACCGTGAGGAGAATACGGTTGGCGCGCTTACCAGCCGGATCGATTCTCATGCACAAGCCATTCTCGAGCTCATGGGATTCAATGTTGCCTTTGCGGTTCTAGCATTTATCAATGTTATTGCCTGCAGCATTCTTGCCATTGTCATCTCTTGGAAGTTGGGTCTTGTGGGAGTCTTCGCTGGCATGCCCCCTCTATTGCTGTCTGGCTTCGCCCGCATTCGTATCGAAACGAAGATGGATTCCGACATCGACAAGAAGTTTTCGAAGAGTGCTTCGATGGCCTCTGAAACAGTTAACGCCATTCGCACGGTCTCATCTTTGGCGATTGAGAAAGGCGTTCTGGAGAGATACACCAATGAGCTGGATACTGCGATTTCGACTTCGACTGCACCCCTTTTCAACATGATGATTTGGTTTTCTCTGACACAGTCAATCGAGTTCTTTATCCTTGCACTCGGCTTTTGGTAAGCATTCAAATAACTCTTGACTTGACGGTTTCAGTCAATACTAAGACTTTTAGGTGGGGATCGCGTCTCGCTGCCGACGGGGAAATCACCTTTGCCCAATTCATCGTCGCATTTATGGGTGTTTTTTTCTCAGGCCAAGCCGCGGGAATGATTTTCAGTTTCTCAAGCAGTGAGTCATCATCAGGCGCAATTTGATTTACAGTTTCTGACGAAATGAAACTTTAGGCTTTACGAAGGCAAATGCTGCCGCCAACTACTATTTCTGGTTAACTGCCCTGGAACCAACTGTTCAGGACACTGATGAAAATCGAGAGAAGGGGCCCGCGGACGGCTGCAGCTCCATCGATTTCATCAATGTTCAGTTTTCATACCCATTGGCACCAGATGCTCGGGTGCTCAAGGGTATTTCACTCAAGGTAGGTACTCCTTATCAACAACAGACGAGCAGCTTGCCTAATACACCACCAGATTGATCGCGGCCAATTCGTCGCTTTTGTTGGTGCTTCCGGCTGCGGAAAAAGTACAATGATCTCTCTTCTTGAACGGTTCTACGACCCAGTCAGCGGCTCAATCGTAATCGACGGCTCAGCGCCTCTTACGGATATCAGCCCACGCAGCTACCGCAGCAAGTTGGCTCTTGTACAGCAAGAACCAACACTGTTCCCTGGTACTATTCGAGAGAATATCGCAGCGGGTATGGATGTTGGCCCTGAAGAGCAGGCTGCAGTCAAGGATGATTTGATAGAAGCAGCATGCCGCGCTGCCAATGCATGGGACTTTGTCAGCTCTCTTCCCGAAGGTCTCAACACTCCATGCGGACAAGGCGGCAGCCAGCTCTCAGGTGGCCAAAGGCAACGCATTGCCATTGCTCGTGCTCTCATCCGCAATCCTAGTGTCATTCTCCTGGACGAAGCAACGAGCGCCCTAGACACCGAGTCTGAAAGGGTAGTCCAAAAAGCACTGATGGAAGCGGCAAACTCTGGAGACCGTATCACCATCGCCGTAGCCCACCGATTGTCGACCATTCGTGACGCAGACCGAATCTGCGTCTTTTTCGGCGGCCGTATTGTTGAGACTGGAACGCATAACGAGCTTATTGAGCAGGGTGGAATTTACAAGAAGATGTGTGAGGCACAGAGCCTGGACAATGCGGCATAGATTATGAAGGCGGCCACAAATCCGGTTCGATCATAGATACCCATTGGTTGGTGGCTGTGCCATTTCCTTTTTTTGTCTCCTGGGGTTTGACCAGGGAATAATGATGTTTTAATTATTAGTAAACTTAGACTTAGACTTAGATGCTAAAAGCAATTTGTTTTCTTTTCCACTTCCCTCTTTTCTCCATGTCCTAATGGGAGGTGTGCCATTTATCGCGAAGCCAAGCTGAGCGTCTCATATGAGCTCTCTCGATCTGGCTGAGATTCTGTTTTGTCAGCCACCACTGTTGATATCGTAATCAATTACATTAAGGAAAGGCTTTAAGGTAGCTACTAAGAGTCCAAAGAAAAAAATTAAACGAAAACTTTTAGGCCTGGGTACAAAGTGCAATTGAATCATACTGGCTGTGGCTCTGACGGAAACAATCACCATGTGTAGCGGGTCCGCAAACGGGTCTCATCGTAGTTGATGCCCCACCGGAGCCAGTGACGCCGACCTCCGACTCCACCTAAATTTTCGAGCTTCACTTCATCCCACCTACCTCAAGCAGCAAGGCAATACGAGACGCCTTTCGACCTCAAGACCTCAATTTGTAGAGCCTAGTTGTCGTAAATTTGGTCACAAATCCACGAAGAAATGGCCACTTCAAAGGGCCTTCCCCGCGACACCTTCGCAAAGCTCTCCCCACACCCATTTCTTCTTGCCAACCTGCAACCTCCTGCACCTGCCAACGCAGCTCGCAGCAACGGCCGCGCCCCGGACGAGGCCCGCGTCCCCAATATCAACACCTCTTCTCTCACGCACGCCAATGGCAGCGCCGTTGTCCGTACTGGTGATACCACCGTCATCTGCGGCGTTCGCGCAGAGACAATCCTCGCCTCCGACATCCCCAACTTCCGCCGCCACAACGCTCTCAGCGCAACCGAGACAGACGGCGCAGCGGAACTGAAGGACTATGACCTCCTCGTGCCTAACATAGAGCTTGCTACTGGTTGTGCGCCGCAATTTCTCCCCGGCGTTCCCCCGACGACGCTCGCGCAGACGCTGAGTACGCGGGTTTACTCACTGCTGCACTCTTCCAAGCTTGTCGACGCGGAGGATCTGAGGATATGGTACAGACGGCCCGCTGAGAACGCAGCTGAAGATGACGACGAGGACAAGATGGAGGATGATGAGGAAAATTCGGATGGCGAGAAGGTTGTGATTGCGTATTGGGTCCTTTACATTGACATATTTTTCATCTCATTCGACGGCAACCCGTTCGACGTCGCCTGGGCCGCCGTCCTTGCCGCTCTCCACGACACCACCATTCCCAGTGCTCGCTGGGACCCCGACCGCGAGATGGTAATCTGCTCTCGCGATGAGCCCAAGTCTTTGACTCTGCATGGCTTCCCCGTTGCTTGCACAGCAGGCGTGTTCACAGGCAAGGAGACAACCGACAAGCCCGTAGAAGGCAAGTTCTGGACTTTGGTCGACCCTGATACATTGGAGGAGGGACTCTGCGACGAAGAAGTTACGGCGGTGGTGGATCGAAGCGGAGGAGAGACCAAGATTCTTTCGATATCGAAGCACGGCGGCACGGCGCTGCAACCGCAGTTGATACGGGAGTATGTGGGCGTTGCGGAGCGGAGGTGGGAGCAGATCAAGCAGGCTATGGCATGAAGATAATGATACCCGGTAAAGGAAACATAAATCAAACCTTTTAGGGGGGTTCTTCCCCTGATTGTACTCCAATAACGGGGCAAACAAGCAAGCAAGCAGGTCCTTGAAAATTGTCGTGAGCTTTGTTGACTCGTCTGCTTGTTTTCATTACACGTTCTGGCAAACGTGCGGCTCAGTGAGAAGGCAAGCGCATAGCTACATACTCACGCCTCACCTATCCTCATCTCTGTCTCGCCCAAACGATCTTTCAATTCTTTCCCAAAGACCATAATCACAAATTCCATGTACCTCACAAGAGTTTCACAAAACAGCAAACAAAACCCGCCACCTCCCCGTCAAGTATTCAATATGGCAGACTACACCCAGAGACTCGCAGAGGCTACGAAGGAGGAGCTTCTGCAGACTATCCACGCCGTCATCGGTGCGAATGGTACGGCTCGAAGTCATGTCTTCAGCGTCATGGACTATCTCGACGCTCAAAAGACGCAGCAGTACAGTGCCAATCGCCGCACTAGCCGCTCGTCCACTCGCAAGGGCTCGCAAGACTCGGCCATTCATCTTCACCCTCTTCTACGAGAAGTTGTCGAGGACATGAACCGGGACATCAAAATCTGTATGACTTGTTCAAAGGCTTTCGAGGAGAAGAATAACAACGAGGAATCGTGCCGCCGTCACACTGGTATGTATCTATGTCCTCAAGTCGCCAGGATGGATGGCTTGCTCATGGTTGTTGATGGAACAGGTCACTGGCTCATTGAGATTGAGGATTCCGAACATATCCAGTTCGTGCGTGCCAGCGACGCGCCTAAAGCTATCAAAGATAATAAGAGCCTGCCGTGGATCATGTCCTGCTGCTGCAACACCAAGCAGGACCTCGGCGAGGGCTGCGTTCGCGCCAAGCACATCGCGGTCATGGCAGAGGACACCGGCGGTGATACCTCGAAGAACTGATTGCACTGCTATGCGATACGATGAGATATAATGATACCCTTGTGCGGCAGTTTTGGGAGGTTCTTGAAGGCTGTATGTGCCATGCCTAAACACGTTTTGGTATAATTGGAGAAGCCTCAGAGAAATGGGCGACGATACAGCTAGCTGCGGCAGCATAACGTGGCAAGTAGCAGCCGACGAATGAGATGTGGACAGGAGACAGTGAGCGTCTTCTCATTTATGTAGACAGACAGAACACGTTCCGTTGGTCACTTGATACCAGACCATCCTTCTACAATCAATCACATGTGCATGCGGTGAAAAATATGTATTCCACAATTCGAGCCACCTTTTCAGACGTTATTCCAAGGCAGTAGATACTAGGGAACAATATCAGTCTACCGCCCGGCGGCGAGGAAGCCTAATGAAAGGCCCTCAAGAGCTGCAAATCTACTGAGAAATACGATTCGCGGCTGGGTTACCGGGCGGATGGTTGTAAAAGAGAAGAAAAGGAAAATATCGCGGCCCACCGCGCCAGAGATTTTGTGTGGGTGGTGTACCGTGCGAGCATACAGTTTGGGTGTGTTCCTCGCACACAAGAGCCTCCAGTTTCCCCACCGGGCCCCCATCGTCAATCTTTCTTCCTTTTCAACCTCACTTCCCTCGAAAACCTTTTCCTCTCTTCTCTCTCTGACTTGCATCTACAGTCAGTATGGATTCGCTGGCCGAGAATACGTGGGATGTCATCATCCACGGAACTGGCCTGCAGCAATCACTGCTAGCCTTGTAAGCTTTCTTTTTCCCTCTTCTTTCTCCGCTCCACGCGCACGTCGTCGTTGCTTTGGCACATCTCCCAAAAGCCTCGATCTGACTGACGCAGCCCTCTTTGGCCGTAAAGAGCCCTGTCCCGCTCAGGAAAGCAAATCCTGCACCTCGATCCCAACGAGTACTATGGCGGTCCCGAAGCGGCCTTCAGCCTTCAGGAGATGGAGGAGTGGGTAGCTGCCCACGCCGACAACTCGGGCAAGGTTTTCTCTTCAGCGAGTCTCACCAAACCCGAGACGGCAGGTCAAGGAATATCCTCCCCTCGAGCATACTCCCTTGCGCTGGCACCGCAAATCGTGCACACCCGTTCGGCGCTAGTCACCCAGCTTGTCGACTCCCGCGCGTACCGGCAGATAGAGTTTATGGCCGTTGGGTCATTCTTTATCTATACAGTTGCCGGAGATGCTGCATCGATCGTGCCCATCCCCTCGACTCGCGAGGCTGTCTTTTCTACGACTGCGATACCGGCTAGGTCGAAGCGCGCCCTGATGAAGTTCCTGAAGTTCGTCTTGGATTACGATTCTGAGGATCACCGGGCAACATGGACACCACATGCGGATAAACCCCTTGCGGAGTTCCTGTCCACCGAGTTCAAGCTTGACGCTGCGCTGCAGACCTACATTGTTACCCTTACCCTCTCACTCGACGGCAAGATATCAACTGCAGCTGGCTTGGCCGCGATTCATCGGCATCTATCATCGATGGGCGCCTTTGGGCCTGGCTTTGCAGCGGTTTATCCCAAATGGGGCGGCCTCTCTGAAATTGCTCAGGTTGGCTGCCGTGCGTGCGCTGTTGGAGGAGCGATATACATGCTGGGCACTGGTATGAAAGCCACGCGCCCATTGGATGATCAGGAAGATGGCGCACGCTTCGAGGTAGACTTGACCAGCGATATTACGGTGAAAGCCCGTTCGTTGGTCCGAGGAACTGAGACAGTGTCTTCTGATGATCAGCGTGTGAGCCGGTTGACTGCTGTCGTCAACTCGCCGCTCCCGTCTCTCTTCCAGGCAGCTGTTGAAGGAGCACCGACACCTGCCGTTGCGGTTATTGCATTCCCTGCCGAGTCCGTCCAGGACGTCGCGTCGCCGTACCCGATATACGTCTTTGCTCACTCGAGCGAGACGGGTGAATGCCCATCCGGTCAGAGTAAGTCTACACTTTCCTTTCCTAGAACTACTGTACATGATGATTTGTCAAATCTTATCTACATTGCCTGAGCTTTTGCTTCGACGAAAACTTCTTTATGACCCTGATCGTACACCTGTTTCTTATACTGTTGTCTTTGCACATAAATATGGAAACTTATCTCTAACGAACCCTCGTTTAGGTGTACTCTACTTCGTCACACCGAAGTCAGCAACCTCTGCTGAAGCCTTGCAAAAGGCTTTAGACTCTCTCCTGGCATCTCTTGCGGACGGTGAAAACCAACCGCAGACCATTTACAAGGTTGCTTATCAACAAGCTCGCCCGACTGCGTCGGCGCCTGCTGATGATGTGCTCTACGTTCCCAGCCTCCCACTCGACCTCGCCTTTAGTGATTCAGCACTCGAGTCGGTCAGGGACACCTGGTGGAAAATCATGGGACCCGTAGCCGATGACCCCGACGTGCAGTACATGAAGTTTGAGGATCGAGAGGGTGTTGGCGATGAGGATGACGACGAGTAGATATCTAGTAGCTTTGTCTGTTGTACGAAGTAATGATAACTCATGACATGATCATTAATGGCACAAACTTTCTAAAAAGCAAATGTATTCTTTGTGAAGCTAGCTAATGTGTCTGGATCGTAAAGCAAAGTGTATGTGATCCCTTCGGAGGGATATAATGCAAATCCCCGCCATCAAATCATCCCCCCCCCTGAAAATGTTTCTCGGCTCCCAATCTCTCGAGATCCCCATTTTGATTAAACGCTTCCGTGTCTTGCGTTCTGAAGGGAAACAATCAAATGCAGTGCGAAAAAAAACAAACGCAGAAAAGAAAAAGAAGGGGAAAAAACCACCTTAAATCGAAGCAAACAATCCCGATCTCAACTTTTGAAAGCAAGCCGCATCATGTCAAACACAACGCCGCAAATGATCCCCAAATAACCGTGTGTTATGTCTTCAATTCGTGTTGTCCAGTTGCGCCGTCATGTCAATTCCAACCCGAATTGTTCCGAAAGGCTCCAGCCTCTCAACGTCTTGCTCGACCTTGATCACATTCTTTGTTGCTAGGGAAAGTATGTGGTAGAACGCCTGCGCTGCGACAACGTGATTCTGCTGTCCAGGCGGGACCAGGCTCTCGAATGCGACCCACCTGCGGTTCTCGTTCGAGTCTCCTTCCTTGATGTAGCCTGTTGTTTTGGTCTCTTCTTCTGTCCAGCGCAGAAACTCTTGGCTTGCAGTATCCATTGCCGACCGGGACCAGTGCGTTTCATCCTGATTCTGCTGCTGCCCAATATCGAGCAAGGCCGCGGGGACTAGTTCACCAAGGCCCTCGGCGCCTGGAAACTGAATAAGGTCGGCTGCTATATCACCATCGGGAACGTCTCGGAGCGGCTCGAACGGCGGAATGCTACTTCCACGCATACTTAGCTGACGGCCGCCTTGCTGTGAGTTGGGGCCGATTGAGGAACCTCTGCCGACCGAGGGGGTGTGGTTCCAGGGCATGAGAGAAGATGACATGTGGTCAGCTAGGGGTTGTGCAGCCTCCATACCTATCTCAGGCATTGATTCATCGTTGAGAAGTAGATCAAAGTCAAGCACATCGTCCATGGAGCGGCCTTGCTGTGGTGTCTCCTCGAGTTTAGGTCGAACTTTGCGCTCCTGCTCCTCTTCGCCAAAGGCTTCTTCCGAGCTTCGTTGACGTCTTCTTCTAGAACCTCCAGGTGAAGAAGTGCTGGAATTGTGGCCTTGATCTAAGGAAGGTCCCCAGATACGATCACGAAGGCCATTCCCTGCATAGGTTTGAGCAAGCGGATAAGTGACTCCAGTAACACCCCGTAAATCGCCGACATTGTTGATCCCACGTCCAAGGACAATCTGGTAGGCATATGCTCTCGCTTGCGCACGGGTACTTCTCTTCCGCTTGCTTCTGGCAGCTGCAGCATTCTCCAGGTAATCCTGGTCCCAAGATTTGAGAGAACTGCGGGCAATTGTGGTTCTGCCACGGTCAAGCATGAGTACACGACGGCCTCGCTTGGCAACAGGTGCAACCGCCTTGGGAATTCTGGCCTGTTCAGGTGACCGTACAGACTGCAAGGCTTCCTCTTCTTGGGGTCCAGCAACGTCATTTCCTACCATAGGAACATCGTCATCCTGGTTAAATGCGATTTGGTCTTGCTCGTTCTGGGGAAGCTCTTGTGACTGCTGCTGATCTTGTATCTGCACGCTGTCTTCTGTCAAATCTGTTCCGGGAAGGACTGGTAATTCCAGATCATCATCTATGAGTTCTCCATTCAGACCGACACTCATATGGAGGCCACCATCATCATCTAAAATACCGAAGGGATCCATGTGCATGTCCATATCGAGGTCGTCCCGTGTTTTTGGGAGGAAAGTGTTGGCTGCAGATCCATGAATGTGCGGTGACGGGAACTGGAAGCCGGCGTTTGGAGAGGAGGATTGCGAAAGGTCTAGATGAATCGGTAGAGCGGGACTCGCGAAGTCGAGAATCGATGGGCTTGGGAAGGGACTAAGCTGGGATTGAGACTTCTTGCCTCCAGACGATAGAAATGGCTGGCTAGGGAAGAGCGATTCTCCACTGTCAAGTTTGAATTCGGGGATTTTGTTGGACAGAATAAAACGCGGGTCATCGCTCAATGTGATCTGTTCACGTCTATATCAAGTTAGCAGAAAACTCAGGTATGTTCTAGAGGGAGAGCAACTACCTGGTCTTGCCGGCTTTTGTGTCGATTCCACTGTCACCATAGACAACGACCATGGTCTTCATTGTCTCTCGAATTTTCTCGCTGTCGTTGAGGGTGTAATGACACTGACGGGAATAAACACAAGTCACCCCGTACAGCAGATTGCTTTGAAGACGTAAGGATATCGGCGGGCCCGGATCCATGATCTTGTCACAAGCCCTTGGGATGTTGACATCATCGATGGCTTTCCGGGAGAGCCTTCGCACGCCACCTTTGGGCCCGAAGTTCGCGACATGCCTTGTCAAACATAAGCTTAAGACTTTGAGAAACAATAGATGATGATAAGCCTCACCAAATTGTCGCGACGCCGTACTGCTTGCTGGCGAGTACTAGCTGGCGGTTAGATGAGCCGAGGAAGGAGATCTCAGAGGGTTGACTGACTCTCGTGACTGTAAAACATGATGAAGTCAACGACCAAGTACAACGCCTTTGAGGCAATTCAGTAATTTCTTGGCAGTTGAGTTTCATGGGACAACAAGTGTGCCGTCTCGCAGAAGTTGATGGCGGTGGTTGTGCTGAGATGAGGAAGGAAGCGGCGAGTTGAGGGTTGAAGGACGTAAAGGAGCTGCCAACCTAAGAAGTACCATTAACTTGCAGAAAGCAGGCACCTTCTAAGTTAGTTTACCGCCAACCATGTCTCCTTCCAAATCTACGACCAGAGCTACTGAGCTTCGACGCATTGTTCAGTCAGTAATTCTACCTTGCCAGTGATTGAATAATTCTTCCCAACAGTGACGAAAAATATTTCCATTTCCTTATGTTTAACATTGCATGCTTGCCTTCATGTTTTACATTAGTGAAGAGCCAACCTTCTGTCTACTGATACCAAACAGAACTTTGACATCCTGAAACTCTTCCAACAGCCCGCAAAGAAAGGATCTGTAGTAGACAAAATCCAAGTACCATCAGGAAGCTTCTAGACTGCAGCAATGACAATTATATCACAAGTTACACGCCTGCACTCCACAAACTGAGCATAATGATCAACACATCAGATAACTTTTCGCATTTCCACTTAAGTAGAGAAACTTAGGCTACTTTCAGCCTGGATTAACTCCTGTCTATGGCCTTAAGAAGACGTGTTATGTGAATGCTAAATCACACTTATTTTCTAATCTCAGCAGTCTGGTGTTGCAAATCTGAAAAAACCACAGGTGTATATTCCCATGCCGTCAATCTCAGGATTGGTACTCTTGAAGATGCGGTCGTTGTCTTGGCATGGTTGGAGAGGCATGGTGGTCTTGCTATTGCCAAAGGAAAGAAGACTGATTTCATTACCCTCAAGGTATTCTTCAACAACAACAACAGCAACAACGGAGGACTTGGCAGATGAATATAGCCTCTTAACCGTAATGTTTTCCAGATCATCGAACACATCTTCTTTGCTTGTAAGGAAACGCCCTTGCCCCAAGTGAGACCTCTCTTCTTAATGACGACCTTATTTCCACAGTGTTAGCATAAACCTTGGCACAAGCAATATCGTCAAGGAAGTTTTGTGCAGCATTTAGAACGCCACAGTAACTCTTGATGTCTTGTGCGAAAACCTTTGAACCACAATTTTTGATGCTTCCTTTGCAAGTATGAAACAGGAAATCCCACCCAAAAGCCGTTTTCCCCAAGTGAATGTTTTAAAGAAAACGAGTATAGCTCAGACTTGCTACCCTCGGAAAGCTTTCCATGCCACCAACCACGGCATCGATATGACCAATCACAGAAAGACCCATGGCAAGGGCGTGGGGCAATGGCACTAGTCCAGTGTAATGTGCAATGTCTATAGATCTTGGAGGCAATGAGCAAAATCTCTGATAGTCATATTGGGGGAAAATATGGGTCGAACAGCTCGCCTTTACCCAACACATCTTTGTCTCTGGTCAATCCTTAGATCAAACATAGTACGTGTAGCTTCCTAGATTTAGTCTTACCCCAGGCGCGACATGGATTTCCACATGCCCATTCCTTTAGTGTCTGTTCTCAACTTTTCGTACAACAAAGGTATCTAAATAATAGTTCTCGACGCTTACGGTGATTTTCAGGTCATCTATTCGAAACATTTCCTCGGTGTCCACCTTGCCGCCCGCATCGTCAAAACTGCGACGAACCACGATGCCTTGAACTGCTTCTCATGCCATCAGCTGGGTGACTGTCTTCAATCATCCTTTCACTCCCTTCTACGCGAAGTCGATCATCGATGCCGAAGGCCAGGAGGAATATAGAAGCATAAGATGAGGTGGTCAACCCGGTGGGCCTTGACGAAATTATCAAGTTCGTGGGAGTCAAGCGGTTCAATGAAGGAACGCAGTTCTCGTGTTTGATGGCAAACGTAACAGTGCTTCCAGCTTTTTGGAACACAGGAGATCTTATTTACGCAAGAGAACTTACTGAGACACCTGCAAAAGAGCGTGATCTCTTGTACGTCACCGATGGGGAGTACCTAAGCTTGTTATTACCCATCGATCCTTGACAGAATAGGGGGCTACTATAGGTACTAGAAGACACAGAAGCATTGCAAATGAACGAAGTTAAATCATTGTTTGCCATGATTTTTTTAAGACTGAAAAATATACTGACAATAGTAATTCACCAAGATGGGAGCTTACAAATGTGGCTCAATAGAACACTGAAGCAAATTCCTTTGGTAGACATGACCAAGGCACTTCATCCCAGCAATCGCCCGTGAGACTAGCGCTTCGACAAACACTTATTTTCCTATTTGTTTTTGGGCCCACGTGCTTCCCCTCCTGGACTACGAGTATCTATATGAAGGTGACGAGTTCGGTTAGGTGATTGCACTCGAACAGCAGGGTGCGTTGCCGTCAGAGAGCCGAGGGGCGTAGCACATGCGTGTCTCTCTCTACAATCAAGCACTGGCCAGGCCGTCTAATTAGATGGTTCAGATATTCTATATCTAAAACGATCAGCCTTAATTGTTGATGGCATTCTCGCGCTCTGGTAGCCGCGAAAACACGTTCCGTATCACCCAACAGTTTGGGAAATTATTTGCCTGTTTGTCCAGATGAGGAGGGGCAGGAAAGTTCAGCCGCATTTTAAAAAAAACAAACACACTAGCCACTCGTTCCGCGGATGATGGTGGAGGACGTCAGCGGTGATTTTAGTCTTTTCCCTCCCTACACAAACCCCTGTGGTGAGAAGCTTCATCCTAAAAGGCTAAAATGGTTAGGTAGTTCGTATATAAGCTGCAGATTCCCAACTGTGACCTGACCTCCACACATTGTTACCTTTCAGGAATCGTTCTCCGTTTGCACCGGTGATCACCTCTTTCTGATCCGTTATTAGTTACAATGGTCAACCTCTGGGGTATCGTTACTCTTGGCCTCGCGGCGAGCGCTGCAGCTTCGCCTGCCGCCTTCAATGCCGTAGTAGGCCAGTCTGACCCCGGCCGTCCTGGAAAAGGCAACAACTCGCCGGACTGCGGCAAATACAACTTCGTTTTCACGTAAGAGATCGATATAACACATTGTGTATCTTCCCAGTACCTACCTCATACTGACGTCTTGCTCTGGATAGCGGCTTGCCATGGAACCACCCTGGTGTAGCGGCAAGCGGTTTCACTTCCCAGCAGGCTGAGGCTGGCCTCCGGTCAGACATGGCGGCCATCGCGCAGGCCGGTTACAACATCAAGGGTGATCCTCCTCACTGCACATACCCTTGAGGTATTGCTGACATGTATCGATTTAGCTATCCTTACTGGGCCTGAGGATGATTTGAGCTTCATCTCCAAGGAACTGAAGGGTGTAAGCTGGACTGGAGTTGGTGTGGGATTTGGCGTCCGAGGAAACCCTTCACCACTGATCACGCGTCGACTCATGGGTAGGTTAACCCCTCCATCTGCTTGTGAACGCATCCTTACACGCTTGACATATAGACATTCTTCAATTGTATCGCGACGAGGCATCTTGTGCTCGGATTCTGTTCAATTACTCACCCACTACGTCCCTCTGGGCTATTCAGCAGTACTTTCCGCTCCAGACGAACTGCACAGACAGCCCCGGCAAGAGTTTGGTAAGTGATATTGAATTTGTTCTTGTAATAGATGTTGATATGAGCTTTAGGGTATCGCCATTCGCTGTAAAGCCTGCAATCCTCCAGTTTAGGCGTCAATAATATCTGACAGAGGTCCGGTGCTCTTGAGAGGGTTACAATCGGCAATGGTACCGGGCTGAGAGCAGAGTAAGTGGAACGGAAAGGCTTATGGAAGCACTAATCATAGCCTAAATGACGGAGTCGTCAATGCTGTAATATGCCTATGTGGCCATCTTTTTGTTCGTCTTATCGCTAGGTATTTGTGTATTCTCATTGCAAGAAGAGCTCCCAAAGCGGGTTCCCACAGTATTGTTCAATTAGCTGTCAGTATCCGGTTTTGTCATCCGGCTATTGTCATCTCCTTTAGGGGAGAACAATGCTATCATCGAAGCAGTCGACCTACTTTGACCAGTGCACATGTTGACTCTGCTGAAGGACACAATCATCCTCGATTCTTCAATTCCCATATGTACATTACTGTGCTTACACGAAGATTCAGATGTCAGGCAATCCAAAACTCTTAACAAAGATGTGGGTATTCACCATGGCAATAGCAAATGAAGTCGAATAGATAGAGACAGTGGCTAGACGATGCTCTTCCCCGTAGTGCCATTGGAGTTTGACAACCTGCTTGCTCTGTATTTTGGCTTCTTCATTATTGATACACCTTAGCAAGGAATAGACTTTCCAGTATCGTTGAATTGAATCGTGTTATCAGGTTCTACCACATTTGATGTTCGCTGTTCGCTCTACGAGACAAGACCTGCAAAGCAGCCTCAGCCGGTCGGCAACAAGAATGCGACATACCATGCAGGTCGAAGTGGGATGAGGCCTCGCCTGAACTAGTAGTATTATTCACAGTTTTCTCAAGAAGCTTCAGTGAAAAGGATGTTTGATATTTTGGCATGCATTGTTGTTGAAACTGACGTATCAACGAGGACTCAATACTTGTCCGAGTCACTTGTTTCAGCATACTTGTTGAACCATCACATACCCTTCAGCACAACCGAGGAGCCTAGAGAAGAACATGTCATGAAATATTAGGATCATGTCAAACAAAAAAGTCAAAAGTCAAAACATCACTAAGGCCAGCCGCAAACACAATGCGCTCACTGTAAACGTAAAAGTCATTTGATACCTGCGCTTTTGTACCCCGGAACCTACCGGGGAATCCATGCCAGATGTGTATACTACAGTTACAAGTTCTAGACACCCAGTAATAGAGAAAATCCAGACCTCGTTCTCGTCTTTTTCTATTCGAGTATCATAAGTACTTTGATCAAACCTCCACAACACGCAACCGTCATTTTTAAAGGCTATTCCACCACTATACGTCATTGCAATTTACTGCGTCTTCTTGGCCTGTCCCGCGGCAGCCGTAGGCGCGCTGTACATCCACAGAGCAGAGAACAGCACGAAGCCGGTGACGGTGGCGAAGATACCGCTCAACCACGGCCAGGCGCCAGAGATGACGTATGAACGCGGCCACTCGTCGTGAGCCATGTGGCGGACAGAAACGGTGTTCTTCTCCTCGAGGTTGGTAAGGAAAGGACGCTTGTAGTTGACCTTGAAGTTGAAAATGCCATGCTGGTCGGGGAGCACGAAGGAGACGGTGTAAGTAGACTCGTCGGCGGTGCTAGCCTTAGGAGAGAGCTTGAGGCGGTGGAAGGGGGAGAGCATGCTGAACTCAAGCTGCAGTTCATCGTCGGAGGGAACGGTGAAAGGGGTCCACTTGTCCCAGGAGTACTCAGAGAGAGAGATAGAGTAGGTCTACCCAGTCAGTTATTCAGTCTTCCAATGTCATATAATCCGGAAATAGGTTACTCACCACATCGTTCTTGACACGGTAAATCTCGGGGTTGGTGTCGTTAGCAGCCTCGTTGAGGTGGTGCTCAATCTCGTTGGTTCGCAGAACACCAATCTCCTTGAAAGTCCAGCCAGAGACTCTCTTCGCGAACTCACGGTTCCAGGTCTTGACCTCCTTCGCAGCACCAGCAGGCTTGATCTTGGCATCGAACCACTTGTTGCGAAACAGCTCAGCAGATCCAACAACGGTGAAACGAGCGCTGTTGCGAGCCTGGAAAACAGAGACGAGCGAAAGCTGCTCGCCCGCAGCGAAAAGATCAGATGCATCAACAACCTCAGACTGCTCCTTGGGGTTGTAGCTGTACGCAGTCTTGGGCGCACGCAGGATGGGCGTAAGAAGTTGGCCAGAACCAAGAATGTGTCCGACGGTGTTGGGGAGAGCAAGAACCTCACCCTCCTGGGAGAAGTAGGTCTTCAAACCGGCACGGAGCTGCTTGGGTGCGGGGAGGGCCAGTACGTCGTGCTTCTCGGGAGCGCTAAGGGCATCGTAGTTGAAGTGGTCGACAACAAGACCGGTGCGGTCGGCGGGGAGGGCGATGTCGAGCTCAGCAAGGAGGCTGACGAGGGAAGTCGGAATGGTCGCGGTAGAAGAAAGAGTCAGGAGGATGTTTCCGTTGGCGTTGATGAACTGGAGGAGGACGTTGGCCGTCAGGTTAGGACCGAGGCCTGTGACATCGTGTGAGCTTGCAGTCAGATCTTGCAACTTGCAGAAAGCGCCGCATACCCTTGATCTTAGAGGGGAAGAGCAACACATGGTCATAAACGCGCTCGCCGAGCTTGAACAGTTGCAGAGACTCGCTCTTGGGCGACTCGTAACTGATGGTGTATCCGCGGCCTGTTTTGGATCAATTGGTCAGCTACTCTCCTTCTGCGCAGTCAATTGCTTCCTACTGGAGCTTCATCAACATCATCTGGGGGCAACAACTTACTTTCAAGATCCCCGAGGAACTTGGAGTAGTCTTCCTTCTCTGCGACATCATCCAGGATGGCCAGGAGCCGGCCGCCGGTGACGCTGACGGCGTGCACGGCGGCAGCCAGGAACAGCAGACAAAGCGAAATAAGAGACCGCATGTTGATGTGATATAAAAAGCCTGCGGCCTGGCTCAACTGGGAAAAAATTACAAAAGGTGTTGAGGGGTGTTGTGGAAAAGAGGAAGTTGGCGCACAGCTGGGGTGCGTTGCGTAGCGCTGCGGCGGGAGAGCTTGCGGCAGTCCAGCACTTTTGGTGCATGTGTCTTGAAGCTTGGGGATACGTAGCCGTTGCCAAGCCCCCCCTTCGGAGAATCTCCGGCAGCAGGAGTGGCAGCAGGGATGAGGTCGGATCAGTGGGCGTCCGGTTTAGGGATCAAGAGTTGAGTTATTCCGACAGGTTTTTCCGGCCCTGCAACTCCCGCCGCGACTCCATTCTGAGCTTCGGCATGATCGAAACGTCCGTTAGTTATCGTAACAATCATTTGACGGCATACCACACGGTCAATTGAGTATGAGAACCTGCGCCGCGCTCACTTTTCACGACATAAATGCTAATTGAGATTACTACAGTACCCAAAATGTCCGCTGCGTCTCCCCGATTCTGGGCCGGGCCCCTTCGTTACATGCGCTGGGCATCCCGTGAGAAGCCCGCCTACTTCTGGTCTGTTGTCATCGGTGCCCTTGGCCCGGTTCAGCTGGCTCTCGTCCCCCCCGTCAGAAAGGCCCTCGGTGACTACAACGCGCCGCCCATCCCCGTCACATACCCTGGTAAGCCCAAGTCGAGAGTCTAGCTGCGAACGGCACCAGAGAAAGCTAATTTTGCCCAGTTCCCGCGGGACCCAGGAAGCAGCTGACTGGCTACGACGACGAATGAGCGACCTGATATACCTGACCTCAAGTCGAGCGAAACCAAAAAAAAAAAAAATCACTGTATATACGATGGCGTTTGGGCTTAGACAGCAAGCAGGAAGGAGAGTCGGTGGGCTCTGGGAGCGAGCTGGCCGAGGCGTAATCCCGTAGCTCTCACGCTTTGCTTCCCATGGGGAAGGCCGAATTCAAAACAAGGCTCACGCTGTACACTACCTATCATGCAAAGTTCTATCAATCCACTTGCGCGCGGCATGCTAAATGGTCTTTAATACGGTTTCGCCAAGGACTACCAAACGAGAGAAGAACGCCGATTCTATGCCCGCCCGCGTGTAGATTCGCTATGCTCTGCCCTAACAAACTTGCTTTTCGCATGCGGCTGCCGCCCTCGCCATATTTTTGATGTCCTATAGACTCTCATCTGTCTCTCTGGACGAGGTTCCATTCGTACTGCGGATTTGTTAGACATACATACTGCGTCATGTTGTGTTTGAGGCTACTCACCACTCGCCCATCGTCGTCGCCAGTATATACACATTGCGGCATTGGCGCGATGCATGTAATGCCAGCGTCGTAATTGGCGCCCACTTCAGATCGAGGATCCACATGATCCAGTCGCCGAAGAAGCTCAAGCACCCACTTGCCATTCTTCACACACTTCTTCCAGACGTTCACACGGCCCCTCTTATGACCGGTGAAAACAAGAGAGTTTTCAAGCCACTCGTTTCCTGCACCTTCGTAAAAAGCACAGGCATGGACGTAATCGTCTGGCTCACCGCAGACGTTCTGGTCAAGGATAACAGTACCGTTGATGTTGTAAAGTACTACGTTGGGCCCCGACCCCAACATAATCTCTCCGGAGACATCGTTGATGCGGGCGCACTCAACAGCTCGCGACAAGGGAAGCTTACGGATGAATTCCAGGCGGTTGAGGTCCCAAAGGAAGGCTTGTCCATCGGTTGACACGGAGACGAATGTGCTGAATGATTTGGAGACCGCAATTGTCGTTACCGGAGCCCGATGGCCGAAGAGGGATGACCGAGGAAGCAAGTCCACAACCTTCCCTGGGGAAGTCTGCACTGCAAAGACGGAAATGACGCAGTCCTCTCCAGCGGTAATAAGCGTCTTGGAGTCGGCAAAAGTGGCGCAAGACAGTTGTCCTATGTGAAGATTCTCAAAGAGTCCCGCCGGCTTATGATCCTTAGTCGCGCCCCCACTAGGTAAAGTATCGGGCTTCCTTACCTTCCTGTTGTCGCTGAAGAAGAATCGAATGCTATTGTCAGCGTAACCCCATTCGAGGAACTTGTCGTATGGCGCCACGTTCAGGCGGAAAGGCGAGGCACAAATAAGTCGATCAATCTTGGGAGAGTAAATGAGGGATGCAACTCTTTCGTGGGATTCTGTTTTCTCGTCAGCTGGAGGAAAAGCCTTTACAAGGATTTTAACTTACCGAGTAGGGGATGAGACAACCTAGTCAGGGCATAGACCGAGGTATCCAGGCGCCGAATTGGGCAGGATGCATGCTCACGACCAGGATGAGGCCGAGTAAACACCTGATGAGGCGTCTGACCAAAGTTGTGGATGACGCCAGCAGTGATCCTTCTCTCCTGGGGGTCACTGATGTTGTCGAGATCCGTCGCTCCACGGTACGACAGGTGATGAAAGACGTTCAGATTGTCAACTGCAGCATCGCCTCTTTGCTTGTATCCGAAGATCAAGTCGATCCAGCTATGCAGATGCTGGCTGACATAAGGGCTCTCAAGGGCCTCACGATGCTTTGCAATGAAGATCTTAGGGTCGCCCTTAGCCCAAGGAGGAAGAACGACGTTATTAACCTTGGTTCCGGTGCTTTCCCGATGGCCAAAGTTATACTGGTTGATGTTGGTCAAGAATTCTGGCAAACAAAAGAATTCTGGGATCAACTCCCTCACATCCGCCTTATTATCGCAAGATGCGGACTGCCAGGCGTGAGGGATAGACTGGAAGAGACGGTCTGCATGGTCAAAAGAACCGCCCTGGAGGAGTATATAGGATTGGACAAAGGGCGGCAGACGGATGAGGTACGATGACACAATCATGGCGGACGAGTAATGCGTGCCGTAGTGGAAGGGTGTCTCGCCAATCTCGGCCAAAGCGTTGTAAGACTCTCTGAAGCCTGAGACACGGCCATGTGTCTGGGCACCCATTGGCTTAGAGAGATCTCGAAAGGTTGCCGGATCGCTCAGATTAAGCTCCTCGCTGGTGTAGTCTGCCAATACCCAAGGAAAGACGGGATACTGGGTAAGGTCGTTGAATGTGCGGCCTGCCATCGTGTTGACTAGCATGAGATAGTGGAAATTGGACATCTCCCCCTTCTGCCACCTCCTCATCGCAGGGTTCCATGGCGATGAGTTGAAAATGCTTCCAAACTTGGAGCCAAAACCCTGCGGCTGTTCTTCAGATACCTTGAGTGCCTCGAGACGCCATGCATCCTCTGGATTGGGCAGAGAGCTGGCGGCATTGGTGTGCGGTGCCTTGCTCATCAACTTGCCAAACACCTCGTCTCTGATCGTCGGGTTTATGGATGTCAGTAAGTAGCTGCGACCATCTGTGAAGAAGACCTCGACGGCAACATCACGGAACAAGAATCTTCGCTTTGAGATACTGATCACATCATACCATCTCCAACTTCGCGATTCTTGCTCGCTGCGGCTGGAACTCTGGCGCTGCTCCGTCGTTTTGGCATCTGTAATAATCTCCGAGAATGGGTCCCGTTCTTCCGGCGGAGCTTGCCAGGCGTTAACAATTTCTCCCGAAGCGCATTGGAAAACATTGTCCATAATATAGAGGGCCTCCTTCCCAATGATGAGAATGCCTTCGCACGCCTCCAGACCAACAATTCGCGATATGTTGTAAACCGCCTGGACTTGATCCCCTTGTTCAAGTCGTCTCATGACTTTACGATTCTTGTCCTCGAACCCATCATCACCTTCATTGGCGTCGTTGGGGTCATCTACGAGCTCAAAGTCTTCCTCGGCACCCACGCCAGATTCGTTGGCCTCTTCCTCTTGTTCCGTATCTGGAGGCGGCCCGGTATTATCCTTGCCACCATCAAGGCCAAGGTTTAAGTGGGAGGAGGCTGGAGTGGCTGACTTTATAGGTGAGGGTGAGATCTGGGCTGGGGCCATGTTCGTGTTGACCTTTAGTGACGAGGGAGTCACCGGTGCGTCTCCTGCCCTCCGTTTAGGCTGGTATTCTACATGCTTCTTGGAATAATCTGGTAGAAGTCTCAGACGCATACGGTTACGGCCTTCTGTTCGATCCAGTTTCCATTTCAATTGTGTTTGCTCAGCAAAGACGGCCCCAGGTCGGCGGAGGTCGAGGTCCATCTTGAGGAATGCTGCAGCAAGGTATGCCATGTCATCCTGCTGATCTTGCGTGAGCCGCTGATGCTTGAAGTGTTCACTGTTGAAGATGCTCTTCATCCAGGCTCCATTCGCCATGTCGTGCCGTAAGAGGACGTTGTCCATAGTGAGAGACTCCGTTTGCCACGCCTTCAACCGGTCTTTGCGTTTTGCCAAACGGAACTTAGCCGAGTCAACGGTCCGCTGGTTTTCTACGGCGACAAACTCCTCCCATGCTTTTGAGATGCCCCCAAAGAAGAATGAATCCAGAGAAGCTCGGTGTTTGTCAACCCATTCGATAAAGGTATCGTCATCAAGTTCGGTCAGCTTGATGACAAAGTCTCTCGTAAGGTGCTGTTGGTCCGTTTGCCCACATTGTCGGAAAAGGACCTTAGATTCATCTGGCTTTTGTACCAGCATAATCCGCATGATAGTCGCCGCAGCAGACCGGATAGATGTTCTAGAATCGACAAGCTTGGTATAGAGCTGATACCAGAAGTATTTCATGTACTCCTCCTCGCTCGACAGACATCCCAGAATGGGAGCTTGCCAGTAGAGAATCTTGCTCAAGAAATCTTTGGCGCTAGAATCGGGCGTCTCAGGGTCATCAAGCTCAGAGAAGCGGAGCAGGAGGAGCTTAAGGAAGCACTGGCGCATTGTCGTCACAGCTTGACTGCAGAGACGAACGCTTTTCAGGCTAGCAACATCAGGTCGTTGGAGATATTCCAGAACCATGCCAGCAAACTCTAGCATAGGTTCCGTGCCGTTGATGAACCAACCTTCAAAGATCGACTCTGTGACGTGCGCAGTGAGTCTACCCATGTTGGTGAGGACTTTTGGCTCGCACAAAACCTTCTGATTAGGTTGGATGTGGTTCCCGAGGTGCTGAAGCGTGGTTTTGAGGACGAAGGACTCAAAATATGCTTGATGTTCTTGAAAGCCTGGAGGGACTTTCAAGAACAGACCGAAACCAGGGAATTCTTTCCGAGTAAAGACCTGATCAATAAAGACACCGATAACTAGCTCCAGAAGGCTGTCAAGCGTAGCACTGCTTGACTGTTGCGAGGCGATCTTCTTCTTTGGTGACATGACCGGAGCGAATCGAGCAGAGCTAGGAGCTTGTGGGGATTTCTGGTTGGTAAGGAGAACGAAACCAGAAGCCTTTCGTAGAGGAGTGCCACGAGGATTTCCCGCGAGCGTGGCGACTGCATCTGTGCTAGTTGTACGAACAATTGGGCCTGGGTGGGAGCCAGCCAGGGACCGGATCATGACATCGCCGCCCTCAAACGTCAAAGCCGAGTCGCGGGAGCTCAGTTCTGTTTCGGGAGTCACAGCATCGGTGCTAACGATGATAGGGTAAGCTGCCCAAAGAAGATATCTCACATATTCAGATGTGAGGGCAAAATCTCGGAACTCTGCAGATCGAGAGTGGAGGTCTGCCAAAAATCGAATGACGGTATGAAGCATGGGGGCGTTACTCGATATTTTCTCACCATCGCGCTGAGAGTTTTCTGTAGATAATTAGCCGAATTCAAAATGAGCCAAATGGGAGCAAGTACCTTTTGTGTCGAAGCCTCTGGTTTCCATTGACTTAGCCCTTGGCCGCGTTTCCAGGCCTTCGAAGCCACTCGCTTGCAGGCTCTGCGGCTTCTGTGGCGAGTTTGGATCCTCCTGGTTCTTCATGACGTCCTTCAAACCATGCTGCAGCATGGAAGTTATGACCAGAAGACTCTCCGGATAAATGATTCGAGACTTGCCAAACGTCTCAAGCAGGCTAGAAAATTCAAAAGTCCGTTCCAAATCGATCTCAGCCACATCAGAACCAAAGAAGATGCAGAAGCAAATGGGCCATAACGAGGGGAGATACCACCAGCGCTTCAGGCGATGAGCCATGATTGTAAATCCTCCTGTCTTACCGGAAAATTTCGCCGTGTATGAGGAGCCATGCGTGATCAATAGCCTAGCCAGAATTTTGCTGCCGTTTATCACCGTCTCGGGGTCATCGCTCGCCAGAAGATACAGCAACCACTGGTCCATACTCAATAACGATAATTGGGTTGCGTCAGATGGTGGTCTCACCTTGTTAGTCACTGTTCTTGCAAACTTGCTAATGTTGTTTCGGTTTCCCTTTTCACAGAGTAGAGTTGTGTACATGCTCAAAATCTTAGCACCGAGTTGCTTCTTTGTAAGGAATCGATAGGATGACGTGCTCGAGGAAGTATTGGAGTCGAACGTTGCTCTTCTTGCAAAGCCCGGGGTAGGCGACCGAGTGATCGTAGACACGGGTCGCGGGGTCCGGACGAGGGAGGCGGCAGGTGAGTGGTAGGCATAGGTAATAAACAAAGCGAGCGCTCGATGCACTTCCGCAGTGTAGTTACACTTTACAAGGTGCTCGAGGGCACTCATGAAGTGAGGCAGAACATCTTCCGAGATGGACTCTGCTTTCATGGCATCAAGCAGTCGTTTAACAATTCCTACTCACAGTTTAGTGGCCAATCCAGAGACAGATCTTGATCAAACAAACATACTCATGCGCATCAATCGCCTGCTATTGAATTGGTGATACTTGCTCTTGACAGAAAACGTCACAAACTGTTTGTAGTATAGCTCTTGAGTGATGGGAGCCGACCGCCGCCAGGTGTCGAAGTCAATCAGCAATATGCGGTAGGCCAGGGGGTTCACGATAAAGGATTCCAAAGGTTCGGCATGCTTGTATCCTATAAAGTCAAGGACAAGACTCAAGAGTTGAAAGCTCAACTTGTCTCGCTCTTCACTGGTAATGGGAAGCCTTAGGTTGGAGTTATCAGCACCAAGGTTGACAGTGTAGCCTAACTTGGCCCTGAGGAGCATGCCAAGGATGGCATAGCCATTGTCGCGTTCCATGGCCTCGCTATTCCTCCAGCTTTTTCTGATGCAGAGGAACGTCATCTCAACAGCACGCACGGTTTCTTCAACAGTAGCCGCACGTTCAACAATCTTGAGAGCTAGGGGAGTGAAGCCTGCAAGACGCCAGAAGTTATCGTCAAAATAGGAGGGCATAACCGCCACAGGGTTTCCAGTCATGACAGCAATCCCATGGGACCGTGCAAGGGCATCAAGGAGACAAGGCAAAGCAGCGTTAACTGCAATAGCTGAACCGCTTCTGTGTGTCATTTGAATCAGGTTTGTTGCCGCATTCCGAGGCAAAGCGCGGTACAGCTGAGTATCTTGGTAAACACCATCCTCACGAAAAACACCCGCCGGAAGGATGCTGAGCAGGATTTTGCTCTCTGGCAACAGGCTGCCTGCCTTGTCTCGAATGGCTCTGATGATGTCAGAACTCTCATCCCGTCCCGGGTGGAAGACTTCGTTCCTTAAGCCCAGGGAGGCAGAAGCTTCATATGTTTGAAAGCCACCCAGACTGTCTTGAAAGTTGCCCTGGTACTTCGGCGATAGACCATAGTGAACAGCCAGGAAATCGTCGCTGAGTACGTCCTCAAAGAGATGTGCTGATGCAAGGGACCATTTGGAGAACACCAACCCTGCGCCAAGCTGGCTTGACAAATCTCTTGGCGTGCCCAAGAATGACTGAACGGGATGTGGCTTTGCATTGGTAGAGGCAAATGAAGCAAAACTCTCTGTGCTGCCGTTCGTGAAAGGTGGTGCAGAAGGGTAGGCACACTTGATTTGCTCAACAAACTCGCCATTAACATACAACGACGCCTTACTGGCAGTCATTGTCTTTGGTCGTCGATGCACAAGGGCAAAATGGTACCATTGTTTTTCCTTAAAGACCATACCCTTAAACCTAACACTGGGTCGACTGGACGTGACAGATGTCTGCAAAATAAAGTTATGGGTATCCCTCTCAAGATACATGAGGAGGAAGCATGTCTGAGTCGCATCGAAGACTCCAAATATGGTAGTATGGGCCGCAGGATCATACCGGTCTATACGGATCCATGCTGTGAAGGTATATCCTGGGGAGGAGTTCGGCGGGAAGGACCGGCCTAGAGTTGGCAGCTCAATAGATGAATGGCCGTGGAGAGAGAGGTCGAACTGGAAGAAAGGAGGGCCCGTGTAAGTCGAGGCCATTTCTAAGCAGAATTCTGATGCCTCTGGCGAAGGGTTTGCCAACAAGAACTGTGTGTCTGAGGGTTGATTGACTCCCAGATACATAAGTTTCTTGCAAAGAATAAGTAGCTTTTGTTTCTCGGTCTGGTCAAGCCGCGAGGCAGGCCCAAAGACCACTCGGAGGAAGCGAGAGAGGACACCAGTGGCATGAAGCGAAGAAAGGTTGAAAAGAGAAATTGAGACCACACTAGACATGATGTCGAGGACGACCAAAGAACAGGGGTTGGCCGGCAGGTCTTCCGCCCTTGGTATTGACTCCCAAAATCCCACAACAGCGCGCAAGATTTCAGGATTCTTGAAGATGGCCTTCTTCTGAACGATGTCGCGTACCTCCTGGGCAATATCTCTTATCTTCGCATTGTTGTCTCCGGTGTTCTTCTCTGGCTCCATCTTCGCGTCCTCCTCTGGCTTCGGACTTGATGCGATCGATTGGCACAAAGTGTCAACCTTCTTATCGCCCAAAGAGAAGGCTAGCAGCTTGCCAAACATCTGACAGTTGGTCCAGAGATCTGAATCGCTCCCTCCGAGTCCCACACTGGCGATAGTCTGCTCGAGGGCTTCCCATCCACCGCCTTCGACTCTGTGGCGGAAATAGCGTTTGTTCCCGGGGTGGTCTAGGAATGCCGCGGCGAAGACGTCGAGCACAGCCTCCAGAAGCCCGAACAGGCCTTCCTTCTCTTCCTTTGATCTTAATTGTGGGTTGTAGAATCCGGAGAAGGAGCGCAAGACATCAAGGAGCTGGGTGAAGCCGCGTAAATGTCGAAAGTCATCTTGAGGTGGACTGGGCGGTTCGGTTGCGGCAATGTGCTGGCGTATCTGACGCAAGCTCTTAAGCAAAACAGGAAACTCGGGGTAGCCATCATTTGGGCGTCGTTGCCGGAGTCCGTTGGCCAGGCCGTCGAGCAGGCTACGCAGGATCTCAGTAGCTTTGGAGGTGACGGCGCCAGAGGAGGCGGAGGTCGACGAGCGGTATCGTCTTGATACTTGTAGTGTCGACATTTTTTGTAAATTCTTATATGGTTATTGGCTACCGGTATTTGATTTCAACGATTCCTTCATTCCAAAACCTTCAATCCCAGCACCCATCGAGGGTCCAGGCAACGGTCAAAACTCTTCGGCATCGAAAGTGGGATGCGGTGCAGGATTGGGGCAGCAGCTCGAGGCTCGGATGCCTAATGGCAGACGTCGAGGGCCGGGTAGAGGGAAGGACGAGGTCAGGTTTGAAGTCGTACGGATGAAGAAACACTAGCGGCACTTAGTAAAGATGTCAGGTAAAATGAACGAGCTCGAGAAGCTCCTTTGACGTTCAAAAGATACGCGTTATCACGACGACGGAGCTGGCTGGAGCTGGAAGTGTCAGCCTTGGGGCGCGTGGTGTGGCTTGTGCACTTCTCAATGGCCGCCTCGTTGTCCAAGAGTCCTGTAACATTCAATTACCAGTCTGACGTGCTGGCACCTCTGAATCGAAGTGGGGTAGGAATGGTGGCGGTGCAGCGCTGAAGGATTTCGGTCCTCTAAGACCTGTCGTCCCGACCTGTTCCACTAGCGAACCACTCACTCATTCATCACTGAATCACAGAAGCAGGCGAGTCCCAGGCGGCCCGAATCCCCCCATTACTATCTAGCCCCAGCCGCATAGCATAGAGACCAGGGTGATACGTCGTGTCTCGTGTATGCTATTAATAGAGTACTCTGACTTATCATTAACAGAGATACTGAAGGGATTCGACTTCGTTAACAGACAATTCTACGGCGACTGTTCCGCCTCATAGCTACGCGGATAACTGCTGGTGGTGTTCGTTCAATCCCAAATTCAGTAGTTACCGAATTCCACAACTCGAGCCTGAACGTGCTCAGTCGACTAGCCAGCAAGGCAAACCTTGTTGTAAGCACTGGCGAGAACGGATGGTTTCCGGATCCAATGCTGCCCAGTCAATTGTACGGTGGAACCCCGTGAAACATGAATGCTTCATCTCTCTCGAGCACAAATACCTCCATGTAACAAGTTGAGCGAAAAGGTTCTGCTCGGCCTGAGGCTCGGCATTAGGTCAGGCAACTGACCAAGGTGTCTTGCTTGTCTGGACTGGATAGTGTCTAATTACTACTAAGGTGGCTGTACTTGTACCTCAATCAAATGTCTTCAAGAGAACACCCTCTTTAATGCATGAAACCAACCAAAAGCTAGACTGTTCGGAACACGAATCAGTCGGTGACCGCTTATCAGGCTTTGTAGTAGCGTCTTTATTTTTTTTGGAGTCAGCGACCGTCTCTTGTCGCTGTCAACGCTAATTATGTAGCAACAACAACAATAGTGTAGAGACATAGGATCAACTGGTCATGTGTCATGACTCCGTTGACCAGGGGCTGCTTGAGCGATCATCGGCTCAGGGAACGGGGATCTTGCCGCTGGCACTTAAAGCCTGGTGCCTTTCTGGAGGACAAATAGCTGCACACTCGCTGCTGCATCTGGGAAGAAGCTTAGGCGGCGTGGGTGGTTTCAGTCTGCCTCCTCTCAGGCTCCGAGACACGAGATTTGCCAAGTGCTTAATGTAGGTGCTCAGTCATGGTTAGCATATTCAACGGCAAACGTCTTTTGCGGTTCAGCAAGACGTTCGTTAATCAAACACCAGTTGGCCTATTCTCTCAGTCTTGCCAACCATGTAATGCCGAGTCGGAATATTGCCTACGGACCACGACACGCGTACTGGCTGCAACCACCTCAAGCTGGCGTGAATGGCCCAATTGTCTCTTCACGCTGGAGGGGGGTGGTGTGGCAAGATGCGGCTTTCGCATTGACAACGACTCGCAAGCTCATGGCGTTTCCAACCACTACCGCAGCTAGTAAACAATGTTTCTGTTTCTTCCCCCTCTTTGCTCGCCGCTGGAGGTATCGAATCCGTTGTTTGAAGATGTCATGCAGGAGCAGCTTAACCTGCATTCACTGTCGCCATCGGTAACCTGGATGACTCGTTCGATTGCCTCCCAGATTCCGTTCGGTGTTGGGCTGCATACCGACTTCTGGCTGGGCCAGCTGCGTTCAGATACTTGCCAAAGCTCCCCCGGGCCAAGCAATGCCCTCAGGCAGCTCCCCCGACCGATGACGGGAGGCAGGGGAAGAGTGAGGCACGTGCCAGGCACCATACGGGGGCGGTACCATCTGACCAGTGGGTCAGGCGTCTAGGCTAGCTCGGATCAGCGTAGCGTTGGTGCTGGGCCTCTCCCCGCCTCCATGTTCCAGTCAGAGAACCTCGCCGCCCTTCGTGTACCCTTTAGTTAGAGCTTGCCCTGGTGAGCGACAGGGCCAGGCAGGTACCTTGAGGATAGCTCCAGCACCGAAGCACCTCAGCGACAGCCGCCGACCAGCATCCACAGCTCCAGTGGCTGTCAGGCCCTGAGCTCCTCCGCCTTGGAACCAATCCTGGTCTGGCCGAGGAGTGTAGTAATCCCTTGAGAAACCAGCAGCACCCGGGCACCTTATTACAGTTAATCACATCATTGTTGAGCAAGTTACTTACTCAATGGGGCGGGCGGACTGGTGCCAGATGCGCCGCAAGCTCACTGTCAATGACATGCTCGCCCCCATCCTTGCGAGGTCAGACCAAGCCGCCCAAGGAGGCAACCCGAGCAAGATCACTACGGTGAAGGTAACTCTGAATGCTTAACGTAGTCTGACAACGCAGTCCCCTCTTCTCAACGACGGGCTTGCAGCACAGGTCTAAACGATGAAAGCTTTGAGTGTCGAGACAAGACGGGATGGCAGCGCTTGTTAAGCTTCAGGGTCCTCCGGATAGATCTACCTTGCCCTCCACTCCGTGAATCACCTATTACGCGTTATCGCATGCAGCGCTATGCGGGCCATGCGGACTGTGTGGGTGCCCAGTGGGTGGAGAGGGGAAGAAGGGGAGAGCAGCTGCGTGACGAGAACTGATGGGTGAAGAATGCTTCAGGAATGCTGATAGTGTAGTACACGAGTTCATGGCGGTAGCAGCACTATGGGTGCCTCAGTCTCTCAGGCTGATTGCGGCCGCGTGGTCTCGTTGGCACTGAGCTGGCACTTTTCTCATCCTCGTAGCAATGCTACCTATCTGGCTGGCCGGAAGAAAGCCAGCGCTGGTTGAACAGAGAGTCCTTGATGCTGGGGTTGACTTCTTGGTGCCATGGGTCAGGAGGATTTCAAAGCATCCAAACGTTGGCCTGCCCATGTCTAGGGAGTGGATTGAGTAAGGGTAACTTCATGTCCGCCTTGGTTCTTGGGTGCCTTGTTTATGACGTCGCTAAGCTCTGACTGTGATCATGACAGCTTCGCCATGTCTCAAGCCGCGAAGTGATGATAAGTATCACATCCAGGAGAAAGGCAATACTGTCAAATGTTCAAACAAAAGAGTTGACGCGGCTTTGGATACAAGAGTCGTCGAAGAAAATAAAGAAGCTCCGTCTCAAGCTTCATTGACACGTCCTAAATGGCGGACTGAGGTGAGGTACCTGAGCACCAGTCATTACCATCCCACAGAAAGGCACAAGTACCTCTCTATCACCCATCGCACTTTCCCATCCATCCCAAACAGCCTTCCGTATCGGACAAGGTGCCTTGTAGACTCCCAGGGAAACCCCAAACGTGACCCTCCCTTATCGCATTGCCGAGGAAACCCTATCGAGTCATTCCATTGGCTCTCTTGCCTTCGCGCTAGGCCGGTTTCGGACCCGTCAGCCACCCACCAGCTCTTATCTTGGTTGGCTGCGTCACACTGGGGCGGCGCAAACCGTCCTGGGCCGACCGATAGCAGTAGGTACCTGGCTCTTTACCTCACCAAGAGCTGTGCGCACGCAACCGCCGTCGTTGCCTTCCCTTTATATCTACCCGCACCCGCTCTCCGAAGCTCCCCCAACCGCTTGCTCCATCTCTCACTCATCCCCCTCCTTCCCTCCTTCATCATTGATCCATCCTCTCAACCCCATCGTGTATTTGTCGTTCTCTGGCAGCTTCCAGTATCTCCATTTTCTTAGTCTGTTATTACACGTCTCCGGTAGACTCTAGACTCGTTACCGCATCACTCCCGCCATCATGAGAGGCTTCGTCGGTGCTGTGGCCGGCCTGGCTGCTGTTGCCAGCGCCACCCCCTCCCTCTCCGTTGAGACCGTCCACAAGGGCATGGCTCCCGTTCTCTCTGCCACCAACGCCGAGGCCGTTCCCGACTCGTACATTATCAAGTTCAAGAAGCACGTCTCGGAGTCCGGCGCCTCGGACCACCACAACTGGGTTCAGAACATCCACTCCTCCGCTCAGGACGAGCGTCTTGAGCTGCGCAAGCGTGGCCAGGAGCCTTTGGTCAGCGATGTCTTCCGTGGCCTGAAGCACACCTACAACATTGGCAAGGACTTCATGGGTTACGCTGGTCACTTTGACTCCGAGACTGTTGAGAAGATCCGGAGACACCCTGACGTAAGTCCGACGACCCTGACTACCCTCCCCATACAAACCTCCAAACACGAGACCCACCACCTCTTTCGTCGGCTCCTTGGCAGCTGCATCACCGAGCTCGGGTCGGGTAGCTTCGGCCATCAAGATTCATGTCATGATTGTCGTACATTTCCAAAGCTGAATGGCTGCTAATGAATCTCGCCACAGGTCGAATTCATCGAGGTCGATTCCGTGGTCCACACCCAGGTTCCCGTCAAGTCCCACGTTGAGGACAAGTGCGACGGTGAGCTTGAGAAGCTGGCCCCCTGGGGTCTGGCTCGTATCTCACACCGCAAGTCCCTGGGCTTCGGTACCTACGACAAGTACCTCTACGCCGGTGATGCTGGTGAAGGTGTTGATGCCTATGTTATTGACACCGGCACCAATGTTGACCACGTCGACTTTGAGGGTCGTGCCAAGTGGGGAAAGACCATTCCCTCTGGAGACCAGGATGCTGATGGTAACGGTCACGGCACTCACTGCTCTGGTACCATCGCTGGCAAGAAGTACGGTGTCGCCAAGAAGGCCAACGTTTACGCCGTCAAGGTCCTTCGCTCCAACGGCTCTGGTACCATGTCCGACGTCGTGAAGGGCGTTGAGTGGGCTGCCAACTCTCACACTGAGCAGGTGCAGGCTGCTAAGGATGGTAAGCGCAAGGGCTTCAAGGGCTCTGTCGCCAACATGTCTCTTGGTGGTGGCAAGACTCAGGCTCTGGACGCTGTTGTGAACGCTGCCGTTGATGCCGGTATTCACTTTGCCGTCGCCGCTGGCAATGACAATGCCGATGCTTGCAACTACTCCCCCGCTGCTGCCGCGAAGGCCGTCACTGTCGGTGCCACCGAGCTCGGCGACCGCCGCTCTTACTTCTCCAACTACGGCAAGTGCACTGACATCTTCGCTCCCGGCACCAACATCAAGTCTACTTGGATCGGCTCCAAGTACGCTGTCAACACCATTTCTGGCACTTCCATGGCCTCTCCCCACATTTGCGGTCTCCTTGCCTACTACCTTTCTCTCCAGCCTGCTTCTGACTCCGAGTACTCCGTTGCTCCTATCACTCCCGAGAAGCTCAAGAAGGCTTTGATCTCCGTCGGCACCGTTGGTGCCCTCAGCGACATTCCTCGTGACACCCCCAACGTCCTCGCCTGGAACGGCGGTGGCTGCAACAACTACTCTGCCATCATTGAGGCTGGCAGCTACACTGTCAAGACCGAGACCAAGGAGGCCACCATCGATGATCTCGAGAAGGCCATCGAGGAGGACTTCCAGGTTCTCTCCGGAAAGGTCGTCAAGGGCGCCAAGAACATTGGCACCAAGGCCGAGAAGTTCGCCAAGAAGATCCACGAGCTCGTGGACGAGGAGCTTAAGGAGTTCCTCAAGGAGACTTCTTTGTAAGCGTTGCAACAAAACGTTGCATGGGTCTCTTAATTTCCTTTCGTTTTTTCTTGGGTCAATGACAGTGTACGCATAGGGATACATTGCTGGGTCGGTTAGGATGGATGCATCGCTTCATAGCTACATACAGATCTCACAGCACGAATTTAGTTTCCTTACCTGACCCTTATTTGAGTTGAGGACTGTGTGGCGATTTGCGTGCCGTGATCCGGTGATGACATGTGCCATTTCCGTTCGTTCCTTCGTCCAAACCATATCGTGCAAACCTAGCCAAACCTTCGGGAGCATGATGTCGCCAAACTCTCTTGGTAGCAATGAGTAAGCGTAGAAAGGGGGTGTCCGAATTTGTCTTGGTGATGGTCAGTTGGACAACTTCCTGGTTAATGCCCGCCTCTCACGGATGACCACCAGCGACATTAGTACAGTATGGCTTAATCTACTCTAAGACATTTGGTGACATTCAGTTTTACCTGGATGTTGAGGTTGGTTTACACTTTGCAATTTAGCAGAGTGCCCTTGGAGTTGGAATGCTATGCTTTCCTTCTCAGGAAAGAATGACACAACAGCTAGCGCCTGCCAGCGCCACCTCATGCCTGTCCAAACCAGGGATCGGACCCCTCTCCTGCCTCTTTCTCTTGGTTGAACGTTCCTTACATTTCGTCTCTTCTCTGAAAGTTCACTCAGCCCCCCCTTATGAAAGAGCAATCATGGAGTTCTTGTGCTATTATGCCGGGAGCTCCGCCCACGAAAGTGACTGGCTAACAACGATATCTCTCGGCCACTTTCTGCCTCTCGACCGACCTCCCAAAAGTCAACATCCAACATTCTCGTCAATACTCCTTCGGTATCCTCGTGGCTTGCTTTTGGTTAGCTTCCCTCACACATCAACCATCAGCAGCCTCAATTGAATCTCTCTACTATTTGCCGTCATCACCTTTATACCTACTACCCTCGTCCCTTGTCTTTCTCCTTGCCCTGTCTGGCCTTGCGCCTCTCATCAAGAGTATTTGCTCCAATGCGGAGATACAATAGCAATAAGTCGTCGTCTGGGATGAACAGAACTAGATCCACTAGGTCTAAAACAACCTCGTTTCGTTCGGCAATAACTAGACTAGAACATATCGATCCTGCCATCGCCGACAGAGACGCTCATCTTGCCGCAACCCTATCCTTCTCACGTTCTAGCCAGGCTCTCAGGTCTGACATCAAACATTCCGCCTCGGGCCATCATTCTCATCCCTGCCATTCGGAGTCCTCAAGGGCCGCTCAGTGTAAAGGGGCTATGGACGATTATTGTCATGAGAACCACCTTCAGCCCCAAAGAAGCGTCCGGTTTGTCAAACAAGGAAGAGATGGCACCAGCGGCATGCGGCGCCGGAGTGTTCTCGGCCGTGTCGAGAACCAGCAAATCATCGATTTGGCTTTTCCCGAGAACGAGGCACCGCGCGTGAGCTCTTATACCACCAACTATATCAAGTCTCTCCCCCCTGTGGAGTTGTACAGGCCCTTGGACGAGTGCGCGTCTGCTCCATCTTCTTTCAGGAGTCTGCGAAAATCAAGATCTATGATTGCTCCTACCAATTTGGCTGTCGATGCGGGCTATTTCTTCAGCAATTCCCCTAGCTTAGAGAGAAGAGATTTTGCACGGAAGCGAAAGTCCATGGTCAATATCAGAGACAGCAAACCTTCAAAAAATAACCAAGGTCTCAGAACGCCAAAGTCTACGAGTATCCTCAACAACTGCGATCGTACAACAAACACACGAGTGGCAGTGCATGATGCTGTTGACGCAAGATTGAAGCCTTCAGATCCCTTTCGAAATCAGGAGGAACAACTGCTTCGGAGCCGGCCCTCTAGATTATTCACATTGAATATGAAGAATAAGAAGGTGAAGCCAAGAACCGTACCAGACCCAAATACTGCGATAGAGAGTAACAAGGACCAAGAGCGCCTTCGAAGCCATGCTTCGAACCATTTCGCATCGCAGCAGCAGGGTATTCGGCAATCTATGAGGAAGGGCTCAACCAACACACTGTACGTTTCTAAGGAGGGTTCCTTTGCTAAGCAGGCCCGCAAGGTCTCCAGCGGTCTGAAGAGCAAGCTGAAAACTCTCTTTCATCGAAAGAAAAAGAACGGAACGAAACGAGGCGGCAAAGGCCAAGTAGAGACTGTCGATGATGTTGACGCTGAAGATGACCCCTACATGGACATCGCAGACCCGATGACGGACGAATGCTCTGTATCTCAAGTACCATCCCGAGTACCATCTTTGCACGCGGCTTCATTGGCGCAGAAGCTTCCATCTCGTCAAGGTAGCATAGACAGCATTGGAAGCGACCGAAAGGTTTCGGATTCGAAAATGACGGATGAGAAGTCTCGTGTTACCAGTTGGACGAGCTCAGGGACACATACCCTCAACAGCCAAAGTACATGGGGTGGTGAAAGGGATCGACAGCGGCTCTCCGTGATCATAGAGAACGGAACACATGTTGCCAACTCATCTTTGCGAAGAATTTCCACTGACGAGAATAATCACTACGGATTCCAGTCTCCATCCCCGCCTCAACTTTTGACTCGCCAAGATTCAAAAGTAGACAGCGACAAAGTCTTCTTCGCACTACTAGGCCGACTTCAAGAGGCTCAACCAAAAGAAAAGGTGCAAAAGGCTAGTTCTGATGAAATTTTGAACACTGTCACAAACGATTTGCGCACAATTTCCAACGACAGCAGGCCAGGTGCGGTCGGCAAACGCAGCCCTCCTACCATTAGGTGCGTAATGCCAGAGGATGATGTCTTCCAGGATACCATCTCGTTGGGACAAATGCAGCATACAAAACCTATCGAAACAGCTGTGAGTCCGGATAAAGGTAAACCTGAATCACCGTTATCGTCGTCGTCGTCTTCGTCACCATCGTCATCGCCGGGCAGCGTAATCCGTCAGCAACAGCACGATCCATCCGGAAGCACACTCCAGCTTCATATAGCGTACCCAGAACCTGCCGACAGTGACGAAAGAAAAACTCCCTCTCGCAAGACTCGTGCTGCGGAAGGAAGTTCTGTTGGTCCGAAGACCTTATCTACTCGTAGTTCTGCCTTCTTCGGAAGCCCAACGTGCCACTTATTTAGGACTACGAGCCCTTATCGTCGAGCACTACAAGAGTCAATGAAGGAAAGTTCTGAGGTTATCACAAAGGTCTACTCGCCAACGGTTTCCGCTTTGAACCTAGATTTAATTTCGACGAAGCGACGTCCAAGTATCTCCGCGGATGATCCACGCCTTGCTTATTCGGACAGCATATACTCCGACCAGTTTCCATTGTCGAACAAAAAGCCTGCAGATGTGCTTGAAACTTTACCGAATCTCCAAGCTCATCGTACAAGCGATGATTCGATCAGTAGGAACTCGCACTTGGCACCCTCCAAGAGGTTGTTCTCGGGTGCAGTTGTTGAATGTGAAGTTGATGGCAAGGCGCCTTCCAGCGTACACTGTCATAAAAGTGCAGCATCCCAGAATGAGTTCAGTGAAGCGCTGAGTTCCAGGCGAACCGTTCCAACTGACCGAGCATCATCTTCCGCAAGTTCGGTGGAGTGGAAAATGTTGCTGTCTGCCAATGTTTCAGGGGTTGATATTCGTCCAGCTGCTGCCAGTGCCCGTGGTATAAGCTTGGATGAAGCGCAGCATGTAACACCAAGCTTGCCGACAGTTTTGGGACACACGCGTGAGGGAGCACAAGTTGAAGACGATTCCCCTGTACCCCAAAAACCGAATGTTTCCAGAGAGTTCATACCACTCCGGCAACCAGATCACAGTTCTCAAGCGTTGTCAGCCGGCCGTGTAGGACGCGGGGCAAACCCGTCAACGTTTTCGACTCCAAGACAATTCAGAGACGAGAACGAAATACCTTCTTCCGATGGATGGATGCACAGCGGTCTTTATGGAATGTATGATCCCCCACCAATTCCTCCAAGGAGCTCTTTGAGAACTGCACCATCAATGCCGTTACTGCAGCAGCGCTCTACACAAAACAACATTCCTGTTAAGTCGCCGAAAAGAGCTGCTCATAAGATGCGCAGTGTGGATGCTATGCCCGACACAAAGTTAGGAGTACAACAAAAGCACGACACTCGGGCACCTATGAAGCTGGTTAGACGTGTTGGGCTGCGAGCCGGGCTCAAGTCGTCTTTGTCTAGCTCGGGGCTCAATGTAGAGGCAGAGCGACAGTTTGGCCCAATGCTAGCCAGCGGCCAGCTGGAGTCTCCCAAAGAAAGATGGGAGAACTCTAGCGGTCGCCACCTGTTAGACTCCAGCGATCTGGAAAGCACATACAACCCGGACACTGCCAGGCCTGAAGATTGGAAGGCTCAAAAGCTGGGTAGCCAGCAGATGGTTGAGAACTTCTTGAGCAGTAGACGCCGAGTTCTGGCTGGTAGCGATGACTCGAGAGTTTTCTTGTAATTCAAACCAATATTGGTTGACAGAATCAACACGGTTGGAGAGTCAACGACGGAGCCATAGTGATATGGCCGGTAACAGTGACGATGATGGACGATAATGGACTAGGGTACACACCTACGAATCATGGAGTTAATGGTAAAGAGAGGCGTTGTGTCCTAATAAATAACGCATTCATACTTAGTGCTTTAGGCATGGACAAGTCGCCAAGAGCACCAGAGAAGTTGTAGTAGCCACGATGGCACGATAGATGCTATGTCAATGATTCAACGATTAAATGGTAATACAAGCTTGTTACACTGTTTGGAATGATGCCAGGTCATCTCCTCATGATGTCGGTAAAGGTCCAAAACGGTACTGGGCCCACGCAAAACTACCCTCCTGCATAGTCCATAGCTGCTTTCCGAGATCATCACCTGCAGCACCGGCAGCGACATGGACAGGCATGAGATGATCCATCCAAGGATGGGCCTGCTTGGCGTCGGGTCTCTTGCAAATCTGGGCCATCTTCTCCTGCCTCTCTTCCACTTTGGCCTCGGCCGCCTCTTTCAGCGCATTGTCGAAACTGGCGGAGTAGGGCATAGGTTCAGGCCCGCTACCCATATCGTAGAGATTATGCACCGACATGCCTGCGCCGATGATGACGACGCCTTGGTCGCGAAGCGCGGAGACGGCGCGGCCTAGGCGGTAGTGCGCGTCCGGGTCCTCGGAATGGAACAGGGAGATCTGGACGAGGGGGACGTTCAATGGGTTCGTGTTGGGGTTGAAGGCGACGTGAAAACCTGCCCAGACGCCGTGGTCCAGACCTCGTTCTTTCGTCTCGCAGCCAATGTCGTGAGAGGCGAGCAAAGAACAGACGCGGGAGGCGAGCTCCGGGGATCCGACGTTGGGATAGGACGCCGAGTAGTAGTGCAGGGGAAAGCCTGAGAAGTCGTAGATCAGAGGGGCGGAGACGGCGGAGTTGATGTACACCTGGGATTTGCTACGGGATTGCCAGTGGGCGGAGAAGACGAGGACGGCGGTGGGGGAGAGGGATGTGATTTCCTTGCCGATGTTTTGGAGGACTGGGTAGACTGGGTGCGCTTTGTTGTACATCACGTCGGGCTGGAAGGTGTTAGTGTTTGTGTTGTTGGGTGAAGGATTGGAGGACAGGGGATGGGGTTCGTTTGCTTACGCCGCCATGGGAGAAGAAGTAGACTGGCATCCGCGGTCTCTTTACTGTCGCAGGCGGGAATGAGTCTACGGACGACGATCTTGACAGAGTTGTCGTGACCGTTGTGAAAAATGAGCGGAGGGTTGGAGAGAACATGTAGGCTAGCATGGCGACGGATAGGGAAAGGAAGAAGATTGGGTTTAGACGCGCCATCTTGGGTCTTCTCTCGTGGCCAACTTTGAAACTATAGCCAAGATGAGCTTGAACTCAACTCAGAGTGTTTCCCAGCGTGACGCCGGAGCTTTATGAGAACAAGAATGTCGGAGGTCCCTATCCGACCGGATAAGGGACACGACGGGGCGGGGAGGCACGGAGGGGCCGGATGGGCGGGGTGGTTTTCGTCGCGCGCGGCCGGGTCCACTGGATGTCTTAATTAGCGGCTGACGGGAGGAAGCTCCCGGTGCTAAGGTAGGTTTTAGCAACGGGTTGGAGGGGAAGGGTAGGGGAAGAAACCCCACTGATGGCCTGACAATTAGCGTTTGAGGCACTGTTCGGTGAAAGTTGCGGCGCTGCAGGAACGTGGTGGGTTGGGGGAGGGATGTACAGTGCGGGTCTTTCCACCCAGAGTTGCCTTACAAGGTAGCTGCAGGGCAGTCACTATGAGGCACAGAAGCTCTAGTACCATGACAATTAGTAATTGAGAGAAATTGATCCATAAGTTGTAAATTTGTGACAATAGATAACTTATCTAGAATGACACCAAATCTTTGAGGTTGTTTCATTTCCCATCGCTATCGTCCTTTCTTTTGTCTACCGCTTCTCAAATCCACAGTGCGTTTAACTGATCTACGCGACTTGCCGGACCAGGCTCCACGTCCCCCACGCACCATCGGAACGGAGCTACGAAAAAAACCACCGTGGACATCTCATTCGGCGCTACGGGTTCATTTCCCCTGCACAACTAATGCTTTCCATCAGAGGACTCGTCACAACAACCCTCATTATCCTATCAACTTTTTCATCGTTCACCCTCGCTGAAGAGCAGAAACCCCTGTCAGCAGCTGATCCCGATCTAAATTCCGATTCTCACCCCTCACTTGCCTCCGTAGCGCAAGACGATCTCCTCTTCTCCCTCCCCGTCACCACTGTCGTCGCCGATATGTCATCCATCTCCCGTGCGGCCCCGTTGGTCTTCCCGGCCGTCGGAAAGCACACGGCTACGGTCATTTTCGCCCACGGCCTCAGCGACACGGGCAACGGCTGGGCCAGCGCCGTCGAGAACTGGAGGCGGAGACAGAGACTTAACGAAGTCAAGTTCATCCTGCCTCATGCGCCTCAAATTCCCATCACTGCTGTGAGTATTACCGTACACTTCCATCAACTTCACTTCTTTTCTACCTCATAATATCTTTCATTCATGATGATAGACATGAGCGATGAATGAAGACAAGTGAGAAGGATAAGACGCTGACGATAACAGAACTGGGGCATGCGCATGCCGGGTTGGTTCGACATAGTAAGTCGCGCAACAATCTTTGACCGGCACCGCCTTCCCCCGGGCTCCCCATCGCTGACCGCAGCGCTCTCCCAGAAAACCCTCGACGGCACCATCGAGGCTCTTCGCGAGTCCGAGGACGAGCCCGGCATCCGCGCCAGCGCCGAGTACTTCCACAGTCTCGTCCAGGCCGAAGTTGACGCCGGCATCCCCTCCGAGCGCGTGGTCCTCGGCGGTTTCAGCCAGGGCGGCGCCATGGCCATCTTCTCTGGTCTCACCGGCAAGCACAAGATCGGCGGTATCGTCGGCCTGTCGTGCTGGCTGCTGCTCAGCAACAAGTTCGCCAGTATTGTGCCCGAGGACAAGCCGAACCAGGACACGCCCGTCTGGCTGGGCCACGGCGACGCGGATCCGCTTGTGAGGCCGGAGCTGGGCGCTTTGAGCGCCGAGGCTCTGAAGGCTCTGGGATACAAGGTCACCCGCACGCTTTACCCGTGAGTTTCCCTTGCTTTTTTTTCGCCCTGTTTTTTTCCTGCTTTGACGGAGTGGGATACCACGGAATGAGTGGTTCATTTTGCTGACTTGATGCTTAGGGGCATGGGCCACTCTGCTTGCTTGGAGGAGCTGGATGAAGTCGAGGCCTTCTTGTTGGAGAGGTTGCCAGCCACCCAGAACTGAGGCTGAGAGGGTGATTAGATGTGATTTTACATGCGATGAACAACAAGAATTGGAGTTTATGCTGCCTATGGGTGACTGCATGTGGAAGAGTCCAGCTTTAGCTTGACTCAAACTTTACCTCGTGGGCATGGTGTTGGTCTTCTTTGTGAGATTGATTTTGGCCCGTCAAATCCAGAATAGACCATTGAACATAGGTAAAATAAGCTTATTCAGACCAGGTTCAGTGGAAGTCTTTTAAACACATCGAAACATCTTGAGGCCTGACATTTTGAACATTATGTTAGTAATTAAGCCTTTACCCAGCGGATCTCTTTCATTTTAGGAAATGTGCTATTTTTGTTTCCAGATGAACAAAATGCTAGATTTGAGGTTTTGGTGAAAAGAACATGAACCAAATGGATTGGTTAATTTGTGAACATGTACGAAAACAGTTCTGGAAGATGGCTAGAAACTTTATGTAGGTACTACTTTTAGATTTGGCCTCTGGAATATCTGTATACCGCTGATTACAAAACATCGAGGCATTGAACTCCTGAAAATCACCAGTAAGTCCATATTTACATAACCAAGCAAAGCATCCGCTGGACCCTCATTCTGACCCTCATTGACAGATCACACGCCATCAAAAATTGTCTCATTAATAACCACATCGAGAGGGTCTCCTTGCTTTCTCCAACACCTCCAACTCAGGCTTACCTAAGTTCATTCGTCAAGAAGACGCTAACAATGGGGGGGTGTGTGCTTGGGTCTTATCACGCTGCGGTGTGGCACTGCAGCACGCAACTGCAGGCCCCATCCGGGTTTGGCTGGGGGGTCACTCCCCCCCGAATCACAAGGCCGTCCGGCGCCATGGGCCCTGCTGAAGACGCAAGCCTATCTGGCGTGGCCCACCTTCACCTGCCAACCCGAAGTCTCCCATCCATGGTAGCTTGCATGACTGTGCATCTCTATGCATCTCTAAAGATCGTCCATTTTCTTTTTTGTTCTCTTTCTCTCTCCCCTCCCACCAAAAAATATTGTCAGCCTGCGAAATTACTCTATTACAGTCCCTCGTCACAAGTCTTGCTGGCAATGATTCTGACTACTACCTAGCTCTGCTAGCAGCAACCTCCGATAAGCTAAACAAAACCACAAGCTTGACATCTCATCCTACAGGGGGGGCATAGCAACCGAGTCGTCCCCGCATCGTTGCTGCAGTAAACACACCGCGGCCGAAATCCCGCCACGCGGCATACCACTACACACTTTCTCTTCACCCCGATCTATCCTACGGGACCGCCTCCGGAGGCCGCGAACCGACGCAGTAGTCATGGAGACATCCACAGCCGGTAACGGCTCCGCCGACGACCGTCCGTCGACCCCGACGCCCTCCCAGTTGCCCCCGATTCCAAACTCCCCAGTCTATTCGCTCGCCTCGACCGCGAACCCGCTGTCGTCCTTCCACCTCCCGCTGCCACCACCCCCACGGCCTGTCCACGCTGTTCTTACAAAATCCGACATTGAGCAATCTCAGACGGCGTATTCGGACCTCTTGCAGACGGCGAAAGCATATCGCGTCGCGCTGGCATCATTATCGACCGCCGCCTCCGCCTTTGGCTCCGCGCTAGAGTCTTGCGCCCGTCTGAAAGAAGCCCGCGCAGAAAGCCTCACTGGGGGATCTCAACCAGGGGGAGGGTTATCAGCAAGCTTCACCGCTGGCGCCAAAGGAACATGCACTGCAGACCTGCTACTATCGGCCTCGGGCGTGCACCACCTAGTAGCAAACCATCAACAAATCCTCTCCGAGACAGTATACCGAGACTTCGAAGTGCCCCTACTCCACGAGCTAGACAAGTGGCGGCAGCGCGTCGACGACGAGGAGGACGCCTACGTTAGGGAAGTCAAGGCCCGTAGCAGGGAGATTCAGAAGCTGGAAAAGGAGGGCTTGAAGCTGCACAAACAGCGCCGCCGCGATGTGGGCAAGTTCCGCGCGCACCTCGTGGAGCTGACGACGAAGCTCGACGGTCTGACAGCCCTGCACGGCGACCACGCGCGGACGTTGTTACGCGAGAGCCAAGACACGAGTGGGCGCATACTCGAGGCGTCATGCAGTCTCGTGAGGGCCGAGGTCGACATATTCGAGTCCCTGGCGAGGAAAGGTTGGAGCGGCGGCGGACTGGACGAGCTACTGGAAAAGGGCGCGGATCTGTTTGCGAGTGACGAGGTTACGGATTTTCACCACGCGAGCATCGGGGCCGTCGGGGGCTCCGCTGAGACGGCGAAGCTGTTCAGTATTCTCCCGCCGAAGAGTATTCTCGCAGATGCCGCGTCGGACGTGACGAGGCCCGGGGGCCATGCTAGGGGGGATAGCCTGTTGAGCGATTCGGACCGGTATCAAAGCCTTGCGGCCGTGGCGTCACCCGGACTGGGGGAGCAGCACGACAACGATACTGACAGCATCTTTTCCGAGACGAACTTTAACAGGTCGAGGGGCGTGAGGCCGTTTTCGCCGCAACCTATCAGGCGGCACGCTACGGACGTGACGTTTGATAGCTTGGGTGTCGGTTTAAGTGAACAGTCGCAGGCGGATGATAAGGTCGTCGATGACAGACAAAATGACATTTTGCATGAGGAGGATGAAGGGGAGACAGCAGAGCTGTTACAACCACCCTGGAGAGATGAACGGGCGGGCGCCGACGACGACGCAAGCGCAGTGGACGACGAAGACGGGAGGAATACTACAGAAATTGCAAACGGGGAAACAGAGGAAAGAGGCAGACCGGGGAGACGGTGGAGTGTAAATGAGGAAGATGGAGCATAGTATGTAAATGTCCTTTTGAATGGCGGCGAACTCATGATTATTTCTTGTTATACCCATTTAGAGGCGTCTATTAGAACGAGGGACGCCGCCCCGGCCCCCCCCCTGGGCGCAGCGACATAGTCATACAAATTCTTCATACAGAACTCTCGTTCTCTCGGTGTTTTTTCTCTTTTGTCTTGCAGTGCACCATGTGCAGTCTCTTTTTTTTTTTGCTATAGGCTTTTTCTCCAAACCCCCCGTCTGTCCGTCTAAAGAAATGAGAATGAAGCTGTGTTCGCGTGGTATTCGTGGACCATTAAATAAAGGAGCCAAAAAAAGAAAAAAAAAAGGAGACAACTTTTTCCTCCAAACGCCGCCTCTCCACCTCATAAACCCCCAATCCGTAGAAAAAAAAAAGGCCGAGGCCGTATATAACGTGCCCTCTTTCAGTCGTCCTTGTCGGCGGTCAGAATCTCGCCCCCAAAGAGGCTGAATGTCGCGTCGAGCCACCAGATAACCTTCCAGTACAAGCTGGCGCGGTTCCAGTCGAAGTCGCCCGAGTCGGTACGTGGCACCTCGTTCCCTATCATGGAGCCGCTGAACCACTTAAGGAACGGCACCGCGTTGACGAGACGCTGTGCGTAGCTCTGCTGGGGGAGCAGGGCCTGTTCGGCGGGGAGAAGCTTTGCCTTGCGTGCCGTGGGGATGCGGCGGCAGAAGAGGCTGTCTTCGGTCTGCAGGAGAGACTGGGTCGGCTCCAGCGGGGGCGCATCGGTCATTGTCACCGTCGCGGTGGACATGTTGGACATCGTGGCCGTTTCGATCGTGTTTGAGGAGGTGAGGGAATTGGGAGGGGAGAGGTCGCTCATGGAGCGCGGGTTGGCGGTGGGTGCAAAGGGATTGCCACTGTTGGTCTTGTTTTGCCTTTGGCGGGGGGTCGTATGACGGCCGAAGCTGCCTGCCGGGACGGACTGCGAGCGGTTATGCTCATCTTGGATTGAGATTAGGGAGTCGACGTCGGGGATGGGCTCGTCGCGCGCGGGCGCAAACCCGTTGTAAGGCTCGGCGTGCACGAGGTAACCCAGTACGCGTTGGGGGCTGGCGTAGATGGCTGCGTCGGCGGCATCGGCGGATTCGAAGGTGACTTTTACCCAGTGTTCGCCGCCGTCTGCGCGGTTGACCTTTGCGCGCTCCTCGGGCGTCAGACCGCGTCGGCGAGTGAAGGCAGGGTCACGTAGCTCGGACTTGTAGCGGCGCTGTTCGAGAGGGGGTTCGCGGGGGTAGTCTTCGCAGATCAACCCAGCGAGCTGTTCGTAGTGGGAGATTGCGGCGTATTGCTGAGAAGGGGAACGATATCCACGGAGGATTACTTCGGTGGGTTCGTGGCGGGCGAGGCGGGGTCCTGATGCGACGGCGGGCGCTTCATCTGATGCTAGAAGCGGTGGTTGTGAGAGGCCTGAAGTTTTGCGTTGGGGGACTGCGGTTGATGATGCATTGGTACCTGCTGTTGCGGAACCGGTGGCGTTGGAGGAGGGTGCCGCCAGGTTGGAGTTTACTGCTTGCGAAGAAATCCAGTCGCCAAAGATCTTGTCGGCGGCCGCGACGGTAGGGTTTTCGCGGCGGGCGGGGGTTCCGGTGCGGGAGCGGGATCGACGTGTTGATTTGCCAAAGGAGCCTGTCTCTGGAGCACCACGGCGATTTCTGGCGCCAGGGAGACCGTCTTGTCTAGAAAATCGACATTAGCCAAGGTCTCGAAGTGGACGTGGGCGAGAGAGCCTTGGGCCTGGTCGCGTCGAGGAGGAAAGGACTTACTGAGGAAATACCATGGCATAGGGGCGTTTTATGCCGTCATCGCCGATGTAAAGTTCTTCATCGGGGACATTGTGGAGGATAAGAGGCGCCATTGCTGCGGAGGTAAAACAGCGTCGCTGTCTTTGGGACACAGCCAGCTATGTAGTATCGTGGAGGTCGAGGTCCAATTCGGTCTATCCTGTTCGGGGTCGGTACGAAAGTCTCTAGAACTGGCACGAACTAAAAAGAAGAATGCGAAAGGAGTGTTTACAGCCGTCGAGGTGCTGTTGTGCCTTCGGCGTTGGAGGAAACAAAGAGATTGAGCTCTTTGAGGTGTTGACTTTCCTGCGATGCACTCGAAGATTGATAGTTTTCCAATGCGAAAAGAGCAGACCGGGGCCTAACCCAGCAACGGCGGGTTATCTAAGCACCGGTCTCCGGATTCCCGTTGTCTAGGGCCGTGCACTAGTGGGACAGGTTAGCTCCCCCACCCTTGTATTTCGGGGTAACCAAGTTTGGAGCTTATCAACTCTTCTCTCAATCAAAACCTCGCTCCTTAAAGAAGTGTGGCACACATTATCCATTTACCAGTCACGAGCCAAGGAAAAACATTTTTTTGCTCCCCTGCAACCAAAATATGCAGTAATACTTATTAAAATAGAGAAAACATATGCACCACCAATAAGATTCCCTCAGACCCGGCAGGGTGGTGTGGGTATTCTGCGCCTGAAGCGCGTAAGCCTTCAGCTTCTTCGCATCATTTCTCTTTTTAGTCCGCTATTTAATTTGGCAATGATTGAATATAGATTATGATTTTTGTTCGTATTCTCTTTGCCCAAGTTCATGTACAAACTTTGGAGAAATGTCCCAGCGCAGCTCTGAATGGACTTCAACTGAGCCATCCTCAGCTTCTTCGTCTGCTAAGAGCGTTACCGAAGATCCGGACGATGGCCAATATACTGTTTTTCCCTTTCGCAACGACTTGGAGTCAAATCAAACGGCTGGCACTTCTGTTGCCTCAAGATCATTGAGTCCCCAGTTCCAATCATATACGGAGTACCTGCAACATCTTTCACTCAATACGGATGACAACCCATGTTTCGGCTGGCTTCTTGAATTCTTCACTAGTCTTCCAAATTCTGATGAACTTGGGACTGAAATCCCCCCGACCAAGGCTATGGTAATAGATATGCTAGACCATGGCTGGAAAGTGAGTCGTAGGATTTCGCACTCGATCCTAGAAAAGACGACAGGGGTATCTGCTAGGATAGTAGTTGTTGAGTGCCAGCCTGAGCAGATGGCCTGGATAGACCGAGAGATTCTTGATACCGTCGCCTTCTACTACGCCTTGAATCCTGTATACCTTTGGGGAGCTTTATTCAATAGCAACATTGATCAGAGCTATAGTTCCAGCAGCCAGTTAGGAAACATCCCCTTCACCAGCGATTTGGCTGTTCCACTCTTTGAGGCGAACGACACACGAATAGTCGAGTTGGCATACTCGTCAGCCTGGCCTGGAGGGACGATTACCTTGGTACAGGCCTCCATGTTTGGGTTCTATTTGACTGATACCCCTGATGGAATACCAACATGTTGGTCTTTACATTTTCACTTACCAGAGTTGTGCTAATTTCCCAGGCTTGATTCTGTCAACATCTGGTTCCAAGGACGCCGTCAAGTCTCTTTGTGCACATCACATATCGAATTCGCTTCACCCAATTCAAGACATCAACCTACCGTTGCCTGACTACAACACTACTCTCGATGTATATCATGACATTCTACTCGGTTTCAGGAAATCAAAATGTGAAGAGCTCGCCCAAACTCCAGCTGTATTCATTCTCATCTATCTCAATCTAAGTCTTCACACTTTTTCTCAAAACGTCACCGCTTTGTTCAAAGTCTTTACGAGATGGAATATTCGTGCGCCTGGGCAAATCATCGAGGATATATCCACACTGAAGGCTGCTAGCAGCCGAGCCCTCAAAAGCGCAGAGGACTTTGCGCGTGACAACGGAACAGCTGACAGCTCCGAAACAACGGCTGTGTTGGCAGAGCTCAGGAGACTTGAAACATCAATCAACGGACTCAGTGAGCGGGTCGTCAACCATACGAATGCATTAGCTGTCACTGCCTCTCTAGATGAGTCACGGAAAGCCATCCAGATGACGGACAGCGTCAAGTTGTTAACGCAGCTGGCATTCATCTTCATCCCTCTCACTTTCAGCGCCTCCATATTTGGCATGAATTTTGAAGAGCTGGGCTCGGGTACTCTGCACATTACCTCCTTCGTCTCAACAGCATTTGCTATCACGGGGACCACGATGGTAGCTTTTTGGGTTAGCCGGGCATTGTCAGGAAAACGAAGGGCTTTGGTTTTGTTTGCGATATCATTTTCAGTCTACTCGCCTCGACGCGCCTTTTTGCTTATGGTATTTTTAGTGTTTGGTACAATCGATACGTCCTGGGGTGACTTGATTGGGTTCTCCGGTGCCGATGTTTTGCTAAAGTGTATCAATGCCGACTTCGACAAGGCAGAGAACTTCAAAGTCACCGACATCACGACTTCACTTAGATGGCAGGCTTGGCTGTTGCCATTTGAGGAGTTTGTTGCGAATCCTGAGTGGAAGGAGCAGTACGTCTGGCAGAGGTGGGCAAATGCCTGTAACATGTCAGTAGGGGCGATGAGATCTAGGTTAAGAAGGCAGGCAAAAGATCGGTCTGAAAAATCAGAGCGCCAAGTAGATAGTTATCTTCCTTGACCTCTGAACTATACTAAAGAGTAGTCAATTTTCCTCAATAGCTACGAGGACGCCCATGTAACTATTCGATTAAACGATTATTCCTACACTACCAAGCAGCCGCTATCAGTCGCGGCAACTGTCCCTGTAACGTTCCTATCTTTTAGCAACCAAAGATATGCCTCCACCACATCCTCAACTCTCCCAAACTGGCCAGTCGGCATTGACTCTTCGACTCCTTTGACCATATTCGCTTTCTCTTCAGTAGTCACATGGTCCCAAAGCCCAGTATCCACAAACCCAGGGGCGACAGCATTAACCCGTAAAGGCTCAAGCTCTACCGCCAGTTGCTTAACCATGCCCTGCAGCCCGGCAGTAAAAAACGATACGACAGACCAGCCTGGTGTAGATTTATGAGCTGCGCTCCCGCTGGTGATGGTAAAAGACGACTCGTTTGTCTTTGGAAGATAGCGCGCCGCGACTTTAATCGCCATTAAAGGTGCAACGAGGCGCATCTGGCATGCGGAGAGAATCTTGTCCGGAGTGAGATCTTGAAGCATCATCAGTGAAAGAGAGTCGGCAGCCGTAAAGACAACGTGGTCCACTGACCCGGCTTGCTTGAAAACGGCGTCCAAACTCGCCTCGGCCCCTTCTCCAGAGAGATCTGCTGTGAAACTTTGTATTTTTTGCTGGGAAGATGGAGAAAGCGTGGATTTCAGGCTTGCGACGGCTTTCGAGAGCTTGGCAGAAGAGGAGGAAGAGATGGTCACGCTGGCGCCGGCTTCAAGGGCGGCTTCTGCTACACCGAGACCGATACCTGTCGAGCCGCCAATAACGAGGACATGCTTTCCTGCGAGTTTGCTGTACTTAGACGACATGTTGAATAAATTGTTAACTCTTGGTAGTAATCAAGTTGTGACAAGTAGTCTTTTGCGTAGAAATCGTTGTGAATATGTGTCACAAAAGTTGAACGATGAGGCAACTGTCAAGCTAACCCTTTCTGGCTCTTGAGGAAACATCGTCCTCATTTTCTTATAAAAAGATCATTTGAAGTCTTCGAGCATGCCCATGACATAATGAATTTCATGTAGCTCATCTGTGGTACCACGTAACTCCGTGCAAAACCCGAGAGCAGACCTCTGCCTGGTTCGCCGCCACAGCCTCCACGGAGTTCAGCTAGCGCGATTCTAAAATTTGACATGTGCGCGAGGTTACACAGTCTTGATACAATTCGGACTTAACGGATCTACTGACAAAGCAAGTTGCGGTCAGGAGGACTTGACCTATGTTCGGCATTCGCATTCGAGAGCTCTTGTGGGGATGTATCCGTTATGAGGCTAGTTCGAAGACTATGACCTGTCTATGATGAATTGTTGAATAGGTAATAAGTTAAACCGAAGTTGTTCGGACTGGAAAGGAAGATCTATGGTGTGTTGCCCACAGCACAGAAAAAAATAACCGCAAAGACGTGTTGTATTGTCAGCAAAAAGGGCGATGAGCTGGACTGACTGTGAGCAGCCTGAATATCATTTCCTTCTCGAGAACTGTTGAAATTCTACTTCAAGTCGTTTACTCTTGCCAAGACAAACTAGTTTACTTCACTTCTCCAAACGTCATGGCGCATGAGATTCAGCTCACATGATCTAGGAAATGAAGCGTTGAGATTGTGAGCCACTCTCAACCTCACTTGCAAAACGCTCACTGACTGTTAGATGAAAGCGACAGAGAAGGTTATGCGTTAGACTTACTCTAAAAGCGAATCGAGGAACCTCTGTCGTCTCAAGAGCATCGTACCCTGCGACTGGGGTTCCCAACGCTGAGGACTGTTTTTGTGTCTCTGAATGAAAACACTCAAACCATGAGACATTCTTGAATTTCTATCGGAAGGCATTCGCCTCACATAACAGCACACTTACAGGTAGGTTCAAATAGAGTTTAGATGGGAATTATATTATCACCCTAGTACAACTTGATGCAACTGCTTGCTCTCCCCACTTTGCCCGCAACCTACGAGGTCGGAGGTGCAGGAACCGTGAAAACTCCGGTCTCTATGTCCTCCTGAGCCTTTAAACTCATGTTGACAATCTCGATAATAACATGCTGACGTTCAGCCTCAAGATGCTCCTCCGAGATGGCGTTTCCATACCAAATAGAGGCGTAAATGTCGATTCCCCTCTTGCCGGGCTGACCGAAATCGGCTCCATTAACATCACGCGCTGCGATATTGAGCACGCCAAAGTTGGTGTCCTTGCCATCGACCAGGTTCTTGTCTCCGCAGGCCTTGATTGCGAATTCAGGCAGCGGACGGACCATGGGTCTCTGGGCGCACACGGCAGGGCTGTAGTTGGGAATGGTGAAGTTCGTAATGGTGCCGCCCCAGCCCTCGAGGATGCGCGAGACTCCGCTGCCGCTGGTGAAATCCGAGTGCTTGAAGTAGTGCTCCGCGTTGGCCCGGTTGTTGGCCGCGTCGGCTCTGGGCGATGAGGACCAAGCCGAGAAGGCCCAGGCAGTGACATTTGGAAGTGAGACAACTGCGCGGCCTTCAACGGCTTTCCAGGATTCGGGCTGATCCAGGTCTGAGCTGTCAATAACTCCGTACCAAAACTGCTTGGCCTCCTCGATATCCTTTTCAAAGATGTCAAGGAACCCTTGGTCGCCAATGGCAGTCTTGCGCTCGTACAGCTTGCTCATGCACTCGTTCGCCTCAGTAGGTGCTGGATTGTTCGTACAATGCGTTCGGTCATTCAAGAGGTTCCAGACGTACTGGCATCTGTCCAACTCGAAGTCAACCTTCTTGCCAAGTTTTGCAGGACCGGAGAGGATGTAGTCGTAGCCGCCGGCAGTCTCGGTCCAGTTACCGAAAGATGGCCAAGGGGTACTCTCAGCAGCGGCCAAAGTGGCCAGAGCAGCAATGGCGAGCGACAGCATGGCTAGAGTAATCGGAGGTGATGAGTTCTGTTTGGATATGGCTGAGAACTTGAGCCTTTCCCATGAGCTAGCAAAAGCCCTCCGGAAAGACATGTTCTATCATTTATACAACAATATTGCCAACGCCACTCGTCGGCGCAGCCCTTCGAAAAATGCTAAATGCCCCGAACTGTCGCGTATGTTGTCCAATCATACGCCATGTCAGCCGATGCTACGAAGACCGTAATCCTTGAATGGAAGGTAATAGTACCTGAACATTATCAGATTGTCGAGGGTCCACCGCGGTTGGTCACTCGCCGTCTTGGCTTGTTAGCTTTACTGACAAAACGAATAAAAGCAAGCTGCCGTGGCTGCTAAATTCAAGCAAATTCGCCGCTGCATGCATGTACAGGGGTATTTGAAAGATCTTGGAAAATGACAGTCCGCACGTCCGGGGTTTTGCACATTATCGGCCAATGGCTCCTTCAGGAACATTTTACAATAAATACGGCCGAAGTGACGCTTGCTTCTTCTGGTCAGTACTAGTATACATGTAACATGTGTTTACTTCTGGCCGTGTAAAGGTTTGGAACTTTGGTTCGTCTGTCCAAGTCCACACCGCCTGAGTATGACTACGCTCAGATCCGCAACGTAGACATTTGGGGCTGCTAAGCCCCAATGCCACGATAGGCTAGCCTGGTTACGGCACCCGCTAGTCTCGTCGTTCCATATGAGGTGGTCAGCAAAGGACTGGCTGGCGAAGGGAAAAGACAAGGCAAAAAGGTAAAACAAAAATGGCGAAGCGGACAGCAACAAACATGTTTGGCAAGCAGATATGCGACTGGCCAAGAGATAACACAAGGAAAGGATATGCGGCCTGTGTTCCTTGGTATAGCTAAGTGCCCTAAACGCACTGACTACAGCATAGTGACTACAAAGAAGCAGATGCAAGAGGCTTGTCTTTGCAACAAGTTTGTCTCTGTTAATGAACCGTTCTTTCACTTTTCCCTTGTCGTGATGAATACATCCCAAACAAGTTTGCAAGTGATCTTTGGGGCCCTCGCCTACGCTTGGGAGAGGCTGGTTTCGCTGGCGGGTCTTTATGTAGGTTTCACAGGCGTGAAATAATCCCGTACGGTTGACAAACAAATAGTACATTCCTAATAATCGTCGTATGTATAAATACAGGAATATTGGTGGTTTAAAATGAAGGAGACAGATACGGTCAGCCCGTCACGTGTGGAACTGAGAAAATAATTGATGCCCTCTAGACATACGTCCCGGGCGCCTGGCGGATGGGCCCCCCGGTACTCTACCCCTTGCAAGCGTTGTTCTTGGTATGGTAGGTAGTTAAAATTGGTACAAACGGCCATCGTGCTTGGACAACGAACTTGCAGTTTTTACAATATGGCGTAAAATATGACGTTTGTGAATCCATGCAACATTAAACACCATAGCATTTAAGATTCTGAGAGGGTTTTCGAACCATTAGACGTGGAGCGTGATTGTTTCCTCATGGTCTTGAAAAAGCTGATGCCCCCTCATCCTCAACAGCTCTACAGCTGCAGCGTCCAAGCCATACAATTTACCGATGAAGCGCCTTTTTTGCCAGTGGAGATTTGTTACCGATCCTTACAGTGCTTCCAGGGGCCAGGACAAGGCTGGTCACTCGTTTAATCACCCAATGACAGGGAATGATGGCAACCAGGATTACTGCACGCGTGCCCCCTCGTGCAGCAAGCTACCACTCAACTGGGGAGTATCTCGGAGCGATATGTGCCCGGTGGCACAGCATCAACTTCGGCCCATGACAAGGCTACCGTCAGCCATACTAAACAGCTTTTTTTCGCGTATCAATTCATAGTAACGCGCGTTAATATGGCTGGACGCGACCAGAATTTGAAGCGGCCGAGGGTATCATATCCCAAGAACGCGCATGGCTCATCGTCCCGCGTGAAACGAAGCAGAACTGCTCAATCTACAGATAAGGCAGTGAGCTCCTCTCTGCGAAAACGAGAGCGGAGTCTTGAAAGCTCAAGCCCAGGTTAAGATGAAGGTCTAAAATATCAAGTGACACTAGCTAACCTTATCAAAGAGCCAATGACCTCCGAGAAACCCTTGAAACACCGTCCCATACAGACGATTGACTGGCGAGCGGAGCTGTGCAACCTCTTAAATCTCGACACTGCTGTGGGTGATAATGACATACTCGACGCCAAGGGATCTGCTGCGGAGTTACTTGAAAAAGCTAGGAATGTGGACCAAACATTACCAGCAACGCTCGACCTTCGTAGGTGCGAGATAATCTATAGCGTTTACTGCTACGATACGGGCTCAAGGGGTTTTTATTTTGACGAGCCCTGGGTGGTAGAGGGGGGTAAGTATAACGCACATCTCAGGGGTAGTAATGTCGTTTCGAACCTCGATCTTCATCTTGAAAGAAACAAAGATATCACATTCATCGTTTACCGCAAACTAGAATGCTGTGGGGGTCCAGGTCATGACAGTTCTGACCACCAAGATGACTTGGAGCTGCCAGGTTCATACTCCTCAAAGTTTTTCAGATCGGAGTACATACATGTTGTATCGGACGAGTTATCTGAGGGCTTGGAGGAGTTGGCTGACGAAGCATTGAACAATATTCCGTACCCAAGCTTTGACAAGGACTTTGAGACGACTGATATCGCTTACCCATACTTATGGTGGTTTCATCGAAGAGAGGAAATCAAAGATGCCATTGAAACGCTCAGTCCAGAATGTCAGAGCCACCTTGACGTCTTCAAACATTACATTGAGGGCCAGTTGAAGAATGAGTGGGAAGCAGTAGATTCTCTTTTTGCCGATCACAGAATCACAGCCGAATACCTCCAATATCTATTTGTAAGCTTGATTGGCACTTCGAAATTACCGTTCACAGTTTAACCTTGACCAGATCCCAGACGGCATTCTCATATCTAAAGCTGCAGGATCTAAGCTGCATCAGTTGAGAGGGGTTACCGCGCTTGACTGGCTTGATGTTATCAATCGTTCTGGCTCTGACTACTCAGCGACAATCAGGGTTGGCTCATGGAACTTTCAAGGCGGCTTTAGTCGACTCGAGGAAGAGTTTGACATCGATGAGCTGCCAGAGGCCGGAGATGATGAATCATTCCTTATTGAGGACCTTTCCATTTATCCCATGGAACACGCAAACCTAGAAACAGTCGATGCTTTGCGGAGCCGCGGTAAAATGTTTTGGAAATGTCGACATCGAAACTATGTCTCCTCATCTCGATTCTCAGATGGTATACAGCCGTCGGTAGGGTATACCATGTCTCCAGCTTTGACTGTTGCTGATTTGGATACGCTTAGATTGACTCTAGATTTATGGTTGATTATCGTACATACCAGCAAATTCACCCTGATCAAAGCAGCGACATAGAAGTCGACGACATTGGGCCCGAAATTATGGCCAAAGATGATCCTCTTCTTGAGGATGATTTCTTCATGTGTCTTCCAACTACCATACCTGGATTCAATATGCAAAAGAAAGAATGGGGTAAGCAATTTATTTGCTCTGATGCCTCACAGATATCAACACTGACAATCATGTGCAGTCAAGTTGGATGTTGCGTTTATCGAGGATGTCACATGGAACCATCGTGCGTTCGAGCATTTGGTCATCGATGATGATACCAAAGAGCTGGTCAAAGCCGTTGTGACCACTAAGCTAAGAGCAGACGAGAATACTGATCTCATACTCGGAAAGGGAAATGGCCTGTTTATACTGCTTCACGGGTATGGCATAAAAGAATACCGACGTGCCAGCTATTTGAGCTAACAACCGTATAGAGGTCCTGGAACAGGAAAGACATTAACGGCTGAAAGGTGACAGCCAATCCAGCTTTCGACTCTTCCTCTTTGTCGTGGCTAATTGATAACAATAGTGTGGCTGAGATCGCGGAAAAGCCGCTTTACCGAGTCACTTGCGGAGACATCGGAACTAAGGCTGAAGACGTAGAGAAAGTAAGCTCGCCTTGCGGCATGCAGAATCAAACGACTTGCTAAATAGCATGTAGTATCTGAACACTGTCCTACTCCTTGGAAGAACATGGGGCTGTGGTAAGTCGACAAGAAACCACTTCTGGGCGTAACCCTAATCTCCATAGTGGTCCTCCTTGATGAAGCCGATGTATTCTTAGAGGAACGTACTCTTCAGAGTCTGGAGAGAAATGCACTTGTCTCAGGTATGAATATGTATTGCATTTGGCATGGCTATAGATGCCTAGCTCTAGAATACAACTGACTTGCCATTTTAATCAGTGTTTCTTCGAGTTCTTGAGTACTACGATGGTAAGGGCCTGATCCGTGACGGGGATCTCAGGTGGAACTAACCAATATTGCAGGCATTCTAATTCTTACAAGTAATCGTGTAGGGACTTTTGATGAAGCGTTCAAGTCGCGCATACAGCTCAACCTCCGGTACCAGAACCTTGATGAAGCCAAGCGTGTCAAGATCTGGCACACCTTTATAGACCGCATCGAAAGTCTGGAGTCGAAGCAGTGCTCTGACGGAGAAATAGACGACAAAGAGTGCGTCATGAGACAAAACAGTGGCATTAACGCAGCAGAAATCCGTTCCAAGATTCCTGAGCTTGCAAAAACGAACCTGAATGGACGAGAAATTCGTAACGCGATCTCGACAGCTCGACAACTAGCGCTTCATCGCAAGCAGCCATTAGGCTATGCTCATGTTGATAGGGTAATCCGCGAGGCAAAGAAATTCGATGAGTATTTGAAAGAGATACATCAAGGGTATACGGCAGATGATATTCGTCGCGGAAGAGGGGAACGGTAGATAGTTGACGGAAAGGCCTTTTGACACGATTCGGTACATGCCTGGCAAATATATATTCAAACACCATTCAGAAATTCGATTTCAAGAGAACTTCTTCGCCCGTGACCCAGTACGATGTGCTTTCAACTTGAACAGGATCTAGCACAGATGGATGGTAACATATGATTGAACGTGCTACAACTTCAAACTTTTGTATAATGCATCATGGATACGTACCGTTCTTGTCAGATATCATCATTTCTTGGAATCTCAGTTGATTCGCTCCCTGTGCCGTGGTTTAGCCGCTAAACTGATCAGCCCCTCCTGACTGGAGCCTCGCCGAGCGTTAGGCCTGTCACGCGAACAAACATTCTTTCGATCAACCACCTTCAGGGAATACATTCTATCATTCTGTTAGAAAACTTCTACCAGCACATGATACGACATTTCACAGAGTGATCTGACCACAGCTGCCAGGAACTCACTTGAGAGTCTATGTGTTGAAAGTGTCCTCAGAGCAACAAGAACATGATGAGCAGTAAAGGTTCCAATATTGAAACCCGACAGCGCCCAGTCAGACTCTCGGACCCGAAAGTTCCGAGTAATCGACCTTTAAGAATTGGAAAGAACAGTGCAAGAGGTCATAGATGCCATACTTGCCGCCCTCCTAAAGTACGTCAGATACGAGTTCTTTAGAAGTCCTGGAAGGAGTAGAGAGAAACTTATAATTGACGAGTCTTTGCCAACCGTAAACAGTTTTTTCTTAACGCATTGGAACTAAAGTAAGTCAATATCAATCCAGAATGCGAGCAGGCAGAATAGTGACTGACATTTTCGAAGAGTACATCGAGCTTCGAACCACTTTCAGGAGCAATGTGTCTGTCCTGAACCTGGCTGTGACCGTGAATTCAATAACAGGAACTCACTTCGACGCCATATTGAAAGCCAGTACGTCGGATTATCTGGCCTGTAACTTGCAGATTCATCGGCGGCTTCACTAACAGAATGATAAGTGAGGGAATAGGAACTAAAACCACCAAGTCATCACTCAAGCAACTGGAACTTCATTCAAATTCTACGGATGCTGAAAGTTTACTCTCAAAAGATGCACCACGGCCAAATCGTCCTTCTACTGGCACTGACAATCAACAATCCAATGAGGGCGAACAACAGTCGGTCTCGCATGGGACGCTTGGAAGCATGCCCGTTGGACAACAAAATGCAACGTACGAGCTCCCAACAGATACGCTGTCTAACTCAATGACTCAACCGCAAGAGCCTCAACCCAAAGAGCAGATGGGATCAATAAATAATTTAGAAGACGCCCCGAGTACCCATATGATTCGGGTACAGGACCAGCTCGAACAGGCCGACGTGAACAACGTATCACAACAAGTACAAGAGAACGAACCAAGCTTTAAGGTCCTAGAAGAACAGCAAACTGTATTGTCTCTTCTTAAAGACTTTAAAGAACCCATGCCATCAGTTCATCAGCTCAGGATGAATTCTATGGATCTCCCGCCGCCTTTGCTCGAGCAGGTTGGATATTACTATAGCGTTCCACCCGAAGCGAGAAAATGGAAAGATGTCTGGAAATGGGCGGAGCAAACTAATGTTTCTCCTTCAATAAGATATAGGCTTGATAGGGTGCAAAGGACGCAATTTGTCGAGTATATGCAGAGACAGATAGAAAGACGCAACCTGCAACAGTCACCGGGGGCACAACAGCAACAGCAACAGCAACAGCAACCACAACCGCAACCGCAAAACTCGCATCAACATCCAGCCCAGCATCTGCGTCAACCCCAGAAGGACGACTTTAACCACGGTCAGCAAGACCCTGACCAGACTTCAAAATTACCAATCCCACCTCACGATGCGCTTCTTATGCAGGTGACGCCCCAAGACCTCATAAATTGTCGCAACGCAAACCCTAAGGTTGCCAGCCTTACCGATGATCAGCTTAGAGCATTCATAATCCAAATCAAGCAACGACAATGGGCTGCCGCCATACAGAAGGAGATGAGCATACCGCAGGCTCAGGAGCAGCTTAAAAGAGTTCCTTTGAAGCTCCAACCAAAAGTCGCCTTGAGTTCTTCTATCTCAATTCACTCCACAATCTCTAAAGATAACACAACCGGCGAAGATGCACGGATTGCTTTACTGTTTGCTGATCTGGGCGAGAGATTGAATAGTTGTCCCAAAACAAGCAGGAAAAACAAGCCTGAGACATAGTAATACTGTTGGAATAGCCGGAACTCCGGAACTCCGGGTTGAAGTGGCTCCGTCGCCGGCAGTCCTGCCGGCACCCGGGCTGCCCACGTGACGGGCAGACCGGCTGACGGCTATAAGACCGACAGCCACTTCCTCCAGCACTTCTGCTAGAACTTCTTCCAGAGACATAGACATACAGAACAACAGACAACCAGTTTCCCCATCAGTTCATCTCACTTCACGGGTATGCTGTGATACCAACAATTACAAAGAGAACCTACAAATCTAGGACCAAATGTAACTTGTCAAAAAGAGAAAAAAAAAAACAGATTAATCTGAAGATTTCGCTTGTGCTGTAAAAGTATTAGTATAGCGGAACTTTTTTGGTGGTGTGATGCTAGCCAGAAGCTCACTTGTGGCCAGTCCAATACCACACATGCACACACTGGCGCATTACATGTAGCTCACTCGACTAGCTAACTCAAAACTGATTACACAAGCCGCGGTCTACATTCTAAAAGACTTATTTACTGTAATACTCAGTATTTTTCTCAGCCCTGCCGGCAGCAAAAAATGCCTTCACAAGTAGTGTATAACCTCAAACTTGCTAGTAGGCAGGTTGAAACCCTTCAAACACTAGGAGTGTGTTAATTGCGGCATTGCAAGTCCGTATAGGCCGTTGGTAATCCAGTATCTATCTCTATTAGGCATGATTTCTCGGATCCTGAGGGTTCCAATTGCTGGATTAACGAGAAACCATACATCGTCGAAGTGAGTCCTGAGGTGATGTCACAGTTTTCTTCGCAGCGGAGAAACAAAAGTCACATTTTCCGCGATATCTATATAGGTATAATTCAACTCTGTAGCATTGTTTCGAAATCTAAATGTGCCATTCCTGCAGAAACGCCTTCGCACAAGCCGCTGCTGTGGCAGCAGCATAATCTTGCCACTTCTTATGCTTATGACTATCAGCGTAATCGCATACAGCTTTGATAACAAGACACGGAAAAGTATCCCAAACCCCCGCGCCCTCCATCTCAAACGCAATAACACCATTCTCCTCCGCGATCCTGTCGCGGTGTTCTCCTGACTTCATAACCTGGTCTCCGCATGCGATATAACCGAAGTGAACAGCAGGCACGGAGACCGATGCGCCGCGCATGATATCCTCAAGCCGCCGACGAGGCACGAGTTTAGCCTTGTCGCAGGAGAGTTCTTCGCATGACGAACTTCGGGCTTGGTCGCAAACGCTATTGGAAACGTTGGCTGGATTTGAGCACTTTTGGCAAGCATCCGGGTTGTTGTGCCTATGCACATATGTTCCTTCAAAAAGCTGATCCTCGGTAGCGCCTGGGTACACTGCTTGGCAATCGGGACTCTGTCTTAGGAATGCGAGGTGCTCACACGTCCTCTCTCGAAATCTCCGGAGATCAGCTCGGCACTTGAGCTTGTTAAGAAGCGACCTGACTTCAACAGGGGGCCTGGCAAAAGCGTCTCCTGGGGAGTTTTTGGTGACGAAGCTGTCTGGAAACCTTCTCCCAAAGTCATAAGCGATGAGGCCTTCGCTGATTATCACATCCCCAAGTATGATCTCTTTCCTTCCTTTGTCGTAAAAAGGAACCCCACCACAAATTCCCACGACTAGTGCGAGCTTCACGTTTGGGAAGCTGCTTTGACATTTTGTCGCCGTGATCGCACCATTGGTCTTCCCCATCCCAGGCATGTGAACGACCACAGTAGGATGCCGGCCGATGATGCCAAAGGTGTAAGCGTTGGTATCTCTAGGGGCCTTCATTTCACTGAGATCCGCATCACAAGGTTTGTCGAAGAGAGCGCAGACAGCGTCGGCTTCCAATGGTAAAGCACACACAACGACTATCCGGACCTCTTCTCGGCTGAAGGTTGACTCGGTCAACCGTTCTGTTGCTTCTTTTGGTTTTTGGAGGATGCTCTCAGGCTTTTGGCCATGAGCGGCGTTCTGAGAGCTATTGGTGGAACACGCTGCCAAGGTTATTGTTTGCGTATCTTGCATGATGTCTACTGAGCTGTCCAAAGAGCGTTAGTCATTAGTTCCTTGAGTGTAAGCCAGTATGACATGCCTCTCCTGGTTAGTTACCATCGATACGGCCCCTGGGTCCTCCCCTGAAGTAGGGGGCTCAAACGCTCGCGGCTCAGGTCTCGTAGGTGACCGATACGGCAACCATAATTGCTTTGGCCCGAGTAGATTTCCTGTAGAAACAAGTGGCCCTTGATCGCGAGATTCCGCAAACATGTGTGGAGGCCCCAGAAGCATCACCTGGAAGAAGCTTGGAGATGATGATTCCCAGAGCTTTCTAGTGAGATGGTCAAACTCCGCTGGCCAACTTCTAACTTGATCAACAAATTCTGGATCTACAACCGATAGATCAAGTATTATTGTTAGTTTAGGAATATTACAGCAAATCTTTCGCAGGAGATCAAACCAATCTTGACTGGTCTTCGCTGTCTTGAAAGAGTCAAGATTTTGGACTAGGAAGGATAAAGACTCGTCCATTTTGACTTGCTGTAGCGCTTGTATAGCAAGTTGCCGTAAAACCACTTCTGGTTGCAGGAGGGTTAAGAGGCTCTTAGCTTCAGATGGAGGAAAGCCACCGAGGATGTGGAGAACTGGTTGGTACTTCTCAAGGTGATCTATCAATTCCAGTCCAAAGCGTCGAACACGTGCAGCTGACGCGAATGGAATCTCCAAGAAGATTGAGGACGGCTTGTCAGAGGTTATCCATTCTTCAATTAGTTTGTTTTGCCAAAGGCTTCCGGTGTCACTGCCCGTCTTCGACGAGAGGCCCAAGCTCCCCACAACATTGAGAAACGCATCAAGCTTTCGTCGCGCATAAGAGGGATCTGAAAGGCGAGATGAAGGCTGACAAAACGCTGGGATTTTCCACAAGAGTGATTTTTCTGGCAGTGACAGCCTGGTCCAGTCTCTTGTGCCCGGGTTGCAATCTAAGCCATCGTAAGATTGAAATTCACCTGTGGCTTGACACGCAAGTGATACATACTGAGAATTGAAGCCCGGAGCAATCTCAAATTGCGAGAACAGTCATCTCCTTGAGTTTTGAGGGTGAAAACGCCCTCAACCACCTCGCGCTCCTCACTTGAGTCCACCTCCCGTGACTCGATCTCGAAAACCTGCCGTTCCAGCTCCAAAACGAAGTTTCTCGGCAGGCCATCCATAAGATCGGCTCTTGTTGACTGGCGACCGAGAAAAGGATATATTTTTTTGTCACTTAAAGGGCATACTGTAGTTGACGTATCATGTTAAGCGCCTGCGAATGGCTGGTGGGATGAGATGTGCGCCCAGATCGAGCGCGTTGGTGGAGCATGATTCCTGGCATTCTTTGGGGCTCAGTGCCAGCCAATGAGCGTGTTCATGGATTTGTCCAATGGGGCCAGTTGTTGTATTCTCAACGGGACCAACAGCAACGGAATTTGTTTTTTGAACTGCACATAAAACTACAGACTATTAATACTTCGTAGGGAAGCAAAGGAAAAAAAAACCTACCTTATGGCCAACTAGACTCAGATCGCCCAGTAGATCTCCACCTTGACGCTCTCCACATGATTGCACCAGCCACCAAACCTTGCCTTTCCCCATACAGTCACCACATCACCCAGCTTTAAGCTACGGACAAACCGCCCACTCCCTGTACCCCGTCCACGGCCAATCTCTTCCAGGTGATCGCCTTCGGTTGACTCTGGGTGGATATTGTCGGTCCACGACCATATTACCTCGTGATTCAAGAATTCTCTAGTGGCGGTCTTGTTTGCTTGTATCTTCAGATTCTCAAGGGGCTTTACGTGGTGGTGATATGCCAGCTTCCCATCGGGTGACGCAACGAGGGGAGGATATACCGATTGGAGGCCGCAAGTGCACAGGTTCGCTGCTTCGGGATCGGAGTTGGAGGGATCGGAATTTGTGGAATTGGGGGGTTCGGAATCAGAGGGTTGTTTCGACGCGGATTGCTTACATGAACCGTCGCCTATTCCGAATCAGTGGTCAGCACTCTAATCTCGTCGCTTCATTAGACATATTGAACGTACACTTGCGATCCTTATCAAACTTCTCCAAACCCGCTTCAAACCATGTCCACGACCCGTGGTAGGTTCCCTGATCATCATACGAACCACCCCAGCCCTGGTCTCTGCTTCTGAACTTGAAGACGATTTTCCGAACGGGGTGAATCAGCGCCGGTGGCTGCGTCATCGAACCAGTAAAGTACTCCCTCGGAGCTTCTCGTGTCGGTTCCGTTGGGCTCGACGAAGGTTCCATCAGTGTCAAGTTCCGCAGCGGCTCTGTCGCTACCGAGCCGTCTGCTGACTTGGGCGGAAGCGGAGCCGTCTTGAATGCCTCCCCAACCTTCTTGTAATCGACGTATCCGATCGGGGGACATCTTACGAGAAGCTTATTCTCTCCCTCGGCGGTTCCGCCGACGATGCGTAGTGCGTCGCGGGCAGTCTGTACTTGGTAAACGAGGCTGGCCTCAGAGTGCGGCCAATACTCGGCTTGATCAATGATGAGGTCCAAGAGCTCAGGTGGAAGATTGAAAGCCCTTTCGAGCGTTACTCTGACTACGATGACATCGATCGGAGAGGGTTTGTATTGCCCTGGCTGGTTTGGCTTATCTCCATCTGATAAGCCAGCACCGCCGTCTGGCGAGGTGCTATTGGTACTCATGATTTTGGCAATGATAACACCTGCTGCGACTGTTGCGAGTGGCCTCACGTAGGACTGCAAAGATGAGAAGAAGGACGACATGGGTATCTCAAGGGATAATATTACAAAGAGGGGTTAAAGTTTAGTAGGCAAGAACAGGAAGCTCGTGGCGTACGCGACAGCAAACATGTGGAGGCGACGTCAGCTCATGACTAGCTGGCAACTTCAGGGTCGGAGCACAGCCGGGGGGCAACTGGTGCTAAAATGGAAGGTTAAATTGACGTCAGTGGGGAGAGTCACTGAGAGTGGGGCCAGGCAGCGCGTCTAGAACCTGAAGCTCAACCATCACCCCGCTGAAGATGGCCTTATCTGTTATCTTATCTACTATCTTCACGTGAAATTGCACCATCTTAGCTGCCGATAATGGAGCTTTGCCATCATAGCTACAGCTTACAAACCAGCCGAGGGAAGACTGGGAAAGGCGTCGATATATATATATCTTTGCGAGGGATCTTTGACCATATCCTGGATCTTTGCATAAGTCCAATTTATTATCTACAGTCATGAAGTGCCAGAAGCTTGCCTCGGCGGCACTTCGCCAGGTCCGTACACCTATTCCCCGGACCACAGCTCCGTCCGCTTTTCGGAGCTCCCCGCCTGTCACGGCCGTACCGCTTGGCGCCCGCCACTGCTCCCGACAATTCCACTCGAAGCCGGCGCGCAAGGCGTCGAGCAGCCCTGGCGATGCATCCAACCCAGCCATGGCGTTTCCATGCCTGGACGCCTTGGAGAATCGATCCGCAAGTCTCGAGGCGAGATACGAGTCGAGTGGCCCCGAGCCATCCTACACAGCCGGCGCGACCGAGATATACCACTGCAAAGACCCCCTCCTGCTCGACTGGGGCGGTGTTCTTCCCGAGTTCGATATCGCTTATGAGTCTTGGGGTGCGATGAATGCCGACAAGTCGAACGTTATCCTCCTGCACACTGGTCTGTCTGCTTCGTCTCACGCGCACTCGACAGAAAGCAACCCGAAACCCGGTTGGTGGGAAAAGTTCATTGGACCTGGTCTTGCTCTGGATACGGATAAATACCATGTTATCTGCACGAATGTTATTGGAGGTTGCTACGGTTCGACAGGACCGAGCAGTGTCGACCCGGCAGACGGCCAGCGATATGCGACGAGGTTTCCAATCTTGACCATGGAGGACATGGTGCGCGCGCAATTCCGCCTGCTTGATGGACTTGGCGTGGACAAGCTGTATGCCAGTGTTGGCTCCAGTATGGGTGGAATGCAGTCATTGGCCGCTGGTGTCCTGTTCCCCCACCGTGTCGGCAGGATTGCTTCTATTAGCGGTTGCGCCAGGAGTCACCCTTACAGCATCGCCATGCGCCACACGCAGCGGCAAGTGTTGATGATGGATCCTAACTGGAACAGAGGCTTCTACTATGGCAGAGTCCCTCCCCATGCCGGTATGAAGCTGGCAAGAGAGATTGCAACCGTCACCTACCGCTCGGGACCAGAGTGGGAGCAGCGGTTTGGCAGGAGGAGGGCAGACCCCAGCAAGCCGCCGGCGCTGTGCCCTGATTTCTTGATCGAGACCTACCTCGATCATGCAGGTGAGAAGTTCTGTCTGACCTACGATCCCAACAGTCTGCTCTACGTCAGCAAGGCGATGGACTTGTTTGATCTCGGCCGGGACAACCAGCTTGCCGCCAGCGCGAGGAGAGCAGAGCGTGAGAAGCTTCTTCAGTCCGGAGTTTCACCTGTTAGAAATGATGCCGCGTGCAGCCTGACTCTCCCCGAAATTCCCTACGAGGAGCAGCCCGAATCCAATGCTGGTGTTTCGGACCAGCCCGTGGAAGTATCCTCCAGACCTCCTGAAGATCTGATCGCTGGTCTCGCGCCTTTGAGAGATACTCCCGCGCTAGTCATTGGTGTTGCCAGCGACATTCTCTTCCCCGCTTGGCAGCAGAGGGAAATCGCTCAGTCCCTCAAGCTGTCTGGCAACAGAAACGTTGCACACGTGGAGTTGAGTGAGGAGATGAGTTTCTTTGGCCATGACACCTTCCTTTTGGATCTGAAGAACATTGGCGGAAACCTGAAGAACTTCTTGGGTTGATCAGACAAAATCCAACACCAAGGATACTATCGTCACCAGCTTCCAACGTAAATATCATGTATCAAAAGTTAATTGCATGCCATCCGGGAGTGTGTGAGGATGGAGGAGTTAAGGAGAGTGGCTTACATGGCTATTTAAGATTCGACCATACGTCATTTGTTACATTAGCACAGGTTTAGCGAAAAAGGCTTACTTTTATTCACAAGATTCTTCATTGTATTTATACGTAGGGTGACTACATTGCCAAGGTATGCAGCTCTGTATTACCTTTGGCGCTTGTCCGTTGTGCGGCGAAGGAAATGGAACACTGTCATTTTTCCTGGATCTTGTATATGGCACTTCTAGTGAGATATGCGCTGTGTATTTGACTTGCCTCAATGAGTTTCTTTCACTGGATAGGGAATGTCTTGCTATTGGATGGCCAATAATGAGCACTCAACTGAGCAAACTTGAGACCTGGCGCTCAATATTATTTAGGAAAGGTTACACAAAGGAAAGGGGATAGCCCCCAGACAGATAAGGTAGGTCAGGTAGGTAGGACGTGTGCCGCCTCGGTTAAACAGCGGGCTATGCATCAGCTATAGAGTGTGGGTGGTCCGGAGGTTCTGGTTTTACAGGTCCGGAAGATATGAATAAAGTTGAAGAGGAAACGCTGAATTAACTACACAGTGCAAGGTTTCCATTCAATAATGCGACTTGATTAAGTTACTTCTAACGCTTCTAAAAAGAAATGCATGCATATCAACAACCAAAAAGTTGATTGAAACCCCGTCTCTACTCTATTAATATCTTGGTTCTCCAGACCTACTACTTGAAGGTTCCGAAGGCTTGGGTTCAGACACGCTTTCACTGTTATCCGTGTCTCTCTTACTAGCATCATCAAGAGCATAGCTGGAGGAGTCATTCGAGCCCAACTTCTCGCGGCCAAAAATCAATCCTGGATGTCCCACGTTGAGACAAAATACGGCGATAACCATGACGCTACAGGACTGTCAGCCAATGCACCACACAACGTAAAGGAAGAGTTCTTACGATGATTCCAAAGCAATGAAAAGCGGTTGGTCCCGGAACCAGTGGCTGAAATAACCTTCATGCAATTCCACGATGCGGTAGACGCATCGGAGGAGGATGAAGAAAGTGCTGAGCCCCAAAAAGAGGAGAAAAAGCTTGAGCTTGCCACTCATCTTCGTCCGGCCCATGGAGCGGCTATATCTTATCATGTAGTCTGCGAACAGTGCCGAGAACACCAGCAGTGAGAAGACCTGAAAGACCAAGCCGGCCAAGGAAATGTTCACGCCGCGGTCAACAGCCTCCTTTGTGGTGCTAACTGATGACATGGCTCCGCCAACGGCCTGCAAAATGAGGGAGACGATATCGGCAGGAATAAAGATCCAGTAGAAGAGTTTCGGCTTGACACGGGATAGCGAGGGGTCTAGATGGTTAATTCTGTGCCGGGAAATTGATTAGTTGCTTTTTCGATGCCTCTGCGGACTTTGAACAGGGGTCATTTACGTTTGTGATAACAGGACGTAGATTGCTGCGGAAAAGAATACCGGCGCGACGGTAATACAAACTATCACGGCCGTTAGCGCCGAAAGTCCGCCAGTTTGTTGGCCAAAATGGAAGACGAACTGATTTGCATCAAAAAGCCCTGAAAGTCAAATGGGTTGTCGTATATCAAAAGCCGTCCGACATAGCCAACAATTTCCAGAACGCAGCCGCTTATCATGCTACCCATAAAACCCCATGTTCTCGACCGGATGCCCTGCACAGCATGTATTATCAAGGCGACTGAAAAGAAGGCGATAAAAACAGCGCTCGCGGGTACCGAGGGTCGGTATTGGAGGATACTCCATTCTATCGGGCAGAGTTCGAGGGTACAGTTAGCCTGTGGACCGAAAGCAATGAGGCCGTCGGGTAGTCGTGACATTTTGATGGGATCGAACAAAGATGCGTCGTTGGCATCATATCTCGCATGCGATGATGTAGGGCGGGTATCTATATATGTACTAGACTAGCCATTCGGTCCTTAGTATTATTAAAGAAGGATTAAAAAATAAAAATAAAAATAAAGGTGTGCGTGCCGACAGGCCCGATCTTCCGCAGGATTCGGCGTGAATGGGTATCCGACAATCACTAGCTTCGTCGCGTCAGAATGGTGGCTCAGACATGTTCGGAAGTGGTCCGCTGGCTGGCCGGTCTCTACACAACGTACCATACAGCAAGGCGGCATCTACTTAAGCCGCTAGCCTAGCCTGCTTCGTCGGGCGATGAAAACAACATTTTTAAGGGTGACAAAATCCGTAGCCACCATCCGGATGCCCCGGTCTTCAATGACGTTGAGATAATAAGCCGTGGTGGCGCAAAGGTGCATAATTGGGGCACTACTAATCCAGTTGACTGGGTGGGTTTTCAGTTAAGGCTTCAGCCGGTTACGCTGACATGTTTTATTCAATCGATGATTGGGTTGAGTTGAGTTAACGCGAAAAGAATCATTCATCTCTACGTTGCAGTCGACTGCCTGGTACAAATTTTTGATGAGATCCAATACAACAGAGGGCCAGGGAACCTCGTGGCTGCCCGAAGCTAAGATGGGGAGTGCACCAAGCTGTCGTCCAAACCCTTGGCTCATCCTTTCCTCAAACGGAAATAATGTCGCGACGCTAGCTTCGTGTGGGTCTCCCGTTCGCGTGGGTCGTCCGATTCCCGCTACTTCGTCTTTAACGTGGCCACTAAGGGCTGTGGCTAGGGAGACACTGAACGTGACACGAGCGCGTTTGCGGAATCTTATTGCGTATTCTCCAAGACTTTCTCGTTCTCTTACCATTGTCAACCATGTGAATAAAGCGGGACTAGATTAACTTTATCATGGGTGGACGCGAGAAATATGCCATATCCGGTTAAAACGTCGCGATAGAGCCTTGTTGCCCTCTTTTTGTTTACCGACATAGCTTTACCCCAACTCGATAAAGCCTTGAGCCTCAACACCGGGAGGCGCAGCGTAGCACACATGCCTGAAAAAGCCAAAATCTCGCGAAGGAAACTGGCTCAGTGACTCCCAAGTTCTTACGTCACTCTGGAATGCGAGAGGTTACGTGGCACATAAGTGCCCCCACACAGCCTTCTCCAGGACCTCGTATACCATGAACCTCTAGGCACTATGGAACTTACATTTTGCATATGCAATTGTCTTGCCAAGAGTCACTTTCTCATCCAGAGAGGTTACACAACTAGTTGGATCATAGCATCATCTAATTTTGGAAAGTTTGTCGTATATGTCGTGTAAAGATTGGCTACTTGGAACTACCAAAACAGCCGGCTCTTGATTATTATCCCCATAACTGTCAACATTAAACGTGTCAGAAAAGCTATATGACGACCAGTTCAATGACTTGAAACCGTTCTTGTTTAGTTACTAGATATGAATTGCTTGCTTGGGCGCATAATGTGCATCTGTTTCTCAATGGTTGACAACATTCGGTCGAAGATGCTGATTGATCAGGAGCTTGCACTGAGTGTGCACAGAGTAAAATTTAGACGGTAAAGTAGAGAGAAAGGAGACCTGAAGGTTCCACCTTTAACTCTAGCGTTTAATTCATGTTTGAGTGTGAAGATTCTGGAATTAATAAGAGTCTACGAAATACCTAGTGATGTTTGTTTTTCTCTACTTTCACTGAGGTTTTGTTATCGCCCTGTGAATTCCAAAGAATTTGGTGAGAGTTCCTTTCGATACAAAATTGGATGTTACCCCAATGAATGCGAGATGACTTCACTATTGGAAAGGCTGAAATCCTTGACTCGATAGCTACTCCCCCCCACACACACACACACACACACACACATTTGTTGATACCGAAGTCGTACATCTATCATTATGTTATTGCTGCCGTTACGATGTAGCATTCTTTACTAATGAACACTGCTGTTACGTTTGTCATACACAGAAGCTGGAAAGAGTAATGGGGGCAGAAGCCCTGATTGCCAGGCGCGGAATCGGGGACTCGGGGAATCGGGGGTCGGCGGTTGGTGGTCGGTGGTCGGTGGTCGGGGTCGGAGGTCTGTAGTCAGAAGGTAACACAGGCGGTACCGGTGGAACCAGCGCCTAGCAGGTGGCGAATGGAAACTTTAAAGATGGGTTGTCAATCCCAAAAGGGGATTAAGAGGCCCAGAGATGAATACAGTCACCATCATCTAACCTCTTCACTCTGCGCCGCACCTTCCTCTGACACTGATTGGTTTCACCCCGACTTGACGAAAATGGGTTTATCTCGCTTCTCTATGAGATATAAGGCTGGTTAGAAGGAACTATCGAATGAGAATACCAGGCATAAGAGAGCAGAGCCTCATCTGTGACAACCTTACGTAGCAACACACGGGCACAACCTCCACTATCCTCGTTCGCAGGCACCTTGCTGTTAAAGCCGGAACCTGATCAGAATGACTTGGGAGATACTGTAACCGGATGTCTTCAAAGGCATAAACTATCGTCGTTCATTGCGAGCGGAAATAGTAGAGACAAGCGCAAAACAAAAAGGACGAAACATTGAATTCGCCGTTTCCATGAGTTCTCTGTAAGGCAAGACAGTTTAAATGAAGTAGATATGAAATCTATAACCGTCTATTTAACGCTATTCGTAAGATATAACCAGTTGCTTTCCCAATCTCCTCTATAAACATTTGATTTTACCAAGCAATTTCTGCGAAGCCTGTGGTTGGTTGGGTTGCCAGTTCCCCAAAAGGTACACTTTAAACTCATCCGCCACATTGAACCCACGGCTCTGGACGGTGTCGAGGAATTTCAACATTCTCTGCTTCTCTGCCGCTGTAACCATCTCCCAGCCGACGAAGTCGGCAAATGGCAGGAAAAGGGCTAGGTCGAGCCCTAGTTTATCGATCATCTCCTCGACATGTCCGAGGACAGCCAAAGCCTGCTGATGCAGGACCTCATCAGACATGACGGGTAAATCACACATAAGTGACTGCCACGCATCGTGTTGAAACATGTGAGACAGCCCTGTAAGGGCCCAATTGTAGTAAGGACTAACGCTGGCAGAAACCCCGTCTTGTGGCCCTTCAGACAGCTGGATGAGGTTGGCGATCATACGGGACTGCAATGATGTAACTTCACAAACTATATCCAAGCCTTGTACTTTCAGGTCGATAAACTCTTTGGATACATCGGCTTCCTTCTGTGGCAGGAGTTTATGTGCTTCGATTTTGGATATCCAAGCCACAACCCTGATATCGTTAGATTTAAAAAAAAAAGAAGAAGAAACATGTCCACGTGTTTCAGTTACCCACCTTGGCTGTAAGTTTGCCCATTGCCACATGGAGGAAAGCAGGCCATCAAGTATTCGCGACTCCAAAGATGGACCCGTTACAACACGACCAGCTGGTTCCAACATGAGTGGTCGCGCCGGCCACGGCTCTGGAAGAACTTGCGGTTCAACGGGGTTTTCGACCCGGGCGATGGCAGAGAGAATGTCAAGAAACTTGAAAAAGCGAACTAAATCTCTCTCGAACGGAGTCCATGCGGAGGCTGGCTGGCTTTTGCTGTACGCCTTCAGAAACATTGAGATTCTCGAAAGCCATGTTTGGAAACGACCATCCTCTTGACATAACATTAGCTGTTACAGATTAGTTTAATGTTGAAAAAAAGAATTGATTTCAACTGTGCGGACCTCGACCACTGCTAGCAACATGGCGCTGATGAAAATGGGGGTAAACCTGGCTACTTCAGGCTTCTTCAGTTCCAGTTCGATAAGAGATCTCTGTCGCAGCCAGGTGTTCATGACTTTCCGCCTCTCTTTCGCATTGATATGTAGGACTTGGGGGTTCCGGCAACCGTACAAGGCTCCCACGATGGACAAAGTGCGGCTGACATTCTCGTCTTCATGAGACAAGGCTATCACGGCAGCGCCCCGTAAGACAGATGCTTGCATGAGAGAGCCCATCGCCTGGAAGTATGTACTGATGTACCGCCATGAGTCCTGTATCAAGGTTCTGGGGATTCTGGAAGGACCCCCTTGAGGCACGAACAGGAAGTTCGACGAGGCCTTGGAAGTGGTGCACTCGGAGCCGCGTGTAACACAGCTTGAACAAGGGCGGCCACCATCGCACTGCCCAAAATTAACACATTCATATTGCAATTTTATCTCGAAAAGATTGTGAAAAGATCTAGGTACCTTGATATGCGACTTTTTGCAAGGTGCACAGCGGTGCCCGACACGTCGCCGGTCAAGCTGCCCGCATGGCATTTGTTCGGCTGGGCTGTTGGGGGAACCACAAGTTGGAAAATCTGCCCACCATCGGACACGGAGGCCGTTTTTCGGGGAATATAGAACGTCAAGGGTGCCCGAAAGCTTCGGGGCTACAAATATGGATTTCGGAACGAGTGGAAGATTCTCACCGGTCAGGTAAGCCGCGGATACCGGGGGGGGGCATACGGAAGTTACGGGGCGATAACAAGTACGTTGTTGTGTGGCGCAGGCCATGATTACATCAGCCCATTTGCAGCTTTTGTTTGTTAGCGTGAGAAAAGGGGGCCCCATAGCCATTTTGGGTAGTGCTCGTAGGTAGCCCTGCGCGGGTGCAATATCGGTTGATAAAGTAAGAAGATATGTTGGTGAATGTTACACACCCGACACTATCGTTTTCTCGTCTTTTGAGTTCATCAATCTAATGAAGCGTATATCCGTCAATAGCACAAAGCTTCTTGTCGATATTATATAGTAAAGTTCTTGCAACAAACCTAAGCGGCATGCCGAGGATTATTTCATACGAAAAGTGCGGACTGCCAGCTGTGTCGTCTCAGTCCCACCCGATGGGAGTTACGAAAATGGTAGGTGCACATATTATAATGCCGATCGATAATGAATAAGCTTTCTGGAAGCAACGTGATGTCTCAATGGTTCTACATTCCAATCCGTATCAACACGTGTTTGCCCTGCTTAGTCACATCTCCTGCAATATCTGAAAACCAAGCCGGCCAATATGCCGCAGTCCAAGTCGGCGATTACTGTGGGGAAGGGAGAAGCAGCCCTGAACTGTTCACTAGCGCATGCCTCCCTGTTAGCCTATCTTGCGTGAATGGTACCGAACCCGAATCCTTCGGTTGGAATTAGGGACCCTCAGCCCTCTCATACCACTTCTGCCAGGATGCTGGTGGGTTTCAGCCTTTTGTTGATAGCCTACTATTGAGACTGAGTGATTGTCAATGATTTCGACCAGCTTAAAGCTTTCAAGCCTCTGTTCCTTCACACTCTCACAAGTTTGAGAGGTGCTGTTCCGAATCTCCTGCACGAAATAGGTGTTAATTTTAAACCAGCCCCAGCATGTTGCAACCCCCGAAGCCTCAATGGCTGCTGGCTGTTGTGAGAGATCACTTCTATTTGCTTGGTGTAGCTAGGCTGAGGCACAGTGCAGTTGTCGCCCCCGGGTTAGTGTGCAACTAATCAAGTCCTGGACCTCCGTATGGGCAGTGAATCCCCACCGACTTACTGGCCCTATGCGCCAAGGCGAACAGACAGGCGTAGAGAGACGCTGGTTGGGACAGATGGGAAAGGACCATGCATAAAGGGGCGGCGAATTAGGTGAAGGCTGACGGAGCATTTCTTATTGCGAGAGAAAGATAAGAAACGAGAAATGTCAGCTCGGTTATCGTCTGTATGATGGATGTGAGACATTCAACACAGCGGGAACACTCTCTTTTTGAATGGTTAAGACAAATAATTGCTGGATGCGCTCAACCAGAACGACAAAAACGCAGTCTCGAGTCACTTTCAAAAGACATTGACCGCCCCCCCGGCCGGTGAGAAAACAAGGAGTCCTTGTTTTCCTGCAATTCTGGACCTCATAATCGAACGGCTGTACCTGCAGAGGTGACCGCCCCAACCCCTGCAGACCTGCCTGTTTACTCCAACAAACAAGCAGCTAACCCTTGCTCAGCCCCTCATGGCCCGCCCACATTGACGCCCAGCCCAGTGGCCCCCTCCCCCCCCCTTGGCTGGCGAACCACTATCGACTTCTCGTACTCTCACAACCGGTCGCCTCGAACGTGTCTATCACACAACGAAAGGTACTTTTGGGGTTTTGTCCTTTTGATTTTTAAAATTGCGACTGAAAAGCTCAGCAAGCTAATGCAATCCTTCTGAGTGAAGTGACGTGTTCTATGTAAAAACAGACACAATCAGCCGTCTTTCTAGACTAGATGCCCGTGCTGAACATTAAATTCATACGGTAAGCTTAATGTGAAGATATACGAGTTCATAAACTAAGAGAAAGATCGACGACTTCCATATTGTTTGAATCTTTGCCTCCGAAAGGGGCGAGCCATCGGGCCCATTATTTAAACCTTCAAAGACGGCCAGGCCATGGGTTTTCATCTTAGTTGTCATATGGAGAACTCCGCGCGGCCTCGCAGTAATTGGCTGCACCGGCCTCCATGTGGTTCGGGTTTCTTCACAGGTCCGTTGGAAGAGGAGCATTCGAGGGGGGGGGGGATCGTAAGGTGGGAGTCGGCGAAGCACCGGAGACGTCGGCGATATGAGTGCCGTATTAAGCTAGTTAATAAGGACCTGGAAGTGGGCTTCCATTGACTCATGCCAACATCGATTGGCCGGTTTGCGACTCATAAAATTATCCAAGAACAATTTGAAAAGTCTAACGGGCGGGGCACGGCAAACGGCCTTGACGACATGCCATCAACACTTACATTTGTGCGTTTCCCTTTAAAAAGGGCCCCGCCATAATATGTTAGTGATTCTCTTGGCACCTTTCGTGTGAGGCCAAAGGGCCTTGCCTGCTTTTGGCCATCCAGACGACATCACCAACAGAAAGGACAAATTTCTGCAGGCTTCAGGGTGCATTGACCTACTATTTTCGGGATTCCCATCCCATCTCCCGCCCTGCAGCTAAATGATGGGACTTTAGTACCTTCTCCATTTCCCAGAGACCCGGACAACTCTGCAGGCGCCAAGTCTCACTTGGCCAGGTTTCTTTTCTTTTCCACTGCAAGGCAGTGTGCGCCTCGCGAGGTCTCCCCTCCATGACTCGACCTTGTTTTGGCACTTGAGACTAAATATCCTTGCCTGTGAATCTTGGCAATTTAACGGGATGAACATGATGGAGACGTTGGCATCGGCTTCGCGCATAAGGGGGCACTGCAGACTTGGCATGGGAAAGATGGGATATATGGGAGCCCGCATGCCGTGACGCTTCGAGGAGGATCTTTTCTTTCTCTCTTTACAGCTCTCTGTCAGCCGCATTGTTGTTTTGACAGTGTCACTCACTCGTTATCTAACCACAAGTCATTCTTTATAATAATACTCAATAACTAGTCATTCGTTCTCTAACATGCATCTCAAGACCGTCACCGCCTCCCTCCTCGTGGCGGGAGCCGCCGCTTCTCCTTTCCGCCGCCAGACCTCCAACGAGACCTACTGCGACGATGAGCTCCCCGTTTCGAAGCCCACCACCACCTCTCACTACCCCCCGTTCCCCGTGAACACCACCATTCCCGGCGTTCCCTCTAACCCGGGTGGCAACCCTTCGTACCCGGGCAAGCCCACCAACCCTGGCGGCGAGACTCCCTCGTGGCCCGGCAAGCCTAACCCCGGTGGCAACAACCCTTCAAACCCGGGCAAGCCTTCCAACCCCGGTGGCGAGACTCCCTCATGGCCCGGAAAGCCCAACCCCGGCGGCAACAACCCTTCTAACCCGGGCAAGCCCTCCAACCCCGGCGGCGGCGAGACTCCCACCACGCCCGGCAAGCCCTCCAACCCCGGCCAGTCCCCCGCCTTCAGCCAGGCTGCCGACGATGAGTCTCCTTCCAAGGGTGATGACTCTTCTTACCCTGGCAAGCCCTCCGCTCCGGGCGCCTCCCAGCCCGCCAACCCCGGTGGTAACGGCAACAATCCTTCTAACCCGGGTAAGCCCACCAACCCCGGCGGCGAGACTCCCTCGTGGCCCGGAAAGCCCAACCCCGGTGGCAACAACCCTCCTTACCCGAGCAAGCCTTCCAACCCCGGCGGTAACTACCCTTCGCACCCCAGCAAGCCCGCCGTTCCCGGAGTTCCTAGCTACATTCCTTACCCCGTGAACACCTCCATCGCCTCCGTCACCCCCTCGTTCACTACCATCCCTGGCGTTGCCCTCCCCAGCGAGCCTGTCGTCAGCACCACCGTCCCCGTTAGCAGCAACGGTACCGCCTCGGTTCCCGTTCCCAGCTCTACCGCCCCGGCAACTACCATCCCCTACGGCGTTGCCATCACCAAGTGCACTGTCCCTGGTGACTTTGCCCTCACCTTCGATGACGGTCCTTTCACTTACACCGACCACGTCCTCGACCTTCTTGCTGAGGCTGGTGCCAAGGCTACCTTCTTCGTCAACGGAGAGAACTTTGGCAACATCAACGATTTCCAGGGTGCCATCAAGCGCATGGTTGCCGACGGTCACCAGATCGGCTCTCACACGTACAGCCACCCTGATCTTTCCACTCTGGGCGACGCCGACATCATTCCCGAGATGACCTCGCTTGAGGATGCTCTCATCAACATCATCGGAAAGTACCCCACGTACATGCGCCCTCCCTACTTCAGCTGGAACGACAACACTCTCTCCATCCTCAAGGCTCTTGAGTACCACGTCATCCACGCCGATGTTGACTCCCTCGACTACGCCAACAAGGAACCCCTTGGCAACCTGACCAGTGTCGGTATCTTCGAGAAGGGCGTTGACGCCGGTGGCTCCATTGCCCTGGCCCACGAGGTTAGTAGATCTGCAAGCCGTTTCATCAAGTTAGTCTTCTAACAATATTACAGGTTCACCAGAACACCGCCGAGTACCTCGTCCCTGAGTTCCTCCGTATCATCAAGGAGAAGAACCTCCGTGCTGTCACCGTCGGTGAGTGCCTTGGCGACCCTGAGGCCAACTGGTACAGAACCAAGCGCACTTCCACCCCCACTGCCACCGCCTCCAAGATTGTCGTTTCCATCACCAGCACCTCCACCCCCACTGGTGTGATTGGACCTGATGGCGCTTGCGGCGGCTCTGAGGGCTACGTCTGCCAAGCCGGCTTCTGCTGCTCTGAGTACGGATTCTGCGGTTCTTCTCAGGCCTACTGCGGTACCGGTTGCCAGCCTCTCTTCGGTGTTTGCGGTGCTGCTGCTCCCGTCCCCTCCGGCGGCGGCTCTTCCGCTTCCGTCTCCGCCAGCGCCCCTGCCGCCACCAAGACTGGTGGTGTCAGCCCTGACAGCTCTTGCGGTGGTGAGAACGGCTACACCTGCCCCGGCACCACTTGCTGCTCTGAGTACGGATTCTGCGGCACCACCACCGCTCACTGCGGTACTGGTTGCCAGCCTCTCTTCGGTACCTGCGGCTCCGCTGCCCCCGCTCCCTCTGGTGCCTCTGCCACCGCTAGCGCTCCTGCCGCTACCCAGACCTCCGGTGGCATCAGCCCCGACAGCTCTTGCGGCGGTGACAAGGGATACACCTGCCCTGACAGCACTTGCTGCTCCGAGTACGGATTCTGCGGTACTACCACTGCCCACTGCGGTACCGGCTGCCAGCCCCTGTTCGGCAAGTGCACCTAAACCAAAAAACAAGGCTTCGTAGTGTCTTTTTGAGAGTTTTGGCCTGATGTAATCACCGGAACTTGGGGTGGTTTTGGTTTGGACTAATATCTTTTTTCCTATTTATATCCTGTAGACTTTTTGTATAGCGAATAAAGTTGTACTTACTTCATCAGTGATATATAGCCTTCTCAAACCAATGCAAAACTAGACAACTTGGCATCCATTCTATGTCCAAAACTCAGCAAGTGACATTCCCAGGGTAATGCGATGAACAAGCAAGAGTAATTGAGGTTTGTCCTGGATTTCACTCAGCTCTGCAAATCTTTCAGCAAGTGGTGAACCAACGGCCGAGTCATAGATCTCCAGTAACATCATATATGAGACGCCTTGGTAAAAAGACGACCAATTGCAGCACCGCGTACGGAAGTGCCGTTGCAGCTGAATAAATTAGTCAATGTCTGGTTTGTGGTGCTACAATATAGTCGGGACAATGTTGTTTACGTCCCCAGTAACTAAATGTGTGCCGGGGGGCCTTGGCTACGGCCAACTTACCCAACGTAACGTTCACTAGGCGAGCCTAGGCGGGAATTGCCTAGAATGATGCATCGGGATTATCCGATCCACGCTGCATACCTCATCTGGAAGGCCTTTTGAGCTTGACCAGCAGGGGGGGGTGTGTTTTGACGTATGATTCGCATCTCGCGCTGCTTTGTAGCCCGAATGCGTCCCAAGTCCACCAGTCAACGGTCGACGATGGTGGTGTACTGGTAGAAAGACCGGTGTTCTGCTGTGTGTATTGGTGGAAACATTATCTTGCATCTAATCGAGATTGGCGAGTATCTCGTTTCCGGGTTTTATAAAGGGGGTTTACGCTGATGATCCTTCTGCACGACAATTTAGTCGTCGAATACAACGTAATTTATGTATGCCATAGAACACCGAGAAGGCTAAAGCTCAGTGTAACATGATGACATAGCAAAAGCTGAATGATTATCTAGAGAACGAAGAGGGGAAATGTGACTGGATCCTCGGGGCTACTGAAGAGATGGCTACAGTTGCTGGTATGAATTTGGATTTTGAGATGCGCAATATGGGGGGGGGAGGTCTAGGTTCGAGGCATCTCTGGATGTTACGGAAGCCCACATCATCACAACTTGGTGGAATTCCAGCGCTAGTTCATCTCCCCCGCTATCGTCGCATGACATTGTTCTGAAGCATGAAAAACTGGCCTTCGGTATCGTGGGCCATTGGCTTCGGGATAGTTTTGCCTCGGGACAGTATGAGAACCTGTCTCTAAGTCAGCCTAACCTCTTTAAAAGCCTTCATAATTCGACAAGTATTTCGATTGTTAGAAAATCACACCCTCATACTTGACTATTCTGTTGGCAGCCTGTAAACATGTGGCTGAATCTGTTCATTGGGCGTTCCTTCCTCTTCCTCTTGTTGTGGGGCACATACCTTTTAGTCTCTGCTTCAAAACCTCATGATGCCGCCTCCAAAGCAGTGTATACCTGTACCGTTCCAGCAAACAATGACGGTACCGACGACTCCCCGGCGATACTAGACGCATTCAAGGAGTGCCGCAAGAATCGTCGCATTGTTTTTTCAAACACAACATATCACATCCGCCGTATGATGACCACGACGGATTTGGAGAATACTCAGATCGAGATCCACGGTACCTTGTTGGTATGGTTGTTTTCAGTGAAAACCGAAATAGAGAGATTCCCCATCACTGACATTTAATTCTAGTGGAGTGATGACACGGACTACTGGCTAAGCAACCCCCAGCCTACTGGTTTCCAAAATGGCTCTGCCGCTTGGTTTCTAGGCGGTAAAAACATCACCGTGGATGGTTTTGGTTACGGGACTTTGGATGGAAATGGCCAAGTCTGGTATATCTACGCCTGAGCCTTACCATTGTTCTTAGGACATGGGTTAACACTAACATGCAATTAGGTACAATCTCGTCAAGGGGCAGTCCATGTATCCGGATCGACCACACGCTCTGGCAATCTGGAAAGCAACGGACATGACGGTACGCAATCTTCGCATGGTTCAAAGCCAAATGTGGACCATGGCAATCATGTGGTCGAAGAATGTCCTCTTTGACGGGGTCTACATCAACAGCACTTCATCTAATGGCTACCCCGCCAGAAACACTGACGGAGCAGATACCATCAATTCGGACCATATCACCTTCCGCAACATGTACATCCGAAACGGAGACGACGCCATCGCCATAAAGGGCAACTCTACTAATATCTTGATCGAGGACTCCACCCTTGACCGTTCTCTTGGCATTGCATTCGGTAGTCTCGGCCAGTATAAAGGCGAATTCGAACGCGTCGAGAACGTTACTGTTCGCCGAATTAAGGGCTTCAAAACTCGACACGGCGCCTACGTCAAGACGTGGACGGGTGACCAAGTATCCTACCCACCGAATGGTGGTGGAGGGGGGATTGGCTGTAAGTCTTTTGGTTGTGATCATCATAACAGAACATCAATTAATCTGAAATACCCATAATAGACCTTCGGAACGCAAGTGAGTTTTGATACTCTTCGCTACCTGTGAAACTTTTATCACTAATATCATTCCAGCCTTGACCGACTTCAATCTGACGCAAGTGCAGCAAGCGCCATTCGTAATCGGGCAATGCACAAGCTTTAGCGAGAGCAGCACCTACAAAATCTCGGACATGGTGGTTCGTGAGTGGATAGGGGATGGGGCCTCTAGTTATGTTGCAGACATGGATTGTAGCAAAGGGGCGGGCGGCTGCGAAGACATTACCATCGAAGCTGTCAATCTGAAAAACACGACCACCGGGGCCGCTGTTGCACGATATCGGTGCAGAGATGTTGCTAGTTTGCGTGGCTTCGAGTGCAGTTAGGATGGCATACTTTGCGACTGGGCAATCGGTCTTATGCTCATGGCTCTAGCATAGAGCGGCCATCTGTATGCAAATGATTCGGTTTGCTTATAGGACCAGCTGTAAAATGTTGAAACCGGAACTCCTTCAATCATTATGACAGTGCCAACCCCCTTCCTATTGAATAACTTTCAGCACACTCATAACTTTGTGCCAGAGTCAAATCCTGCTCTGCCATAAAGACTTTAGAGATATACACTTTGGATTTGCGTGCTGTGACAGACTTGACAGCCATGTGAGACAAGTTGGCATCTTTAGCTACCTTAGTTAGTGCACATATCTGCGAGCGGATACTCAAGTCATAAGGCCCAATTCTCTTGTCCACGACGTTTGTTACTACAACCCAAACTGGGGTTGCCTCGCAAATAATTCTCTCATCAGAAATTTTAATAATGATGCCTGAGCCTAGGCGTTGCCTTTTGCTCGAATCTGGAGCCGTGATGGAAATGTTATTGTCATTCCGATGTCTTTTACTCACCACATAAATGGCATTTTTCTCTTTGTACTAAGCTCACTGACGAATCCAAGTTGACAATTCAGCAGTTTACGTTATTGTGGTTTACAACTCTTCTTAGGTTGTCGACATCTTTTACGCAACATGAATGTTGGTAGTCGCCGTGACTTGCTCAGCAGCCCCTCATCAGCGGGGTGGGGCTCGACTCAAGACAAGATTCGCAGAAAATGGTACCATCGGCCACTTTTTTGACCTCTCAACAAAACCCGCAACTTTACCTCTCACAGCACCTTGGGTATCCGATTGCTTGACCATCTTTGACTAAACAGAAGTATGGCATCCGGACCATCACTCCTCACCAACTACATAGCCTTTCAAAGGCGAGATGGCACTCCCCCGCAGATCGGCCACCTTGACCAAGGGCAGAAGACCATTCAGCCACTAGCTTTCCTCTCTGGCTCACCGGTGGAAACATTGTATCAAGTCATCGAGGCTGGTTCGCACCAGATTACAGCTGCCAGTGGTCCTGCGATACCCCTCAAAGATGTCAAGATTCTCCCGCCGGTCTCAGGGCGGGATGTCCTAGCTGTTGGCAAGAATTACATGGAACACGCAAAAGAGTTCAACAGTTCAGGCTACGATAGTTCAGATAAGGTCGACAAGCCTAGCCACCCGGTCATATTCACCAAAAGAGCTACCTCGATAATCGCTCATGGAGACGACATTTTCCTGCACAAAGGCTTCACCGAGAGCGCTGACTACGAAGGTGAAATCGGTGTGATTATTGGTAAAGCAGGGTTTCGCGTCAATGAAGCGGATGCTTGGGACTATGTCTGGGGTTACACTATTATTAACGACCTGACTGCGAGAGAGAGGCAACGGGATCATAAGCAGTTTTATATCGGAAAGTCGCCTGACAATTTTTGTCCTATGGTAAGGCTGCCAACCGAGACATCTCAAGTCACAGTGGCTAATAGATAGCTAGGGCCCCGTTGCTGTGCCGAAGGAGGACCTACCCAAAACCCTCCGAATCCAAACCCATGTCAACGGAGAGCTTCGCCAGAATGCGACCACGGAGGATCTCATCTTTTCCATCCCGCATCTTATTAGCACGCTTTCAGCCGGCACGACTTTGCAGCCTGGAGATGTGCTCGCCACGGGAACAGTAAGCATTTTCTCACGAACCTTTATGTTTACCATGCTTACAATAATCCAAGCCCGCTGGTGTCGGAATTGGACGCAATCCTCCCATATTTCTCCAACACGGCGATGAAATCTCCATTTCCATTGATGGTATCGGCACTTTGACGAACAAAGTTTCGGAAAATGTCTCAGTCAACACAACGGCCAAGCGGTTTTCCTCTCAGTCGGCTTTCCAACTTACCAACGCAGCAAGATCAATCCAAGGAACAGCTGGTTTAGTCTCTGTCAATTCTAAGCTTCTCAACTATCAACGTCTTGGAAACGGGAAGGAGATCATAATATTCGTTCATGGCATTGGCTCAACAAAGGAGTTTTGGACGCCACTGATCTCAACGTTGAATACCCAAGACTCGGCAACAGCACACATCTTTGATTTCGAAGGCCATGGTCTCAGTCCGACACACCCTCTTAGCGAGCTGTCTATTGCATCCTTGACTGCGGATCTAGCTGGAATCTTTGAACTCGCGGGGGTTTCCGATCAGTCTTCGGCCACGTTGGTCGGACACTCGATGGGGTCTCTCATCGCTGCTAAGTTCGCTCTTGATCATCCGTCTTTGGTCAAGAAGTTGATACTCATCGGTCCACCACCCTCTCCATTCCCAAGAGTTGCTGTCGAAACACTACTTTCCACCGCAGCCTTAGTAAGAACCCAGGGAATCAGCGCCATCCTTGAAAAGAGCGTGTCAAGCGGACTCTCCGAGCACACGAAGACGAAAAACCCACTTGCCGTGGCTGCAGTACGACTGAGTCTGTTGGGTCAGGATCCCGAGGCGTACGCCAAGGCAATATCAGCACTGGCTAAGTTCGAGGAGTCTTTGGCTTTGGAGAAGTTGGAAGCCGAAACGCTGATAATCTCTGGTGAACACGATGTGTTATCAACTCCCGCCGTTGGTCAGGATTACGCTAGCAGGATACCCAAGTCCAATCACGTTGTGTTACCGAATACAGGGCACTGGTACGTGTTTGAGGATGTGGCAGGGGTAGTGAAAAGTTTACAAGACTTCTTGTGAACTCGGACGCGCGGATGTGATACGAAGGGTAACACCTGCATGTTGAAGCAATGTTTCCACAGAGGTTATGTAGAAAGATTGAGCATGAGCAGCATGATCTCGAGTTACTTTTCCAGCGTAAGAGCTCGCTGTATTCTTCTCTTTTAGAAATCTGTGGTCTTTCATTTTGAGAGTAAATCAAATTTCAAGTCATTTTTCAAACATTACATTCATTATCTAACGATGAAGCGGCCGGCTTGCTAGTAAAGCACGCAGAAAAATAGATATGACCATCAACCCCGGGCGATATTAGCATGATGTAATATGACAAAACTTCGATAGATTACTGAAAAACCGATATGTAAGGCCTACTTCTTCAAAAGCATGAATGGTTGGTCACTGAGTAAGTGAGATAAAGAAGGCGTAAAATCCTTCCTCAATTTAACAACCAACCAGCGATTCTACTGATGGCCAGCTGACAACAGATGTCAGATTTGCGATATCCACCACCAATAGGGTGACCTGGGTTGAAATAAGATCTTACATGCAGTCAAGACCCACAAAGAATCATCGCACAAGCTCAAGGAACGTATTCCTCCTCGTATTCGTCAAATTTCGCGGAGCTAACAAGGCTTATAATTGCGACACTCTCAAAGTCAAAACTCTCCATGTGGCTTTCAAGTTTGGCAAGATTTCCTCACACAACTACTTCTTCCCGCGATGCTTCAGTGGAGAATGAATGGACAACAGCTGCAGGCAGCGGCTATAGTCGCCGGAGCCTCAGCGTTCTTATACTTCCTAACGAGGTTTTACATGGCCCGTGAGAAGATAAGGAAAATGCAAAGGGCGAACTTGGTAAGTCATTCAAGCCGCCTAGAGCTCAAATGGAGTCGCTGACCGGCGTTATAGCCCATGCCAAAGTTTTCGTTCTTTGCAGGTCACTTCTTGGTGATCGGCAAGATCATGCGCTCCCTACCATCCGACTCTACCATTCACAACATGATGTGGCAGATCTCCAAAGACTACCCGAAAGGCATTTTCTACGTCTGTCTATGGCCTTTTAGCAAAACTACAATGGTAATCACCGATGCGCATGCAGCATCGCAGCTCGAGGGGCGTGTTTTCGCGAAAGGCGCCACTATCATTGATCCACTGGAGAAGATTACCGGCGGCAAAAGTTTGCTGACTATGGATGGCGAAGAATGGAAGCGCTGGCGGCGACTTTTAAGCTCCGGGTTCAGTTCCAATTATATGATGGGTTTGGCACCTCTAATTGCAGATGAAGTAGCTGTCTTTCGGCAGAAGCTACTGGATCGATGTTCGCAAGGTCGTAGTGAAATGTTTCAGCTGGAAGACTTAACTATGAGACTAACTTTTGACGTGATCGGTTCTGTGGTGTTGTAAGTGCTTTTCTTGAGCTTCCATTTTCGACCTGCATGAATCTTACGAAATACGTTCAGAGATACAAAATTTTGCCACCAAATTCAAGATCACCCGCTGGCAGCAACTCTTAGGAAGCAGATCCAATGGACCTCTTTCAAAGAGCCGTTAAGTCCGCTGACCAAGTTGTTCACGATACGGCCGCTAGTGCAGTGGTTTTATGGCAGGCAGCTAGACCGTCACATCTCAGTAGAGCTTGAAAAACGTCTGATGGAACGCGCCGAACATCGAGCATTACCAACTGGTGGTGTAAAGTCAAGATCAAAATCCATAGTGTCTTTGTTCATCGATGAATATTTCAAGGAAGTTGGAGAAAAAGAAGTCGAGAAAACCAATGTGGTAATCAAGAAGATCATCACCCCACAAATACGGCTTTTCTTGTTTGCCGGACACGAGACCACGAGCAGCACATTACTCTACTGCTATCACCTCCTCTCCAAGAACCAAGACGTGCTGTCCCGCGTGATAGCTGAAACCACTCAAGTTTTCGGCCCTAATCCAGCAGAGGTTCAGGACAAAATCCGCAAAGACCCCCAGCTTCTTAACAAAACAACTTACACTACGGCATTTATTAAAGAAGTACTTCGCATATTTGCTCCATCCGGGTCCATGCGCCAGGGGCGTCAAGACACTGTAATTATCGATCAAGACGGCAAAGCACACCCTACTGTTGGCTGTAACGTATGGACAGTCACCCAGGCTCTACACCATAACCCCAGATACTGGAAGGACCCTGAACTTTGCATCCCGGAGCGCTGGCTTGTTGGACCGGAAGATCCTTTGTACCCCCCCAAAGGCGCATGGCGGCCCTTCGAATGGGGCCCGAGGAATTGCATCGGTCAAACCCTAGCTATGATTGAATTGAAAGTCGCGTTGGTGATGACAGTTCGAGAATTTAGCTTTACAGCAGCATATGAAGAGTGGGATAAGCTTCATCCTACCGGTGGGATAAAGACGGTAGATGGTGAAAGGGTGTATCAATCTGTGGAAGGTGGGGGTGGAGCCCGTCCAGCGGACGGGTTCCCCGTACGGATCGAATTGCGGAAGAGCTCCTAGCTAAAGCCATTGGCATGCTTTAGGCAAAGTCGTACTTGAGCTACCCATGTTTACATGTAAGATGTGTGGCGTAAGAGTCGAAAGTTGAGGATATTGAACGAGCTTCCTTCAGTATGCGCACTTCATCTCTCCGTTCAACCTGATAGAATCTTGACGTGGGAATCAGGAGGTACTCGGACAGATGTTGATTGTGTCTGGGTGTGGATAAAAACGTACATGACGCCGACCAAGTCCAAGCTTCAAACTCAATGCAACCAAGCACGATTGGTAGTGTGATTTCACCCCTTGGCACGGACTGAACCCGCCAAAACCCACCTCAAGGAGATAACCCACCTCCCGCCGTGGGACAGTGGGTATTTACACCAAAGACCAAGTGAAAATGTATGTAAACAGAGGTACCGACATCTGTTTACGCATCCAAATCGACATGTATACATTGCTAGTAACACTGATTAAGGCCTAGTTGCCTATCATCCACTTGCATAGAGAGAGATTCGACGTGGCGTTAAGTAACTGAACGAACACGTCGTCATTAGGATGATGTACGACTAGGGAGAGAAAAGGCAGATTCATTGGTCACCGGCAAATGATTGAGAAATCAGGGATGTCCATGTGGCGAAAGTGGCCGCCAGTATGGAGTCTTGGTAAATGCGCGGTGGGTCTGACAAGTGTGAACCTCCATTGATTTCCAGGATATGAAATGTTTTCGGGGCCCTTGAATTTTCCGTTTGAACGAACTCCTTTCCAAAAACTGCATAGCAAGGACTTCAGACAGGCTTGTGTCCACATTTAAGGACAATCGAAACAGCATGATATAATCAAAGTAGCCGTACGGATTTGTTCCAAGTTATAAAGACTCAACAGCCTGTGCGTGCATCTGAACTCTTCACCGCATCTTTTATCTTCACATAAAGCATTTTAGCGATAAACCTTTTAACTGCAGATATCAACAAATAGTCAAGTCCACCACAATGGCTACGAAAGACACGAAACACCAGGTCATCATTGTTGGTGGTGGCATCACGGGACTCACCCTGGCTTTGATGCTTCAACATCAAAACGTCGACTACGTATTACTTGAAGCCTATGACTCCGTTACCCCCAACGTAGGAGCAAGTATCGGTCTCTTCCCCAATGGCCTGCGAATCCTCGACCAACTCGGGCTCTTTGAAGACATCCTCGCCAAGGCGCAGCCAGTCGATTGCATGATCGTTAGAGACAGTAACTCGGGAGAACGCATCATGACGCGAAGAACCAGGCAACTCATTACCGAGCGGCACGGCTACCCAAGCATGTTTATGGAGCGTTACCAGCTGTTGTGCGTCATGTACCAGCATCTCAAGGAAAAACATCGCGTCTTCTGCAACAAGAAAGTCCGTCGCGTCGAGAGCCTAGAGCATGGCGCACTGGTACACACCGAAGACGGATCAGTCTTTGAAGGCCAGATTGTTGTGGGTGCCGACGGCGTGCGCAGCACGATTCGTCGTGAGATGTGGAGGAATGCGGATGCCGCTAACGACTCTGCTGCCATCCCGGCCTGTGACAGGCAGGATATCCCGTGTGAGCATGCCTGTATCTTCGGTACCGCCAAGCCCACTCCTGGCATTAAGCCTGGCGAGGTTGTCGGCGCGAGCGGTCATGGCACGGTGGCTGGCTGTATGGGAGGGCCAGGAGGCGAGGTGTTCGTCTTCTGGTTCTGGTCGCTGCCCAAGGAGCAGCGGAAGTGCGCGATCAATGATATCCCGCGGTTTGACGATGAGGACAAACGCCGCGAGTTCGCACGAGGAGCCGATTCGTTGGTGGCTGACAACGGCCTGCGCTTCAGCACAGTTGCGGATAACTTGCTCTACAGCGGCGTGACAGCGTTGCCTCACTATGTCATGCGAAAGTGGCATTATGGTCGTCTCGTCATCATTGGTGACGCTGCGCACAAGTTCAACCCTCTTGTTGGCCAAGGCGGAAACAGCTGTATCGAATCGTGCGCCTCGCTTGTTAACGCACTGCAAGAGCAGAGCCTCTTTGGCGCTCAGAGCCAGAATTCGCCTGCTTGGCCGTTGCCGAGCGTGACGAAAGCTTTTGAAGCCGTCGAAAATCAGCGTGTCGATCGCCTAGTTGAAATGGTTGAGAGTTGTCAGGACGCTATGCGCAGTTCCGCCTGGGAGTCGTGGCGTCTCCGACTGATGCACAAGTACATGCTGCCTTTGTTGCCGCTTGAGAAGTATGTCGACTACTACAGTAACCAAATCTCTGGCGGTCTACGCTTGTTGAGCATCGATCCGCCCAAGTCCGCTCACAGCTGGCCGTACAATGACGAAAAGACAATCGAGGAGAAATCCCTTACGCTCAAAACAAGTCTCGCGGCTACTATTCCTGTTGCAGCTTTGACTGCCTTTTTCCTAGCAAGAGTACTGCGCAGCGAGAATGGAGTGGGCAGTTCATTGCTCATGTCACGTATTATTGAGAAAGTGTCCAGCTTTAGAAAATGAGGCTGCTGCGGAAGACATCAAACAGTAGAATCATTAGATGCATATGATGATTAAAGCAGTTTCGCAAGGGAGTGATGTATATATTTAAGCCTCTTTTCACAAACCTATCGCAGGATCCATCTTCATTTTCAATCTTAACATAGGAAAAAATAGGGAAAAAATGTCGACATGCTTGCCCCATGGGTTTTTATTCGACTGATTAATCGTATAACATGAACACAAGCAGCGCTATTATTACTCTTTCTCAAGGTGCCTTCAAAAGAATATCCGTCTCTAAACATTGTCTTCACTGGCCTTTGATTTCTTTAACTATCCTTAGCATAGGAGTGGCCAGCGCCGCATTTGCTTGCAAACGTCAACCCACGTTGGTGAAGTTGCTGTTCCACCAGCAGCATCGCGTTGCATCCAGACCTCATTTAAGATTTCTTTGGAGACCAAGTAACCTTTCCATCCCGACTTAGAATGTGCCTTTACCAACCAGTCCTCGAACTGCCTACGCTGTTCGCTCTCTGTGGCCTCTGCTCCAGCAACGAAAGCAGGCCACGCTGTCCCAGGGCCAAGAAGTTCATTTTCTTCCAATGCCTTGTCAAATGCATGGAGTGACTCAATGACCTGTTTTACACTTTCCTGAAGCATTAGGGTGTGGATCTTCCTAATCCGTCTATAGAAGAAAATCACAAGTGCTGCGCTGAGTGCTCTTGTCATGTGTACATGTGGGCGGCTCTGGTTGGTTTCGGCTCCGGTATTTGACAAATAGCGCATCTTGAAAGAGCAGACGGCCTCTTCCAAGTACGATGCCTTTGATTGAAGAAAGGCTGTATTATCGCCATCTGATTGGTCTTGCCCTGTCGCTAGGTGATCCATGACGTTTGCAAGCCTGGTGGTTTGCGATACCAACCTGAGCCAGGTTTCAGGAACGCCATAAATGCGCATATGCATGTCTTCTTGGCAGTTGAGCGAGCTCATTAGATGAATGTCGCGGGTGTCATCGTGGTCTTGATCTCGGTCATGGCGATAAGGTTGTAGGTATGGCGATTCCAAGTGAAGGAAGCTGTCTAGTGTGCTGTCTGTGTTGGTATTCTGGATATTGAGTGGCGTTGCCTGTTTTGATCGAATTGTCCCAGAGTCATTGTCCTCAGGCGTGGTTAGTCCGGTTCTGACCAGTTTAAAGGGCCTCATGGCAAATGGGCTGTTCTCGTGCAGCACATTTGTGCTCTCGGAAACAATGCGCATCCACGCATAGATGTTATGAAATAACCGGGCCCGGCGAGAGAGTTTTGGCTTCTTCAGCCCTCGTCGACGAATCAATCGCTCCATTGCCACCAGATACCTGTGTGAGTCCAACTCGTTTCCAGATAGTAACTTCACAAGAGTTAGTAAAAATCGTAAACCGAGCAAGCATGCAATCTTACAGAAGTAGCTAACACAGCGCCAACGGCCATGAGTTGCTCCTTGTATTTGGCCTTGTTAGAAGACTCCAAGGTGGACTCGGTCTCGAGGCTAATCTTCAGGTGGTATTTAGCGGCATCATATGTTTTCTTTGAAAGAGCCTCCCAGTTCCTTCCAGGTTTTGACAAAGACGGGAAGCTCGCCGCGTTAAGTGACAGGTGGAATGCTGACACAGCGATGAGCGCGTAAAAGTTTGCCAGGCTGGCATGCCTGATCTTTTCTTTTCCCACTTTGAACATTGTCAAATCGATCAGAGTGAGGATTGCATGCGGAACATTAAGAATCCTCCAACCTGATTTCTCGTTAATAGGCAATGATCCCATCTGATTGATGACTTCCTCGTTGAAGTGTTTTAGCAGCAATGGCGCATCCACTTCAAGATTTAGTTCGGGCCATGCCACATCACCGGTGCTAGAATGAACTAGGAGACTATCTTGCGCCATGTCTGTCCAAGTTGTATCACAATCCGCTGCACAACCTGACGGCTCGGTTGGGGCATCGATGCAGTTCAGATTGTTGGCCAGTAGAGGGATGCCCAGCAGCTCGGAATCCCAAGTAAACAGATCCCCCCATTGTAAGAAATCGAGAGAGTTTGAAAAGAAATCACCAAGAGCATCTGGAATGATAACATCGTTTTCGATAGGCTGCTGGTAGCTTGTTGAGTCAAGGCCGGTCCCTTCACGTTGGGCTTGTATGCGATTTTGGCACTGCGGTATAGAGGAAGAAATTATTGAAAGAGGCGAGCTATACGAAGCCACCTCAATGGAGCCTGACCTACACGTTGTAGGTGGAGGGGATAGCATCAAAGTATCATCACCAAAAGAGCTTTGGTTGCATGATGGCACGCTTTTGAAAACCCCAAAGGGTCCAACAGCAAAGTCGGTAGGAATGCGCAGCTCGGGGCCTCGAGTGTTCTCTTCGATTCGGTTGAGGGCAGCCGTAACGGTAGAAGGGACATCAGCAACGAGAGCCGAGCTCATAGATTTCCTTGAAACCTCTAAAAAGATTCATCAGTATGTATTTCAAGTTCAGGAGGAGCTCGATTATTGATATAATTGGACCAACTTACCACTATAAAGATGCCGCCTCGAGTGTTGATTCTTGTCTTCATCTACATCTGGAACGGCATTGCATGCATCTGGCCCTGTTGCAACAATCCAGCGGAGTGCCGGCTTGAAGTCACACGACAAGCCGGCAAGCCGGCATCTATTGCAAATGGGTGCGGTTTGGTCGCATTTAAGATGGCGTCTCCGACAGCCGTTGCAACCTTCGAATGAATGGGAGGCTTTGGGTTTTTGGATTTTCATCTTTCAATCTTAGAATTGAACGGGGGCTGATCGTGTGCTTGGGAAGGAGAGACGTAAATGATTAAAGGCTTTATCTAAGCCGTTGTTCGCGTACGGAAGGTACTCCGATTAGCAGCATACTTAGTGTCTGTAACACCTTGTCTCAAGCCAATACATGCTGATAAGACAGGCCAGTTAGTTGAGGGAGCCACTACCCCGCATTATCTAGGTGTGCATGAGAGGCCTGTCTATCCCGCATCTTGCGACCCAACTTGGCAAGTTTCCGCGGCAAAGTTCTCAGGCAGCAAATTGGCCTGGAAGCGCGCATGTAGTTTAACGATAGGCCATATACCTATGTTGTCTAAAAACACCGAAGTAATGTAGAAAGTTAAGACGTAATGAGAGAAGATTACTTCTGCTGCGGTTGTAATATAGTATCTGTGATGGTGATTACAGGCACCCAGTATTTGGCATTTCGCGATGGCGTACATTCATCACCCAAGTTAAAAGGGAAAGCAACCCCGAGAAGCACCTAAAGACCCACCGCCCAAAACAAAGTTATGTCACCTCAAGTAATTTAACGAGCGTTTACAGGAATGACCATTGATAATACACTGCTCTCTAATACTTGAAAATCCCAACGGCATATTCCATGTGAAATGGGCAGCGCGCCGACTTACTCTCAGCACGGCGCTTTATTAGCTCCAGCCATGTGCCACTAAGGAAGGGTGTGGTTCTTGAGTTCGCGACAACTTCTGTTTAAGTATTCCGAGCTTCTTCATTTCCCTGTCAACGATAAGATTCTTGAGGGCCTTATCAATCTCATCGGCCCTGGCGGAAATAGTTTGATCTAGAACCCAAGGCGTAAGATGTTATACTAGTATCACATCTCGCAAAGCAGGTACTCACGAAAGTTGTCACGAAGTCGCAAGGCGTTATTAAACTTGTTGGCAAGCACTTCTTGCCGAGTCTCGCAGGGGTCCCAGAAACCATGAATAATGTCTAACGACAGTCTAAGGGAGCTTGAAATCCTGAAATATGCCGCAATGACGACTGAAACGGCGTTGAACAGCGAGATTACGTTGTTATTTCGCCGAGCTTGGACTCTTAACAGGTCTCAATAGACGAGCAATAGCTGCCACAGCGAGGCCCACACTGCAGGCCTCTCGTGATTTAGAGAGCGTGGTATGAACATATACAAAATGATTGTCTGGAGCGCTTTGATTTCAAACGATTCGGGGGCCTTACGTATGATTGTTTTGAACTCTGCCGTGGCGAGCAGTGGCAGCGGCACCACCGCGTTGGTATTCTCTCGGATAAAGCCCAAGTTTTCCTCGCAATAGATCTTATACATGATCTTCATTTTGTAAATGTTGTTTAAAAGTTTCATCGGTCAGCCATTAGCATAAGAATATCGAATATGGAACAACATTTCGTACTTGGGGTCGCCTCGGAGTTGGGGGGCCACCTGAGCGGCACGGGGCGGAGTAATCCTTGGTGAAGAGCTCGATGAGACCTTCGAATGTGTCTTGGTCTTCAGGGGACAGCAAACTCTCGCCCCATCTGACAAGCTCGTCGTCCGAAGAGACCTCTTTGTGTTCTCTAGCAAGAACGCAACAGTGGTGAACAGGCTGTTGAATGTCCTCCGCTACGCAACAGTAGTTTTGCAGGACGGTGAAAAGTCTTGCTCCGTGCTGGCGGCGACTAACCACCATATGGCCCTTGTGGATGCTCCCATAGAACCGTGACTGCAGAAATCGGAGCGACTCAGTCGCTCTTAACTCCTCTTCCTTGGCCAAGACAGCAACTATCACGTATTAGCTCGTGGTTCTTCTCTTATTAAAGGTCTATATTCAAGCAAGATGAAAGAACTGACATCTCGTTGGGGAAAAGATTGAGGCGGTATCGACTATGTTGCGACGAATGCATGCTCTTTTTGGGTCATGGGGATAAGCTTTTTTGCAACTGTTGCATGTACCATAATGATTACACTTAACCTTCATGATGCGGCATCTCCGCATGCTCCAATAACCCGGACTTCACTTATCTCTAACAAATCCTTGACGGCCCGTTTTCTTCCGCTTGAAGTTTTGGACCGAATCTTGTGCTTCACAAGAGCTTGAGGGTTCAGCTCTTTCGAGAGGGTTTTTCCCTGATCAAGACAGGGAGAGAGGTGCAAGTCGAAAGGGTTGATATGTTCAAAAGTCGTTACTGAAATAGGCGTCTTTTGTGTTTACAGCTGCGCCTTTTTCCAAGTATCACATTCGACCCTGTCTAGAAGCAGTACAATTTACACATGTTAAATTGAGCCAGTGTAGAAATACGTTTCCTGTTCGACAGGAGTTGGAATCAACTTCATGCGTCCAAAAGCTGCAAGCCTTGAGATAGGGGCAAGATTATGTGTATGGCTAGCATGGTGGCCATCGAGCCAAAATTCTAGCTACCCAATAATGTCGGGAAAAGAATGGGTGTCATTAACTTCACTCCATTGAGAACGACCCCTTCTCCAGGGCAACATTATGTATTATTGGAATAAAGGCAACAATGTTACACCCTCTGCGGAATGAAAGTACCAATACTTCCGTTGTTCAAGGTCACGGAACTGGCACACCTTAATCGCAGAACACTTCGTATTGTTTATATCGCTAAGTAGGAGGTGAGAGAACAATGATAGGGATGAAAAAAGAGTAAGAAGGAAGAAGACAGGTGATTGATGAACCTGCTCTAGGTTATACGTTCAAAACTCGAGGCACGAGGGCCGAACCAAAAACATCTTTCTCTTCCCTATTTCGTAAGTCCAGGCGAAGAGTTTTGGCCCAGTAGTGGCCGCAGAGCTCAGTGAGACAATACGGTCAAACAGAAATCACATATCACTCAATGCAGAGCAGAAATCTTCAAATCATGGTTTACGTCAGTACTAGCAATGTGGATTATTGAATACATTATTACCAGGTCATGGATCAACAAGCTTCAAGTCAAGCCGAAAGGGCCCAGGGAACAGGATATATCTGTCATAGATAAAAGGTCGCACGGGCACTCGCTTTTGAGCAGAAATTTAACAAGGACTGCCACCTAGGAGAGTAGTTTCTCTGTAAATTTGAAGGGAGAGTGCCAACTTGTTACTGTGATATCTACGCTTGCCCTATCTAGACTGTACGAAGATTGCATGGTTTTGGTGACGTCCTAATTCCGAGATCCGATTCAATAGTGAGAAATAACTCAACTTACTGGAGTGAATGTAGGTAAATGAAAGTACACAGTGTTAACAACATATGGACTGGTGTAATGCCTAGAATGTGTCAGCGGGTAAAGATTTCCGCTGATATGCAGCAGTTATGTGACACGGACCATGCTTGTGACAGAATTATAATAATCACCTGGGTAGGTGCCTAAGCTAAGGTAGAGCCTCACCTATTTAGGCAACCAAGTGTAAAGGTGGGTGGTGGCAAAGGTGTCTTGGGTCAGCAAAACCCTTGTTTAGACGCCGAGGAAGCCTCGGGCGTGCGATAGGCAAAAGGAAGGGCGGTTACATGGCAGTCATTGGTAGGCCACCGGCAGCGGAAACGAGCGTCTGCCTTGATGAACGCACATACATATCTTGGCACTGCAGGGTTGCTTTTCCAAGGCTGTCTTTGGTCTATCAACAGTAACCACCGCCTATGAATTGCACGCTCTCTGAGCCGGCCATGTTTCCAAATTTGCCCAACCTATTTGATACCTACCGCAGCCCTCAGCTTATGCGTAGCCTCGCCACCAAAAAAGCCCTCCATCCTATCCTAAGATGAAAAAAAAAAAAAAAAGGCCGACACATCTGTGGCTTACGGACGCGTGATTAAACCTAGCCCCTGGAGTTATTGATTCTCAAAGCCTTATCAAATAAAACATTATTCCCCAAATATTTCACAGGCTTGCTGCTATTTGGCACACAGGATCCCATTCCAGTCTTACAAACCACAATAAAACACTAAGCCCTAACACAAACAGAACACCCGCGCTCCTGGATCGTCACAGCCTCTGCGTATGGAAATATGACTTCTCAAAGTCCGCAGCGTCCTGATATTCGACCCATAAGCAAACGTGGTACTATGTTAACTACATCTGAAACCAAACAGATGCGGTACACACCCAGAAGTAAATCAATGGCATCCAATGTTGTATTACGAGCCTAACCACGCATCAGGCACAACCGATGATTACATTAAAATGATCGCATATCATTCTCAGCAAACCAGCGCTGAGACCTTATATCCAGGGGAGATTTACAATCCTCTGAGAGAATTCTTTGGGCAAAAAACATATAAAGTAGACCATGTGGCCGGGAATTTTGCTGGGATCATCAGTCCAAGCCACGCGGACCAGTTAACTTCACCAGAGAAGCAAAATTTGCCAGCAAAATCGTCGGACAGCAGCAGGAGCCAAGAAATATTTAATGAATATGCTGATCCAGAGTCGTGTATACAAGCGTTGAAAAGTAACATCGAAATGTCACAACCGCAAGTACTCTTCCTACGGGGCCACCCATCCCCCCATTGGCTTGCAAGCATTGGCGCTTTTTGTCAAGCCGATCCGGAGCTGTTTCGCTGGTTCCTCAGATACCGTGAGGATCCAGAGAGCGAAAGCGACGACTACTTTGGCTGCGCTCCTTCAATAATGAGCAACATATTTCGCTTCAAGTTCTTTACTATTGGGACTAGAAAATACCGACATCATTCACCTCAGGAGGAAGTAGACACATTGCGAAAAAATGCAGATCGTGATTTCCAGAAATACCAGACTGAACTGAGAAAACCCTGGGTCCTGAAGCCTGGGGACTCAATCGTACGGCAGTTCTACGTGCTAGACGCACGACATTGTATCATTGAACAAGAAATAGTGGTTTCTGTTTTTGATATTGGTAAAACTTGGATAGGTATGAGTCCACTCGCATAGATATGGTGGATGTATTCGCTAATGGCCATAGCAATTGCTTGTACAGATGCAGGACACGACCTAAGGAAAGGGCCGCTGATACCGTGGCTCGGAGGTGGTGATGAACCATTCCCAATCACACTTCTCCCAATCATTCAATATAAGCCTAGATGCGCATTGAAATCCCGCAGTATACGCGGGAGTACGGCTGGGTCAGAGAGGGAAAATAAGCAAAGTCTTGCTGTCTTTCCAGAAGGCTACGGCCATGGCCTAGATTGGTCGCTTGCAAAAACTGACCGTTTCCATGTCTTGTCCGACATGTTCAGACTAGCTGCGTTCTCCCAGAAGCAGCTCCTGAATGTGTTAAAGGAGAAGATAACAATCGAAACGAGTCGCTCATCGTTAAGTAACGAGAACCCTACACTGGCCAACCTCCTATACTTTCGGGAAATCCTTCAAGATCAGCTAAGCAACGCTTCATACATGCTTCAACTGATGGACAATCGGACAGAAATCTTCCAAAATGTCCGTCGTTCGAGTGTCGTCTCGTCAGCCGATCAAATCTCAGCCGATCGCTCTGTGGCTGAAATCAATATCTTGCTCAAAGACCAAAACTCGCAAGCACAATTACTCCACGAGAGGTGCACTCAAGGGATGGCAGTCATGAGTAACAACAGTATGCTCGCTGAGTCGAAACGCAGCGTCCACCAGGCAAAATTAGTTACGAAGCTCACACTCGTCGCCTTCGTGTACCTCCCATTCACGTTTACGGCTGGTTTCTTTGGTATGAACTTTGCGGAATTGGGAGCTGATAACAGTATGCATTTGTGGATTTTTTTTGCGGCATCTTTACCTCTGATGTTTGTTACCCTGGCTTTCTTAGTGTTTGACATGCAAACAATTAAGAGAGTCCTAAAAGCGCTGCACATTGCTTACCGGGACAAACAGTAACGGTGGTTTTTTAAAGCATACAACTTGAACTTAATTTATAGCTATCCTGTCTAGTTTACCTAAAATTTCAATTTAAGATTATACATTGAGACAAGAAAGAATAATTTAGACAACGTTGAATACAAAAAGTAGATGTTATTTTTTAATGAAATAGATATTTGGTTTGACCTCTGTGTCCTTAATGATGCTTACAATTGAAAAAGAATAACTTTTAATAAGCTAGTATTAGGTCCAGCCTATCATTAATCTGGGATGTTATCTACCACTTTCACCTGAACGCGGGGATCTTCATGTCAGCATGACCCCCTCGTTTCGATAGGTGTGCCACCCTTCCTTGGCCGGCCAGTCGCATCCCGCATATTCATTAGTCGGTTATGCAGCCTGATCATAGCCTGGTACAGAGAGTCACAGAGACTGATTAACCCCTCTCCTCCTCAAATACAAGAAAAATGGAGACAGTCGAAGCCAGCCAACTTTGCAGTAGCCAGCACCGCTTCAATCCTTCCTGCTTCTAGGAGCGTTCGCATCTATGTGTCGCCATGTCTGAATTATCGTCAAGTGCTAAAGCTACCCGGAGCGGAGGTTTACAGCAAATTCGTGTCGGGCCGAAAGTTGGAACGCTGTATGTCACAGTCTCACATGTTTATTCTTTCAGCACCTAGCGGGAAGTGGCCAAAGCTGATGACAGCAGTGTGCTCGCTGTCGGTGGAGTTGGGACAACTCCTCCTGAGCATTGGACCAATACGAAAGGCGAGCTGTGGCTTAGCACGCTAAACATACCCGACATTGGGATTCTGTCCTTTCCAAACAGACTTGCAGCAAATGGTGTCCTCTCCGGGAGGGAAGTGGAAGACGAGGGCGCTTCTCTTCTCGCAGAATTGCGCCGTCTCGCCGAAGATGAAACCGTATGTCTCACCTCTCTGATACAGGGCCTTGCTAATGATACTAGGTGATTCGAGCTCCAATTGTGCTGGTGGCACATAGTTTAGGAGGGCTGGTGGTGAAAAGGGTCTGTCTCTTGCAACCAACTCTAGTGATATTTCAGCTAATTAAACTCTTTTGCAGGCTATTTGTCTGGCAAAGCAAAGCCCAAAGGCTTATCGCGATGTTATGCGCAGAACTGGTGGCTTCATTTTCATGGGATGTCCGCATTCATCGTCTCGAGATTTGGAAGATTGGTTCGGAGTTGAAAGTATTCTACAGAAATTTACCAAAGGGAGGAAGAACGCCCTCGACCCGCAGTGTGTTAAGAGTTTGGCTGCTGACTGCGACAACTTCCGAGTCATCCTAGCTGAAGATGAGAAGAGAGTTCTGACGGTGAGCGAAAAGAAAGGAATGAGCAAACAAGTGATTGGAAAGAAAATTATAGTAGGTCTCCTTGCTACAGCCAAACCTTCCTTGTGGGCAAGGCTTATGACAAACAGTTTGTTGACAAAGATTCGGCAACCATTGGCCTCAAATATGAGACAGTAATTGAGGATAATTCTAATCACCGAGACCTTTGCCTGATGTCTGGGAGTAACGAAACTCTCGATAAGGCTCTCGAATTCCTTTATCCAGTACTGAAGGATACTAGAACGGCTATCGCAAAGGAGTCTCCGCAATGTAAGTACATGGTATTGTGCCAAGAATGTGCTCACAAGAAATTAGACATCAGACCACCCGTTTTCGACCTATCTACCGTTAGAGACTCAAGCAGTGATGAAGAAGATTCTGCTGAGGCCGCAGATAAATCTGTGTCCGGTCGGTTTACATGCTACGTGTGAATACAATTACATATTTGCTAATATTCTTTGAAGGCCGGTATCCACACCGTAACCCCAATCAGACTATAACAGCACCATCAGAACTAGCTTCTTCAACCAACCGCGAATCATGGACTAGAGACGCAACCACAGGAAGTGATAGGGTCAATCCAGATCTCATCTCTGCCCTCAAAGATTTTACTATCGAACAACGGGACCCTATTCTGCCCTGCAGGTACACGCCATTGCCAAGAGATCCCGTTTTCTCCGGTCGTGAGGATACGCTAGCAACCATTCGCCAAGTACTTATAACTTCAGCACACGAGTCAGAAGATGGGTCCAATAGCTCGCTAAGCGATATATCCTTACCGCTGAATGTTTATTCTCTCTGTGGTCCGGGTGGAATGGGTAAAACGTCCATTGCCAATGAATTTGTTCACAGGTATTCAGCGGAATTCGATGCTGTGTTCTGGGTCGCAGCGGACGAAGAAACAAAACTCTTCAACAGCTTTAGAGAGATTGCTCTGAAGCTCGGCATCATTACAGCCACCGATGGCAAAGACCTGCCAGCAATCCGAGAAACGCTCTTAGCATGGCTCGCAAACCCTCTTAAATCTTATGAACACATGGACCACGTCAAACCCGAGAGAGCATCTTGGTTGATCATATTCGACAATGTAGAACGCGCCGATACACTTGAGGACTTTTGGCCCAAAGATGCTGCGGGCTCCGTCCTGGTTACCTGTCGAGACCCCTTGGTCAAAAGATCCATCTACTTGAGAAATACTGGCATAATTGTTCCTGAGCTGTCATTGGACGAAGGTGTAACTTTGCTTTTGCGGCTCACTAGCCGTGATAGCGATCAGTATGACATAAAGCAGGCACCTGAGGTTGTTCGAACCTTGGGCAGATACCCCCTTGCCATTGCCCAGATGGCTGGTGTCATACTAGCACGAGACCTCAGTTTTGACGAATTTCTGGAATTGTATTCTGAGAAGTCCGAACGAAAAGAAATGCTTGGAATCTCAGAAGGTCAATCAGCTTCTCTCCGCAGGTACAATCAGACACTCGGCACCGTCTGGGCCCTAGACGACTTGAAAGAAGGCAAAGCATTGTTAGAAGTGATATCGTTTCTCGACCCAGACAAGATACCGGAATCACTTTTGGAAAAGAATCCAGCGTGCACAGATTGGTACCGCTATCCTAAGACGGCATTGGAATATTCTAAGGCTCGTGCCGAGCTTCTTTCCAGGTCGCTGATATACAGAAATCGGGACAAGAAGACCTTACGTGTCCACCGGCTGGTACAGGATACGGTGAGAACCGAGATGGATGATGCAACATACAACGAGGTATACTCCAGGGTGCTGGACATGCTTGGTGCTCGGTGGCCGAGAGTTTTCAAAGGCTTTGGCAACGTACAAACAGACTGGCAAAAGAATGCAGAGCTGTGGCCACACACCCTCTCTCTTTTTAAGTATCGAGATCGTTTCAACCCTGCTGCTGCTCCCCATGCAGCTGCAATCAAGCGGATGGATTTCACCCTCGATATCTTGATGTACGTGAATGGGAAAAGCTCGCGCGTATTCAAGACACTGACAAGCGACCAGGTTCAGCATTGCAGATTCCCGATTCAGTGCGTCGCCAGTTTTGATAACCTTTTTCTCCTTTTTGCGGGACGCAGTGAAAGAGGACGAGCCAAGCTTGGAGCTACAGATGATTGACGCTACTTTCCACTACCGTCGAGGAGAACTCGGGTTGCACATCAACGACCGTGAGCACCCTTTGCCCGACTTCAGTAAATGTGTCGAACTTCTGGATATGTTACTAGATGACGACGCCAAGAGGTCTGATTCGTTCTATGGAGTCACGGTGAATGAGCTTGGTTGTGCGTACTTGATGAACTGGGACGACGAGAATGGGCTGGTTGAATTCGAGAAAGCAACTGCCATTCTGAAGAATCTGAAAAAGCCCTCAGCACAGGAGACTACAATGGCACAGATTAATGAAGGATTTGTACATGGTTACCTTGGTCGCTACGAAGAAGCTTCGCAGATCTTCGATATGGCATTGAAGGATCGTTATCGAGAGCTTGGTGAGGATGATGCTTCCTCTTTTGTGTAAGTGGACTGACCTCAATCTTATGATAACCTACCTGGATTCTAATGGTGTCTTCTTTTGATATAGAAACGGAAAGCTGTTCCTAGGCTGGGGAAATATTCTTGCTGCACAGGGTCGACTTGACGAAAGCTTTAGACTACATATCAAATGTCTCGAGCATTACAAGCGTTCCGTCGGCAATCTTCACCATCGAACCGGCGACGGCTGTGTGAAGGCTTCGGATCATTTTGCTCGCACAGGAGACGGTCCTACGGCGCTGTAAGTTCGCTTAGCTGGGGTTCTGCAGCGGCAACCGCTAACCATTGCAGTGCATTACTTGACCAAGCCCTCAAGATCTTCGACCTCGACTCGTATCACAGACCAGAAGCTGCTAGAGCTCACTACAAGAAGGGAAACATTCTCAAGAAGACTGACAGAGAAGCAGAAGCCAAAAAAGAACTAGATATGGCTCTTGATATTTTCAACAGCGTTGTCCCTCCTGAAGACCGCGTTGGAAGCATCGATGAATTGGATGACGAGGATTTTGATCACTGGATCATGTTTTGGTCCCGCTGATGGAAAGCCTTTCTATCCACATTATGTGATTACATGGCGAAAAATGAACTAGCAAAGCTGTTTGACTTGACGGTCTTGTCGTGGGTTGCAAATCAGAATACAAATCTGATTTTCTGAAAGAAAATACATCTTCAAGCTCGTTAACAGAATGGAGGCTTAGTGATTAATTTGTGCTGGCTTTGGTGCCATTTTATTTATCATTTATCATAGGCGTTGGCAATCACCAAAGAATGTCTAAATAAACGGACATATTATAACAACCAGGATGTTTTGTGCAGCGTCACATTTTATTAAGTGCCGAATTATTATCATTGATGGCATGATTATGATCAGGCAAGGTCTCAAGCAGCAGTGTGTGGTCATTCATTCCATATCTGGCGTATATAAGTCCGGGTTTTAAAGTCATTGATAGCGCCCACGGCGCCGTGTGTGTTTGCAAGGCGGATAATTTGTACGTGCGCAACTCTTGATGCTTCACTCGTCCGTAGGAACCCCAGTATCAAGAATGAACCTTTTGTCCGCGCTCAATGTCCTTTCCAGCGCGCTGGGATGCGATATGTTGTTCGGTCGCAACAGTGGCAGGCGAACAGGTGCCGAACACATGGCGGTTGAAGTTATCGTTGCCATTGTTACCGATAAGCATCAGACGTCCAGTGGCAGCCTCTTCAGGAAGAGGAGCATACCACTTCTGCCATGGTTGAGCACGCTTATCAGTAGAGCCGGACATGGTGATGAAGTTTCTTTTCACGCATTAGCAGAAGGCATCAGCACGTGTTCTTTCGTCATTTGAAGCTTGTTCTGAGAACTTACATCGTTTCGTGTCAAGTAAGTATGTTGTGTTGGTTTGGTTATTCGAGACAAAGAGATCGCTTCACGAAGACAACGCTATAAAAGTGGTTCTCCTCCTATTAATACTGATGAGCTTGTGCTGGAGTCCGCTAGATGCCTACTTAGGCAGGTGCCTCCGTTATCTCGCCTCATCCCGCGCTACCCCGCTCGACCCCCACCTTTTACGCCCGTATTACCGCTGTGAAGGATCAACATCGGCAGTGTCTATATACTGATGGGCACTGTCTTTAAAGTTATAATAGGTGTGATAGCCCTATTGTAGAGACTTTCAAACACATGCTATGTTCATCTCAAAATCTAAGTAAAAAACACAATTCGAGTCATCTTGAAACTGTACATTTGCTGCATAACGCCTTAGGAACCAATGGCCTCAATGAACACCCAGAACGTGATCCCAAAGGACGTAAGCTCATACATGACCTTCTTGTCAAGGAATGAACTATACCAAACCGAAAAGCCTTACACAACCGATTTCCCTGTTAACCACATTGCGAACGGCAAAATAACTAATCATATATTCGACGTTCACTCCACAATCTTCCACGATGCAAGAACTTCCAAAGAGTCCTTTACCTTGGACCGGAACGGATTTTGTTTCCTCAAAACCAAAACCTCTCTTCAACCAGAGGAGGCTACATCTGAGAGGACTGAATTGATGGAGAAGTATATGCAAGAGGTCGCCGCCGTGCTACAGAACAATCTTCCACAATACCAAGAGATCAGACCCATGGACTTCCAGGTATACATTCTCGTCTTGATTGTGCCTATAATAAGTCTGAACAGTTACAAGGTTCGCAGGCGGCATCCGTCTTTTCCCAATGGCGCGGAGCGCAGAGCAGAGTTTGCCCAGCCGTCAATAATGGCCCACTCGGACTTTTCGAAGAGAGGAGCATTCCTGCGTATGGCCGACATCTTTCCAGGTCAAGAGTCGTATTACGAAAATAGAAAATTTGATCTGATCAAGTAAGTATCCAAACCAATTGAGTGTAACTTTTCACCAACACTTATCAGTGTCTGGCGCGTTTTACGAGGGCCAAGTAACGACTGGCCTCTGGCAGTATGCGACTACAGCCTCATCAACGCCGAAAACGACATCACTACGAATGATGCCCTTCATTACAAACGAATAGGAGAGAACTCATTACTTTATCATAGTGATGCACAGCGGTGGTACTACCTTAGTAACATGGAAGAGGATGACCTACTAGTTTTCAGGAATGTCGATTCGGACGGGACGATGGCTCGTAGGTTGAAAGGACACACTTCTGACAGACAACGTTCACTGAAACTCTCTAGGCGGTTTCCATGCGTCATTTCACAATCCAAACTCGGCCGGTGAATTTCGACACAGCATAGAAGTTAGACTCGTGGCATTTCGTGATTGAGAAATTGAGCCTTTGATGGACCTACAAGTTTGCATACGGAACAGGAAGTGGGTCTAAGAGATTTGGGACTCTGAAAAATAATCTCAACTAGAAGAATGAGTATAAACACTTCTACTAGCAACTATTTCTATGGATACACTGCTTGGTGACCACGAAACGGGTCCTCCCAGGTAATGCATTTCTTGACTTCCATGATATTTTATAGTTCATAGTCGTGCTGCGTGAAGCAACAGTCTGCAGACAATGCCATCAGAAATACTCTAGGAACCGTAACCGCCGCTGATCGTCCGGCATTTTAAGAAATTCTTCAACCTCCTTCTCCTTCACTGGAATGTAAGCATCTAGTAAATCTTTCGGTACGATGGGTTTCCCACTGGATTCTGCCTTCAGTAAGTCCAGTGCTTCCTGCAGACTTCTCGGCATCCTTTTGACCAGTCTATATTCAGCACGTCCTCCATTGTCCAGCGACTGGGGGAAAACAGTACAATCTTCCCAGTCAAGAACCAAGTTTTTGCCGAGCCCATTCAAGCCAGATAAAAGAACAGCCGCGGCGAACAGGTACGGATTTGACGTGCTGTCCATCATACGAAATTCCCAGTGTTTCTCACTTATGTTACGCACAGGCAGGTCGCGGTTCTCGGTACCAAATCCGACCCACTCACCAGCTGCGTCTTTGGTGGTTCGAACATAGCCGTCATAGTTGGCCATTCCGAAGGCACAGAGAGACCCCATGTGATTCAAAATTCCTGCGAGAAAGCTGTCCGTGTGCCTCGTTTCTAGTTTGTCAACGGACATATGCAGGTGGGTGCCATTCGTCGGTCCATTCAGGAGTGGCTTAGGAGCCATGGTTGCCTTGATATTGTGTCGAACAAAGACTGTACGGATTGTTTCCTGTGCTAGGACAAATGAATCGATGGCATCGAGTAGTGGCTCGGGACTGAGGGCAAATTCGATCTGATCATGCGTTTCGGTGTGGAAGTGATGGATATTGATAGATGATCGTTTGAGACTGTCAATAATCTCCTCGACTATGTCCAGCGTCTGGCCGCGCAGTCCAGCGGTTGTTTGATAGCTGTTCAACCGATCTAATTGATCAAGCGGCTGGGAATTATGGTCCAGGAGCATACACTCAATCTCAAAGCCAGCCAGTGCCTTTGTATCCCAATTTTCCTCCAGCTGCTTTAGTGCACGAGACAAGAGCGCGCGTGGGCACTTGCTATGTGTATCTTCGGCCTCTTTGTGTTCCACGAAACACATGACAGACGCATGGCTTGGCCTGAACCCGCAGCAGCGTAGCGAAGACCAGTCGGGGCGCAGCTCCCAGGTTTCAAGATGATTGCCAGTTGGAAAGCATCTTGGCGCCGTTGAAATTGGTATGATCATGCTCACTTGCGGGATCAGGTATTGCTCATTTCCTCGAGCAATCTCCAAACATCGAGCAACAGGTACGAAGCGGACGCGGAGAACGCCGGAGTAGTCGATCCATTGAAGACGGATGAAGCTGGTCAAGTTGTTCTGATCAAGAAACTTTTGAAGTTTCTCTTCGTCTGAGGTCATTGTGGTCAAACTAAAGATCGGGGCAGATTTTGAAGATGTTACAGGTATCAAGACACTGCTCCAAGCCAACCGAAGCGGTGAAGGACAAGGCTGGCGGGGTAGGGTGACTCAAGAGTGCCTTGAGGAAACAAGAGGTGATTTTATCCCCTGCACTGCATAACTGATTCACGTGACATAATCGGGAGATGACGTACCTTTTTATCCGGGCAACCACAACACTCAAGTGCATCATCTACATATATGGAAGTTGGAGACAAGCCGGTTGATGTTCGCAAAGCAGCTAAAATTGTCTGGGAACGCAATCCAGACCTCTCTATATATATGCTCGCATTTGACCATCAGCAATGCGACAACGTTGAATTCTGCTGTTTCTTATCTTTTTTAAGCCTTTCCCCTCAGACGTCTTCATGGAAACTGAACCACTTCTTCAGGATGGGAATTCCTTAAGCGATGTATCGGAGCAAGATATCCCGAACGGCCACTCGGTAGGGAGCAAGAACATTCGCTCGTTCTTCTTGTGCATCTTTGCTTTAGAATTATGCGTCAAGTTCGCTGTTACCCTTCTCGAGCTTCCGATGATAGGACTGGTGGAGCTCATGGTTTGCCAGCGATACCCTAATGTTGGTGCCCAGGATATCCACGATGAAGCATGCAAAATTCCAATAGTGCAAAATAAGCTGGCACAAATTATCGGATACAAGACCACACTTGATGCTTTACCATGTATTTTATCCCAAACTTGGAGTGAAGAATTTTTTTTAATGTGCCAGCAGGTCTGTTGACGGTTCTACCCTACGGATACATTTCGAATTTTCGGGGCCGAAGATTCGTCATCCTGCTCCAGATCAGTGGCCGGCTTCTGGCTCTTTGTTGGATTGTGATTGTTGGCAAGTCTAATCTTATATAGCTCTCACAGACGTTCTGCTTACCGTAGTGCCAGGCTTCTTCAGTGGCAATCCTCCCCCTCAGCTTATATGGATCTCCTCACTGTTTCTGTTTATTGGAGGCGGCAGGAAAGCCCAGGTGTCTATAGTTTACACAAGCTTTTGCGACGTTATCCCCAAAGAAGAAAGGTACGTCCCCAAAACAGTAGTGGCTAAGCGTCGATTTACAAATCATTAAAGGACTCGGTTGCTTGCCCTTGCCCACGCATCGGAAGGCCTTGCTGGGATCATGGCTTATCCAATTGGTTCTATGCTCATGTCATATCGCTTATGGGCTCCTTTTGCATTGGCATTCATAATCAACGTTTTCGAATACGTAGTATTGTGGTATACACCCGAGACCTCACCATTTATAGCCACGAAGCGAGCAGCACTTTCAGTCCAATCTCCTACACATTATCATCTGCTACCAACCATAAAATATTTGCAACAAGCCTTGTCATCTTGTACACAGCGCTCTAATCTTTGGGTTCTCTTCAAACACGGCGGTCTCAATGTTATCTTTGCCTGCTTCTTTACCAAAAGGATCGCTTTTGCCGCCGGCGACTTCGTTTCACAGTATGTTTCTGAGATTCTGCACCGCAAAATCTTTGAGACTTTTTGGCTGCAAGCTTGCAATCATGTCGGCATGCTGCTCGCACTCAGTGTCTTGATTCCTTTCCTTACTCATCATATGAAGAGTCCAGCGAAAGATTTGTGGGTCATCTCTTGCAGTCTGATCAATATCGTCGTTGGATTCTTGGTGTTGTGGTTCGGGAGGAGCGTTCCAACTCTTTGTTTAGGTATGTCCCAGACTACATCTCTCAGCACATTGCTCATGTACAAAGGGTTACTGGTATGCGGTCTCGGTGAAGGGCTTGATGTGGGCCTTCAGTCTCTGGGCTCCTACATTGTTGGTGTAGCTCACCATGGAACATTCTTCTCGCTGTCAGGCATGCTAGGTGTTGCTGGGGAGCTCCTCGGGGGCCCAATCATGGCGGCCGCGTATACTCCCCGTGGCAAGGATGGTGAGCCATTAGGTTATTGCTTCTTGTTATCTACGGTATGGGTTTGAAATATCTCGAGTTATTCATAATGCACTAACACTCATTAGATCCTTTTTACGTGTATGCTATTAGGCAGCCGCTTCATCAACACCGCAAAACTCTTGGAATGAAGCGTCATTTATGCTCTCTTAAGCATCAGTTTCGCCCAGGATTTAACGATTTCCCAGAATGGTCACCGTAGCCGGGAGCAGCGTATAACAATTGTTCCATGGGGAGCTCCAGTCTCACAGCACAAGTCTTCAGAAGGAAGCGCTAGGATCTTCAAAATCAAAACTGCTCACATACCATTAACAACATCAAAAACGTTAAGGGGAAAATTTTCTATAGTTATATATTATTAAGCATTTAGAATCTGCCTGGTTGACACCCTTTTGAGGCTTATTTGGAAGGCTGTCAAATTGTACATCCTGAGCATACCGATTCCGCCTGCTCATGAAACAACATGTCCTTGACAGTAGAATCAACTGTTACCTAGTACTTAGTTACGCTGGATACGCTCAGTGCTTTGAAATAGCTGCAAATGCTTACAAGAACAATTGCGCAGCGTCGAGGCCTTGGATAGTCATAAAAGATGGTCAATTTAAAGGGTATGTACTTCAAATGCGTCTTGATAAAGAATGAGTTCTCCATTTGTTTGCTATAGGCTTATTACAAAAGTCATCCGTCACTAAGCTCATCAAACAGCAAGTAAAACGCCACCTAGCTGCAATCCATGCCATAAACCCTTCATCACAGTAAAATCAAAACAGCTTCTAGGCGAAAAGTTTAGTGATTCTGCGATTGTTCCATTCCCATGCGGTAACATCTTCGTAATGACATGGTGTGGCATCCGTAACGAACTCCTTGAGCGGGAGCAAAGAAGCTTGGCGGTTTGGCTTCACGAAGTAGGCAATCGAGTATCTTTCAGGGATCTCCACGCTATCTCCAGCTTTGATTGCTGGGGGATACGTGACCCTGTGGCAAGCTGCTCGGAAGGTGTCATTAGTGAGACGTTGAAGGGAGTCACCGATGTTGAGAATGATGTCCGTAGGCGCAGACGACTCGACGCTTCTGAATACTCCTGGTTGTGTCTGATCTTCAACCTGGAGACCTCCCACAGAATCTTGGAAAAGCATGGTGATTGTGCCGAAATCGGTGTGTTCAGCAATACGAGTTGCGGTACCATCTGCAAGCTCTGCTGCAGGAATGGCTGGATAGTGTAGCAGGCGGAATTCATTCTCGGCGCGGTTGTGGAGTGCCTTTAAGTGGTCCTCCGAGATCCCGAGGGCGATAGCAAGCGCAGACAGGAGCTGCATCTCCGTCTTGAAGGCCTTTTCGTAGAAGGATTCCATAAAACTGCGGAAACCTGGAAGGCTGTTTTCAGGAACCCAGAGATTATCGACAAGGTCATCCTGAGCACTGCCCATGTCAAGGGTTTCCTGGTTTACGTCAGTTTGATGGCATGAGCCTATTATTGTGACTAAACACTGACCTTGATATCACGGGTCTTTCCAGGACCGAGACCCTTCTCGTACCCGCTAATGTTGGCAACGTTCTCCTGGCCAACGAAGCTGTAACCACGGTTTGGGTTGGCTTGGGGAGGGTGCTTGGCTTCCATCTTCGTTTCAAGTGGCAATGAGAAGAACTTGCGGCTCTAACAGGGCAGTGAGTAAATAAGATATTGTGTCTTTGGAGTTCGGGACAACGTACCATCTCAAAGAGCTTGTGAATGTCTTCATCAGGAATGCTGTGATTCTGGATTTTTACACCGCCTCTCAATTTTAGTAGACGAAGCAGCTCATTGCAGAAAAACTTCTTTTCTTCTGGTGTTCCGAAGAACAAAGACATATCGAGAGTGGCGCCCTTGTCTGCCATAGTGTTATATAAGTAGGTATGCTATGAATACGAATAAACTGGGTTAGGAAGTATGGAGATGATGTGAAGGTGATATTGCTGCCAACTGATCTGATAACTTTTTATGTTTGGGTCTGAGAACCTTACAAGGCGGCTTCTAAGGAGGTTTAAATATCATTTCGAGATGAACTTTGGTTACCCTTTTTGGATGAATTCGTCTTGGGCAAGTTTGGGTCATAGCATTGACGTACCTCACGAGCGAGCCTGGGACACTCAAATCAGGAAAATGGCATTAGCGAAGCATTGCCTATTTGGATTGGGATATCTTTGTCTTGTGGATGCAATAGGCGTAATGCATCTTTTGGGGTCCGTAATCCAAGCATTGGAGGGCTGCTTCGTCAAATTTACCTAAATAGAAGGAGAACCCGAGCCAACTGTGGCACATGATTGAACACTGCTCAATTCGTAGAGCCTAATGAGGCATGTGGGGCGAACTCGGCAGGTAAGAGAACCCGACCCTCAATCTGCTAGCTGCTAATTAGTTTGGCTACTTGAACGGTAACATGCAAATGAGGGGTTTTGGGTTTCACGCTACTAAATAGAAGGCTATTAATTAGTAGCAAGTTTCAATTCTGGGTCGCGGCTTTGTCGTCAGGTGTGGTGGTCTTATTGCGAACATCTCTTCGCCCTGTACAAACACTACGCAGAAGCTATGCGGACAGAAATGTGGGGGCCTCTTAGTGAGATCCTAGGTACCCAAAGCATACGGTCTCCTACACAGGTTGGAAAGATTCTAGATAGTTCTGTTCAAGATTTTTAAAAAATCACCGTTGCCGCAAATGATTTTTTACTGTAGCTCATCAGCCAAGCCCTGGAGTCTGGTGATCACAGCCACCAAGCCATCTTGAGGATTGAAGATCTGCAGTTGCTTTCAAAAAAGCACCTAGGGATTCAACGTCACCCAACAGTAGTTCTACTCCCAGTCACAGTGGATACTCAAGATAGGCAGTATTTAGCATCAAAATAATACCAGAGCAGGCGAGTGACATTCCACGATGTTTTTTGCCATGATTAAATCATTTTATCATCGATTTGGTCGTATTACCACCCTTGATACTACTCTAGTCGCCTTGGCTACGGTCCACGATATTTCAACGTCGCAACCGCTGCAGCTACTAGGTACCCCACCAAATTCTAGTGAGAGACACACCGTGAATCTAGTTGCCTATTGAGCTCTGCAAACTGGGGCTAGCACAGTAGAGAGAGTTGGCAACACGTTCATCGACATCCTAGCGCTTGAAGCCAACGCCGAATGGACCCAAACTTATCTCGATGGGGTGCGGTCCGGGTATTTATGCTTTGTAAAGTTTGCTGGAAAGTGCCTGCATAGGATCTACCAACCACATGCCTCATGGCATGGCTGTCTGTAAAGTCACATACTTCCCTAAAGTCAGTAGCATGAGCCAACAGAAACATTTGTCCACCAGTCACATTAAAAGGCGACTACATTACGCCCTCAGTTCTAAAACCACTATTAAATATCTCCATGTAAAGAACAGCCCAATCAAAGCAACTTCTTGGTTTGAAGGAAAATGCCTGCAAGCTTTTCAGCGGTGTCGTGCTATTTAGGTACTCAACCCAATCAACTAGTTCGACAATCCAAGGGGTTTCGGCTTAAAATCTTCAAATTTATCTGAGGCTGTCAATTGACATAGTTTTGCGAGGAAAAGATTCTTTATTGTAAAGGTTGAAGTTAAATAGATAGCCAGTGACGGACAATTATCTACCAGAATGAAAAAGAAGAAGAGCATTGCCTAAAGCATTTGGCCATGGATGTTACACCACATCCCACAAAGTGCTTAACAGGCAGCAAGGGAAGCCTGGCCCTTGCAGTTAGCGGTGGTGGAAAGCTTGAAGCTCTCCTGACCCTTTTGGACTCCCCTGAACTCCTGGCACACCTTGGTAACGCCGGCACCGCAGGTGTTCGAGACCGTCGAGGTGTCGCCAAAGTTGGAGTTGATACCCGCCAGAAGGTCGACGCCGTTGGCCTTCACGTTGTTGATGATGACATGTCTGGGTCCGCCGTTGTTGGCGCAGCTGCCGCATGCGCGGTACAGACGGTTCGATTCGGCAACGGTGAAATCCTTGATGGTAACAGTTCCCTTGCCGCTGTGGTTAACGACAGTTTCGCCGTTGATGGCACCGCCGCCTTCGATCAAGATGTTGCCGTTACCGTTGGCTCTGACCGCATCTGAAGTGAGGGATTCGTCAGCACGTCAAGTAAATACCGATAAGGCATTTTGTTTTTTTTTCCTTTTTTTGGGAGGGGGGGGGGAATACGGCGATTCCAACAGTTTTTATTGAAAAACAACTCACCTTCGCAAACACGGCGGAACCAGACATTCCTAAGAGTACAAGTACCCCTGCACTGGATGCCCTCGACCTGGTTGGCACCGATGATGACGTTGCTGAGGGTTGCACCGTTCTCCAGGATAAAGACGGGATGGCCACCAGGGGTCTCGACATCAGTGAAGCAAGACCTTCCTCGGTCAAACTCTTTGTTGCCCAGGTCCTTGGATCCAGAGATCACACTTGGTGTGGGAAGAGAGATGATGGAACCGCTTCGAGTTGGGATGTTGACCGTCTGGCCAGCGACAAGGCTGACGAGCAACGCGGTGATGATCTTGGTGGCGGACATTTTGGTCAGGTAGGATATAGAGCAGAAAGTGTTGAAGCAAAAGCAAATATCAGATGCCTCGACTTTTGGGGATAACAGCAGGTAGATAAAGAGTCCCACGTGTGGGACAATCGACGCTTTGGTCCAGTGAAGTCGAAATAAAGGAGTCTACAGTTCACGTAAGTTTTGCTAGGTGCTTCTATTGATTTTTCCACCAGCAAGCTTGGCATAGCCCCCATTTTACACACACTCAATAAAAGAAACGGCTTTTCTTGTGGGTTCCTCATTATGTCAGGTCCCGTGGAGTCCATACAGAAGCAAATGCGAATGCGAGCTGTGTATTCCAAGTGACATTGCCCAAGGCGCAGGGAAAATTGATTCGTGGTTAAATGCTAGCTGCATGCAATCTCTTTAAACATGACTTGGGGGGGGAACTAGCAGTTCATCCTTGGTGGACATTCCCCGTTAGGTTATTCCACTCATTATATCTGATTTGAGTGGTATCCCCCGTATAATTGTAGTAGAGCCAAGGCTTTTGTTGATGTGAAACCTCTTGGCGGGGATCTTCTGGGGCTGTCGGTCCACTCCTGATCCTACCCTTAAGCGTAGCGGCCCCCTTATTTTGACTTGATCTTGTGTTATATACTCTCCCAGTCTCTCAATTAACATCCCACCAGTAGAGCCTCGAGACCCATACAGATCCAATCGGACTTACTACCGAAATGGACTCAGTCGTCTGTAAGACCTGCTAGCAACTTCGCCGAGGGTGCAAAGAAAGTCGTTCCGGTCACCGGTTTTGAAAAGTCCAATATCCGATCATGTAACCCTGGAGGGCTCCCAATAAACATGCGCTCCATCATCTTCTCAATCACCCACAGTTTCTTTGAGTACCCTATGAAGTAGGTACCAAACTCTCCGGTGGCAGGCGAGCCAAAAGGCATGTTATCGCGTAGGATGTCATGCTCGTTTCCATCTTCATCTTCTATCGTCGCTAGACTTTTGTGAGATTGCTGTTGTTTTGGCTCGGCATCATCGAGCTCAATGTTGTCTAGCTTGGTCCGTCCAATAATGGCTTCTTGTTTCTCCGTCGTAAGATGTTGCCAGGACTTGAGATTGTGGAGGTACTTTTGCACAACAATATAGCTGCCTCCTTCTGCGGTCGCCACGCGGTCATCTTTTTCAGTAACAAGAACCGAGTCAGACACGGCGACGCCGACTGGGTTGGCAGTGCCGTCGACAAATCCCAGCACATCTCGGGCGTCAAAATATCTAAAGCCGACAGTTTCATCTTCCGTCTTGACGGCGTCGCCTACCCTATCCATGAGTTGCCTTTCAAACTCGAAAGAAAGGTCTCTCCTTTCGGATCGGATATGGAACAGCAAGTCTCCTGGCGTCGACACTGCTACGTGTTTCGACCCTCTAACTTCCTTGAAAGGCCGTAACTCGGTCGGACGTGGGAGTCTTGTTACTTGGTCCCAGATAGAGCTGCCGATACCGACAGTACATGACAGATGCGCACTGGGGTGTCGAATTGAAATGTTCTTGGTAATGTTGCCAATGTTGGACAGCGCAGATCGGATGTTCTCGATGGCATGCGGATCATCTGTCGCGGAGAGAACAAGGAAAGTGGCCGATTGGGTCAAAGGGGCCTCGACCGCCTGTGGATTCATTGCAAAAGGAGACTTGAAATAAGGGTGATGTGAGAGTGAGCGAATGCTATTCGGTAGTCGAGCGGGGCAAAACGTCTGCCAGGGTCTGGATCTTGTCGACCGAAGCGAATAAATTGAGCCAAGTGATGCCTCGTGGATCCCAACAGCCCGAACACATAGCATGGTAGATGGTACTGAAGGGCTCAAGAAGCTTGAGTTAAGCGTACACGGTGATTTTAAGCAGATTTCACATTAACAGTTACAGGGTGGTCAAGTGTGCGATTTGGAACAGGATTTCCGTCATCCAGCTTAGGAAGGTTTTCAGGTAGCGAAAGCATTTGCAGCGTCATGTTGGGACGGCTTACTGAAGAAGCCATACAGTTGTTAGTCACCAAATCTTGCTTGAGGGGCGGTGTCATCAATGCATATGGCTGACACTCACTGGGGTCCTGGCCAATAGTGATGCCTGTGCAATCTAAGCCCCGAACATTCAGGCGCGGATGCACGGGGCACGTCGGCAGTTACTAAGAGGCCCACTCCGAAGGCCTGAAGACACGTGTCACACGGACCACTGCATATATCGGGGCATGCATTCAACCCATGCACCCGGCTATTGTTTCCCATATAAAACTAACGGGGATGTCATTTTGTGCATGAAAACCTTCAAATCGGTAATTACCGAATAGACGGTTATATAATCAACCCAATAACCCCTAGACAGTCTCTAATGAATGGAAGCATCTTTTTTTACCCCATAAGTGGTGGGCAAATTGACTGCGTGACAGTTATGAGCCCAGTACCTCATGGTGACAATTACCAATTGAAAAACCGACTTCCAGAAGGGAGCAGTTCAGACTTATGCCATAGACAAGGGCACTCAATTGACGAAGTTACCGACCCATGAGACTTTGGCAGTCAAGTCCACCAAACAAAACATCAATTCCAATCACACAAGGCTGAACGTTGAAGTGTTGAAACATTCAATCACAAAAGAACTTCTGGTCATCAATTCATATCATCAACACTTATCAAAAAATCACAAAAAGTTCATCTCAACTCAGGGGGACTTACCACATCTGAGGAGTTGAACCCAGGACTCTTAACTTGAACCTTATATAAGTTCATGCTCGACCATACCACTGATACGCAGCCAGGAGGGTTGGAATTACGAAACGGAAGAGACACCTAGTTGCTCATTTTATGCCTCTGAAAGCTTCGGGCAGATAAGACGAACAGGTGGTTCACTTTATAGTCTTCGTGTAACGGAACCGATAAGACTTTTTACAAATTGCGAAAACTCCACAACCCTGAATTGAACCCACGAAGGGGAGCTTGCCAGTCTTACGGTCCTTGCGAATAGCTACAAGTTGGGTGGCTAGACCAACTACACTAAACGGCAGGTTCATTAGACAGGGGGGGCGTCTTGCGTTTTGTTGAGAATTGAGGCGTTGAGATTGGCTATATACCCTCAAACCTCTAGGCAACAATCGACAAAATCACCAACTTGAAACAAGAAGTGTCTAGTCACGAACTCAATCTTGGCCACGGCGAAAAACCAACTGCACAACGATCAGAAGAGAGAGACCAGTTCTCTTTTCAAGAGAGATCATGAATTCAACTACGGAAACTGCAAAATACACACAGCGGCTACAGACTGACAGCGACTGGAACCACTGGTTCAACAACTTACAGATGCTGGCAAACGTTCATGAAGTCTGGGACTATGTGAATCCAAAAGGAACCAAGATTAATACTAAGCCAAGATTGGAATTCCCAGACCCAAAAGACCTCAGACAAGAAGAACGAGCAAACTATAGCAACGTTATCAGCTATGGAAAAGCTATCTATCAAGAAGAAAAAGACCAATACAACCAGGTTCGGCGAAGTCTTCTAGAAATTCATAGTTGGATCATGAACACTGTAGCAGCCACTTATATCAGCCAAGTCAGCAAGGAGCAAACAGTCAGGGATATCATAAAAGCTCTTGAAAAACAGCTAGCGCCAGACAACTTTGGGAGACAACAAATGGTATTGGAAAGATATAACAAGCATATGCTATCAATCAAAAGAGCAAAACTTGGAGGATGGCTCATAATCTATCGAGAAATCATGGATGAAGCCCAAACAATCGGAATCCCTGCTCTCAGCGATCCAGTTACTCAAGTCTCTGAGTTCTTGAAAGCAGTCAAGCAAATTGCACCAGATTACTACACATCTGCCTCTTACGACTTCACAAAGCGATACAAGGATGACCCAACCTACAGTTCGATCAGCAAGACTGCTGGAATTGAGCAAGCTAACGATTTCCGCAGTTGGGTGAGAACTTTCCACCCAGACTGGCTGAATGCTGCTCCATTAAAAGACACGAGTTTCGCTACTTGGCAAGGAGAAAACGAACAAGGAATAAAACAGGGGGCAAAACGAGAGCAAAAGTGTGCAGCTTGCCCAAACGAAAGTCACCGATTTGTTGATTGCAAACATGCCAACCCTAAGAAGCGAGGCCCAAACTATCATGAAGATAATCCAGAAAATAAGAAAGCACTGGAAAGATTGAATGAGTATCTCCAGAAGAAACCACACTTAAAGAGAATAGTTGAAAAACTACGAAAAGGGGCAAGCGATCAGCAGTCTCAAAAGTCCCCAGATCGAGCAACATCTTCCTCAAACTGGAGAAACACTACACAATCATCATCCCACTATACTCAAGAAGTGTCTGATGGAGAAGGATCACTCTCATCTTTCGTCACTATCGTCAATCAAGGAGAAGCAAGTCTCTATTCAGGATTCCCACTGTCAGACAGTGTGATAGTAGACTCAGGAACAGGATTCCACATCTGCAACGACTCCTCAAGACTTCATGATCTCGACTACACAGTCACAAAAGACTTCACCACTGGAGGAGGAGATGTACATGCAATTGCGAAAGGCACAATGATCATCAAACCAAACCAAGGCGGCAAATCCAACAACAAGGAGATCAAAGTCAGAAATGTATGGCTTGTGCCTGGATACCCAACATCGCTCCTTGGGACAGAACCGCTGAAGCAAAAAGGGATCAACTTTACAACAGGAATACCGGGTCTTATCGACTCAAAAGGCAGACTTCTATTCAAAACACCAAACCGATATGGTCAATACATTATTGAAGCTGGCCCAGCTCTGCTGAACAATACCTCGTTCAGCAATACCGAGAAGACTGTGAGATTCAGCCCAACCGTAGAAAGGAAACCAACCAAAGGTTTTCAGTCAACAAGACAACCACTCCCAACATCATCAGCAGAAGCCAAGTTGTGGCATGAGAGACTTGGTCATCCAGGCGCTGAGGGACTGGAACAGCTACTTAAAACAGCTCTTGGGATACAGATAAAAGGAATCACAAAAGTGGAATGTGATGCCTGTGCTGTTGGGAAGGCAACTCGCCAAATTTCCCGCAGAAACCCAGACCATTGGCCAACTGCTGTAGGAGATTATCTATCTCTCGACTTCTTTACACTTAGCAAAGCATACAATGGGGAGAAGGTAATCCTGCTGGTCAGCGATGGCTGGTCAGGGTTCTTCTGGATAAGAACTCTTCGTACTCGAAAGGAGGGACTACAAGCTATGACAGAATTAGCAGCATACCTCGAGAGACAGTGCTTTATCAAAATCTCTATTCTACGCCTAGATTGGGAGGTTGCTTTACGCAATGCGTTTGAACTATGGGCAGCTGTGAATGGATATATGATTGAAAGATCAGCTGAGTACACTGGTGCTCAAAACCCAGCAGAAAGAGCTGGAGGTGCTGTGTTTATGATCATGAGAGCACTTCGATTTCAATCTCGCTTTCCTGAATTGATGGCACCAGAGCTGGCAAAAGCAGCAGTTTATCTGTCAAACAGATTGCCTCGAAGACGCCACAAGTGGCAGACACCATTGGGGTTGGTCAACACTTGGCTGAACTCTCATCAACAGTCTACCCACAAGAGGGCTGAAAAGCCACAACTAGCACACTTGAGGCGATATGGCTGCAGAGCTTACCCCTTGACACAAAACTACAAGAGAGGAATAGAAAAGTCAAACAAAACTGCGCCAAGAGCTCATATTGGCTATCTATGTGGTTATGACAGCACAAATATCTACAGAATCTGGATCCCAGCAATAGGAAAAGTCATGAGAACTAGAGACGTTACTTTCGACGAAAACACGCTGTATGATCCAAGGATTGAGGATACCAGCAAGTTAAGCCAAATGGAACTTGAATTCCAGTTCACAGAAATGGATATCCCATTCACAAATCCAATTGAACAAGACCTAGACACAGCTGGCTGGGATGGAGAAGATTTCAGCGATAATATTACCGGGCCACTACCCGCCTCGAATCCAGCCGCTCAAGAAACAACACCGGCAACACCGATGCAGGAGAAAGAATCAGGGGATTTTCAATTACCTACACCCACTTCTCTATCACCAACAGTACAGCTGTCAGATTCTCAAACAACTGAGGGGGTGAGGGAGACTCCAGAAACTCCAGAAGTATCGCCAACTCCAGAACAATCGGATCAAAGTGAGACCATAGAGGAAACCTCAACAGACCGACTCGAACTACAACAGACACCAGTCATAGAATTGGAACCAGAAGAAATCATACCACAAGATTCCTCCACAGTAATCCCAAACATAGCGAGAAGGGGAAGACCTCGTGGCAGCAGAAATCACAACATCTACAATCGATCAGCCCCTCTTGGTCAAACAAATCAACAGCCACCAGAAGCAACAAGATCATCACAAAGACTGAGAAGAGCAAGAGAATCCCACTTCACACTGCAATCTACGGATACAGTAAAAGGAAGAGATCAATGGGATGCATCAGCAGATGATTTAGGCAATCCACACCAAAAGACACTTCCACCAGTTCCAAAGAATTACAGTGAAGCGATCAAACACCAATACAGTCACAAATGGATTGCTGCAATGAATATTGAACATTTGATCGAGAAGAACGCAGTATGAATCTGGAATTTGGTAGTAAGTATACGGAGTTCTGAATAGTATCATTTCTGTATTTGAATGAGAATACAGAGAATCAACCTACAACAGGTTGCCTCTCTGAGGGGGTGTGTCACACGGACCACTGCATATATCGGGGCATGCATTCAACCCATGCACCCGGCTATTGTTTCCCATATAAAACTAACGGGGATGTCATTTTGTGCATGAAAACCTTCAAATCGGTAATTACCGAATAGACGGTTATATAATCAACCCAATAACCCCTAGACAGTCTCTAATGAATGGAAGCATCTTTTTTTACCCCATAAGTGGTGGGCAAATTGACTGCGTGACAACACGCCATCAAGCATCTTTGAACAGTCACGAACATCCCGACCTTGCGCCGTTCAAGGTACTGTAGCTTGTTCGTGAGCAATTATTCACGTTCTCGACGAGTTTTCGATTTCCTCTTGTCTGGGTCTAGCCACTTAGAAGTACAAGCTCTTGCGTCATACCATGTTCAAAACTTCCCATGCTGGACTTCACGGAAGTGATTTGATTAGCAAATAAGGAAGAAAAGTGGCAATTGATACTTGTTATCCACCGGATCTGTAGTAACACCCCCTCGATTCTCGTTCCACCAATGAATGAACACTTTAATGAGGAGACCGGACTGTGATCATTTTTTATGTGTTACTAACCTGTGTTATTTTTATTTCAATTCCTAGTTTTACTTGGTGTCATTTACCCCAAGACAACGCTTTCTTGTCCCACTACTTTAATTGTGCTTAGAAGAACAAAGGCGCAATAGTAAACAAAAACAAGGATACCTCAGTACATTGCAAACGCCGTCAGATACCCATCCATACCTTACCCAAAATTGAGTGGACCAACTCATTCATCATCCGCATCACGCGGGTCGTGGCTCTTCCAGTATTTCTCATACTCATCCCAGGACTGCGCTGGGAACGGAAGAGGCACGGTAATTGGGCCGAAGGGGATACCCTTATCCTCAAACTCCTGAAGACGAGCCTTTGTCTTCTCCCTCGTTGAGTTCACACTGTAGACTGATATGCGATGGCAAGAGCTAGTGACATGCAGGCCCCAGTTCCATGCAGTGCGAACATCTGGGGGCTGGGTGTTGAGAGAATTGTCCCAGCAGCGGCAGACGATCTCAACCCAGCCTTCAGCGTCACAAGGAAGGTCGTATTCCCATGTTCGCCAAGTCCATTTTCTCTTTTTGGAAAGGTTCTCAACGGGCACAGCGTACCAGTTGAAACCGCCGTCGGCGGACAATTCTACGCGTTCAGGCCAACGACCACCACCCGAGTAAGCCCAGCCCTTGCAGCGAATTTTGCCATTGTGGATAACGACTTGCTTAGTCCATGGCGACATTATCGCCGAGCTGACTGGCATCTCTTGAATTTGAATACCGTCCGTCAGCTTCAGGTTATGCTTGCCAACCTGCTGAGGGAAGTAGAGGTATTCCTGGCTCTGAACCGGTGCTCGAGTAGGGTTCTCAATGGCTTTGATGCGATACAACCATTTGACGCTTCTGGCACCGATGTAACCGAACACGACGATGCGTAGAGGGTAGCCGTGGATTCGAGGGAGGACCTCTCCGTTCATCTCCCAGGCCAGCATCACCTCGTTTGCCTTGACCTTTGACCAGGGCACGCTGACCAAGTAGTTCATCGTCTTGTCGTCTTTGAAATAGGTGTCGGCACCGTAGAACTCGAGGTGCTTGGCGCCTCCAATCAACCCACCGCAGGCTTTGATTACCTTCTTGAGGCTGATGCCAACATATCGTGCCGTGCCAATGGCGCCTTCGGCCCAAGGTGCCTGGGGCACTTCGTCACCTTGGCCAGCGTATTTGAGAATTTGTTCAATGCGGCGGGTTCCAGAACACTGCATAGTGACGGTCTTTTCCATCCGTGGGAATCTGGACTCGTCCATAAGGTCGTCCAGTGTAAATGACTGGGGGTTTGCAACCAATCCATCGAGAAGAAAGCTGTACTTGTCCTTATCGATGATGGGAATGCCGCCGTGGTTTCTCACAAAATGAAGTGGGTTTGGCGTGATCTCCTTGGCGGTTACCAGGCGCTTCGGGGGCTCTCCGTTATAGGGAAATTGAAGAAGATGAAGCATATCAGGGTGCTTTTCTTTCAGAACAATATCCCAAGAATCATCGGGGATCCGAGTGAGCGCACCGCCAACTGCGTGGTGCCACATTTTCCATCGTGTACCAGGAAGAACGGGATTGGTAGCAGGGATGGGGCCGAGTTGAAATTCTGGATTAGGCGGAAAGGTTTGAGAAGTCAAGATCTTGTGAGCTGCTGCCTTCTTCTCGGGGTAGTTTTCCCACTCAACAAATCTTGATTGTTAGATCCCGAATTAGCCATGGAATCGTCAACTGGGAGACAAACTAGACTGAGCGACATCAACTTACCCGACCCAGCCATCCCGCTCTTCTGTGAAGAGCTTATCACGGTCACCGACGCTTTTAATGGCCTCCTCGTCTTCCGTAAGTTTTCCAAAGATCTGTATGGGTAGGGCCTTGGTCTCTGGCCCCGTCATATCAAGGACCGGCAGGGCTGCCCCAGACAGACCCTGCTCGATCTTCCACTCATCGGGACGATTTGTCGTCTTCATGTTGCTAGATTATGGTGAGAGTATCAAGCGAAGCTCCTCTAAAGTGCGAGATTGCAATGTCTCGATAGCATATGAAAGAGGGGTAACAAGTGGTGGTTCTGGGAGCTTGGGCTTAAGCACACTTATACCACTGCTCATGACGTGTACCAGTCCGAACTCACCGAGAGGAGGGAGGCCATAGGGTTCTGAGACGCGAAATGTACTCTCTTTGCATTCACAGCTGCTCCAGTTCAAACTTCCCAGAGGCGGCAAGTAAGACCGCCCAATGGTACGTGTGAAGCCTAATCAGAGTTCCGCTTGGCTAACTTGGGATGATTAAGCGTCGGCCCACAAAAGATGTGAATTTGGTTTGATGCATACATTTTGTGTTTGGCGAGCGCTTATCACTGTCACTCTTCGTTCTTCCCAGCTGTTACACTTTCCATTTGGGGATAAGTGCACAGCATGTGCTCACGCTATGACTTGTGACATGTGTTGAGCCTTACTAAGTCCGCTAGGGAGGACGCTGATCCCTACAAGCGATCTGAGAGATGGCCCCGGCAAGGCGGCAGCACGGGAACGGATGGCACGGGCTTAGATGCACGGATGACACACGGCATTAGTTAGTAACTATCAGTCATGTCTCTCGTTATGTTGAACTTCAGTGTCTGACTGAATTCCGGCCCTCGTTTGATGCCGAACCCCTCATTTCATTGTAAGAGAGAAGCAATGTCAAACGAATCAATTTTCTGCGTCTGGCTTAAGACCATATCGAAGAGGTCAGGCCAATCAGTAATGTAAAGTGTGAAGGCTTCTATCAAGTGGAAGACGCAGAGCGCTTGGGGAGTTAAACCACAGGCCCTCTTTCTCTCATCTTAAGCCATCCTTATGCCCTGGTTCAAAAACACTCTCGCGTGGAAAGTCGAAGGATGATGGAAAAATCCATTTAGATTTAAGATACCTAATCCCATCCTTCCATACCGAGTCAAAACATACTAGGACTTACGGCCTGACCATACCCCTTATCCAATTCCTTCTCAAGGCGCAGTCACCTAACTTTTTGCCGCCTCGTACAACGCGTCGATAGTGCCGCAGGCTATGACTTCGAAGCTGGTGATGAATGCCAGCTATTTGAGCATCCAATAGCGAATCCTTTCAAATAACTATAGAACTCTTTTCTAAATTTTAGGCATAAATTCCGGAAAGTGGATAGTCAACATGGATCAAAAGCCTCTCATTATTAGCCTGGAGCTTTAGCGCCTGTTGAAGTGTGTATGCCATCTTAGGTGACCACCAGATGGCATAGCGGACCAGGTTGATAGGATCAAACTGACAACCAAAGGCCGGGCTGGTCCGGTACAGCAAGAGCACCAAAACAAACTATCGGGTCGTTTTAGATGACACTGTTTACCTCTTTGACTCCAGCTTTTAGAGCGATCTTCTTTTTGACTTTTTTTCGCATGCTTGCGGCGACGCTCCTCTTTCGAATTGATCATTGGTGTTCTTTCCGGCCCGGCAGTGGTATTCGCCTCCTTGTCCGAATCAGTGAGTTTGGGAGGGAGATTTTCGTCACACGCCTCGGCCTTCTCCGCCTCCTTGGCTACCCGCTCCTCACCGTGAAAGATAACCATTACCTAGGGGAAGACGAAAGTCATTCAGCGGCACCTGAATAAGGTCGAGTGCTGTTAACAACTTTTTGGCGACCTTGCATGTTTTCAAAGCTGTCTGTGGCTTGAGTTTCGTTCGCTGGGTCTAGGGCATTGACAGTAGTCGTCCCAATGCTTGGGAACCGAGGAGCTGGCAGGACCGCTTGGGGTTATCATTGATTATATCGTCGCCACACCAAGGCCAGCAAGAGGCGACTGTGTTATTTCTTCCATTCTCTATTTCAGAAAGATTCAAAGGTTAAAGAAAGTATTGGTCCTCATTGCGAAAACGCGAGCGAGCGAAGCTCGAGGCCAAACGTCCGAGGTTGGCAGTTAAATGCCGAGTGTGTGGTGCTCAATTGTCAAGTATTGATCTTGAATCCAAGGGCACGTACTAGCCCATGCCGACCGTCATAGTGCCATCCATTCGAGTGTCATAGCTTCTGGGGAAGCGTCATGGCCATTCTTCCCTTATCTTGACGCTGACCCCCAAGATGATGAGTAGTCTATCCCATAAGTTTGGCCTCTGTCCGATGTTGTTCATTCGCTCTTAAATTCTCGCCATGTCCGTATCCTTTGGAGTCTATTACTTAGGGGTCTTTCATCTTTAAGTCGCCAAAGGTCCGCATTGTACTTGTCGTCCCTAGTGCTAGGGCTGACGTCGAGGTCTGCAGACTCGGTTTCTTCGAAACTAATGTTTCCGTTTCGAATCACACTCCTTCCTCTTGGAGGCTAACATCTCATTGACCTACTTTGGCCTTTGGGTATTGTGTTGCAAAATAACACCAATTTCTCCAGCTTCTTGTATGAGTATGAAGCCCTCAAAAGTATGAAGTAAAGGCCAGCTCGTCGCAAATCATGTTTGTGTTGACCAAGAGCTGGAACAGGACAGGGAGACTCTTTCTGCAAATAAGGGACTGAAACTTCAAACCTGGTTTCACCAGTCCTGATGGCTTCCATTCCCTCGGATGCCGAGACTGTATTGATCTGTTTGGCGAAGTTCGCCATCTTTGCTGCGAAGCTATCGTCAATCTTCTCGTCGTACTGAATGAAAGCTTGCTGCTCGGGCATCTGTATAACCTGTTCCCTCTCGGACGGTGTCAACTTCCTAAACTCGGCAGGCTTGCTCGTCTCTGCCACATCGGTTCATACAGGATAATGATTACAACTCCATGCTGTAGAGAACCGATAATATTTGCATCCGTTGTAAGTGCGAGTTCGATCTGAATGGGTGCACCATGTTACCCCTGACAGAACCCCGACGCAGAAGCTGAATATACCTAGATCAGTGTCGCTTAGAGTTCAGGGGAGTGAGCCGGGGTAAATTATCGTCTGCCGGCTACCCGCTTGCCCTCTTTGTCACTCACGACCGGGATACAGAGGAGTTTGGAGGGATACTTTTCGTAGACGTCAAATTCAGGCGAAATATTAGGAGGAACGAAGGATCCACGATGTTGAGTTACAACAACACAACTGTATTCAGAGGATTGTGATGTCGGTTGATGTAAGCTGTGGGTGGCAGGCCTCGCCGGCCCGTCACGTGGGCTGACGACCGCCACAACTGGTCTTAGCCAACCTCCCCAGCCCTCTGTAGCTAGTTAGTCTCCTACACCAACACATAACACTATTCCGAGCGCTTTGTGCCGGTCCCGTCCCACATAAGTATTACGGCCATAGCATTGCGGCCTTTATCAGTAGCTGTGATCAGAGACTTAGTCTGACGAATACTCATAGACTCTGGCTCCGCGGTCCCTTCCATGATTCGCCCAGCAAAAGCGCTTATCACTAGTAAGGTGCTGCGTCTTTTCAACAAACTCGAGAGAGGTATTGTTGTCATTCTTGTTGTCGACGCTTAGCTTCGACATCAAAGAAGGCAAGCTGAAGCTTTCTCCGCTAAGCAGATCAGGGCTTTGATCAGATCTTTGAGTCGGATTAGACTATTCGATGTTCAATCACAGGAACTGTCCCCTAGGAGCTAATATGGCCATGAGAGCCTCAAAGCCACACGAAAAGCAAAGGAAAATGTAAAAGCAATCATGTCCCCAGATGTTTTCAGAACCAGAATACTTTGGAATCTGATCAGAACAACTCTACGTCATCTGGATTGTTCAATTCTTCCAGGCTATGGAAATACGTAATGATCAAAACTGATGTCGTGTTCAACATGATTTGAGCCGTGTCAAGCCACTCAATACCGTTGATGGACAGTTGGAAGAGGACGTTGATGTGGGTGAGTCCAAGGAAGGATGTCTCCCGGCGTTGCTGGTTGATCCGATGGTGGTGAAAGTATGGTCCTTGGATATAAAAGCTTTAGAAGGGATTGAAGCAGGTAAAAGAGATGTATCTCTTCCAGTCACCCGTCATGTAGGTAGTTGAGGTTGCCTGAGGCCTGGTGGCCGGTAGCCGTTATCTTGGGCAGCCACGAAGCCATTATTAACCCGGAGTTCCGACCATTGCAACAACTTCCTTCTCTACTTGCTCCGTGAGCTCGGCTACGACGGAAACGAGAAGTTTGCTAACAGGAAAGATTTTTGTCTTCTCATAGGTAAAAGCCACATCTAGTCATGATGTGACGACCGAGGACATTGGCGGTGGGCTGAAAGGACCTCATAGACTTATCGGGGAACTTTCCTTGTCGTTGCTACCAGTGTGTCGCCGCACAGCCACATCGGTATATCTCAAACTGTTCCTCTCGTTCGTCTCATCAAGCCCATCGAGACTGGAAAGGCAGGAAAGATCACAAATGCCTTGCCATTTAGACATTTGAGACGCCAGAAAAGGCTCCTCTAAGCCTTCCAGCACACATGCGCCTTGTTCCACTCGATCCCTTGATGGTGCAGCTTAGGTTTCTGCTATACATAGCGATAGTATCCATTCAACGAGCTTGCCGTGGCCCCTAAATATGGCAGCATGTAGGATTGTTTTCTGCCGTAACCGTTCAGTAGGGTTATCCTTGTGAGTTTGTATATCGCACCAGGGAAGGTTGATCATACGTCGTTCCTCCTCCTGAGAAATATTAGTAATACGTACGAAAGTATACGAGGGGAGAAGACATACATAGTACATTAATCGCAAGAGGACAGGAGTAAACGCCGATTGTTGGCATTGCCAGTGAGCAGTAGAATCTATCGTCGTCCGTTGACGTGACTCTCGATGGTCTGACTGAGAGGCGTGGCAAGAGCCTGCGGGCCTGCGTTACCGTTGATAGGGACGACAGACATCGTGAAGGCGTCGGGAAGAGAGGGAATGGTAGTCGTACGAAGAAGAAAGGAGGTGGTGAAGCGTTAAGAGTTGAGGATTGAGATATTCGTACGAGAATTGAGGAAGTATTCTAAAATGTCGAGGTTGAAGAGTAAAGAAAAAGAGGAAAGTCTTTTGAGAAGGTAAGTAGTGCTCGTCGATCGGGCAATCCCATGTAACGCGAAACCAGGTGGATGTCATCGTGTTGAAAGGTTCGTCCGAGACACCTTGAAGAAGGTGCTTCACTAGAGATGAGTTTCCGCCAACCGCAGCGGATGGGAGGACCGTCTCTTGGCCATGATATGCCAATTGCCTTAGTATACATTGAAATATGACGGATTTCTCCAGCATACCTAAGCTGCCGCCGGGATTGACAAGATCAAAATGGCGACGCTAAGATATTGTGAGAGATAGCAAGTTCAATGGAGAGCTTAGTATACTTTCACCTTTGCCTAGGAATTAAACTCAAAGTGGTAGGTCTAGTCAACGCGCAGCAGAGTCCTCTCTGGGTTTATTAGACCAGGCCTAGATGTGACAGGCAGAGTAACAAACTTCAACCAAAGAATAGTGTTGAATTGGTTAGTCATTTTCCACCTAATGTTCTCTAGTAATTTGGCTACTTGATCCCAAGTTACGGAGACGATTGGCACAAATAGCTGAGATTCGCAAATCTCGAATACTATTGGAATTTCAAACTCTCCTGTGGGATGGAACCAGCACAGAATCGCTCAGTAGAAGCGGTGTGTATGTGGAAGAACTAAACTAGCTACGGAGGGCTGGGGAGGCTGGCTAAGACAAGTGGTGGCGGCCGTCAGCCCACGTGACGGGCCGGCGAGGCCTGTCATCCACATCTCCTCACACCCATCCAGTTCTGGTGACTACCAGTGCGGACGTGTCAGAAGTGACCGCTTTAGGCAAAAGATTTCGGAGGTAATGGTAAAGAGGTCGATTGTTACCCCTTCGGATGCCCGGTATTGTTTCTAGTCGAAGTGGTAGAATCCTTGATGCCACTGCCAGAGAAAATGTGAAATAGTAAACCGTGAGGAAGGGTGACCAAGATGGGAGGAGGTCGTCATTGTCGGAGTTAGAGGTAACGCTCCCCTAATAAAGAGCGGGTTTCTGACTGGTCCAGAGAATGGCGGAATTGTTAAAAATTGATACCTCAAGCCTGATTCACACTCTTACTCTGAGCCAGAACCGTTGTAGAATCCAAGAGACGACTTCATTTTTCACTGCTGGAAGGGTTCTCGAAAAAAGCAACATCCCACTCCTTGAGGCTTGTCGTCATGTTGGTTTCTCATCTAAACCAGGCAAAGGACCAGAGACACATCTGACAGCTTTTTCCGTTAAAGGGCTTCCTTTTGCAAGAACCAACAACTGTGGCCGCTTCTGGCGATGTAGTATGCACAATATCACTTTCGAGGTGTCCGCTGTTGACGCCGGGTCGCGGAGCTGGTGGGCTTTGCCCGCACGAGTAAACGAGAGAAGTGCGCAGCTGTATAGTGGTGGCCATGTTGCCAGGCCCAACTTTTTCCAAATAGACATAAATGATCAAAGCCACAGCTTAGCTCAGTGCTTGGGTTGGCTTATAACCTGTAACACGGGCAGGGTGCCGTTTTGCCCCCTCACTACCTGTCAAAATACTGCAGCACAGGCTTTTCTGAAAGATATTTCCAGTTGACCTCCGCATATAGCTCTCGTCAAGGTATAATTTCCCAAAACTTCCATCTTGGGAATGCTGGCCCACGAAGTTTCAATTTGGTATTTTGATAACCGTCGGCTTTCTTGGAATCGGAGCGCTAATCAACAACGTAGACGAAAGAATGAACAAAGCTCTGTTGCCCTACCAAAAACCAAACGCTTTTTTAGCTTTAAAGAAGTCATTTCCATCTATAAATGCCGTCTTTGTGATGTTGCGGGTGGTGTTGAAAATCGTGCCGCATACCCGCGGCCTGCCCGTAAAATTGTACTGCCACTGCCAGCTTCGCAAGAGCACTGGATGCCCGATGGATATTTTCCCAAGACACACTGTGATTTCGAGCCATAGTCTTTTCTGGAGTTATTCATGGCATAGTAGTGGTCGAGGCTTGCAAACGGTGCATACCTAGGGAATAATGACTTTATATTTTAGCGTTTTGCCCGTGCCCGTTTGATAGGGGTAAAGTAAACCCGATTCCTCAGTGGCTGAATCGAAGGCGGGCATGAAGTAGCGATGATATCATGGAAATTAACGGGTAACAACTTGCGGTTCGCCATCGACAGTATTTGACAGTGATGTTTGTCGAAGTTAGGTAGTCCTCATCATTCGGGAAGAGCATTTCTCTTCTTCCAGCAGGGTCCATGATCGTGAACTTTCACCAGCTCCTGAGTCCAGTCAAGTTGCAATATACCGTTCAAGTCCATGATGCTTAGTCCAGAGGCCATGACAAGGTTCATCGTGGTGATGTTGTTGATGAAGCTCTGCTCAGAGCCTCCGCCGCTCCACATTGGGTCGTGCCAGTACACCATGCCGTTGACTTGATTGAATCTCATGACCTTGGCCAAGCAGCTAAGTATGTGATGCCAATACCACGAAAAACAATTTCCCACCAAAATTTTCTATGTCGTTAAGGCATAGCTAGACGTTTGTAGTCTTTCTTTGCTATCATCATGAATCAACAAACGTATCGTTTGTTCACTGTGTCTCGTACACGCTAGACTCTCTGTGACGAACGTCGTGTTTCTCATCTTGCTTGTCTGAAAATCTAAATACGCAAAACTACTTCAAGCGTAAATGTTGCAAATTTCGGTAATTCAGTTTGAAATGGCTTCGTGGCTGCCCAATCTGCCAGCTGCTGGCCGCCAGACCTCACGTGGATAGGTGATCCCAACCACCCACGCTACGAGCAATTGGACGAGATATATCACTTCCACTCACTTCAACGCTCCCCTCTACAGCTCTTTAAACCATGCAAGGACATTCCACAACACCGTGAGAGGAATCCCTCCTCATACGTCTGTATGGATATTCTTGTGATGCAAAAGTAATCTCGAGGGTATTGTTGCCACCATTGCCAGCATTACTATGAGGCTCGTCAATCAACATGACGCTGTTGTTGGTGTCGCCTCTAAAAGCTGTAACTTGCGGAGGACTGATTGGTGCAGGCGTTCGATATTGGATTTTATGGCTTTCTCGGCAGAGGTAGGATAACAAGGGCAGCCTTATAGAGAAGGGTACCTTGACGGAAACGTTAACGTTGTTGCTGGAAGTAAATAATCTGGCGGAAGAGTTTGTTAACACACCCCCTCAGGCCTATCGTTTTCTCTCTCAGGTCTCAGATCATATAAAACTCCTCTGGGACGACAAAAGGCTGTTTACTTTGTGTTGTAACCCCTAAACACAGGCAGTCGTATACGGCATCCTCATCACTGGTTCTTATCAGCGCTGCCTCTTGAAAGGGACCAATGTTTGAGCCTCTTCGCCTAACTTTGAAGTGTCAGGCTATAGAGGCCGACCAGTTCCAAAATAACCATTAGCTTGAGCGATTTGACGAGATCGTCCTTGAAAGGGAGAGTTAGCTCCGTGAGCTGAATCATTCTTCCAAGCTGCGCTAATATTTGTTGTCTCCCACCGAAGTTCTTGCAATCCGTAACCCGGGAGCGAGGTGGGCATTTACAATAGGAGCAACTTCGTCAGCATGAACCGGTGAGAGAATCTCAAGCTCCCGATGCTCTAAGTGCGCCGAGGAAACCAAGGATGTGTGTTTCTAAGCGCCAACCGTGGAGCGGATAGAGGGAAATAATCGGCCCCTTCAGCGACCCAAGGGCCCTAGAATGGTAGACTAGCTGTGTCTCACACTCAGCTTCCCTGTCGTCACTGCAGTTCACGTCAAGACAGGCAGTTCCCGCAGTCTGAAATGTGACGCCCAATCCTTTGCGCAAGGTACGATGTTAATCTTTTGGGCGATAATTGTTTTGGGCCAAGCTCCAACAACACGCCGACACGCGCTCGAAGAATCTCCTCGGTGCCATTTCTTTCATTTCCTCGTTCCTGCGAAAGCATGTGTTAAAACTGGGCCTATCTTGAGCATTGAACCAAGTCCCAGGTAACCTGGTTCTTCTGACCGAAACGCACAAGTCTTCCGAATCCCTGCATTAGAGTGCCCTGGTTGTACAGGAAGCATGCGTATATCCCAGTGTAGCACTGATGGTGCAGGTCCACTGCAGCGGCCGATAGGTTCGGGGAAGACACGAGTACGTCGACGTGCTGTTTATCTGAGATAGCAACTCAATAAATGTGCTGTAAGTCTTCTTGACAAGAACGCCCAAGCAAAAGGCAATACAATACGTCCGAAGTTATTCTTGTACTCGTCGTCCTTCTCGTTGGCGGTTTTTCCGATGGCCAGTGCCATCACCAGGCTCTCTGCATGTTCGACCAGATTACTCAAACACTAGAACTGTTGGGATCACAGGGGTCTCTGTAGAGTGGTACATCTCTGATGGAGTAGAATTGTCCGTTGTTTGTGGTTACCTTAGTCTGGTAGAATTGAGGGCTGATGTAGCGGCCGTCTGCCCATCAAGCTGGGCAACCGGCAACTGGTAGTTTATCAGCCACGGCACCACTTCAGCCCGGGGCCCCAGCTATTGCAACAAGAGCTTCCGGTTAACACCCAAATGTCTGACGTCGAATATCGTCGGGTACATTCTGTTTCATCATGTTGAAACTGCCCCCATACTTATGGCCTAATTAAGATCCGCTGCAGTAGGCATAACAAACGCCTCACCAAACTCCTAAGTCCGCACAGTTCAATAGGAAGCAGCAACGTGACGATGAAACTTGGTAACCCGGCAAAAGGTGGATATCGGGCGAGTTGACATTGCGATCATGATGAGTGCAGCGGGCACCGTAGGAGTGCCAGACGCACTCGGCGCAAGCACCACGCTAGAAAGTGGGAATACGAGTGCACTGGCAGAAACGAGGAGTGGAAGTAGTCGCGCATTTGCTGACAGAGGCAACAGGCGTACGACCACGCGACTGGATGAGCATGGCCAGACAGTATCTCTGACGACGAATAATACTGGCAATGAACTTCTGGACAGAGGTGTTGCCGGTGATATGGATTTCAATGTCGTGCAAGGGCATATTGATCACCCGACGCTCTTCATCCTACAACCAAGATTAGCGTCCGGTCATATTTGTCTCCGCAGAAGAGGCATACCGTCATCGTCCGTAAGCTCTTCGACCCTCACCAACACGAGTGGATTAGCTGCCCACTTCCTAACCCATAACCGCCGCAAGGAGCATTTTTCAAATCGATTTTGGTGCTTGCGTCGAGGTAGGCACGATTGAAGGAAGTTATATATGTTTAGGGGTACTTCGGTGAGTGGCATCTACTCGACGGCCTCAAACAAGCCCTCCACGCTTGCGTGGTGAATGTAGACATCGTCTTCGACTTGCGGTAGGTGGGCGGACAGCCCATTCGCTGACGAGGAATACGGCAGTCCGCAGGGCGCACTGGGTCAAAATTCAAACATTGCCTAATTAGGATGCATAAACGAGATAAGCATACACCACCCGTATAGATAGTTAAGCTTCTTATCTTTACTATGTAATTATCACAAATTTAAGCGAATTCTATGTTTCGTATACGTGCATGTACAGAGTTTTACGGGGCCGCACAGGAGTGTATTCTCAATTCTCAACAATAATATTTACCATATTTTGTACGAATATGTCTTTAAGGTGCCCCAAGCGGGCTAACCTGGACCACTTCTCAGCAAAACTGCTATGGAAGTGGAAGACGTGTGCATTTTGTTCAATCGATTTATCCCAAGTACAAGAACCGGACGAAATCGACCTTACCAATACTGACGACTTCGAAACTCCAACGGCTACGATTTCATCACGTACACGACTTTCCAATACTACAACCAACCCGATCGAACAAGCACTTTATATACCAGATACACAGCCAGACAATAGTCTCCTTACTGCTCTTATTAAGGGCTCAGAGGAGCGTACAGCTAGTATCCAGCAAACCCAGAAGAAACCAGTTCCGAACCCAACTGTGGATATTATTATTCACCTATGGCTTGCATCTTTCTATGTTACGGATATAGATGGAATCTCTATTCGAACATACACTCGGGTTCAGTCTGTTAAAAAGTTTATTGGGAAGTCACAGTTCTTGTTAACTTCTAAGTTTACTTCACATACAGATATGATAAGTAAGGTCTTAGTAAAGTTTACGTCTGAGAAGCAATTCCTTGACCGAAACTGGAAGGCAATGCCCGTTACTCCAAAGAATCTTACGGATATGCATGAGTTTCGTGGGGTAGCGTACGAGGCTGAAGACCTTTTTACCTTTCTTCGCGAAGCCTCAATTACCCCTGACAAAGACGTTTACACTATCGCACTTGTTTCCGAAAGTCAAGTAGATCCGCTTGTTACTGAACCACAAGTATCAAAGAAGTTACGACTGAAACAACATACGCTTGACATGGTAACAACTAGTACAATACCTTTACCTACTGTCAATATGTTTACGAAAGCGCCTACGCCTAAACCTCCAACTCGAATTCAAACTCGAACCGAACGAAAGCCTTCTCTTAAGGCACAAGAAGTAATAAAGCAGGAGAGAGAAGGAATAAAGTCACGCAAGCATACGCACTCGCAAGTTGAGCAGCAGGGCCATACAGACGTTATTCAGGAGGATATAACTCTTAAGGGGGGTAGCCAGGAAGATAAGGAAGAGGACGAAATAGTAGTACGACAAGAGGAAACAATCGTTTAGGTATACTCTATATACTCAAGTTTCATCTATTTCTGAACTACTATCACTTCCTGACAGTGATGTATAAAGTTCATCTATACTAATCCCGCGGCTACGGAACTGTTCTTTTACCCATTCAATACCTCCATTTTGTTTTGGTAGTAAGTGAAGTTCTGGTTGAATCCTAGCCTCAATATATTCTTCAAGACGTTGCCGTAGGAAGTTATATGCTTCAATACGTGGATATTGTGTACCGCAGAAGTTTGTAACTGGTGGAAAGGTTTGTATAGGCTCCATAATACCTTTACAAACTTGAAAGACTTCGTGCGGAAGGAATTGATCCAAATTAAGTTCTTCACTTCCAAGTAAGTTTTGAAGTTTTTGAATCTTTACGTGATCGATTGGCTGAGCAAAGTCTTGTGCGGTTTGATGATCTGGATGATGATAAAGTTTCCATGGTTGACCAGAAACAACATGTGGGCGACTTTTTTGTGAGCGAATGCGATGGTTATTCCAGAGTTGAACAAAAGAGGTAAAGTCTTTACGGATAAGTGGCATAAAGATAAATAATAAGGCAACACGGTCAGAAAGCGATTGGTTATAAAATAAACCTAACGCTTGTAATCGATAGAAATATGCCTAATACTATTAGTAAATAAATAGATATAAAGGTAAATAATACGTACTCTCCAAGTTGCAGACTATGCTTGACAAAGTTGGTTCCACCAGCTTTCAATCTTAACATTATGGATACTTTTACTAAAGATCCAACAGTCACGGAACTGAATAGGAACGTCTTGGCCTGGCTGTAAAGGGGCCTTCTTTGTACGGTCCTGTGATAGATACCAATGACTACCAGCAGTTAAGATAGTTTCTGTACCACGGTCTGAACGAATAGTTTGTGGCATAATACCCCGTGATAGAAGTGTAGATAGATATTGGGCTAATACAGAACGGGCCGTATGTGCAGAAAACCCAACGTAAAACCACACAATATAACGGGAGTATGCATCGATGCTAGCATATATCTCAAACCCAAACGGAAGTAGTTTATCATATGCATCGAGTGACCATATAAAGTTTGTACCTGGCGTAGTCCAACCTTTCCGCCGGTATCGGATCTCTTTCAGTCGGTTTGCAACTTCCTCGGGAAAAACTGTACGATATGCTTTATATAAGACCGAGCGGCTAATAATATGGCCACGTTGGCGCATATATGTAAAGAGGAATTCTCGGCCAAAGTCTCGTGTAACGCGTGCTTCATCACTTGTTGTAGAGGCAAGGAAGTTTACAGCTTGGTGAAATGCTGCTTGAAGCTGCTCGGGGGTTTGACGGCGCCATAGTTTGTGGCATTTTCGAATATCTTCTAAGCCACGTTGTGAGACTGTGAAGCCTTCCGTCCGTAAGCATAAAAGAATATCTAAATCGGATAGCCTATGATCAAAGAAGAGCTGGAAGATACGTTGTAGTAAGGCGCTGGAAAATTCTGTACGGACTTCGCGGCGGAGGTTTAAGCTTTGTAGGAAACGTTTAAATGTTGACGGAGAGACCTGAATTTGGAATGATTCGGAAAGATATGTAATTATATTAGAATAAGTCCAGCCATTCTGGAACTTTTCAGTAATAATAGATTGAAAAGGGGTAAGGTCGATACGTGGCCGGCCAGCCATGGTGAGGTGCTGCAATAGTCCATACGGAGATTCACGAGGGAGAACGGGAAAATACAGATGTTGGCAAAGAAATACGAATTGGGTATCTTAAAAAAAACCTAAAAACGCAAGGGTACGGACAGTCCTACGCTTCTGTACAGGGGTGCCAAACCCTGTACAGAAGTGCCCGACCCGCAAACCAAAGTTACCAACCGTAAACGCCTGTATCCATCCTCCCATTCCTGTAAGTATACCTATCGTTTCTGTACGCCGGATTCCCGATTCCATACGCCTTGGTAGGCATCTGTGGCATTGTGTAAATGCATGTTCACGTCATCTCCAGTTGTTGTACGGTCGTGTAGGATTTTGTAAGGTCCTGCTTAGTCGTGACAAAGCTCGATCTCGATGTTTTCGTTCTCATCTGTACATAACTGTAGTTAGCAAAGATGTACAGACGGCACCAGACATGTACGATAACGTACCGTACTTAACATCAGCGAGCTTGTCTGCGACAGAAACTAACGCATTTCTAATGAGTCGTATGTGCTTGGGCTTAACGCCACGGACCGCGTTGAGAAAGTCATACTCCGCACGGGAGACGCACAACTTCTTACTGCTCGGGGCGGAAGTGTAAATCTCTGCGGCAGGTCGCTTCGAGGGGGACGGGGCTGTATAGAATAGATCAGATTCATGTTTAGTTGTGTACAGGTTGGGACGAAACTTACCGAAGCTGCAGTTGGAGGCGCCGGAATTGTATGTACAGTTGGCGCAGCTAGCATAGCCGTCCAGAACAACACAGGTGTTGTACGGACCATTGCCCTTGATGCAGTTCTTGCACTGGTCCTTACCCTCGCGCGCATTTCCGTACACGTGCATAAGGAAAGAGTTGGCATTCTGCGCACGCTTGTACTCAAGCGCTTTTTTCTGACGTCTTCCGTTCTTGACCGCAGAGCGAACATCGATCAAGTTACGGGCCTATACAATATGTAAGCAAAAGAGTAAGGTACGTACGGGGGTGTAAGGAGACTATACCTCCGCTTCCTCATTGTCCAGAATGTTATTAATGAGAGTGTTGCTGGCATGAGGAATACCATCTGTAACAAGTTAGTACAATATTGTAGGGGAATTACAGAAGTGTACATACGGGTGAGGTAGTAGCCGGTTCCGAGAGCATGAGTGTACATAGAGGGTAGCTCGGCGGGCAACTCCGTAGGAATCTTTATGTCTCCGATCTTATCCGGCACGAGCTCGGCAGCCAGCTCCATGTCCTGAGCCATGATGTACGGTAGTGTAAAGTGATGTCGAGTGTCGTTCGGGATTGTAAGGATGTTGTAGGATGTTGTAGGATGTTGTAGGATGTTGTAGGATGTTGTAGGATGTTGTAGGATGTTGTGAAGCTTTGCTGGAAAACTGTACGTAATGTGACGGGGGCGACGCCTGGCGCCCGGGGATGTGCGAATCTGTACAAAAGCTAACAGTTAGCAAATGATTGTACAGAAATGTACAAAAGCTCAAAAAATCGGAAAAAAAAAAATCAAAAATAGAGAAGACAAAAGAAAACGGAAGTGTAACAAAGGATAAAAACTGAATCTCTGTAAAACAGTGTAGAGAGCGCTGTAAATTTCTGTACAGTAGGGGTCACATACCTAAACTCTGCTTGGCGTGGGGAAAAGGAAGAAGTTCTGGGCCCCACTGAATTCCTATTTATTTGTCGATTTGGGCGCACAGACCATGCACCTAATCAACCGGAACCGGAAGATCTAACCTCCGACGGATTATTGTAGAGCCTCGTAGGGGGCTGTGGTTCTATGTAGTAAACCCTTATTTCCTAAAAGGGCAAATACCCACCTAGAAATGTACAAAAACAAAAATCGTTTTACGCGAGATTACATATGTTTACGCTTATGGGGTGTTCCTATCACTACCTTGAATTTTGACCCAGTGCGCCCTGCGGACTGCCGTAGAGGAACTCAAAAGTGCGGTAAGTGGCAGCTTTGCCAGACTCTAAAAACCCACATTTTCTCCGACAATCGCAGCTCCTTTACCAACGCGATCAACTTGAGTCACAGTTTACGCAGTAGTAACCAAGCTCTGAAGGATCGCTTGTTTAATATTACCAGTACAGGACTCCCGGATGCGACGTCTCTTGGTCTTCCAATCCATTGCACTCTCGTTCACTCGGTCGCTTCTGGCTAACCGCTGAGGATCCAAAGGATTTGTGCGTATCTGTGACATTTGAGGCAACATCTCCTCGACGCTACGGAGGTTGCATCCGGCGCCGTGCGACAGGTAGACACATTCAGCGCAGGCACCATTGTGATACGAAGAGATTCTACAACAAGATTCAACAGGCGGCTTCCCATCTCGCCTTCTTCTGTTGTCTTGAAAGATAACGAAACCGAAGGCGTACGGGAGCGTAAATATCGCCACATTAGTGCACCGAAGAGAATCCCCCAAGTCCTGTGTGCAGAAGACATGATGAGGTGGTTCATCCCCGGGTCCATACTGCTCGAATGCCGGACACTGAAGGCTTCTTGGCGTGAAACCGTAAAACTGCACGAGACAAAGCCTTGGTTGATATATTGCCAGGTTGGGCCACCGCGTCAATGGTTGGTAATGGAAGTGAACGAGCATCAACCCCTTTGCCATCCCCTTGAGCGGTGACACTTGCGGTTGGCATCTTGTAAACTTTGGCATTCTTCCGTGGTTAGAGCAGCCAGATCCTCGTCAGATGCCCGAGGCGAACCAGCACCGGACATCGGATCTCCCCTTCCGATACTTCAACCCGCATGCCATCGGCCTCGGGTCCCAACACACATTCGCTGTGGGAGAGTACAAGTTATCAGCAGTCCAAGGCGGATCACACTTTGAGGAAGCTGAAGCTGCATTTGGGTCCGCTTAAGGCGATTTCGGGACCAGTCCAGTCTTTTGACGCCTGGCATGCGGAGGAAGGGGAGCCTCTAAGCTTGTAGCTCATGGTATGATTAGGGAGGGGCTTCCTACAGTCGCCAGAATGGTAGGTCGTTCGATTGGGGCGCCCAACTACAGGCACCTTTAATTCTCCATCGTCAATGGCAGCACCAACGCGGTCGGCAAACTGGTTATAAGATGTGCTGGGTGTCAAGGCCGTGGCATTACTGTTTTCCTTCAACAGACAGCTCCGAGAATCAGGCACTGCGGAAAGGGCAATGATGACCCTCCTGAGCTAAAGAAGCTACATGGACTTGCGTGGCTTGCGTATCATATATCTGTGAAGACACTGAGAAGTGGTTTCCGTATTCTCATCTGCAAGAAGAATGTGCTTGCTCAGCAGAAGACGGCGAATGAAGCTTGCAGGGGTCTGATTCTCTCAAGAATATTCACCTGTAAGTCTGCCTCCAATCTGCAATCTGTGCTTCCATCCCTTCTCGCTAGTGACTGATATGATTGAACATATGAGGTGGTATTCTATTACCTGAGTGAGGTGCAATGGGCTACAACAGTCTTCACGACCGCTGCTTATCGTTGAGGGCAACATGGCAAATGCCCCGCAGTGCCTCAGTTGGCAGCGCGGCACAAGATCAATGAGATGGGAGGTATTGTAGCCAAGAATAGTTGCCGCTGTCGCAAATTTCTTTGAAATTTTGGACTTCGTCTTGCTGAATTGGCGCTTAATTGGTGCATGCGTCTGGATTTCCTCGTTATTGTCCTGGATTTCCTCCTCGTTGTGAGGCGCCGTCCGGGAGGCTTATAGGAGTCCGAGAAAGTCGAGGACGAGCCTAATGAAGCGAATATGACGGTTCTGGATCAAGATATGCGCGTCGGCGTTGGATCGTTTGGGGTTCTGGCTGCTTCTAGTGATGCGACAAGGTTGGACCTGGTTGAGGATGCATTGTTCAGAAAGCAACTTCTACAATCCTGTGAACATCACGCTTAGCTGTGATGAGGCTACATAGAAATGTATCTGCGCTGTTCTATTGAAGGTAACGGCACAGGCTTAGAGTTACCCTTCTTTTCTTCTTTGGAGCGGCTTTTCCAAAGGTCATTAGAAGTGTCTCGTAAACTGTGCTCTCAGCTCGACGATCCCACTTGTCATTTTGCCTTGGATTGCGGCAAAGATAAGCGTCAAATCCACTGGGTTATCTGTAGCCGGGCTGCTAGCCAGATGAACAGATAGTGGTGAGTGATTTGCCATTGCATCATGCGCAAAGCACTCGAGCGGTGTTGGACGTGGCATCGCAGATTTGATGGGCTTCATCCCATACTATCATGCCGAAGCAATAAGCCGCTATATAATTTGACCTCAGCAACGCGGAGTCATCGCTGGTCTGTATGTTGGAATGACCACTTGGCGCCATTGGTAAACCTAGTCATGGAGAGTTGATTGGCGGCCTACGTGGAAGTGACGAGAGCGACAGCCGAAGGTGGCAGGACGTCGATATGCTGCATGAGCAATGACGACTCCGATATTGTCGTTAGAAGAGCTCGGATCCATACCACTACGGGAGCAACGGGCTCCATGGGATAAGTACACGCACTCGCCGCACGCGCCATTCTGGTACGAGACCCCGTTACCCATACATCAAAGGAGATCCGCCGCGTTGGCTTGACGGATGAAAACGTTCTCCCCGATGCGGGCCAGGTATTTGAATAAGCCGTCGTCAACAGCCTTGAGTTGCCCGAAAGCCATTCCCAGGGCCTCGTGCGTGGTGAATGCCTGCCGACCACGGTTTCTAAGGGGGTCTAATGATTAGTCACAGAAATTATTTAGGGTGAGTCACCGTCCTCCGACTTACTTGGTCTTTAATAGCCTGCTAAACATTAGCCCCCTAGCTGAAAGCGTCATACAAAGCCCTTGGAACTGCCGAGTTCTTGATCTCGTTGTTATACTAAGACTTGGGAAGAGAAAGTTGGCTAAGCATGACTGCCTTGAGCTTGTTGAAATTATTGCGGCCGACCTGGTTAGACTTGACATCTTCCGCCTCGTAACTGGCTAGAATATTTAACCCTCTCTGAGTCTCGACCAGGGTCTGCAGACTCTCATTATGAAGAGACAATTGCACTATCAAGTAACTCTGCCAGATGGGGTTCGTCTCTTTCGGCGAGTAACTCTCCTTGACGGCGTTTGCCATGCCGGCATGGATTCGTCCCCCCATGGCAGCTTCCAGGCGCATTTTCATCCATGCGTCGGAGGACTGTGTATAGATCCTAACGACGTTCTCTTTATAATTACTAATCATAGTATTTACTATGAAAAGGCTTGCTTTTAAGCTTGCTTAGGTGTGAAGGCTTGCTGCGTAGTCTTTATGTTCTTCTTTAACGGAAATTCGGTATTTTATCAGCTTATCTATAAGCTTGTCGTGAATTTCCGTTATAGCTACCTTATCGTATAAAAGGGAGATTTCGAGGACGTTAAGCTATTCGCTACCGCTCTTTTTCTTCTTAGTGGGGATCTTAATAATCTCGGTAGTATCATCTTCGTCGCCGGGCTCGGCAGGCCCGTCTCTCACGAGGTCATCGTTCTCGCTCTCGATATCGCGCTCGAGATCACCGTTACCTTGCGAGCCAGTCTGGGCGTCCTGCTCGGATTCGTGATTGGTCTCGCCCCGTCTTGCATGGTTAGATTGCCATCGGCATCACAACCGCCCTGATAGAACGCACGAGCGGTGCTATCATGTTCGGACTCTGGTGACCGCTTGCGCGTTGTCGACACGCTTGGGTCTTCGACAGCCAACCAAACATTTAGCCACCCTCTAGCCAAAGGGTTCATACAAGGCCCTTGGAACTGCCGAGTTCTTTGTCTCATTGTCGTACTAAGACGCTCTCAAGTAGGATCAGATTCAGCAACGTCATTGAAGTCAGACGGGGCAAAGTTCTCAGGTCACTTTTTCCTTGACTCCTCGCATCGCTTGCCTGAAAGCTTGCCACGAAATATCTCAAGCGACTTCGCGACTCCAGAAGATTTGACCACAGCTTCCGCCATTCTGTCGTTGACCTCATCAAGTCTCGTAAACGTCAAAGATGCAATCGCGTAGCTTGGGTTACTTGGCACTGGGTTTCTTGGTGTTCTGATTGATATCCCAAAACCTCCCTAGCAAGATCTGAGGTTCATGCTTGGAGTCTGGACGATAGTACTTTTTTGCTCGTCAATATCGTGGACGAGCATAGGTGTCACCCAGTCGAAGAAAGCCTGGATTCGTAAGATTGAAAGAGGCATTCTAAATACGGCTCAGCTCACACACAGCTTGCAGTTGCAGTCAACAACCCCTGAACCACCCTGCGCGGTCTCAGACATTGATCGAGGCTTTGACCGAGGTGTGCGATCCTTTCTCCCGAGGTTCATCACTCTCACCTCGATTCACTGCCTGATCCTCGTCATAGTCTCCAGAGTTGCATGATCATAACTTCACAATGAGCGACGAGGAAGAAGGTTCCCACTGCAGTGAGTGCAGGCATGACCAGCAGGGAGGCCGCCACACCGCACCAGCATCGCTCGGAAATATCCTTCGCGACGAATCAGCTTCGCCGTATTCGCATCCATACGAATATCGACATCGCACGAGGGGAGCTGGATGACCCGGCGCTCCTCAGCCAGGGGTGGTGTGGACAAGAGACATAAGGAGGTCAAGGAGGAGAAGCGTTTTTGTATGCTCGTACGAAGCAAAAGACATATGAGAAGAAGTTTATGCGAGGATGGAGAAGTGAGATTGTGAGTTGGTGGGTTGTTTATGCCAACTGGCTACTGCCATAAAAGTTCCGCTAAGCATATGTGGTCACAAACTCGCAGGTGTTCGGCCATCCAGTAAGAGCAATATGAAATGCAGTCGGAAATGCAGAGCCGTAGTTCTAGCTTGTCCTTCTTTCCAGCTGATACGTTGTTGTGCTGATCCTCAGACGGCTTGATATGATCCTCACTGATGTAAGACGCACAGCAACTTCACAATAGTAGTCTCACGGTCTTCTGGAGTGGGAAGACGTGGCTGGTTTTTGTAAACGAGAGTTCTAATGCTTGAGATTCTTCGGATGTATACGTCACATTAAGATAGTGTATCCAAGATACCATTGCAAGCACGGAGGCCAGCGAATAATAATGTGGAAGTTGGCTTGGCGACCAACGGTAGCGTGGCATTTATATAAGGAGCACCGCATGAGAACACTGGTACGCTAATGCAGCATGTACGAATGGCGGTATTACACCCAGGTAGTACATGCGCAGGACGGGCACGCCCAGCGAGGATGGAAGTATTTGTAAACTGCTCGAGGCAGGTTGGGTATAAGTATATGAACAAAGACTGACTACTGTCATTAGAACTTTGTGCAAGAGATATTGGTGCTAAAGGTGGTAGTGGATTTCGTTTGAACTGCAAGGTCATAGCTTCGCATCGTCTGAAGACTTGGTCTCTTCCGCCTCCTTCGACGATGATACTTCTTTCTTCTCTGCTGTGGGAGTACTTGATGTCTCCGTGGCTTTTGATGTCGAGGGGGTATCTACCTTGGATGCGGCGGTGTCTTTAGAAAGCTCTTCGCTCTTTGCATCCGAACCAGAAGTGGTTTCGTAACGAGCAACACCGGAAACCAAAGCATCCGACTCTTTAAATAACTCGTCCTTCTTCTCAACCTTGGGTGTCTTTGGGTCAAATACGATTGCAACCTCCTCAAGCGGGGTAGCAGCTCCTTGTGCCGCAAGTAAGATCTTCTTCTTTGCCTCGGCGCGGAAGTCAGTGGCATCCTTTGGCGCACCTTCGGAACCGTGGACGGTTCTGCCTTCACGGCCACGGTCGTTCTTAATGTCTGTGCCGATTTCCGCTTTTTGGTCCTTCACAGCCTCAAGCGCTTGCGAAACGCTACCCTTAGGGGTGGTCTGTTGGGTATCCTCGCTACCACTGCCTTCTTCTTCTTTAGCAGGAGTTTCAACAGCCTCGGGCGTGGAGTCACTGTCGTCGTCGAGTTTGAGAGCGGCGTCGACGCCCTCGGTGACTTTGCGGATCTCCTCTTCAAGATCCTCGTCGCCCTCGGCAGCAGCGGAAGCAAGTTGTCTCTCAGCCTCCTTGTCCCCGACGATGCTACGCCAGAGGCTTTCGAGTTCGTCACGCCAGCCAAGCAATGACGCAAGTCTTCGAACACCAGCATCGCAAGTGCCCAGCTCAACAACGTCATCGGCACGACGGCCCATCTGACCGACCCGCTCCCTGTTAAGGAGCAACCTCGGAACACCAGACCTCGATGCCTCCGCGAGTCCGGCGAACGGATATACTGACAAACTCGTTCCCATGACGATAATGAGATCAGCCATGGCCGGAAGGTGCGTGTTGTGCCTGAAGGCCTCGGGCAGGGCCTCCCCGAAGAAAACGATATCCGGTTTGACAAGCCCACCACAGGTGTCGCAGTTGGGTACAATCTCGGCCTGGACATGTTCTTGCATCCGATCATCCGGGAAGGGAGTGGAGCATTCGATGCAGCGCTGGTGGGCGAAGCTGCCGTGTGCCTCAATAATCTTGTCATCTGGGACGCCGGCACGGCGCTCGAGGCAGTCAATATTTTGGGTGAAGTTCATCTGTAGCAAGCCCTTCTTGGCGAGCAAGGAGATGAAGACGTGAGAAACAGTCGGGAAGAATTTTCCTGGGTAAAGTTCCTTCGCGAGGTAGTAGAAAGGCTCTGGGTGCTTGCGGAAATATGTGATGTCGAAGACTGCCTCAGCGTAGGGGAGGTTGAGGCGGGCGAGGTTGGCATAGAGACCGGTACCGGGAGATCTGAAGTCGGGAACTGCGCACATCATGTTAGTTTAAATTTGGACGCCAAGTGAAGAAGAAGAAGAGAAGAGGACATCAGGAGACACGTACTGCCTGCGGCGGTGGAGATACCGGCGCCCGTCATGACGGCAATGCGCTTAGCATCGCCAGACTTGATGTAATCAGCGATTGCCTGAAGGCTGCGTGACTCGAGCGTCTTGGGCTGGACGCTCTCGTCCAGCATCGTGGACTCTTCGTTTCCCATCTTTTTGCGCGGCCGGTTCGAGTTGGGCCGGCCCTTGGAGTGCTTATCGCGACGTCGGCGGCCTATGATGGGCAGATTGGAGGGGGGGATGGTCGAGGGGCGAAAAGTGTGCGTTCAAGATTCGATCTGGGACGATGGAAGGTCGAGTAAGGAGTCCAGACTTTGAAGAGATTTTTGCAGGTTTTTTTTCTGGTGGAAGTTCGAACGTAGTTCGTCGGTCTAGAGGACTAGAGGCAAAGAAATGGTTTTTGAAAGGGACGAGCGCTGCATTGCCTCACACACTGGTGGCTCCCTCAAAAAAGTCGTTGGCTCGCTTCAGTGTTACATCATGCGGCGACCCCACCCCCGCCATCTCGGAGCTCTTATCGGTGGTGCTTATCGGTGGTTTGACCAACCGGGCTTTGGCGCGGGAATAAATCAATCAATCAGAGGCTTTCTGATTGACGAGCTAAGACTCTGTGACTCTGGATTAGCCAGCGAACTTTGCAGAAGATGATTTTTGAGGCAGAAACAGACCCACGCTTGCCATCACCAGGACGTCATTTAGCAGTGAGGAGTAAGAGAGTGTCTAAGTTGATGTTGCATGGTTGGATAAGAGGCTGAGGAAAAATGTGAGGGAGCGAAAGACTGCTTCATATACTAAAGTAATTAGGAGGAGAAAGCTGCAACTGTGAGGCGGGAGAAGCCATTCCCGACAACTATCGTTGGTTACATCGTAGGCTTGCATGGAATCGAAGAGGTGTCACTTCTGTTTGGTCCTTTCACATGCTTTGAACCAAGCAAGTCAAACGATCTTGCATCCCGTATGTATTCTTTTTGCGCGGGTAGACGACCCAAATATTCCATAATCACTCACCGACGGAAGACTGCATCAAAGCAACAAGCTGAAGTCTCTTGTATCTATGATTCGCATCTAACCCTTCTTTCCGCTGCTAATGCCGCATAATACTGTAAAACACGCATCATCACATGCCTTTCTACTTCATCTCAATGTCTCGTCACTAGAGTAGCTTATCACCAGGCAAACGGTAAGCGAAAACGAGAAGGGTACCAGCCAAAGCCATGGCCGCCGACGCCATGTACGGCAGCCCCATCAATACACCACCAGCGGCAGCGCCAGCCCGCAGCAAAGCTGAAATCACCGGCGCCGATATAAGCAAACTTAGCTGCTCCCCCCATGCAATGGTCGTGTTCAGGGTGCCGATTGTATGCGGCTCCACGACTGCGTTGAGTACTGCTCGGCAGATGTTGGTGTAGGTGGTACCCATGGAAAATATGACAAGAGCTGGAGAAATGTTAGGCCATGCACAACAGGCAAATACAAACGGGTATGGAATAGTCAACGTACCGGCAATCAAGAATCCAGGCGACCATGCAATGGCGATCATGAAGCAACCAACCGTCAAAAACACACCGGCCATCCGCACCAGCCACAAGTCGCGGATCAGGGGGTGTATGGCCGTCCGTTTGGTAATGTACCAGCTCGCCGCCGGGAGGACAGCCAAAAACATCGTCATGTTTGTGACGGTGGAAACAGTACCAAGAAGCGTAGCCTGCAAAGAATCCCGTCAGCGCGAATGCCCGCTAACAAGGGTCTGCCAAAAAAGCATGTTTTGTTTTTCCTTACCTTTGCCCAGGACCACCCAAACAGGTTGTGGACATATTGCGACATGATTTCCATTCTCACGTACTTGGTAATCACCGTCAGGTTGAAGCCTATGATGAGCGCGAGGATCCTCTTGGACCTGATGAGGAAGTTGTAGACATGGTTCATGTCATTCTTCATCGCAAACACAATCTGCTCCCGGAGACTGCGTTTGTCCCGTTCAGCGTCGTCGTTGGTCCTGTTCAGTCTCTGCTCGACCTCCTCGTCCGCGGCTCGCCGCAGCTCAGACGTCTCCGGGATGAAAGGGGGCAGACACGCCCCGAAGAAAATCAAGCCCATTCCCATGCTGAGAGCCAGCCAGGGGCTTTTGGTAAGCAAGACTGCGCTCAAGGGCGCAACTACCAGGTCTCCTAGGAGCGCGACCGCTCCAATCTTGTAATAGACCGCCGTTCTGATGCATGTCAGCTTCCGTGTTCGTACGGGACAGGGCAGAGATCGTACAGGTTGGAGATGGGAATCACGTCAGAAATCATGGTCCAGACCATGGCTTGCACCATGCCGCCGCCTCCACCGATGAACTGGAAGGCGGCTCCAAACCAAACTGTCCAGAGAGGCAGCACGTTCGGCCACAAGACTGTTTTGGTGAGCAAACGCCGGTGCAGATGGTACAGGGACAACACTTACGCGGCTGCAACATCCACGTAAACTCCAGAAGGAGGCCAAACATGGCCAGCGACAGTACCGGCCGACGGCCGTACTTGTCAGCAATAATACCGTAGGGAATAGATGTAATGAGTGCTAGGCCGAATGTCAGAAACATCCCATCTCGGCAGCGTACAGGCGTTAAACCCACAAGGTATGCAATCAAACGAATTCATCCATCCTTTAATCATGGCCAGTTCACCAGCCACCTCAGGGCCCTTGCAGATGTCGTCGACTGCATCTGTGATGATATGGTCCGGGTACTTCTTGCGACAGATGATCTCCTCCATGATCTGGTACGTCGGCGGAATTTGGAGGAATGCGCCGATTTCGAGGATGACGATGAAGGTCATGGACAAAACGATAACCTTCAGCTGGTACCCGCGACTAGGAGCGACCGTCTCGGGGAGGTCGTGTGCCAGCAAAGGCGTCTCCTCAGCGGGCCGATGCTCAACATCGCGATCTAGGCTGGTGTGCTTCTTGTTCGCCATGATGACCTTACTCCGGGGCAATCTACTGCCTCCAAGGGCCGAAAAAAAAGCCAAACAAGCGTAAAACTTAACTTCACAATGGCGTTCTAAAACTAAGCCGACTGAAAAATAACGTTAAAAAGAAGGCCAAACGAAAAAGAAGAAAAAGAAATGAAGCTTACACTTCAAACAAAAGTACCTGATAGTAGCGGCTAAAGGAGGGTGTTGGGTGGCGGTTTTGTGCTTATCGTCCCAGAGAGGAAGCTCATTAAGAGCAAAGTCGCGTCTCTCACATCATCTAGACTGCGACCCCGGACTTCAGGGTCCCAGTGATCACTGTAGCCAGCAAACCCCTGCTTGCAGCAATTGGCCAACACGCATTACGAGTCAGCCTGGGCTAAAGATCGCCAAGTCGTAATCACTGACAGACAGAGTCCGCTGACCATTGGCAGTGAGGGGATAGTGTACGTCCAAGGTGCTAGGATATCTGAGATGACGCGAGGTTGTCCGGCACCTCGCTCCGTCGTCGGCAGCGCAATTTGTCTCAAAAGCCAGCCTGGCCATGATCAACAGCGACTCAGATCACAACCGTCATTGTAAGCATATTTTCACAGTTCAATCATCTCACGTCTCGGCTTGCCGCACCATCTTGTCTTCTTCGTCCCGGATTTCGCACCTCAGAACTCTGTTCCTGAAGCCAGCGTTCTCGAAGGGTGCCAAAAGTCAAGCTTGTGCCCGTCGTCCCAATTATCGGACTGTGGTCGGCGATGGTCTACCCCTCCCTTTGAGCCTTGGTCTGACAGGGATCCGTCGGCGTCGTCAGCTGTGTGGCATGACAGCCCCAAAGCTTAAATGAGTTTGACGTAGTAGTCAACGGCCAGTTATCTGGCACGACATGACAAACCTCGGACCGAAGTCTATTTTCTCCCTTGGTTGTCGGCTGTCGATTGTGAGGATATAACAACCGCGATTAAGAGCGGTCTGACTCGGCTTTGAACATCCTATGTCGAGTTGTTTGTCACCAGGAAAATCTCGAAACATTTCGTCGATCGAATGACTGCGGCAGTAAAACTTACAGACGACATGTTTCTATCCCATTCTTTTTTTGCGATCGACCGAAACAATCTTGAGTCGGTCCCAGGCCATTCGCATCCCTTGGTATCCTAACGCTGTCATGTCAATCATGCGCCTATCCGTTTCTTTGGATCGAGCTTCATCGGAGGTGACTTACCAATACCACTGCTTCTTCTTCTCTTGGTCAATCCGAACCCTCATCCTGTACAGGGATTGCACGCACACACACACACAACCTCAACCGGCACCTCTTGGATCCAAGATGAAGCACATCACGCTGCTTTGCGATGAAACGACCCGGCTTGAAAGTTCATGAACGTGAATCAATTCTAGAGTTAAGGAAACATACCCTTCGGAGAAAAGTCTTGCAGGTAGTCTATCTCGCTTGGCCTGAGGATCACCCGGCTGATCCCGTCGTCGTACGTGACATGCGGCTCGTCCTCCTGCACGGCGTACGGGTTCACCCACTTGAGCGACCCCCTGCCGACATCCACATTGTTGAAGTATCGCCTGATGGCCAAGCTCCAGGTGAAACTGCTCACCGACGGCCCCATGAAGTAACTCGACCGCGCGAGCACCTCGTAATCCAGCGCGCCCTGCTGGTCCCACGACAGCAACGTCAGGGCCATCTCCTGGGCGGGCGAGCTTAACAGATCGTGTTTGCCGAGTACCGTGAGACTGCTCGCCCGCGCCTTTTCCGCGAACCGGACGACGTCCGCCTGCAGTCCACTAGCGACGTAGATGACACGGAACCCTAGACGCCCGCACATCTCGATGAATATGTCCGTTTGCTGGTCAAAGGTGTAAATGTTTGTCCAGCCAGCACGGATCGCGTCGTCCTCTGTACGCAGGTGCACGCCGCAGTACGAATTTCGAGGAACGAGGTCGCGGGGGTCCAGCGTTTCCTTCAGGTTGTATCGTTCGCGCATGGCCCACACCACCTCACCAGCCAGCCCCCTGACGTCTGGATTTATACGCAAGAGACGCCCCAGGGCTGTGCGCAGCTTGGGTCTCGAGTGGATGTCAAAGTTTAGGAGGGTGGCCGTCACCGGAACAAGCGTTCTAGACCCCGGGGTATAGGCCTTTTGGGAGGTGAGCCACTTTTTGAACTGCTCCTTCAAGACGGCCTCGGTATTCTTAGGGTCCTTGTCAGAGCGGGCGTTCGCCCAGGTGTATATATCCGAGATATTGGACGTGACTGATGCCTCTTCGACGGTTTGGTAGATCTTGAGCTGCGGGCAATGCTCGCCCATGGTCTCCAACAGCCAGTCCTTGTCAAAGTAATGACTGAAATCGTGGAAGCCAATGTCGTTGTCTGTAAAGCCGAGGCCGGCATCCGTCTCATTTTTAGGTCGACGCATCGCGTACGAAGGGAGTATAACGTTGGCGCCGACGAGTATGGCCGCGTGGAAGAACTCTAGGATCGTGGCCCGAACGTTGCCGAGTCCGCCGCGCGACTGTTGCATATGAAGGACAACATCCTTGCGCCAGGTTGCCTTGCGGCACACTTCCGAGATGCGGTTCTGGTAGAAGTCTTTACCGTCGGCCTCGAGCCACGCCTTTTTGAACTCGGCGGCGTTCCACGTCTTCCCGCTTGTCTGGCCGGTCTTCTCGTTGATGACTAGGTCGTCATCGACAGTATCCTCGACGTCAGTGACATCTTGAACTTTGGAGGCATCCTCGACCTTGGGGCCATTTCCATATTTGGGGACGTCTTCGAATTTGTGAGTGTTTTCGAACTTGGGAACATCTACAACTTTGTGATCATCATAGAACTCAGGGGTGTCTTCAAACTTGGAACCATCATTAGTCGTGGTTGAATCCCAACCGTTGAAGGATGTAATAGAACCGCGATGTGTAGTAGACAAGACAAGCCATAACACGATAAGAATTATCGCGAAAGGGACTGTTTTGAGAAGCATCCAAGTCGACATTTTTTTTTGTAATTTATTTTTTTCCCTGTGAAAAGGAAAAAAAAAAAGAATAAGGAAAAAAAAAAAGAAGAAGGAAAAAAAAAAAAAGAAGAAGGAAAAAAAAAAAAGAAGAAGGAAAAAAAAAAGAGGGGGGTCCTCGTCCACCCGAGTAGACTGCTTCGTGGAACCCGAGTTCATCATATAAACGGTTACGTATCTTCAGTACTAGCAAAGGGAGGGCGAACCGTTTGGAACCGTACCGTACCGTTCATACCAGGCAACCCAACCCCTTAATACACTCGGGCCGGAGGTAATCCTCCTTACACGGGACGACTGTACGGGGAAGGGGAACACCAGGTTCATTCCAGCTCGCAAAACATGGCTTGCAACATTCCAGCCTCACACGAAATCTTCCAGAATAGGATACATGGTGATGTCTCATTGAATGTCATTGCAGCTTCGTATGCCATAAGGGATAGCTTTCTAGAGACCTTTACAAGGTATATATATTTTGAGGCTGAGACAATTTTACTTCAAAGAGTACTACGGGGGTACATTGTAGAGTCCACCTCTGATGAGAGCCGAACAAGTATCGATCACGACACGGGCAGACTTCTGCGTATGTCCAGCGCGTGCTCTCCTACACCCTCATTCCGTGTTTTCATTTCACACTGCTGTTTGGAGATCACATCTCTGTACTTGAACAGGCTGCTGAGCTGCTGGAAGGAATGTTTAAGGTGCAGATGCTTCAGCTTACACGCCACAATGTACGCAGAAGGGAGGTTATTCAGGGATTTCTGAAATTACTTCGAGCTTCTACGCGACGAGAATAGGTACCCATGGGAGATGGTTCTGAAGTTGAGAGAATCCTCATAATCTGAAATGGTCATAATTGTGGGTGGCAGGCCTCGCCGGCCCGTCACGTGGGCTGACGGCCGCCACCACTGGTCTTAGCCAGCCTCCACAGCCCTCTAGCCAGTTAGTTAGTTCTTCCAACCAACAACACCACTTTTCCCATTCTGAGCGTTCTGTGCTGGTTTCGCCCACAGGTTATGAGCCCAGCGTTATTCTTTCGGAATAACGTCGTTTTACCCATTATTCTACTCGTCTGTCAATTTTCTATTGATTCACGAATTTTTGCGATTTTACTCGCTTTATTTACCCTTCTGTGCGATTTTCTCGCTTTCTTTCCTCTTCGCTGACGAATTTCACTTTCTGACGCGATATTGGCTGCCTGGCGCGCACGAATATCACGTGGCACGCGACCGACCACCACAACCCACTGGTTTTCACGAACACCACGGAATTCCACCACAACAACAGACTTTTCAGTCACAACCACACTACAACCATACTTTTACTTCGATTTCCTCGTTCTCACGAGAATTCAACCATTTCAGCTTCGGTTTTTCGAACCAGCCCATCAGTTTCTCGTATCTTCTACGAGTATTCATTCTTCCCTTCGATTCACCGTATTTCTACGGTCGGATCTCACAATTCCACCTATTTCTCGTGTTCTTACGCAAGATTCTCCCTCCTACACAACATTCATACTTCTTCAGTACCATTTACTCATCAATACTTTCCCTTTCCAACAGCACGCGTAGGTGGCAGCGAAAGTAAGCCATCTAACGTACAGACACGCCTCCAAAGCTGCGGCCTCGGAGAAACGCCTGTGATCGAGGTGCGACCATAAGTCTGTCCCGCACTGTTGTGATACCCTCATTTTTCACTTCAAGATGTCTCAAAACGACTTCAAGACCGTCTTCACGCCTCTCCCTCGCCTGAAAGGTGAATCCAACTGGAACACATGGCGCATGCTTGTTACAGCGACCCTGCGAGGATACGACTTCGAGATATTCCTCGAGACTGACGTCCCTCGCCCTGCTGACCCTATCGCTGCAGAGGAATGGAGAAAGAACCGTAACGTCACGTATGGTCTCCTCATGAACGCCAGCGAATCGGTTCTTGACAGACTCTGCACAGCGGGTTGGGTTGACGATGGAAACCCTTACGAATTGTGGCAGGCGCTCGAGAAGCACATTCCGAGAATCTCACAAGACGCCACAGCTGCCCTTGTTGACGAGTTTGCCAAGACCACCGCCAACGATCACAAGACTCTTCACGATGCCCTCAATCGCTGTCACCACCTCAGAAAGCGTATTGAGACCATTCACGGTCGTCTGCCAGACTCCTTCCTCGCTGTTTTCCTCCTTAACTTCTTTAAGGACCGACTTCCCGATACGTACAAGCATTTCACATCGAAGGGCGCCACCCATCCCACGTGGAATGAGGTGGCTGATACGATTTACACACTTGCCCAAGACGAGGATCAAAAGCGCAGTTATGCCACTATTCGCAACACACCTGGAGGCAAGTCTGCTGGCAGTGGGGGTCCTGCCTCTCCAGCCGTCACCACCACCGTCACCTCCACTGTCACTGCCTCCAAGGAAAAGAAGAAGTGCGACCACTGCAACTGTGATCACGAGACCACAAAGTGCTATGTCGCCCACCCCAATCTCATCCCTCTACACTACGTCAACCGGGATAAGTTGATTGAAAAAGCGAGAAAGCACGTGTGTGGCGATCGCTGCCGCTGGGATCAGCCTACTTCTGTTGATGGCACCCGCCAGACTGTTGTCAGAGCGTCACCTGCCATCTTGGGTCAGTCTGCCCTTGCCTCCATCGCCAGCCCAGCAGTTTTCACTGCTGCCCGCGATGACCTCATCACCCGAGACGATATCGTTCTCGATTCTGGTTGTACTACTTCAACCTTTAACAACTTGCGATATTTCGTTAAGTACGCTGAAAAGAGCGATTTGACACCTTCCACTTCTGCCTCCGGCGCCCCAGTCCGGTCACTTGGCGTGGGCACCGTCTTCTTCCAGACCCTAGACCCCACCAACCCTAACGTTATTCACGATTGGACACTTCACAACGTTGAGTATAACCCTTCCAGCCCGGCCAACTTACTCAGCCCTGGAAAACTTCGTCGTGATCACGTGGAATATGATTGGCAGACCTCAAGCCTCATACACGTGACACAGCGCACTTCCCTTGCCAAAGTTCATTGGGTTTCTGACGTCTGCGTCGTTGAGACTCATGATACTGGAAATCACGTGCCTCGAGATATTGCTGTCAGCCTCGCCGCCTTCCGGGCTACCCAGCGACCGTCTCTTGAACTGATGCACCGCCGGCTGGTTCACGCCCACCCATCACGTGTTGTGGAGGCTTGCCGCCGTGTTGGCATTCGGTTCACAACGTCAGAAATTGACGCTTTCTTCTGTGAGTCTTGCCATCTCAGCAAATCCACTGAACGGATTAGTCGAGACCACCCACTTCCACTTACGAGTATTGGCGATGAAATTCACCTTGATCTCGTTGGTGTTCTTCCCCTATCAACAAAAGGGAACCGTCAGGTTCTACACCTCATGGATAAGTATAGTGGTTACCACTGGGTTGTTTTTCTGCCCAACCACAAGTTTGCCACCATCCTGGCAGCTATTAAGAAATGGGATACTGAATTCTATAGTCTCACCGGCCTCAAGCCCAAGGTTTGGGTTTCTGACAATGCTCCCGAGCTAATCAAGGTTTTCAACGACCCCTACTTCGAGGGTACTCGCCACAACACGACTATTGCCCACACGCCTTCCATGAACGGTACTATTGAGCGTGCTGGTCGTACCATCGTCGAAGGCGCCCGGACACAGCTGATTGACATGTCCCTTCCAGAGGAACTGTGGGATTACAGCATCGATTCGGTGACTCAGATTCTCAACCTCTTGCCCACACCCTCCAAGGGTAACTTGAGCCCTCACGAGATCATGGCGAGAGAACTGAACTTGGCTGCTGAACGAGAGGCACCCCACATTGAACATCTCCGAACGTTTGGCTGTGCTGCCTACGTACACAAGAAGGGCCCTCGACGCCCTATGCGCTCTGCCAAGATGGAACCACGAGCAATCAAGGGATTCCTCGTCGGTTACGGTTCTCTTCGTGGCCACATTTACTACGTTTACCTGCCTGATCGAAAGGAGGTTATTCGCTGCAGAGATGTTCGATTTCGTGAGGAACCGCACAAGACAGTGTTGCCTCCAACTACTGGCACACCCAACATTGATGAAATTGAACATGATGCTGCGTTTGTCGAACCAGATATCATCATCCAGTACACCATCCGTCAGAAGCCTATTGAAGGTGAAAAACCCGTGACTGGTGATCCCAAACCAGATGAGACCATCGTTGAAAAAGCGATGGCACCCACTGATACACATCTCATGTCTCCGCCACCAGAGAACCTGTTGGAGACCACTGCTACACCTCGTGACAGCATTACTAACGAATTGAATGATGACGAATTCGTCGCTTCCGTGGAAACAATGGAAACTGATCACCAGGACCCTGATTCCCTCTCCACGATTGTTGAGGAAGCAACGAGTCAACCGGCAGAGTCCTCTCGACCTCGCCGCGCCTCAGCCCAGCGACCACCTGGTCACTACCGAGCCGCCAGTGGCGTACGCTCCTATGCTAAAAAGACTTTTCTATCTGCTGACATTCCAGCTTCACTAACTTCTCGTCAATTCTCTCTCAGCGTGCTTTCTGCTACTGCCCTTTCGAAAGTCCTACCCGACGGCGTGGTGATCCCGAAGTCCTACCGTGAGGCGCAGAAGAGCCCACAGTGGCCCCAGTGGGAACAAGCCTTCGAACGAGAGATGACTCAATTCACGGAAAAGGGGGTTTACGAAGTCGTTTACCCACCACGTGACGCTAAAGTCCTGCCCGGCAAGTGGGTATGTGACATCAAAACCAACAAAAACAACGAAATCGTGCGCTACAAGGCCCGATATGTGGTTTGTGGAAACCACGAGAAAGGTGACTGGTCATCGCAAGAGGTTTACGCTGCAGTTGCCTCTGCCACCGCAACCCGCCTTTTCTTCGCAGTTGTCGCACTTCTCGATCTTGAATACGAAGTATATGATTTCGACACTGCTTTCCTAGCCGCCTCGATTCCAGAGGGGGTTAAGGTGTACGTCCGGCCCCCCGCTGGCTACGCCACTGCAGACAACAAGGTTTGGCTGCTCCACAAGGCACTCTATGGATTGAGAAAATCACCACTTTGGTGGTTTCGACTTATCAAGGGTGAAATGGAACGAATTGGCTTCACTGCTGTTGATGGGGAGGTTTGTCTCTTCGTCAATCACAAGATTAAAGCGTACGTTCTTATGTACGTCGACGACAACGCCATCGCCGCTCCCAACAAGCAAGTCATGATGGAAGTTCGTCGTCTCCTCGAGAAGGTCTGTTCTCTTAAAGACCTCGGCGAGGCTACCGATTTTCTCGGTTTCCAGATTGAACGCGACAGAGCTGCCGGTAAGATTTTCGTTTCCCAAGCCAAGTACGCAAAAGCAGTGCTTCAACGATTCGACTTTGATGGTTTGAGTGCTGTCAAGACGCCTATGGCGACCACTGACGATCTGCCCGTCACCTGGGACAAGAACGAGTGCTCGCTTGACGAACAACAACTTTACATCGAACAAACCGGCTGCCTTAACTTCCTGGTGGCTGGAACTCGCGTTGACATGGCCTACACCGTCAGTAAATTGTCACAGGCGAATTCAGGGCCTTCTAAGGCCCATCTTCGTGCTATTAAGCACTTATTCCGATACCTCAAGGGCACCGTTTATCTCGGTATTGTACTTGGAGGCATCCCCACGATCAACGAGTTGGGGCTCTACGCTGCTGCAGATGCCTCTTTCGCTGACAACAAGCCATCACGAGTCTCGACAGGTGGTTACGTCGTCTTCCTCGCTGGTGCGCCGATTGCTTGGAAGTCAAAGAAACAGACTTTCGTGACTTTGAGCACCACGGAGGCTGAATTCATCAATCTCACACCTACGGCAATTGCTGTGAAGTGGATCAGACGTTGCCTCTCCCAACTGCTCGGCAAACCCATCACCACGCCTACTATCATGTTCACTGACAGTGCCAACGGCTACGACAACGTCATGAACCCACTCAACGAGGCACGAACCCGCCACATCGACGTCCGATACAAATGGATCATACAGGAGGTTCACACTGCGAAAAGCATCGAACTCCGACTCATCAAGGGCGCTGATATGGCCGCCGATGGACTCACGAAGCCACTGGTTGCGGTCAAACACAAGGAATTCGTTCGTTTGTTGGGCATGGCGGAGGGATTGGATTGAGAGGGGGATTTTGAGACTGTGGGACTATTGATATTGAGACTTCGGGATTCGGAGGATTTCACGGCCTCCTATTGGCCAGGTTTAACCGGTAATTGACCGAGTTTTCTAATAGTTGAGAACTCCTCGGATTTGGAGGATTTGGGACTTTTCCTGTATTTCCTATTATTCTACTGCTTTTTCGCTGAGGAGTCTGAGAGGGGGTGTGGGTGGCAGGCCTCGCCGGCCCGTCACGTGGGCTGACGGCCGCCACCACTGGTCTTAGCCAGCCTCCACAGCCCTCTAGCCAGTTAGTTAGTTCTTCCAACCAACAACACCACTTTTCCCATTCTGAGCGTTCTGTGCTGGTTTCGCCCACAATAATCCAGTCCAAGTGGCCCGTATGATGACTCAGCACTCAACCGCGGGGGGTCCCAGTGACAAGAGCTACCCCGCCGGAACGCCAGAGCTCCTTGTCGACCCAATTCCAACACGGAACCAAAACCACGAGGTACAAACATGTCTGCCGGCAAAGCGAAAGTGACCTCTACCGGGCCTCTGGTATAGTTTCCTATTCCGGCGCACTCCCGGTCCGTTCTCACTGACCCCCCCTACTACTTCAAACAGCCCGACAGCGAAGCCGCCTGGGTCAAGCTCGTCAAGATCAACTACGCCGATCAGAATGGCAAGGCCCGCACCTGGGAATCCGCGGAGCGCCGCACTCGACCCAAGGGCGGCGAAATCGACGGCGTCGGTATCGTCGCCATCCTAGAGAAGCCTACCGGCCCGGAGATCATTCTCCAGAAGCAGTACCGCCCGCCAATCGACAAGATCACCATCGAGGTGCCCGCAGGCTTGGTCGACGAAGGCGAGACGGCCGAGCAGGCTGCCGTTCGGGAGCTGAAGGAGGAGACTGGCTATGTTGGTGTCGCGTCCGAGACGTCGCCTATCATGTTCAATGGTACTGTTTGTCCCTTTTCATATCATCTACATGGCTGTTCTGGCATGCTAATCTTTTGTACTGCTGAACTAGACCCCGGCTTCTGCAACACCAACCTTCGCATGGTCCACGTCACGATCGACGCCACTCTCCCAGAGAACCAGGAGTTGAAGCCTGAGCTGGAGGAGAACGAGTTCATCGAGGTCTTCACCGTGCCTCTGTCCAACTTCTGGGCTGAGTGCGTCCGCCTCGAGAAGGAGGGCTATGCGGTTGATGCCCGCGTCGGCACGATAGCAGAGGGCATCGAGCTAGCCAAGAAATTCAAGCTGTGAACGAACCTGTCGTCTGCTTCCCCCGTGCTTGTGCAGTGTAATCATTATATCTTGCCCTCCCTCCGAAGACCCTCCCACAAAGCCACCGCACCAAGACACTTTGCATCCCGCGCGCCCTCCCTCCAAAGGTCCTTCATATGCACAATCTTCAACGTGATCCTTTCCCCGTGATCTCTAAGCCCAGTCAGCTTCCCGCTCCAATCCTTCAACTGCTCGCGCGGAATCCGCCTCTCGTGGCTGTAGATCGTCACGAACTCATCACATCCGCCGGCGGAGGGATACATCGCTTCCGCCAGCCCCTCATCACCTTCCTCCTCCGCCGCCTTGCCTGCACCGGCGAGTTCGCTGAGGTTGGTGAGTTCTGACTCATGGATCTTGAGCCCGCACTCCTCCTCCATTTCCTTGGCCGCCGCGCCAGCGAAACTACCGTTGTCGTCAACCATCCCCGCGGGCAGTTCCACGAAGGACAGACTGCCGGCCGGTATCCTAGGCTGCACGGTGAGGACGACGTATCTCTCATCGCTGTCGGATGGTACATCGTCAGGGATAAGCATGACCAGCATCGCAACGCTCGGCCCGCGAAGGAACACGCTCGCGGGTAGCTTGTCCCCCGAGCCGTTGGTCACCTCCGCCACAACCTTGAGGAACCCAACCCTGCCGCCGCCAAAGAGGTCAAAAGCTTGGACCGTAACGCCGCGCAGGGCGTAGGGGTCGGTGTGGAATGGATGGCGCGGGTTTTTGCCCTGAAGAGCTAGCGATCCATTGAGACCCTTGATCCAGTTCTTTAAGCGCGTTAATGAATGGTCTATGTCATTTAGAATAGCGAGGGGGGAATTGATTACATTAAAGGGGCGGAAACCCAAGAGTTGGTCTTTTGATAGGCCGTCTGGCAGCTTGACCTGGATACCGTTGTCCTTGAGGGTGACTGTCGACATTGTTCTGATAGTGAGGCACGAATGCGACGGTAGAGTGTGTGGGCGAACTGGCGTTAAGAGAAAGGAGTCTTTCTGGGAGATGAGATTAAATGTTCTTCGTCCCAACCCCGGCGCTATCGTTCTCATCTCTGACGTTTGGACTCGATTGGGCAGTGTAGCCTGATGTTGGTGTAAGTGAAGTAATTGACGTCAGTCCGAAAGAGGACATTTAGTGGCTTGTGGGGCTGGCTTGCAGTGACAGGCAGACTGCCTGGTTGTCTGCCTGATCCAAGCGCTGAAGTGTGAGATTGTTGCAGGTCACAGCAATATACTGACTACATAGTATGTGCTGTTTTACAGTTGTCAAACTGCCGAACATACACCAGACTTTTCTTAAAAAAACAAAAGGTAAATTTGCTGTAGTTTTCGAGTATCTGGTTTTTTCTTGGTAGTTGTTCAATTAAGTGCAGTTACGTTGACCAGAAGTAGCACTAATAGCATGTCGAGCTTCACTGCCTATCCAGCCAAAAAACTTACAGCTTGCCTTCACACTTTTGTGTAATAAGACGAGGCATTCTTTTAGTCTTTTATAAGCTGCAATGAAGCAGGCATTTCAGTAAAGCATGCCTCTGGTTTACTCGGCCACCACCAATTCTCTAGAGTCCTGATTAGGCGGGAAATGGTTCCAGCTGCCTACTATGAGCCAGTTGCACTGCCCCATGCAAGCCCATCAGCCATCCTCACCTACTTTGTAGCCTGGCCTCCTTAGTCTCTTCCAAGTAACTAGACCATCATGTAAGTTAGTAGAATTTACTTTCAAAACTTCTCTCTTATAATGATGCGTGGTGTTAAAGAAAAAGACCTTTACTTCGGACGACTGATGGTAAGTAAAATCGCAATGCTGGGTGTCGACAATAACGATAACTAAGCGAGCAACCACGAAAGAAAAAGCAGTGCACAAACGCTCAATATTACAATAGAATCACTTTCAAACCATCTCCCTAGATAAATGGAACAAATTCCACATATACGCGACATGCCAAACTGGTTCAAACCACGAATCAAGGGATGAGATGCCTCGCACCGGGAGCTCAAAGCTCAAAGTGGGGCCGGTCCGCTTAGTCACCATCGCAAATGATCCAACGGGCCGAGACAGAAAGAAGCCTGCCACAAGAGTCCCCGGAGCTACAAACACCACCACCACAGGCTGGCATCGGCGGCCCCCATGTCCTCCCATGTTAAACTCTCGCGCCTACACCTGCGGCCGTTGGGCTCAAGAGGCATTGGGCAGGTAGCGCCCCGCAACAGGAGGTTATACCATGACTTTAACCACTTCGTGCGGACAGGTACTCACTTGCCATCCACTCTCGTGAGTTGCGCCAGAGCTAATAGCTAGCTGTAGAGTCCACAGAGGTAGCACAAGATGCACCCCGAAGCTCGTCCAATTCGGCAAAGGCCTTTAAATTAGCTGTCAAAGACAACATCGCAACCAAAGATCTCCCGACGACATGCTCCTCCGCGATCCTCTCCACCCACAAGAGCCCCTTCGAAGCTACCATCGTACGCCAGCTCCGGGAACGAGGCGCCCAGATAGTGGGGAAGACGAACATGGACGAGTTTGGAATGGGCTCGCACTCGTTGAACTCGGTACATGGGCCTGTGCTTAACCCGCTGGCTGCGACGCCAACCTCTGCTGGTGGAAGCTCGGGAGGTAGTGCGGTAGCGGTCCAGACGGGCGAGGCGGACGTCGCGCTGGGAACTGATACGGGTGGATCAATTCGTCTGCCTGCGGCGTACTGCGGCGTGGTCGGATACAAGCCGTCGTATGGGATGTTATCAAGATGGGGCGTGGTACCGTATGCGAACTCGTTGGACACAGTCGGACTCCTTGCGCGGGAGGTGGACATCATCGAGGACGTTATGTTCAGCACGGGGTTAGCTGGCGAGCACGACTCTCAAGACCCAACATCTCTTTCGAAAAATTTCAGAAAGCGCCAGCAAGACCAGGCCTCGCCTCGTCGGTCTCGTCTCAGGGTGGGCATCCCCCTTGAATACAATATCGAGGAACTGGACCCTCAAATCCGGACGGCATGGTCAGACGCGGCAGACCTCCTGCAGAAGTCTGGCGTCGAAATCGTCCCCGTCTCCCTCCCGTCAACAAAGCATGCGCTCTCGGCGTACTACGTTATTGCGCCAGCCGAAGCTTCCTCCAACCTCGCCAAGTACGACGGTGTGCGCTACGGTACGCGTGGCGACGAGAGCGACGGCGCCGGCGAGGTCCTCTACTCCAAGACGCGCGGCAAAGGCTTCGGCGACGAAGTCAGACGGCGTATCCTCCTGGGGGCCTACAGTTTGAGCTCCGAGGCGATGGACAACTACTTTATCCAGGCGCAGCGCGTGCGCAAGCTCGTCCAGAGAGACTTTGACCGCGTCTTCAGGTTGGAGAACCCGCTGTACGATCCGCAGCAGTTCGATCTCAGCGACATGAAGGACGAGGTTGAGCTGCAGGACAAGCTGGGCCCGTCACAGGTGGATTTCCTCCTGTGTCCTACTGCGCCGACGTTTGCGCCGAGAATCGACGAGATCAAGCAGCAGACGCCGGTCCAGGTGTACATGAACGATGTCTTCACGGTGCCGGCGAGCTTGGCGGGGTTACCGGCCATCAGTATACCCACGAGGGTCAAGTCCGCGGAAGCGAAAGCGGACGAGAGCCGAAAGGTGGCGGGTCTGCAGCTGATCGGCCAGTACTGGGATGACAGACGCCTCCTGGGCGTGGCCAAGGACCTCCTGCGTCAACTTTCCGCGTAGCCGCCACGGCTGCCGGGGATATGCGCGATCTCGCTCAAAAAAAAGGGGGCGGGTTGTAACATTGTAGACATGAGTCACCTGTAACTTGTACACTAGGATTGCAATATACCCACATTGTGAGAAGAAAACAAGCAGTGAGATGGCCACCGCGGTTGGTCTATTCGCGCGAACTCCGCTCCTCGGAGCACGCTGGGTATCATCTTTCAGTTAAAAATCAACGTCTACGGGGACCGATCTCTGCTCCTTGAGCGTGATCTCCTTTCCACGTCCATGGGTTCGCCCTCGTCCCTTCTGTCCTCTACAATCTCTCCTTCTGAATCATCGGCCCCATTCTCCCGTGAACTGCCCTGTTGCTCCTGCTCCTCCTCCTCCTCCTCATCCAGCAACTCGTCGATATCTCCCAGTGGACTGATCCTCTCCTCCAATTCTCCAAGGTCCACCAAATCAACTCTCTTCGGCAACTCCCTGAAACTCGTCGCGCAGACTCTCGTCTTGGTAAGCAGGTCGTCCACGAACTCGTCCATGAAAGTCAGACTCGTGCCCTGCCGGCCCTTCCTCCTCAATTTCCTCCGGTCCTCCAAGAACGGCTCCAGCAAAAGGTACACGTCCTTGGCCCTCCTCGTCATGCGGATGTAGAAGCACGCCAGCGCGCGGAGGTATTTGAACTTTTCGCCGCCGAACCGCAGATACGTCTCGAGGACCTCGTCCGAAGGCGCGAGCTGCAGCAGCTTGAACGCGAGACACAGGAACGGCGTCGGTTTTTGCGTGACGCCGTGCGTGCCGCCGATAAAGGATACGTGGTCGACGACGCGGTCGACGATGTCGGCCTCGTTGACGGCGAAGCACTGCTCTTTGTAAAAGTACGAGTCGATGATGCGCTCGCGCACGGCCTTCTCCATTATCGTCGCCGGGTTCTCGCCGTTGGGCGCGAGGGCGGCAGACGAGCCACGCTCGTCCATGAACCGCCGCTCGTCGGCGTAGACTGTATCTGGCTTGCTCATTTTTTTTTTATTTTTTTTACGGCGTCCCGTAGGTAATGGGCGGAGTAGCTAGGGGATGTTTGCAAGGACAGGGAGAGAGGTCTAGAGGTTTCGATTGAGATTCGTTGCTCGGTATACCGGTGGTATTCGGTGGAGACGAAGCCCAATTTTCGAGGAGGCTTTGCGTATTGTCGTACACTAGAATTGATGCTCGGGTGATGGTGGTGGGGGGTGGTTAGAAATGCGACGCGGGAAGCTAGTGTTAGACGTGACGTCCGTCCGAGGCGAGGGAAGAAAAGTTGGGCGTTGACAGCCAATGACAGCTGCTTATCGATAGTTGCCGTGCGAACCAAGTAAACAGCCCACTTCCAAGTTCACTCCCGGCCGCGTCACATTTGGCGACTACGACATTGATCAGGGGGGCAAATGGCGTCTGTATTGACGATTTTAAACACGCCGAAGCCATCTCAAATCATTCGTACGGCATTCTCGATTCTATCAGTTTAAAAGTTATCGCAGAAAATTCCACAACATTGCAGCGAAGATGGTGCTTCTTACGTCTTCTCAAGTCTCAATCCTTCTGTCCTCGGCCATAGGTAACACCCGCCCGTTCCCGCATTCCAGTCCGTCCGCAAATCGGCACAAGAGAGACAGAACAAACGGCTGACTTTTTCTCTCGCGTACGCGTATGCGCCTTGCCGCATATGCAAACGCATTTTTTTCCCAAATGTAGTCATCTCTTGTACGGCCGCCCTTTTCCTCAGCGGCTATGTCATTCAGCAGCGTACTCTCAACCAGCTGCGTGCCGCCATCAAACCCGACCGGGACCCACGGCCTTCCCCCAAGACATCCTACTTTGTGCCCGACCACCTCAAAGACCTCACCGGGAAGGGCAAGAATGTTCCACTGTACGGAGGCGCGGGGGAGAAAGGACAGGTCATTATCGAAGTGAACCCGACGCTGCCCAAGCAGCAGCAACAGCCGAAGAAGCTTGCCGGCCAGAAGAAAACAGGATGGACTTCCGATTTATGGCAGAAGATGATGCCTTCGTCCGATAAGGAAGATGCAGGCGTCAGCAAGGAGGACTTGGACAAGATGGACGAGAGGGAGAGGAACATTCAAGGATGGAACGTTAAAGACCAGAAGCACCCTGACCCGGAGGTGGCAAGCGAGAAGCCCATCAGCCGCGCCGAGAGGAGGAAGCTGATCAAGGAAGAGATCAAGCGTTTGTCGCAAGGGGAGGAACCAGTTTACTACCAACGACGATTGTGGTAAACGGTCCCGGGGGTCGAGGTGCGTGGGTGGGTTTTTTTTTCCTTACCATATATACGAGTTATACAGCGTTTTGATTTTTTTCTTTTTCTTTTTCTTTTGGGATTTGGTAATGAAGGATGGTTATGATATCACTACGGGTTCTCTACATTGTTAAAGTCATGTAGATACGAAGGACGGCTTCGAGTCGAGGCAAACGAGAGAAGAAAAAGTATGATTATTTGGTGCATGCCGCGGACCGGAAATCCATGAGCTTTGTATTCATGCGTGAAACCCGTTTTCGGGTAGATGCTCTCCTCGATAAAGACCATGCTGTCTCTATGCTATCGATGTGATGCCGTCCATGGCAACAAAGGCCGAAATCATGCATTCGTCATCGCGGTGAATTCGTTATTGATCCATCCCCCCCCCCCCCCCCCCCCCCCCCCCCAAGTGCAGCCTCAAAACGCCGTACCCATGCCAAACCAGATGAGAAAGTAAGTAAAAGTGAAGCAAACACCCTCCCTCCCGTACGCCAGGCTAAGCATGTCTGTTGGCAGCATCCTCAAAGGCCTCCCGCTGCATCCTCTCCAGCTCCTCGAGGGGGATGGCGCTGTTAGCGAACTTGTTTGCCTTCTTCTCGCGTCCCTGTGGGCGTGTCAGAGTTTGTCCAAGGGTCACAGAACAAGGGGGATGGTGGTGGTACCTTTTGGACTTCTTTGTGTTCTGCTGCTGCCTCGAGAACGGCGGGGACGTAGTCTGCAAAGCCGAGTTGCTCGAGGGCCTTTGTTATGTGGTCGCAGGCGATGGTCTTCTTCGCCTCCTTTTCCGAGATCTCGTTGGCCTCGGAAGAAATGAGGGTGATGAACTCAACACAGCACTCGATGAGGAGATCACGAGCCTCTTTGGAGAATGCGACGCCGGCGGAGGGCGGCAGGATTTCCGTCACAATCTTCTGGACGGTTGCTGCGACTAGTCAGTATTCACCTGAAAATGCAGAAATCGGACGAGAGAATCCAGATGATTCTATCCCATTTAATGAATGAACATACCCTTGGGCAAGGACAAGTCATCGTTGCCTAAAATGTCATGTCAGCAACCACATATGTTTCAGAAACCAGGCAGTGTACGCGTGATGAGGATGAATACCGTTGCCATCGTAGACCTGCCAGTATCTATTCCCTGCGCTAGTTTTGGGCATGATGGCTAGCAAACGGGGATGTTGGATGTCGGCAGGATGCGACAACAGGTAAACGGTGAAGCATCTTATACATGTTGAATAAAGGAAGGGAGCATGGGGAGGTGTATGCAGGGAACGTGCGGCATCAGGTAGTGAATGTCTGACGGCTGAACAGGCATCGGTGAAGGAAAAGATACGTCGATAGAATGAACAAGTTAGGAAACAGTAGAAAACTTACCCGCAAACTCGTGATCCGACATGTTTGAGATGAGATATGAACGAGGTGAGGTAGTTGGGATGCAAAGCTGGTGCAAACAGATGACGCAAAAGTAATGCTAAACAACTTGTCGTTCAAGCAATACGATGTATGTCGAACTTTGAATTTGCAACTATAAAGTGCGACCGAAACGTATGGCTCACTCAAGGCTTATATCGAAGATTGTTGGCGGTGGGAAAAGTACGGAGGCGGAGCGGGCATGTGAGGTATCGCGGGACAGCGTGTGGCTCACTTTCGGCGGCTGCTGTTGGTGGGGTCTTTTATGGTATTTGGATCTGGGACATCCAGTGCATTTGAACCGCCCCGCGGCAGGAGGCCAAGCACGAGCCCCAGGGGCAGGCAGCCTAAGCTGAAGCTGCCTCTTTTTTTTTCTCTTTCCTTAATCTGGCCCACCAGTTAAACGGCGCTCGGTGAAAGGAGCTTCCGATGTCCCGTTCGCACGGACCACATTCTCCAATCACTCCAAATTTTTTCGTCCCTTAAAAGTCGAACTTTTGACGGCAGCTTCAAATTTCTTTCCTTTTGCATCACTCAACCGCAGAGACAAATATCACCATGCGCTCTATTGATCGAGTTGCTGGCGTCTCTGCGGCTTGTCTGCAGTATTTCTGGTAGGTTTACACTCTTTTTTTCATATCCCCCATCAACCTGATGAGCTCTGTTGTCGCCCCAAACTTACGAGGAATAACTCCCCTCACACAGTGGTGAATGACCGTCCAAGCCAAACGGACTTCTCTGACTTGTCACCTTCAGCTTTACTTTTTGCTTTCTTGGTTGGAGCATCGGAAGCTAACAAGATTCTTATAGACGCAAAATGTAAGCTACTCAACTGCTTCGCTCGTCTACTCTCTGTTTTGTGTCCCCCTCGCAGCTGCGATGATGTCCAAAATAAAGTACTATCAAATACCGATTTTCCAAGACGGAGAAATGATAACCCTGAGCAACTGCTTTGCAACGCAATCTTTTCAGCTGTCAAGTGCGCGGATGGGGTACTAATGTGGATATTGTTGCAGTATGGTGAACCAGGACTAGCTAGTCTTGCTGCTTACAACCCACACCACAGCTCTTTTGTTCAAGGTAGGCGCAAATTTTTCACTTTTTTACTTTTCTTCTTCGGAAGGCTGCCGATGATGATGAAACTTATTCCATGCTAATCCTGAATAAATTATGTGGAAACAAATAAGAGCTTTTCATCTTTCGACTGAGGCATCATGTCTAAAATGTTTTCTATTTGCTCTCACTAGCTCTAGCAGTTGGCTAACATAGGACTTTTAGTGAACATTCTACCTACTCTTGGTACGCTGCAAGCTCTCCAGCTTGCCATCTGCAATAAGTTAGCTCCTGTGTGTTTCCGAAAGGACATTACAACGTACTTGATGAACTTGCCGGACAGGTCATGCTCGGGCTTCACCACGAACCGCGCCATGACGTTGCCAGGCTGCTCGGGCTTGAAAAGCTCGCCCTTGTCAAAGGCGGACACGAATGAAGAGTGATCCTTGTCGGCCATGTGATCCTTGCCGGTGTCGCGGATGACCTTTTGCATGGCCGTGTCGACGCGGCCAGGGCTGATGGCAATGCTCGTAATATCGGGCTCCTCAACGGCCAAGTGGGCGGAGAGGTGGTTCATGGCAGCCTTGGAGGTGCCGTAGGCTCCCCAAGCGGTGTATGCGCCAGTGGCAGCACCTGAAGAAACCCAGAGAACGCAGCCCGTGGACTTGCGCAGCTCTGTCAAGGAAGATTGCACCTTTCTAGCAGTTAGAGATATCAATTGATACAATTTCTCAAAATTTGACCTACCAATGCAAGCCCGCTGAAAACGTTGATGTCGTATGCCCTCTTCCACTCCTCAATTGAAGAATGCTCCAGACGAGTGACGGGCTCAAGCACGCCGTGGTTGATTACGATGCCGTCAATCTTGCCAAAAGCCTTGACAGCGGCCTCGGCAATCTTGGGAATGGTCTGCAGCTGTCAGCCATGAAACTCAACCCAGCCATTGTTGGGAAAACCCGTACCTGAAGATCCCCCAAGTCACCTGCAACGTACTCGACCTGTCCAGGATGCTCCTTCTTGAGTGCCTCCAACTGGTCCTTGGACCTGGCCGCCAAGACAACCTTGTGGGAGTCCTTCAACAGGTACTGAGCAATAGCCAGGCCGATACCACGGCTGGCGCCGGTGACGATGATCACTTTGGAAGCCATTGTGGTGTGTGTGTGTTTTACACTGAAAATAAGTCAATGCACGGGGTCTGCTTAGGGAAGCTGAAAGAGGTAAACGGAACAAGATGAAAACGAAAAAAAAAAGACCTTGCGCCGAATGGAGCGGAAAGCTTGCGCCATTCGATGCAATGTCCCGCTCTCTGCTCTGTGTGGTGGAGCGGGGGGCCAGCTGGAACAGAGTCCTTATCTTATCAGCATGGCGGGGTCCTCAAAAGATACCTTGAGCTATCGACGATAACGTCATTGTTCAAGGTCCCCAACTCTGCGCCTACGTTTCACCATGAGCAGCACAACGGTCATCCTGGGTTCAGGTATTATAGGCCTTTCAATCGCTCATTATCTTGCAGATCATCAGCCCGGGTCGACAATTCATCTTGTTGAACCCTCACAGGAGCTCTTCGCCTCAGCTTCGGGATACGCAGGGGGGTTTCTGGCGCGGGACTGGTTCTCGCCCAAGTCCGCTTCCCTTGGAGCATTAAGCTTCGATGAGCATACGAAACTCGCGGAGGAGCATAACGGGAGAGAGAATTGGGGGTGGTCTGCCAGCACAACATACAGTCACTCGGCGGCACCCATCAAAAAGGCGAAAAAGGGCGATGATAAATGGCTGAGCCAGGGTGGCAGCCGCGCAGAGGTCGTCGAAGCCGTCGAATCGCCTGGGAATGGCCCTTCATGGCTGCGACGTGCGGCGGGCGATGATGTACAAGTGATTGGAGATTCAGATACCACAGGCCAAGTGTGCGTAACCACGTTCCACGGCGCTCTTTCAGACCATGAGACCTGACACGGCTGCATCACCAGGGATCCTCTCCGTCTCTGCAACTTTCTCCTCGAGAGCTGCAAGTCGCAAGGCGTGCACCTCCACCACCCGGCCACCGCGCTCTCCGTCGGCAATGACCTCAGGGGCGAGCTCTCGAGGGTGCGAATTGGTGAGACCAACTCTTCCACCGAGACCGACGTGCCCTGCACCCGTCTCGTCATCGCCGCGGGTGCCTGGTCGCCCCGCGTCTTCTCCCAGCTCTTCCCCGGCGCATCCATCGAGCTGCCCATCAGCAGTCTCGCAGGGCACTCGCTCGTCGTTAAGCCCCCGGGCAAAGACACGAAGCAAACAGGCTGTCACGCCATCTTCAGCACCGACGGCGACGGCTTCTCACCCGAACTCTTTTCACGCGTAGGCGGACACGTCTATCTCGCCGGCGTCAACTCCCCCGGGCTCACTCTGCCGTCCCTCCCAGGACAAACGCCCATCTCGGCGGCCGCGATAGCCCAGCTGAAGCAGACGGCGGAGCGGATCATTAACGTGAATAAAGACGAGTTAGAAGTTGTCCGGCAGGGGCTATGTTTCCGGCCCGTCACGACGTCCGGAGCACCAATCCTCTCCCGCATTCCGGATTCCCGGCTCGGAAGTGGAGTCTCGACGCGCGCCGGGGCCGAAGGCGGCGTGTTTGTCGCGGCCGGACACGGGCCCTGGGGCATCAGCCTGAGTCTCGGGACGGGAAAGGTGATGGCGGAGATGATACAGGGGCGGAAGCTGAGCGCCGACATATCTCGGCTCGCACTTACGTGAACCAGACACGGCAGGCGTGCAAGTACATGTAGCAACAACCCTGTAACCACCCACATAAACGTGCAGAATCTTCAATCCCGCATAACATTGTCTCCCTCCCTCTTTTCCCTCGCATCATCTATGACTTCAACTGAACCAAGCCAATGGGTTTGCCGACATACCGATCAGCGCTCCCACCCACATCCGCCGCCGCACGCATGAACCTACGACGACTGGCCCATGATGGCGGTGGCGCGCTTGTGGCAGATGGGCCGCCGCGCTAGCGCCACCGCGAAGGATGGTGTGCAGAATAACCGACTGACCAGTCCCCGGGCCGGAAGGGTACTCTGTCTCCAACGTCCGAAACGCAATGACGGATCCAAAAGACTATGGAGACATCAGAGCTGACTGAAGACGAATTTCGTTTCTTCTTCTTCTTTTTGCTTCCTTGGAAATGTTCAACCGGACCTTGGCTCCGGTATTAACATCTACTTCTGGTAAAAATCCTGCAGACAATTACCCAGAAATAGCCGCCCATGCTGAGAGTAATGGAGCAAAGTGCGTATTACCCACCCACCGAACTAATGGACCAGGGGGGGAGGGATCATGGGATGAACTGGAGAAGCTAGTAGAGAAGAAGAAGGAAGATTACAACGAACCCGAAAAGAGGGAACCAAGAGTTTTTCCCAACACCAACCGGGCACTCACGAAATAAAAAAAGATGGCGCGCGAGGACATAGTAGCTTAATTACTGGGGAATTGTCAGGCCCCCTACCTCGAACAATTTCGGACATTGCTCGCGAGCTGGGCGGATGTGCCGCGTCCCGGGAGCATTTCAAGGTCCCCCGTCATGGTCGGGCTGACGAAAGCCTGTTGGTTGGGTTCTGCGAACGGAGCATCTCTACCGAGAAACGAGATGATGGTTGCTTTTTTTTGCCTTCTTTGTTCTTGTCTTTGCATTTTGTTATCTCCGTTATTATTCCATCTTTTCTCTCCCCCCTTGCAACCTTGGGCTCGCAAATCGTCAACCCGAGTTTTTTCGTCCGCCCCCCATCGTAAAACCCGCCTCTCAGGTACGCCAATCGTGCCCAGGGATTTAAATGGGAAAGGGAAAAGGAAGATGAGATGGAGGATGCCTGTCGGTGAAACCGATAGTTTGGCTCAGCTAACGGGGGGTCCTTTTCTCTCCCTGACTGGCCCCCAATCCCGTATCCCTCCCCCCTCCCCTGCACGCAAATCTTGTCCGGGCAACGTAACGCCAGCCTCAATCTTTTTTTTTTTTTTTTTTTTCCCTTTCACGAGAGCAGGGCGAGCGAGCTATCCACATCTGACGAACCACTACGAATGGTGATGTAGATTGAGCTTGTCGACCCCATCATTGCTTCTTCGCTTCACGTTTCCAGAAATCCAATTTGCCACAGGTCAAGCACGCTCAGCCTCAGACAGAAGTCTCATCCCTTTTCAGGGTTCAAACTACCCAGACCAGAAAAAAACCTCGTAACCCATGACAACTCCATTCTCTCTCTTGTCACAGGGTGATGGGTTCGTCTGCTGGAAAAGACGGCAGCCAACACCCGTCAATGATGCTCACATCCACCTCCCAAGCACGGGCCAGCGCTGCCGCCCCAAGAGAAGCGGTCACGAATCATGAGGTCTCCTCCGTTAATGTCATTGTCAGGTAACGACCCCATCATTCCATGCCGGGTTTGCTTGGCTACCTCGTGGTGGTTGCAAGGCGGGAAAGGAAGGGGGCCCGTTCCCGGTATGCTGCAACAAGAGATGAAGTCATCTTTATGGGGTGGGTGGTCGGTCGTGATACTCCGCGTGATACACCAAAAAAAAAAAAAAACTCCATCGTCTCGTCTCGAGCAATTACATGGCCTTGGTTTGAAGTGTAGATCACCAAAGACGTCCTCCACTGGACCACCGCTCAGGTCCCCCCCCCCCGTTTAATCGGTCCATTGATGGTCGCATCGCGATCCAGTTTGCTCGTTACACCCACCTAATGCAAGGCACCGATCTGTCTGACTGTCACTTTTCTCACACACACCCCACGGCAAGATGCACCGAGTAGGCGGGTAGACAGAGTCAGGACTGGCAGATCGTCTCTTGAGGGGGAGAGGGGGAGAGAGAGAAGAAGAAAACGCCTCAAACGGCCGTGCCCTGTCGATTATCCGCGTCTGGCGAGATCTGTCCTCCGTCCACTACGCGATGTTTCCCCTCTTCTGAGTCTCTTCTGAGGCGAGGGGGTAAACTGGCCTAGGAAACAAGTGCAAACGGTTTCTCTGATGTGTGTCCTGATGTGTGTCCTGTCGGGGTTGACTGCGTGGCGCAATTGCCGCGCAAACTAACGAATGGGTTAGCAGTGTCTCGGAGATAAAGATCCCATCTTGTCGTCAGGAAGACACTGACACTGACATTTTTGACAGTCTCCGACTTTGGACGAGCCATTTTTGCCAGGGTGTGGCTGTTATCGAAAGGTAAACTATGGAACTACAGAACAATACAGCTTAGCTTCGCTGTCGCATGCACCAAATTCGGATATCGTCACATGCACGATTAATCATTTCCATCCCAGAGTACGTTGGAGGAAAACGTTTATTGCTGCTGCTTTCCCAGGGGAGCTTTGACTCTTTTAGGACCCCTGGTCCCGTGCGCTAGCTCTATCCGGTCTACGTAGTATCCGTCCTTCAGGTACAGAGTTTGAAGGTTTACAAAGGTTGAACTTGGGGGGGGGGCCTCAGCCACGACGGACACGAAACGTAGAGACACACACGATTAAAAAAGGACAAAATGTCGCAGCGAATGCGAGTTTGAGCCTCCAGCGCATCCGCAGCGTCGTATCCAAGATACCCCCCGCCGAGGTATGATTTACTTCGATACGACCTCCGGAACGTCTCACGTGGACGTTGGCTTATCACGGCCTCCATCCCGAATGTCCCACTTGTAATGGCTTAGCAGGTGTAAGTTATAGCTGGAGATCCAAGACGAGAAAAAGTGCGAAGATGAGGCCGAGCCGCTATTTTCTTCGTAATGTACGGATGTCGTACGTAGTAGCGGTAAGATGGCTAGGGATAGGATAGGATAGGTACCACGTTCACGCTCACTCACAAACTACGCACGAACGCTACGAATTCCGCGCCGGCCGGTAGCGTGGTGGATCGCCTGCGAGGTCACAAACCAATTGGCGACGGAAGCCAGGCACATCTTGCGGGCTTGGCCGGCATTTTTTGGTCTGTTCCCATGGCTCAGCATGTGGGAGGGTTTTCCTGGTCGGGTTATTTCCGTTGGGATGGGTTTTTTTACACTGCGCGGACCAACAAGTCGGCTGGGATACGGCTATAGTAAGAGCAAGAGAAAGAAAAGGGAAGGGGAAAAAAAAAAATACAAGTCGGCCCTTTTGGTGAGTGAGCATACTAAGCAACGGGAATTCTAAGAAAAACGTTTCCGGGCTATGAGCATATTCAGCGGGGTCACGTCTTTTTTCTTTTTTTTTTTTTTTTCTCTTCCCTCGGCGGGTAATCGCTGTTCGCCGAACGGTGAAGAGGGTTTCCGCCGGAGATGAGATGATGACAATCTGCCAATTTTACTTAGTCACTTCACGAAAAAAACCAACGAGAAAACAATCACATCACCCGTTGTCCTCCAGGGAGCCCCCTTCGGACCCGGAGCGGTGGGGTGCTTAGCCCATCACCCATCCCAGCGGGTCACGCGCTAGAGACAACAAAATGACCCCAGTATACGAAGTGCTTACTTACATACCATTTCTCGCTACATAATTACTACTACATTTTCAAAGTGCAGCCCGTGCGGTTTTGGTACCTTACATTGCGGCTAACGCAAGGGGGTACGATCTGGTTGGTTGAAAGGTAACGCGGTGTGCGACAGACGTAAGGCGGCGGTCATGGGACTGCAAAAAAAGAAGGAGAGTGTGATGGGCGGTGGGCAAAAAAACGTAAAATATTACATACACTAGTTAGGTAGTAGTCGAACGGTCGACATGGGACGATGTAAAACAAATCTGTGCCCGACGATTACAGGGATACTCCCATCGCTCGCTCAGTTAAACGTGCCAAAACCACCACTACTACACTAAGCCTCTCTACCCGTTCCTCCGCAGATCCCACTTGCCTTCTTCCGGGTGAGGGTTACCCTTCTGAACGGGATATGCTCGCCGGCCGGTTCGGCATTGAGACGAAAAGAGACTCATGATGTGGTAATGGCAATGACATTTGAGTGTGAGTGTAACTCTCTCTCTCTCTCTCCCGGTAAAGGTTCCCTGGTCTGCATGTCTTGGCCCGGTCCGGCTCATGTTGCATCATACCAAAAGATCCGCGGACATGAGGACATTCGCACTCCGCGGTTCACAATTACACGGTAGCGAGATAAACTTTGAGCTTGTAAAGCAAGAAATGATTTTGATAATTCTGCCAGTTTTTTTTTTGTGACTGAATAAAATTACAATATGAAGATGGTTGTTATATGATGAGTGGCTCGTGCCACCTCCGTCCCTTCTCTTGTTCACACCCCCCCGGTTGACAGTTGCCCGTGCGTTAAAAGGATCCCCTTTTGTTGTATATACCCAAAAATGACGTAATCACGATGAACTCCCCTCCAGACCCAGACCCCCCCAAGATCCGTTGGCCCCGGTAAAATTCGTAGTAGTCTTACACCCCAACCAAATCTTAGTGTGTAAAAGAAGTCCAAGTGAAAAATAGTCCGGAAGAGGGAATTCAAATTCAAGGCTTGCTATACAAAAGGAAAAGCCAAAAAATAATAAGGGACGCCCGCTAAGTGTGTTGTATCGTAAAGCCGTTATAAAAAAGGAATGATGGAAACCGTGAGACCGTTTCCTGCCGTTTTTCTTTCCTCCGCTTTCGAAGTACCAAAGAGTCGAATGAAATAAAGTGAGTGACTTGGTAGAAAAGTCTTGGTGAATGATCGTATCATGTTGTAGGTGTTGTAGGTGTTGATGGTGTAGATGTTGCTTAGAACAAGCTGCTTCCAGCTTGCCGGGTTCCGTCTTGCTCAAAGACGATACCGCGTCTCTTCCAGCCTCCGCGCTTGATAAAGTCCTCGACGCTGTCCAGTGACTTCATCTGTGGTCTCTTGGGTGGCGTGTTGCGCTTGTACGAAAAGTTTTGCCACTGCGATTCCCGTACTGGCCTCTCCTCGTCGACAATGCTTCCCTCACTCCCCGCATCGCCTTCTTCGTCGTCATCTGGAAACTCCATGTCGAGAGTCTGTATCGTAGACTCTGACCAATGAGACCGTGGCAGCTGCGGACGGGTCGCGGCGATGTGCTGTTGCACCTTGAAAAGAAAGTAGTCGTCGCCTTCCGCTGCGTGCTCCCTGGAGCGTTCGGTTTGCTGGATGGGAGTCCGGGGAGAGTCGACGGGCGGAGCCGGCATGTCAGGTGCGGCGGCGGCGAAAGAAGCCTTGGTCTGCTGCTCGGCAAGAGCTTCCTGGGAGGAAAAGTAAGAGTCGATAACGTCGTCCTCGATGGCCTGGGAGTTGTGGATTATGGGCCTCTCGAAAAGTCTGCCAGGTGGCGGTTGGAAGGTCGGGTGTAGCGACAACGGGTCAAAGTCGAGCACGCGGCTGTGACGGACGGTGCCCGATGATCCGGTTGATTGTGTTGACGAAGAGTCATTGCTGGAGACGGAGTTGCTGAGAGAGGGCTTGCGGGTGTGCAGGGCTTCGGGATGGCGTTTGCACTTTTTTGATGATGGTGACATGGAGTGGTGGCCGTGGCCGTGGGCCCATGGTGCCGCTCCCAACATTGTGAGAGGCATGTGTGATGTTATTTGATGTGTGTGGTGTGTGTAATAGGGTAGAAGTCCCGTTGAGGTGATGATTAGCCAGGTGTCGTTGGCAGTAGTGCGGGTGTGACTATGTTTATATATGGATGTAGGATCCTTTCCTGATGTCGTATATATCCGGCTGTTGGTGATCCGGATTATCGGGACACGATTATATATCGTGATGTAAGGGAAAGAAAAACCCTTTTTGTGGTGAAGAAAGGATGGAGAAGTAAGGCTTGTAGGACTAAAAAGCCGTACGGGATATGATATATTACCACAGAGTTACCACACAGGCATGTAATAGTTTAAAGTGGTCAAGGAGTGTGGTTTGTGTGGGACACGGGCCGGGAGTTGTGGTTGATAGAGAGAGAGAGAGGGACCGGGACAGGGCATACGAGGTAGGGAAGTGAAGCAGGCATGGTCTTATTATAAAACTCGATGAAAGGCCGAAACCAGGCTTTTGGGGGAGAGGGGAGCCACTCTTGCATCTGCCTGCCAAGCGTGGGGATAGGATGAGCAACCCGCAGCGGAGCGGCGAGCAGGAAACAGTAATGGAGAGACATGGAATCACACACGCACACCGCAGAAGGTGGACTGGCAGAGCACGCGGGCCAAGGTCCCTGACGATCGGGGCTGAAAGAAGGATAGACGAAGACAGGCAGGGGAAGCTAGTGAAAAGGTGTGAGCCACACTACGTGACTACGTACCAGGCAGAGAGAAAGGTACCTAGCCTAGCCTAGCAGCGGTCAAGGGTGTGGGGAGTGGAGGATGGAGGGGGGAAGAACATCTCGGTAAGAGCGTGCGTCAAAACGCAGCGCCTTGAGGAATGTGGATGGTGCCTTGCAGGTTCTGGGCTCCTCATGAAAGACCCGAGGAATTGAGGAATCTCATGGGTGGTGAGGCCTGATGACTATGAACAGAGATAGGGAGGGGCGCAAATGACCAAACAACAGGATCAGACACATGCCGATGGGGGCAAGGTTAGATGGAGGGTGGTATACGTATCCGCAGTCTGCGTCGACGGTGCGTGTAGATGAAGCCAGAATGAGATGGACATGATCGGGTTGATTCGATGCAGGGGAGAGGAGTAGAGAGAGAGAGAGAGAGAGATGGCATCAGCTTCGATTCGATGCAGAAACCAGATGGTGAGAAGACGCCGTTGCATGCCTAGCCGGCGCGGTTTGTGCTATTGCTTACCACCAAGGCGCGGCTCGGAATTCAAATCTCTACCCCCTCGCTCAGTTGAAGAAAGACTATACAGAAAGGTGACGATGACCATTCGCAATCATGGATCCCATTCACCTGCCGTAGTGTTTAGTGTACCCGACGCGTTAGGGCCGGGAACAATGAAGGAGGTGGAATAAGCAAAGGTTCGTCATTCCAATTCCACTTGTAATAGTAACACACAGAAAGAAAGAAAAAAAAAAAATGGCTATGCTGGCGCAGCTCGGATACGCCATCCCACAACCCCCGACGGTGGAAGAAGCATGTCAAATTCGCATTTCCTTTCGGGCGAGGCGACACTAGCGCGGCTTCGTGTTGTCTGTGGTTCTCTCGCTCCCTCGTTCACGGCTCTCTCATATGGAGAGACGGAATGGAGGAATAAGAAATGATGCAAAAAAAGATGAGCCACAAGAGTGAAAGTGAGTGAGTCCTCCGTATGTGAGTTTCATTTGAGTTCAGTTGAAAGTCCCAATTTCACCAAAAAGTCAAGATGGGAGTAAAAATGGAGTCTCACGAAGCGAGAGACGGAGAGAAAGAAAAAAAAAAAAAAAAAAAGTGAAAGTGAGAGAGACAAAAGTCATTGCCGGGAAAGAGGATTGGCGGTTGGTTGAACTGGGCTGACGACCTATTGAAAGACAAGGACCAGGATCCAGCCAGGCAGTGTCTTCCGTAGCGAACATGCTCCCTGAGGCTTGGGCAGCTCTCTTTCCTGGTTCGCCTGGGATTGGGGGTGGCTCACCCTGGAAGGCCTGACGTTTCCCCTTCCTTTACTGAAGTTCAGCGCAGTGTCGCCATCCTGTAGGCTACAAGCTGCCAACCGCTTTCCTAATTCCGCACTCCACTCTCATCCGTTGTTTCCTCAACCTGGAAGAGGCGCCGCCAACCGAAAATCGGTACGTACCGAGGCATCTGGGGTCCCTACTTGGCTACCTATCCTACGTACTAGTCCAAGTACATGGATATTTTCCAAGTTCGCTATGTATCATATCATACGTACCTTACGTACCCTACCAGATCGCCAAAGGATTGGCATATCGATTAGTGCCTAATTGGATCTCTTACTCATTTCTTCCTCGCACACACACATCAAGCACAGGCATTGCGACCGCCCAAACGGCCTGAATGGCCACGCCGGGATGGTCGGACAGGGCATACGTTGGCGGGTAGACTCCGTACATACGTCATCCGGTCGTCGTCGTCTGAACAAGCATAAGTCTGTCCACAAACAACATATGGACATGCACATCTCATTGCTGTCCACTCTTTTTAACGGGTTCCCGAGCGAGTGCTGCTCGTCATTCAATTCAGTTACAGGATTAAAGAAGTCGGCGAATCCCAGCTCAAAACACGGCACGCTACAGCTTCAGATGCGTTCCACAAAGCTGCGGGAGCTGTGTGTTTCAACCTTCTTCACATCACCCTACGTAGTGGCCGCTGATCGCGATTAAGAGTCCTCGCCTTTTCCGTCGTCGACGTCGTCGTCGCGGATACAAGTCTGACGACAATCCAAAGTGACTTGGACATACCTGGAAAATTACTTTGACCTTACTACGTACTCAAGGTACTCTCACCGCACTTGGCTGCCGGCGGTGGAGTGGCTGCGTCGTCTTGTCATGACGGTTCCGCGTGTCTTTGGCGGTGTATACCGGCTTTTCCCCCTCCGTAGCGTGTGTCTTGGTAACACATCTGTCCATGTCCTTCGGTCTTGCCGGAAAGGGCACGTAGCCAATTAACCAGCTCAATCGCGATATCCCAGACACGGGCCAGATTGAGGTGTGGTGGGTTGTGGCTCTCGTCGTCTTTCGCCTTCACCACTCATTCTCATACATTGAAGGAGCCCGCCATGCTGCCACAATAAGGAGGGAGACATTTACAACAGTTGTTTGACAGCCTCTGGTTGGCCACGACTGATCTAGACCGTGTTCCAACTCTTCCGCCAAATTGCTCCCCTCTCTCTCCCTGGGTTTCTTGTCTGCTCTACTTTGCTTTGCTTTGCTTTGCTTGCTTGCTTGCGTGCTTGCATACTTGGAAAGATAAGATGGTGTGGCTGATCAGTGCGTGGCCCTGTTCATGATCGCCTATGAACGACCCTTGATCTCCTTCGCTTGTGCGCCTGATGCGGAGGATTTGCCTGTAAAAAGGAGTTTGCCTCCTCGTTCGCCAATCCCTCCACATTTCCATCCTCTCAGGGCTTCCCAAGCGAAGATCAAATGACTGTGCGTACACCGCAGGTCCCCTTCACCCTTCAAAGAAGCAAAAATCAGACGAGAGAGACAGGGGCACTTTTTGGACCCCTTCAGCTCGAGCTCAAACTCTCTCTCTCTCCTTCTCTTTCTTGTCTTCCATCTCCCTAGCTGAGGAACAACTGCACACCTGTCTCTCCTCTAGTCTGCTGATGCCGCCTGCCGACCTTCCAGAGCCAGCCCACCTGAGTAGGTGCCCTGTCAATCCTGTCTAGGAAAAACGCCATGTAGCGGCTAGCCGAAGGGAAGAGGGGAAGGATGGAGAGGAGAGGAGAGGAGAGAGACTGTGTGTGAGAGATGAAAATAGCAGGAGAGGAGAAAAGCCACTGCCGCAGCTGCTGGGAGGCCGTTGGGGGCCGTAATTCGAAAGGAATGGACATGTCGTCTCAGCCTCTTCAGGATTGGCCTGCTGCGGGATGTGAGGGGTTGGCCCAGGCCTAAGCCATCAGCCATGTATGGGAAACCTCTTTTTACGTTACCCGCAAGACACTCTGGCTGGGATTGTGTTCTCCGTACATCAACTGATGATTCAAACTTTACAGCTCACCTTCTTTTTTGCAGTTCGTACCATCGGTCGCCGCGGGATGGTTAGGTTTCCTGGCATGGCATGGCACGATCAAAATGTTGGCCCTGAGCTAGGCTGTTAATGGCAGGCTGGTAACTGTTCCTGCAGAAGGGCCACGCAGCGGGAAAGGCGGGCTACTACCTAGTACACAGTGGTTGAGCCTACGGGATGCCATGTACCGTTATCCTTCTCGTGGCTTTTTGTTCCCTCTAACCAAGGTACGATAAACTGATCAACGGTAAAGCACTAACAACCCCCCGTGTAATTGTTCCGTCGAAGAATCCCAGAGAACCGGTCAGAGCAGCCCGTTCGCGTCGTGACAGCGGTAAACTTGTAGTTACAGGGCGAGAAGCAGAAGCCTCAAGCCTGCATAATGAACGTCAGCTCTCGGGCACCCGCTGCCATCGCATATTCTGTATGCAATCAATCACTAATACCTCCATAAAGACCCGTAGGGCAAAGGCATGTTCCCCCGCACCACCACACAGCACCACTACTACCACTGCATGAGTTAGCTGTTCTCGGCTTCCTAAGATGGGTTTTGTTCCCCTCATCTCTCGCTCCTACAGCCTTCTATTGTTGGAAATCACACTCCCCCCTGGTTCGGTTCCCCACTGGGTTCCTTGTCTTTTTTCCTGCAAAGAACCTGTCCGCTTCGGTAGGATTTCCCCAAGGACCTGCAGTGCAGATACACACCTACATTACCCAATCCCATCCATCTGGACCGCCGCATTTCTCCTGCTCCCCACAACTTTTCAGCTATCCCCACCGTCCACTACTGCGTCTTATCATCCATCGCATTGTTCATCATCATCCCTGGCGGGGAGAGCTAGATACAAGTCATCTGGCTACTGCGATTGGCCGAACTAAACCGCCACACCAGAATCTTCCAAGCCCCCCGAAAAGAAACCACACGGCATCCCAGCCGATGATGCTGATAATGTTCTCTGCAGACCTACACTCAATAGTCGAGTAATCAAAGAAAGAACGAAACGCACACCACCTACGCGCACATACACACCCCCACCAGCGAGGCCCCAGCGCACCTTGCATCTCGATCTCCAAGATATCCGGCATCCTCTCTCGGGACAAAACTTCCTCGAGAATCCAGGGGCCCGTCACGCTTGCGCTTGCGCTTGCGCGATGCGATGCGATGCTCCGCTGCAGTTGTTGAAGAAGCCGTTGGAAAGGGGGAACACATGATACGGAGAGTTTTGGGGTCTCATTGGATCGTGATGCTGCCATCCAGTCTCATCATCCACACCCTCTCCTTCTTCTAGCCTGATATTTCCCCTCCTTCGCCGTACGATGCTCACGTCTCCCTCGCATTTTTTCCCCGCCCGTCTGTTTCTTTCCAGGAGGCTCTCTGCAAGTCAACTTTGTCAGCCGTTGCAGCCGGTCGACGACCTGGGAACCCCACTCGGTGATGCCTAGACCGCAGAGTCACTGGTGAATCGAAGACGTTGGAAGGGATATGAAGAAACTCCGCCCTCAACTCGGCCCTTGATCGCACCAAGCGGGCGGATCGAGACAGAAACTTCTCCAGCGGATCCCGCTGACTACATCTCGTAGCTTCCTTTCATCCCCCGCCAGAAATAGACCAACTCGTTCGAGGCTGACGAGGCGCGGCCGGTGTAAGTGACAAACTGCCTAGCGCAACCACACCGAAAAGTAACAGCCTCGCATAAGCCGGACCACGCAACGAATAGTCATCCAGAAACGCGCATTTCGTCATCGCGGGAGGATGGTGTCGGTATTAGTGTCCATGCACTGCCGCGGCTTCCTTTCTCTCTTCTCCCGTCCCATCAGCCAAACGGGTATTGCCACCGGTCCGCGGCTCCCATACTAGGATACCGAGAGGATTTGACCGTCTTCCGATGGGATAAAGCCATGAACACGAGCCACACACACACATTCAAATACTCGCATCATCAAACAACCGAGCGGACCAAATAAAAGCTGTCAAGACGATTTAACGTAAGCCAACACGAACACCTATGATGCCCGTCTCGGGTCCAATCAAATGTAGCGACATCCACCATTCACGCAAATCCCCATACATGCACGCCCCATTCAGAGCCACGCTGCCGGGCTCTCTTGGTCAAACTCGCTGCGGGTGCGGGTGACGGCATGCCCCCGATGATCCCGATCGACACACCAACAAAAAACCATGGATCTGCCCGCGTCACCCCGTCTCAGAGAGACTTGGAGGTGGCCCCTTATTTTTCGTATCAAGCCCAAGCCAACTTTTTTGGGTACGTGTGTTCCCTTGTGAATAATCGACACACTCCTGTGGTGTCATTCGCCACTTGTTTGCGCTGAGGAAGCCAAGTGGCTCGCGGGTGTATCTCCCCAATGGGTGCTTGCAAGTTCATGCCATGATCGACCGATGAGCGCAGCGACAGGCGTTGAAACAAACGGCCGCTTGTACAACGGGGATATGACAGGTACGACTGGGCTGATGTCTCTGGCAAGGAAGACGTTTGGCTTTTTCGCCTTGTCGGATATCAAGGGAAAATCAGTCGCTTCGATCGAGATTCAATCTATTTCACACAGCGATCATCCTCTAGGTGGGAGGGGCTTCAACTCTCGATTGCCAAGCATTCACAGATTCACAAACGAATTTCAACCCCACGGATACATACACACGCCAACGGCAATGGTCATGGCTTCCATCAGGTCATTAAAGCTAAGCGCCTAGGTTGCGCACGAGGTTCACTGGTTCACTTGTAGATATGCCGAAGAACGTTGATGATTCAAAATGTTGAAGGCTGAGACCTTTCTTGTTGGCCGTCGAGTAGCTGCTATGTTTGGACAATATGTTGACATTGACATTAGAAGCCGGTCAGCCCCCGTGAGGAATTTTCATCCCGCGTGGTGAGCGTGTCGCGCGTCGTCAGGCGGGCTCTTCCAAGGGAGCTCGGAACACGGGGAACACCTTGTCTGCTCGAGATTGTTCCGGACCCCGTGTCGTCGTCGACGCCCGAGTCGACTTTCGTCCTCTGCCCGTTTCCTGTACTTCTCCCACCACGTACAAGGCGTGTGTCTTGATAGAACTGCTCATCAAGACACCATGTTTCAACGCCCCCCCTCGGTGTAGCAGGTCACAATCCGGTCGACCCCAGATTGACCGCGTTGAACGTCATCCCGCGTATCAAGCGCCGAGGCGAAAGGCTTTCCCTTCCCTCGCTTATCTCCAAACAACGGGCGCTCAACTGGACCCTTCAAAAATAGGGGTAGGGAGACAGACATCATGCGCGCATACCTCCCGTCCATGGCGTGAAGCTGTGACCTCTCCACGAGACCTGCCGGATAATGATGGACATCAGGCTCGGAAGTGACGTCAAGTTTGCAATGCAATTGCAAAGTGAACCCTGCGTTGCTCGACGGCTTGGAGTTGGTTGATTTGGTTTTTCCTCACTCTGCCTTCGAATGATGCCAATCCGGCTGCTCCCGAAATTGAGATGTGCAGTCCTTTTGCGCCAAGCGGTAACTCTGACTCCCAACAGGCGCACGTTGCCGCCTTTTCTCGAGTTCGGTTCGTCATCAACTGGAACGGAGTAGGCAGTGAATGAAGCAGTCACGATGCGGACGAGAAAAGACAAAAAAAAAAAGTTGTTGACCGCAAGACGAGGACGAAGAAAACAAACAATGGGTGCTCCTCACCCGGCGCGTCTGAATCTTCTCATCTCTTTTTTTCTTTCCTCATCTCGATTGTTCATGGTTCGAAGGAATAGAGTCATCATGTGGTCCACGACGCGTCAATCGATCGAGATTTGAGATACAATCACGATTGATTGTCCGCTACTCGATGATGCCGTCATGTTCGCCCTTGAATCGCTTGACACGCTTCTGCTCCCAATTGTCGATGTCCTTGGCCGCAAGACGCTGCCCAACGGAAGAAAAAAAAGTCAGTCTCCTTGCTTTCTCCTGCGTCATTCCCATCTTTCTCGCGGCTCCCTTGGGCTGCAATTTGCCTGAGGGTAGGAAAATAGAAACAAGGAAAAAAAAAAAAAAAAAAAAAAAGACAACTTACGTAGTACTCCTCCTTCATGTCCACCTTGCGTGCCGACCGCCGCATGTTGAGCTCCTCGTCTCTCGTGACCTGGCGCACACGTCTGTCGTGTTTCTCGTAGCGGATGGCCGTTGCGGGCGTCAGGACGAATGAGCCGGCGATCATGACGGTGACGAAGGGAAGACCGAAGAGCAGAAATGGACGCTTGGCCATCATTGCCCTGTATCTGGCGGCGAATGTGTTTGTGTCGGCGGCCGACTTGAACTTTTTGCTGTCGAAGACGGCCATTTTTGACGACGGTCAAAGGGGTGGTTTGAGGTTTTCTTTCTTGGTGGGTATAGCAATTCGTTGAAATGCACGTGTAGTAATGGGAAGCAGACTGAATCTAACTCGTCGCAAGAGAGCTACCCATTCGATTCAACTCGGCGAGGGGTGGGGGGTAGGATGCGGCGGCAAGCTCTTGGTGAAGCACGGAATGGTCTGATCTTGACCAAGAGACGACAAAAGTCGAACCAGACCCGGAACTCTGGCAATTTCTCCCAGAGCTCCCAGGAAAGTTTGAGCTCAGGTCCCCCCAAGGCCCCCACTATAATACTCTACTACTAGCTTACTACTGCATAGTACGTAGTATGTGCACGTGCCGCACAGTGTTGAAGTCTATCGCGCCACATAGCAAGGCACCGTCTTATCTAATCGCCGCTACTTTGGCACCTTGGGAAAACAAGACCCAAAAAGCACCCAGTCAGTCAAGGTCCATCCAACTTGACACACCTTGACGCCGCAAAAACCTACTATTGACACCAAGAGAGCCGTATTTTGACGTATCTCTCACCTGAAAAAATCATTCTAAGCCGTCGCCATCCGCCGTACCGGGCCCCCCCCGTCTGTCCGGCAATACATACATTGATACGGTTTACGTTAGTCAGGGCCAAGTATACATACATACTTACCTCACTCAACACATCTATGCCTGGAAAACCCGTTTCCAGCAGAAATGATGACCTTGGCCATTTGGTTTAGTGCAGCATGAATGAACAATGACGGAGCCTGGCATCTCAACACAAGTGTCTAGAGCCACCGTGCATAGAAGAAGGCTGCCAGAGTTTGAAGCCTCCTTTCTCTACCCAACAAAATTTGGCATATTGCCTCCTCTCGTCGCATAGTATCCTTTTTTTTCGCCTCGATCGCTGACGTGGAAAAACCTCCGAACGGTCTCGACCGATCGATCCGCATAAATCGTCCCCCGGGGCAGAGGGTCCCCCGTCTCCATCAATCTCCAACAACCGGAATCCTCCCTCTCACCCTCCCCATCCCCACGAACTTGATCAAAGCCAGCAGATAAACACCACAAATAGCAGCACAAGTCTTACGTACCTGGATGTAGCCCGGATGCCTGCAACAGTCCAATGTACCGCAACACGTATACGCCTCAGCCACTCCGTCCGTACTTTGGGTTCCCGTACTCAGTATGCTGCAGCCTTTTTAAACCTCGTTCTCATCTGAAACCTGGCACAAAGCCGAGGAACGCCCTTCTCCCATAGTTTGCCCTGTCCAGTCGCTACAGGGCCACAACGTCCACGCCCCAGCGATGTTCCCCGCAAAACGTCCCCATCCTTGGTACGCCTCATGTCTTGGCAAACCACCTCCGTCTGGTGTTTGTTATTTCCCTTCTTGAGCAAACACACTGTTGTCCAAAACGCCGCGAGTCGCCGCCCCAGCCAAGCAATGACAAGGTCCACAGGGGAGGATGGGAAAAGAAAAAAAGAGAAAAAAAAAAAAAAAAAAGGTTACTACGGCTTACGGAAAGCTACTGTACTACTACAAAGCAGTTAGTTGCTATCCCGCTCAGACGGGAGCACCGGCAGCTTATCCAGGGCAACCAGCAAAGGCCCAAGAGGACGTCGCCAGGGGCACACGCTGGGTTCCCGGCAAGCTGGGAGCCGTGCCGGGTGAAAGCACTGACCACTGCCCCCGCTCATCGCCCAGCAGCACTTCTTACGGATACAGCTTAATGTGGTACTGGGGCCCGCAAATTGAGCACCTAGACCTTAACACCATCCCCTCCCCTCCCTGTGTAACAAGCTACCGAGCTTTCCCACCCCATCGTCCTTCGTCTTGGACCACACAGTATCAATATGCGTTCGCCTCGCCCTACGCAGCAGGGAGAGAGAGAGGCTCTCCCCCCTCCCCTCCGTCTCCGTCTTCGTCGGATGATTTTTAGGCTTAGCCTTGCTTGTCGGGCCATAAGCCGACTGGGAGATGTTGTGAAAGGGGTAGCCCTGGACAGGTGTCACGGTCTCCGAGGCTTGTTTCGTTTCGTTGACGCGGACGACGCAAAGCGAGCCAAGTGGCAGTAGTCTCTGTTACTGTGCTGCCGCAAGGAAGCTTTACCGGAGGACCCAAAGAATGGGTGAGCGCGTTTATTAATGGACTCTTTCTCCAGTACCGTGTCTGGGCGGTCGTGGCGTTGGGGTGATCCAAGGTTGTGTGTGTGTGTGTGTGTGTGTGTGTGTGTCAATGGTATAAGTGTCTCGAAAGGTCCTGTTCCTCAACCTCTCCGCTCAAAGCGACTTGGCGTTTCTTTGACATAATTTTTTTCCCTTTCCCTTCCCTTTTCCCGCGAACATCGAAAGAAAAAGAAAAGAGATTTTACTCCATCCACCATCTTCTCTGCTCCTCCTCCTGCTTCTCGTCCTCCTCTCCCTCGGCTGGTCCATATCTCTCTTGAGTTTCAAGATTTGACTCGGCTTCTATTTCACGTTCGCACTCATCGACGTCCACCCGACCACTTCTTTCATCCGAAATACCTCTCTACTTCAATAATTCTCACCATGGGTTATTACTGCTCCAACTATTACGTGAGACATCCCCCCCCTCCCCACGCCTTTGTCCTGGTCTTTAACTCACGTGACGTCTTTGCAGGGCTCTATCCATTGCCACAACACCGTTCCCCGCTTCGGCGACAGGTGTCACCTCTGCGCAGTATGCTTTCAAGCCCGCTCACATGATTTTTTTTTTTTTTTAACTTGTGGTTCTGTCACTAACTACGACAGGCATCAAAACGCGGCGCCGCCATCAAGGAGGGACTGCTCTCCGAAGCTGAGCGATGGGGATCGGCCAGCCCCCGGTCGGCCCATGGCGATCGCCGGGTTGAGCGGGCCAGTCGCCCGGCCCGGGATTCGAGGGTGAAGAACTGAAAACGGAAACCGCCGACCATTTATGAAAACAATTATTTTATCTTTTTTTTTTTTAATTGATGAACGGAAAAGACAAGAAGGAAGACTAGAAAGCGAAGCGAAGCGGGAAAGCGATGAATCGGCGCAAGAATGGATCGCGATGTGAAATATGACATCAGATGGGGTTTTGGGCGGATCTGTCCTCGACACAGGCGTTCAAAAAAGATGGAGGCAACGACATAAAAACGAAGGAAAAAAGACCAAAAAAAAAAAAAAAAAAAAAAAAAAACCCTAAATTTAGGACCCCACGACGGCGAGAAAGAAATGGTCCATGTATTTGTTCCATCATTCGGGGGCCCAGTGTCCTTCCCCTCCATCAATCAAAGTACGGAGATTTAGCCACATGTCATCACATGTGTGTACATGGACGGAAAACTAGACGGCAAGCAAAAAAAGATTTTTTCTTTCACTCTTTCTTCATCATCAATCAAGTAATGTTCCAAACATCGCTTTCTGAGACCCGGGTGTGATGGAAAGGTCGATGATGATGATGCCATTGTGTCGTTCATCCGTGAGCCCCCCCCCCCCCCCCCCCCCCACCCGAGGCTGTGCAATGTCCGAGTCTGAGCTCTGCATCAGTTTCTGCGTCTGAGTCGCTTTTTTTTTGTGCCTGACTTTTCCGGACTACCTCGCGGAGCTTGAATCAGGTTGTTGAGCTTAAACGTGGGTAGCTTGGAGGGATTTACTCCGTTGTATGACTCTGGCAAGTGTAAAAGTGATCTCGGTGTGCTGCGTGAAAGCTGTCAACTCCAAGTGTATATCCGGCTCATGAAATGTGTTTGTCCATATTATGCAGCTCGGATACACGGATTCAGCACCGGACAGTCTACTCTTTTTTTCCTCCCCCGTAGTTCTAGAAATTCATAAAAGGCAACAAGTACATTCGTCCCGAAACAAACAGAATCAGAGCAACTAACTCACTTCAAATCTGCGCGTGAAATCAACACCAAACCACCCACGCCTCAGCAAGCCCGCTCGTTTGAAAAGACGTACCCGGTCGCGCGTACTGCACCCGCAATCTAAAAAAAAAAAAATGCCTCTCGTAATTCACAGTCTACTTTGTCGAATGCGAGCACAGTGGGAAGCTTGTAACGGAAAATTCTCCCCTACTTTGTTGTCTGATCATGGGCCCGGCAACTTCAAACGATGACATTAGCTTAACGGGAGGGTCTTGCGTTTCAAACCTGCGACACATCCACGAACGCAACCTGGGACTCTCTCTCTCTCTCTCTTGCTGAGGTCCCTCTCACACACACACACAAACTCTCTTTTTTCTCCATCACTTCTTCAGTTCGTGGTGACGATTCGCGTAGGTACAGTAGCTGCCAGAAACCTTTTTTTTCTCTCTCTCTCTTTTGGGAGCTCGTGTCATTTGCGGCCCGACGATCTTTTTGGTTCTGCCGAGGTACGGGCGAAATTTATCGGTGTGGAAGTTGAGACGATCACATCATGACGAGTTATTCCCCGTGCCATCCTGGTTTTTGGGTATATGCCGCTGATGTGGTCGACTTGGGATGGTCGGTCTGGCTCTTATCGATGTGGTCAATCTTTACCTGGAATGGATCAAGCTTTGGTGACGGGAGTAGAAGCACCGGTGAGGAAGATCCGGATATCTGTATCGTTGAGGTACATTGGGTAAGTCTTGGAAACTTCCTTACTGCTAGGATTTCGACCTACAAGTAACGCAGTGTGAAAAGTGTCATACATGAACAAGCTTGAAGATATCATTCGTACATATAACACATCATTGCTTCACAATTTCAAAGCGCCCATGTGAGGTTCACATGTCATCACTGAATGATAAACGACTCGAGTCGAATTCAACAGCTCAAAAGACACGAGTCGAGTTTATCACAACTAGCAACATGTGAAATTCCACCCACCCTCCCTCATCCATCATCCCATCTTACCCTCAAATACTCCCCCCCAACGCCACGTGGCTGGTGTGAGCTCCATGTAACGCATCTTCCGCCCATCCGCGGAATCTGTCATGATATCCGCAGTTTGCTCGACATTGGGCGTCGCAAACGTCTCCACCGCGTTTCGTTCATCGTGAACCGAGAAATGCAACCTTCTGACACACACAATTCAGGACGGAGATGAACACCCGAGACGTAAACTTCAACCCCGGACCCGCGAACGCTCTAATTGTCGGGGGAGTATCTATCTATGCTTTCCAAGTAATTACAATCGTCACCTTTTCACCGCATCACCCTGTGCGCAGAAGGCTGCCCATCAGCGGGCCCGTCTGCCTCCCTCTTCACCCCCGCCACGTTGCCCAAGGCCCCCTGACGCCTTAGCACTTCGAGAAGCACCAGTTCCTGGTACTGCTGCTCGCCTAGAATGCGCTTCACGGTATCGTTCCTCAGCGACGAGGCGAGGAGTGTATCCAGGTCCTCGACTTTGCGGTGCCATGCTGCGACCTCCGCGGTGTGTTCTAGGCCCGTCTTCTCGACGACCAAGGTATAAGGAGACCTGGGCCGTTCCGTGGTGAGACGGAAAAAGTTGTGTGCATGCGACGACAACACGTGTTCAATGTGCCTTCGTCGTGCCTCCGCGGCGGGGAACCTCCAGACCTTCATATCCGGCGAGATCAGAAACGCCTCGAGCGCGTCGCAGTCGGCGCAGACGCGGGACCTGGAGCGTGGCGCGCACCTGCGCGGCTTGTGTTGCCAACCGATGGGCGGCGGAGGCAGGGAGCCGACCTGCGCGATGAGCCCGTCTCTGATGACGGTTTCGAACACTTCTCTGATCGGTTCCGTGACGGGGATGTTGTGCTTTTCCATGATGCTGGTTAGAGGTACCAGGAACTGGTCGACGACCCTGGCGTTGACGTTCCTTGGATCCCACTGCTCCTTTGTCCAGACGAGATTGTTGCAGCATGCTTCCAGGAGCTGGATGGCGAGCTCGGCGAGTCCGAGGGTGAGAGCTTCGTCGACGCGGTTGACAAAGTCGATCAGTGGCCCGATGAAGGCGGCCACCGTGGGGTTTACTACTCTGGTGGCCATGTCCTCGCCCTCCAGCAGGAGTTTTGCCAAGGCATTCTCCAGAAAATATTGGAAGATCTCCTTTGCGTTTCTGAACTCCCGCTGCTCTCTTTTGACGAACACGGTATTGAGAACCTTGTAGATGAGATCGCGGGTTCCGCGGGTTGCCAAAATAGGGAGGAGACTAGATGTAGCATGTCAGGAGAGATGTCTAGATGATGATGCGAGTGCCGTCATACCTTGACTTGATCCAGTCCATGTCTTCGTGCCTGGATTCGAGCGTCTTGGCGAAGAAGCTGAGCTCGTTGCTGTCTATCTCGGCCTGGGTTTCGAGCTTCCAAGTCAACTTGTTTTCGCCCCACCTCTTGAAGGAGTCTCGGACGGCATCAGACGTGAACCGAGGCGCAAAATGCTCAATCGTGTTCCGCAGGCCTGCGAGAGTGCTCTTCTCCGTGACCCCTCCCAACCTGTCGTTTCTGTTAGCACAGGATGTTCATCATGGACGCGTACTAGTTCGCAAACGCCTCTGCCCGCTAGAGCGCAAACTGGCACTTTGAAAGGAAATACCTACCACTTATCCCAGTCGATAGACCCGGCACTGTTGGCAAACTGATCTTCTACGTATCGGCAGGTAATCTTGATGGCCTCGTTATACGCCTCTTGACCGCCAAACTTTGCCGCGGCCGCCATCGCGGCCTGGAAAAGACCAATGTCATCCAGTTTTAGAGACCAGTAGACGGCAGTGCAAGAAGTTTTTGTTAGTGAACGTCCATCGACGTTGAGAGCGGCTTTGAGAAAGGCCAGGGCACTCGTCTTGGTGGGCGCGTGGTCAATGTTCTTCTCAAGGTCTTTGGCAACCATATTCACCATGTTATCCGTTCGTGCGTCGTAGCCCGCCCAGTACCGGTCGCCCTTGAGGTACTTGTACAGGCTTTGCTTCTTGACCAGCACGAGAACCTATCATCACAGTAAGAACCTGGCTCTGTATACTCTCTGGGGGGGCGCAGTAGGCAAAAAAAAAAACAAAAAAATAGCTTGACGAGCATACTTACCGAGTCGTGATACCGATAAGATGAGGGAGCCGACTCGTTCCCGACGAATTCGCCCTCTTCAGAACTATCAGGGGATCGATCCTTGTACAAGTCTGGCACTAACATCTCCTCGTCATCGACGCTCACTGCCGACGCGACTAGCTTGCCGTCAAGGGTATACACGGAGTCTAACAAGGTGGTTTCCTCCTCTTCTTCTGCACCGTACCTCCCGTAGATGTCCTCCTCCCCATCCCCGGTGGTACGTGTTAGATGGGCAAACAAAAGGAAGACGCCGCTCCGCGATCCTACATCATGCACGGCCTGACAGAGTGCCTTATCACGGCCCTTCATGTTTTGCAGCTCGAGACTCGCCTGTGAGTACTTGTGGCTCAAGGGGTACACGAGCATGTTGGTCGTGGGGAATCTGGTGTGCCACTCAAGCAGCAACTGCCTGACCTGCTGCGCCTGCTGCCCGAAGAACCCGGCAGACTGCTTGATGGGGCTGTTCTGGATGATGTTGTAGGTCAGGGCGAGACGGTACCCCGACGTCAGCTCCTTTACCTCATGTGTCACGTCGGAGAACCATGCGAGAGTGGTCAGGTCAAATGTGGATGTCGGCGCGGTGGAAAAGACGCGGTGGTCTGAACCGAACGTGAGGTGGACATCTCCCCCCTCGTGCTCGGATGGGAGACACACGACGAGCGTGCCGACCATTCCCTTTTCTTTTTCAGAATCCTTGTGACGCTTGAAAAATGATCCCTTCTCGTAGAGCAGGAGCTTGTGCGGTTTTACTGAAATATCACTAAGCCCGAGGCCTCTCGCCGCCGCCAGAGATATCTTTTGCAAAAATCCGGGCCATTCTCGATTGAGCAGCTGAAATTCAGTATGGCTCAACTCCCAAGTCTTTCGCACTGAAGTGTCGACGACAGTGTCATCACCCTTGCCGAATGGTGCCTCTCGGCAAGCCCCCTTAATGACCTCTGCATCGGCTGTTGTGAGTGGTAGCGGGATGGTCGGGTGCCCCTCGATCTTGAGGCCGGGATTGGTAAAGCTGGGATAGAGCGAGAATGCTGCGATATCACCTACAGCCTTGATGTCTTTCATGCGCCCGCGTAGGCTGCTCTTCCAACTGTTGTATGTCGAGTTGTGTAATGCTCTTGGGGGCTTCTCATCCTCAGATTCGCCCCCCGAGCTGCCGGACACTGGCGATGAATATCCCATATCTATCCAATAAGCAATATATACCTGCCGACAATGGCATCGAATTCTGCCCTCCTTAAGCGAGCGTCAGACTGATTTGCCTTTTCGAGAGCTGTGTCTAGGACGTGATTGGTGACGTTGAACTTACTTAAAGTCCGTCGCGCTCAGACGCGTCTCCACGTCTGTAAGCTCCACTGCAGATCGCGGGGCACTTCATCCCTCCACTCATATGGAGGGGAAGAACATGGAAACCTCTAGCATATGCGGGTACCCCTGTATCCTGTTTTCAAGAACTGATTTCTATTTATATGTCTCAATACATGATCCATGTTTTGACAAAGTGTATACATAGAAGCAGCCTAGAAATTATGCAGCATAAAGGGTTTATGCTGATGCTACCTGTGTTCAGATTGAGTGTTGAGGCACCGAGTTGCATTGTTAAGTCCAGCGGGCATCTCGCATTACCATGGCATTTGAATTTTTGGATCATGTCGTTATCGACCCGATTCTTGAGTTGTTGGAATAGTACAGTCGATACTGCAAGTCCTGAATGCCAAGGATCTCAGTGTTAGTGAACTGTCACAACACCCCCAACTGAGATAGTAGCCACCTTTGGTCTGGTTACCTATTGTTCAATTTTGCTTTGACTAGCTGATAGAATGGTATCTATGTACGTGTGCGTTGACAAAGAAAAGCTGTAAAGAGTGAATGTGATGTAGTTGAAAACTCATTTCCTTATTAGGTATAGTCTAACTGAAAGTGAGGTGAAATCAGGTCACCCTCTGTTGCCTGCTAAACAACCAGAGAAACTTGAACTTCCTCGCTGTTTATATTCATTTTTTCACCTCTTCACCATCGGGTTGAAGATACCAACCTCTTCTCTCTCTCCTTTGCGTGTGCTCAGTACGAATACAACAGCTCTCATTCATCAATTCTGTTTGCTCTGCTTTCTTACACACTCACAATAGCCGACCCTGAACCTGGCAGTGGTAAACACCAGACCTTTCGCAAATACAAACTTCGACGCAGTCCGCAGAATCCAAGGATTACATTTTGTTTGTGTTTTCTGACTCCCAGTACTCGAGACTGGAAACTGACTTTTCAACAGCGTCCAATCGTGAGATGAATCCCACCCCTCTGGCCAGCGGTGACAGCCTCCGCCGACGTCGCCGAAGTGTTTCTACTTCTTCCTCCATCTCAGTCTCTTTTGATGAACTCTCGGAGTCGGATAATAAGTCTCCTCGAAAGCGTAAGTTCTTCTAATGTCGAGTTCCTCATAGCTTCGACTGACTGTGGGATACTAGGAATCAAGATAGCTAATGCCTCTGGTGCCGCTGGCACTCGAACGGCTTTGCCCAAGAAGCGTGTTATTTTGAAAAAGACTGGTGTGTCATCTGGCAACAACATTTCTGGCAAGGATAAGAGTTTGTGCCTTCATCTAGAAATCCCCGTCTAGTCGCCACCTTGGTTCTGACTCTTTATTTCTAGCTCAAATGAGTACAGCCGCCCCTGCTCCCCCCGGTCCGGGAGAGAGAGGAGAGCGTGAGATCGAGTGTGTTCCCTGCCTCAAAAGTTTAGTCAAAGGCAATGGCGATGGAATCTGCAAAAATGGTCCTGCTGATCGCTGCGTTGGCTGTGCCCCTGGCATTTATGCAGGTCTTTGCGTTCCTATTCCTGCCGTGGTACGGGACCTGGCTCGCGATTTGCGCACAGCCACTAAGAGGCGCTATCGGGATGATATCAGCGTGGGTGAAGCCTCAGGACTTGTGAGACTATTCCTGACGCGGTGCAAAACTGAATATTGAGCTGATAAACTCCAGGACAAAAAGCTCAAGGAGCTTCGTACCGCGATCCAAATGGTACTCGAACGATCTGATGTCATCACCGCGACGGTGATCTCCGACGCGTTCGCAACTGAGGTAGTTAGCAAGCCAGTTCATACGCTTGCTGCGCCTGCTGCGCCTGCTGTTCCAGCTATTCCAGTTGCACCCTCTACGGTTCATGCTTCGGTTCAAAAAGAGGAACATAAGAATGTGGTCCAGGCAGTCCTTCCTGGTGTCCCGGCCTCTCCTGTACAGCCTGTTGTCCCCCAGGGTTTCGCCGATTACAACGAACGCCGAGACCGTTTTCTTGACGCCGTTGAGCCTCTCGTTAACAGCGTGTTCATCCCTGCTGTCAGCCGTTTCCTTGATCGATACTTCAAGTAAGCACTTGTGGCTTTGATTCTCTCCCGTGTTCGGAGTTCAGGAGTTGAGCCTGAAGATGGTCTGGATTCATGGGCTTTTCCCCCGATACGGTTTGGCTTTAGCCAGAAGAGCAAGAAGACTCTATGCAGCCCAACTGTTCAGGTTGCGGTTCTATTCTCGCAGCTGTGATGGATTTCTGAGAGGTTTGCGTCTGGCGGTGGTTGTAGAGGTCCTTTCCTTCTTTTCTGGGGCATATGCCCCTGGTTATTAAATTGATACTTGATTCGTATATCTGATTGCTTGCTTAGGGATGATGTTGCGTGCGTTGAATACCTAGTAGACTAAGAGCCTCTCCAAATGAGACCACACTCAACCGTATGTCAGCCGCCAAACATGGGGATGGCCGACGATGAGCTCTAATCAAAAGTTACGACGCGGCGGAGCCTTACCTCCGTCAACTGAGAATCAAAACAGCTCTTTGAAGTACGGTTACTATGAGATTAGGTAGTACATGTACCGGCTATGATTGTGATGTATCTAAGGCTATGTTAACATCGCTGTTGGAGTGGTTCAGGCTCGGAAATTTACAATGCCCAGTGACAACTGCGGCCCGAGACTGTAGGCAATGAGAGCCTTGTTTGATCGAAAAAAACATATTTAGGGTATACGAACCCACACTTTGTAGCCTCGCCACGAAAAAGCCCTCTTTGAAACTTCCTTCAATCCCAACGAAAGAACAAGGCAGGTTTCTAGGCTCCCGTAAGGCTTCCGTCAGGCGTCTTTCGGCAGGCAGACATGAGAGATACTGGGCACACCAAGTTATCCGCTCGCATTCCTAAAAGACACTTGATTGGGCAGCTGCAGGGTTCGTACATCACGCAAAATCCTGATGCGATCAGTATCGCGCCTCGGTTACAGGCTCGCTTTGACGCTTTAGCCATGAGGAGGGCATTGAAAGTGCCATTGGTCTGACATGCAGCAGTGTGAGGCAATGACTTAGCCGATCAAATCGGTGTGCGATCAGGCGACCAATAAGACCGCACTTCCAGCACATCCTTTTTCCCCGGCTTGATCCATGTATCTGCTGAGATGTCGGTCTGTAACGGGTCGCACTGTTGGTCCGTCGAGCTTTGCCACCTTTATCTCTAGGCTTTCTTGTTGATCAGCCCAAGGACATCCGACTGGGACTTTGCCATCGCAAAATTCCAATTTCCAAGGTCATCCCAAGCTCCTCGCACCAAGGTCAAGACCATATGGCCAATACTGCCTGGTGAGATGGATTCAGTCATACCAGCTTACAGGATCAGGAGTGCAGTCCTTCTAGCCTGGCTACAGCACACTTTTCCAGGCGAAACTGTGGACGTGACTGTAAGCAGATCTCGTGTTTAGTTGTCCCTCACCCAACTGCTGACACAAACTTCGTGTTAGCCAAAAAAACGGAGAGTATGTCGTTCATGCTCCCAGACGAGTGGAAAAAGTCAGTAGCATACCATTGTCACTCCGTTACTTGACATACAATTCTAAAAGGGATAATGAAGACAGAAGTGAGACATTTGAGAAATCTTCCTGTATTTCCAGTAGCCAAATAGAAACAGTACTGGCACGAGAAGAGGCTAGGAATGGGTATGCGTGCATCAAGTAGCCTTCACAGGTCAAATACTAAGGAACCAGCACCTACATCTTTGTAAAGTAGCCTGGGAAGGTACTAAATCGTTTGGCCATTTTGCAAGGGCACATACAAAAAGGGGCTTGCATCGGCGGATATGGCGCAAATTCAACCCTATAGTACGAAATGGCAGGCTATGTTGCTCAGGCATACTCATGCGGAGTTAGCGCCCCCTCCAGGGCGGTGCACTTTGATGGGGGCATGACAGCGGCACGGCAACGGGCAGGGACTCACGAGGCGTGGCCAGGATTGCACATGATACAATAAAAGGGTGGTTCGGCGCCGAAATACTTTGCTCTAAACAAAAACGCACAGTTCAAGTCTAAGAATACTTTACTTTTCAAGGCTTAGTTCCTTATATTACTACTGACCACGCAAACAACATGCAGTGCTCCGATATCTACGACGTATTCACAGACCGGTGTCGGAAGTATCAGGAATATCCAAGACTACAACTTGGAAAACAGAAGCCACAAGACGCGTACTATGGAGAACAACAATGGAAAAATCTCCAAATCAAGGAGAACATATTGTTTGACAGCAGTCGATCCAGAATTGACTTCTGGGAAACTGGTAGACTGAACAGTGAATACTGATCCCAACCAATTTCATATTCTCTGGCTAAGACTTTGCAGGATTTCCTGAAAGAGAAATTTCAGTTCAAGAGTTCGACAAGCTTTGGCAACACCTTCAACGCAGTGAAAAAGATCCTCATGTTCGTCATCTGTAAGCTCATGTAACCCTTCGTCATTTTTCCTCGCTTCACGTACCAACTACGGGTAGCTTTCTAGAATCAGACGGATCAAGAGCGCCAATAAACTGTTCAATGGACATGTTCAAACTCATCTGCACGTATCACCAAGTCTCCCCCTCGTTTCTGGAATCCGCATATACATTTGGAGACTATGACGACCAAATCGACCTCTGCCTGGCTCACTTCAAGGCAAAAGATACTTTAAAATTTCCTTCTCAAGAAATATCAGAGTTGAGAAGACTCGGACGTTCTGGGCGAGAAATACGATTCTCATACCTTCTCAGATCTGTTGAATACTCGGAAGACAGCATGAACGGAGTTTGGGGCTGGCAAATCCGACAAGCCACGAATTATCACTCGTTCGATGTAGAGACAGGTCGAGCCTTTTGGATTACTGTTAAAGGCAATGATCTGTTTCAGGATCGCATCAAGCGTGTTAGCCCTTTTATCGACATCCCTCCAAAGACGGCGGTGGAGGAAGGCGATGTGTCGCCCTACTTGAAGGCGTCTCTTGCTACACACATTGTCTATCTGTCATGGTGTGATGAGAATTGGCGTCAATACATCAATGACGTCGAAGAAGATGTAAGAAAGATCGTCACACCCGCTGGCGGCGTACTTGTAGACGACCACATCGAGGCCAGCTCCAACAATCTAGGCGCATATCCGAAGTCTCTGAGGGAATCAAGATCAACGACACTCTTCTCGAAAAGCCAATCTAGGTCTAGTACGATGTTAACTGATTCTGCAAAAGGCAAAAAGCCCATTCTTTCCCGCGTGTTAAGTGCAACAAACTCGACCGTAAACTCTTGGTTGGGAAGGGAGAACAGTCAGATATCTGACCCAGAAAAAGGCGTTGCTCGGCCAGATTGTGCACCTAACCAGAGTGCTGAATCGATCCCGTTGGACCCTCGTGGTATGTTGAACAAGTTCCGCTTCAAGGATATGCAGACTCTTCACAAACATTCCGAGACCATTCAGAGAGCGATGCTGGTCCTTGACCTGAACATTGGTGTTTTACGCGACATTCATGACTATTACGGCAATGTAGCTGAAACCGAGTTCAAAGACAAAGCGGCATGCAAAGAAGCCATAGAGTGTTTCCAGAAAGATGTCGTAGAGATTAGGAGGATGCTTGAAACGCGCCTGAAGCAACTGAAATGTCTAATTTCGACCCTGGCTCAGAACATATCTTTGGTAGGCCGGCCAGACAGATCACATGGAGAGAGCGAAACCGCTGACAAGATTCAGTATGAGAGAGTTCTTCAACAACGAACGAACCACATTAGCACCATGTTTGCCGAGATTGCCCATCAGAATAACGAGAAAATGCAAGACATATCGGATAAGACAGCCAGACAAACGACCTCAATGCACGTCATCACCGTGGCGACACTTTTCTTCCTACCTGCTACATTTGTTGCAGTAAGAGCAACTTTCCCAACTATTTCAAACCTAATCTGAACCTCTGACGCTTTACCAGACCTTTTTTCAAAGTGGAATCTTGCTTTGGAACGAGGAGGAAGCGCCTGAGGACATGACCGACCCTTTTAGATTGCAGCGGGATGGCTTTTTGCTCTTCGTAGAAATCTGCGTCCCCTTGACAATAATCACAGTTGGGGCTTGGCTCGCAATGTGTATTAGACTGAAAAGAAAACGGGAGGATATATTTAGAGCTGATTTCCCTCACGGGCCTTCGAATGATGGAAACATTGCAACCTGTAAGGAGTAGTGTTGGATTTCATTTCAACGGAATAATATAATTGAATTTTGTAAGGTTTGTTCTGCACGTTGTTAGTGCTACCAAACGATAGTTTAATAATCACCTTGGAAGAGAACAGGCTACAGCAGTCAAAGGGGCAAAGCTCGAGAGAGCTTTCCATGACGCCCAACATATAGATTAAGTTTTTGAAGCGATGGTGGGATATTTGTCATTTAGCTCTGATAAGCAACATCCTTCTGTGCGAAGGTATTGCTATTAATACCGATTATTTTCTTGGACCAGGCTGGATCACCTTGGAGTAGCCGAGTTTGCCGTGGCCAACAAATCACAGTGCCCTTAATCATGCAAGGTGGCTACCATGACTGCTGCAGGCCACCGGATGCTACAGCCCCCTAATGCAATGCTGTACAAGGATGGGTCAAGCTAAGTCCCTGGTGTGGCCATTGTTTCTAAAGTCCGCGGGTTGCCAATCTGGTCCGCCAGACCCATCCATGCCCTCTGCGAAAGAAGCAATAAAACCGTATGCAGTCTCCTCCGCCAACATACTTGACTGCGGTGACTCTGACCTCCAACTTTGCCTCGCCCTTCAATTGTGATAGCATTGCTCTCTCCATTGAATAGAATCCTGATCGCAAGCCCTGTATTCAGGTCGGGCCATTATGGCACACGAGGACAGAGCCGCTCCGCCAGTACGGGAAAAATGTTCTCCTACTGTCGATCGTCTACGGCTTCCAGCTGATGAATGTGTCGAGCTTTTTAAGCCTGTTCAAGATTTTCGACAGTTTGTCGAGATATACATCAAAGAAAACAATTGCTATGGTCTAAATGGATATAACGACCGTGTGTCGTTCGTCCCACGGCCTGTACTTGACAGATACTGGACACTAGAGAGAATCGATCATGTTCTATGGAGCCCTAGCGATAGGATTAAAACGACTAGCTCTAACATCAAGCAGGCCTATTTGCTCACCTTCTCTATACTTGTCTTTATGGCTCGACCTGAGGGTATAACTACGTTCATTGGAGGAGAATGTAGCGACGTCGCCCTACCACTACATACGATACCTACGTGGGCCTCCGAATCGAGCGAAAGAGAGGTTTTTGAGGTATTTGAAAAGGAACAATGGAGATTTTGCCCTCTGACTCTCAACATGGAGACCGATCCCAAGCCCTTAAGGAGACAACTTTCACCATATCATATTATTCCAATTCTGGAAAAGAACGATATCGACAAATCCGCTAGCGGGGGAGACGAAGCGAATATTTACAAGGTGAAACTGCATCACGAGTGCTCTAGTCAAGACGTAAGAGACCTTTCTTCAGCCGGTAGTTTTGTATCCATGCTGATTGGGCACGCTTCACAGGATGTCATTTTCAAGATTTACACAAACGACGGTGCCGACGCTTGGCGGCATTATGATAACGAGGTCGACATGTACTCGAATCTCGACCCCTTAGGTCCAATCGACAACATCATGAGGTATTACGGTTCATATGAGAGCGCGGGCCTATGCACCATAATCCTAGAGTACGCCAACGGTGGCACTCTCGAGTCTTTCTTTGAGAACTACCCTCCTCCGAACAGCCAGACAGGTCGCGAACTTTTCTGGGCCAGTTTGATGAATCTTTTGGTTGGATTGGAACACATACACAATCTTACGGTCAGGAAATATGGTTCCAAGGGGGAAGTCATCCTCAAAGGGTATGATACTTTCCATGCTGATCGCCAACTATTCATGGAAAATGATCAGAGATGACTGATAAAATTCCACCAGGACATATCAAGACATCCGACCAAAAAACATACTTGTTTGTAAACAACCGGACAAAGCTATGTATGATGTCACTTTTAAGTTTGTAGACATGGGAACAGGCCATATTCGACGCACGAAACACCAAGGCTTTGAGCGAGTTGCTGTGGATCAGTTAGGCAACGGAATGTACAGTAAGTCTTGCGCTTTGGGCCTCCTCGCCAGTCTGAGAGAGCAAGTACATTGACAAGCTTCCAGGTGCTCCGGAAGCGTTTCGAGACAATGGCGATGCAAGGGGCATTTGTGCGGAGAGTGACATTTGGTCTCTGGGCGGTATAGCAAGCGAAGCTTTGGTATGGTCTGTCTGGGGAGAACATGGGAGATCCAAATATCAGCAAGAACGTGTTGCAGCAACTCGAGAAACGCACTTGAAAGGAGGATTTCATGAAGGAGCCTTCCACGACGGGGACTGTCTTTTGGACATTGTTGAGAGTTGGCACAAGAGAACCGTCGATTCTGCCAACGAAGCAAGAGATTGGTACTCAAAATTGAGCCGGATCATTTTCGATCATATGCTTGTGCCTGAACAAAAGAAGAGAGCTGACGCATCAACGCTTCGACAGATTTGGAGTCAGGTTTTAACTTGTGGGCCGGCTCAAAATTCGGCTGTGCCCGACGGGATTTCTAACCGATCCACAAGTATGCAATTCACAGAAGATGTTGCAAGCCTATCGGAGGGTACTTTAGCGTTTCATTTTCGGCAGGATAAACAAATCACGGACGCTGACCACAACAAGAAGCTGGAGACTGCGCTACGAACGGTTGACGAGGAAGCAGCTGCAGAAAGCCTCAAATCTTCCCCTGTCAGTCATGGTCAAAGCCCAAACCTCGGCCTCTTTCCCCAGAATCCTAAAGACAGGTTCGAGTTGAGCGGTGTCAAGTCGTATTTGGACAGCCCTCCGAACAGCCTCTTTGCATGGCGCCGTCGTTCTAGTCAAGCTGAACCCACCGGATCAAGAAGTGACCCATGGGGACTCACTGATGGCGGTGTGAAAGATTCAACTGCAATGGAGCGATCAGTTTCGGATACCGGCAGAATAATGCTGTCTTTGCCCGCAGCTAGAGGGGAATCGGATAAAGTAAGCGTCATGTCGGGAGCAACTGCCGTTGCAGAAGAGGGGATACGTGGAATACCACCCCTAGATCCCCATGTCATCGAAGCCGAGAGCATTTTCCCACCCGGATTACAGCTTTTTCAGCAGCGACAACTTGAAAGCCCGTATTCGATGCAATTTACACAACCGTATGCCTTCTCTCGTAGTCACAGGGCATCACAGGTATCGCCCAGGAGCCACCATCCCCCCCCAAATGTCCTGGACTATGCATATACACAAGCAAAGAAGCTGATAACCATGGAAATGGTGTGGACAACCTGTTTGGCTACGAAAGAGAGAAGAGCTACGTCTTGGTTCAGTCGTAGAACTTCTTCATGGTCCCTCTTCAATGCTTTCCCAGAGTTGAAAGCGCCTATCAGTAGATTGAAAGGGAATGATGGCCGAGACCAGGTAACGTCTCGTCTTATATTAACTATCGAATAATTCGCTCTGAGGCATCTGACAAAGTTTAGATTTTCCTTGTGGATGACTCAAAATCCATGATCTGGCACCGGCCAACTGTGGCAAAGGCTTGCCGAGTCCTCAGTTATGTACTCAAACTGGGCCGTGTGGATCCAGATGCAACCTTTGAGCTATACTTTACTTCATCAAAGAAACCCGAGAGTTCGACGAGGAGCTCTGATCTCCAGAGGGCTATCGAGACTAGTGTGTTTTCCGATGACCAGTGTGACATGGCATCCAGCCTGGATCTTTTGGTCTCCCGAGTGATTAAGAACCCCAAACCCGTCAGTATATACGTCCTGACAAACGGTCATTGGAATCTTGATTCGAACGACCGTTTTTGTGGCGTTGACCGCCCCATTAGGCGGCTCGTACAGTATATTGCGCAACGCAATATGCAGCGGAACTGGGCTGGAGTCCAGTTCGTCCGTTTTTATGACCAGCAAACGCCTTCACAGGATGACGAAACTGGTAAAAAAAGATTGAAGGCGTTGGATGACGAGTTAAAAGCAATAATCAGCGAGTAAGCAGTCTGGGTCGAATCTTCCAACATGGAACAAAGAGCCGTGGGCACAGCTAACCTTTACACAGTGACATCGTTGATACGGTGGATTTCATGGATGACGTACGCAAAATTTTAATTGGTGCCATTTCCCCTGACATAGACAATTCTCCATGAAGAGAGCAACAATGGAGTCTGGTTTCGGGATGCCGGTTGGAAAAGGACCGCTCTGGGTCGGTAGTAGGAAAAGTTACTTGCAATTCTTAATTAGTCTTGTTTACCAAACAAACTGGCATTGATGTTCCTTATGCGTCACGACCTCTTTTCACTTGCCCTCCTTTTCGGACTTTGGAACTCACACATAGAAAGTAAACAAATAATTTCACGCAATTCCACTGACTTCCTATCATGAAGGTCGAATGGCGATTACATCACGCCAAGTATAATAAAGTCAATTCTTGTGTAATTGAGTTTCACCTGGGAGCGGAGTTGTCGCGTGGAGAAGGACCATCAAGCGGAGCGGAGTTGTTAACTTTGCGGACCCGGATCCAAAATCACATAGACAAAACCTTTCGATTACAAATAAGGATATTTAAAAACCCGTTAGATACTATAATACACATTATATAAAGCCATGACGTATAGTATCATAGTTTTTTAGCGGAACAAACTCATCTCTCACTCTCCCTGTCACACCGTACAATCTTTCCTACCTTAGCCAACATGAAGGAAGCTATCATCTCAGCTGGTATGCAACAGTCCCCTTATGTCCAAAGGTTGTATTATTTACTCTGTCAAGGAACACTTGTCGAAATTATTGACACGCCCATCCCAACGCCTAAACATGGCCAAGTTCTCATCCGCGTAGTTGCGAGCGGCTCAAATCCAAAAGATTGGACATTTGCCGAGTTCTTTCCACCTTCCAATACTGGAGACGACCTTGCCGGGTATGTGGAAGCTGTGGGTGACGGAGTAGTGGAATTTAGGAAGGGCGATCGCGTCGCCGCTTTTCATGAGATGATGGCTCCTCACGGGTCCTTCGCCGAATACGCCATCGCCTGGGCTCACACGACTTTTCACCTCCCCGAGAACGTTTCATTCGAAGATGCCGCAACGATTCCGCTGACGGCAATGACCGCGGCAATCGGCCTCTTCAGCAACTTGCGGCTGCCGTATCCATGGCACTCGGAAGAAGATCGCCCTGAAACAGGGCCGCTTGTAATCTACGGCGCCGGCGCGGCAGTCGGAAGTTTCGCCATACAACTGGCCCGAAAAAGCGGCATACACCCACTAATATGCGTAGCTGGGCAATCCAAAGACCATGTAGAGTCCCTTATCGACCGAACTAAGGGCGATACGATCGTGGACTATCGACAAGGCCACGATTATGTTGTGGAAGAAATCAAAAAGGCGCTTGGGGGTAAAAAGCTGCGGTATGCTCTTGATTCTGTAGGCGACCAGGGAAGCGACATCGCTTTAGGTCAGGTGATTGAACCGACGGACGCACGATTAAGTATAGTCCGCCCGTTTGACCGAACCAAAATACCGAAGACGCCTGGAGTTGTGTTCCCGGCTGGCCTCGCGCTTCCAACATTGCACGGTGTTCCCGACGGAGTGGAGGTATTTTGGACTGCTGTAGGGTCTGTACATGGGTCAGAAAAGCACTTTGGCTATGTCTTCTTCCGATATATCTCTTTAGGACTTCAAGAGGGATGGTTCAAGCCACACCCGAAGCAAATTGTTCCCAAGGGATTACATGGTCTGGCTGAAGGCCTTAAAAATCTACGCGATGGTAAAGCACATTCATTCAAATATGTATATAGAATTGCGGACACGAATTAGTCTTGTCTGGCAATATGAAAAGCCGATGACCTGTGTTACAGAGGTGGCCAAGTGTTTTGTGTGGGGTGAGTAGAGAAGCGTAGTCTGTACTTCTCCAAAGTTTTGTCATTTCGGTCTTCACAAAAGCGCCTCGCTGTATGTATTTAATTATCTTTAGTGACTATCTCCTGAATAAGAGATTGTTCATAATTTTATAGAGAATCGGGTATTTAGAAAACTAAAATTCTCAATAGCCTCACAAAAGTTATGTTGAGAAAAGATTTGTAACAACTATATCGGTTCCATTTGCATTGAGTTGGACGACCATGGCGGACTGTTATCGTACGAGGAGTACAGCGCATACGGTAACACAACTTACCATGCACTGAGTGCCAATATCGATGCCGACAAACGCTATCGTTTTCTGAACAAGGAGCGCGACAAGGAGAACGGGCTCTATGCCAATGGGGCTCGGTACTACGCTGCTTGGCTGGGACGGTGGACATCAGCGGACCCAGCAGGCACAGCCAACGACGGGCTCAACGTCTTCGTATATGTCAAATGTTGCCCGGCGCGGTACCGCGATTCCGGAGGCGCTGAGTCGGAGGACTGGAGGGACAGTCTCAGCTGGATGCAACGGACGGCTCTAAAGGTAGACGACTGGATTAACGACCACCCCGTAGCAAAGGGCGAGGTAGACAACCTGGAGCGGCGTGGGGAGGCGCTGATGAACACGCCCAAGGCACTCATGGAGCTGGCGCAGAAGCCGCCGTTAGAAATAGCCGAAACGGTCGTAAAGGGGTTCTATGAGCTCGGCAAAGAGACAGTGAAGTCCGGCAAGGACGTGGCTGTGTATGGCTACAAGGCGGCGACGGAGGGCGGCGATGAGAACTGGCGCTAGCTCGGTGACGCTTCTACGGATCTGGTCCTCAACACGGCCGACGTGGTAACGACATTTGCAGGCGGTGCCGGCGCGGTCAAGTCGCTCACGAACGTGGGAACCGCTGCACGGGTGGTCAAGGCCACCGGAGAGGCGGCCTTCGACAGCGCTAAAGCGACGCTTAAGGAGATGCCAGCCGTCATAAAGGAGGCCGCCGCTGCCGCTCCCAAGACAGCCCCAGTGCTGGCTCTCGAGGGAGGCATGATGGCCATGGACCTGATCCCTGATATCGGGAAAGGGCCGAGGGTGTTGATGGCGGTAGCGAACAAGACCACAGAGGGCGTCAAGGGCGCCGTCTCGGCGGGAGCCAAGGCAGGATCGCGCACGCGCAAGATCGCGGCGATGGTCCGACACTTGGAGGAAGGCACTTCGACACTGGCTGAGAACTACCGTGCCTTCAAGGCGGGTGAGGCGCTGCCAACCAAGAAGCCGACAACCATGGCCGAGGCGGTTAAGCGGCGCAAGGCCGGGGGCACGCTGGAGAAGCCACATGATCCACGGCTGCACCACGACATGCCGAAGACGCTCAAGCCCCTGTGGGAGGCCTTCGACATCGATTATCACCAGACGGTAAGAGTGGACTTGGTCGAGCACCAGATTATTCATGGTACCGGCGGTTTCTTCCATGACTCAAATGTTCTCTGGGCGCACAAGCTAAGCCAGGTCGATGACCTTTGGAAGCTCAACGCCAAGATGCTCGACCAGATGAGGACCAAGATCAACGCTACTTTCGGCGAAATACCAAGTCTGGGGGGCAAGACACTTAACGACGTAGCAAGGGTGCCATACCCTCGCAAGTAGTATGATGATGAACCCGGTTAAAATTTGCATGCCTTAATCGAAGTGCGCATCGTAACAGCTCATCTGTTCGTCAAGAGAATTTGAGGTTTTCCTATGCTGGCTACAAAGTTTCAGAAATTTTACTACAAGCTTTAGGGATGATATCTCATGAAGGTTCTAGGGCAGTGTGCTGGTTGTGCGAGAGTATGGTGGTATCGAGGAGATTCAGACCAAGTAGGATAACTAGGATCTTTACCTAGACGGAATTATCGTAGAATGCTCATAAACGGTGTTCTAGTAGGACATGGATACACTTGGAAATGGTACTGTTGATTTTAGAGACCTTTTTTTTGCTATGAATTTATGGCGGTGTTGAAGCTGCCAGGTTTGATGTGGGTTTTGCTCTCAATGTTCCAAATAGGGGCGGCGACCGTCTCCCATTTGAGAGCCTAACGTCCCACACCCACTTCTGGGCACCCCCCACATTTGGGCACCCCATTTACACCAAAAACGCCGTTTTTCGAAATTCTATATTAAACTAACTACTATACTTACTAAGAAAAGAAAATATATATAAACTATGTTAAGTATAATTATAGCCATCTAATTTTTTATAAAGGTTTAAATATAATAATAGTTATAATATAGAAGTTTAAAACTAAAAGCTTTAAAATGTTAGTAGATACTAGTAACTTACTAGTATTCCTTAACATTAGAAAAATATATTTTCGCTTATATATACTTATTTAAAAAATCTAGGAAATTAATATTTATACTTATTAAAAGTATATAATTATATCTAAAAGAGATTTAAAAGTATTACTTTAGTAAATATAGTATAATTAAGGGTTAAAATTCTATAATAGAAACTTTTCTTAAGGGAAATTTTAAAATATTATTCTAAGCTTAAAGAATTTTTTACTAAGTATAAGAATATATAAATCTACTATATCTTACTTAAAAATTCTAATCATATTAGTTAAATATCTCTACCTATTTTATATATTAAGATATAGGCTAGGTAAATTAGTATTATAAATGTTAAACCTTGAATTTATAATACTTATTATTAATAATACTAGTATATAGCTACTTAAGTATTATAATTAAGTCTTAATCTATTTAACATATATTTATTCTCTTTAATAAGTAAAGTATTTAGTTTAATATAGAATTTCGAAAAACGGCGTTTTTGGTGTAAATGGGGTGCCCAAATGTGGGGGGTGCCCAGAAGTGGGTGTGGGACGTTAACGGCCATAAACTTCATCCTCATTGAGGAAGATCAAAACTGCCTGGCTTCCTCTTACATCAACAATCATGTCCTCATTTAACGTCTCAATAGCCATTTCACCCTCCGCCTTGCCTTGAGGGAAAGATTGTCCCGCCCACGTCGACAGATTGCTGTCGCCCGTGTTCACGTACGGTGCTGTCATGCGCTTTGCCAGTGCATTTCCCTTCTGATCAGCAGGTATCGCAGACGACAAGTCAACGCGAACAGTGAAATCTGAAGTGGAGTTGGCATAGTATGGTTTCATGTTGATAAGAGCAAGCTTGGAAATGCTATCCTCCTTGTAGAAGGCGTACGCAGCGAAAGACTCTGAGCTCACGCCCTCGGGGGCTGAGAGGGCTCGGACACGAGTGTCGCCACCTGCAAAAGCCTCGGCCATGAAGAGCTGAGCTAAGAAAGAGGGAAGGGTACGTGCAGGACCACGCTTGGCGCTGTCGCGCGGATAGAGCATCGAGTATGTGCTGAAGCCAGGGGTACCGTTCTCGCCAGGTTTGTTAAGCTGATCTTTGGACTGAAGAGCAAGGGTGGCACCCTGGTGAAGATGAACAGCTGAAGCGTTGCGAGTGGCGTAAATGAGCTGTGTGTCGATAACCCAAAGAGCCTGAGCGAACGTATCGGTGACGTTTGGGGCTCCAGAGCACGAAACGGAGTTGTACTCCCCAATGTTCCACTTCGCACCAACATCGAGAGCCGCGCGGGCGGATGGATAGATCTCTTCGTCGCAATAACGCGTAAGTTCGGTGTGGTTGAGAATGTTAGGTATCGTCGCGAGAGCAGCGCGAGCCGGGTCACAGGTAGAAAAGCCGTAGGAGTGAATGGAGTAGACGCCGACTTGGCTCTCAGAGTCAATGCCAGCCGGAATAAGTGCAACAGGACGAACCTCGAGACCCGAGTCGTCGGTTGTTGCGGACGAGGCCCACCAACGGTTGCTAGAGAGGTTAGAGTGACCGGTAGCATTGACTGCTGCGTCAATTGCATTGGTATATTCCTTCCACTCCTTCACATACGCGTCCGTTGAGAAGTTCCAACGGATGCGGGGATAGTTAGTCGGCTCATTGCCTAGCTCGTAGTACGCGATCTTGTCGCTCTGATACTTAGCCGACGCAACAGCCAAGTCCCTAGCAATATCCAAGCTCTCATTGCCAAAGTTCAGGGTAGAGATGAACTTCGTGTCTTGAGGGAAGTTGTCCCAACTCTTGTAGTAGTTTGGACCAACTGTCGTCCGCCATACACCACCTTCCGGGCTAGTGGTGCGGACCACGTCTCCACCTTCTGGGTCGAAGATCATACTGTCCATGGTGATGCCACCAGGTCGGATGATGGGATGACCGCCATGTTCATGGATGCGGTTGATTGCACCAAATGTGAGCTCATTTGGAGTGCTTGCGTTCCCAAAGAACTCGACCCAGAAGGCCGGCTCGAATGAGAATGAGGCGAATGAGTTGGCTTGAGGGATTGAAGCACCAGCTGGAGTTGTTGGGACATTTAGCTTGGCGATATTTGAGCAAGACTTGCTAGAAGGATATGCGCGAACTGAATCCGCTGCCAGCAAAGCCGTGGCTGCCCAGAGAAGACCCATGATGAACGTTGGAACTTAAAAGACAAACTGCAGACTCAATGACACAATTTCTTGTGGTCCGATTTCACTGATCACGGGCATATATACAAGCCTTTGGGCAGGTATTTATAGCTTACGACGGCGGCAACATATTGTGTCGGCGGTAAGAGTTCCGCCCATGGAGCGGCGATGCCGCCAGGGCGCCGATCGGTGGTTGCATCAACCTCCGTTTGACACGGAGAAATTCGCCATCACTCCCGCTGATCCTACCCTGGCTAGAGGCGCTCGCATTTGATAGGAGCGCATCACTGACTGACGAGGTGGTAGTGCCAGATACAAGGAAATCAAGACATGGACGTTGCGGGGAAGCGGGGGAAGTGGAGAAGGTTAACGACATTCTGGCATGAGGTGTTGTTGACAGGTTTAGGATTCGGTTAAAACGACTAGAAGGCACCTGAAAAGGGTATGCCTTACGAGTTATTGAACAGGCCATACCAGAATTTTAAGTTAGGTGGCCCAGAAACACTCCACAGCGGAAGACGATCCTTTCCGAAATGCTCTAAAGTCCTTGAGTGAAGATTAGTCAACAGCATAGTGTGTAGTTTCTTTACAGCTGTCAATAGACCACGAAACCCATTCTTTACGTCAATCCAAGGATAAACATCATAAAACGTCTACCTTAGCGAAGATCGGAGTAGCATCTTAGCATTGATAACTACCTTAGTAATATTACACTGCCGTCGCTGAACTATGTAGCTAGCGCTGTCCCCGTAAGTCGGGGTAAATCATTTAACTACCTATGTTGTGGAATTCATGCGCGTCGATATATTGACAACAGTGTGGCCCTGAGCTTCGTTCCGCTATCAAAGTGGAAGAGGATAACATGCCTACGCACGAGAGTTTCAAGCAGCAGAACGCGAACTCGAATGAACATGGTGGCGCCAAAGCGGTGTTTAGACTGATGAAGCTCAATTCATGACAGGTCGAAATAACGACATCGGGCATGATCTGGAGCTAATTGCTTTGATATTTCTGGGTGCTGAAGGCCATTATCCGGGAACCAGCACTCTACTGTGAAAGCTTTGCAATTTTGTCCGCCTTCCGTGTCCTATAGCTGCATAAGTTCCCGTCTAGCTGTTTGGGATACTTTCTGGTCTTACTCGCTTTCTAAGGCGTTGAAACGTAGGAATGTGTCACTTTTCATATCCTTTCAAAAGACGCAACTTTTGCTTTGTCCCTCAATCTTAAGGGGCCTCAGACATCTTCCAGAAATTTTCAACCGAATAACCACATGATGTTTTGCAAGCCTGGAATGATAATACGCTTCGTCTTGAGAAATAGCAGCAGTCAACAGATCTCTATGTTTTGTCAGATACGTGTTTGCGCAAATACTTGCGCAACAACCGAGATGACGAACTTAAGCAGACAGGGATCAAGCACGATCAACAAGCGCTCCTAACTAGGCGAAAAAGGCGGTTCTGGTTTAATTTGTCATTTAGACTCTTCGCACATGTTCCAACAAGAACTGACAAACATTGGCATATCCCATATGGTCATGGCTTGTTTGCTTGACCTGTACCCGACACGAGTGCCAAGACTATATCGGGTCTTCGTACCTACTCTGGTCAACAAAATCGTTCTGCAACGTCTCATATACGACCAAAATGGATTTTATGTACGCAACAATCAGTTTCTTAGTGGGGAATAATGTTACCGTCACCACTAATATTCCTGAGAATGGTCTGGAAACTGCAGTTGAATGCATGAGCAAGGTTGTCTCATTTGTTCGGGGAGACCGGATGTCAATATTATCTCGGCAAACCAGGGTTGCCTGCAGTATGCAGAATATGAACCAACAAGCGAAAATGAGCCACATAAAGAAGGGATTCCCACTTATATGCTCATTTCCTTCGTATTCTTTATTCTGCCCCAAAGTTTGGTCCTTTTTCCCTCACGCCCTACAGACTGTGAAAATACGCAAAATGTGCACAGCTCCGACTCAGCCTACAGCACCTACTACCGCTGGAAGACACGATGAGGAAGTAATTGCAGCTGTAAGTAAACAATGAACCTTGCTATGTGAAACTCTGTGAGACTATTGCAATTTCTGACCCTGGCGTGTAAAAGGATCCTGCACTGGAAACTGATGATGAATATGGTGATGGAGGTGATGGGGCCAGGTGAGTTTAAGTGGATCAGAGGCCCTTAAAGATCAGAATATGCTAACTGGCCCTAGTATCTCGTCGTCTTCAGCATCGTTGACCGAAAGTATCACGGAATACCGCCGACTTCATGGGCGAACGTACACTCAAAGGACTGACTATTATGGCCCAAACGACGAGAAGCAAAATGAAGGCCTTGATCTCAAGTAGGGACTATCTTTTTCTCATGTCAAAGACACGAAAACTGACTACTTAGCCATTACTGTATGACTTTGTTCCTTGATGACAAGCTCTTCTATTCTCCAATTGGAGAAAGGCCGCAGGTAAAAATTTCTTTTTCATTGACTTCTTCGTACTGGCAAATGCTGATGGCGTCAAATGACAGCGAGTCTTGGATCTTGGTACAGGAACCGGCATTTGGGCCATGTGAGTCTTATGATACCTAAGCACAATATGCAAGTATAATCGCCGGCTCACGTTGACCAGTGACTTCGCGGATGAATTTCCGTCGGCTGAGGTTGTTGGAGTTGATATATCGCCTATTCAACCTTCTTGGGTCCCTCCTAATTGCAAATTCCAAATTGACGACATCGAGAAGTTGCCTTGGACGTGGCCGACGAATCACTTTGATTTCATCCACATCCGCAACCTCGAGGGCTGTGTTGCTGATTGGCCAGCACTATATGCACAGGCTCTGGACAATTTGCAGCCTGGGTCCGGCTACATTGAGGTCAAGGAAACCGATTTCAATGTACAGTCACAGTCCACGGAGAATCTCGACGACGATCATCCTTACAAAAGATGGACTAAGGTAATGTTTGAGGCCTTTGACAAGATAGGAAAGACTGCAAGACAACACCATGATCACGGCATAGCTAAGAACCTTGAGTCTGCTGGATTCGTTGACATTGTCGAGAAAAAATGGCAGATGCCTATCGGAGGCTGGGCGAAGGATCCCAAGTTGAAGGAGATAGGGGCTTGTTATCTCGAATTTCTCGACCAGTCACTTGAGGGATTTGGCACTTTCCTTCTCAAGGAAATAATGGGCTGGGAGTACGCAGAGATCTTGGTGTTTATGAGTGAGATGCGAAAGGCACTCAGAGACGCTACGTTGCAACCAAAGATCGACGTGTAAGTTGCCTATCTTCTACGGATGAGGAATTCTGCTAACCTGGCCACAAATAGTCATCTCGTATATGCTCGCCGGCCAGAGAAATCCAAGGAGGATGAAGCTTGACTGAAATTTAGGTTCTCAATGGGTAGATAACAAGCATGGTTGTCATGGTAAGGAGTTTAGCAGGATATATTGTCAGAACTTAGTCTTGCATTAGCATAATCTAGGTATTAATATGTTATAAAACCACCATTACACCCACAGCTCGCCTCGGAGAGTCTATTTATGAGACGCATAGAAGACCGATAGCCACGTAATTATTGTCTTTTTTTGGCAGAGTTTCAAGTGTATAGGACATTGGGGAAGAGAAAATGGGATACTTTAGGAGTCGGAAGACGAGAAAGGAGGGCATAAATTGCGCTAATATGGAGATCTTGTTTGTCAATCGAGTCTAGGCGTGCTATCACGAGAGAGATACATGTATTGGAATTGACTAAATATATGTGTTGTTGAGGACCTAGTGTTATCGAAAAGCTATTGGAATGAGAAGAATTTCTACTGTATTTACTCATTATCCTCGGGGGAACGTCCGAAGGCCCACGTTGCAATCTCGAAGGAAACGCTACCTAAAGCGTCGAGACTCTTTTTCCATGACTCCACGGATTCCGGATCCTCCATGGTTACTTTGTGACGTATCTCCATACTTTTCCAAGGCTGGCAATGTATGGCAGTCTTTACTTGGGTGCGTTCAGGTCCTAACTGCTGTATTCCTTCTGCCCATAGGCGAAAGTGGCGCATTCCTAGACGGGACTGATAAATCTTGGGATGAATGGCTATGCCGCCTGGTAAACGCCTGAAACGTTCTATATCCTCTTTACTTAGAGGATGAGAAAAGGATATTGTTGTAAACGTTACTGTTCTCCTTAACGTGGAGAATACAAAGCTATAGCTGATTTCTAACGGAGCTTGCACGCTGTCATCCTGAGTGCGAAAAGCATCGAGGTAAAGTTGGTACGACGACGATGTCTTGAAGAGATGAAAAGCCTGCTTTGATATCCAAACTGTTTTCGGAGATTAGACCACTACTAACTTCAATATATGATATTCCTAGGATTAGGAGGACTTACATGACACGAAGAGGACCTCATTTGGATTTTCATACATCCTACCGCACTATGAAGCCATGTAGCCTTCAAAGGTATTCATGGGCTTGATACCGTCCCACCAGACATTTGGGTGCTTTTTTGATTCGGTGAGTTCTGGAAGGTCTCTATCGAGAGGAAGCCTAAATCTCGTCCAAACCATCCATCGGTTTTCGGGCTGTCTCTTTGTTCGCTTTTGCCTAACCATTGTAAACGCGGGAGAGGTTGTTGATTGAAGACCCTCAGATAAATATTGGAAGGTTCTGGGGAAAAGATATCGAAGATAATACGGGCCGAGTAACATCGCCTGATTAAGAGAACGTTGCAGTGTTCAGTAGGCGGGGATAAGGCTAGTCTTATACCCGGCGGTCTAAGAGTTCAACTGATTAGGTACACATAACAAACTGGTCGTAGCTTACCTAATGCAATTAACTCCCTTGTCAGGAGGGCAGTTAACTCCCCTGACCTCGTAACAGGTATATACCAATAGTAAATACTGCCTACCCTACCTACAGGTAAGATTAATGTAGTCTTGTGGCCTTTTAAAAAATGAAGTGAATATAAGGTTTCAGCGAGACTTAAAACTCTTACCTTATCAAAGGAAAATCATTGAAAATTATTGGAGCCTTTGGGTTGACATAAAATGCTGTTCCCGCCTCAAAGAAATTAGTCTTGCATGACTGTGTTGCGGACTGCCTGTATGGCCTAGCCCTGGGCTCTGCACAGAATTACTTTTGGTGACTAGGGTTAAGTAATCCCTTCAAATCGTTTACTCTGACGCCGGAGGCAAAAGTCACGCCCTCCAGGTGGGATACTCACAAGGATGCTCATTGCCCTCGTCTACCTTTATTGCGACGGCTAGAGTGCGAGCCCCAGGTTGTTCGCAGGGGAACTCTTCACGAGGACTCAGCGGGGCCTACACGCGTTGGTTCCTACTTCTGGGCCTTGGCAGGAGAGTAGGCATCATTCCTTGAGAACCCGGAGGCCACGGTGAGAAACTGCGGACAAAAGGCGGGTATAATGCGGCACCCAGCAGGAGCTTAATACGGACCCACTCGGTAGGTCTGTTCTGTAGAGGGAAGAGTGTCTAGGAAACCTTCCAGTCAGTAACAGTTTGTTCTATCGCGGCTTGAGTGGCTCGTAGATAACGCCAGAGTAGTGCCGGATAGGACTGGCAACATGGTTAGCGTAAATCCTTCGGTCAAGAGATATGACGAATAACATACCTAACACTGGTCATCTGAATACAGGCCGGAAGATTGCAAGCGAGGAAGAGACAGAGAATTAATGACCCAGTCGTTCTTCTCTCCCAGGCTATTTCCCTAGCAGGTGAGTAGCTGTATAGAACCATAGAATAGCAGGTGGATCATATACAAAACATTGTATTAATGTCCAAAGAGAGCTTATGAAGCCCTAATACATAGTATAATAGAGCGTAGTAGTGAAGTTCTATTGGTTTATCATACAACAACCGGAATATTCTGTATTCTAAAAGCTCAGGCAAAGCCTTAGCAGTCTTGAAGTCATTTTACTTTGTGAAGATTTGATTTGTAGAAGTATGTCATCAACTACTAGAAGACTATGGAGTCGGAACTAGGATGCTAATATATCTGTCTAGCCTTTTTTAGTAGAAATTTAATATCTAGTGCTATTATCTCGCTTCATATATGTGTGTGCGTCGTACCTATTTTAATAGTCCACCCTACTCGCCATGTTCACATAATGCACCACTTAGGCATATCAAAAACAGCCACATTTGGGTGGTCACGAGGGTGATGACAATGACACTTGAGTAATGTAATGTCTTGCCTTTTGAAAGTTTAAAGGGTGGTGCTACGTAGTTCATTGACTAGGTACTAAACAATAGTTGCGACAGCACAGCACGGTGAGTCAGAGGGCCAGAAGTGTGACAAATAAGATACCAGTTATGTCAGACAAGCGTGCTGGGAAAGAGGCTCAAGATGCAGTGATCACTTCAATGCAACCCATGCTTAAGGAGCAAACTCTTTTATTACCTATCATGGGTATATATGTTAGTGCAACGGAGGGCTATCATGATTTCTGACAAGCTACAGATATCCATCTACACTTGTTGGGAGCCAGAAGATCGGCCTGTCTTTATCACTACACGCCTTCCAAGATGTCAATGTGAGGATTTGTCAGTTTCTAAAAAGCTGGTTAGGGAAATTCGCTTGCTCCAAGACTCTGTAGCGGCAGGTAAATGAGTAATCTCAGTGCTTTGGATTTCTCGGTTAATCCGGTGTGCAGAGAAGGATGCAGACACTATAATGAACTTTGAGTTGTGAGTCTGCCTCGGCGCGATACTTCCGCCTCCAGTCAAGCCTGTCAGCATCTACATAGATCTGATGATTACTTGAATATTTCTAACACAAGACCAAGGCAAAGTAGGTTATAGAAGGTGCAAACCGAAAGTATTTGCTGCCTACTAGGCAATATCATATGTTTCAATAGCTCATGTACCGTAAACCAAAAATGCACCCCAAGGAGCTGCAACTAAAAAAGTCCTTGCGGTATCCTCTTATCAAAAACATCAACGGACACGGAGGAAAGTGTTGCGATAGTTGGAATACGGAGCCGTGTGGCACTTCCAGCCACACGCCCGCCAGGCTGAGAGGCCCAAGCCTCCCAGACCCACGTGACAGGCCAAGGGGGAATATCCCCACCTTCTAGTCAACAACACCACTTTCAACTATCATCATGAACCATCGATTAGAACCAATTTACTGTTATTTGTTATTGACGAACGGAATTCCGTTTCACCCCCTGTTTCACCCCCTGTGAAACCTACACTGATCAGTGGTAAACCTCACAGTTGCCATTAATTTGGTTAACTTCACAATTACCACTCTGCTACGGACAAACCGCAGATCAGCAAGGTCAACACCAGAAGAGACGACTTCTTGAACTGGATACCCAAGCCCAGGTAAAAGTAGGGATTTCGTGCTAACGAGAGAAGAAGCGAGAGTAACTGGGATCTACGGAAACCAGCAGAAGAAAGCTTCTTTTCCTCGAATCTACCAGCAATCCGATTATTCGAGTAACCTAGGGACTGCTACGCTCACCCTGGGCGGGATAAGGTTAATCGCAGCCAATTATCGCTGGCAAGAGCGTTCCATCACGCGTTTTCAATCACCAGAAGAAGAGACCTACCGAATCGACGGTCTTCCAACCTCTTCACGCCACAAGGGCGAAGATTCACGAATCCCACAAGGGATAACAACTTCCCCAACTACAACTATCCCCCACGCGCGGTGCCAATCACGAGGCGCCCGCTAGTTTCTCAATAAATCCCCAGACGAGGTGCCAACCGCGAGGCGCCTGCCACAAGAGACCTCCCCACTAGAAGAAGAACACGCCGAAAGGCGAGCGGAGACTACCGGCGGTAATCCGCCTATACAGCTATACGTATACGCCTCCGAGGCTGCGGCTTAGGAGAAACGCACGTGGTTGTGGGCGTCATAAGGCCAACTGTCCGCTAGATTCTAAACTTCCCAACAGTGAGGAGCGAAGCCCGAAGCGAGAAAGAGAGATTCACGAGAGAATCTACGAAGTAATCCTTTTATACTGTCAGAATGGAGCGAAATTCACGAGAAGGATCGCCCGCGAGCGGCGTCACTGCCAAAAGCCAATCAACAGTCCCCATCCCACAGAGAATCGAAAGTATGATCGATCCAGCAGTATGGGGCAACTGGGCAATCGACCTTACAAACGCTAGCCCACAGCAACTGGGTTCCTATATGGGTTTCCTACTTGAGACCTATGAGAAGAGGAATCTCACGGGCCTCGAGCTATGGAACGAAGTTTCTCCCGATTTCGCCGACTGGTCAGAAGAAGACTTCCAGAACGTACCTCCCCCAATCCTACGATTCTTCAGAGACTATTTAATCGGTAACGGCGTCTACGTCGAAATGGATGGCAAGAAAATCTCGAAAAACGTGGCATTAGCCCTCAAAAAGGAAGAATTCCACTACTGGTCACCCCAAGAACTCGAACAAGGCGTCAAGAGATATCGCAACCTGAAGGCTCTGATAAAAGACCCCGAATTCCACGAAGAGATCACGAGACCGGCAACAGTAGCCAACAGCACAGGAGGAAGAGTCGAACCAACCCTACAGCCACCTCCTCCACAAGAACAACAACAGTGGCAACTACCGTACCGACCGCCACATCCCACGGTCTCTCCGTTAACAGACTTCCAACCATACGAGTCAACAGACCGTATCGGAAAGCAATTAACAGAATTCGCGAAACTGTACCCCGACGATATGAAATACAGCGGCGATATGTACGATGTACTCGAAAAGAAGATGCCAGTATTCGTGGATCACTGTAGAATGCTGGGAATTCACACCTCCCAATACAACAGGGCACTTCCCCTAATACTGAAAGGAATAGCCAAAACCTACTTCTACGCCTCGATTAAAGTGATCAACCCACAGCCCAACTTCGAGACCATGATCAACCAATTGAAATCACACTTCGAGACTAGGGAAAGGCAACAAGCGTACGTTACGCAGTGGAATACAACTACTCTTCCCCAAATCATTCGCGATAACCCTGGAAAGACCAAATCGGAGTGTTTTGACATACTATGTGACAAATTAAGCAAGATTCAGCCCGGTTTGCCACAACAGGATCACAACGACCGATCCCTCCATACCCAACTTCTACACGCTTGTAGAGATATTCCAGAGTGTGCAATGGCGTTATTTGTACCGGCTGAGACGTACGAGGGACTTCGCAGCCAATTAATCTCGTCGATCGAGACAGCTACCCGTCTCAACCAACAACAATTCAACACAGTAGCCAACCCACCAGAGCAGTACTGGACCGACAGAACTTTCAACGGTCGAGGGCGTTATTCACGATACAGTCGTTCATCACGAAGTCGATCATCACGAGGAAGAAGCCGTGACAGACCCCTATTACCGCCAACGCCTAAGAAGTGCTACGTGTGTGGAAAACCTAACTGCTGGTCAACCAAACACACCACAGAAGAGAGACGAAAAGCGTACGAGAAGTTCAAAACCACCCAATATGCCCAGGATACGTCACTTCCAGCATATGGCCAATTTCTCGTCCAATACGAGGGTTTCGACGGGTTAGACCTACAACCTACCGCCGAAGACCCCCAGCAATACTACCACGTAACCGAACAAACCAGTGAAAGTGACGAAGAGGAAGAGACCGGCAGCGACAGTCAATTCCAGGTCACCGCCTATTTCACTACAACAGCAATTGACGGCAACAGGATCGCCACGATCCTAGCAGACCAGTCAACCCGCCATGCTATTACGAAAGAAGACCTCTTCCGCAACCAACCAGAACCGAAAGAGCTACCTTCGCAATTCACACTCGAGGGACGCTACTCTGCCCAGAACTTCCAAGGGATCATGCCCGACTCGGGCGCAGCAGGATTCTCAACCGCTGGCCACCCACAATTCGTGGCCCTACAACAAATTTACGAAGGAATTACGTTAAACACTGAGGCGGCTGGCGGCGTTACAGTGAAATTCGGCGATGGGATACCACTGGAGTCTATAGGGACTACCAAAGTGCCAACGCCGTTTGGAAGCGTCAAATTTCACGTTATTGAGACTAACACTCCCTTCCTTATGTGCCTAGGAGATATGGACCGATTGAAGGTCTACTTTAACAACGTTACGAATACCCTCATCCAAGGAAATAAGGTCGTACCTATTATTCGCAAATGGGGCCACCCATGGTTATTACTCGATAAGGAGAAACCACTCGCCTGGAACCACCTCACAGACGCTGAATTGCGACGGGTTCACCGTCGCTTCGGACACCCATCTGTTCAACGATTACACAAGGTGCTCCAGAGGGCCGGCCACCCAGTTGAAATTACGGCAATTGAGCAACTATCGAAAGTCTGCCATCGATGCCAAATGCACGCACCAGCGCCATCACGGTTCAAATTCACGTTACGAGACGATTACGAATTCAACTACGAGGTTATCGCCGACGTGATGTACCTTGAGGGTAACAGACCGGTCCTCCACGTCGTCGATACCGCCACGGCGTTCAACGCCGCCCGGTTCCTTGAGGACATTTCTGCGAAAGCCACTTGGGAAGCCCTACGCCTCTGCTGGATAGATGTGTATCAGGGACCCCCAGACTGGCTAGTTACCGACGCTGGAACAAACTTCCGCTCAACAGAATTCCGAAACGCGGCGAGAGGAATGGCAATTGAAATCAAGGAAATTCCCATAGAAGCCCACAACAGTATTGGGAAAGTTGAACGATACCATACACCTCTAAGGAGGGCGTACGAAATCATCAGAGCAGAAGACCCAACAATTACGCCAGAATCAGCACTTCAAACAGCAGTCAAAGCAGTCAACGATACTGCTGGCCCGAACGGAATAGTGCCAACACTCTTGGTATTCGGCTCGTACCCACGAATTACCGACGATTCGCCGCCATCTCCCGAAGTCACAAGGCGGGCGAAAGCGATTAAGAAGGCGACGAGCGAAGTACGCGAACTTCACGCAAGGCGACAGGTGGCAGAAGCTATCGCCACCCGCAATGGCCCTGATACAGGGCCAATTGTTAATTTACCGCTACGGTCGCAAGTACGAGTATGGCGCGAAAAGAAGGGCTGGACCGGACCGTTTACTTTAGCAGCCATAAACGGCGAAACCTGTACTGTCGATACGCCACGTGGTCCGAAGACCTTCCGGTCTACCGTAGTCAAACCATACTACGAAGATCCCGATCAACCACCTAACTCCATCGCCGCGCCAGAAGAAGAAGAACCCGAAGCTGAGATACCGCAGCAGGAAGTAGTACGCGACGAAATTATCGTCGCCGGCGGAGGCAGTGAACCGGACGAACCGCAAGAGGCACCGGAGCCACCGAGAAGACGCCCGGGCAGACCCCGGAAGAGACCACTGCCAATCGCCCACTTCACAGAGGAATTCAACGATGACCCGGATTATCAACAAATATTCCTATCGATTAAGGAGCAAGCAGACGAAGAATTGGCAATCAAACTACGACGAGAAGGTGTTATTACTACACCAGGCGAACCGTTCGAACAGTCAACTAAACAAGAGATCAACAGCCTCATCGCTAGAGGAGTGTTCAAATTCACCCAGTTCAATAAGAGAAGGCACCAGAACGTACGAATCTTCCGATCTCGTATCGTCAACGAAGTCAAGGGTAAAACAACCGAACCCTACGAGAAATCGAGACTTGTAATACAGGGTTACGCCGACGATGGCAAGAAGGCTATATTGACCCAATCGCCAACGATTCAGCGGGCGAGTCAACGGCTAATTCTGTCAATTACCCCGTCACTCCTACGAGAAGGGAAACAACTATGGCTTCGAGATATCACACAAGCCTACGTTCAATCCTCCACAAGGCTCAATCGTACTATTCTCGCCTACCCACCGAAGCAAATTCAAGACCAGTACCCAAAAGGGACCATTATGGAGGTTGTGAAGCCTCTGTACGGAATCGCAGAAGCTGGAACCCACTGGTGGGCAACGTATCACAAGCATCACAGAGAGAATCTCCAGATGGTTACTTCTTCGTACGATCCATGCCTATTGATCTCATCTACCGAAAATCCACACTTTGGCTGTATCGGCATGCAAACCGACGATACCCTCGGTTTGTCAGACAAGGCGTTCTCACAATTAGAAGACGAACAGTTAGAAAAAGCGGCTTTTACGGCAAAAGCGAAGAATATCCTCACAATTGACGAACCCCTCCAATTCAACGGAGGGATAATCGCGCTGTCAACCGACAATTCGATCAATTTGAGGCAAAAGGGACAAGCCAAGAAGTTACGATGTATTGAGACTACTGAACCCAACCCAAAACAGCAATATGTCGAACAACGCGCCAGAGGGGCGTACATCGCGTCAATTTGCCAACCCGAGGCCTGTTTCGATTTATCCACTGCTGCCCAACACCAAGACCCCTCGCCAGAAGCGATAAAAGCACTGAATCAACGGATTCGATGGCAAATAGAATCGCCTAACCGAGGAATAACGTTTATCCCACTCGACCTTACAACAGCCAAGCTATTCGTTTTCGTTGACGGGTCGTTCGCTAATAACCACGACCTCTCCTCCCAATTAGGGTTTCTGATCATCCTAGCCAACGACACTTCCTCTGACAGCAACAACGGAGAATTCACGATTCACGGTAACCTCGTTCATTACAGCTCTACGAAGAGTAAACGAGTCACCCGCAGCGTATTAGCGTCAGAGATCTACGGGATGGTCGCTGGCGTCGATATGGCCTACGCCCTCGCCACAACCCTGGCGACAATCACTGACCACCTCAACCTACCAACGATTCAGACAGTTGTCTGTACCGATTCTTATTCGCTGTACGAGTGTCTCGTGAAGCTGGGCACTACCAAAGAAAAGCGACTCATGATCGATATCATGGCGTTGAGACAATCGTACGAAAGACGAGAACTACAAGAAATTCGTTGGATTAACGGCGAAGACAACCCTGCTGATGCCCTCACGAAGAGCAAACCAAATCGAGCCCTCGAGAGATTCGTTGATAGCAACACGATAACGATACGTATGGAGGGATGGGTAACAAGACCGTAACTACGGGAGAAAGTAGGGATAGGAGGCCGAATTGACGAGGAGACGGAACTGTATAGGGACAACGTATTCCAACCGCTTCAACACCATAAAAAGAGAGTTTCCAGTGTTGCGATAGTTGGAATACGGAGCCGTGTGGCACTTCCAGCCACACGCCCGCCAGGCTGAGAGGCCCAAGCCTCCCAGACCCACGTGACAGGCCAAGGGGGAATATCCCCACCTTCTAGTCAACAACACCACTTTCAACTATCATCATGAACCATCGATTAGAACCAATTTACTGTTATTTGTTATTGACGAACGGAATTCCGTTTCACCCCCTGTTTCACCCCCTGTGAAACCTACAGAAAGAACTTCGGCTAGATGTTGAAGCCAAGCCCGTGTCGTTCGAAAAACCCAGTAGAGTATCCACATCGTCTTGTATCCCGATAAGCAATGCAGCTGATGTACTAAAGCGGTATAATTTCCTGAAAAGGATATATAACTATTTCTTCGTAGTGTCTTGTGCGTTGTCGCATGCAATAACTCCGCTGGTGCGGGGATTAAATGCTAGGCCCTCCGCAACGGACCTTCCCACAGCTCTAGTTGAAGTCCAGGCTTGTAGTGGGGCCCTGTACTTGACGGACTTTGATAGGATTTCAATCCTCATTGCGCATCTGTTCCGCTATCTAACAGCGGAGTTTAGCTCATGACAACGGAGCTCTATCAGAGCCATCTATCATACCATTCAATAAAACTACATAAATACACAGGCTCAAGTTTGGAAAATCGATCATTCCTCTGCCACTGCCCAAAACCTATTGTCACTTGAAGTATCTTACCCTGCACAGGGTAGAACATTCGTCTCAATCATCACAATGGTCAAAGTTGCTGTTGCCGGTGGCTCAGGTGGCATAGGAAGAGCAATTTTCGACTCCATCGAAGAAAGCCGTTTGCATGATGCTTTCATCCTGAGTCGTACACCCAGTGACGACCCAAAAGTCATCGAGGTTGATTATTCAGACATCAAAAAGCTCCGAGAGACACTTGAGGCACATCAGATTCACACTGTCATCTCGACACTCTCGATCAAGGATGACGAGAGCGGCCAGGCGCAGATGAACCTGATCGAAGCTTCTGTGCAATGCCAGCACACCAAGCGATTCATGCCGAGTGAATTTGGCGCGAAATACGATGAGGAGTATGAGACTTGCCCTGTCTTTATGTTCATTTAGCTAATGGTGCCAGGGCGATTCGGATATTTCCATCATATATCTGGAAGTTCAAAGCCGTTGATCGGTTGAAGGAAACCGACCTGGAATATACGCAATTCTCAAACTCAATGTTTATGGATCTGTGGTTTGCGCCTCGGATCAAGTCGGCCTTCACATATAACATGCCATGCTGGGTTGACCTTGAAAACGACGTGGCTGCTATCCCCGGCGACGGGAATACTCCCATGGTGGCAACCCACTCCCGCGATATCGCACCCTTTGTTGCTGCAACTCTTGGATTGGACGTCTGGGAGAAGAGGTACTATCTCACAGGAGACAGATTTACTATTAACGAGTTTGTTGCCATAGCCGAAGAGGTGAAGGGTGTCGAGTTCGAGAAACACTACGAGAGCATGGAAGTGCTGGACCGTGGAGAGGGCATAGTACTTCCAGCAATCAAGGCAATGCTGCCACCAGGTGTGGACTCGACTCTGATATTAGGCCAGATTGCTCGAGCTGGGAAAATGGTCGCGCAAGGTCGCATGGATTTGCCTCAGGATACAGGAAGCATCAACGCCGTTTTCCCGGAGATGAAGACCTTGACGTTGCGAGAAGCAATTCAAACTTATTACGACAACAAATAGTAGACGGTTTTAGTTTCTGGTCATTGATTTCGATACTTTGACGCAACTGTTTCACTCGGATGATTACTGAATGCACTATTTCTTTGCCACGGTCAACAGAATGAGTCCCATCAGCGTTAACGGTTGCAACCTGGCCGAACACATAATGAATGTATACCTCGGCTATCCAGTCTTTATTCCATTGGGTAACCAACACGTCAGCAGCGGTTGACACAAGATATAGCTGCATGGGTGCTTTGCACTAGTAGTGGTGTGAAGGGCCACGAGCGACAGCTCCACTTGAAACCAACTGGTTCCTACTGGTCCAAGCTCATGCAGGTCCGGGGATCGTTCCGTCCTGCGTGACCCACAACAGCTGGCGCCATCGGAGTTTCAGAGGATGCTGCACTGTTAGCAGAATACACCATCCTCCCCACAGCGATTATCAAGATAAGGTATCCTCCTAACAACAACCTTGAGGGGTCATCGCTGACGTAGCGGGTTTCCGGGCCAGCTACAGCTTTCGCATTGTATCGTCAGGCACCCGTGACCGTGACTCGTCAACGGTAGCATTCCAACGGGGAAGCCGGCCAGCTGATAGCTAGCTCCTTTCCAGTGTCCATCCTCTTGTTTCCCCTCATCACCTCCTCGACATCAAATAACGAAACAACAGCCATGGCGAGAAATCCATCAATAACCATGCCGCGACCATCCACCCTCATCGCTGCCGCAGCAGCCCTCTGCTGGCAAATCGTATCCGCAGCTCAACCAGGCGCGGCTCCTGCTGTCGCTGCTCCGATGCGTGACTTGACTTGGGGTCAGCTCAACTTCCTCCACACGACCGATACTCATGGCTGGCATGGCGGCCATCTCCTCGAGCCACAATATTCCGCCGATTGGGGCGACTACGTCTCCTTCGCATCACACATGCGCCGGAAAGCCGACGAGAAGGGTGTCGATCTGTTGGTGATCGACACTGGCGATAGAGTCGAGGGAAACGGCCTTTACGATGCTTCGACCCCGAAGGGATTGTTTACATACGACGTCTTCCGCGAGCAGACAATAGACATCATTTGCACGGGAAACCACGAGCTCTACATGGCCGACGCAGCACAGCGAGAACACGACCTAACAGTACCAAACTTTAAAGAGAACTACATTGCTTCGAACCTAGACTATATCGATCCCAAGACCGGCGAGCGTGTGCCGCAAGCACAGCGCTTCCGCAAGTTCAAGACCAAGAACCAGGGCTTGGAGATTATTGCATTGGGCTTCCTGTTCGACTTTACAGGCAACGCAAACAATACCGTGGTGCAGCCGGTCGAGGACACACTGAAGGAGGAGTGGTTCAAGAAGTTGGTCAGAGAGGAGAAACCAGACCTGTTTATTGTCATTGGCCACGTCGGCCTGCGTATGCCCGAGTTTAAAAAGATCTACACTGCCTTGCGCAAGGAGAACTGGAACGCACCGATTGCCTTTTTTGGTGGTCACGCACATGTACGTGACGCTCTCAGCTTCGACAAGGAGGCATTTGCAATGGCAAGCGGACGCTACTTTGAGACGATTGGCTGGATGTCTATCGACAACATTAAGAAGGCCAAGTCTGGCGAAGTATCTGCCGAGGCTTCCGTTTCGTTTTCGCGAAAGTACATTGATAACAACCTTTTCGGTCTGCACCACCACACCGGCCTTGATGAGAAGACTTTCCCGACTGAGCATGGCAAGAACGTCAGCAAGATGATTGAAAAGGCTCGCAAGGCTCTCGACCTGGACTACAAGTATGGATGCGCCCCCAAGGACCTGTGGATGGACCGCGCCGAATACCCCGGCGAAGACAGTATCTACACCTGGCTTGAGAAAGAGGTGCTCCCCGATGTCATCCACAAGGAGGACAGGAAGGGTGTGCCCAGCCTTGCGATAGTCAACACCGGCGGTATCCGTTTCGACATCTTCAAGGGGCCCTTTACCAAGGACAGCACGTTTATCGTGTCGCCCTTTACCAGCGCCTTCAAGTATATCCCGGACGTCCCCTACAGCGTCGCCAAGAGAGTCCTTGACCTGCTCAACTCGGGCGGCAAAATCTTTGAGGCGACGCACGACGTGCGGTTCATGAACATCCCCGAGATGATGTATCCCAAGGACGACATTGTCATGGCCAAGACCAAGACCAAGACCGACGAAGGTGAGCCCCGCCGTCTCGAGCTCCGCCACGAGTCCGACCAGCACCGACTGTCGGACGAGAACAAGGCCAAGCCGGATCTCGTAAGTGGGTACACCACCAAGGACGACATCGGCTCCGACGGCGACGATACGGAGCACTCCCCCATCAGCTTCTACCCGGTACCCAACTGCATCCAGACACCAATCGGCTTCCCGAAGGAGGGCGAGCCTGAGAAGGTCGACCTTGTATTTATCGACTTCATCTTGCAGTGGGTAATTGTGGCGCTCAAGTTCAGCGGAGGCGACTACAGCGACAAGGATGTACTTCCGTGGTCCGATGAGACGCTGACTTACAAGATGGGCGAGTGGATCAAGGAGAATTGGAAGGGCGACTGCTAAGGGATAGAGCGGGAGCGAGAGTAGATGCAATCAACTAAGACGCTCTAGAAGATGGCTCAGATTGGTAGCATGTTAGATTGGTTTAGCTTTGGATATTTTGGGCCACGACAGGAGTTTTTTCCATCTTGTTTTCTTGTTTCCCTCTTTCTGTAGGATCAGCCTGGCCATGTTTACTTTTTTCTTTCTTTTTTCAGCCAGGCTATACGCATACTGAATTCCATCTAAATCAGACAGGCATTCATTCAGGAATTTTTACACAATGGCAGGAAGGGTACGGGACGGGAGGGGAGTTGCCTAGGCACATAGACGGGACATGGTAGACTGCAAATAGCCCAAGATTACATTCAAATTTGCATCAAAATCACAGCTACCAGACGACGCCGAGCCCGTAATGGGCTCGATATACACTGCGTAGTATTTCTCGGGACATCGGCAGTCAAGCCACCGCGCGCGTCCAGATTCACCTGTCAGTTGTCACTCGGCTCACCTGAAAATGGGTCCCCCCGTACATATCGTGTCGGTCGGTGCTGGCTGAGCGCGCGAACTCTGCGTCCGAGCCAAAATGTAAACGGCCGAATTGAATTTTCCCCTCCGCGGCGGGCCTCCCTTTTCCCCCCTCCCCCCTTTTCCTACTCTTGGACTTCCGACCGTGGCGCACGGCAGAGGCCGCGAGGTGTATATTCAGCCATGCCAAGACCAGATTGCGAAAGAGGTGAAGAAAAAAAAAAAAAAAAAAAGGAGACGACGACACTAAACTGAGTAAGGGAAGGGGGAAGAAAAAAAATCTCCGCGTGGAAATCTTTTTTTCTTCTCCATTTTCCTGGGTTACAATGAGTTTAGGTGGGAAAAGTGACCGAGCGGGCGCGGTAGTTGCGGATCTTCGTTTTTTTTTTTTTTGAAGGTGGCATCTGGCGGCGACGCTATTGACGAGCTGTCAGCTTGGAGGCGCCTCTTTTTTTTTTTTTCCCCTAAGTGACCGGCGGGCGCACTTGGGGCTAGCGATTTCTTCACGGTGGTATACCGAGGGTTGGAAAGCGTCTTTTCGTCTCCTTTTTTTTTTTTTTTTTCCCCTCCTTATGTGTGTTCCTTATCTGACTTTTCCTCCTTTTTTCCTCTCTCTCTCGCTTCTTCTCTACTGTCAGCCGCAGAGGAAAGGGAAGGTGATTTGGACATTTTCGTTTTGAGTTTATTTCGACCCGTACTTTATGGAGTTTGTGTATATAGAAGGTATGGATACTAGCAGTACTGTATTATCCGTGTGGGGTACAAATGCCGTCTCATGTATAGAGATGTTCGCCCTACTAGGTGGATGAATACCACCGCGGAAGGGGGAAAAAAACAAGACGATCCGAACGGAGAGTTTTTTTTTTTTTCCTTTCTTTCGTTTCTCTCATTATTCTCCTCCATAACATTTTAGTGCGAACCACTGGGTCCAGCGCCCCGAGAAACACGATACGACCTTGCACGAAGATCTCAATTCAAGGTTGGACACGTTTTGACGTCGTCCGATCCACTTGGCACCGAAGCACACATCTGATGTCACCGGTCATGGCTTTTTTTTTTTTTTTTTTTTTTTTTTTTTAAAAATCCACAACGGCATCGATTGTTTGGGGGTACCAGTAATGTTGATCCTCGGTTGGGTTGCTTAGTTGCTTAGTTGTTTAGTTGCTTAGGGGGGCCCCTGTGGCCCACCAAACCCATCGACACCAGTTACTCGCTAATGGATTGCGGCAAGCGTTTTTTTTTTTTTTTTTCCCTGTCTCTCTTCCTTCTCGGTTGAAGCTGAAGCTTCAAGGCCCCCTCAATCGTTCGGATAAAGTAGCCGGACCAGCAAGGCTCGAAGCTTGGGAGACTAAAGGTCGCTTTAGCACAGGGGATCCAAATGCAGTGTTTGTACACTAGAGGCACTAAGGCACTAGACAGGAAACCCCCCTCCCCTATTTTTCTGTCAGGTACGTACCGTTTCGTTATAATCTCTATATGGCGTCTGCTTTTCTTTTTCATCAGCCCAACTTAAAGCCCCTTGCCTGTTCCCCCATTAGCACTAGTGAGCTCCAGTGTAGTGGTGAGAGATGGAGAGAGAAAAAGGGTAAGGTAGGTGAGTAATGCAATGCAGTGCAATGTACCTGTCAGTTGGGCCTGAGCCATGCAGAACAAACTAGAGAACCCCCTCCAGAGGATGGATGGAGTCGCAGTAAAACATTTAGCTACCCTGATTAGCCGGGCTTCAATTGGGGTAAATAACAGCAATAATGACTGCTACGACGACTACAAAACTCAAAAAGAGATGAGTGCGAGCTTGCGGGTGTGATCTCGCAAGCACCCCTGATCCCGGGATCCCATTCAGGTGGTATTTTCCGGGGATGGCCTTATCAGTTTTCCGTCCCTTCTTTATCGGTCGCCATCACGAGGCCATTCCCACCTGGTCTTCCACCTGGTCTTCCAGGGGGTTCCTGCATAGGGCATCACAGGTCATGATTTTCAGGGGTCCATGGGATGGGCCCCCTCCCCCCCCTTCCTACTGTTCGTCCCGTTGGCTGGGGGGGCTCCCTTTCGCAGAGCTGTCCGGACTTCGTCACAACTCGCGCCGGCCTTGGTGCGTTGCGAGCTATATACTACATACGTACTCTGTACACTACGCGACTACGTATGTGCTTGTGTGTGTGTGTGTGTGTGTGTGTGTGTGTGTGTGTGTGTGTGTACATAGTATGTGTGTCTGCGCCTGGACCCTGTCCAAACCTCCTTGCAGCTGCAGCCGAAGGATTCGTTTCTTCCCCCTTTGGCCCTTCTTCCCCCACTCGAAGCCAGTTGACGTGCGCGTGGAGGCCCTGTCTGACGATGCAAGCCTACTCCAAAAGGGGCAAAGGGCTGAAATTACACCTAGCGTACACATACACAACCGTAATAGTAGGAGTAGTAGTAATTGCCAACGCGAACCGCCAGTTGGGGGCGAGCGCAAGTGTCGTAGTGTCGCCGCTCTCACCGGGCTGCCGTTTCATTAAACACCAGCCCGAAGAGGGAAAATGTGCCTGGGAGGAGGCCTGCTCTTCATCTCCACACTACACACGGTCGTGGTCCACCCCTTCTTTGGTGACCGCGGCGACGTCGCAATAGCTCGGTCTGCTCCGGATGAGGTCTCCATCGCAGGCCCCCCCCATGCCCCCATGCCCCCGTCCCCATTGAATGACTTTTGTTTCCCGTCCATCCTCATCCAAAAAGCTCATGAACTGTGTGTGTCCCCGTCGTCTCTCGCATCATCCGAATCCCCTCCTTGCCGTCCACTCTTTTCTACTACGTAGTTTCGTGAATCTACTGTTTTGAAAGGGGGTCAATATTCGGTCTCACCAACCTCTACACCAGACAAACCTCGCAAGCAGGGGACCCGACACTCGTTTCTTTTCCGCTCCTCCCCGCCAAAAAAAAAATAAAAAATAAAAAAAAAGGTCCCATAACCACCACCCTTCTCACTCAACCTTGTCTCGAGACCCAGAAACACACATACAACAACCCCACCAGAGCTCTCTCATCTGCCCTGTCCACCGATCCAGGCAACTCGTCCTTTCCTAGCTCCCTCTTCGGGACGTACGACTCTACTGCTTGCCATTTACCCCCCTGAACCTGTAACGGATCAACTTGTCTTGGGGGTCCTCGAATAAGGATCGTCGCCCTTGTCCATCGCCCAGCTCATCCTCCACACTTTCTGCACACAAGACACTCGTCACCCGGAAAGACACGACATGGCCCATATGCAATAACCACGGCTGCTCTGTTTTCCCCTCTCCACGACACTTCCGCTCAGTCGCCTTCTTCGCCTCTGGCAGCTCGTCGTTGGAGCCGTTGGCTGTGCTCTATCCATTCATTTTTCCAAGCGCTTTGAGCTGGCCCTTCACATTCCCTTTTGCCTAGCTGGATTCCTTTTCTTTTTATTTTCTTCTCTCGTCTTATTCCAATCGTTGACCTGGCTGTCCGGTTCTGGGCATTGAGACCCATTCTCTGTGCATAGCTCACAGTTCATTTTTGTGACCTTGATTTGTGCAGTATGCCCCTCCCACCAACCCCTCCGTTACCCTCCTCGGGGGACCAATGGCTGACAATTCGCAGACTCTTGATAATCTTCAGTCGCAATCATGGTCTCGTTTTTCGGGTTGAAGTTGGGTGCCGATAAGAAGAAGTGCGATCCCATGTGTGTGTGTGTTGCCGTTGAAAGTGGTAGCTAATGCATCCCAGGAAAGCTGAGAAGAATCCCGAGCCGAAACCGCAGCCACCACGCAAGAGAGTCGACCAGAATCTGCTTGGTGAAGGTCAGTTCTTTGGGAGCAACCTCGAACGGCCTGTCCTCATCAATGGCTCCCGTCCCGGAACATCAATGTCCAATAAGAGCTTCGTCGCCAACTTCGTTCATCCCAATGCACCATCATTAAACGGCGGAGGTTCTTCGCTGTACGGCTCTCGTCCGGGTACCGCCATGTCGAACAAGAATTTCGTCGCCAATTTCCGTCACCCAAACGCGCCGTACCTGAACGGTGGCTCGTCTTCGATGGTCGACCTCAGTGGCCCCGGCAACAAGGCGGGTATTCGGCCGATGGGGTCCGATAACAACTTGAACATGGGCTGGAACAACGGTTCCCTGACGAACCTCAGCGCCTCGGCCACCGCACCCGTTGGTAGTGAACCAGGAACTCCGATCTCGCCTCTCCGCAAAAACAACTGGGTCCACCCTCTCGACGTGCACTACAGTCGTAACGGTGCTCTTAGTCCGGCACCGAGCTTCGCCGTCAGCGCTCCTCACTCTCCCGCCTACCCCCCAGGCCACACCCTAAACCACACCGCGAGTGCCGCGCCGAGCGTCTCAAACGCACCCCGGAGTCCGCTAGGCCAATTCGAATTCAACCTGAACCCGTCAGCCATCTCAAAACACAATGAGTTGACCCCGGCTCCGCTGTCGCCTACCAAGGCCTACCCGTCTCCTCCGCAATCGGTGAACGGTTCTCTTCCGCCAATCAAGACCGACTGGAAGCCGAAAACCGCCGTCACCACCGTCCGGGACGCCCATAAGCCCGGACCGGCCTCACTTCCCTCACCCACCACATCGACGGAGCGCACCAGTGAAGAGGAGCTGTCTTACCCCAGACCCATTATCCAGAACGTCGCCGCGAAGCGAGACACACTAACATTCCATCAACCAAGGCGGCAGAGCTTTTCGATGGATATCGACGAGGACACTACCGGCTTCAACTTTGGTGCCGGGGAACGACCAAGCACAGCCGGGCCAACGGCGCCCCCTCCGAGAAGCGCCCTTCGTCCGTCGCCACCGGAGCTGAAAACCCTACCTCTGCTTCCGATCGAAGCTCCATCCCAGGCGCTTCCGCCTAGGAGCCCCGGACTTCCGCCCCCAAGGCCGCCCCAGGTGCCTTACGAGGGACCACTACGGAGCCCCGCCCGGCCACCTGAGGACTGGATCAACGCGAGGGAACGAGTAGGTTCGGACGCGAGAGAGAGACCGACTTTCGAGTTCAGAGAGAGACAGAATTCCGACGTCCGTGGGCGAACGCTCGAAGCGCGTGGGAGACAAGATTCAGACCCCAGAGAGATGACGAGCCCCGACGCCTATTCCCGGGGAGACCGCAACGCCCACCCGCAAGGCTACCTCGGGCCCCCACCGCCTTCCAAACGAGTAGCGCCGGGAGAAGGCGAGCGCTCCTACGGCATCACCCCCGGAAACCGACGACCGCCTCCGCCACCCGTGGAGTTGCAGCGCAAGGCATCGAACCCGCAGTTCAGGCTGCCGGGGTGGGACGACCGAGACGTGCAGCACGGAAGCTTCGCCATGATTTCCCCCCGGATGCAATCCCCGCAGCCGTTGACGCCCTTGACGCCAAACAGTCTGGTCGCCGAAGCGTCTAACGATGCGAACTGGCCGTTACCAAATCCGCTGGCGAGTCCGACGTTTGGGACTGGAAGGAAAGCCTATACGCCCGTTGAGAAAGTCGAGGGGCAGATGAGCCCTGGGCTGGCACCGCCTATGGCTCCTGGTCGTGATATGTCACGCGAGCAAGGACATGAGCAAAGGAGGCCGGACTTTGGACTGAGGGCGCCAACGGGAATTGCGGATGAGTTCCGAATTGGCTTCATCTGAATTGAAAGAAGGAGTAGAGAGGGGACAAAAATTGTTCCTGGATGATTGTTTAGAGATATCCGGGCTTGGAAGGGGTGGGGTGCATTACATGATATTGGTACGGGTGGATCGGGTATTTGGGGAAGGCACATGGTCGAGGCGATCCGGAAGGAGCGAGCACACACACACACACACACATATATATACCTGATTATTATTTTTGGACATTTAGATGCGGAAGGTTGGGGCATCATTGCATACCGGTGTTCGGTTCACTAGAATTAAATGGATAATGTAATCAACCCAATTTTTGACTGTCGAGTTCTGATTTCAGTATGAGCTAATTGCAATATCATTCTTCCCTAAAGAGCAGTTATTGACTTGAAACATAAAATTATTCCTTGTAAATACAAATGCTTATTAAACTTGTTTGCTTATCCCAGCCGGTGCGCGTTTCCATGTCGAATCCCGACCGCCCATACCGATTGCCTAGCGACATGCGCTTCTGTATGACGAGCACAGTTGTGCAATGAAACGCGCTCAAGACTGGTCGTGACTGAAGAAGAAAGAAAAATAGAAGGGAAGCAATCACACGTTGAAAAGAATTAGTCTTGCTCGCACACCAGTCAATGACGTCTATTACGATGATGGAATGGAGGGTATGTACAGGGTCGGGCGCCGCGATAAACGCTGGGGCCTTGAGAAACCCAACCCCGACCGAAGGCCGACTCGGAACGACTATCGAGTACATAACTCAAGGTATCTCCGTCCGGACCCCGGAAGAAGTCAAACCCCGGACAGGTTCTTCCGAAACGACCGGGAATTGTGGAAACTGTCCCGTTTAGTAAGTACCTTAATTCTTCAGACGACGTAGGCACGAACCAGACTGTAACAGGTGACATTACGGCGGCGACACGGCGCCGGCCAATATGGCCCCACTTAGAGCCGAGGACTACCGCAGGCAGAACATATCTGTAATTGGAAAGATCGATCGCTGACTAATTGCTCAAATACCGGCCTCTAATTATGGATAGCGCTAACGTAGAGGAAGTTGTAAAGCAAGGGGTCGCAAGGGTCTGAGAGATTGACATGCTACTTCGTCAGCAGCTCCTAAGTTGCTGCTCTTTTTTCACAGCACATAGAAGCGAGAGAAGAATATGAAAAAGTGGCTTTCTACTGAGAGATAAGGACGGCGTTCTTTTGTATAATTTTGGTGTAGGTTTCATAGGGGGTGAAACGGAATTCCGTTCGTTAATAATAAATAATAGTAAATTGGTTCTAATCGATGGTTTATGATAGTTGAAAGTGGTGTTGTTGACTAGAAGGTGGGGATATTCCCCCTTGGCCTGTCACGTGGGTCTGGGAGGCTTGGGCCTCTCAGCCTGGCGGGCGTATGGCTGGAAGTGCTATACGACTCCGTATTCCAACTATCGCAATACTGGAAACTCTCTTTTTATAGTGTTGAAGCGGTTGGAATACGTTATCCCTATACAGTTCCGTCTCCTCGTCAATTCGGCCTCCTATCCCTACTTTCTCCCGTAGTTACGGTCTTGTTACCTATCCCTCTATACGTATCGTTATCGTATTGCTATTAACGAATCTCTCGAGGGCTTGATTTGGTTTGCTCTTCGTGAGGGTATTAGCAGGGTTGTCTTAGCCATTGTCTATAGGAACAAGATACCTATGCTATAGACGTGTTTCTGTTTCACGTAACGTTGTAGAATGTTGGCAGTGGCCATGTGCAATAATTTCTCTTACTCAGCGGATGCGGACCTTACTCAGCGTCATCAGTTGCCCAGCGGAATTCCGCCCACATTACCCCTGACCAGTACTTACTAGTTCACCCTTTTCAGGTCTATTCATGTTGCCAAGAGTAAACTATAGATTCATGATTATTATACAGCACGTACTCCTATTTACTTAGTTGGACTCAAGGTCTTAGTGAGCATTCAACCAACGAAAAGCTGTGAGCATTTAACCGAAATGGTGTTACAGGGGTGGAACTCTCTGAGGATATAATTCGGTATTCTTAAGCATACATATTAACGAACTTACTGCGAAACCATCCCATATAGTATGGTAGGCCTTGCCGTAATGTCAACATGCCTTGATTTGATTCGTACACCCAGCCAGAGGATGCACTCTCGTGGAAACACAAAGGGATCATTTTATCAAATATCGAAAATCAAAATGCGACCATTTGTTATCATCATTCTAATGAATTCTAACACCTTACAATATTGTTATGCACTTCATTTCCCGCCCCTCAAAAGTATCAGCCTTCTTTAAGACCCAATCAAGGCTCGCAAATCCTACTCTCCGGTAAACATCATCCCCGGCGGTCTCCTCATCTTTTTCCAGAACAAGGCCCTTAATCCAGCCGTTCAACAGGCCCATCTCTGCCATAGAAGCACTTTTCCTCGTCAGTGCCAAGCAGTATAGCTGGGTATCAGTCGTCCTCATCCGATCCCCGAATCTGTTGGTCGTAATCATGGCGCTGTCGTCGAATGTGAAATCACCGCAAGACTGATTAAAACCATCTACCACGATTATGAGGCCTTCACCACCAAATGCTGCCCAGCTTTGGTCAAAACAAATCTCCGCTTCTGCAATCCTGCCAGTTATCCCAAGATGGCCTGACAAGGCCTTTGATTTGGGATTTGAATCAAGGTATTCGACAGTCGCTTCATTGATTTCAACTGTAGTCTCCGCAGGGCCAGGATCGAGGAATCGGATACTATCCACACCAGACCCGTGCGTGCTTGCCCATGACCATGATGGTGCCGAGTACACTTTGCTCCTGGATCTCGATTCGTCTGTCTGCCACAAAAGATCGTTGACAAGATTTGCTCGCCAGAGGCCGGCCAAATAATCGTCTTGAGTTCGTTTGCTAACGATTTCTGCCAATGATGACACAGCAACGAGAATGTCGTCTTGTTTCGTCATGCTTTTAGAGGAATATTCCGTTACGAAAGCATGCCATGCCTCATACATGATCTCTGCGTCATCAGGTTCTGAACGGAATATTTCCTTTATCTCAGAATATGGAAACATGTCCGAAGCGTCGTCTGCTGGTGAAAATTCGACACCTTTATGGGTATAGCATTCCCATGCGGCGGAGGCATCTGTCATATGGATTATCCGGCGTGATAGGTAAAGCTCTTGCATCGTCCATGCCCTCTGATTTATCGGGGCGCTTGTAAAATGTCTGTGTGTATGTGGAAGAGGCCTCTGAGGAATTTGGCCAAATATCTTGCAGGGCTGAAGCTCGTACCGTTCCACTACCCGTTCCTTAAACATACCCATATCAGCGTGCTCGGAGGATGTAGCCGCAATTGTTACGACGGCGTTTCCGTAGAACTGCCCCATCCAAGGAGCCTGAGCTCTCCAATCCACATCGTCGTCTTGGACAATGCACAAGGCGTCGATCCAAATGTATCGTACACCTATCGCTTTGCTGATCCACATTGCATCCCTAACAGTCTTAGGAACGCTCTGTGAGAAGATGGCCCCTTGCAGTTGTTGAACGTTGGAGCGGAGCAGTCTGCAGTGATTTCTCGAATCGCCTCCCCAGCAATACGACAGGCAACTGTACGGCATCCTGGATCCTCTGGTCTTAATTACATGAGCTTTTTTGAGCGGAGTTTGGTGGTCTCCCAAATCAACAAGTCTTGTAGGCATGCGAGATTCATGATGCGACCGGTCGCATTGGGGATGAGATAGTAAGCAAGTACCCATCCACATCATCAACTTCACGATCATGGGGACGTCCAAGGGGGCCTTGGAAATGGCCATATCGGTGATCTTATCATGTAGAAACCACCTATTAGGACCACAGTAATCTCCATAAGCTTTGGCAATCTCTTGGCGCTGCTCTTGAACGCCCGCGGTGTCCTCCTTTTCCATCAAATCATTATAGTCTGGCAGTACTTCTTCCAGAATACTCTCCAGAGTATATTTGACCGTTTGATTCTCGGGGAAAGTAGGTTTGAAGGTGTTAAGGTCACTATTATCATTTGGAGACGTCGTCGGTGAAGTGATATCTTTACCGAGGGAGACATGGGGGTCATCGCCAGGTAAGAAGTCAACATCTAACGACTGAGTAGAAGAGAGCCTGTATATTGGGCTTGTGATTGGTTTTTTCTGTGAGTTGTAAAGCGTCTTCTTTGGGTCGTCTTTTTGTTGTCGATGTTGCTGGGCTGAGGGTGCTCCAATAGTTCCTTTCCCTGGAGCGTCCGAGGGCTTGCCAGACGTGCTGCCTGCTACCGTTTCAGCCAACGAAGCTGTACCCTCCTCAGAAATTCCTAATTGATGCTCACTTGATACGTTTTTTGGAACCGGAACTATCAAATTTCTGGCTGTTCCGCTGTGGAAAGCTGTTGGATCAACCATGAAATCATCCAATTCGCTTTGACTCGTTTTGCAAGGGTAGTATATGGTGAGGCCCGTGGCCTTCCCAGTGTCCACTTTGACACCAACCTTGATGATGTTCTTATCAAGTTCTAGGAGTTCCAAAGCATTCGGCGAAGGATGATCATATAAAATGGCCGCTCGAAAGATTCTGCAACTGGAACAGCCTTGCTCAGCAAGCGATTCCAGTTCGTTCCAGTCTTGATACTTGACACATGTCGTGTCCCTCGCACCGTTGTCATCCTCGAATTTCTGATTCCAAGTTGAGTGCCCTCTGATTCGACGGCAAAGGTCGCAAACAAGTTGGCCGTCGTCATGCACCGAGACAGCAGGTGGAGACTCCCTCACAACAGTTTCAATCTGTGATACAAGCAACCAACTTCGCATCGGCCCCATCCTCGGACCATCTTTCATAAAGCTTCGAAAGAAGGCTCTGCCATATTTTGTCCGAGATAAGTGTGACTCCATGAAGATGCAGATGATTCGCCTTGATTGGCCGTTACGAGCGCTTGATTTTGGATGGTGCAGTCTTTCCACGGCGAGAAGACAGAAAATGCAAGAGGAGAAGAGGAAAACGCCGTCATTCGTGGCCTTATATAGTCCAATCGCTTGCCGCAAACTCGCTCCAAGGTCGTTCGCCATAGGGTGGCACCACAAGGCGGCCGCACGACTGTGAGGCAACCATTGGAGCTTACTTGCAGAGTGGGCGGCCACAAGCATTAAAACGGACCTTTGTAAGCTAAAAACTAGTATTGCCGCATCTCTTGTCGCAATAAAAAAGCCTGAATACTCTGGACTTACAAATCTCTCGGGGTTCTGCTGAAATTACGATCGATGTAAGCTGGATTTCCTAGCTTAGCCTTTGGCTGAGTGAAATCCTTTATTCTGAACGTTATAACAGCAGCAATGAATGAGAGCTCAGCCCCCAAAACAGTCCAATACGGGTGGTATTACAGTTAGCAAACAAGACGAAAGTACAAACACCAATGTGCCTAATGTGATACGCCACCTAGTTCAGTATGTTAAGATTGTTCAGACGGTGCACGTATTTGGCGCTTCTACTTTACTTGAAAATCTCATTCCCGCATCCTTGATGCAAGAAGCACGAGTAACTTTCCTCTGACTGGAGTGAAGGCGATATGTTACCTCTGCGCCGACACACTATAGTTCAGCAGCAGTAGATACGAAAAATGGGAGCATTACATTTGTGCATCACTGAAGGTGAAGCTTATCGGCGGTAGTCGATTTTGCCCTATGTCCTGTCAAGTGACGTGTGAGCAAGCGCTCTTCCTATGACCGTCTGGCACTAGGCCTCTAACTTGCAGCATTCCCATCGTCACTGGCTCAGGATAGTCTATTGAGTAGAAGAACATGTCTTAAACGGCCACCAATCAAGTCCCAAGGGCCACCCAACTGCAAGCTGCATTTTACAAGTGTAACACAATAAATCGACTGGGGAGCGATCTCGGCATGAAGTTAGACTAATGTTGGAGGCCGGACATGGCTGCGATATCAGAACGGCTGCAAGAAGCCCGCCACCCCACCTCCAGAAAGCCTAAGGTTGCGCTGTATATAAACGGCAAAAGGTTCAGTGCGGAGGGGCAGGGCATCTGAGATAAATCAAACTACAATAATCAACACACGGAGGCATCATGTCTGAAGATGCTTGCCATGTACTTGATCCAGATGGCGACGTATTGCTCACCCTACGCAATCCGAACGCCCCGTTCGCTGTTTGGGATGAATCCGAGGAACCCAGCATCGATGGACCGATCACACTGTATGTTCTTGGCTCTTGCCTCCTCATAACTCAATCAGCACGTTCTGATCTTTGATTATACTACAGAAAAACAGATCCCTATTCGCTCTTTGACAAGTTCATGTCTCCTGACAGCCCGGACCAATTGACTGAGAAAGACGATGACTTCTGGATGGCTATTTCTACAAAGATGAATATGACAGCCAATGGGAAGAACAAGTTAAAACGACAAGAGAAGCAGAAAAAAGGTGAAGAAAGAGTTGAGATGGTGACACAAGAGCGTCCTCTAGGGCAACACCGTAAAAGGGGGCGTTTCACCGCCCTTTCAGAAGCGGTATTTGCAGAACGTACCCAAATAATGTCATCAGCCCCAATTGTCGATGAGGGGCAAGTGGCGTTGTCATCATCGCCAAAATCCGGCGCTTCTGCGTCCAAGCAATGGCCCGCCGATCTCAAAACAGGCCCCCAGAACACAGTCGCAAAAACTCAGGAAGTCACTTTTCTTCTCTCATCTCGGCATCTTTCGCTAGCTTCGAGTTATTTCAAGGCCCAGCTCAACGGTCCTTGGAGGGAGGCTTCTGTTCAGCAGTCTGACGGTCGTTACCATCTAGATGCGTCAGATTGGGACGTCAATGCTCTGCTTCTTTTGATGCAAATCATCCACGGAAAAACCAAGGACGTTCCCAACTGTGTAGACCTTGAAACTCTTGCCAAAGCTGCTGTTCTAATCGACTACTACAAGTGCCATGAAACGACTGGATTCTTCTCCACCCTGTGGGTGAAAAGTCTAAAGTCAGAGCTTCCGTCAGATCTCAACCGAGAACTGATACTTTGGCTCATGATATCAGTCGTCTTCTTGCAGAATGATGTCTTCGAATCGATCACGAAGACAGCTGTACAAAGAAGCGACGGCCCCATTCCAATGCTCGGGTTGCCCATCCCTCAAAGCGTTATAAGTAAGCGACTTTCTCTGTCTCAGCTTCGATTGCTAATCTCAATAGACGCCATTGACTGGCGCCGACAGGACGCGATCAACTCTATATCCACGGCGCTCATAAATCTCCTCAAATCGTTGTGTCAAGAATCAGAGAGATGTAGTTTCGACTGTTCTGCCGTTCTTCTGGGTAGCCTCACAAAGAACATGTGCGATTCCGAACTTTTAAATCCGACAGCACAAGAACCCTACCTTGGATATCAGCTGGCAGCTGTTGAGAAGAGTGTGCAGGAGTTCAAGTCGCCTTCCGGGCGGGTGGCTTCCAGGAATTCGTCTTATGGATACCATGATTATTACCATTCGAATAATAGACACTGCTCCTGCAGGCTGCCGGATATAATTAAGCAGCGCCTCTACCCCGGGCTTGACCGGAGCAAGGAAGGGTTCAGTCTGCAGGACCTACAACTCGAACTTTAATAGCCTTTTCAATGTCACACGAATTCGTTCAGACTAGCTGATGCGGATACCTGCCATTATGTCAAATCTACCCACCACGAAGCTCACAGACTTATTTATTATGTTCACAAAACTTATGTGTATTATCTTCCGCCTCACGCACTTTCTAAAATGATGTTTATGACGAACTAGGCGCATAGCAATCGGGCTAGAAAAGGTGTAAAAGAGTGACTTGATTTAGAAAGAGGGTATGTCCGCGAGGAAGCTCGTACTTATACGTACGTTTACGGTGTGCGTTTCATGTAGCTTACGTAACACACTTCGCACGGTGTGTTCGGTGAGCGTTGATACTATCATCACAATGTTTGATTGTAGTATGTGTTGCCCATAGCCTTTCTTCTAACTGCCTCAATGGCTAAGCCTACCGCTTTTCCAGCGGCCCTCCTCTAGTCCCCCTGACCCCAAGACCCGAACTCCCGCAAAGAGAATAGCAATCATCTAGACTCAAAATATGAGAAAGGTAAGCATATCTACTATGAGAGCCTCCGCCAGTCAGTTTTTTGGGCATTCCGCAGATGTGATTCAATAGCAGTAGTCAATGGAGTTCCCAGAGGAAATAAGACCAGCGCCTTCAACATGAACTGAAAATAGTCGATTAGGGTGCCACATCACCAGGATTCACCTGTCATTTAATTCGCCAACGACTGCCAAACATAGGCGCTTTGTTGCAGACTCTAATCCCCAGCGGAGAGACGGTAATGCAAATCTAAGGGGCTCTCCAAATCGGTCAAGGGTCTCCTCTATCATTTAGCATCAGCGCTTGCATCTTAAGGACCTCGAGGAGGCAGCCGGGATGCTTGCCTGGAGCATGAGGTCATCTGAGATATGTGGTACCTGTCCGAATTTTTTTATTTAAACAACAAAATGATTCCAAACGGGATACAGACGGATCTTTTCAGAAGATGGGGATTCACCTCTGTGCATTTTGATGCCGAAAAAAGATATTCCGTAGAAGGAAATTCATCGCCAGTTCTCGGACAGATTCCCGGGTCGATCAATCAGAGCACTGCAAGTTCGTTACAGCATTAAATTGAATCCGAATTTCTTCCCCATGATCATTATATCGGGTGCTCTGAAGCTCTTATGAAGTTCGCACGCTTTAGTTCATGAAAAATCATCATGGTCAGTAGATGGCGTATGCTGCATCCAAATCAGTTCAATGTCTGAGCTAAACGTCTCGGAAAGTGACAACTACCTCCCTACCAATTCTTTCTCTCCAACCAGTTTTGAAAGACAGCAAAATGACACGCCACTCGAAAGCGTTATACACGAACCATCATCGACAGCTTGCTCAATCAACTTCATACTGTGCGATGTGAGACTCGTGAGTAACTTCCATAAGGCTTCTCTTGTAACTAATTCTGACGTGAAGTACACAATGCAGAAGAAGCCAAGCTTGTCATCACTTAACGACGACATAACGGCGAGTAACAGATTACGAGAGGAGATTGCTACTTGGTCACGCCCCCTGTCGAAAGAAACCTATGCCTTACTACATTTTAGACCGACTTCCCAAGTTCTTCTTACTAGGGTTGTGCAAGTAATCATTACACCGCCTGTCCGAGCGCATAAGATATCCTCTCTACACCAAAGCCCTGCCTCTATCGCAACACCTTTTCTTTCGAAGCGGACAGGGCCTCATCGCCACCACTGACCATCTTCTGGTTCCAAAGACAGACTGACTTGGAGTCCTGGCCGTCTTGGGGCACCGCCTACTCAACATCACGGTCTTCTTCTTTGTTCATTCGCCGGCTTTCTTACCATTTCCGTAAATGAGTCATAGACTCATATTAAATACTTCTTCACATCCTGCCCAGACCGTGTTCCAAATACAGAACAAATCTCATCCAGACCTTTCCCTGATTAGACATACTGATTGATTCGCCGTCTATTCGAAACAGAACACGACACCCGACACATTTGGTAAGACAGCCGTTCATAAATTGAATCAATAAGCCTAATAGAGCTTGGAGCAACACACTTGTCAATTCCCACCGCAAATATTGACTATTCTTATTTAAATACCCGCACCTGCCAGAAGCTATGCAAGTCGAGTCATCATCGAAAGAGAACGGGAACGAAGGCTTTTAGCACCTTACGTTTCTAACAGCCATAACGTGGAACGTGCCACCAACCCTTTCAGTAAATCTTTCCATGGCCTAGGTAGGCGTTACAGGCTTATTTCGTGTCCAAAGACTCAACTGGATTCCACTTTCTGAACCCACCCAATCATTCCGTTATACACAGCTTCAGCACTGAGGTGGGTGTTCAGGTTGTGACCGAGGCCAGCATGGACCATAGTGTCGCTGAGGATCGGGTCAGCAGCAGGCCAACCATCTTTCAATGTATCCTTGGTCATGTCCCGCGGAGTGACGCAGCTAAAGCCGCAGGCAGAAAAGTCGTTTTCTCCATTTACGATTAGAACCGGCGAGGAGTAGTTCTTGAGGGATGAAAGATCCACCTCGTCGATAATCCCCGGAGCTGCAAGCAATTCACCCAAGGCTTGGGTCTGCATGCGGTTGACCGATTCCTCGAGAACTACTTAAGTCAGTATCATTTTCCCAATCCAAGTGAATCTAAGCAAATCAGATTGGACAAGGGGGGAGGCGAAATTGTAACTCACTCGCAGGGTCAAAATTCGGATACTTGAAAAATGACAAATGGACTCCGGTGGGTACGCCCGGCAGAATGTAGCCATCGGGCAGGTGTCCCAATCGAGGGTTATCATTTGCCTTGAGGAAGCCCAGCGCACCAGCAGTTATGGTTGGCGGCGGAGTAGAGACGAATCCCGTCAAAATGATGGCGTCAAAGTCTAATGGGAATTTGGCCGGGATAGTCTGCGTCACTGCGCTGCCAAGAGAGTGCCCGACGCCGATGATCTTGTTGTAGTGGCGACCCAATCCACCAGACCTCACCACGGAGTTCAAGCCATGCAAGATCTCAAGCGTGGACATGGAGTTGACCTCAAATAGAGGGTCTGGAATGTCTGACTTGCCTATTCCAAGGCGATCATAGCTGATGGTGGCAAGTCCTGCTGCGGCCGCAGCATGCTGGTAGCTATAGCCCGGGCCGAAATCCCAGTAGCTGTGATCCAAGGCAGCACCATGCGTCAGGACCTGAATCGACCGAGCAGTATCGTTGGAGTAGGGTGCCGATGGAACACAATACTTGACGAAAATACGGTATGTCTTGTCGAAGTGAATTTTGCCGGAGGCCAAGGCGGCCATCTGGTCAGGAGTCCACGTCGTGAGGGCTGTTGCCAAGTCCGTCAGTTCCAACTGGGTTGCCGGTATCTTCAATTTCCAGTTTGCCGAATCGAATGAAATCGATATGGGTATATGTCCCGTGATACATGTTGCAGACCCGTTCATGGAGGTGGCAACTTTTGCGTCCTGGATGGCAGTTGCGGCGGCGGCGGCGTTTGGGACGACAGCTGCGGCAGCAAATGCTGCCGCAAAGAGGGCGGCAACAGTACTCTGCAGAAACATGCTTATAGTGACAAGAGAATGCAGTCAACTGTTTGCAAGGTTTGTTGCGGTTGAAGACGAGACAATGTATCACAATTTCACCTGGGCAAGAAACTGATATAAGTACTCATGTCAACTGCGAGCAATCCACCCGGTCAATCTTTGAATGATTTTGCTTTCTTTACTTGGCGTCGTCCTTTCATTTCAGGCGGCATCACTATACGAGGCTTGATAGTAATTTCTGACTCAATTTCTTGAAAAAAAAAAAACTGTGCTGTCCGCCTGCCTGACTCAATACTGGCAGGATTGTCGTTGCGAGGATGAACTCTTGAGCGCCTATTGACGACCAAGCCCTCCTCCGCAGCAAAACTCCGCTCGATAGCACTCCGCTCTGTGTGATTTCGGGTTCCGTATGATCCACCCCCTTTCGATTTCGGGTTCCGCAAAATCCGCGGCTCCTTCCTGTGGGTTTTCTATATGAAGGCTAACGATCATGCGTGGACTTGAAGGCAGGTTTTGGTATTGCAATCCAACAGCCTGTACTACCATTCGCCTTGCCGTTTTATTTAGTTAAACAAATCTTACTAGACCCAAAGCCATGGGAGTTGTCGCTGTTGCCGGCGGGACAGGCGGTGTGGGTAAGACAGTCGTTGAGCAATTGTTGTTAGACGACTCCCACAAGGTCTTCGTTCTCGGAAGAAAGGTATGGGCCGATGAGGGTAGGTATGTGTGAGAAATTGCTAAGCGGGAGTTCAGGCGCAAGCTAGCAGATCAGCCAAGGAAGCGGATTTCCTCCAAGTCGACTACGCCAACATTGACGCTCTAGCCAGAATCCTCGAGGACCATAACATAGACACGGTCATCTCAACCATTAACTTGGAGAATGATGCGGGTAGCCAGTCACAGCTCGGCCTGATTGCCGCCGCCGAAAAATCGCAGGCTACTCGTCGTTTCATCCCAAGTGAGTTTCTGACTCCAATGGACGAAGAGTAAGGAATGTGACACAAGTCCATCGCACCAAAAGCTAAACCTCCGATTGCAGGGATCCGAAGGCAGGCGCAGGTTTTGGGGGATGGGTTCCAAACGCACGAGCCTTGAAGAAGACCAACCTAGAATACATCCGCATCTCGATTGGCTTTTTTTCGGATTATTGGGGCATGCCCCGTGTGAAGAGCAATCTGAAGCCTTTCCACTGGTTTTTGAATATGGAAAGGGGTCTCGCCGTCATCCCTGGCAGTGGTGATGACGTATTCACAGTGACTTACAGTGAAGATTTGGGTCGAGCCATTGTCGCGCTGGTCAACAGCGAAGAGCGTTGGCCGAAGGAGGGTATCCTGCGAGGAGATACCATCAGCGTCAACAAACTGGTTTCCATAGCTGAGAAGATTAGAGGTAGGTCTCCTCGTCTTGGCTTTGTTTGGGTGTATTGACTAGTTCTTTTAGGTTCTAAGCTTGATGTAATCTACGACTCGGTCGAGGACTTGAAGAAGGGCAATGCGACTCTTGTCCATGCTCCGAACGCTGAGCCTGAGAACGAGGCTAAGGCTAACCTGGCCATGGTTGTTCAAATGATCATGGCCGGAGCTTGCTTGTTGCCCCAGGACGATCGTGACTTGCGTAAGCGATTTCCCGACCTTCACCTAACAACCGTCGAGGGCCTTCTCGAGGCGGCATGGGGCTCGTGAGGGAACAACGTCGGTATCTGAGGTTGGGATATCTTGGGACCCAAAATCACAGATGATCTGGAGGAGAGCGGCGCCGCTTTCTTGCGTCACGGCGGACAGGTTCGATGGTAGCAAAGTATCATTGGTAATTTTTGTCTTGGTAAACGTCTTGTCCTCTTGCAAATTCTGTTACAGTGTGAAAATGCTTTGGGGTTATCGAACCGACACTCTTATATACTTCGAGGTCGTGTACCCACGATTCGTTTCGCAAAGGTAGGTAGGCCATCCACCAAATACTCATCCTTCCACTGGTTGTCCCGCTTTGCCACCAGGATGAACTCGAGGGCCTCAACTATTTCTTCGCTGTCCCAAAGACCTTCCCTTTTCTTCATTTTTCGCAAAACATCAATACACCTCCGCTCTAACTTGTAGTTACCACAAGTGACGCATATATATGACAGAGATGGAATGATGTGAGCGGTGTCAGAAAACAGAGGCCTCGATCTACTGCCTCTACCGTCAACGATATTTTCCGCCATGTCTACCAGCCGATGCATCTTCCATTCGTACATTAAACCCTCATTGACCAGAAAGTGCCGAATGCAGAGTTCCCACCCCTTCCTCAAGAGTCGCAACGTAAGTAGCTCCTCGCGGTTCACCTCCCGTGTCTGATGCGGCAAGTTTTCTTCAAAAGCGTCAAAGCGAGCGCACCACCTCTCAAACTGCTTAGCAGCGCCATGCCATCCCACGAATGAGTCTATAGCGTGATTTTCCGGGCAGGTAAACGATGCGGAGCCAAACTCGTCGGCTGGCAGCATCGACAGCTCATTGCGGCCGTCGGAAAGCATGAGCTCGACTAGGTGTAGGTGATACTGGGCGTCCGCGACATCAGAGAACGGACTATCGCCACCCAGCTCGCCGTGCATGAAAAACGACATGTCCGGCCCCACGCGTGTCTGCAGTCCCATTGAAATATCCAAACCAATGCACGAAAATATGCCTGCTATATCACACAGCTGGGCGAAGTGGTTCTTCACAGCGGCCATGACGCATGCTTCATGGGTTTGGAACGGGGCCGTGCCCAAAGCATTTGCCAGTGCCGTGTGGCGAATTGATTCTAATAATTTGATTCCGGATTTCAAATGCTCAATAGCCCCCTCGGGCTCTCCTTGGATGAATTCATAGCAGACGAACACTAGGCAGCAGACGAGGATGATTGGTATATCGGCGGGCGAAGGACAATTCATAACCTTGATAACCTCGGAGATCGCCTTTTGGTAGTACCTCTTACTTGAGATGTCTAGGGACAGTTTAGTTTCGGCAGCGTTGTTCTCTTGTTGGGGGCCGTCTAAGAAGGCTCTGTGAGCAATGCCGAATGCTATGATAGCATACTTGACTGCATCGGAATAGTAGCCCAAAGGCAGGATGTAGTTGATCCAGAGTTTGCCCGATGGCGTCTCGGACCCAAAGTCTGGTATTGCGCAGGAGCGGGCGTGACGGAACATTGACCTTTCCAAGTCAGTTCCTGTGATGTCCCAGATGACTGGAGCCGTCAGCACCATTACCGACATTGCGTGTGTTTTCCGCTGCGGTGTACTAGCTGCCGAGCATGCGTCGGGGTTCGATGGCGACCTGGTCCATGATGCGATGGAACTTCGGTAGTTGTCTACATTCTGCCTTTCAAGTCTGTACCATTTACGAAGAGCCTGCGCTCTGCCATGCTTAACACGTCGGGCCCTGTGATATGTTAATCGATTGCAAACCAATCAGCATTATCCGGAAACAAATGCGTTTGGAAGTTTTGCGGTCAGTTGGGGTCTTACTTGCTGCTTGAGACCAATATCTTGTTAGCCATCAGCGATCTGTTCGGCTAAAATTTGCACTGCCGCTACTTACCGTGTCTCATATCCAGCGTAGTCCGTTGAAGCAGTCAAGTCTTCAGATCTAAACTCACATGTTTTACTTGCAAGAGTCGCCAGGAACACGGTGGATCCTGGGATGTTGAAAGCCGCCAACGCCATTGCTGTGAACAAGTTAAGGCCAAAGCCGTGATGGAACGAAAGAAGAAAATCGAAAGGAGAGCTTGTTAACTTTAGCTGGCAAAGGGTAGCTAAAAAAAATTCCGGGCTGTAGGGAACCTGATACATAGCAGGGCATGCTTATGCAAGCCACGGCAAAGGTGAGGACAATTCCCCCCTCAGCCACAGAGGCGCAAGGCCTTTCCCATACTACTACATGACTCTGTTAGCGTCGCATTTGGTGATTAGACGTCAAGTGACAATATCTCTTCCAGTGGGCCTGTCGAAGGCAGAAGCTGATTCCCCTGAATCGTGGTACACCGAATGTGACATCTTTGTTTCGACATGCGCCTGGACTTATACGCTATCAGTTAAAGCTAGTACTATGGTTAGAGATCTAGTTCTCTTGATATTTATTAAGAACTTTTCATATTATAAATTCGAAAATCTTTACTCAATCCTATTTCTTCAAATTAAAACTTTTCTCCTTTTTTTCCCCCACATGTCCTGTAACGATGTTTTACTATATAATTTTTATTGAAATCTATAGACAAATTATTAAAACTAAGATTATAAGGAAATAAGTGCTGAGCCCAATATCGCTTACAAATAACAATAGGTCAACAGTGAGTATCACATGGCTATGGCGAACGAGCCATTCGCACTATCCCATTCGAGGGCTGTCTCGTAGGTCTTGCCAGCCAAGGTATCGCCGTGAATAAGGACGATGGAATTGCGATCCTGCTTGAGCAGGTTCCAAGGCCTATATCGTCATCCCGATTCGCTATAGAACGAGTGAATCAAAAATTGAATGTATGGGGAAGAAGTTGTTGTGTTTAAGCTGGCTGATTCTACCTACAGGAGGGGCACCAAACAGAATGAATTTCTCCACAGACAATATCTGACAAGCGAAAGTAATCAAGTTAGTATGTGATGATCTAAAACGAATGATTTCAAATCAGAAAGTATTTGAGCCAAGGGAATTTATATCCAGATACTGAAAAACATTGGTCTGCTAAATATTCATCCCTAGGTGTTGAAATAAGATCGAGGGTCTGAAAGTCCGAGAGCATGGTTTCGCATGACGCGGGATGAATGCCAGAACACGATGTCAACGGAAATAGCTCTTGAGAAGCCATAAGAGTGCGGTGCAGAACTGTATTCCCCAAGCACCTTTCAGAGTCAGGCTCTCATGAGACTGCGGCGTCCGCGGATACCTAATCAATCTCGAAATATGGACATTTTGAGGATCCGCGTGTGGGGAAGTTTCTTAAGATTGGCGTTGCGTCCTCGCGCTACTAACCACTCCACTTTATTGCGGCATGTTGCGAAACCGAGACCGAACCAATGCTCCGCGTGTAACCGCCTCCTCAAGTTCATATCAGACGAAAACTGAAATTCTAACAAAGGTACATTGTTGGCCTTTTGACTAAGTCTGCAGTATGGGCTATGCCACGCTGCTGGAAGCTCATCGACCTGAGAGATCTTAATTTCGCTCTGTGTCGCTAAGCCTGGCCAACTAATTTGAACACCTTCCACGTTCTGTCGAGGTTTTCTTCAATCCTTTTTAGTGATATTTTCAGAGGGGGTGTGGAACTCGGCCGAGGAGTCCTTCTTGTTGAGGTATCGGTACTTCTTGCTAGCTTTGCCGTAGGTCTTCTGTGTGTTAATGACATCCTAGTTCTGGCCCCGGTCAAGGTAGTTGAGGTATTGGGAGTGGCCATACCTTTTGGCAGCCTCGTCAATCGCGGTGGAGATGTAGGTGTCCTACTTGGGTGCTTCATGGACTCAGGGACGCGCTAGAAGACGTCGGCGCTGCCCGTTTTCGTCTTGGGTACCCCTAGAGTAGGAACCGCCAAAGGCCTTTTTCACAGCGGGGCAGCGGATAGCGCCATGGTAAAGTATGGCGGCGCTCACCGCCAACATGAGAAAGGCGAAAGGTGCAAAAAAGAAGGTGTTAGACACCTTGTAATCTGCATTAGCGTCTGTAGGCTTCTGTCTTGTAGTCTTAGGCCGTGTTTACAAACGATCTCAGAGTGTCTTGAGTGACTTGGTTTGCTATGCTTTTTAGTTCCCGGTGCATGAGACAATAGAGCGAGAAGGACGAGAAAGCCAACTTCACACACATATAGACACACACACACACACACACACACACATATATATATATATATATATATATATTTATCTTGTTGTCTATAGCTTTGAAAAGCATTAGTAGTTATTTTCAGGTACCATGAGATACAGTGAGATACTTCAAACACAAGGGAAAGTCGAGACCGAATCGGTCACATCCCTCAGGGGCACAAAGTTGTCAGCTTACATGGTCCCAATAACCTCCTTTATGAGCATGGCAGAAGCATGAACCAGACTGGTTGCTTCATTCTTTAACACACTTTCAAGGCAGTGGTATTCTTGGATGTATCTTCCAAAGGGATAGTCATACAACGATCTTGCCCTCTAACGTGGCTCCAATCGCCCAGGTGCTTATTTCTATGCATTCGGGTGTCAGCATTTATTCTCGGCCCTCGCCGTCGGCAGGAATTATGCAAAAAAAAATAAAAAACCAGGGCTTTTTTCTAGACTCTCCAACGTCCCCACTGTAGCCAGTCGGGGATTCTCATGCATTTCATTCTGGGACGTCGTCTGATGGGACTTGTTAGCATAGCAAATGCCTTGCTGATTTTAGCCGGTAAGTGTTACGGTCAAGGCAACAACCAACTGTGACACAAAGCGGAGGCTTTGCTAATGGCAGTTCAGTATCATCATCCCCTGTTCTGCACTACGTATTTACGTCAGCCAGCACCCCAACTGGTTGGGTCACAACACGACAGAGACCGATGTTAGAACTTACGACTAGCCAGTTCCCACTGCCTTGCCGCGTAGTGATGATAACATAGCGGAGGAGACCCCTGGCCTGATTGGAGAGTCCCTCAGACTTACATTGATGTCTCACTGTGGCGGATAAGAGTCTACAACTTGACGACTTGATATCTAACAAAGAGCCTGTACTTGGTAGCCGTTGGCGAGTTGAGTGACTCTGGTGAAATCTGACTATCGGAGAACTATATTTTCCAAGTTACCAGGTGCGCAACTTGAGGTCTTCTCTAAATTAACTTGGGATCCTTCGAATTGCTGATTGAATGGGCAGAGAAAAGTTTATAACTGAAGACAGGGAATACTGAGTTGAAGCAAAAACGAGAAGAGCATGTCAGTGTCAAGAGGATTCAACTCTCAAAGTTTGCAAATGTTGGAACTGGTACATTACAAATACCACAACATTCCCCCTTTCCCCCTTGTAGTTCTCGTGAACTGCTTCTTTCTATTGAAGCCTGCTATTTCGCAAAGTTACATACTCTGATATGTGAATCTCCACTCCACGAAGAGAGTGTCGATTCTCGAACAACAACATCTATTTGCCTCGGTTTTGAACCAGATGAATACGGGTATTCAATAAACGAATGCGTATGGCCCTTACAAACCTTTTTAACTGCCTGTGCGCAAGCTACTTGGGCACTAGTAGGCTGTCTAACTCAGTAGTTCGCGGGTTATCGTTTCCAAATTTCTGTGAGGGCTAACGAGCTTGAAGCTTAGAATATACACCAGCGCCACCGTCACCCATAGCCGCGCTTTCACCTCCCAACTCAACTATTGGTACCTTGTCAGCCCGAATCTCGCTCTTTTCCGTGGAGGCTGCCTCTAAACTCTCTTACGCCCGCATCGACCCAGCGATTGCATCTCAAGAATCTCGAGGAGACGACCGGGATGCTTGCCCGGAGCATGAGGTCATGTGTGCCCTTTAGTCCCTTTCCAAACAAACCTCATTCAAACACCAAATGGCGAATGGCGAATGGCGAGAAATCTTGCGATATCAGGACTTGCCACTCTAAAAAAGAACTGCGCAGTCGAACCCAATGCTCTAAAAACCCTGTAGTAGTCAGCACGTTGCAAAATGCCTAATCCGTCCACCTTAACGCCGACGAACCAACCACAGCCACACCGAGACCCCGATTCCGCACGGAGTAATCATACTCTCCATGCACCCGGGCGTTATCGATCATGATCCCGAGAGAGCTTGAACATCCCGTCAGTCAGCATGAGACTGGGTGACCGAGATGCAGTGGTGGAATCGAGTGTGCTGAGAGACTGTCGAGACAGATTCGGTGTGTAAGACAAGGCTAAAAGCCGAAAAACAATCCTTACGGGGAATAATTATGGGTTAGCCTGCCGACAGCCCATACACACATACCCACAGGCACGTCAACAGGCCTAGAGGGGCCACCACCAATTGACAGTCATCGTTTCCCACAAGCTGCCCCGCATGCTTCAGCCCCTCCATCCACAGACGATTGCAGCTCGTTACTTAAGAGATTCCAGAGCCTTTCATCAACTACTACCCTTTGCGACTCACCTCACTCAACTCATTCACTAAGAACCGAACTTCATCACCCCAATTGAGATTCTTTTTTTGGTCTAAACAAATCAAAATGCCCACTCACACCGGCACAACCGTCATCATAACCGGTTCCGGCGGCGGCCTCGGCAAGGCCATCGCCGAAGGTTACCTCGCAGCCGGCGCCAACGTCGTCATCTCCGATATCAACCAGACCCGCCTCAACGCCGTGGCCTCCGAATACCGCGACACCTACGCCGGCCGCCTGCACGCCATCACCGCCGACGTCAGCTCTGAAGCCTCCGTGGACGCCCTCGTCAAGGGCACCGTCGACCGCTTCGGCCGCCTGGACGTGCTGATCAACAACGCCGCCGTCATGGACAAATTCGACCCCGTGGGAGAGTGCTCCAAGGACACCTGGGACTCCGTGCTGGCGGTCAACCTCACCGGCCCGTTCCTCACGACCAAGGCCGCCGTCAACCAGTTCCTGGCGCAGGGCGCGACAGCCGGCAGCGGCGGCCCCCCCGGCCTGATCATCAACATCGGCTCCAACGCCAGCTGGCGCGGCATGACCTCGGGGGTGGCCTACACGGCGTCCAAGCACGGCCTCGTGGCCGTCACCAAGAACACGGCGGGGTTCTACGGCGACAAGGGCATCTCCTCCGTCGCTCTGCTGCTGGGCGGCATGGACACGACCAACCTCATGGACGCTTTCGCGCAGGGCGTCAACCAGACGGGCATGGCCAAGGCGACGGCCGCGCTGCCCGAGTACAAGCGCGGCGAGACGGGCATCGAGCCCGCGGCCGTGGCCAAGTACTGCATCTTCCTGACCGACAAGGATATTGCGTCGTCGGCGAACGGCAGCTGTATCGTGTTCAACAAGAACTGGCCCCAGGCGTAAGTAAACCAGGATGGGTTTCTGGAAGTGGGGTATGCGATGAATCATAGGGCGGCGTACAATGGCATGGCTGTGGGGTTCAATCGGAAGAGGGGGGAGGGGATCTGTATTTAAAAGACGGCAGCGCAATGCTCGGTGAAGCATGATGGAAATTATGAGTTTGATACCAGCTCTGCTTTATTTCGTTTACGTGAGGACCTGACTAAAGTCTACTGACGGGTTGCAGCGGTCTCGGGTTCGGTTGGCGAGACTTCATGTGTCTATCAAGCATTAAGTGAGACTACTACAGCTTTGTTGCCATTCATTGGCTTAGACAATTTACGAGTGAGTATGCAGTTGAGTGAGAGTATTGCACTTGAGATGGCTGTGGCTAGTAGAGTGAAAAAAAACTCGCACAGAATTGCGTGATTGAAGTGAGTCAACAGGCATGAAGTCAGACTTTGCTCATCATGAGTGACACGTCCTGCCACTCAATCCTTTACTAAGACAAGAACAGATGGAAAAAAGAAAAAAAGGAAAAAAAGATAACAGATAATAAGCTCGCTCATCCATTCATTGGGTTCGTCATCTATATGAAAATTAGGTAAAAAAGAAAATGAATGTGACTTCACGAAAATCGCAAAAATTGAAGATGCGGCCAGTGTGGATTGAACACACGACCTTCAGATTAAGTGATTGAAGTTAACTTCAGTCTGACGCTCTCCCAACTGAGCTATGTCCGCCACGATCTTCGTTGCGAAATTGAGTGCGGGGCTGCACTAAGTAGGGCCCCGCTCTCTCTCCCCACCTTCGCCGTAGTATCGACAGCGGGCCAGATGAGCGAGCCATCACGGTGCCAACTCCCTCGAAAACAATAGTTCCTTTTTCTTTCTCTACTTTCTTACGTTGCTTTTAGCGACGATTTTTGTTTCAACAACTTTGTCGAAGTGTACCCTTGATGCTCTTCTAAGCTATTACCGTGACACCTATTTCCCTGTTCTCGGCTCAAGAACACCCATCCATCAAGCAGCTCAGTTGTCCCATATGCAATTATACACCAAATTATTCCTTGGCTGTTAGCATCTCTTTCTCGGCAAAACTGCCCAGCAGCATGATATCCCATCTTCCCTCATGAAAGCCACATCATAACCATAAGCAGTCCACATGCATCATCAAAAGCCTATATACCCCCAACATAATGCTAGTCTATCATCATCATCATAACCATCATTAAAACCAAACTCATCCACGTCATCCCAAACACCAAACACACCTCTACCCATCCTCCCTCACAAGTCCAACCCTCCTATCCCTTTCCACGCCAAGCTGCTTATCCTCCGCCTCAAGTAACATCTTCTCCTCCACAAACGCCGGATCGCTCCTCCTAAACTTCTCCCTCATCCCGCACTCCGAACCCATCGGCCGCAGCGGTCTCGTCGAGGGCCCCGGGGACGGCGAGTCCGGCCAGAGTATCCGCTGCGCCTCCTCATCGCCGATACTCGACGGCGATAAGTCGTCAGAAGCGGCTGGCGTCCGCGGTGAGTGTACTGCCGAGTCTGCTGCGTCCTCCTCCGAATCACCACCTACCACCCGGCCCCCCTCCCCACCGGCGTTCACAGCCATCTCACCGTCCGCGCCTCCGCCAAACTCTTCCGCGGCTCTCGTGGCCGCTTCGGCCTCGGCCTCGGCCTTGAGAACGTCTCCCTCCTGCTTAACAACCTTGCCCTCGCCCTTCGCAATGACGTCCAAACTCGTCAACTTCATCAAAGTCATCCTCCGATGTGCTTTGATAAACTTCCTAATTAGCCCCAGCTCATTCTCTTTATAAACCCGATAGAAGCTTTTGTCCGTCATGGCCACCGCGTGTAAATCATCCACTGTATCCACCCCCCTCATAATCTTCAACCTCATCTCATCCGTGACCTCGAGTACCCTCTTCGGCTCCGCCACACGCTCTTTAAACCGCTTCGGGAGAACAGCCTGCGGCTGCTCTGACCGGTGCCTCGAAAGCACCCACCCGTGAGCGCGACCGCTGACATCGTGCAGCGTCAGCCCCGAGACGCTGTTGTAAATGTCGTGGATAGCCGCGCGAAACTGCGGCGCGGGGTCGCACACGCCGCCCTTGTGAATCGCGTGTGGCGGGCTCGCGATCGTGCGGAGCATATCGACGAGCTGGGCCAAGCTCCGGCGCGGCGGCTGCTGGGAATGAGACAGGTGTCCCAACGCCGTCGGCTTCATGATCGTAGGCAGGAGTTGCAGCTCCCCGTAGACGAGCATGAGCCACCCGAGATTCGTCGCGTCGCACCAGTGGTTCCCTCTAGGACACCGCGGGCTGCTGCTGAGCAGCAACGTAGGCCGCGCTTCTTCCGAAGGCGGACTCAAGCCCGGAGATCGATTCCTTGCCCTGGGCGACGCGAGCTCCGGCGTCAGGCTTGTTCCGCGGCGATCTTCTTCCGCGAATTTCGACGGAGGGCGCAAGTACTCCTGGATCGTGTTTACGCAGCAGGTATGAAGCTGCGCCATCTTGGCCCCCCTTACAGCCCATATCTTGTCCTTTACCTTTTGCGGCCACGGTTTGCTCTGCAGTTCCTTTTCGTCGACGAGATTCAATATGATGGTCTTTGACATTCGTGTAAACAGTTGCCGGAGCCCAAAGACGTAGCTGACGAGTAACAGGCCATCGGGCATATCTTCGGTCCCCTTGTGGATCCATTGCGGTAGCCACCTGTGTTCGACGTAGAGCTCAAGAGGCGAAGTGCAGCGGTAGCGCAGACATACTTCCGCGATGGCCACGAACTGTGCAAACGATACCTCTCGCGGGACCTTGTCGTTATGCATGTGAGCTGCATGAAGCAGAATCTTCAGCGCCTCTCCTTTGTTATCTTCGATCTGCGGCATGCGATACAGCTTTGCCTCGCTTCTGTCTTCGCAAATGAAGGGTGTTGGCGGGGGAGGAAGCTGCTCTGCCACGTCCTCGCCTTCATCGATCTTGACATGCGCGTGGCTGGTGAACATTCGTTCAAAAATCGGCGATGTTTCCGCCAGCATGAATGAAGACACCCGGAACCTGAGCACTGGCAGGAACTCGGCCCCTATGTTTGCGAATTCGAGAATGGCGTCACCGCGAGGCGACACTTCGTACTCCTTCACAGGTCGGTCCCCAGATAGCCCCGATTCTCCCAACTGCAAAACGCGGGTAACCTCAAGAAGGCCCTGCTTAACCGCATCATAATTCCTGAACTGAACGTCGTATTTCGCGCGAGAAAAGGCCGGACTGGGTGAAAATGTCTTGTTGATTATAGCGTTCCGCATTTGCTGTATCGCAGACGCGCGAAAGTCGTTGTCTTGTAAAAGGGAATCCACCATGCCCGGGGTGGCACTGGGGTCATAACTCCTATAAGTCTCGGCGAGCGAATTCCGAAGCGCCTCCAGCAAGGACTCGATACATCCCTTCCAGTCCCGGACGGCAGATAAGCAAGCCCCGCGATCGGATTTTGAATGTTGTACAAGGCTCTCCCTTATTGTGGATCTGGGGAGATTTCTACTGCTCAGAGAAGATTGAGGATCGATGGCCAGACCTTCGACCCCGTCAAGTGAGGAGGCTCGCGATGTTCGGCCGGCTTCAGGCCAAGCGCCGGACTGCACGCGGCCTCGGGCATCTGATGACGAAGACAACAAAGACCGACACAGAGAAATATGGTCCTTCACCTTGGCATACTCCTTATACGCTGCATCAACATTGTCCGTAGAGAGCGTCGAAGTGATCCGCTGCGTAAGCTGCTGGATCTGCCTCCTACTGGTTTCCGAGTCAGGAGATGTAATGGCTGTTTGGGAGCCATGACTCAAAGCCCAGTCGGTTGACCCAGTGGCTGTAAAATCGCTGACTGATCTCTGGTGTTGCGTTGCGGGCTTCGTCCAGTCCATTGCCGCCACATAAGGTTAAAGAGTGAAGTTGTATGTATGTGTGGTGTGTGGTGTGGGTGAAGGCGGAAGTGGGATGGCGGGGTTGGTTGTCGTTATCGGGTCATCTCGTTCCAGGCAAATGGCGGGGGTTTAGCGCAGGCACAACGGCTGGCAGAAATATCTAATCATCGCACAAATGTCACGATTAATAGTCGTTGAATTCTTGTTGCCTTTTTTTAATGCCTTTAAAGGGAGGCCAGATACGAGAAAGAGTCGTCAGCAATCGTATAACAGCTGGTACAATCATAGCCAATCACTTCATGCTGAACGAAGCTGGTCAGGTACATATATACACTATTCCAAGACTCGTAAATAGCCCAGGGACAAACTGCCAGGGGTAAAGTCATGGCAGCGAAACGAATGGCTACTAGACTGTGTTTCATGACTGCAGCTGACGGGATGTTTCTGCCGACGGCGCTGCACAGGTGGCCAAAATACGAGAAACGTTTTGGGGTTCGTGAGGGACTGTCTTGGCCAAGCAGGGATCAGACACCAAAGGCTCGCATAAGGCTGGGTGCGGGGCAAATCAACTCAAGTCATCATCCCTTGACTTGACGAACCCCCCCACCCTTCCATCATACTACCTACCTATCTACGTAGTAGACTACAAACCACATGGAAACAACCGCCTCCTGATGGCTTGATGATGATGATGGCTTCAAAAACTACTTCTATTTCGGTCACTGCCACAGACTTAGCCGTAACAATACGATTTGCTGGCCATGTCTTGCTGCCTATGAGCAACAAGAATCCTGGCTTCCAATCTGGCATCATTCTATATTCCCACCAAGCTCTGAGCTCGCTAGTGTCTTTTCAAATCATGTCTTTTAACGCTTCCTGTCTATCTGCTTACACTGACACTAGTCATTGATATCTTCTTCCACCCCCACAACGCGGTCCCGCTGGCTCTTCTCCTGCTTGCTCCTTTTCTGGATACAGAGGCCCAGCCTTCCACCGCCGGGTATTTCATGCCGTCTGCCAGCTTTGCTACCATCAACATTCACAACTACCTTTTTTTCTCATCCATCTCCATGTCCCTTTTCTCCCATGGTATGACTCTGTTGACAAAAAGAAACTTGATGACGCATGCCCGAACCATAACCCATACCGTTGCCGCAGATGCAATGAGATAAATAATCAGACCCTGCCGCCCAGGTATAACACAACAGAACCCCCCCCTGCAACCTTTTTACTGTTGAAAATGACAACTGAGCCGTAGTAATGCCACTTTTGACGCTTGAGCTAATACTTCGCGCACAATCCCTCAAGACGGATTTGCTCACTGGAAACATCCGTAACTTTTGCTCGGTCCCGTGTCGTTCGTCTCTGATGCATCTTCGTCACTATCAAGCAAAGCCAGGCCGCTGATGATCGACGCTGCGGAGGGTACTTGTCACAGCACCAGATCCATCCTCGCGACTCGTCCACTGCGGCCGGTTCTGCCTGTTGTTTTCCCTCTTTTCGTCTCTCACAAACGCCAGGAGTTTTGACACTCTGTCATCAAACTGTGCCACAATCCAGAATAGGCAATGTCCAACACTGGTCTTCAAGCAAGGCCGACACGTGAGCCACAGGCAAATGTCGATTGCCATCACTTGGCTCTTTCACCCAATATCCAACAAAGCATTATCAGCTTTCTGTTGTACCTTTTGACTACTCTTAGCAGCGTATGCGCCACCGGAGTTCCAGCTTGCGTCCACATATTTAACCGCCCTTCCGATCAGCCTCATGTTTAGGCGGTTGCTCACTTGGAACAAATCCGTTGGCATGATTCTTCGAGTCTCCCTTCTTTCGGCTTTTGCTGGCCCTATGCCAGCCTCCTTCGGGGCCGTGGCTTTCGCTCTTGACACCTCGGCTGTGGCCATTCTCCCGGAGTCCGTTAACTCTTGGAGGGTGAGCTGATGCCTGAACTGAGCTCTGTGCCTGAGGCTTTGGTGATTGCGACTTCGGGGATTGCACAGGCATCTGAGGATGCTTCACCTCCTTAGCAGCCTGCCCCTTGCTTTCGCTCTTCTTTACAGCCGGCGCGGTTGGCTCAGGTTGCACGGCGGGAGCTGATGTAGGCGCAGCTGTCGACTGATCGCTTTTCAGCGGATAGTCGCCTTTTCTTACAACAGTTGGTGAAGGCGATCTAGTCTCATTGATGGGGGACAAGTGCTGGGCATCTATGCTCAACTGGTGCGTGCCCATCCTGTTCTCTCGAGTTGCGAGATCCAATGGTGCAATCACTCCGCTCTGCTGCCGCATGGCTCTTTGTCGAAGGGATACCTGGGTACCATGGGCGACCTCCGGCGGTGTTTGTGTTTGCTGGGTCCAACCGTATTGATTCATCGACGACATCAGTGCGATTCTCTCGCGAAACGAAGCGTCGTCGACAGGTCGAGAAGCCGAGGCAGATGATGCAGAGGAAGTCGCGTTAGAGGCAGACGAAGGTGTCGAAGTGGTACCGTTGACAATTACTGGAGGTCGCTCAGATACCGCCGCCTGGACTGGTTCGGGTCCAACAGCCGGCTGGCCGTCTCCTTGGTCTGTAGGAACGCTGCTAATTCCAAGCCCTTGAACTGGTAGCGAGCTGTCCTGCGACGACCTGGTGAAAACATCGGCAACATGAGCATCTGCTGCAAGTCCCGCGGTCGAGTGGCGTTGTGTGGGAATAGAGCTCGTTCGTAAGGATGAGCCGGTTCCATTTACTACCAGAGGCCGTGATGCTGCTCTTCCATTGGCGTTCGCAGGAGTCGGTGATTGACCGGGGGTAGTCGTCGTGCCTTGTGAAAAGGTCCGCGCATGGCCTAGAGGAGACGGCGAGCGTGATGTCCTTCGCATCCGTCGATCCAAAATGGTCTGTGGAACTTCAGTTGACAGCCTTCGGCGTCCTTGGCTAGGCTGGGAAACATCTCCAAAGGCAATAGCACTGGGGGTACCTTGCGAGCGCGCTGGGCTAGATGTATCTGAAACGTAGTAGCCCAAGTACGCGGCTCCCTCATCAGAATTGGGTGAATTGCTTGCCGGGCGCTGGGGCGCCTCGTCGTAGTCGGCATCGTCCGGGATGAAGCTCGGAATCGGGACTCCATTGACATGGCGGGCAGGATTCGAGTTTCCGTTGGTCGGCGTGCTGGAGCCGGGGTAACCTTGGTTTTGCTGTCCCGTAGGAGCAGAGCGTGACGCGGGCTGAGATTGCGATCTAAGCGAGCTTCCCGAAGTCGAAGTGCCAGACTCTGTTGTGGCTGACGACCTTTGCAGTCCTCTGCGATATTCTGGGGTACCCGTAGTTGTCGCCGGCGAGGAGGGATAAGTGTAACCAGATGGGTTATAATAGGCGGCAGTAGGAAAGGGAACGCCGTACATCGTGTACCATTCTGGGGCGGCGATGGGAGCACTAAGCGGAGGGTTGTCAAACGAGTTCGTCCTAGGTCGGTCCGAGCCTTGCTGCGACGTCACGGAAGGGCCTTGCATCCTCTGGGCAGCATGCATCTGCGCGGCCATCTGTGCCTGGACTTGCTGATACACCTGGGATTGGCTGTAAAGCTGGAGGCGAATGTTATTTTCCTGCTGAAGTTGGGCGGCCATGGCTGCACTCACTAGCGCGGGATACTGGAGCTGTGGGTGAGTCTGCGCCTGTTGCGTGAACCAGGCAAGCTCCTGAGGGGTCATTGCTACTGACGGCATATACATTGTGTTAGTATCGTAAGCGACGCTCGAAGACGCTCTTCTGTTCGAGTTCCCGTTTCGATGGAAGTTGTTAGAGTGCCGTCCTCCCCGGTAGTTCCCACGACCACCTCTGCCCGAGTGCTGTTGCGAAGAGCTACGAATCATGACCGGCCGCGACGTCTGCGCGGGCCTTTGGAAAGTTGGTGGTTCCTCTTTTGGGTATACATACTGCTCGCAGCATTCATCCAGTTTGGCTTCCGAGATCAGGTCAAAGGCTCGTCGCAACTCCAGATGAAGTCCACGGAAGGAGTATTCATCTGCCGTGTTACCAAGATTACGGATTGTGTTGAAGGGTTCCTCCACACACAAGTGGTTGTTCAGACCAATATGCCATCCCTTCTCCTGTTTAGGAAGTTTCCTGCCAAGGCGGATAGAAATAGCATGTTTCTCGTAGTCGAATTCATGCGCATAAAACCTGAAGAATTGAAACAAAAGTTCACCTAGTGAAGATTTGTTTTTGTCACCGAACCCACGGAGTTTATCCAGGTCATCAGCAAATGCACTCTCCTGCCCACCCTTCTTGAGCAGTCTCTGGTTCTGTCGCTGGTGAAGTGACGGAAGAACGGGAGGGTCTCGGAGTTGCAGGAACCCAATGATGAGGCAAATCCAGGTGTACGAACTCAAGGTACCACCAAAGGCTAACAACAGCTATTAGCAAGGAGATGTCGCGTAGAGAGAGTCAATAGAAAGGCAGGCTCATACCAGCATCATTGACGATCCTCTTCCTCGCCCAGTATTTGACTATCATAGCCAGTGGCCTCACCCGCGGATCGATTTCGACGTATGTGCGGACCATCCTCGTGTTCTCCAGGGCCAGTGTATTATTCACGTTCATGTCGCATGCGAGACCAAGTTCGGGGTCCCAAATCTTGACGATGGGGACTTTCGCGGCCGATATACAAACAACCTTCTCCATACCTTCTGCATCAGGTGTTAGCCAAGGTCAATAACTGAAACAGCCAACATACTTTTTGCGAGCAGGTTTGCAATCATGCACACGCCTTCCATCTCCTTCCAGGGTGTTGTTATGCAAATGTCGACTGTCGAAAAGGTTAGTATTCTGTCATCGGAACAAAAGGAGGTTCCACGAACCATCAGAGTCGTCTGAGCAGAGCAAGTTGCCCGAGGAGCCAAAAAGATGTACGCGTATATCATTTCCGGGCCACTCTTCGTTAAAGATCTTTTCCAACTTGACGACGAGCTTCTTGCGGTTCTCCTCGACCTTTTCAGTCGGTACTAACCGGTCGTAAAGCTCGCGCATGTCTGTGGTCAATTTTCGCTCCTCCTCTTCGGACAACTTGCTCTTGATCTTGTCAAGGTTGGTCCTTTCTAACTTGTCACTTCCCAAGCTATAGGGCATCCTCCGTCTCGAGTTCACCTGCGCCGTCTCATATTGGCACCCACCCATGAGCCGTGGAGGGAGGGGACGTAACGAGGGAAGATTGCTATTAGTTTCGGAATAGGCAGAGCGAGGGGAGTGGTTATTTGTGGCGGTGGGGGAAGGTTCTCGGGACTCGAAGGAAAAGTTTCTCGCGTGCTGCTGCGGTGTCGACGGCATAGAGTTGGAATGAGATTGACCGTTGGTAGGCCGGGCCGCAGGACGAGCGGGCAGTGGATGCGAAAGCTCCGGCTGGGATGATTGCTGCATCTTGGGCGGAGCGTCCTTGGCTGTTATGACAGCACGATCGCCTTTGTCTTTGTTCTGCACAGCTCTATTCCCATGGCCTCCTTGGGTGCCCTTGGTCGCGGGGTTGTCCTTGTTCGACACCTTGGAGGATGATCGGGAACGGGGGGCCGCCTGGATATGAGGAGTAGCCACTGTCGCCTGAGGAAGCGGTTGTGACTGTTGCAAGCCGCCTCCTCGTCCGGGTGAGACGAGGTTCGTGTAGTGCAGCAACTGCGCCTGGTAGACGGAGGCTTGTTGTGGGAAAAGAAGGGGCCAGAAGTCTAGCTGGGCGGGGACGCGGGAAGAAGCGTCAGCGAAGTGGCAAGGGCTGAGGGACGCGCTTGTGGAGGATATCGCCGGCTGATGGAGCCAGGGACTTGACGGATAAGTATGCTTAGATTCTGCGGTTGTCGCCCGACTTTCCATGGAGCGAGTCCTGGCTCAGCTTCCGTGACGAGGGCGAGTCGGCAGAGGTAGAGGAAGAGGCAGAGGCAGTGCGGCAGAGACCAAGCAGGATCTCGTAGCAGCCGAGTCGTCGCGCGAGCAGAATGGACTCAAGTCGGGAAGGATATAGCGAAATAGCGAGAGGGGAGCGGGCGGGTTAGTGTCGTCAGAACACAGTCGAGGAGGTAGACACGGCTCAGCGTGTTGGAATCTCGCTCGGAGGGTGGCAGACGAGGGGGGGCGAAGCGGTTGAGGGTTTCGGAATTTGAGCAGGTGGTGGCTGGCACGAGTAAACTGCTGCTAGAAGCGTGCAACGAAATCGACAATAGGCATTAAGAGTGCGGAGGCGGTTTCGTCGGCTCAACGAAGTTGTGTGGTTTGTCGAGGAGGAAGGGCACTTCGCTGTGCGGCGGACAGGCCTCTGAAGAGGAAGAGAGAGAATGTCGTCGGTGGAAGGAGGCGAATGGAAGGGTGTGGAGTATAGATCGGGGACGTTGGCCCAAAAACGACAGGACTGGACGGGGGGTGCCTCGGGCGGTGGACCGTGAAATAACGATGGGGGGGGAAAGGGTCTAAAGGGGTTGCACCACGAAGCCGACACGGTCTGCTGCGATCTTTTCTGGGAGCGATACGATGCGATGTTACGGTCTACCAGTGACGTGAAGAGCAACAAAAGAGGACGAGGAAGAGGAGCAATGGATCTCAGAAAAAGTGAGAGAACCGAAAAAAAGATGATGTCGGGGGAGAGAAGAAGAGATGAAGCGGAAGGGGGAGCGTTTCGTTTGGGGGTGCAAGGAAGAAGGTACACACAAACCGCACCCTCAGTAAGGTACTTGGCTGGCTTGAGGGGGGTGGTGTAGGTACCTCGCCTGGAAGGGGGGGCGCAGGTTAAGTGAAGGCAAGGGTAATGGTAGTATGAACAGTACAGGGCGTTAGAGTGCGTGAGGCAATGGCAATGGCAATGGCACTGGCACTGGCACTGGGCAAGAAGGAGCGATGGGGGAAAGTACGGAAAGAAAGAGTACCTTGCAGGCTTGGTAGGGTTGGGGGTGGGCAGGCACAGAGTTCACCTGGTAAATTATTGCTGAGGTAAGGTATCTATCTGTAGGGGAAGGTGCGGGTACGGGTACATAGATAGCAGTAGTCAGGGAGTTGGGGGGGGGGGGGGGGGGGGGGGGGAAGTAACGAAGCGGGAACGAAGAAGGTATGGATCATTGGTAGGGTCTGCTTGCTGAATTAGATGGCTGGCCGGCTTCTGGACTGGCTGGCTTGTCGTGTCAAAGACTCGTTCGCCGAGATGCGAAGCGGACAACGCTGTGTGGATGGTAAGTGACTCTCTTGAGAAAGTTAGGGCGGACGGGAGCGATGCAAGCAAAGCAACGCAGATCAGCCAGTAATAGCAACATGAGAAGCAGGCACATCATACTCAGGCAGAGGGACAATAGAGTACGAACATACAGAAAGCAAGGTACGGCGCGACGCAGCAGCAGCGCAGTTGGCGGCACGGATACATTTGCTGTGCCGTCCGAAGTCATCATACGTATATAGGTCGGGTCGGGTTGTTCTGGCCGAGTGCTTTCCTCCTGCCCTGCCCTGATGAGGTAAGGCAGGTACAACTGAGCAAAGTACCATGTCGAGGTACCTGCCTATCTGCACCTGCGCCTACACCCGCATTTGCACTTGCGCCTGCGTCCAGCCGGAACTCGATTAAAGGATGCCGATTAGGAGAGAAAGAGAAAGAGAGAGAGCGCGTGTGTATGTGCTCGGGGGAAGGACACACCCACGGGTACGCAACAGGGCGTTCCAGTAGCAATTGGTAGCGCAGCAATAGCCAACTCACCGGACTGTAATTCATAGAACCAAACCCAACCCAACTGTGCCAAATAGGCATTTCACTGGAAGTGTAATGTGATCCAGATACGCCTCAGCGAACGCCTTGCGGCTGACGTGACCAACAAACACGGTTGATGTGAGGCAAGAAGAAATACAAAATGTGGTAATAAGAGACCAAACTGATGCTTATGTAGGTGAGTGTATGCGTATGAGCAACGGAGAAGCCGTACACATAGACACACACCTTCTTCTATTTTTTCCCTACCCGCTGCGGGAGTCAAGGGCAGGAAGGTACCGTCAATGATGCAACGAGATGCACTTCCTCAATCTCCATCTGGCTCATCCTCTCCTTCCCGTTATTGCACCTGGCCCAGACCTTCCCAATCGCTCTTATCCTATCTCGAACACAATGTTAGTGCAGGTGCCCGCTTGCTCCTGCTAATGCTCCCACTGCTATTGCTCCTGCTACTACTATATACTACTGCTGCTGCTGCTGCTGCTGCTGCTGCTCATCATCCTATCCTACTCACCTTACCTAGCCCCTTCTCTTTTCGACCGCAATCTTAGTCATATGGCAATTAAAATACCCTCCCGGTACCTAGGAGGGAGGTACTTCTGGCGGGGAGTGGAGGGAGTGGAGGGATGCTGATGCTGCTTGAGGAAGCTACAGCCCAGTATCCACAGTGTATGCACGGAGTGCGCGGGCAATTGCAGCAGTCAAAGTGGGGAAGATACCACCACGCTCTGGACGCAATTTGGGGCGGCAGAGAGGGGAGAGGTGTTATTTCTGAGTCCTCCCCCGTCCATGTCCCATTACTGTCCTGGCGGAGTCTGGCCGCTGTTCTCCCATTCCTACGGCTTTGTGCCCTGTGCAGGAGTTGGAACTGGCGCTGATGCTGGTGCTGGTGCTGGTGCTCTTCATGCTTTGCACCCTCCCGTGAGTGAGGAAAATGTACGGAGTACCAAAGCTGTAAAACGGGCTACAGGGGTTTTGGGGAGGCCCAGACAGACGCCACAGGCCCTTTTCCCCCCTCCCCTCTCTGTCTCCGACCACCGACTGTCACTTTGTCTCCAGTCGGCCTTTCCTCTGTTGGGGGGAGATGACGTCGGAGAGCCGAATGGCTTGTCTTGCATTTTGATTCTGTGTTGGACTGGAACACCACACACTAGGCCCTTTGATCAACCACATTTTGAGAAATGTCTTGTTTACTCCATCAAGCGCCCTAACAATCTCCCAATTATCGGAGAGAAACATGGCGACCAAGTATATCTCAGGACCGCTTTCTGACTCGGTATGCGAATCCCACAGTGGGGGAGGTACTTATCTCTGATGTACAGCCAGCCCCCATCCGAGGGGATGGGCAATGTTTCTTTACTAAGCATATTGACCCGCAGAAAGAGACTATGTGCATTGCAAGCCAATATTATCCTTCTTCCCACTGTGAGGCATTTGGGTCCTCATGCTAGCCATATCCTTCTCACCCCCCCACCGCTTCGTGCTCTAGAATGAAAGGAGGAACAAACATGTGCTGGCTGCTATGCGCCTCACCATGTCATGTCATGCGTGTACCGCACCGCGACCGCGACCAACTTATCCACTTCAGCGCGACGCCTTGGGTAAGCGGGATGGATGAAGAATGGGTGATTGACTTCATCGTGACACCAGCACCGGGAAGGAAACAAGAAGAAAAGAGATAGTAAAAGCCCCCCTTTTTGCCGGATTCCCACACAATTGTCTCCGATGAACCCTTTCAAGGTTTTGGTTTTTTTTTATGATACCCTTTATTTTTAATCTTTTTTATTTCTTTATTTTATTTTATTTTTTAATTTTCCCCCCCTTCGGCCATTGCCTCGTTTTACCGCCTCTTCTCGTCTCGTCTCGTCATGTCTCGCAGCCTGTCACTTTTTTTTTATTCCCATATTTCCATTTCCCATTTCTTCCGTATCCCCTGCCGACATCATCTATTTCCACCACCTTAAAATTATCAGGGTCCCAGTACTATGGCCACCTGAATGTCTTTCCAGAAACCAGGAGACGGTGGGGACTGGCCATACACACCCCAGCCCGATACCTTACACGACAGCTCGCTACTTCAAGGGGCCTGTCCGGCAGCGCATTTCGATGGTTACCCGATGGGATGGCCCCAAACGCCCAAAGCCGAGCCAACAATGGACGAGATTCACCCAACGCGCCTCGAGAAACCTGGTCGTGTTTTCGCGTACGAATACTTACCGCTCTCCGCAATCACTCCGTTTTGAGTCGGCCGCCAATTCTAATCTCTTGTCGAATCCGTCTTGGGCCTTGCTCTCTCCCCCGGCTACCCCTTCATCCTGCGTCTCGTCCATGGCCTCCTCCGCCTCCTATTGTTACTACTATGTGTGAGAAAGTCTGATTGAGGGGACCTGTGTCGTTTCCGATATCCGTCTGCCGATCCAGTCACACGCCGAGCCTCCGGAAGAACCACGCCATTAGTTCGCTCATCTTACTCCAGCCGCTCCTCCTCGTGTCCCTGTGTGTGGTTCCTTGCCCCCCCAAAGCGGCCTGCACATGCTGTTACTGCTGCCACCGCTGCTGAAGAGAGTTGCCATACATTCCAGGAGCGGGCGTCGATAGCCCCAAATAGGCGCAGCTCTGGGCTGTGGAGGGGGCCGGCTCCATGCTCGTCTCCTCCAGTGACCTGGACTCGGAATCCCAATCGTGTTCCCCCATGCGGCCGAGCCGCTTTCCATTCGCTAGTTTGTCTTTTCCCCTCCTCAAGGGTCTGGTACAGTGGCTTAAAGCGCCTCTTTCGGGAGCTTCGTCACATTACTCCGTCTGCCAAAAACTGCCTTTCCCACAGAATAGATTGCCAATCTAAGGGCGACGGATCAAGCTGCGAGATGTGCTACATTGCATACGCCCAGCTGCCTCGGCGATTCGACAGCGTTACTCTTTTCTGCTAGGCCATCGCAGGGAAAACATTCAATCAGTTCCGTAATGGCAGGCCAGCAAACTAGAAGCCCGCCGACCACCTCCCTGTCGATGAGATCCCTAGAGTCTCGCTCGATTTCGGGGGTTTTGTCAAGACATTCATCCGACTCTTGCAATCAAAGTAACCAAGTCCAGAGCCCAGAGCCCAGAAATTTCATACCTATACCAGGAAGCGCTCTTCCACCACATAACTTCGAGGTATGTTTTGGGTCGGCCCTTTAGCGTTTGGCGCCGTCCCCATATGACCGTAGCAGTGTGGACCAGACCCGGAGCAGGGCTGGGTGTCCGCAATCCTTCCCGGGAGCAGCTAAGCAGCAATGGCGACATGTTTAGAAGCGCATTGGAGGATGGATCTATTCTCGATGGCTTTGTTGCTTACTTGGTCTTGTCTATCTTCTCACCTGAACTCAGACATTCCCCTCTTTTCGTCGCACAACAGAGACTTTCGCCCGATCTTTTGTTCAGATTTTCTGCCCACAAGAGTCACATTCTTACGGGTCGGAGGGCACAGCTTGTGGCAGCTTACCACACGCCCGGCCAGCCCACAGCATCGCCTACCAAGCTAGCCATCGGGCTTTGTATTCCACTGCCATTGCTGACTTGAGACGAAAGGGGTGGGCTGTCTTGGCGTAACCAAAACCGCAACCAGATGGGAGAAGATCAGTGGCCGCAACTCTGTCTGACGTACGGTCAGCAAATATCTACTGCGTAGTAATTAACGAGGAGCCAACTGCGGCACTTTGTAGCCACGCGCGGGTATCACCAAGCAGGCATACAGAACAATGCTTCAGACCGAGGCTATATTTTGACACACCCGTTTTCAATCCAGGAGGCATAGACGACACTTACGGCGGTCTCAGAACTGACTTCACCAATTTAGGTTGAAGAGACACGGGAAATAGAACGAACCAAGTCTCAACCGTATGAACTTGTGCCAGCGAACCTAGCTACTAGTACTGCACTCCTGCGTGTGCATCATGGTTGCCTCTCGTCTTACACGAGTGCGTTGCTGGATGCCATAGCCGACGTCATGGCCTTCTCGTCTCGGACGTCGTTCAGCATGCGCTTGGATCTTGCCTCCTAAACTTCTTGACTTGGACTCCCGAGCAGACCCCAAATGGGCTAGCGTGCGTTCATCATCCATGGTGAGCCGCGGAGGGCATCCTCGAATCTCAAGAAAACCCCCTCACCTCGCGGTCATTTTTCTCCAATTATGAAGTTCAAACATGCTCTTTCTGGAGCACAACCCAAGTCGGGTTGAGCGATCAACACAGAAGGTGCGCTCTCAGCAACTCGCCTCAGGATGCAATGTAACCCTCCATCAACCATCACCCCGCCGCGGACCGCGGGATACTCATAAAATCTGACAGCGAGCCGTTAAGTAACTAAGTGGGACTGGCCTGACGCATCGTGGCCTTCAGACTGGCGCGGCACAGATGAACCGTGGTCAAGACATAATCAAGCCGCTACTTTACTCATTCATCCCTCAGAATAGAAGCGGCGAGCCGAGACCGACTTTGGTAGGCCGCGGCCGATTTTCCCTGCAGCGTTGGAAGAAGGAGGAGTCTGTCCGTAGTGCTATTATTCAGCTCCGACAGGCAAAGAGTCAGACAGGAGAAACAACCACGTTTTTTCGAAGTGTTTCTGACATGATATTTCGTATAGATTCTATATCTGGACTAGACACAGGATTCGCTCCCGCTCTAGAAGCACTTTGGTCGAGTCCAGCCCTCAGCCACCCGTACCGCCTCGCCGCTTGAACAACTGAGACCTCTCCCTCTCCAACCGATCATCCGCAATCAATTGTGCGGTGGAAGACGATCCGTGAACGCTTCCCGCTCCCCCACATTCTCGCCTCCGGTCTCCCTGGTTCTAGGGCGCACGATTCGACGTCAGTTCCACCAATGTGCTGCGAGGTCCGAGATGGGGAGACTGTAGCCTCCCGCCTAGTTGAGGCCAATTCTAAATGCTCCGATTCATCCAAACAATCAAGTCCCCAGATCTTGGCACATTGTTCTCAGCACCAAGTTGGGCGTCGGTCATTCGCCGAGGTATTCTGTTCGAAATGAAGCGGCAGACGGCGTGCAAAGCCGGACCCTCAACTGCAAGTTTACTATGCTCCGGCAAAATTACCGTGCGGTCCGGTGAGGCGAGAGTGAAGATGGACAACCACTGTACGGCATCATGCATACTCCCTGCTGTCGGAGTGGATCGTTACGGTTGTACAATGGCATGTTTCAATTCTCTTTCTCTGGTTCTTGTGCGCACTCCCTTACATGGCAAACATGGGTCATTTGACGCACCGACACTGACAGTTTCCCATGACATCGTCGATGACGAGATCACCGTTGACCATCCCCAGACCAGCCGTTGCCCGCATTCCGCCTCGATCAGCGGCGTCTAGTCCGTCATTCAACAGAGTCATTACTCCCGGAGACTAGGCATCATGTTGACACATAGACTGTGTTGACATTTTAGAGTTCGGGTAACTGTGTCGAGAAGTCCAAATGTGTCGTGACTCGATAAACATTCAAGTGTTTCGGCGGGGAAGGCTTCCCATCCAAAGAATGCGGGTGGGCATTCCAACGCGAGCCCAGGTACGGGTGGAACGCAGATGACGGATATTGGACCGTGCAGATAATCGAGCCGGACCAATTGCTGCCTGGGTTATACTTCGAATGGAATAATTCTCTTGTTCACAGCTAGCCGCAGAACGTTGGAAATGCGAAAGTGTCTAGTTTCTATGAGAGGCACGCTGAGAAGCGAAACATGCTATCCGCCCTGGGCTGAAAGTTCAACTGCTTCTTCCTAAGACATGTTCCCGCATCTTTAATTGAAGGCGAAACAGTTGTCTGTCTTGTTGACATTTTTTGTTTCCTTTCCCCCTTTTCCTTTTTTTTTTTTTTTTTTTGCCTTATTTTTTCTTAGGTGAAGCTTTAACAGCGGCGCTGAGCGCGGAGCGAACAATAACCTGGGAAACCTAGGAAACATCTGCAACACCCTCACCGAGGTTGAAATCTGTGCCCATCAAACTAACCCTCGACTGACAAGTGACAGCCAATCGGAAAGTCAGCCACCAATCTTTCTTTCCTACTTGGTTCTCAGGGGGGGTTTTATGCGGAGTCAGGCAATTTGATAGCGCCATGGCTTGCCGCCGGGCTCTCAGCCTCGCGACACCAATTTCGAGGAGCTCAGAGCGCCCTTCGCTAACAGAAGATGCGACGCGTCCTGTATCGAAAGTTTCAGGAGCTCGCCAGAATCCAGGTCCCTCCGCGGGAATCTCACCGGCCGCCATAAGCATGGTTATCTTTTCCTTTCCTCTACGTCTCTTTCTTTCCTTCTTCTCGTTGACCTTCTCTCTGGGAACCTAATCTTGCATTTTGCATTGCTCGTGGTACTCTTCTTAACCCGCTTCATCCTTGCAGATCAGTCTCTCTGCCGCGCGAGGCAGTCCTCCCTCGGAGCCGTTTCTTCTTTCTTATTTTCCTTGTCTTGTTACGTCAAAGTCCTATACGCCGCATAGTCACCTATTCTCCCCCCCTTCCTCTCAAGGTTCCACTTGCGAAGAGATCATCCATCATGCTGGCAAGCTTGACAACCAAGATCGCCCTGAAGAAGGTGGGCCTGAACAGCAAGTCCTTCGACTTCAGCGGTGGGTCGACCGATTCGAAGAGCAAGAGCAGCGGCAGCAATGCCGGGCTTGACGAAACCGAGAACACCAATGGAGGGTGGCCGGCGTGGATGTCGATGAAGTCACTACCCATCACCGTCGCCCCGTGGTTCTCCCCGCCCCCGCCGCCGGTACCCGTCGCCGAACCGCCAAAGATCGGCGATCTGGCTCCGTTAGACCGGGACAGAAAACTCGAGTTCGGCCGGGGGAAGCCCGTCCTCGTCGTCTTTCTGCGATGTGTCGGTTGTGCATGTACGTCTGATCTACACCTGCTGTCCTGTCCTGTCCTGTCCTGCTGTGCACCTGCGGTTTGCACTTGGACCGATTTACATGCGTGCATGCATACATGTTCCCTCACACATTGCATCCTTCGAGAAGATTCTTTGCTAACACACACACCCTTCGCTGTATACAGTTGCGCAAAAGACCTTCCTCGCATTGCGTGCGCTGGCGAATAAGCACGCCAACAACTTGACCTGCATAGCTGTGTCCCACTCATCCCCCGCCGCGACGCAGAAGTGGATCGACCTTCTCGGCGGCGCCTGGAACGTCCAGGTCGTCATCGACGAGGACCGCGCAATCTATGCCGCCTGGGGCCTGGGGCTGGGGTCGGTTTGGTATGTCTTCAACCCGACGAGCCAGGTGCAGGGGTGGAAGGAGAAGGGCTGGTTGGGAGAGAAGGTTGCCGGAGCGATACAGCGGACGGGAACGGGCGGTCCGTCCGCGTCTGGTGCAACCCCGGGGCAACTCCAGAGGAAAGGGACCGCGGCCGTGGGGGAGCAGCCCGCGCCTGAGGAGGTGGAGGGTCCCAGCAACGTCATGGGCAACAAGTGGCAGACTGCCGGGGCGTTCGCGGTCGACGGGCGCGGCACTGTCATCTGGGGAGGCAAGGCTCTGAGAGCAGACGACCCTATGGATTTGGACGCCGGCTGCGCCGCCCTGGGATTGTGAGGCTTTCAATACACACAGGAGGGCGTCGTCTATCGATGGTTCCCGGTGCCCGGTGTCCGGTCTTGACAAGGGGCCATGAACGCCAAGCTACTCGGTGTGAGATGACGGTTGGTTTTGTAAGACGGGATCGGCGGGGTTGCGTGATGCATTTTGAATCGGCGTACGGTACGGTTGGCGGGTTGGTTGGTTGGTTTGTCTGGGGTGGGGGAGTTGGGATCTAGTGTCATACACTCTCCTGCCATCTGTTCAAAATGAAATCTGACATTTAGTACATATGCCTGGTTGGTTGGAATGTTTGCCGTGTCAATATAAATCTAACCAGCTGGACTATCCGGGTCTCAGTCGTGACCTTTTCGTCTCGTGTATATAACACAGACGTGGAGTAAAAAGTCCCCAGGGAGCCGGCCGGAATAATCATAAACGTAGCACATCACCAAGGTCAAAACGTCTGAATAACCCCAAAAAGAAGGCTCCAGGTCTCACATGTAAATGTAAACTACGCCATGGGAGGGTGAGGGACACACCCAAAAAAAAAAAAAAAAAAAGAAGGGCGTCATACTGAGACCTGGACGCCAAAAATAACGAGAACCTGGTTCAGGAAGCACTGCGCGTGACGACTTCCCAGCCTCATGCAAGGGAGGATGGGGACGAGAGAGAGAGGACTGGCTCTCTCTCGCCTATGTAGTAAGTCGCTTCAGCCACATTGGTCATTTCACTGTCTTGCGTCACCAAGCCCTTCTTCAGCTCCAGCATTTTCACGCATCTTTTGTTAGTAGTATCTCGCGTGTTGGTTTCCATTTACAACTCTGACGAGGCCTCTCTGTGTTGGAGGTTGCGGGCCACCTGATTGATGATGTATGTCTCTTGTGGTCTCAGTGGAAACAGCCCTACCTGGAACCCCCTCCCCCTCGAAAGCTTACATTTCCAAGGAGGGTTCGGTGAGTCAAGTGTAAGCTGATGGGCGGCGGTCTGCATAGTTTTTGTTTGCGTTTGGGACATGTCATGTTTTACGCCCTACGAGGTTTGGCTTGTGGTTCGCTGGCCAAGTCAGACTGGTAGTGTCTTGTCTGCATCACGTCTTTAAGAAGTTGACTAATTGTATTGAAATAAAAACGATAAAAAATCAACTAAATTAAAATAGAAAAAGATAAGGCAGTTGGGTAAAAGTCACCGTCTCTCACATGCCCAAGACTGACATCCTCCCTCCCCCCCCCCCGTCCCCCCGTACCACTGAAATACCACTGACGTGATGTAAACCACGAACCCGGATGGCCTTCATGAGGGCGGCCCAAGGGGTAAGACGATGGATGCTGTGTCTCATAAATCAAAAGTCGACGAACCTCATGTTCATGCAAAGGAAAGGGGAAAAAAAAATACCGGATCGATAGATCCCTTGCACATCCGCAATAGACAGATGCCGAAAAGGCTGGGACAGTGTGCGCGCAAAATGCCACATCCAAAGTGTGTGAGAAGAGAAACGGAACACGCAAAAGGGACGCAGAAGACGGAGAATTTTCAAAAGGGAAAAAGGAGAAGAGAGAAAGGAAAAAAATATGAGACGAAACGTAAAACGACACCATTCTCACGGGTAATCAAACCCCTTGCGTTGAGGAAGCCGCCCTACTCGCCCGTCTTTGCAAAACTCCCCCCCCCCCCCACGTGGCAGCCCATCGTCATATCAAACGATCCTCTTCCATATTCGCCCTCCTTTTGTTTTTGTATTTTTCTTGTTTCTTCCCCCGGCCTTTATTTCCACTTCTGAACCCCCGAACCGTCTGTCGCCTTCACCTTGTAAACAGTCAAACCCTATAACAAATGCCAATAATCATAAATATAAGCAAAAAGATAGATAGGGTGAGGTGGGGTGTGGGCTCGGCGCGGAACCTCCCGCAAGCCACAGCCCGCGCGCGCCGCGCCCCCGGCAGGCACACCGTACCAGCACCGTACCTGCCACACACGCACACGCCCCCCCCCCCCCCCCAATTTTGCCCGGTTCGCATCGGGGTCAGTGTGCCCCTTCTTCGTCTTTTCAAATCCTGCCTTCCGAGCGTCCGTGTGTGACGGGATGTAACGACTGGAGAAGAAGAAAAGAGCGTGTGTCAGTTGGGGGAGGGGGGAATCCATCACATCATACCCGTCCGAGCGACCGGTCAGTTTGTTGGCCGGCAATCGACTGGCCCCCAGGTCAAAGGCCCGCAGGCCCGGGAGTAGGAGGGAGGGAGGCAGTAGTAGGTAGGAGGAAAGGCAGACTACCCGGGCCAAAAGGGTTGGTCGCCCATGTAGTCGGCCAACTCTTTCTTCCGCTTTGCATGCCATCCATGTCATGGGTTTTGAAGTGGTGTGCATATGGTCAATAGCTCGGTCGACCGTTGTTGGTTGGCCTTGCTCATGCGGCCTCTTCCGTCTTCACCTCTGCAGAAGAAGCCTCAAGGGAATGTTCCAGCAAATCAATCCATGACGATGTCTCTCTCTCCTCTTGCCAACCAACACGAGGTCCATGCTTCGGTTCAGTTCAGTCCACGCGCGCAAGGCTCAAGTCCTGGTCCGCGTCTACGCCATAGCGTTCTTTTCTCACCATGTCACTGTTATTCTTACGAAAAGGTAACCAAACTTGGGGGGACAAAAGCATGTTTTCATTAAGTTGCCGCTCCATCCTAGAGCAAGCGTGCAAAGAGTAGCATCCCATCCGTCCCTCTCCAACACACTCCATCTGATCTATCCGCCCAAAAACCCCCCCCCGTCTTGATGTCAAGTTCCCTTTCATTCCCAGGTTAGAAGGCATAAGAACCTATTATTACTCGATGCGTTCTCATAACCGAGTACGGTCCGAGTACTGAAAACGGCAGAAAACTCCCACAAACGTGACCTCCGGTAAAGAAAACCCCCAAGCAGCAAAATGAGATCAAAAAGTAGGAAATATCCCCCCAAAAGGACCAAAAAAAAAAGGAGACAACCCACAAACACCCCATATCCTAAACCCCTGTTTTTGTGATTTTGTCGCCGTGTGAAGAGGAGTCGTCTTTGTGTGTGCTGTACCAACTCCCCGGATGTGCGTTCCCAGTCCCAACCCGTTCGAGTCAAACCAGTTATCGGAATCCACGCCCACGCCGATGTATGCTCGCGATTTGAATCATAGGTTGCCCTTCGACGCTTTTTGGCACCCGAAACTCATCCCATGCCCAGCTCCAAAGGACAACTTTCCCAATGAACAACAAAAAAAAGGTCGTCCCGCTCCGTGCTCGCCGTCGCCAGAAATCCCAGATCATCCGAAACAATCCCAGACGCTGCGATATCCCGCCGAAGCTCATGGTAAACCCGAAGCAACTGTAAACCCCATTCCACGCCCATATGACATGCATCTTTTTTTCCCTTAGCAATACTGTTCGACTCCGTCCGTGATTGCAGAATGCGGTCCTTTCTGATGGTGTAATAAAAAAACTCCTCAAAAGATGCCAAAAAGACACCCTCACTCCGAGTACCCTGTCGAGACCGAGGTATATATCAAGTTTTCCGTGTCCGAGGAAAATTCAATCAAGACCGAAAACAAATCTAAAAAAACCACCCTCGCAAACGGTCCTTTCATCGAGCCCTCCTTTGATTTTGTTTTTTTTAATCCGTGCTTGCGCCGCGTCGCATTCTGGAAGAGGACGTTGTTGGATGAGGCGTCGGGGTCTTCTAGCCCCAGACGCTGGCAGGGGGCTGGCTCAGTCCGGATGACTGAGGGCCCCAGACGCCGTTGCCACGACCCCAGCCGCCGGGAGAGGCCAACGGGGTAGTAGATCGCTTCGAAGACGAGTTCGCCGCACCGGTCGGGGTTCCAGAAGGTCGGGTGCCGATGGGAGCAACTGTCTGGGAGGCCTTAGATCCAGCCGGGAGCTCCTGTCGCGGCGGGGATCCACCGGGCGAGGAGTTGCTGGTGCGAGCCGCAGCCTGGCTCACGGCAGACTCGAATGCGCTCTTGTTGTTGTTGGCTACATTGGGCTGGGGGCTAGCGGTGCTACCAGCGCGAGAACCCTGCTCACCGGGAGGAGCAGCAATGGGGCCAGGAGCAGCGTCAGTGGCAGAGACGGGAGTGTTGGCGTCACCGTGAGGAGGAGGGCCACGGGTAATGTCGTAGGTCAAAGGGGACTGACCACGCAGGCTGGACGGGCCGCTGTGGCCAGGGACGCCAGGGCGCACAGCACCAGTCTCATCAACATAACCCCCCTTCTCGGCAAACTGGCCCTCGCCGTACAAGGCGCTCCGCTGACGAGCGATCAACTCGCGAGTCTCCTCCTCAGACATGGCCTTGTTGCCGTAGGGAATGTCAGAAACAAGAGCTGCGCGCACAGGGTGGTTAGCCTAACATCCTCTGAAGTGCCCAAGTCTTACGAGAAAGGGGGTGGACAGGGAGGCCTTTCAGGGAGACATCTCTCGACAGTTACATGACGGGGCAGAAGGATGTTGCATGATGGTGAAACCCCTCGGCCTGAATTATCTATTTTTCTTCTTTGCAGTCTCCCCCCTCCCTTTTGGACAGTGGAGTTTGTGTGCTATACAGTAGAGGGCGGCCTACTTCGCTGATATTGCTGCTCAGTGTGGAGGTTTCGCAGCTCCCGCTCCCGTTGAGCGGCCATCCTTCTCTTGGCCTGCATCATCTGTTCCGCGTCGTTGGATCCTCGGGAAGGCTGGTGGCGCTGAGAGGCGTAAAAGTTCTGAAGGTTCGAGTTTGGGTGGCCTCGGGCATCATCGAACTGGTTCATTGAGTGCGGTCGCGGACCGGCTCCAGCTCCCATACGTCCGGCTGCGAGATGGGCGTTAGTAGGGGAAGGAAGCGGATTTGCCCGCCAGATGCGAGCAGACTTACTGAAGTCGAGGGACTTTCTGGCAGGGCCAGGGCCAGCAGGGCCCATCTTGGGGCCGCCAGGGGTTGGGTACTCACGTCGACCACCCATTCCGTATGACTTCCCGCTCTTGGCGAGATTCTCGTATGCACGATCAACCTCTGTAGGCCTAGCAGTCAGTGTCCGTACCACATCTAAATTATCACTTCGTCAGCAGGATCTTCCTGCGCGCGACGCCGGGCAGGCGCGAGCGGGGGGAGACTCGCGCCGGCCTGGTCGTCTGCCACGCGCTGGATATATCGAGTAGACCTACCCTCGAACTGGTAGAAGAATGCAAAGTCGTCCTGAGGCGTCGGGCCGCTAGCACCTGTTGACGGGAATCTCGAGTCAATTCCGGCTTCCGGCTGTGCGATTTGGCGCTGCGACGACTGGGACGACTCACCAGCACGGACAGGAGGCGCTTGGTGTTCCCAGTTGTTCTGGCCGGGATTGGACCATTGAGGGTTGTTCTCGTAGTAGGACATGGTGATGATGGCTGTTGGTGCTTCGAGTGAGGCGAAACCGGAAGACTGCAGATGTTGTCTGAGGGATTTGAAAGTCGGAGACCGAAATGAAGGCCGGACTCGATATAGCTTTGTTCTTCAAAGTCGAATTAGTTGAGATATACTCAAAGCGACGTTCGGGGCCAAAGGCGCGGATGTGTAGCCTTGGAAGAACGGTGTCGCAAATGGATGGGTGGAAGGCGCCGTGGTGTCAGGGGAGAGGCCAACGGGGAGGGACAGGGAAAATAAATTTTTTGGGTATGGGCGGCGCCGCGCTTAAATGTCTCGCGGCTTTTTTTGCGCCGGGGGGTCGCAACGAACAGGCAGGGAAACCACTCACCAAAAGGGAAAAAAGAGGGACGGTGTCGTTTTCAGGTGTCGTTGCGCAAGACTTCTCGAGCCAACGGCCGACTACGTTGCAGAAGCAAGGAAGAAAAAAAAAAAAAAAAAAAGGGGGGGGTGCCTTTTTTTTTTTTGTCCTTCTCTCTCTTTCTCTCTCAGTTCAAATGCGCGTAAATTTTTAAATTTTTTTGGAGTGAGTAGCGACGGATGCTTGGTCGAAGACGGTGGTGGCGGCGGTGACGACAACGACGTATGCGTTTCCAATGGGAAATCAAAGAGGGCGAGGTAGAGTAGGTGGAAGCGACACGGGCGGCGGACTGGCGGGTCGATTCGGGTCTATGCCTAATGAGACGATGCCGGTGCGGTGTGGTGCGGCCAGGTAGACTGGAGCTGGAGTAGGAGGAGGATATGCTTCGCTGGGAAAGGATGATAACCCTTTGGTTGCTTGTCTTCTGACCGTGGCAAGGGAAGACTCGAGGCAGCGACAGAATGAGGGCAGGGCAGGGAGGAGGCCACAACGAGGGTGATGATGACTACTTTTTGTTTGCTAGCACAACCGGTCCCAGGTGGCAGGAATTAAAACAAGGCGGAGAGAGTGGGAAAAATGAAGAACGAAATAAAGAAATAAAAATAAATAATAAGAGTGGGAGCGAGGGGGGTGTGAGGCACACCACACCTCAGCCAACACGGAAGGCAGGAAGGGCAATCAGTGAGTGCTGCGCAGACATAGCGAGCAGCAGCAGGCCTTGCGCTGTAATTGGAGTTCGGTAGCAACAGGACTCTCCAGCCAAGGAAAGAGTGGGGGAAGAGAAGGAGGAGGGGGAAGAGTAACAACGCGTGGTGAGGTAGGGGCAGTAAGGAAGGAGGTAGGGGAGGAAGGTGCCAACTGGGAAGGACAGGAGCACTAGTATGGTGAGGGAAAGGGTGCTGGGGCAGACAAGGCAGGGCCAAGCTCGCTCTCTCTTTCTCTTTCTGTCACTAAGGTGGACAGGCAGGTACGTACGGATACGGCCAACTGGGCCAGGGCAGTTGCATTCACACCAGACTGCCCACAGCCCATACACGCCCACACGTCAATTCCATGGTGGGAAGTTGCAGTGCAGTAGAAGTCGAAGTCGAAGTGGACTTTTGGATGGGGAAGGGGCGGAGGGGGGGAGGGGGGTAAGGGGGTGTGCAGCAAAACTGTTGCGGGAAAGAGCGGCCTGGGACAGACTAGGACGTACTATGGCACACTGGGACGACGAATCTGGGACTTGGACTGGGGGTAGGGAAACGACTTGAACATGAATGGGACGCTAGGAGCTGGCGTGCTGGCAAGGAGGATAGAGTGGGGGTGGCCGAACAGCAGGAAGGAGGAAGGTACAACAAATACGGTGTAAGAGGACCAGTACTTGGATGTTTGGTCTTTGGCAATCTTCCTTGCACACAAGTTAGATGGGTTGGGATTCTTTCTCTACGCACTATCTACTAGTAGTTGACAATACAGCCAGGAAGGAAGCGCATACACCTCCAGGTTTGCAATGATGCTGATGCTGATGTTGATACTGGCGTTGGTGCTTCTCGGGTAGGGAATCAAGGGACTGGCATATATGCGTTGCCTGCCCCGGGTCCCTTTCCGAACCGAACATCTGGTCTCCCTTTTGCCCCGTGCCTAAGAATTTGAAGTGTCTGGTGATTACTCGCGGACATCGAACACTCAGCGAGGGAGACTGTCGCGGCACAGGCAAAGGCGAGACGATATGAGACGAGACACCTCAAAGGCACGTACCACAACCAGTTTGCAGAATACGGTGAATCGCGTCCGGCAATTTGGCTGCCCAAACTAATTAATCGCCTGGCATTTTCTGGCTGCCGTGGAATCGTGCCTTTAATATCTTCTACACACAAGACAGAATCTCCTGGCTAATACTTTGTTACCTGTGAGGATTTCAGATTGAAGCTGAAGCGTCTTGGGTCTCCAAATGTCCGTTCTGTCAAGTGACGAATGTATCTCAGTACGGGGGTGGGAGAAACGAAAAAGGGGTGTGGTGTAGGAAAAGGGCCGAGGAAGCAGCTTGTGGATGGGCTCCTATATTGGTGACCTGCCTTTTTTGCTCGCTATCTGTGGTCTAAGAATGAAAATAGATGTTGCTTGTTACCACACGCCATCGCCTGTTGTCTCGATGGTAATTTAGGGATTTTTTTTTTGTGTGGCTAATAATCTCGTGGACAAACGCAATCGGTTGAACACAATATCCAAGTGATCCATCAGCAGAGTTCTGGGCGAACCGGGGTGAAGTTAATGTCGACAAGCGATCCACTGGAGAAAGCCTGCAAGAATGAGATGGAGAAGAAGAGACGGTCACCTTTTGCTTTTTTTTTTCTTTTTTTTTTTTTTTAAATGGACGCACACCGTTTCCCCTTTCGTTGGATCGATCTCAGATGCACGTCTCCGACAAGGCAGGAGGTAGGAGACACGGGCCTAAGTAGGCCGTTGCAAATGACGAGTGGGCAACTGACTGACATTGACAAACATGCTTCACTATCCCAGGGCCGTAAAAACATGCTGCAGGCCAACCAAGCCAGAGACAAAAGGCCGGACAAAGTGACGGATGGTACGTGGTTCCCCATCAAAATCTCCATCCTGGCGCTAGCGCCGTTTCGACTTCTACTGTGTTGGTACCTCTCTTTGTCTTGGATTTCCCGCCTGCCGTCCCTCATGCTCTTTTCTTATTCTTGCCGGGTTTTCCCATTGCCCTCATACGGTATATGTCTGTCTATGTTATTCGCTTTCTACTTTCTATTCCTCGTGCTAGAATCTGTACTGTTCTTGCCTCTTGCTATTGTTTTCCCCCCTTCTACCTCTTGGCCATTTCTCAGTGAGGCAGACCACTCTTGCAATTGTTTGTATTGCCGTGAAGCCCTGTGCTGGCGGAAACGGAAACACCAACCTCGGAGGTGCACCGTGGTAACCCCACCCCACTTGGCTTCGGGGACTGCCCAGCAAATCTCAACGACCCGAGATAATGACTGGACCGCCTGTGGGCCAATGCGTGGAGAACACCCCTGCCAACCACTTAAACCTCTTTTGACCCGCTGACGCTAGGAAGGAAGGAAAGTATCCACACATGCACTCATACCGTACAATGTGGCTTTCCATCTCCCTCACCTTGTTAACTTAGTAACACACACACTTTCCTTACCTCACCTGCTCTGTTGGATGTGTTGGCTAGCGATTTGGTCGTGGCGGGAGGGCCTTCCTCATACCTATCCAGCCACCACCAGCTTCAGCTCCAGCACGGCAGAGCACCACACACACACACACACACACACACACACACACACACACACACACACACACACACACACACACACACACACACACACACACACACACACACACACACACACACACACAAAACTACCCCTAGCAGGCTTTTAAAAGTACAGAGCACACAACGACAACGACGACGACGACGACGACGGAGTACTGACAGCCACTGTAATTCAAAACTCACGATCCTGTTTTCTGTAATCGCCAGGTTTGCTCACCCCCCTCCCCTTCAACCCGGATTTCATCTGGTATTTTACTGGCCACATTTCAAGATTCTTGCCAGCGTTCCCAAGCCGGTATCTCGATCAACCTCCATTTGCACCAATTACCCCAACGTGCCATCAGCACCAATCGATACCAGTGAGCTAATTTTCCCCCATCACCCGGATGCACCTTTGCTCAATATATCATCATCCCTTCATTTCACGAGCCGGTCCTTTTTTTTTTGTACTTCTTTCTCCTACAGCTCTTTTCTTTCTGATTGCGACAACTGGCCGGGAGTGGAAACGATATGTCGCCCAGCTGAGCAGCCATTAACTTCCAGTGCGGCCAGTCCCCAGCTCCTGCCACCCTCTTACAATCCTAGCCGGAGCAAACCACCATAATTATTACCGTGGCCGGAAAGTCTCCCGTTACCACTCTCACCCCTGGGGTGCTCGGTGGGCCACAAATCTGCCTTCTGCATGTTCTAGTTACACTAGCATTTTTCCCTTTGGCGAGCCTGCAGATAACCCCTTTTTCTTGATACTCTCCACTGCAGCTGCCGCCCAAACTCGTTTCTACGGCCTTACGCCTACCAAACAGACCTATTACTGGTACTACGCAGTGTGTGTGATAGGGCACGGTACTCCTGGACCCATGAGCCATCCCAGAGCAACAGGTGTTGTCGTCTGTGTCGGTAATTAACCTCTGCCTCCCCCATCTTTCTTGGGCGGATCTAGCCCCAGCAGTTACTGGGCATCTCCGGGTCTGGTAGTTACGTCAGCTGAGACCACAACCCGCTCACGCTCCTGTTGATGCGATTTGGTCGATTAACGTCTTGGATGGAACGCTCTTCACCTTTCGCTAAGTGCCTTCTCTGGGGGGAACGCACCCTAAATGACCTTACCTTATCCGCTAACCAGGTACTGAGTCCTTGTCGAAGACCTCCCTTACCTTTCTTTCCCTGCCAGAAACCTTGCGAGCAGCTGCTCTGCTTCATCGACATGGGTGTGCTGTCTACAATCCTCAAGGACCCTTTTGGCCATATTCTAATACACTCTGGTATTTTTCTCTCTACTCTGTATTACCACCACTACCACAAACACCATCATCGTTACCAACACCA